CAACCAAAAAAAAATAAAATAAAATAAAAATAATCTTCATCAAAAAAAAAAACAAAAAGAATTCTTCTTCCATTTTTGTTTATATTGTTTTTTTTTTTCCCCTTTTTTATTGTCTTAATTGTAGTTGTTTAATGCTTTATATCAAAAATCAATCCATCGATCATTAAATAATAATAATAAAAATATAATAATATATAAATTTACTAATTAGTCAGTTTATTTCTTTTAAAAATCTTAAAATTTGTACAGTATTAAAATTATAAATAATATAAAATAAAATGCCTTTAAGAGAGTTCAAGATTGTTGTTTTAGGTTCCGGAGGTGTCGGTAAATCTGCCCTCACTGTACAATTTGTCCAAGGTATTTTCGTAGAGAAGGTATGTCTTTTTAAATATAATATAATATAATATTGGTGTGATTCCACCTTTGGTTTATTTTATTAATTTAATTAAATGTTGTATTTCTTTTTCTATTTAAACCAATATATTAGTACGATCCAACTATTGAAGATTCATATAGAAAGCAAGTCGAAGTCGATGGTAACCAATGTATGCTCGAAATTCTGGATACTGCTGGTACTGAACAATTCACTGCTATGAGAGATCTTTATATGAAGAACGGTCAAGGTTTCGTGCTCGTCTACAGTATCATTTCAAATTCAACATTCAACGAACTTCCAGATTTGCGTGAACAAATTTTGCGTGTAAAGGATTGTGACGACGTCCCAATGGTTTTGGTTGGTAACAAGTGCGATCTCAACGACCAACGTGTCATCTCTAATGAGCAAGGTGAGGAGTTGTCAAGAAAGTTTGGTGGATGTGTATTTTTGGAGGCATCAGCCAAGAACAAGATCAACGTCGAACAAATTTTCTATGATTTAATCCGTCAAATCAATCGTAAAAACCCAGTCGGTCCATCATCTAAACCAAAATCCAAATGTGTCTTATTGTAAACATCAACTACTTAATCATCGTCACCAACAACAAACAAACAACATCAAAACAACCACACCAATCATAATCATAACACCACCTTTAAATTTTAAACCATCCGCTCAAATCTCCGTTGTTCAAACAAACTTAAGAAGAAAAGCAAAAAAAAAAATTCAAAAAAAAAACTAAAAAAAAAAAAAAAAACTAAACGATATGTACCTTTAATTCTTAAAAGAAATAAATGATAAATTTCTTATTTTTTTTTAAAATTCAATCAATTAATTGTTTTATAATTTGGTTACTTTTTTTATTGCAAAAATATCTTTGATTGGGTTGTTGTTGTCCAATCAATTATCTGAAAATGAGATGCAATTTTTTGATCAGTAAAAAAGATCTTATTTATTAGTTTAAACAACACAATAATTATTGTGTTGCGATTGCTTGCGGATCTAATCAAAGAGTGATAGATTTATTTATTTTGTTGGTAGTTACATTGGAGCAGTACTGTATTATTGTGGTCTCATTACAATTGTGACCATCGATTATTATTGTGAATCTTGGTTGATCGAGCCAAATGATTTAAATATTATAATAATAAGTAGATATGAATTCCTCTACTTTGTGAAATTTTAATTGTTGATTTGATTTGATTTGTTGTATACTATTATTTCCTCTTGTGTGTATATGTAGAGTGGCTATCTATCGCGGTCATCTATTATTTCTTTAATCCTTCGAGTGGACTACTAAACAATGAATTGTTACTACTATTATTATTTTGATTATCTTTAGTTGGTGCACCAACCTCCGAAGGTGTGGTTACGATAGAAGCACCTGCTGGAAGTACAGCATCTGAATATTGAGCCAAAAACTTTTGTTTCTCATCTTCCTTTTCTTGTTGACCGAAATACCACGCAGATGCAAAAACTGCTGCAAATGCTACATAGTTAAATCTCTGAAAGTTTTTCATGTATCTCAACATTCTACTTCTTGTAAACTTTATCATTTTCTACTTTAGTTGTTTTCTATGTATATTATATAGATACGATAGTATAATAATAATTAATCTAATTGACTTTTGTTTTATGACAATGACAAAGTATAGATTACGTTTTTTTTTTGTTTTTTTTAATGCAAAAAATTTTAATCATTTTCATTTTTTTTTTCTGATTGATTTTTTCCTTCTTTGATCAATTTCAAAACAACCGATTGATTTACTTACCTTTCGTTATAATATTTTATTATATATTAATATATTAAAGTTTGTCACAAAGCAATAAAAGATGGTAGTTAAACCACAAGATCGTGATGATAATCCATTCAAGCTTTCACCAAGATTCAAAAACAAGACAATCGTAACAAAGAGAGAACCAAGACATTGTTTTGATTTCGTCGAGGTCTATGCTTATTGTCTAAATGTTAATGATTTCGAAATTAGCAAATGTGCAAATCAACTTAAGGAATTAGAGAAATGTAATAAAGATATGGTAAGTATCCGAGATAGTTTCGATTATTATGATCATTTTACCATAATCATGATCACATAATTAACTAACACTCGTAAATCAACTATAAAAACAATTTACATAATAGACACAACCAAGACGTGAATCATCTTTCAACTATCATTTGCAAAGAGTTATCAAGAACAAATACAGAATCCCAATTTAAACGAAAACAACGACAACACTTAATAATAGATATTTTAAAATAAACAACAAGAAAATAATATAACATGTAAAAGATATGATTTCGATCAGTATGTTCTCTCTTTTTTTTTCAGTTTAAAAACAACCAAACAAAGAACAATATTGTTTATAAATCAACAAACAATCAAACAGTTGTATATAATTTTGGCAAACGAAGAAGATATCATTATAATATATATATATATTTTGGATAATACGATTAAATAGCTATTCATTTATTATCAATCAATCATTCATTATGGTTGTAGAGTTAAAATGACAGGATAAAGCATTCTTGAAGTTGGATTCTGAATAAATGCAAAACCGAGTGGAGTAATCGATTTCCTGTTTTTTTTTTTTTTGTTTTGAATTGTAAAGTTAAGAGTTAATTATGATTGATATCTTTGTTTGTTTAGTTGTATGTTCTTTAACTTACTCATATGCTTTAAGATGAATGTTTACAAAAGAGACGGCACTACAATATCCAATACCAGATCCAATACCTCTAACCAAAGATTGCTCACCTTTTACGACGTAACCAATTGGTTTTCTGTTGGTTTCTTTGTAGAATGTCTCTGGGTCACTTGGATGTCCAACATCCAGTTCAATCGAACCATAGTGTTTCTGTGTATATTTATTGTTGAGACGCTCCAAATCAAAATCGGTCGGTGCATAGATGACAGAGTTTGTCATTGGCTTACCACCATCATACATTCTAACTGATACTCTTACCAATCCTCTTGGGTTAGGTTGATTCTGTGTATATGTTTCATATTTATTATCTTAAATAATAAAAATAGTTAATAATTATAATAATAATAATAATGATAGATCTTGGATTAATCTAACTTACTCTTCATTACAGGTTTCTTTATTGGTAAAAGAGACATTGCTAGCTTACCACGATATACAAAAAATGGTAATGATTTATCTTCGATATTATTTGTTGTTGTTGTTGTTGTTGTTGTAGTAGTAGTTGTTGTAGAGGGTGAGGATGTTGTAGTTTCTGTTCTTTGTTTCTTGGAGTTATCGGATGTTTGATTCATATTATTTTTATTGCTATTATTATTATTATTATTATTATTGAAGTGAAGATCGTCACCTTGATATCTAAGAATCCATTGCCAATTCAATTCGAATGGGAAGTAGATACAGTTATTTAAATAGTTGGGTCTTTTACCTTTTGGAGTTCTATTGTATTTAGAAACGGTTTCTTGTGTCATTATCTTATGATATTCACTATTATTATAATGAATCAAATTATTATTATTATAAGTATTACTATTTGAGTATATCGTTGTTATTTGTTAGAGATAGATAGTTAATTACCTATATGAATGTGAGTCGGGGAAATCACCTGGGAAGCTAGGTATACCTTGTTCAAGTAAAAAGGTATCTCTATTCTCGAGAGCGATTGCCCATGCACCAGCATAGATCATCGGTATCCAAAATGAAGTTCCCCATGACTTTGGTACTATGATATCCCAACCTGAACCATAACCTCGACTAAGACCACCATCTCTTTGAATTAAAAGTATAGAAGGTGAACTAAATTGTGTTTTTGACAATGGCTAGAAATCGAAGCGATGTTTATAATATTATATTAGTTTAGTAAATAAAGAAGTTAATAAACAAAAACAAAAATATTTATATTATTATTATTTCGTTTAGTGAAAGTACAATAATAGTTAACATACATTTTTACGTCTTTGATAGATTTGTGAAATAGGTTCAATGTTGGCTGACATTGATTGTCTTGATTCTTTATCTTGTAGTGGTGATATCGCTACTTTGAATTGATTCCAATTCAATATTATATTGTTTAGCTGATCTTGTTGTTGCTGTTGTTGTTGTTGTTGATTGAGTATTGAGGGTTTAGAGACTGATCCAACTGCATGTGCAATCGATGGTGGAACTTTACATATTAAACGTGGATCCATTACATTAAGTGAGAGAACAGTACCGGGTGGTAGTGTAGCTGCGGATCGCAACTGACTCAAAGCATACCATACTTTTGCATTGTCAGAGGTGTAATCCATCAGACCTGTGCTGCTATCGAATGGTTGCAGAACCGCTTGCAGTACAGCATTGCTTTTTGGACCGGTCAACTCGAATCTCTGTAGTTCACCACAGAGAGAGTTCAACTGCAGATTGTATCGTTTCGATTGTTCTTCGAGTACACTCTGTACTGTATCTATCGTTGATGCATGTACCCATATCCATATTTGTGATTGTTTTTTGTTGTTATCATTATTATTATTATAATCTTGTTGTTGTTTCCAAAGGAATTGAATAGGTGAGATCAAATGAAATGGATATCTATTGGGGTAGTATAGCATTGAGTTGCCTTCACGTGAGCCTGTGACATAGAGATTGGCACCGATCGACAGTGAGTCGGGTGGAGTCATTTGTTTCAACATATCGATAATCGATTGTCTTTCACCTATCAGTTCGAAACATCCATTATAAGATGCATCATAAATCGTAGAGAAATGGGAGGATGCTCTAAAAGTTGGTCTAAATGATTTAACATTCAATTTCAATGCCTAAAAAATAATAAAGGATTACGATTAGTTACAATTGTACTAATACTTTCATTATATATCCTATTTTTATAAACCTACGATTCTATGTTTCCATAGATTTATCATATGAGTTCTCTTTGCATGCCAAATATGTGTTTCCAACCATTTGTAGGTTCTCTGTCTACGCTCGTAGTCTCTTAACAAGTAAGATGGTCTTCGCTTTGCTTTTCTAAGTACTTTACCTTTCTTTGTATTGATAACTTGACCTGTTTTATTTGAATTTGCACACTTTTCCATCTATAACAACAATCAACAAATGTAAGCTATTAAAAGTTTGTTAACCAGAAGTAACCTAAAGTTTATTACCTCTTTTCTCGCTCTAAATCTAATGTGTAGTGGTACTCTATATATTCTTGTGCTCATCGTTCTTCTTCTTAGATATCTCGGTAACGATTGAAATGCTCTACTGTTATTCTTTTTTACGATGATGGCACTCATCAATTGTTGTACTTCATTCTTTCTTTCATTTACATATCTAGCTAGTGGAACTCTACCACCTTGTGTCGAACCACTACTGCTACTACTACCACCACTAGTTGTTATATTTCTATTCCTATTATTATTATTATTATAATTATTATTGTTGTTTGGTCGATTCATTATTAATTGATTAACTTTCGATCAAAAATAGATTCGTTCGAACTAGCTTATTAATATTAATTCACACTTAAACGAAGAAATTCAACCCCCACATAAAAGCTTTTGCAAAATAAAATTTGCTTTTTTTTCACAAACAGATAATCATTGTTTTGGTCATTTTAAATTATATATTAGTTTACTAAGATAAGAAGAGAGAAAGAGAAGAGAAGATGAAGAGTTATTATTTCGAATCAAATGAACCAGTTTCCGTACAACAATTGAATAACATCAATGTGTTATACTACCCAATGCCAATGCCAGACTACCAAGAGAAACTCGATCAAATCTGTCAAGAAAGAGGTTACAAGAATAGAGATGAAGTAAAGCTTAATGAAAACACCGAGAATCTAGATGCTAAATTAAAGATTTTCTTTGAAGAGTATGTAGATTCATTCTTTTAAGATGCATATTTATAAACATTTGATATATTAACAAAGTTATTATTCATTAAAAACAATACAAAATAAAAACAAAAAGACATTTACATGATGATGAGGAAATTAGATTCATCTTGGAGGGAAGTGGTTTCTTTGATGTACGTGATGCCAACGATCAATGGATTAGAATTCGTGTTGAAAAAGGTGATTTAATTATTGTTGTATGTATTGGATCTAATAATTATCATATCATATAATATAATGTTACTAAATTACTTTGATGCTTTATCGTTATCATTATCATTAGCCTGCCAACATGTATCATAGATTCACATTGACAGAAACTAAGCAAATTCATGCTTGCAGATTATTTACTGATGCTCCAAAATGGGTACCAATCAACAGACATCAGCAATAATAATAATAATAATAACAAGATAACTATCTGAATGGCTCAATGCATTAGATAGATAGATAGATATTCATTATTGTTTATTATATATTTATAAAGAATGTTATTTATTAAAATACATTGTATATATGGAATTAAAGAGATCTGGATTTAATAGTTTGGTTGTCTTTGATTTTGTATGTACAGGTTGTAGTTTGCTTGTGATCTGGTTGCCAATCTCTTGGTTCACTTTAGAGAGGGTATGTATCGATTTGAATTTGTTGATGAGCAAGTTAACTCTCTCGGTGTTTGGCGTTGCCACCTTGAAGCAGTAGTGATCGAATACAGTGAAGAGCGTCTGCTGATGAAATTCAAAGAATGTCTTATCTATGGCTATCAGTGATTTCAACAGATCATCATTACATGCCAAATTGAATTGTGCTCTAACTTTGTTATCTTTTTTTAAAAGATCGATTAACATTTTTGAATTAACTGATTGTTGTGGTTGTTGTTGTTGTTGTTTATTATTCTTTTGTTGTTGTTGTTGATTTGATGATGATGATGACGATGATGTTGTTATTACAATATATAATATCCATAGATAAAGATTATAGTTTGATTCTTTCTTGAGCAGTTCCGATAGTAATTCAATTTGTTTTACCGAGTTGTTATAAGGTTCTTTGTTAAGTTTGGACAGTATCAATCTAGCACATGCTTTTCTTTCACAATGATAACTATCACCAAGTATATCTATTGTATAATAACTACTACTATCATATTCCTCAGTAGTAATGGCCATTTTTTTATAGCTATCTAACAGTATCTTTTTATAATTATTTAAATTTGTCATACTCATCAATTTCTAGAAAAGAAATATAAAAATAGATTAGATAAAGTATTAAATGGAAATCTATCTAAATCAATCATGATTATACAAACATTTATAGAATTATCATTTATATATTTTTTATTTTTAATCATATAAGTAAGGAATAAAGAGAGACGATATTCATCAATCATATTGTTATCTAACCATATTCTAAAGAGTACATTGTCAATAGAGAATAGGTCGCTCACCTCCAATTGAACGGGCGATAACATTCCTCTCTTCTTTGACTCTGTCTCTATCATATCGTTTAGAGTAGAGCAATAGTATTGGTTATAAGTTAGTGCTTCTTCACCACCTGACTTATCAACAAACTACAGTAGTAGGTAGAGATTCTTATTTTAGTATACTAGCGCCGTTGCTATGACGAACGAATTGCATCAAAACCTAATGCTATAGCAACGTCGTTTTGACAAAACTCAAAGTGTTACATACATTTTCAATATAACCTGACCATTTCATTAGATTCTCTACATAGTTCTCTGAAAGCATATAGGATTTGCTTTTACAATCAAGCAAAACATCAATAAATTCATGCAACACTTTCGGGTCGACTAGGTTGATCTGAGTGGAGTCTGAACACAAATCCTCCCCAACACGATGTCGAGGTTGTTGATTATCATCTAAATCAAACGATAGATTATCTAAATCGTTCATTGTTTTGGATATTAATTGTTTACAAAAAAAAAATAAAAAATTATTAATATTATTTTTCAAGTGTTGCACATTTTTATGTTTTTTTTTTTTTTTTTTTGAATTCATTTTTTGTCGACTCGATTCCGTGCAAGTGCATCCTTTTTTGGGTTTTTGATAATTAATTGTGGGTAAAAAGAGTAACCACAAGCACCACACCACAAAATTGATAAAATTAATGAATCAGATGTGGTCTGAAATCTTAAAAACAAACTAAACGAAATGGTTGATCAAATTTCTCAAAGTAAATCAAAATCAAGTAATAAAGATCTATTATTTTAATTGATTGAATTATTCAAGATTGATCTGACTATTGGGCACATTATTTGAAAAAAATATATATCCGTTCGATTGTACAAAATTCGAGTATTTTTGATTCGTTTTAGGACTTGAATTTATAATATCTAATTTTTGCTACATTTTAGTTTTGGGGCAAATTAATTTTAAAATCTATAAATACCAGAAGAAAAGGACAATTTCAAATCACAAAAATCAAATACTTAACAATCAATCAAATATTAAAACAAACAAATTATTATTTTATTAACATATTATCTCTATTTTATCAATTCAATAACAAAAAAACAATGGATCCAGTTTCAAAAAAATTAAATATTCCACAAATCAGTGGACATATTGAAGATTCAGTAACTCCATCAACCAACAGTAAGAAATTCAGATTCGTTGAAGTTCCAGATTATCTTGGAAATGGTCAAATCCATATCAAAACCAGAGGATATGCCAAACCAGAAAATCATAGCATCCTACTCTATTGTTTACCAGATAATCATGATACTGTTATGACTTTGAACTTCACAACTGCCATTCAATGTACAAGTGCTCGTCATTACACTTATACTCCAACTCAAACTGAATGTGCTGCATATTATGCAATCTATGTTTCAAATCAAACCAGTTATCCATCAACATTACCTGCTGGTGATATCTTAACCATTCCAGGTTATATCACTTTTACTGCTGGTAAGTTTTAAAAATATATTAAATTTAAAATATAAAATCAATACTAATTTCTATTATTTAATATTTAGCTGGACCATACACACCAGATTCAGTGATTGATTCAATCAATACCGGAGTTAATGCTTGGGTTACAGCTCAACAACAAAATAGTCTCACAAGATTGACAGCAGGTGAAGATCCACAACTTCCATCACTCAGTCAAACAATCTCTGAATTGCATGATTATGGTGTTCCACAAGGTTTCTTCACAACCGATGTCACCAATAACATTCAAATTCTATTGAATCAATACAGTGATTCATTCAATCAATTGAAAGAAGCAATCAAATCAAAAGGACCAAATGCAATCGTATCAGCCAAACATGATGTTGCACTTGGATGGGGATGTTGGTGGTGTCAAGTTGGATTTGGAATCATCATCACTCTCTTGACTTGTGCAATAACCGTTGCATTGATTGCATTGATTCCAACAGGTGCTGGTGCTGCTGCTATCGGTGGTATTGCTGCATATTTAGTGACTTGGTTCGATATCACTGCTGCTGTTGCTTCAACCGTTGCCGCTGGTCTTATTAAAACCATTGGTACTGTTGCTTCAGTATCTATAGCTACCATCTTACTCAATTTACCAACACTCATCTGTGAAGCCATCGGAACTTGTAGCAGCAGTTAAATCTTCAAATTTAACTAATCTTTATTGTATTTAAATTTAATTCATCAATCTTTAAATAAAAAAATTTTACAAGAATTATTTAGCAATGATTCAATTCAACCAACTTCTTCTTAAATAATATAGTAGTTTTCGAAAACAAAGGGTGTTTAAAACAATAATAATGTTTATGTTTTTACATGTAGATGTCAGAGGAAGGTAATAAATGTAATAGATTTTATTTTTTTATTTTCATTATTTACATAATTAATTAATTTTCTATTTAAATGGTTTTTGATTTTTATTTAACATAATAGTTTTGGATCTTGTTCTATTAATTTAGTAATACATTTTAATTACTATAACAAGATCTTCCATTTCTGTTAGCATGGTGAAATATTTGTCTACGGACTTTTTGTTGTCTAAACCTAGGATATTTTAGCGAGTTAGTATGTTGTTTATTAATGACTCTCAAGAACTATAGCTCGGTAATATTGTAACAGGGTGAAAAGTGAATGAAAACACACTTTTGGAAGCTCAAATACATAAATCTTCTTTGTTAAGTTTCTTGAAAAAACCAATGGAACTCCAATTTTAAACAAAATAAGATCGATATTGATATAAATTTAAAAAACAAGTTTCTTGTATATAGTTGAGTTAGAAAAAGATAAAAAAAATGATTTTTATAAAATGAACATAGTTAACCTAAAAAAATAGTTTATTTATTCTCTTGGTCGTTTTGTTCTAAATTGTCTTGCTTTTTGAAGGAGCTGTCTTCTTGATATTTGTTCCCCATCTGGAAAGTGTATAGTATATTTGTTGTTCAGAAGAGTTAATCCAATTTCTTTGTATATCGATGATCGTGTGTGATCTAATTTGAGTGCTTCAAACAATAGCTGCTGTTTTGTCATTGATTGTCCATTGTGTAACGTGATTGAAGTACCACTTGAGAGTATTATTGCAAGATCAAAATAAGATTTGGCATAAGTTGGATCATATTCTATTGCGAGCAACAATAGTTGTTTTCTATTCATTGATCGTCCATTATTCAAAATGATTGATTCGTTATGTGAGAGTGTATCTGCAAGGTTATGATATGAACGTGAAAGTTTTGGATCACATTCTATTGTTTTCAAGTATAATTGTTGTTCTGTCATTGATTGTCCATTGTTGAGTGTGATTGATCCACCACTTGAAAGAGTCGCCGCAAGGTTAAAATATGAATTTGCATGACTTGGATCATACTCAATTGCTTTAAGGTATAATTGTTGTTTTGTCATGGTTTGTCCAGTGTGTAACTTAATTGATTTTCTTTTTGTAAGAGTTAATGCAAGTCTATAGTATAGTCTGGAATTAGTTGGCTTATACTCTATTGCTTTCAATAGTAATTGTTGTTTTGTCATTGATTGTCCATTGTTGAGTGTTATTGATTCACCATTTGAAAGAGTCACCGCAAGGTTATTATATGTATCTGAATGTGTTGGAATATGCTCAATTGCTTTCAAGAATAATTGTTGTTGAGTCATTGATAGTCCATTATTGAGTGTGACTGATTGGTTTTTTGAAAGTGTTGATGCAAGTCTATAATATAATTTGGAATTGGTTGGATCATACTCTATTGCTTTCAATAATAATTGTTGTTTTGTGATTGGTTGTCCATTGTGCAATTTGATTGAATCACTCCTTGTAAGTGTCGATGCAAGATTATCATATGAATCTGAATATGTTTGATCATACTCTATTGCTTTCAAATATAATTGTTGTTTTGTCATTGATTGTCCATTGTGTAATGTAATATGTTCGACAGTTGTAAGTGTCGATGCAAGATTATCATATGAATCTGGACAAGTTGGATCATACTCTATTGCTTTCAAATATAATTGTTGTTTTGTCATTGGTTGTCCATTATTGAGTGTGATTGCTTGACCATTTGTAAGGGTAAATGCAAGGTTATGATATGAATCTGGATAAGTTGGATCACACTCTATTGCCTTCAAGTATAATTTTTGTTCTGTCATTGATTCACCTGATTGAAGTACGATAGACGCTCGATTCTCATCTGAAATAACTATTGCCAGTTTGTAATAAGCATTGGCAAAATTTGGATCCAGAGAGATGACTTTCAATAGGAGTTTTTCTTTGGTCATTGATTCACCTGATAGATGTGTGATTACTACTTGATCATTATGATCTAGTGTCATTGCAAGTTGGAAGAGTGCTTCTATATCATTTGGATTGATATTGATTGCACTAAGATATCTCTCTTTTTCATTTTCCATATTTATTATAATAAAGTATAAAGAAGATTAAATAGTTTTTAAAAAAAAAAGAATATCAATTTATTTCATTCTTTGGGAAGGATCCAAAAGTAACTGATTATCAAAAAAAAAAAAATCACAAAACAAAACTTTCTTGTAACCACGAATAAAATAACAAAAACCACATACCATTTTTACTTGTATGATATACAAAACTAATTTAATGAATGGAGTCATCTATTTATCTCACAAACTAAATTTTTACTTATGAAAGTCCAGAGCATAATTTTACCTATCAGATAGTATGTTATTAATGCACATGATTGATGTGCTCATTTGTTTTACTATACATAAAAATCAATATAAAGAGCATCATGGTCAATGTGATCATATAAACAAAATCAAATGAGATATTAATAGTTATCTATCTAATAATAATAATAATAATAATAATAATAATAATAATACTAATAATACTGATTTGATATTAATGATATATTTATAAAAGAATAAAACTGATTCAATCATTGACATCGAAAGAATCAAAATTGATTACATAAATTTAAAATATATATTTTTTGTTGACTCCATTTTGTGCAAGTTCACTTTTTTTTTTTTTTAGAATTGTTTGTGGGTAAAAGGTAACCACAAGCACAACACACCGCACCACAAAATCGAGTCGATTAATTAATGAATCAGATTTGGTCTGAAACCAAAAAAAATAAAATTAAAAATAATAAAAATCAATTTGTTTAATTTTCAATCAAATAACAAAGATCTATTATTTGAATAGTTTGAATTATTCAAGATTGATCTAACTATTGGTCTTTTATTTGAAAAAATAAACTATCTGTTCTAAAATCGATAATCAATATTATGATTTTCCATAGTTTTTTGGACTTGAATTAATAATTTCAACATATCTTTGTTTTGGGGCAAATTAATTTTAAAATCTATAAATACCAGAAGAAAAGGACAATTTCAAATCATAAAAATCAAATTTAACAATCAATCAAATATTAAAACAAACAGATTATTATTAACATATTATCTCTATTTTATCAATTAAATTAACAACAAAAAAACAATGGATCCAGTTTCAAAAAAATTAAATATTCCGCAAATCAGTGGACATATTGAAGATTCAGTAACTCCATCAACCAACAGTAAGAAATTCAGATTCGTTGAAGTTCCAGATTATCTTGGAAATGGTCAAATCCATATCAAAACCAGAGGATATGCCAAGCCAGAAAATCATAGTATCTTACTCTATTGTTTACCAGACAATCATGATACTGTTATGACTTTGAACTTCACAACTGCCATTCAATGTACAAGTGCTCGTCATTACACTTATACTCCAACTCAAACTGAATGTGCTGCATATTATGCAATCTATGTTTCAAATCAAACCAGTTATCCATCAACATTACCTGCTGGTGATATCTTAACCATTCCAGGTTATATCACTTTTACTGCTGGTAAGTTTTAAAAATATATTAAATTTAAAATATAAAATCAATACTAATTTCCATTATTTAATATTTAGCTGGACCATACACACCAGATTCAGTGATTGATTCAATCAATACCGGAGTTAATGCTTGGGTTACAGCTCAACAACAAAATAGTCTCGCAAGATTAACAGCAGGTGAAGATCCACAACTTCCATCACTCAGTCAAACAATCTCTGAATTGCATGATTATGGTGTTCCACAAGGTTTCTTCACAACCGATGTCACCAATAACATTCAAATTCTATTGAATCAATACAGTGATTCATTCAATCAATTGAAAGAAGCAATCAAATCAAAAGGACCAAATGCAATCGTATCAGCCAAACATGATGTTGCACTTGGATGGGGATGTTGGTGGTGTCAAGTTGGATTTGGAATCATCATCACTCTCTTGACTTGTGCAATAACCGTTGCATTGATTGCATTGATTCCAACAGGTGCTGGTGCTGCTGCTATCGGTGGTATTGCTGCATATTTAGTGACTTGGTTCGATATCACTGCTGCTGTTGCTTCAACCGTTGCCGCTGGTCTTATTAAAACCATTGGTACTGTTGCTTCAGTTTCGATTGCAACCATCTTACTCAATTTACCAACACTCATCTGTGAAGCCATTGGAACTTGCAGCAGCAGTTAAATCTTCAAATTTAACTAATCTTTATTGTACATAAATTTAATTCATCAATCTTTAAATAAAAAAATTTTACAAGAATTATTTAGCAATGATTCAATTCAACTATCTTAAATAAATAGTTTTCGAAACAAGGGGTGAAAAGTGTATGTATAAAAACACACTTTTTAAACCTCATAAAGTGTTTTTGATCAAGTTTCATAAATTTATTTGTCTATAAAAAAGAAAAAGATAAAAAAAATGATATTTATATAAAATGAACATAGTTAGCCAAAAAAAATTATTTTGTTTATTCTCTTGGTCGTTTTGTTTTAAATTGTCTTGCTTTCTGAAGGAGCTGTCTTCTTGACATATGTTCGCCATCTGGAAGTGTAATAGTATATTTGTTGTTCAAAAGAGTTAATCCAATTTCTTTGTAAATCAATGATCTTGTCTCATCTAATCTGAGTGCTTCAAACAATAGCTGCTGTTTTGTCATTGATTGTCCATTGTGTAGTGTGATTGAAGTACCACTTGAGAGTATTATTGCAAGATCAAAATAAGATTTGGCATAAGTTGGATCATATTCTATTGCGAGCAACAATAGTTGTTTTCTATTCATTGATCGTCCATTATTCAAAATGATTGATTCGTTATGTGAGAGTGTATCTGCAAGGTTATGATATGGATGTGAAAGTTTTGGATCACACTCTATTGTTTTCAAGTATAATTGTTGTTCTGTCATTGATTGTCCATTATTGAGTGTGATTGATCCACCACTTGAAAGAGTCGCCGCAAGATTATTATATGAATTTGCATGACTTGGATCATACTCAATTGCTTTCAGGTATAATTGCTTTTGTGTCATTGATTGTCCAGTGTGTAACTTAATTGATTTTCTTTTTGTAAGAGTTAATGCAAGTCTATAGTATAGTCTGGAATTAGTTGGCTTATACTCTATTGCTTTCAATAGTAATTGTTGTTTTGTCATTGATTGTCCATTGTTGAGTGTTATTGATTCATCATTTGAAAGAGTCGCAGCAAGGTTATTATATGTATCTGAATGTGTTGGAATATGCTCAATTGCTTTTCAAGTAGAGTTGTTGTTGAGTCATTGATAGTCCATTATTGAGTGTGATTGATTGGTTTTTTGAAAGTGTTGATGCAAGTCTATAATATAATTTGGAATTGGTTGGCTTATACTTCCATTGACTTCAAGAGTAATTGTTGTTTTGTCATTAATTGTCCATTGGGTAATGTAATTGGTTCGCCATTTCTAAGAGTAATAGAAAGGTTATAATATGAATATGAATATGTTGGATCATACTCTATTGCTTTCAATAATAATTGTTGTTTTGTGATTGGTTGTCCATTGTGCAATTTGATTGAATCACTCCTTGTAAGTGTCGATGCAAGGTTAAAATAGGAATCTGAATATGTTTGATCATACTCTATTGCTTTCAAATATAATTGTTGTTTTGTCATTGATTGTCCATTGTGTAATGTAATATGTTCGACAGTTGTAAGTGTCGATGCAAGATTATCATATGAATCTGGACAAGTTGGATCATACTCTATTGCTTTCAATAATAATCGTTTTTGTGTCATTGGTTGTCCATTATTGAGTGTGATAGCTTGACCACTTGTAAGAGTTAATGCAAGGTTATGATATGAATCTGGATAAGTTGGATCACACTCTATTGCCTTCAAGTATAATTGTTGTTCTGTCATTGATTCACCTGATGGAAGTACGATAGACGCTCGATTCTCATCTGAAATAACTATTGCCAGCTTGTGATAAGCATTGGCAAAATTTGGATCCAGAGAGATGACTTTCAATAAGAATTGTTCTTTGGTCATTGATTCACCTGATAGAAGTGTGATTGCTTGTTGATCAATAGGATCAAGTGTCATTGCAAGTTGGACGAGTGCATCTTTATCATTTGGATTGATATTGATTGCATTAAGATATGTCTGTTTTTCATTTTCCATATTTATTGCATTATAGTATAAAGAAGATTAAATTGTTGGTTAAAAAAAAAAAAAATATCAATTTATTTCATTCTTTGGGAAAAAAAAATTAGAGGACCCTCTAATTCCACTAAAAAAAAAAAAAAAAAAAAAAAAAAAGTAATAATGGTCGTTCGTTTCTAGACCTTTTTTACTTTTATGAGAATCATCTGTTTATCTCAACTCAAACTTAACTTTTACTTATTGTGGTTTTTGCCTATCAGATAGTATCTTATCAATGCACAAAATTAACTCTACATAATAATCAATATAAAGAAAATCATGGTATGTGATCATATAAACAAAATCAGATCAGATATTAATAGTTATCTATCTAATAATAATAATAATAATAATAATAATAATAATAATAATAATAATAATAATAATAATAATACTGATATTAATGATATATAAATATTTTAGTCAATAATAACTATTGTAGATCATTGCAAAAGAAAACACGATTTTTTTAAAACTTCAAATTCTTTTTTTGTTTTTTTTTTTGTTGACTCGATTTTGTGCAAGTTCACCTTTTTTTTTTTTTAAAAATTGTTTGGGGAAAACTCAAGCACCCCACACACCTAACAAAATTGAGTCGATTAATTAAAGAATCAGATTTGGTCTGAAACCAAAAATATAATTAAAAATAATAATAATCAATTTGTTTAATTTTCAATCAAATAACAAAGATCTATTATTTGAAAAATTATTCAAGATTGATCTGACTATTGGGCTTTTATTTGAAAAAATAAACTATCTGTTCTAAAAACGACAATCAATATATGATTTTCCATAGTTTTTTGGACTTGAATTAATAATTTCAACTTATCTTTGTTTTGGGGCAAATTATTTGAGAATCTATAAATATCAGAAGTCAAGGACAATTCCAAATCACAAAAATCAAATACTTAACAATCAATCAAATATTAAAACAAACCAATTATTATTAACATATTATCTCTATTTTATCAATAAAATTATTAACAAAAACAATGGATCCAGTTTCGAAAAAATTAAATATTCCACAAATCAATGGACATATTGAAGATTCAGTAACTCCATCAACCAACAGTAAGAAATTCAGATTCGTTGAAGTTCCAGATTATCTTGGAAATGGTCAAATCCATATCAAAACCAGAGGTTATGCCAAACCACAAAACCACAGTATCTTACTCTATTGTTTACCAGACAATCATGATACTGTTATGACTTTGAACTTCACGACCGCCATTCAATGTACAAGTGCTCGTCATTACACTTATACTCCAACTCAAACTGAATGTGCTGCATATTATGCAATCTATGTTTCAAACCAAACCAGTTATCCATCAACATTACCTGCTGGTGATATCTTAACCATTCCAGGTTATATCACTTTTACTGCTGGTAAGTTTTAAAAATATTTTTAATTTAAAATATAAAATCAATACTAATTTCCATTATTTAATATTTAGCTGGACCATACACACCAGATTCAGTGATTGATTCAATCAATACCGGAGTTAATGCTTGGGTTACAGCTCAACAACAAAATAGTCTCGCAAGATTAACAGCAGGTGAAGATCCACAACTTCCATCACTCAGTCAAACAATCTCTGAATTGCATGATTATGGTGTTCCACAAGGTTTCTTCACAACCGATGTCACCAATAACATTCAGATTCTATTGAATCAATACAGTGATTCATTCAATCAATTGAAAGAAGCAATCAAATCAAAAGGACCAAATGCAATCGTATCAGCCAAACATGATGTTGCACTTGGATGGGGATGTTGGTGGTGTCAAGTTGGATTTGGAATCATCATCACTCTCTTGACTTGTGCGATAACCGTTGCATTGATTGCATTGATTCCAACAGGTGCTGGTGCTGCTGCTATCGGTGGTATTGCTGCATATTTAGTGACTTGGTTCGATATCACTGCTGCTGTTGCTTCAACTGTTGCCGCTGGTCTTATTAAAACCATTGGTACTGTTGCTTCAGTATCTATAGCTACCATCTTACTCAATTTACCAACACTCATCTGTGAAGCCATCGGAACTTGCAGCAGCAGTTAAATCTTTATGATTATAACTAATCTTTAATTATTATTGTATATATCTTTAATTCACCAACCTTAAAATAAAAACAAATTGAATTCCTTTCAATTCAAAGTTGTCAGTCTAACTTTATTTATTATGATTTTTTTTAATGATTTTGAAGTTTAATAAACCAATGGATAATAAACAAAATTAAAACATAAACAATTGCTTTTATTAATTTATTCTCTTGGTAGATTTATTCTAAATTGTCTTGCTTTTTGAAGGAGTTGTCTCCTTGACAATTTCTCACCATCTGGAAGTGTAATAGTTTGTTTGTTGTTCAGAAGAGATAATCCAATTTCTTTGTAAACCGATGATCGTGTGTGGTCAGATTTGAATGCTTCAAACAATAATTGTTGTTTTGTCATTGATTCTCCATTGTGTAATGTGATTGATATGTAATTTGAAAGTGTTAATGCAAGTCTAAAGTATAATCTAGAATTAGTCGGATCACACTCTATAGCTTTCAATAATAGTTGTCTCTTGGTCATCGATTGTCCATTGTGTAGCGTAATTGTCGCACCATCTGAAAGTGAATTTGCAAGGATATAATATGAATGTGAATCGGTTGGGTTGTATTCTATTGCCTTCACACAAAGTTGTTGCTTGTTCAGTTTTTGTCCATTATGTAGTTTGATTGATTCACCTCTTTTAAGAATTAATGCTAGATTAAAGAATGATTTAGAGTTGGTTGGATTACACTCTATTGCTTTCAAGAATAATTTTTGTTTTGTCATTGATTGTCCTTTCGGGAGTGTAATTGTTGCACCTCTTGGAAGAGTAAGTGCAAGGTTATGATAAGCACTGGTATAAGTTGGATCACACTCTATTGCCTTCAAGTATAATTGTTGCTCTGTCATTGATTGACCTGATGGGAGTATGATCGACTCTCGATTCTCATCTGAAATAACGATTGCCAACCCGAAATAAGAATTGGCAAAGTTTGGATCCAGAAGGATGACTTTCAATAAGAGTTGCTCTTTCGTTATTGATTCACCTGATAGAAGTGTGATTGCTTCTTGATCATTATGATTAAGTGCCGCTGCAAGTTGGAAGAGTGCATCTTTATCATTTGGATTGATATTGATTGCATTAAGATATCTCTGTTTTTGATCATCCATATTGATTGTATAATAGATAAACCTGCGGTTGGTTTTTAAATGAAATAAAGAAGAAATAGGATTGACTAGATATTCACAATATCAATAGATAACATTTTTTGAACAAAATCAGGAGAATTTGAATTCATGTTTTTTCTATTTCGACTTTATTTTTTTATTTTTTTTATTATTATCCTTTATATCATTATTTATTTGAAATTTTTTTATTCTATTAAATATAAATTAAATTGATTTAATTTTAAAGAATGAAAAAATTTTCATTTTATTTTATTGTCTTCTTGACATTTGTTAACCATTTGGAAGTGTTGTAGTTTTGTTATTGTATTCTTTTTATTTCTAAAAAATCTATAAAATCAATATATATTTATTTTTATTCCAAAAATAAACCATAAAAAAAACAAAATAAACAGACCAAAATAATATAATATATTATTAATTTTAACATTTTCCTTTTTTAGAATTTTGTTTCAATTTTTCTCTTTAAAAAAATATCAAAATTTTTAACCTTAAAAAAGGGGGTAATATTAATTAATCAATCTTATTGATTTTATTTTAATCACAATGTTTATAATAGTAATAATAACTATAATAGTAATAATAACTATAAATCATTTTATATTTAAAAAACGTAACAACAACAACTACAGCAATAATAATAATAATAGTCTAAAAAGCAATATAACATTAAATTCAAATTTTAATACAAAAAATGACAATGAGACATTGCTAAAAGAAATTAATAATAATAATAATAATGATAATGATAGTGACAGAGTTATATCGGTTCAACAAAATCAATATTCACATCAAAGAATTTCTGAATTTGAAAAACAACAACAATCATTTTTGAATCAATATTCTGATTCATATGGTTATAATCAAAGAATAGATCATATTAGAAACAATGATTTCTCAGTATTAAATGGTAAAGTAACAACACAAAGTACTAGTAAAAAAACAAAACCATTTAAATTTTAACAAATCTTATTTTACAAATTCCTTTGCTATATATATTATAGATTGTTGTTATTTAGATCATACTGCTTCTACTATTCCATCGAGTGTACAGCTTGACTTGGTCAATCAGGATTTGAAATCGACAATCTATGCTAATCCACATAGTCTGAATCCGATTGGTTTGAAGACAACGGAATCGATAGACCAAGCTCGTGAGAGAATACTCCAGTTGTTCTCTGCACCCTATAGACAATACACTGTTGTATTCACATCGGGTTGTACCGACGCCTTGAAGAAGGTAGGCGAGTACTTCCCGTGGCAGTCGAAACACTCGACTTTCTTCTACTCTACAGAGGCACACAACTCACTGCTTGGCATCAGAGAGTATGCCGCAGAACGAGGCTCAAAATTCCGACCAATACAATCAGCATTCTTCAAACAATCAAACAACTCCCATTTCAATGACATCGTCAATGTCATTCAACGTGAGGTGCAACCAAACGATGGTTCCTACAGTCTACTGGCTTTCCCTGCACAATGCAACTACAACGGATCCAAATACAATTTAGAAGTGATCAAGATATTAAAACAGAAATTCAAGTATGTAAAATACAACAAAAATAGTTTCAACACAATCAAGTTAGATCTAACATAAAAGTTTAAAGAAATTTAAAGATATTATTAGATGTAGCTAGTTTTGTACCGACTTCACCATTTGACTTGTCGGAATATCCAGCAGATTTCATTGCACTTTCATTTTATAAGATGTTTGGATATCCAACCGGTTTAGGTGCTTTAATTATAAAGAATGGTAAAGTTTTGTTACTTTAACAACAACATTTAATAGTGATGTTTTTCTAATTCGTTCCGTTTATATGTATCTATAGATTGCTTTCCATTATTAAACAAAGTATATTTTGGTGGTGGAACAGTTAATGCATCACTCTCATATGAGAGATTTCATGTTTTTAGAGATGTATTGCATCAAAAGTTTGAAGATGGTACACTACCTTATCAATCGATAGTCTCGTTGAAATATGGGCTGGATATACTCGATGGATTGGGAATGGAGAATATAAAGAAACATACATTTTCGTTGATTCAATATCTAAGAGATAAAATGGTGGAACTAAAGCATAGTAATGGTTCACCTTTATTGGTCATCTACGCCGATAATCATTATATCGACTCGAATAGACAGGGTGCCATTATCAATTTCAACGTATTGAAAACCAATGGACAACCAGTTGGATTCAACGAAGTAGAGAAGCTGGCATCACTTTGTAATATACACCTAAGAATAGGATGTTTCTGTAATCCTGGTGCATGTCACAGCTATCTATCTTTGACAAGAGACGACGTTGAGAAACATCTAAAAGATGGACACGTCTGTTGGGATGACAAAGATATAATCGATGGTAAACTAACTGGTTCCATAAGAGTTTCACTTGGTTATATGTCAAATTTTAAAGATATTTTTGTAATTATTTAAACAATTTTTAACTATTACCAAACACAAATTTTTAGTTACTAATCATATATATTCTGTGAAACAAACAAAACAGACATTTATAGAATTTTTAAAAGATAATTTTATTGATGAAAATCATTCACAACTAAGTTCTCCATGTGTCTCATCATCGATAAATGGACAAGCAGATCGTGGCGATATCTATCTCTCGGAGATCAATGTTTATCCTGTGAAGTCATTTGGTGCGTTCACCGTTGATGAATGGGAGATTGGTCCATCTGGTCTGCTCTATGATAGAGAGTGGACTCTTATCGACCAGAACGGTGTATATATCAATCAAAAGAAACTACCTGTTTTAAGTTTAATTTCAACACATATCGATCTACAAGATCGGGTTTTGAAACTTAAGGCTCCAGAGATGCCAGAGTTGGTATTGCCACTCGACTACTATCCAAGATCATCGATGGATGTAATTCAGGTGTGTGGTGACAGCGTCGAGGGTCTTCTCTATGGAAAAGATGACTTGGAAACAGTTGGCGATGTCAGCAACTGGATGTATACATTCACAGGCAAACAATGCCATTTGGTGCGAAAGAACCCTGATAGTCATAGAAAGTCGAGGATGGCAGTGAAGCACAATAACAACGACTCCACCACCAGCACCACGACAACCACCGAAGCATCGAAAGGAACTAGAGGCGAAGAGATATCATTTGCAAATGAATCACCGTTTTTGATGATAAGTGAATCCAGTGTTAAAGATCTAAGAGATCGTGTCGTATCAAGAAATCAAAGTAACAGTCTAGCCAACGAATGGAACTGGATCACAACCAGTAGCTTCAGAGCAAACTTTGTAATTAAAGGTGGATATCCATACGAAGAGGATGGATACGATAGATTTACAATTGGAGAAAATACCTTTCAAACAATTGGATTGTGTAATCGATGTAAAATGATATGTATAAATCAAACAATGGGAATCGAAGAGAAAGAACCATTGGCTACCCTATCTACCTATAGAAGAAATCAAGGTAAAATAGTATTTGGTCAACATCTACAATATGTAGAATCACAAGAAGGCTGTGATGGTACTATTAAAAAATTGATTTCAATTCATTCCAAAGTAGAAAGAATAAATAAGTAAATAGTATATAAATATAAATATAAATATTAAAAGTAAAAGAAATGTTTTATATCTTTTGAGTCTATATCTATAACAATGTTGTTGAATTTATAAATTAATATTATTCAAAAGTTGTAATACATGATTATTTATAAATAAAAAATGAAAAAAAAAAAAACAAAGTTATAATAAAACAATTTATTTTAAATTTTGATATCAAATATGTAAAAATACTATATATATATATAGCTTAATTTATATTATTAACGATCTTTACAAACTAAATTTATACAACCTCTAATACATTCCATTGTAGTTTTACCGTATGAAATTCTCTCACCGTCGACAGCAAGAATTCCTTCTTTGTTCTTTTGATGTCCTGGCTCTAAAACGATTGCTTTAACTTTATACAGATCGATGTAAGGACTGTGAATATGTTTACCTGTTTCGGCATCGGTCAGAATCGATACCAATGCCGCTTTCGATATCTTTGGATTGTATTTGATGACGATCATCTCGATGAAACCATCAGAGTAATGTGCCGATGGCGAAGCGATGAAATCCGCCGATAAATGTGTGACTGTGCTTGCAATGAAACCAATGAATTCACCCTCGATCGTTTTCCACTCTTCGGGGTTGGATTGGGCGAGATTGCCGGTCGGCACCTTGGGAAGTGGCACAACGATCTCGCGGGTCGGGATAGTTCCAGAGGTGTTTAGTGGTGGTGTAGTCGATGTAAGTGGAGGTGTTGATGAACCGTTCTGTTGAGTAGTGGAACCGCTGGTGACTGACGATGCCAACGACGAAGGTGGCGATCCGCTCGGTGAAATAACATCGGAGCTCGAGCTCAGCTGACTTCGTGAGAGGCTTCCGCTGTTGTTTAGGAAATATGAACCACTGTTGGTGAGTGGTGAAGATGGCGCGATGCCATCGGTCGAATTTGAAAGAATATTGTTGATGTGTTGGACGCTGTCTACACTTCTGCAGATGTCGCATGCTGGTCCACACTTTGGAATCTTATTTAGCTCGCTCTTTGGATGATCGACTGCCGGTAGATACGAGATCTTACCTTTGTAGATACGTAGATTTAAAATACGGATCGCTGCGCCAAGCTGTAGACGAATGGGTCCGAGCGAACGGAATCGCTCCGATTCGATGTCGACGTCCGACACCAGACCCCAAGTCAACGAGAGAATGGAACACCATTTCTGCTCGCCTTGCTCGACAATAGAAACATCGAGTGGTCGCGAGTGTCCACGGACACAGGCAAGCGCCGACGACATCGAGTCGGCCCAAACCCAGTGAGCAGGCAATTCCGTTTCCAGTTCCCGCCGGTATAAGACATAATCTAATATTTCTGGCGTCCATCCAGTCGTCACGTGCCAGCAATCCATTGATAAACTCGTGGAACAGACCGTCACCACTGATGAAAACAATGGTGTCGTACTTCTCACGCTTAAATTTGTATCCAATCTGTTTGGCATGCTCCGGACCCTTGGTGACAGTCTTCTTGACCGTCATCTTGGCGTCCTGCTTGAAGAGCAGCTCGACTTTCTTAAAGATCTCCTCTGCCATGCGCTTTCCACTCTTTGGGTTGAGAATGACACGCACTCTTCGTTTGTCGGGTGATCCTCCCGGCATGGCATTCAAAACATGCTCCTGGATGGCGCCGCTAAATTGTTTGGCAAGCTCGAGACTGTCGAAATCGAATGCATAGTCCTTGCGCTTTCTGATCTCTTTGGTGACCTCTGGCGATGTATTGATACAGGCGTGTAGAATCACACGATTCGGGCGATCACTTCCGCCTAAATCGTAACCAACGATCGTATCTGTATTGAGATATTTCGTCAAGCTGTTGCCCTTTTCCTTTGGTGTGAAAACGAGTGCCTCTTGCTTGAGTATCAGAGTGTACTGACGCAGCTTGTAATTGGCATCGAGCTCAACGAGGACAGGCAACGCATTGATCTTCTCTATCCACTCTTTGTTGATCGTGACTGTATCTTTGGTATCGTTGTCCATTCTAACTACAACCTTTGAATCCAGTCTGAATTTGTTGACTTTAACCGTTTTCTACTTTCTTTTTGGGTTTATTGTTTTAATTACAAAGCTAAAACTCCGATAGGGGTTTCACTTCATATAAACAATAAAAAAAAAATTGTGAAAAATTTTAATTTAAATAAAATATGAATGAATTTTAGATTTTTTGAAAAATCTGTAAACTAATAAAATTAATGAAGTGTTTTTTTGTTGTTGCGCTTAGAATTGTTTGAAAAGGAAGTAGTTGTTCTTTTGCTTGCTTATTTTTTTGTTTTCTTTTTCTTTTTGTACTTTTTCTTCTGTTTTTTTTTAAATAAAATTGCTATTATATATATATTTAATTATAAACTAAACTTGTTTGATATTATAATTGTTTGTTTGTTTTTATTAAAGTTATATGTTTTGTGTTATTATTTGTAAAAGTGTGTGTGAGTGTGTGTTGTTTTTATTTAATCTGTTTTCTTGAGTGGGTGTGGAGGTATTTTAAGTAATTTCAATTTGAGTAATACGTATTATTATTATTGTAATACAATGTTAATTTTAACAAATTATATAAATTAATTGTACAATGTCAAGTTGAAATGTAATGTTATACAAAAAATGAAATGTTAATCGTACAATTAATTTATTTAATTTATTGTACAGGTCGGTTAAGAAAAAATCGGATTTTTTTAAAATTCATTTTCCATTTTTTTTTTCATCACCCAGAGTAGAGTTGTCATAGGTTTTTTCAGAAAGAGAAAAAGGAAAAAAAACAGTTTGATTCCATTATGTTGTTTGCTTCTGTTGACTTCCATTTTTGTAGTTGAACTTTTCAATGCGCCAAACCCATCTGCAAAGATCAAACAAAAAAAAAAATCTTATTTATATGTTCACTTATATAAGTTCTTTAATTTTTGAACATTACATTTCATTTTGATTGAACATCTAGTTTAGTAGTTGTTGTTGTACTTTAACCAAACATTATATACAATTATTATATGTGGTAAAAGAAATTCAACTTTATGATTTAATGAGTTTTTTTGTTATATCATTCAATGATATTAGTTTAGTTAAATAATAATAACTAGATCTGATATTTAATTCAGGAATTTCAAAAAAAACAAATTTAAACTTAAACTTTTTTTTTTTTTTTTTTAATTACGATCTTCAGTTGTTTTTGATTTGATCACATTTATTGACAAACATAAGAAAGATGTATATATAATAGAAATGGAGTCATATTTATTTAATAAACAACTGTTTCCACCTACTGGTGTAGAACACTGTATACGAGCTAAACTTATAGATGATAATGCAGTTAATCTAGTCATTGCAAAGACATCGTTATTACAGGTTTATACAATTAGATATGATCGTATAGAACAACAACAACAACAACAGCAACAAACAAATGAACAACAATCACAACAAGACACATTAAAACCATGGTTAGAATTAAATTTAGAGTTACAATTGTTTAGTATTATTGAATCGTTGAATTGCGTTAGATTGCCAGGCGATGACATCGACTCGTTGATACTCTCGTTCAGAGATGCAAAGGTGTCGATCGTCAAGTACAACAAAGCAACAGAGAAACTAGACATTCGTTCGCTCCACTACTTTGAGGGCAACTCAGAGTTGAAAGGCGGTCGAAAGACCTTTAGAACACCACCACTCATTCGTGTCGACTACCAACAACGATGTGCAGTAATGTTGCTATACGATCGTCATCTTGCAGTTCTACCATTTCCAAGATCATTCTCAATATTAGATGATGAAGAAGAAGAAGAGGAAGAAGAAGCGGCAGTAGTAGCAGATCAACAACAACAACATGATGAAAATGAACAACAACAACCACAAGATGATCAACAACAACAACAAACATCAGAGAAAAACAAAAAGAAGAAACAATCGGAATCATATGTAATCTCACTCAATTCGCTGGGCATTGAAAATGTTAAAGACTTTTGTTTCCTTCATACCTATTATGAACCGACGCTGCTGTTCTTGCATGAACCCTCGCAGACTTGGACCAGTCGTATCAGTAGCAAGAAGTTTACGAATGTGCTGACTGCAGTGTCGTTGAATATCGCTCAGCGACAACAGCCTGTGATTTGGTCGATCGAGCATCTGCCGTACAACTGCGAGCGACTCGTTCCCGTACCAGACCCACTCGGTGGTGCAATGGTGCTGACACCCAACATACTCTTTTACTTTAATCAGTCGTCGCGATACGGTTTGGAATGCAACGAGTACGCACAGATCGATACAGGTGACCAATTTCAATTCCCAATCGATTCATCCTCCACCAACTTGGTATTCACACTGGACTGCGCTAATTTTATATTCCTAGGTGACAGATTACTTGGTTCATTAAAGGGTGGTGAATTGTATGTATAACCATATTATATCTATAATCTATATTCATATAAATATATTAACAAAATCAACATATAAAAAGATTGATATTTCATTTGATATCAGATGGTAGAAACGTTCAAAGAATTAGTATAACAAAAGCTGGTGCAAGTGTATTATCTTCAACTGTAAGTTATTAACTTTACACATATACATATATATTAATATCTATATTAATAATACTAATTAAAATAAAACATATATTATTTAGAGTTGTGTCTTGACAGATAATCTATTGTTTTTAGGATCAAGATTAGGTGATTCTCTTTTATTACAATACACAGAAAAGATTATAGATGTAGATTCTTCAGATAATGTTGAGAATTTAGTAAGTAAAGAATAACATATATATATATAGATTGATTTAGATTTGAATTATTTAATTAATAATATTATTGTAAACATAACAAAAGAGTAATCCTTATAAGAAGAAAAAGACATCAGAGGTATTTGATTTGTTTGATGATGAAGAAAGAAATTCAAAGACAGGCGCATCGGATGCCGATGGAAATGGACAATCGCTATTTGACGACGAAGATGATATATTCAATGATAAGAAGAATCAGTTGAAATCCTATAGGTTGAACATCTGCGATCATATCACTAATATCGGTCCGGTATCGGATTTGATTACCGGTGTCAGCTATGACCATGCGTCGGTATCGAACGACGAGTCGTTTGAGCAGCGCAGTCTAGAGTTGGTGGCGTGCTCCGGTCACGGAAAGAACGGTGCACTCACAATCCTTCAGTACGGTGTGCGACCAGAGCTGAACACCTCGTTCGAACTGCCGGGTGTGCGACAGTCGTGGACACTCTACTACGACGATCCACTTGCCGCCAGCCAGTCGGGGTCGAGCGCATCGAACGCCGCCGCGTCTGCCGCGTCAAAGAAACGACAACACGAGGAAGAGTACATTCGATGCCAATTGGCATCACTATTTGTTCTTATCGATGGATAGCTCCACTCTGGTGTTCCAAACCGGTGGACAACTCAAGGAGGTAGCCAAGTTTGACCACGCCACTATCACTGTCGCCAACATGTTTGGACGTCGACGTATTGCGCTAGTACACCAGAATGGAATCAAACTGCTAAGCGGTCACTCCAACATCACACAAGAGATAAAGTTAAAGTCGGTCAAGATGGCGTATATTGTCGATCCCTACGTACTGATACTTCACAAAGACGGCACCATTTCGCTGTACCAAGGAAACACCGGAATCACTCAATTGCTTGAATATGAATTGCCACAACCTAAAGATGGTGTAATGTCATGTTCGATGTTTCACGATGTTAAATCATTCTTTTCAATCAATAATAATAGTCATACAGAACAAAGCAATAATAATAGTAGTAGTAGTACATTCAACTTTGATACTGACGATGAAGATGATAAGGATGGTGATGTTAAAATGAATGATAAAGATCAATCTTCATCTTCAACTTCAACAAGTAGCTCCTCTACTACTTTACAACAACAGAATGTTTATTTAATTATTTTAACAAAGAAATCAACGATGGAATTGTATAGATTGGATACAAAAGAGCTTATTATATCTGCAGCAAACGTATCAAAGGAATATGATATATTAGGTGTTGCTAGTCATCAATTCACAATGAATCAACAACAGTTACTTGCTCAACAAACTCAACATCATAATATTAATAATAATACAAATGGAAATGGTGTAAATCAACAACAAGAAACACAACCAAAGATTGTAGAAATAGTGATACATTATCTACATAATTCACCACACTCATCACCTTATTTAATGGTAAATATTATTAACAATCAACATTTTAACAAAATATTATAGCTTTTATTACTTTTTTCACTAATTTCCATATATTTTTATTACTTCCTTACTTACTTACCATCTAAAGATATTAAATGAATTTGGTGATATACTTATTTATAAAGCGATTAAATATAAAGATTCAATGGATAATACAAAAGAGTTGATTAGATTCATAAAGCATACAGATCAGAATCTTCATTCAAAGCAGAGAGAGTATAGCTATGGGATCGATCCATCATCGGAATCATCGTTCTACATCAGAAAGATAGTTGCATTCGATAATATCGGTGGTCACAAAGGTGTTTTCATGTGTGGTAAACGATCGCTTTGGTTTTTCTGTGAGAAGAATTACCTGAGAGCACATCCAATGAATTTCAAAGATCCAGTAACCTCATTCACCTGCTTCCACAATATCAATTGTTCATATGGATTCATTTATTTCACTGAAAAGGTATATTCTCTAACTTTATACTTAGAGTTATCTCTTCAAAAGTATTAATACCAATCATTTATTATTAGGGAGTTTTAAGAATTAATCAATTATCAAATATGATGAACTTTGAAAATGAATGGGCAATCAGAAAGATACCTTTGAGAATGACATGTCATAAGATCAGTTTCCATCAGGAGTTCAAGTGTTATGTTTTGGTGATTTCATATCCACAGGCACCTCAGAGCGATGAAGAGGAAGAGGAGAAGGAAAAGAGTAAGAAACCGTTGATCCTGGAGGAGAAGTTCCAAGTGAAATTGATCGATCCCTCTATGAATTGGTCGATTGTCGATTCATTCTCGATGAGTGAAAAAGAGACGGTTCTCTGTGCCAAAATCGTTCATCTAAAGTATGCCGATGTCGACGGTATCAAGCTGAAGCCGTACCTCTGTGTTGGCACTGCCTATACCCACGGTGAAGACACAGTCTGTAAAGGTCGTATATTGGTATTCGAAATCATTTCACATCGTGAGGTGCAAGACGACACTGGCGAAGAGAAGAAGCGTCTCAATCTGCTGTACGAGAAGGATCAAAAGGGACCGGTTACCGCGTTGGCCGGACTCAATGGATTGCTACTAATGTCGATCGGACCCAAGTTGATCGTAAACAACTTTAGTTCGGGTTCACTCGTTGGAATTGCTTTCTATGACACTCAGATTTTCATTGTTAGTTTGTCGACCGTCAAGAACTACATTCTGGTCGGTGACATGTACAAGTCGGTCAGTTTCTTCAAGCTGAAAGATCAGAAACAATTGATTCTGCTCGGCAAAGACTATGAGGAGATGAACACTTTCTCCAGTGAGTTTATTATCGACCAACGTGTTCTATCTATTATTGTCTCGGACCGCGAGAAGAACCTGAGAATATTCAGTTTCGATCCAAACGATCCAGAGTCGAGAGGTGGACAGATGCTGCTGTCAAAGACCATCTACCACATCGGCACCAACACCAACAAATTCCTGAGAACACCACTCAGACTACCGGATGGAACGTTGAGGAACGACATGCATCTGCTCTTCTTTGGTTCGCTGGACGGCGCCATCCAAGTGTTGGCTCCACTCGATAAAAAGCAATTCCAATTCCTACAGCAACTCCAATCGCGACTCTACCTATTGCCACAAACCGCTGGACTTAATCCACGTGAATTCAGACAAAAGAATGATCATCAGTATTTCACTCAGCCTGGACACTACATCATTGATGGTGAGCTTTTGACACTGTACCAGTTCCTCTCAAAGGATGATAAGACACTCATTTCTCAATCACTTGGAACCAACATCAATGAGATAGATAGACAAATTTCAATACTCAACAATTCCTATTCAATATTTTCATAATCCAATTCAAATAAAAATAAAATCTCATTCATTTCTTTTGGATCTGAATAATACATTAATTTTACCCAAAAAAAATCCAATCTAATATTATTTTGGTACCAATCTACCCAAAAACCAACTTAAAATTCCCAAATTTTTCTTTACAACTTAGGATTTGGCTCAAAAATTCTTTGTAATTGAAGAATAACTTTAAAAATAAAGAAATTGCTTATTAATTTGATTTAAAAATAGATATTTTCCTTTATTGTATATTTTAGATCAATCATTTAAACTTTGATCACAAAGATGATTCTTTAATCAATAATAATAATATATAATAAAAATAGAATTATAGCTTATAATAGACTAAAACATAACTATTGATTATTTCTTTAGATTATTAATTAAAATGTCAAATTCTTTTTTCAAACAGAAAAAAATTAGTAAAGTGTGCTTTTTTTAAAAATAATAACAATAAACAAAATAGAGATAATAATCAATAATATAAATTGACAAATGTTGTTTATATTTATATTGACATTAATAATTCAATCATTTGGAAATGTTCAGCAATAATAAATCATAAATAAATTATAAATAATTACTATAACTATTATAATAATTATTTGAGCATGAATATTATTTCAAAGGTGTTAAATATTTAAAATGATTGGATTGTTCAAATAATAATAACAATAATAATAATAATAATAATAATAATAATCAAAGTCAAATAAAAAAAAAAAAGAGTAGAATTTTTTTGGTTTAAAAATTTTTTTACACACACTAGTTTACTTTACGTTTTAAGAAACTAAGTGATAATAAATCTATCTAAAATTTATTAGATTTTATGAATAGATCAAGTACACTTTTTAGTTCATAACGGTGGCAAAGTCGAGACAGGTGATGTTTCTGTTGGATTGGTCGGTCATGAGGAGGGTACCACGGTAGTTACCTCTTGGGGTGATGAATGGGATGTTGATGGTGGTTTGGAAAGTGAATGGACCAGCGGCAACTGGGCAGCTAACAACAGAGCAGATATCGTTGTTGAAGGTTGGGAGACTTCTCCAGGCACCGGCAACGTAGTATTGAATGCTGAAAGATGATTGACCAGCAGAGATTGGCTCATCGAGAGTACCGACGAGGTTGACGGTGGCACCTTGTCCGATGACTGGGGGATCTGGGGTGAGAGTCAATGTAGTGATGTCAAAGGTGGCGTCAATGTTTCCTGGACAGTAAGACCAGATGTCGGCGTAAACCAAACCCAAGCACAAGAAACTTAAGATCAAAGCACTGATAATCTTATTCATTTTTTTAAATTATTAAAAAAAGAGGTATGTGTTATATATTTAGATATAGATAAAGAAAAAGTTAGGTATGAAGAGATAAATATTGCTATCTATTTGTCTCTCTACTAATTATTTGTAAAAAAATTATTTGTTGTTTTTGTGATGTGTGGATCAAAAATAAAATTTTTTTTATAACCACCGAGGGAAGGCTCGCAAAACAAACATCAAAATTCAAAAAGAGATTTTTTATTATTTTTAAATTTTATTTTGTTCAGGCTTGAATCGGATTTGAACAAAAAAAAAAATCAGATTTTTATCTTGCTAATTCAAATCCAAAAACAAATAAATTTAAATAAATTTTTATTTATTTACTTTTTTTTTAAAAAACAAGAATTGAATTGAAGAAATATAAATTGTAGGAGTGGGTGTTTGTTTTTTTGTTTTTTTTAATTGTTTAAGATAGGATTGAAAATGAGGGGGATAAAACTCCAATATCCCCCAGTAATTATTCAGTCGAATCTTTTAATATACATTCATTATTTTTATTTTATTAATATTATTTTTATTATTATTAATATTATTTTTTTCAAAGCACTGTAATGAATACTTAAAAGGAAATATCAATGAAGTATAGCATGTGACAACTTGTTACTCGAATTATTCAAATAAATACCAATGATTTTTAATGATAATAATATAATACATTGAAATTAAATTGTTAATTTTCAATAATTATATATATGGTATACTACAGTGTTTAGGGTTTATTAGATACCATTTTTATTATTATCATTATATTATGTTTAGAAATGAATTGAATTGAATTGAATTTGAATTAGAATTGGTGGGTCTAAAAGTAAAGTTATTTTTAAAATATATAAAAGTAGTAATAAAAAATACTATCAGAAAGTAATAAAATTTTTTAATAATAATAATAGAGTAATAAGATATCTTAGAAAAAAATAAAATAAAAAAATTATATTGTAAAAATATAATAATGAATTATCAACATAAAGATGAATCCAATAGGATTCATAATGTTGTCAGTGAAGAACAACCAACTAGGATTGTATCTTCCAATCCCAACAGTATTAGTAAAGCACCATTGGTTCACTATGGTGAGAAAGAAGGGGAGTTCTATGAGAAGAAACATATGACTGGCAATGCCATAGAGGATGAATACTATGAGGATGATAATCTTCCAAGTGGTAGTGGTCTACACAACCAGAGCCATGTCAACAACGATACTACAAAGCCAACTCTCAGAGAGGAGTATATAGATAACATCCGAGAGGACAGAGCACGTGAGAATGAGATACTACGTCAAGAAATCATAAAGAAAAGGGAGCAGGATCTCGAGGAGAGATACCAGAGAGCCAGAGCAACCGGATTGACACCTGATCATACTAAAAGAAGAGACCTACAACAACAACCAATTGATGCCAAACAGCAGCCCATGAAGGCCAAAGATGTATCTTTATATGGACTCCAAGCCATGATCATCAAAGAGAACAATCCAAATGTATCTGATGAAGTCATTCTCCAGAGAATTAGTAAATGGCAAACGGAAGCAAGAACCTATCTTTCTGAAGGTCAAAACCAAATGGCAAAAGAATTAGAAGAGATTCTTGTAATTGAAACTTATTGTATGTAGTTAGTATTATAAATTTAGTCTAATAGATAATTAACTTTTATTAAATTTATAGTTAATAGAAAAGAATTGGCATTGTTATATCGTGAATTTACCACTTTTTCAAAAGGTTCACTTTACATGTCAAAACTTCAATTTCAGTCTTTCATAACAATTTTTCAAGAAAGTAATGCTTTGACTGATTCTTTATTAAGTGCAATAGATGAGTATGTATAATCAATCAATTATATATAGATATAAATATACTAAAGATTATTAATAAACTTAATTAATTCAATTTTCTAATTAGAAATGGAGATGGTGATATTGCTTTCCCAGAGTATGTTTATGCCTTGTCTGTAATGTCAAGAGGCTCTGTTAAAGAAAGATTAACATGTAAATATCAACAAAACGATTATATACAATTTTATATAGTATATTAATATAAGAGAACATTTAAAGTTACTTTCTTAATTTGCGATTTTGATAGAAATAATATGGTTTCTAGAGATGAAGTATATCAAGTAGTTTCAACCATGAGTAGAATATTCAGTAAGCTACCATTCACCAAAGAGAGATATATATCACCACATGAAGTAGTAGCTGCAGTATTCAATGGTGGTCTTACCATGAATGGTTCTGGCTACCTGCAAGATAAAGATGAACTTTCACTACCAGAGTTCATCGATAGAGGTCTGTTAGATGCCGATCTCTCTAGATGTTTTGGTATGTTTGACTTCTTTTATTTCCAATTCGTATTGCCATTTGATGAACTAGTAAGTACTTTAAAAGCATATACATTAAATTTGTAATCAATAGTCGACTAATCTAATCTAATTAATCTAATAATGTAGTTCATTGGTGATAAAGTACATATGGGAGGAATGATCACTAAGGTTAAAAATGTATCATTCTTACATATCCATTCCGTTCATAATAGAAGATTGAAAATTAAAGATGGTTTTTTGATTGTCTATCAGAGAGGTTTGGATCTAAAGTACACCAAGCCATCCAGAGTAATATTCTTACCGGGTTCGACTGTAAGTGTTGTTCAAGACTTTCAAAAGAGAAAGAAGTTTAGTACCAAGTTCCAGAGTTATCACGGTTTCAAGTTAAACAGTGGAAACTACTCTCGTTACTTCTTTGTAAAGAGCCGTGAGGAAGCCGACGATTGGGTTAATGCCATTCGTCACTACTCTAGAATTGGCTATCGTTTTCAATCCTTTGCTCAACCACAACCAAACAATACTTGCCAGTGGTTCGTCAACGGTGTTAATTACTACCGTGAGTTGGCCAAGGCTATTGAATCTGCTCAGTATGAGATCTTGTTGACCGGTTGGTGGGTTTGGCCGTATGTCATCTTGGACCGTGACACTCCAGAGAGAATGCTCGCTACCAGACTTGACAGACTGCTCACCAAGAAAGCCAAGGACGGTGTAAAGGTCCATGTTTTAATGTGGAATGAGACCAATGTCGGTGTACAGCTCGGTACTAAACACGCCAGTAAGTGGCTGGAGAATTGTCATCCAAACATCCAGGTTATTAGACATCCCAAGATCTACCCACTTTCGTGGTCGCATCATCAAAAGAGTGTCATCATCGATCAGCTCGTCGGATTTGTCGGTGGTATCGATATCTGTTTCATGAGATACGAAACCGATGATTTCCCATTGATCGACTTGGATAGCAAGCTCTTCCCAGGCAAAGACTATGGTAACATTTGTTCAACGGTAATTAGAACTGGTAATCCACATAAGGATCAACTCAACCGTCATGAAGTTCCAAGAATGCCTTGGCATGATGTACATATCAAGGTGGTTGGACTATCAGCCAAGGATTTGGCAGCCAATTTCATCCAACGTTGGAATCATGCCAAGACCAGTGACAAACATTCCAATTGGGGAAAGGATGTGCTCTTGCCAAAGGACTATCTGAAGGAGCACCAAAAGACACATCCAAACGGTTTCTTTAATGCTCTGTCGGACTTGAAGAGAAACGTGACAAACATTGGTTATGGTACCGAGAGAAGAACTATCTATCATAGACCGGTCGACAATCCAGAGGTTAGAAAGCATGCAGCCGACCAAGCCAAGAAATATATTAATCCCATTGACAACTCTATTGGTTACGATGGTATCTCATTCAATGAAATCGAAGCGGAAGACGACGACAATAGCTCTGAGATCGATAACACTCCAGTCAATGTTAGCACACCAGCATCAATCACCAAGAATGCTAATGTTCCGGAATGTCTAGTGCAAATCGTTCGATCTGCTTGTCTTTGGTCTGTTGGAGCTGATACTGAGTCATCTTGTTACAAAGCCTATATTACCACGATCAGAAATGCCAAGCATTTCGTTTACATTCAGAATCTGTTCTTTGTATCTTCTTGTGGTGCCAGACTACCCAAAAACCGTATTGCTTTGGCTTTGCTACAGAGAATTAGACATGCCATCATCAACAAGACAAACTTTAAGGTTATTGTAGTCACCAGTATCAATGCTGGAGGTGACGTTAGAGATCCTGCAGCAAGAGTAGTCATTGGATGGACACAAAGAACAATCAACAAGGGTGGTCAATCAATTGTCGAGCTCCTACAGAAGGAATTCCCAGACGTCGATCTATCGCAATACTTTGGTGTATACTCTCTAAGAAAGTGGGAGACATGCTTTGACAGAGTCTATACCGAGCAAATCTATATCCATTCTAAAGTGTTGATCGCCGATGACAAGGTAGCAATCATTGGAAGCTGCAATATTAATGATCGTTCAATGATGGGTGTCAGAGATTCAGAGTTGGCTGCCGTCGTTACAGATTCCAGTATGGTCGAGACAAGAATGGATGGAAGAGATTTCATGGCCGGTGAGTTCTCTCGATCATTGAGAATGTCTCTCTGGAAACTTCATTTAGGTTTGAGTGACTCTGAGGTCACTTCAATCATAGATCCTGTCGCTTCCTATGAAAAGGTATGGGTACCAACCGCAAAGAACAATACTTTAGTCTACAAAGATGCATTTGGAGATTTTATTCCAGAGAATCAAGTCAGACTCCCACTCCCAGATGATCCATGTCTTAGATACGTTGCAAAGAGAGACGAGCTACTCAATACTCTCAGTAGAACTAAAGGATTTGTAGTTGAATATCCATTGAATATGTACAGTGAAAGCAACCTGCTCTCAACAAATTTATTAACACCAGAACATTATGTAAATACATCAGTTTTTATTTAAATTTTTAAAATTATATCGAGAGTTCTTGACTTTACTTCTTTGATTACTTTTTTTAATAAACATCCTCTATCTATAAATTATTACAAAACACTTAAAAATATATATAATTTGTTAAAATTTTTAAGCTTTGATTCAAACCTAACACTCTCTACATGAATAAATGTAAGAGTGATTGTTTTCTAATCGATTAGAAGGAAAATTATTGTTTCAAATTGACTAAGCATTAATTTTTCTATTAACCGATAATTTATTATCTCTATAAAACAACAGATACTCGTTTAAACAAAATTAATTAATTTTGATTTTGTGTGTAAAAAAATGTCAAATTGGTGATCATTTTCATTGCCCATTAAGTAATATAAGAAACTTAAACTGTCTCCATATTAATTCCATTGATAAATTTAGAGACAAAAGTTTAAAGAGAATCAAAACTCTTATAGCCTATTAACAAATTTCAATTCAAAGAATCAGATCCAATTCAATCTTTTACAAACAGTTGTTGTATAAAAAACATCAACTTGTTGAGGTAGTTGTAATTTTCTTCATTTGTCTTGTTCTGGTTACTTAAATAATCTAATTCAAATAGTATTGGGGTATGGAGGAGAGTAAGAATCAACACAACTACTTACTTTCATAGTCCGAATTTACGATACCACAACTTCGGGTTTTTTCAAATACCTTGAATTTCGATTTTTTAGTTTTTGTGGTCTTAAAATGGGCAACTACAAACAAAAGTTTTTGAAAAAAAAAGTCCAAAATTGTGTTTTGGTAGTGAGAAAATAGTGATCTTTATCAAATTTAATATCTTTTGATTAATCAAAATCAAAAAAGAAAAATAAAAAGGTGTGATTCGATCAGATTGGCACAATTGATCACCATAATATTCAGCAAAAGATATCATTTAACTCCACCAAATCAGAATTGTTATCCTAGAACTAGATTTTACATTTTTTATTTACTAAAATTCTCTATAAAAAGGAAATATTTTCTTCTATTATTTCATTCACATCATTTATTATAAACAATAATATTACCTATAACTAATATTTAAATATTTATTAAAACTATTTTTCATCAAAATATAACTATAATAGAAAAATGTCAACAGATACAAAATTATTTGACCTTATTCATTTTGGTTGGGCACATTTTTTAAAATTTAAAATAGGACAAACAGACTATTGGCTTATCGAAGAAGGTGATTACTTAAAGTTTGTACCTGAGATACCTTTGTCTGAGGGTTACTATGATTTTTCAAAAGCACCAGTCATTAGGAATGAAGGAATGACATATGGTACTTTCTTTTTTGAATGTGCAAAGAGTGGAACTCAAAATGTTCGTAATGGGTATGCTTTAATTTATAAAAAAATAATTGTTTTTTTTTTTTTTAATAAAATTTGATATTAATTTTAAAAAAAAAATTTATACCTCTTTTAAAATATATAGAACTCCAACTAGTTTTACCCAAGTTACATCTCAACCATTTTATGATGGACACCCGTTTGTAGCAGATTCAAAGTATTTCAGGAATGGAAATAATCTAAACAAAAGTCCTGCGATTTTTAGAATAGAGTTTGGTGGAATAATTCATGATAATACTACCAATTGCGTTTTTGGAAATATTGATGGTTGGGCCGGTCCTGTCACAGAGCAAACTGTTTACAGAGAGGTGCCAATCTTAATTCATGTTGCGCCAAATGTTACCAAGGATGGGTTATTTTATGATCCTGGATCAAGAATTTACGGTTACAACGGTTATAACTACCCTGAATACAATGGTCAGAATAATAACAAGATGGCATCCATAAAACCAGTTTTGAATGCCAATGAGCAAATGATGGTACAATCATTCGCCACTCAGTATCAAGCTTGTCTTGCCAATTGTGATTTAAATAGAGATAACAATATTGATAAGAATGAATTGATTCAAATTTTGGTTCGTTCCAATACTCCATATGATCAAGCTCTTAATTCAGTAAACAAGATATTCCAAACATTGGATGTTGATAATAATGGTGTTATAAACTTCCAAGATATTATTATTTATAATAATACCTCACAACAACCACAACAACCACAACAACCTGGTACAGTATCATGGGAGGCTTACAACAGAGCAAATGGATACCCTGCTGACTATAGAGGTGGAGCAACACCACAACCAGCTCAACAACCACAGCAATCCCAACAGCAAAATCTCCAAGGTCAACTACAACCATACAATGGAATGCAATTTCAAGGTTTCCCAATCTTTAAGAAAGGTCAATTAGAAGAATATTATGCAATGGTTAATGGTGCATACAAACAAATCAATTGGTTAAGAGACAATTTTGGTGGAGGCCAATGGGTTAAAGTTGGTTGGTAATTTAATTGTGTTGATCAAAAAAATATTTATTTTTATAAAAATATTCAATATTAAAATAAACAAGCTTTCAACAAATTTATTAACACAAGAATATTTTTTAATACAAGGGTTTTTATTTAATTTTTTTAAAAATTATATCTATAGTTCTCGACTTTTTTCTTTGATTACTTTTCTAAAATACATCCTCTATCAACAATATATGAATACTAAAACACTATTAATAGATTAATTTTTGTTAAAATTTTTAAGCTTTGATTCAAGCCTAACTCTCTCTGAAACAATTCTTTGATTTCTTTTTATCATAAATGTTGTTGCATATACAGCTGATGCAAAGAAAACTGATCCAAAAACAGTTCCAACAATGATTTTCCATTTAATAATATTCTTTCGTTCAGAATTACAATTGTTCTTGTCAGGATTTGGATGCAACAACAGAGAGAAATCAGGATCTAAGATCATATTCTTTTCAAAATATGGAATTGATGTGATCAATTTAACCGAAGAATTGTTTGAATTGGTATAAAAGAAGTGATTGATAGTTCTTGGTATTGAGTCCAGATATCCAAATTTGTTTAATTTTCCGTAGATTTCAGATTGGGAATTTTCAATTAAGATAGTAACAAAGTCACCAGTATCCAAAATGTTATAATTCGATTCTAAACATTCGTTCAATTCAAATTGGGGAATTGAAACAATCTCCAAAGTATTCAATCTACTTTTGAAATTCCAATTTTCAATTTTCAATTGATACTTGATGTTTCCATATTTGATTTGAATCGGTTTAATGAAATCCACAATTATATAATCAATGGTTGATGTTGATGAATTTGATCGAACATATTGAGAGAATTTGATTTCAAAAGAATCCAATTGTAGAATTTTTGATTTCAATTTATAGTTCCATTCATTATATTGAACAATACTGTTATCAATGGGATTAATAATTTCATATGATTTTGTTTCTCTTATCCAATCCAAATTTGAAATAAAAAATGATGAAACTATAGAATTCTCTTGACTGACTTCTCTGATTTCATCAAAATTAAGAGAGAAATGTGAAATTCCAGTAGTAGACATATTCATTGATGGTTGATTAGGATTTGTATAAATAATAGGCTCATTATTCAAAGATTGACAAGTCAGACCACTAAAGCCACGTTTACAATGACATTCTCCTTTTATACATTCACCATTATTAGAGCAATTTGAACTACAACCTTTGATTTCTATTAAAAATTATTAGTATATTGAATTGATAGAGAATTAATATTTAGAAACATTTACCATTTTCAAGAGTTTGAAAAGTAGAAACTTGATGAACTGGTACGAAAAGATAATTCATACAAGTTACTCTAATATAATAAGAGTAGTTAGGAATAAGATGTTTGAAATTACATTGTAGATTTTCGGGATTAGATAGATTATTGCTTGAAATATTTGAACAAATAATCGACCATTCAAAACCATTCATAGAAATCGATGATCATAAAAAGAAGAATTTGGTTTTCCACCTATTGATTCATCCCATCGAATTGAAATCGAATCTTTAGATATATTATATCTAAATGGTATATTTTCAATTGCTTTAAGAATATTAGTAAAAATAACAAACATATTTAAAAATTTTATCTTACAAGGATAATAATCAATCATTTCCAAGATTGACCTTCTAGTTCCAAACTTATCTGATATAGTAAAAATGATAGGTTCATTTGTTTTTCCTTTATTATAAAATATTGTAGTTCTGTATCTTAAAAAATAATCTTCTTCACCAACAGAAAATCTATATGATTGTGAGTCACCACCTTCTCCAGAGAGATAAATATAAACAAGATCTTGATCATAGATTTTCTTGATAATAGGTTTTTTAAGTAATGAATATATTCGAAACAAACTTGTTGATTTTTTTGTTTCTTCATTGTATCTTGCGAGAACAGTAATGTTATGAACAACTGAATCATTTAAATTTTGAAGAGCGACATTTGGAAAAGTGTCACCATCTCTAGGAACAACATAAGGATATCCATTTAGAATAATTGAATAATGTCTATCTCCAAGATAACTTGGTATTGAATCAAAAGAAACTCTAGCAAAATTTGGACCTGAAAAAACCAATAATGCTGGAGGTTCAAAATCTGAACTAAAGGAAATAGGTTGAAAATATAATTTTGTACTATTAAAACCATCATAACTTGCCCAAAATGAAATGTAATAGAGTGTATTATTGTGAAGAGGAATTATCATCTGAGTATTGGAGTCGTATAACTCCACTAGATTTGAATTATTGATTGAAATGTAAACTTTGGAGTCATTAGGTAGAGGTGAATATTCTCTTCCAAACACATGAAAAACAACATAATACTTTATGTTTTCCACATAACTTGAGAAGTTATTATAGATTGAAAATATAGGATCTAAGAGGAAAAGAGGCTCTGAGTTATACAATTGAATAATAGTTTCATTGATTTTCACATAGATAGCAAGTGTTGAAGCACTAAGACCAATGATATTACCAGAATAGAAATTTTGAATAGAAAATGTAGTTGAAGAAATATAATACTTGTGAGTAGTATTAACGATGAGATCATATGAATTGAGAGGACCACTTATCTCAATCGAAAAGTCGTAAGAAGAAGTTCTTGGCTGTATTTGAATGTTTTTAAGAATTGGTACTTCAATATTTAATTCGATATTCCACCTGTAAGAAGAATTTACAGTATTGACCAATTGAACCCAAATTGATACATTTTTCGAAATTGAACTTTCATATTGAATATTTAAAATACAATTTTGAGTATTTCTACAAAGGGTATTGTTTAAATATCCAATATCATAGATGGAACTTTGATCGAATGAATTGGTTATTGAGTAAATGTTTATTGTTTTCCAATCCAATATTTCGTATAAAACATTGAAATGAATTGGTCTAAAATTGATAATTCCCAATTCCGATTCTATAAATTGACATGTGTTAAAGTAATAGTTTACAGTCAATTGGTAGTCTGAACAACTATTTGGATTTGTGTCATATGAATACATATCCAATAGGGGAACAATTATTAAATGGTTTTCTCTATTCATTGAAATTTCCCAATTACATGAATTCAACAATTCCATTGATACCCTACCAATTGTATAATTTGAGTTAAATGTACAATTTGATAATACTGGTAAAACTTCAAAATATACATTATGTTTGAATTGTGGAATATGTGGTGATGTTGATATTTCTCCATATAATCCAAATTCATCTGCATTTTCCAATGATAGTGGAATCTCCCTTATTAGTAAATTTCCATCCTTACAATTAGCATTTGGATATAAAAAAGAAAAAATGTATGTACTATTGCTATTATTATCTAAAGTCATCTTGAAAGATGTATTGTTGTTTCCTGTAGTATAGCAAACATCAATAAGAAATGAATTCATTCTAATGCTCTCTAAACTTCCATCTGGATTTAATTGATGAGTAATAATCCATTGGTAAGCCAATGATGAACTTGTAAAAATTGAGATAAAACAAAATAAAATTAAATATATAAACTTCATCTTGAGAAAAGCTAAAAAAAAATAAACTAAACTAATTTGATTAAATGACCTTCAGGTATTTATTAATACTGGAATTGAAGGATTTTTTTTTGTTTATAAAATAATTCTAATCTAAATCTTCTAAAATCTTCCTTGAAAATTGGGTCACCTCAATATATTTTTACTTGTTTATTTAATAGATGTCAAATCCAACTTAAAATTATAAAACAATACCATTTTGGGTTAGCCCTTGCCACCTACATCCAGAAGGGTGGATTTTTTTTTTAATTTTATCAACACAAACACAGTGTTTGTTCCTTTTTTTTGATGTACCACCCACTGTTTCAAAAAAAATTGATGTACTTTTAACTCTATTTTTAAAACCATTAATAATAATTGAATGTGTGATATACTTTTCTTTTTTAGATCTAAAATAAATACAGATTTTATTGTGGTAAATCACCATTGAAATTTGCAACACACAGTGCCATAGATGCTATCGCCGCGACACATTGATCCATTTCAGTGGGGTTTACCTTGTCGAGAGCATCACCTTCACTGTGGTGGAACCAGAAATATTGAGTCGTGTTTACTACCAAATTTGCACCTGGGATTTTACCGTCAACCACCAAGAATGAATTATCGGTTCCGGATTCACCGGCACTTACAGAGTTGGCACCGAGCGTCATCAGTGAGTCATCGGCAAGTTGTTGCAACGCTTTGATTGTCTCTGGCGAGGCACCGTCAACTGTGAATCCAAGTGGTGTAGTTGGACCGTTGTCTGTCTCGATCGAGAAGAAAGTCTCGTTAAGATGTGCCTGTGCATAGGCAGCACCACCAGCGGCACCATTCTCCTCGTTTGTCCAGGCAACCACACGAATGGTTCTCTTTGGCTGCAGACCGAGTACTTTAATCAAACGAACCGCTTCCCAGGCAATCATGACACCGCAACCATCGTCAATAGCACCCTGACCTACATCCCAAGAATCGATATGTCCTCCGATAACAACGACCTGCTCGGGATTCTCGGAACCTGTCACCTCACCAAAGACGTTTCTCGACTTGGCCTTGTCGGGCATGGTTTGTGCCTCCATGTAGAGATTGATAGTTACGGTCTGGTTGAAATTAACCAATCCTTGAATGAGATCGGCATCTTCAAGAGTGATGGCAGCAGTTGGAATCTGGGTGACACCGCTTTGGTATGACATCATACCGGTGTGAGGAGTACCCAATGAATAAGGTGTAATCGATCGAACGAGTGCAGCAACTGCATTACATTGCGCAGCGGCAACAGCGCCACCCGATCTGTATCTCACAGTCGACGAGTAATTAGTGAATGGTACATTGAATAAAACAATATTTCCAGCGGCAGCTGCACAACGCGCTTTCAAATCATCGAAACTTGATACTACCATAACCGGTGCTGTAATTCCATCCTTTTGATAATCAATATGTTTAATATAAACATAATAAGTAAAAATGTAACATTATATATTTGTTAAAAAGTTCTGAACAACTTACTGAAGAAGTAGTATTAATAGATCCACCCAAACCAAGAATATTCATTTTCTTATAGTATGGAGATTGTATGGAAGCATGTTCGTTGCCTCTTACCCAGTGTGTTACCATTACGTCTTCGGTCTGTACATTGTCTAGACCGTCGTCAATCATCTTTTGTTTGACCCAATCGATTGCGTTCTCCAATGCATCCGATCCCGACAGTCTGTTACCGAAACGTGTACACATCTCTGTCAGCTTTGCAAATGCCAATGTTCCTTTTGTAGTTGCACTGATCAACTGTGAACTATCGGCTGAGCAATTATCCGATAAAACATCAGGTTTCTTATCTATTGATTGATCATATCATATGATTGATGCAAACAAACATTAATAAACGATAGCTATAACATTATGCTTAGATAAATGAGTATGTTTGTAGAACGAACACCTACAATGTAATATTACAACAGGTATCACTATAGCAGCCAATATAACAAATAATATCAGTCCGATGACAATCAAAATGTTTCTGTTCTTTTTTAATTTCGAACCACTATATATAAAAATATGATAAAGATTAGCAAAGATGAATGTTAAAAGTCTGTTACTTGTGCTGTGTGTGTGTGTGTGCTCTCTAGTAACTAAAAGTAGTCGATAATATATATTATAAAAGATTGTTTGCTTACCAATCTCTAAAGATAGTGAATGAACTACTTTTATTGTTACTGTTGCTGACACTGCTTGGCAGCAAGATGTCACCACCATGCCTGTCATTCTCATTATCTGCAATCGGTGTATACTTGTATTGATCCATAATTTTATATATAGTAATATTATATTATGAAAAAAAAAATCTAAAACAAAAACAAAACACACACAAATTTGGAACTATTATGATCATTTTTTTAAATAAAATATCTTTTTATTTTTTTTAAATGATTCGGAACATTAATAAAATGATTTATTTTCGGTTTTGGATTTTAATTAATCAAATGATTTATCTAAAAACAAATAAGTTTTTTTTAATATATAAATGGTTTCTTACTTTGTTATATTTCCAAAGAATTTTACTATTTTGGTATTCATTTTTTAAATATCAATTTCTAAATACTAAAGTAAATAAATTATTATTTTTTAAAAGTAAATGTTGATTAATCAATTTAAAAAACATGAAACATGTTAACATTAGTGAAAACAATATGAATTCAATTTATAATTATATGTATTAAATTATTAATCACCACCCAAATTTGTAAAATGACATTTAATTAAAACAAAATTTAATTTATTTTTTATAAATAGAAAATCAATATTATAACTTTGTTGTTAGAAAATGATGAACAGAAATTTCAATCTCTATAGGAAATCAAACTTCTTGTGATTGTTTTTATTTATTTTGGAAATCTAAAGCTTTCACCTGCGAATGTAGCGTGACTACCAAGTTCCTCTTCGATTCTCATGAGTTGATTGTATTTGGCTAGTCTCTCGCTTCTACAGGTAGCACCGGTTTTAATCTCTCCAGCTCCAAGACCAACAACAAGATCAGCGATAAAGGTATCTTCAGTCTCACCGCTACGATGACTAACCATGACACCCCAGTGCGCAGATCGCGCAAGTTGGAAAGCCTTGATAGATTCCGAAACCGTTCCAATTTGATTCAATTTCAAAAGCAATGCATTGCACGCTTTCTTCTTGATACCTTCTTGGATTCTCTTTGGATTGGTACACAAGAGATCATCGCCTACCACTTGCAACGATACCGAAGCTGTCAGTTTGGCGTAGGAATCCCAATCGTCTTCGTCGAACGGATCTTCGAAGGAAACTAATGCAGGGTATTTGGAAACCATCTCGCGATACATATCGGCAAGCTTCTCACCAGAGACCACTTGAGATCCATTGTTATTCTTATTCTTGAAATCGAGGTCATACATTCCATTCTTGGTGTGGAACTCCGATGCAGCACTATCGATTCCAATCTTTACTTTTCCAGTATGTCCTGCCTTGTCAATTGCCGACACCAAAAGATCCAAAGCTTCATCGTTACTCTGAATGGGAGGAGCGAATCCACCTTCATCTCCGACATTCACAGCATCGCGACCGTATCTCTCTGCAATCACCGTTTTCAAAGTGTGATAGGTCTCCGATCCCAATCGTAATGCCTCTTTAAAAGTGGTGGCACCAATTGGAATTACCCAAAACTCTTGAATCGCCAATCTATTTCCACCGTGAACACCACCATTAATTACCTATAAATATAATATATGTTATTTAAATTATCTTAAACATTCTACTAAAGAATACTTACATTGAATGCTGGAACTGGAAGAATGAAATCAGTATCATTTCGATTGGAAAGTTGGGCGATATGCTTGTATAGCGGTATTTTCTTGGCGGCTGCACCTGCACGACAAATGGCCATACTTACAGCTAGGATAGCATTGGCGCCGAGTTTTGCTTTGTTCTCAGTTCCATCCAACTTGATCATTAACTGATCCAAACCACTCTGATCGGTTACATCCATTCCAATGATTTTCGGTGCAATAATACTCTTTATGTTGTCCAATGCTTTCAAAACACCTTTACCTCCATATCTTGATTTATCGCCATCTCTCAACTCCACCGCTTCATAATCGCTAGTTGAAACACCGGATGGCACAGCACTTCTAAATCTACCCAACTCTGTGAACAAGTCCACTTCTACAGTTGGATTTCCACGACTATCTAAAATCTCTCTAGCAACAATTGATTTTATAACACTCATTGTTTCTTTTTGCAATGATAGATTATTTGTTATCTCCTTTGATTTAATCTTTCAAAATTTGATTTTAATTTATAAATTATTTTGTGATTGAATAAATAGTTCGCTTAACTGGATAAAAATTATTATTCATTTTATACTATTTATACATATATATAATTAATTTCAAAATAAATAAAATTAAATCTATGGAGTGATCACAGGTAGCTTCATATAGAAATTTAATGATTTTCTTTAGACAAACAACAATGAAAATTTATCGAACATCAGAAACCACATCTAATTTTGTAAGATATATATAAATTTGACAAATAACTAATCAGATAAATGTCAACCAAAATAAACACCCCTCTGTTGGAATATGCTTTTTACAAGTGTTAAAAATATAATTACAATTGTATGAAAATCGAAATTAAAATCAGGTAATAGATTTATATAATTAAATTAACTTACCCAACTGATATTTATAATTTTAACCAAGTTAAAGAGTAATTTTAAATGAGCATGATTAAACTACTTTGATTTATTTTATATTTTTTAATTAATATATCTAGCTAATTTAGTATTGTTTGATTTAAAATATTTAGTTTGTTATATTTTTTTATTAATAAAATATATATATTAGATACAGTTATTTATTTTTTATTTTATTTAAAATAAAATAATAGTAATCATTACAATCGTTAGTAATAAATTATAATGATAGGTATTAATTGCATTGTTAATTTGATCGGTTGTTGTTCCTGTGGTTGGAGTTGTTGTTGAAGTTGTTGGTGTTGAAGTTGTTGGTGTTGAAGTTGTTGGTGTTGAAGTTGTTGTTGTTGTTGTTGCTCCACTATCAGCAGTTGTATTTGTAATTTTAATATTATCATGATAGATTATTCTAGTTGGAACACTTCCTTTTGAAATCTCGGAATCTGGACGATAAAGACCCCATTTACAATATGCGAATTGCGATGTTTCACTATCGGGGACGAATGTCTTTATATTATCAATCTTGTATTTCAACGTAAAATTAGTTTCATTACTCATCTTTGAGTAAACTCTGATATATCCTTTAAGAACGTCAACATTGTACACCTCTACTTTTAAATCGATCCATTGATTTACAACTTTACTGACATCCGCAATGATCTCAGACTGTACACCGCTATCTGGAATTCTCAGAACAATTTGATTTCGTTTGACACCGAGAAACCATGCCGGTCCACTGCTAGTCGATTTACATTGATAGATGATATCGATTGTTGAGGGATCACCGACCTTGTAAATGGTCCAATCCTTTAGGTAAACACTGAATTCGTGACGTCTCTCTGTATTGTTTAAATAGCAACCAGCTGCAACACCTGCAGTAGCACTCTCACTACGCCAATTGCCAGCAGAATAGTAACCGGGATCATCTAGAGTGACTTTGTGTGAGATTGCATACTTTCCAGATCTACTAGTAGTGACAATGGTTGCAGCATCCGAAGCATTAGCATTTGTTGCTAAAAGACCTTTAATTCCAGAATCTAAAGTTCCAGATTCGTAGTCTGCGAATAAAAGTACTTGCTCCGAACTGACAACATCAGCAAAACCAGTCGCTAATACCAAAGTACAAATTAATATACAATAAAAATTAATAATATTATTATTATTTAAATGAGTTTTCAACATGTTGTTATGAAAACTAATAGATTTAACCTATCTATATATAATATTAATATTGAGAATAATGAATATTGAATCTAAATATAGTAAAAAAAATATATATTGATAATAAAATTTTATTATTATTTATTTATTATTATTCTGTCATGACATTTAAATAGGATTGGGTTTTTTTACAACAACATTAGGTTGGGCAATCGACCGATTTTTAAGATTATGTTGACAACAACAAACTTCTTGGGATTTGGATTTTATTTTTTAAGAAAAAATCGTAATTTTGGCATGGTGTGATTGATTGTTGCCTTTCTGTTAAACATAAAAAAAATATCAAGTCTTTATTGATTTATTGATTGTTGGTTGACGCGATGCATTCACATTTTTATGATATAATTAATTAAATCTTACTTTACTTTTAGTTAACCACGATGATCTATATTTACAAAAAAAGTTACAAAAAGGATAGAATAGAATAAAATACAAACAATCAATCAGATCTATTCTGTTGGATATTTATTTAATAAACCCAAATATGTTGTGATGACAAGAAGATAACAATTATAATAATTAATCAATCAGATATTATTTATATTAGTATACTTCTACAACATCATTAGTTTTTGTTTATTATCATAATCCTCCTTCTTTTCACTGCATGATGCTAGTTGTCAAGTTTATTAGCTATTAGATATTTAGTTTATTTAGAATTTAAATTAATATAATATTATATTATATTAATTCCAATTGTCGATTTTGATGTCATTGGGAGCTGGTCTACCTTTACCTTCTTCCACTAGAGAACGAAGACTTAAGAGAAAAGTTGCCCATTTCATGCTGCAATGAGAAGTGAATTCTACGTACTCTCGCCAGTTCAAATTTGCGAATAATACTATGGTGTGTTCACCTTGTTGAGTGAGATTAAACTGGAAATCTGTACCGATCCACTCTTGTGGTCCTTCGAGGCAACGCCAGTGAACTGCTTGATTAGCGATCGATTTAGTCACTTCCATTACCATCTGACCTTGTAACTCACCGGTGAGGGATCTAAAAAAGAAATTGATCTTGCCTCCAACATTGGAATCTCCACTGACCTCTTCAGTCCACCATCCAGAGAGTCCTTTTATTGTAGATAAAGCTTCATATACATTGGAAATATCTGATTTAATACCGATACGATGGTTAATATTGATTGTTTGTGAAATCATTTTATGTTGTATTTGTTTTTTTTTTTTTTATAGAAATAGAATATCAAGATTATATATTTATAACTTGTTTATTTTTAGTAAAAGAAAATGATGAAGCAACTGCAATTTCTAGGAAATCAAACTTTGATGATCATGTTTAAAGATTTTATTTAAGGTTCGCGGTTTTTTTTTTTTTGGTACAAGATTAGAACCTCATATTTAACTTTAAACTTGGACAGCTTAAAATAGAAATGAAAATAACTATTCGAGAATTGTTTTTTTTAATTTAAAAAGTAATTTATTATGCTATTTTAATAAAGTTATATTGTTATGACTAATTTTATAAAAGTGTAATATAAACAAATTAATAATAATCGATTATTATTAATTTTTCTGATTTATAAACAAATCTATCAAAGATCTTGAATGTTTGTTTGTTGGTTTACATGATATAAAAAAAAAAAAGGAAAAAAAATTAATAATACAAAATAAATTGAGTGAGCCCGCCAAAATTTAAATTTTTCTTTCATCTCAATGTCTTCATTTTAATATCTATACCAATAGTAAAATTTAGAAAAATAAATATAAAATATAAAATATATATAGTAGTAGTATTAAATAAATGGATGTTGATACATCTGATAGTAATGGTAGTAACGGTACTGCAACTATCTTAAAAGATAAAGATGATACAACAATGACTGATGTTAACACCAATGATGATCATTCGACATCATCGAAAACAACAACAACAGCATCAGCAACAAAGAAAAGAAAGAAACTCAGCGAGTCAGAGATAAAGGAACGTGAGGATGAGAAACGTAGAAAACAACAAGAGAAAGAAGAGGAAAAGAAAAAGAGAGACGAAGAGAAGAAAAAGAAAGAGGAGGAAAAGAAGAAACGTGACGAGGAGAAGGAATTGGAGAAGAAGAAACGTGATGAGGAAAAGAAATTGAAGGATGAGGAAAAGAAAAAAAAGGATGAGGAGCGTGAATTGGAGAAGAAGAGACGTGACGAAGAGAAGAAACAGAAGGAAGAGGAACGTGAGCAAATGAAGAGACAAAAGGACGACGAGAAGAAACAGAAGGAAGAGGAGCGAAAGAAAAAGGAAGAGGAGAGAGAGCTCGTAAAGAAACAAAAGGAAGAGGAGAAGCGCAAGATGGAGGAAGAGCTCAGTAAGAAGCAGTCGCGTCTCACTCAGTTCTTCAATGTGGTGACACCCGACGCCAAGCCGGTGCGCACAGACGCGTTCATCCAACCCGTCGAACTGGCGCCATTCACTGAGATTCACCAGTTTCAAGTCAGGCCAGACTTTGACCGTGCTGAATTCGAGCAACTCATTGAGAAACAATCGACACCGTTGGAAAGCAAGTTCAATGGCAAGACCTACTTTAGATCGACCAAGTTAAAGTCTAATAAATACAAAATAACGTCGTTGCCTGGCGCTATTATCAATGATGAACTTCTCGCTTCACTCTCGCGGCTCAAGCTGCTCAAGTTCCACGACAGTCGCAGACCGAGCTACTATGGTACCTACTCAAAGCCGACCAAGGTTATCAACGGTCGCAAACCGTTTGCCAAAGACAACAAGCTCTTTGACTACTCGTACGACAGTGGCGATGAATGGGAAGAGGAGGAAGCAGGTCCCGCCGACAATATTTCATCGGATGAGGAATCAGAGGAGGAAGAGGAAGATGAAGAAGAAGATAAGAATTGGATTGAGTCAGACAATGAAATAAACTCTGATCATGAGTCACATCCAGATGTAGCAGTAGTAGTCGGAGAACAACAACAGCAACAACAACAACCTGACATTACATCAAATCAAACAACAACCACCAGAAAAAAGAAAAAAAGAGTAGAAAAGATAAAGAAGAAGAGAATTATCATTATAGATCCTTCTAACGAAGCAACCATGCAAACAGAAAATCTAAACTTATTTAATAGATTTCCAGTTGAATCTTTAGTTGGAGGTAAGTGTTATTTTGTAAAATTATAATCTCATTAATTTATTTCTAATCAATGAAATTGTTGTTGTTGCTTGCAGGATTCCCAATAAGTATATCAAAATTGGTAAAGGAAGAACAGGAGGCATTAAAGTTAAAAGAAAAGAAAGAAAAGAAAGAAATCGATCCAAGATATGTTTTCCCACTTTCATTTTTACCAACTGTTTTAAAGGTAAGATTGATTTGTGTTTAACGCAATAAATTGAGCAATAGTTAACAAATTTATTTATTCAAATGTTATTAGTTTGTTATGGACAACAAAAAGAAATCAGTTAAAACACTTGGTAAATATTTATATGCAGCCAATACCAATGTGATGAAAAAGATAATTATAGAGAAGATTCAAGAGACTTGTTTACAAACCAATGGTGTTTGGTCGGTTAAACCAGAGTTTGAAGATCAATTGAAATTGGATTTAGATGACAATTACATTTTACCAGTGATTCCAGTTAAAGTCAATCCGAACAACAACAACAACACTACATCAACGCCAAACAAAAACAGCAATAATAATAATAATAATTCAACAACATCTACATCGTCATCAAACAATGAACATACACCAAATACCAACAATTCTGAATCATCTTCATTGTCGAAAAAGAAATGCTTCTCACCTAAAAAGAAACCACAAACTCCTGTACAGACAAACTCATTGCTTAGTTATTTTTCAAAAGTTCAATCTCCCATCAAAACAAACACCACGACAACTACTACCAACACTGAAGGATCAGCAACTCCAAACACTACTACCACCTCTTGAGGTAACACCAATCATTTTATTGTTCAAAAGTAAAGATATGATATTGATTTAGTTCAACAATCAATCTTGTTATTAAATATAAAATATATGAATAAATAATTTATTTGAATTTAATCTTTTTTCGATTAAAGGGCACCAATTTTTAATTCTTTTATCTAGCTATCAAAACAATAATGGGAACTCCAATAGCTATAACAATCAGAGTGGAAGGTGCTCCAAATTTAAGATAATTGATAAATCCAATATTATAATGTTGTTTCGCTCTTTCTGCTACAATAAGATTAGCAACACTTCCTACCAAAGCTACAGAGAATAATGTTAATTAATATCATCAAAATTTTGGATCTATTTCACTAATATAATACTTACTAAGATTACCAGCTACTGTTGATATGAAGGCAAGTAGTAACCAAGTGAATGGTGGTGCATTTGCTTCGATGAGATGCGGTGAAAGTGCAAGAACCAATGGTACATTACTGAATACATTACAACTAATTAAAACCAGGATGGTAAATACAAAAATCTTTAGGGGGTTTCCGTCCAGTGGAATCCAAGGACTAATACCACGCCATGCCCACTTTGAAAACTCTCTATCGAAACCATCGACCAAGATAAATAGACCACCGAAAAACACTAACAATTCCCAATCTACCATTTTAATCTGTTCCGAAACATCTTTACGATCGATCAACATGAGAATTGAGACTCCTAACATTACAGTGAATCCCATGTGTAGGCCAACACAGAATCCAATCAATACCAGTAATAATACAACACCTGATCTATAATAATGGATCATCTTTAATATACCTATCAGTTTCTCTCTGTTTAGTAAAAACTGTTGTTCGTTTGTTCGCTGACTAGCTATTCCGTGCTGCTGATTTGATTCCTCCACCAATAAAACTTCATCCATATTTACATCATCTTTAAATTCATGCAAATCGGCTGCTTGATTACCATTAATTATTATTCCATTTGATACTTCCTCTGATCTACCATCATCCACAATGTCTTCTTTGGCATCACCAGGAGCGATATTTATCGTTGATTCCATTTCAATTGAGTTTGGATCGGAAGCTTCTTGTCCTTGGATTCTATCTGATTCCAATAGACCATCTTCCTTTGTTAGAATGGTTGTGCTATTATTGTTAAGTGGATACTGCCTCAGTTGTTTATGAAAGTACAATAGCAGTAGTGATGTGTTTGCAATCACTCCAAGTATGCTAGATACCACAGAGACCTTAAAGAACGTTAGGAATTCAACACCGGAAGCAGTGGCAATAATCATATTCTGGGGATTTCCAACGGGAAGTGCAGCACTTCCAATATTCGCACTGGTAGCCACTGCCAGCAGATAAGGGAGATACGGTAGATTCGATGCTTTACATGCATATATTACGATGGGTGTCATCGTGAGACAAACGGTATCATTCGTCAGAATGGCACTGGTAACTGCACACACCACACACACTCTTACCATCAGCATCGATGCCGACGAACAACGAAACATCAGCCATCTCGATATACTCGACCAGATATCGGCAGATTCCATTTGATGGCTCAACAACATCATTCCCATTAGAAGAACGATCGTATCCCAATTGACAACAGATCCCAACTGTTCTGGTGGTACAATTCCCAACATTATCATTAAAGTCTAAATTAATTATATCATTTCAGCAAGATCTATAGATTAATATCCATCGATAGTTATAAATAAAAAAATATATCTACTTACGGAACCAACTAGAGCTACACCAGCTCGTCCTATAGGCATTACATTAATTTTCTTAAAACATATTAAAAGGAGGCAAATAAGAAAGATTGGACCAGAAACAAAAGGTTTAACTGAATCGCCTAATTCTATAACTTTCATTACTATATATTAATTAAATACTACATAAAAATCAAGTGTTATTCACCAAACACTCAATAATGTGATATATATATCTCGTGATGATTTAATTAAATCATCAACCGTCACATTTCTTTTAAAAAAATTTAAAAAATTTTTAAAAAAAATCAATTGATTTTAACAAAAAATTTTAATTTTTATTTTAAAAATTATTTATAAAGGGTTGGATAGTCATATAACTGATGATCGATTTGGTTATAATAAAAAAAATATAATTGGATTAATTGGATCCCAATTATATGTTGCTGAAATATATATACATTTTGATTGTCTTTTTTTTTTTGTTATTTAGAGTTGGTAGTGCTCAAATATTCCTTTAACAAATCTGCTGGACTCTTTTTGGTGACAAAAGGGGATGGCTGACTAATATTTGTAGTATTGTTATTTGGGGCTTCAACTTTCGACATTTTGATCTATTATATTATTTATTGGTATTTAATTTACAAAACTAAATATAATAAAAAATAAATGGTTAGAAACTTTTTCTTTATAAATATATTCAAATTATAATTGTTTTTTATACCAATGAACAAATAATTATGATTATGATAATATTTAAAAAATATAATGTTGATTTGAATTGGAGTTTAATTGATTAAATAATCGATATTTAAATGGTGGAGAAGAGTGGAAGTTGGTTATCAACAAATCACAAAAAATAATTTAAATCAAAATAATATTAGTAAAGAGGTACAATATATATATAAAGATGGAGATGAATACATTAGGTAAAAGAGAACAATATTTATATATATTACACAAGTCAGATTTATTATACCGAAATTGAATATTGATTTTGATTTCGATAATCTATCAAAACTCTAACTACTCTACCATTGATGTGGTATACAATAGTAAATTTAAGATTGATACATCTTTTTTTTTTTTTTTTTTGTTTAGAGATAACAATACAATTGCAAATTGAATAACAATAATTATTTACAAAACAATATATATTACCTTTTTGTTCTGATTATAGTTTGTTTGATGTGAAAATGCTTATTTGAGTGTAATTATTTATACTGGGAGGTATGACAGAGTATGTCAAAAAAAAATTGAAGAAATTTAATAATTTGATATTTTATTCAATTTAAATAAATTCTATTTCAATTCCATTCTATTTACTTCCTATTCTTGAATGTATTATAGTTTGACTACTCGAGAGAGCTACAGAAAGTGAACGGGAGTAGATGGATGTGTGTGATCCGAATTAAAGAATAACTTTGAGAAGAGAAGGAGAGATAAAAAAGTGTGTTTTTGTGTGTGTGTGTTTATGTTTGTTTGGCTAATTGTTTATTTATCTGTGAGTGGTGGTGGTGGTGAGTGGTTATAAACTATTTTTTTTTTTTATGTATTCACCCAATTCGTTTTATTTAATTGTGTGTAATAAAAAAATAAAACAAGAAGAGTCTAAAATAGTGTTATCTTTAAAATTAAATAGAAAGAAACCAATTAACAAATATATATTAACAATAATAATAAAACTTCCAGATTAAATAATAATAATAATCAAATTACAATACATTTAGATATAATAAATAAATTTGGTATTTGATTTGTAAAGATAAAAAAATGTTTACCATTTGACATTTGATTCATTGGTAGTATTATTTAAAAACTTACAATTGGTTTAGATAAAAAATTTGAATTTTTATACTTTTTATAAAAATACTTTATAATTTATTATTATTTATTTATATATATAAATATTTATTTATTTAATTGTGAATAGAATATTTGTTTATACTTTATTTTTTAGTTGTGTGCTTACTATTCTATCAAAAAAAAAAATTCAATCACATGAAATTGAATGGTTATTTATAACATTCCAATCCTTTTAGAATTGGAAAAATCTTCCACACAATTCTAAATAATGTTATATTAAAAATTTAATAATCAAAATTGTCGATAGAGGTGTGGGGCGTACCACTAAAGGGAAAACAAAATTTACCTTTAATTTGATGTGGGTGGTTTTTTTCCAAACTGATTCAATTTCATTTGTTTTTTTTTTTTTTTTATTCTAGAATTTAAATTAGATTTTTTTTGGTAATAAATACATCGATTCTGTATTTATTTTCCCCTACAAATTGTACATTAAAGATAAACATTAAATTATTATTATTTGGCATACCATATTGGAGCTATAAAATATTTTTGAATATGTTTTATTTATTACATAAATATTTCAAAGTTTTAATTTCCTTTTTATTTTTTTTTAGATTTTTTTTTTTTTTACTAAATATTAATATTTTTAATATCTGACGTACTTTAAAGTCAATGATCACCGTGGAGTTTGAGCAAACTGAGCCATTTGTTGTTGAATTTGTTGTTGTTGTTGAATTTGTTGCTGTTGTTGTTGCTGTTGGTATTGAAGTTGTTGTTGTTGTTGAAGGAACTGTTGTTGTTGTTGGAGCTGCAGGAATTGTTGTTGCTGTAGTAGGAGTTGTTGCTGCTGTTGTGGTGTGAGTTGTTGTATCATTTGTGTTTGATGAAGCTGTAGTTGTTGTTGCTGTTGTTGTGATACTTGTTGTGCTTGGAGCTGCTGAAGTTGCTGTGCCTGAAGTTGTGCTTGTTGGGCTTGCTGCGCCTGTTGTGCCTGCATTTGTACTTGATGCATTTGTTGTTGTAGCTGTTGCTGTTGCAGTTGTTGATGTAAAAGTGTTTGTTGGTTTTGTTGTTGTTGTAATTGTTGTTGTTGTTGCTGTTGCTGCAATGGTTGAGATTGTAATTGTTGTTGTTGTTGCTGTTGCTGTGCCTGTTGTAATTGTTGTTGTTGTTGTTGTTGTTGTTGTATCTGTTGTTGTATATATAACTGTTGTTGTTGTTGGTTTTGTTGCTGTTGATTTTGTTGTTGTTGTTGTTGTTGTAGTGGCTGTTGCTGTATCGATTGCTGCGGAATTGGTTGTTGCATTGTTTGTTGCGGTACCATTTGTTGCTGCGGTTGCATTTGTGTCATTGCGTGTTGTTGCTGTTGTATAGGTTGTGGTTGGGCTTGTTGAACTTGCATTGGTTGTTGTTGTTGTTGAATCGGGACTTGTGTTGTTTGTGTCATTGGCTGTTGTGGTTGTTGTTGTGATTGATTCTGCTGTTGTTGCTGCTGCTGTTGTTGTTGTTGTTGTTGTAATATTTGTGTCATTGCTTGTTGCTGTTGTGCCTGTACAATCGGATTTTGATGAATATGTTGTTGAGCCTGTGCTTGACTTTGTTGCTGTTGTTGTTGTTGCTGCTGTTGTTGTTGTTGTTGCTGCTGCTGCTGTTGTTGTTGTTGTTGTTGCTGTGTTTGTTGTTGACCACTGTGTTGTTGTAGGTATTGTTGTTCGACTCTTCGCCTACATTCATGTGCGTGTGAGGTCAGCTGTTGCTGTTGGGCAAGCGGCAGCAAAGAATCGAATGTCAATAAACTATCTTTGCTGTGATATGAGTTCTTGATATGTTGTAACATGAATCTAGCCTCTGCCGGACTACCAAGTGGAAAAGTCAAGTAAAGTGGTACAAAACTACCTCCATTTTCATAAATATAAATCTTGTCTATAGATGGTGGATAGTTTGCAACTGCTTGCTTTTGTGCTGGTGCCGTTGGCTTTGGTGTAGCTGTAGTGCTTGGCGGTTGGGGTTGTGTTTGAGCTGTTTGATTCGGTTGTTGTGGTGGTTGTGTAGTATTCGTTGGTTGTGTTGTTTGACCTGCTGTCGTTGTCGTTGTAGTTTGGCTTGGTGTTACAGCTGTTGCTGGTGTTAAAGTCGAAGCTGGTGTTGGAGTAGGTGTTGTTGTTGTTGTTGTTGTTGTCGTCGTTGGATTTGTGTTTGTACTTGGCGTCGGTGTTTGTATTGGATTTGCTTGTTGCTGTTGTTGTGGGTGAGAAAATACTTGTTGTTGTTGTTGTTGTACAGATGATGGTTGTGGTTGCGATTGATTTTGTGCTTGTTGTTGTTGTTGTAATTGTTGTTGCTGCTGCTGTTGTTGTATCTGCTGCTGTTGTTGTAATAGCTTTTGTTGTAGATGTAGTTGTTGGTATTGATAAACTTTCGTACCGATGAGTGTGTCGGTGACCTGTAGTTGTAACTCTATGACAGGATACCTATACCTACATTCATAGGTGAAAACCAATAGACTATTAAGTGAAATAAACTGTAGTAATCGATCTTTTATAAACTCTACATCGTTCGACAATTTCGTAACAATTCTAATAGTAGGTGGTTTCAGTTTGCTAACTACAGATGATGATGACGGCGAAGAAGAAGATGATGATGTAGATTGACTATCCTGTACATTATTGTTATTATTATTATTATTATTATTATTATTATCTTCTTGTGATTTTATAGGTGTTGAATTTGAAGTTAATGTTAAAATTGGTGTAGATGTTGTTGTTGAAGTATTATATTGATATGAAAATGGGTATGTTTTAGCGTCTTTAACAGGATAACAATATTCAAGAGTATCTCTTCTATCTCTATCCCATTTATGATTTGTAACTAAATATCTAAATAAATTGAAACTATAAATGATAGGATTGGTTAGATTAGAGCTCATATTATGTGTAGGTGTTGTCGTTGCTGAAGACTTACTTTCCCTCGTTGTTTGTCGGATGTATTTTCTTGTGAAATGGTGATTGCAAGCTGGAGGGAAACGATTGAACCTCTAGTGATTTCGATAGATTCAGTGACATTGTACTATGACGATTCTGTCTCGGTCTCTTTATACAATTGTATTTATGTTGATTGTAGTAGCGGTCGTCTGTCTCCAAACTGTGCTGCGGAGTCAACGTCAGTCTCGAAGTGGTAATCTCCAACAACTTTTGTTCAAACATCAACAAATACTCTTCGTCATTTACAATATTATTATTATTTATCTTACTATTACTACTATTGCTACTATTACTATTTAACAATGAAATTACATTCTTTTTAATATCGAATAACAATGATTCACTATCTGGTTTTAATACAATCTTATTTACTTTAACATCTATATTCATATTACTATTATTATTATTACTGTTACTGTTGTTATTATTATTATTATTTTGATGTTTGCTTGGTATAAGAGTTGATGTGGTTGTGCCTCGGTAGTCGCGTATCTCAGCGATGATACAACCTTCATAGTAGTGACAAGTTACGTCGTCTAGAATATCAATGAGATCGGGTACCAACTTTCCTTGACCTATAGACCTTAGAAACTCTTTAGATGTTCTATCATAAGGGTATATCTTATCCTACATACATAGTTATATATATATATATATATAATTAATGTCTATTCTATTGTATTATTATACACAACGATGATGAATTCAAACTTACTCTATTTATATTATCAAAACTATATCCATTCGAATAGAGATTGATGAATATCGATGACTTTAAAGTGGATGTATCATAACCAAGTAACACCTGTGCAATATCATCGATAGGAGAGAATCTATCACTATACTTTGATTTGAAACTACTACTACGTTCTTTTTCACAACTATTATTACTATAGCCATTACTACTGCTACTCTCATGATTATGATTATTTATATCTGTATTTGTATTTATATTATTTTTATCTATTATATCTGTATTTGTAAGTATATCTATATCGTTGGTGGTTGTTGTTGTTGTTGATGATGATGATGTTATCTCGACATCTGGTAGTGCAGATGGTAAGATACTACTAGTTTGATCAACAGTATCTCTACTACTATTATTTGTTGTGTTGATGTCTTCCATCAAATCGAATATCGTTGTTTCATTGCTAACACCATTGACATGACTATAATCTATTGCATTGAAATGATCTGCACCTGTTGTAGTTGTACTTCCTTGGTCAAGACTATTCTTCCCACTACTATCATCATCATCATTATCATCTTTCATTTGATTCGAATGACCATCTTTATCTTTATCTTGATTATTATCATGACTACTATTATCATTTTCATTATCATTACTACTACTACTACTTCTATTACTATTACTATTACTATTACTATTTATACCATTCTCAATATCGTGTAAAGTAGTATCAATAATATCATCCAACTCTATATCTAATGAATCTTGTTGTTCTTTTTTATCTTTATCTTTATCTTGTTGTTGCTGTTGTTGTTGAGGTGGTTGTTGTTCATCTGGTATAATAGTATTATGTTCATCTGTTTCTATATCGTTATTATTTTCTTTATGTTTATCTTCTATATCTATATGTTTATCAATATCATCTGTTTCTGATGTTGATGTTGCCGTTGTTGAAGTTGATGATGATGTCATTGTGATTGAATCATTTATGCTATTTAAATTGGTCGTATCATTTTTGATAGGTTGTTGATGTTGATCGAGTGTGTGTTGATGATCGTTGTCATTCATTACAATCGGAGATTGATTAATGTAAAATTAAAAAAAATGTCAAAAAACTTCTAAGAATAGATAGTATAAAAACTGAAAAATAAAAAATAACAACAATTAAAAAAAAAAAAAAAAATTGTTCACTTCAAATTGTTTCAAACTAACAACAACAAAATACAAAAAATAATAATAATTCAAAAATAATCAAATTTCAAAAAATTTTAACTGCTAAATTTTCAAGTCATTTTTGATCTTCATTTTTTTTTTTTTGAACTATGTAATAACAATTATTGTTATGTCCGATATGCAAATATATTAGGTAATTACCTTTGAATATTTATAAATAATATATATTTTTTATTATGATTATTACTATTATTAACTTTGATTGAATTGTATTGTATTGTATTTTATACGTTTTGTTTTGTTTTGTTTTGTTTTGATTATGATTTGTTTTGTTGGTTTGTTTTTAATTGATGTCTATGGAGACAAATACTAATGCATTGCCTTCTCTTGACTCGTTCATTGGTTGTTGGTATTCCCATGTGTTTTGTGATATATTATATTTGTGGACGTCGTTGAGAACTTCCGAATAGTAACCGCCGACCACGTAGATCGAGTTGCCACCGTCGTAGACCACCGAGTTTCGGAGGTCGACCGGTTTGAGCATGTCGGCGAGTGGCTCCCATTGGCCGCTGTCCACATTGAGACGGTCGAGCGAGTTGGAGATCTTGCGGGTGCCGTACGACCCGCCCAGCACGTAGATGTTGCCCTTTCCATCGTGGACAGCGCCCGGGCCGTCACGCTGCTTGCCCATCTTTGGGTACTTTCCCCAGCGGTCGGCTGCAACGTCGTATACCTCGATGAGATCGAGCGCCTTTCCATTGAAACCGCCAATCGCGTAGATGTATCCGGTGCCGCGCGCGTCATAAACGGCTGACAAGTCGCTACGGATGTTTCTCATTGGCGCCAGACTGTGGTATTCCATGGTGACGGTGTCGAACCGATCCAACTGGCCGGAAAACCAGCTGTCTTTGCCACCGACGATATAGATATAGCGACGGCCGTCGTAGACAATGGCATAGCGACTGCGCGGTTTCGGCATGTCACGAATCACCTCCCAGGTATCGGTGAGAATATTGTAGCGTTCGGCAGTCTTTTCTGGCGCGTTGCTGTTCTTCAACTCGCCACCAAACACGTAGATGTACTTGCCACCATCAAACACAGCGGATATTCGGTTTCGGAAGCTGTTCATGTTGGAGACGTACGTCCATTTGTTTTGTGCAATTGAGTAACGTTCAACTGATGGCTTGTTCGGTCCACCAATTGCATAGATATATTTTAATGTACATTTATAAGGTATATTCGATGTTTTTAATAAATTATAATTATATATATGTGAATTATATAACTTTGGTGAATTGGAGTTACTACTATTGTTGCTACTATTATTACTATTATTACTATTATTATTATTATTATTACTACTACTACTACTACTACTACTATTTATATTTGGTGAATTAGTGTTACTTCCGCTTCCTTTAATTTTGGAATTATTATTATTATTGATATTGTTGTTATTGTTGATATTGTTGGTGTTGACGTTATTATTATTAAAATTATTATTGTTGTTTATATTTGGAAAATTGAAATTCCAGGTGATATATTCGTTGGGAATCATGGCTACTTCGTTGACCAATTTAAATAACTCTATATAGTGTATTTTCTGGTTGTTGGATTCCGTAATGTTGTGACCGCTTGGATGTAGAATTTTGGAAACTGCTCTTCTTCGCTCGCTGTCTATCTCCGCCAGCAGTCTGGTTATCTTGTCCTTCTTGATGTTGATAATCGATAGATAGTCGCGATAGTCCAAGTCGATTTGTTGATAGATTTCATCGAGTAGCATCACCAACTCTTTTTTCAGACGGAGCTTGGTTTCCTCGATCATACTCGTCTGATATTGGAGGCTATCGACAATCTCATTCTCAACCTCAAGATAACTCTTCAGGTGTATTAGTGAGTTGTGTAGGGCAGTGTTCTCGTCGTTGTTTCTCTTTAGAATGTCGCTGAAAGATTGAACCGGGTGCAATTGATGAGTGTCCAGCTTGTTGAGGCAAATATCACAAATAGATTTCTGGCATTCATTACTGAAACAGTAGTATCTATATTCCTGGTTGTGAAGTGGACACTTAATCTCTCCATTCTTTAAATTTACAATGTTGAAGTGTGAGCTGGTATATAATTAGAAATATTTGAATTGGAAAATTGTTGTGAATGTTGTGTTTGTTGCTGGTGATGTTGTTGATTTTGGATATGTTGAGTTTGTTGATGTTGTTGTTGTTGAACTTGTTGTAATTGTTGTTGTTGTTGTTGCATTTGAATCTGATAATGTTGATTTTGGACATGTTGAGTTTGTTGATGTTGTTGTTGTTGCTGTTGGATTTGTTGTAATTGTTGATTTTGGTACACTTGTTGTTGCTGTCTTTGTTGCTGTTGTTGTGAATGATGTTGATTTTGATGTTGTTGTTGTTGTTGTTGTTGTTGATTTGGATTTGGAAAATGTTGATTATATTTCCAGTAGTTTCCAGAATTGTTAGTATTCTGACTATTATTGTTGGAGTGATTTGGATGATATTGTTGAAGAAGTTGTTCCTGATGTAACTGTTGGAGTTGTTGCTGAAGCAAATGTTGTTGAATAACGGAATTCGGAAAGTATTGGGTTGGTTGAGAGAAAGAATTTTCAAGAGAGTTTTGCAAGCCTCCAGATGATTTTCTGCTATGACTGGCACTACTTCCAGGACTTCCCATTGAATTTATTAGTGGTGATTTGCTTTCGTTGTGTTTGGTACTATTGGCGTTGATTATGATTGGCTTGGATGGAAGTTTTCCATAGGAGGGTAAACTATGTGAAAGGACATCGGAAGCAGGGGATGATGATCTATTTTGATAGAGGTGATTGTTGTTTTGTGAAATATTGTTGTTTATGGCATTGTGTTGTTGCTGTTGTTGCTGGGGAAGGACAGTTGGTCGAACTGGAAGAGGAGGTGAGGGATGTGGAGAGAGTGGAGTGGGTGGAGTTGGTGAAGCTGAATTTGTGTTGGACGAGCTTGACAACGATGGTGAGGGTGAAGGTGAGCTGGAACCTCCATTTCTAAGACGTTGTCGATAGTCAGCAACCAGATGATGTAACTTCTCATCGAGGAATGCTTCATTGGATTGAGTTTTAACCTTGCAAATCATACACTGGTAGTGTGTTGTGTCTGGAAGATCAAAGCGAGTCAAACTGAGATCTATGCAGTCGGAACAAAATGAATGGTAGCACTTCAGAGTTCTCGGATTGGACAGTATTCCTTTACAAACATAACAAATAAACAAATGTGAACTATTATTATTTAGACTGGAACTTGGTGATGATTGCTGTTGTTGTGACGATGACGAGTTGTTGGCACCACCACGTCCATTTAAATTTAGAAAACTGGAAGATGGAGAACTGTGGTTACTGCTACTACTGTTATTGTTACTTCCAATACCACCGGAACTGGACAATGAGTTGGAAGAAATCTTTTCGTCCATCATTATTCGATGTTAGAGCGAAGTGGATGGTGGTAATTGGAAATAGTATTTGATTTTGATATTTTTTTTTGACTACAAAAAAAAATATATAATATCAAAATCAAAACAAAAAAAAAACAAAAACAACTTGGGTATTGAAAAGTAGGGTAATAGTTTAAAATGCTTGTTTGGTTGTTTGTTTGTTGATGCAATAATTAAAAAATTAAATTAAAAAAAATTAAATAGATAAAAAAAATCAAAAAAATGCAAGTGAGTGATTCCTGCAGGTGTCAGCGGCGAGCTCCGATATTTGCGCTCAATTTGTTGAATTTTTTGATTGTGTTTGTTGTTTTGGTTTTTTTTTTGTTTTTTTTTGTTTTTTGGAAAAGGGGCAGAAGAAGTATATATAGCCGGAAACGGAATTTTAAAAAAAAATAATGGTAATTAAATTTGGGCTATATTACTACTTTCTTTGCAGCAAAAACACACTAAACAATAAACTGATATGACTAAAGTAAAATATTTATATCTTTTGTGTAAATCATAATATTACAAACAACAACAAACTAAATGAAAAACACAAACAACCACCTGTCAACTACTACTCTGCAAGTGATATTAAACTAAACTGTTTTAAAAATTAACTAAAGGAAAAATAAATTATTATTAGTAAATTTAGATTTAAAAGAAATTTGTTTCAATTGAATTTTATTTTGGTGAGTTGGTCATTAAGTGTGAATTTTAAATATTGACAATATTAAATTTCTAATTAAAAATAACAAAAACAATTAGCAATATATTAATGAAATAGCAATATTGATCATAATAAGAAATAAATAAACTGATGATGATGACATTATTTTATTTTTATTTGAACTAACAACAATATGAAGTTAAACTAAATTCCAAAATATTTAAAAATTATTGTTGGTGGATGAAAAGTCATGATAAAAATCGAGCGAAATTTACTAATCCCCAAACAAACTCCTATGAAAGCTTTTAAAATATCTAAACTTATACAGTACTTTTACTAGAATTTGTTCCTCTGGTTGATTTCTACTACTATTATTATTATATCTCTATGTTGTTGCTATTGAAATTTAAAGTATAACTATCTATAATTGATATAAAATTAAATTTGGTTGATGATATCACTCCAACTAGAGTGAATTTGAATGAATGAAAACCATTACTGATTCATAGGAATAAAAGGGCATTATTACAGAGCAAAAATTAAAATGAAAAAAAAAATATCAAATCGGTGATGTTTTGAGTAGGCCACAAGAGGCTATACGGTGTTTATTATCTAACAATAATCAAACATAAAACAAAAAAAAAAAAACCTTATTCCAATTTTTTTATGCCCACCATTGATAACCAAACCTGAAAGCACCACCAATAACTAATAGAGTTTGATTTTAACTTTGAAAAATAAAATAAAAAAAAAACAACAGCAGTCATACACGCATAAATATTGCGGTGTAGAATGAAAACACTAAACTAAACTACAATAAAATAATATGTGTGTGTGCGTGTTGATGATTGATTGTTTATCGTTGTTTGTTTGTTACCAACATTGATAATAATTGTGGTCCATAAACTACAGTTCCACACTCTTTTTTGATTTTTTCGAATATTCTCAAAGTAGTAGTTTTCATTTTGAACCAAATTAAATGGACTATATTCATATCAAATGAATAGAAATCGTGTCTCTGATGTTGATGGAAGCATTTTTATTTTTTTTTGATCATTTATTGTGCACAAAAATAAACACACCTCTCCAAAAACCTCTTTTTTCCGAAAGGAATGAAAAAAAAATTATTTAAAATTAATTATGAAAAATTTGTGAACTTTGCCCCGAAATTTTACTTTATTTTATTTTTCTTTTGATTTTTTTTTCTATCTTTGATCTCTTTTTAAAGTCTTCGGGTATTCGAACTTCCGATCATTCCATTCTTCAAATATTTTATTTATAGATATTAGATCTATAATAAAATCATAGAAAAAAAATTATTATTTAATTAACTTGGAAAAAAACAATTTTTAAAACCTTTTTTTATAATTATATATATTTTGGAATTACTCGATTGTCAAAAAATAGTTGTAAATAGTAATTTAATACAATTGTGTAATTGATTAAATATCTAATAATTAAGATGATGGAAAAAATCCTGGTTTAAAAAATTAAAAAATCAATTTAATGTTTTAAAAATTTTGTCGTCAGTGTATAAAAAAACACACAATTAAATCATTAAATTTGCAAATACTTAAAGTTAAAATAGCATCAACCACCAACCCAATAGATCATTTTTATTACTAATTGACTATAGCTCAATAAATATTTATTTATATTATAAGCATTTCATTTCATTTCATTCATTGATATTATATTATTTTTATGAGAGAATAACAATTACCTACACAACCTTAATACATAATACTAAATGAACGACTTTGTTAACAAATCATGGCAATGCTTAAATTAGATTCAAATCAGCAAGAACAACAACAACAACAACAACAACAGACAGAAAACAACAATAAGAATAATAATAATAATAACAATGATAATATTGAACAAGCACAAGATGATTTATCATTAAAGATATTGGTAATAGGTGAAGCTGCGTGTGGAAAGACAAGTATCATTCACAAATATTGTTTAAATAAATTCGAACCAAAATATAAAGTTACCGTATGTTGATTCTTCTTTTCGATTTAGATCGATCAACAACATGTTTAATAACTGATTGATATTGTTTATATATATATAGATGGGACTAGATTTCTTCCCTAAAAAGATAACAGTTGATGATCAACCTATAAATTTAGCATTGTGGGATGTTGCTGGACAAGAAAGATTCCATCATATGATTAGAGTATGTAAATCTATATCTACTCTACCAATTTCAACATTTGATAATAATATATATATTTATACTCACACTATTTCTACTTTAGTCATATTTTAAGAATGCCAATGGTGCAATTATTGTATTCGATCTTACACGTATCTATCACACACTAAACTCTGCATCAAAGTGGAAGCTACAGTTGGACATATGCTTCCCGGATGACAATCCAATACCTTGTATACTATTAGCAAATAAGGTAAGATATTAATATTTATTCGATTGAATCGTTTACTAATATGATACTTTGGTAGAGCGATTTATTCGATATGAATGACGTTGAGATCAAAAAACAATTAGATGAATTCATTGCAGAGAACGGAATAAAACAATGGTTCTTTACTTCGGCCAAAGAGGGCTTCGGTATTGAGCATGCAATGGAATATATAGCAAGAGTCATCTTGGACACCACATCAGCGCAATCAAATACAATGTCGACAGCTAGCAATGGATCTTTTCAAATATCATCAAACGTCAGCAGCTCAAATGTCAACACCAATAATAACAATGACAATAGTAACAACAATAATACTAAAGGAAGAAAATGTTGTGCCAATTAGTAGTAGTAGTAGTAGTCGAAAAACAACAACCAATTGTATATCATAGTAGTTAGTTAATTAGTATCAGTATAGCTCAAAACCAAAGTCGAGTCGGTCAAATCAGTCATAATTTTAATATCTAGTTTTACATTTATATATGTAAATATTTTTAGATCTTTCTTTCTTTCTTCCTTCCTTTCTTTCTTTGTACACAAAGTATTTAGAACAATCAACTGCAAAATAACAATATATATATATATATATATACATATATATACTTTATATATGTATATTTAAGTACTATTATGTTATCATTGTTCTGTTTCCATTCCTCTGTCCCAGGATCGATTAATTATCGACCAAACAAAACCAACCAAAACCATACACAAGCAATCACTTTATCTCACAATTGGTTAATTATTTTTACCAATAATAAATATTGTAAATAAACTTTTTTTTTTTTTATATATACTACTTCAAGTATTAGATCATAATTGATTATGCAAACAACTAAACTGACCACTCCAAATTTGGAAATGGAAAGCGATTTTTTATTTTTCATTTTTTATTTTTCATTTTTCTTTTTTTTTGTTAATTAAAAAGATAATTAATGTGATGTGATTTTCCTTTTATTTGAAATTGAATAGATAGTAATAGTAATAAAATGTTAACTTGTAATTATATAAATGGTGTTACTCCAAATACAGTAAGTGGTGGTTCAAATCAATTCAGTTTGTTTGATATTAAAGGAAAAGTAGCTTTGGTATCAGGTGGTGGAAGTGGTATTGGTTTAGGTATTTCTGCTGCATTGATAAAACACGGAGCAAAAGTATATATTTGTTCTCGTGATTTCAAGAAATGTGAAGCAACAGCTCAAGAACTTACAAAAATAGGACCTGGTACTTGTATTGCAATCGCTGCTGATATTTCAAAGGTAGATCAATGTAAAAAGTAATGTATCTAGCGAATTCAATATCAAACCATACCATTCTAACCAATATTTTGTTTGAAAAATAAAGAGTTGCAGAGGAAATTTCGAAAAATGAAACACATTTAGATATACTTTGTAAGTTTATTAGTTAGTTAGTTAAACTTTCACAAGTTTTTATTTCTGAAAAACTACAATATATTAATAATAGTGGTTTGGTTTGGTTTAGTTAATAATAGTGGTTGTAATTGGGCAGCAGAGTTGGAGGAATTTCCAGACAGTGGATGGGATAAGGTTATGAATTTGAATGTTAAAGCTGTTTTCAATTTGACCGTCGCTTGTTTACCATTGTTGAGAGTGAAGGCAACCAACGCTGATCCAAGCAGAGTTATTAACATCGGTTCGATCGACGGTATTCGTATTCCATCGCTCGACACTTACTCGTACTCTGCAAGCAAAGCGGCGGTACATCAACTCACCAAGACACTGGCCAACCGTTTGGCACATGAAAACATCACTGTCAATGCGATTGCAGCCGGTCCATTCATGAGTAAAATGACCAAAGTAACCTTTGAAAAGTTTCACGATGTATGATATCTACAACATATTATCAATCAATCAATCGACATTGACATACTAATAAATTATTATCTATACTATAGGCTGTAACAGCAAGTGTTGCACTTGGTAGAATGGGAGACAACGAAGATCTAGAGGGTATTACCATTTTCTTAAGTTCCAAAGCCAGTAAATATATAACAGGTGCAATCATACCACTAGAAGGTGGTGTTCTAATCAAAGCACAACTTTAAACAATAATCACAAAATGATCATCAACAAAAGAAATGAAAATAAAAAAAAATTGTAAATTTTTATAAATCTTTAATGATTTGAATTGCATCAACCAAACCAATCAAAATTAATTCATACATCCACATTACAGGTGTGATCGATTCTAAAAATAATAATAGTGAACTATCAAAATACAAAGGAATTTTTTATAAAAAGGATGGAGGGAAGAATTTGGCGCTCAAATTTGAATTTTTTTTTTTGAATGAACAAACAACTGTGTGTTCCAAAGTTGTAATACTTAGTTTTGTCAAAAACACAAACTAATCATTAAAATTATTTTATTTTATTTTTTTAAAACAACATCAACAGCAACAAAACCTTTTTATTTATTATTATTACTATTATTATTATTATTATTTTGTACATAGTATACTTTCTTTATAATAATAACAATATATCACAACAATTCACCATTAGTTAGTTAGTTAGTTATAGACAGTTTAGTTAGTTTAGTTTAGTAGTTATATTTACAACAAAATGCCACCAACTCCACATTATTCAAATAAATACTACGATTCACAATTTGAATATAGGTAAGTTTTACAAATAGCAATAATAATTTTAGTTTGTTTTTTTTTTTTTCTGGTTCATTTATACTAATAATAATATGATTTATTTATTTTTTAAGACATGTTATCTTACCAGCGGAGATTTCCAATTTGATACCAAAAGGAACTTTGTTGTCAGAGGAGGAATGCAGAAAGCTTGGTATTAGACAATCAGAGGGATGGGTACACTATGCAAACCACAAACCAGAACCACACATCCTTTTGTTTAGACGTCCACATACTGGTCCAATCCCAAGCGATGTCGATTATCTCTAAAACAACGACGATATCAATAATACATAATATACAACACAACACAATACACATACGCTGTTACAAATCAATCTTACAATATTAATAATTATATACAACAAAAGATTCATACTATACTATTATCTTCCTTTTTCAACTTCCCTCCTCCCACAAAAAAAAAAAAAGCAAAAACAACAATAATAATAATGATAACATAACAAACAACATGAATTTGATAACTTATATTATATCGATCTATGCACATACATAACAACAACAAAATAACTATAACAACAACAACAACAACAACAACAACATTCAAATTCATCATGACAATGGGTGCTACAATCTCACAAAGATACTCTTTAGACTAGATAGTTTATTTTTTGTTAGTTAAGTCTAAATAATTAAATAAAATTACATCTTTTTAAAATAACAATTAAAAAAATATTAAATCATGCATATAAAAACTTTGCTTGCTGTAATTGTATTAATAATCTTTTAAATTTAATAATACAATAAAAATGTTGATGATTTTGTTTTTTTTAAATATTTAATTTATTATGTATATAGGCTTAGAAAAGAGTATCTTCATCTCTAAGATATTCACCAACATCACAAATATGATAAACAACCAATGCAGTAGGATCTAACTTTCTACATTCACCCGTTGATTTTGCTGTAACACCAAATCCAATTGGAATATCATTCATTGAATATAAAACAACACCTTGATTTCTATTTTAATGAATAATTATAAAAATTGATCAATGTTAGTTATTGTACTTTTAACTTTTGTTGTTTGCTTTTTACTTACTGTGGTGTATCCTCTGTAATTCTACCTAAACCAGCCTTTAATAAATTATTTCCATACATCCAAGACATCTCTGATTGTGGCTTCACCCAAACTTTATACTGTTTTGATGAATTGAATTGATTAGTATAAACAATGTTATCATAAATTAGCAGCAGAGTAGATAAAATAGAGATAAATATGATAGGTACCTTTGCATATTGAGCTAAATACTCTAAACATGTAATTTGTAACTTAAACTTTCCACTCTTTGTAAACTTTCCAAAACAAGTACCTAAACTAGCTAATGAATCTCTTGGGATGTTCTGTGCTTTTCTCATGATGTCTTCACTGATATAGTATACTTTATTCTTTTGTACTCTGAAGCAATGTGGTTCATCTTTTCTCTCTACCATCAGTGTAATATTCTTTCCGACACTATATATACAATCAAAGTTTAATCTCAATTAATATCTTTGTTATTACTATTACTATCATTATAAAAATGATCACTCATTCCACAAACATACTATTTAATAATCTTTTCAAAAAATACTTTAGTTTCTTCGTCTGTTAGCTTTCTCATTCTCTACTTTTATTATATATATATTTAAAAAATGATCTAGATCTCTTTCTATTAAATTAAATGATCTATTATAATTGGTTGATTGATTGACTGATTTGATAAATGAACAAATCGATATAATTACTAAATTAAACTAGTTTATTTAGTTTGTTATAAAAATATAAATAAAAATATATATAAAATATTTATGTTATAAAAATATAAATAAAAATAAAAATAAATAAAAATTTAAATTAATTAAAACGAAAAGAAAAACGACCGAATTGTTGTTATGATTTCTCTCAATAATAATTTTTTACACACAAATTTGAAAATTGAAAAACGTTACATTTCGAAAAAGTTATTAAAATTGAATTTTTTAAAAATTTTTACAAAGCACACTGAGGTGTGGTGTCGTGCTTGTGGGTCTCTCACTGCTTGCTGGTTCTCACTCACTCAGTCAATCGTTCTCTGCGCCAATTCTCTCGCTCAATCGTACGCTCTCTCACTCACACACACCAACCGCTCACTCTCCACTACTACCTCCAAGTATTAATCAATCTATACTTGTGTTCTTCTTCCTGTTATCTCAGCATAATATATCCTATTCATCATGTCTACTGAAACCAAGCCATTAGTCAAGAGATCTGGTCTCATTAAGGGATTCAACAAGGGTCACGCTGTCGCCCCACGTAGACCATCCTCCTCATTCAAGAAGGGTGTATGTATTCTTATCTACTTTCTTTATATCTTCTTCTATCTAGTTCCACGCTACTTTCCTCAATCTTTATCTATTAGGAATCTTTGTTTATTTAGTAACTTACTCTTTGTCCAATAGCTCGTCACCAAGCGTGTCTCCGTCGTCCGTGACATCATCCGTGAAGTCGCTGGTTTCGCCCCATACGAACGTAGAATTCAAGAGTTGTTGAAGTCTGGTTTGGATAAGCGTGCCCTCAAGGTCGCCAAGAAGAAGGTATGTAATTTAACTACATTTTTAGAAGAAAAAAAAAATAGAAAGACTAACAAAGGTATCATATAGCTCGGATCCATCCAAGCTGGTAAGAAGAAGAGAGACGAAATGGCCACCGTCAACAGAAAGGCCAAGCAATAAACTATCTCAATTCTAGGACATGATGAGAAATATATAATTATAAAACCCGCTATTTCTAGACTAGATTTATTTTTTTATCTACAATCATATCACAATATAGTTTTTATACAGGTCAATATATCAATGATTTTAGTTTGGTTAGTTAGTTTAGTAATAATAGTTTTGTTATTCACTCGGAGTGAAAAGCTAGAAAGTAATCATAGTAACAATCAACAAAACAAATAGAGTAGATGGCCAGCTTGTATAATATCCCCGACTCATTCAACCATTTCATAGTATTACATTTTATTTTTCATATGCATTCTTGCAATTCTTGGATGATCACTATACTATTTTATTCATTTTTTCAAGTTGACCAATTGATTGATGTGATTGTGAGAGTGTGTGATTTACTTGTTTTGATAATCACATGATTTTTATTTTATTGTATTAATACAGCTGTGTTTTGTAAAGATGTGTGGTGTACATATGTGTGTGTATTAAATAATAACATCAGCTTTTGTTTTTCACATTATTACTATTATCATATATCTTCTGTTATTGTTACTGATAACAACAACTATCTAAATTCACCCTATTTACATTTCTTTTCTTATTATATCTGTTTCTTTATTTTTTGGCTCGTATGCAACAAACAATGATCATTATCAAACATGTGGTAATAAATGAAATAATAAAAGTAGTAATACAATAAATACATCGTAGATAATTTATACACATAAAAATAAAAAGAAGAAGGATGAGAGCATCTATATTAAAATAAAAATTTTATCATAACATAGTCAAAGAGTGCAGTAATATATTAAAATTAACCACATCTATTTGCATGAGTACAGTCTATTCCTTTTTATATTATGATTTCAATTTACATCCTTTGAATTATATAATTCCAAAGGTGTTTTTTAAATTTACTCTCCTAGGTAGTATCATTTATATTGGTATGGTGTCGAAAAAAAAGTGAGTACTTTTGAAGTAGGAAGTTGTTTGACTCATTTCTTTCTCTTTCACTTACACAATCATCTTTTCGATTTAATAATAAATTTCCTGTACTCAAATAATATATAATTAAATAATTGTTACTTTAATCAATTTGTTAATTAATTCTCTATTTGTTGTTTTTGGAAGTAATAATTACCCAAAGTATTATTTTTTTCTATCTAATTATCATATCTATTAAATTTTATTTTATTTTCAATTTTTAAAATTATTTATTTATAAAATATTTGTATAAAGTATTATTAAACTTATAAAATTCACAAATTAATATAATATATAACAAATGGGATATAAATTAATATTAACTTTGGTGTTGGTTATTACTATTCTCTCGATTCATATATCTGCCCATGACTCTGCAACAGCTCCAGTCATCCATGATTTACAAAGTAATAATATCGACCAATATTTAAGTAAAGGTATTTGGATGTTATGTTTCTATGCGCCATGGTGTAAACACAGCAAAGCATTCGAGCCAATTTTCAACGAACTAGCTACTCTTCTCAAAGGTCACATTAATTTCGCTAGAGTAGATTGTATATCCGACCCAGCTATGCTACATAGATTCGGTGTAGTCGCATACCCAACCATTAAATTGTAATTATTAATTATTAATTGCATATAGATTTTTTATTAACCAATGTTGCATTTCAATTATAGATTATTTGATGGAAAGCTATATGAATATGGTGGAGAAAGAACCATTCCAGCTGTGATTCATTTCTTGCAATATGGTTATCAGCAAGTAACTCCAGTTGATTTCCCAAATCTAATTACTCCAGATTTGACTCCCGAGCAAAGAATTATGAACGCACCAAATGAACCACACGATCACCATGAGGATGAGAAGCCAAAGCCACCAAAAGCACCAGAAGCTCCACAAAACAACCCACCAAGCAGCAATAACAACTATAACATTCCAAAGAGTATGGGACAAAGTTGGATTGATCCATCTGATTGGAAGGTAATTATTATGTTTTTAAATAGTTTTCTTTTTTAAAATTATTAATTTGTTAATTTCTTTTCAGGATTCTAAATTATTATATTGTGTACTCGGAGGTATGGTTACAGCATGTGGATTAATGATCAAGAAGAGATTGACAAAGAAATCAAAGTTTATGAAGATTGCCTAAATATGTACAATTGTTTTCCGATCATAACAGAAATTATTAGGTGTAAATATTTTTTTTTTCATTTAAAATCAAGTTATACCATTATAAGATGAGTTAACAACCGCTAATAAATAAATAAAATATCATTGTTTTAAATGATTCCAAAACTCATACCATTTAGTATTAAAATCAAAATAGAATAAAATAAAACTATTTGATAAAGTTTATCAAAAGTGATTTTCTCTATTAATTTAACGAATTCTTATTAAACTAATGGAAAAATTGACACAAACACAATTTGAACAGAAATTCAAACTATAAGTTCAAACTATTTTTATTGGATTGATTAATTTCTCTATGCATCAGAATGTAAACTAATTTCTTTTGATTTTCTTTATTTTATTGATTTAACAATGTTTCTGAAATATTGACAGTAGTAGGAGAATTTATTATTGGGATTTCTTCCTTTCTATGGTATATCAGAATCAAATCATTTATACAATAAATAACCAAAACGAAAAAGGATTTGAATTTTGATATTGAGAACATATTTAAACAAACACTCATTACACATCACACAGAAAATTTATATTTGAAAGATAAAAAAGAGTATAAGTAAATTGATACCACATTAATTTAGAGATTATTTTATTCCAAATATGATTTTATTTACCAATAGAATTAATTTTTTGATTCTCAACCATCTTCACATACAAATTTTTCATTTTTTACCCATCACTATTTTTTTTTTAGTGGAAGATAGTCCCCCTAATTTTCACTAATACACCCTTTCAAGATTTTTATCTTTGAAGTTACCTCTTTTAAATAGTGGTGTTGGATTTTACATCAATTGCTAAATGTTTGCCTCACAAACAGAATATTGATATCATTAAATAGTAAAAGCATTTACTATTAACATCAATGAGTTTCTCCGATTTTAAAGGGAGGGTGATACAAACCACTATCAATAAATTGTGAAAAGAATTTTATTGATCAACCATCCATTCTTGATACGACAATTAGAAGTGGTGTAATTTAATACTAATGATAATCAGTATATAAACACCTTAATTTCATAATCAATAATGTAGTGCTCGAAATCAAAAAATACATCATCCAATTCAATAGGTATCAACTTATTTATTTAGTTTTTTTCTTTTTTTCTTTTTGATCTGTAAATTGTATATTATATCATCTACACAACTATAATCAAAGCATTAAAAAATAATGTACCTAGGTTTTTAGTTTTTTTTCTATATTTATTTTTTTAAAAAATGAGATTGTTGACAGAGGAAGAGCAACGTAGGTTGACCGATTTAATTATGTCTTGGGTCAATTCAGCAACACCAATCCCAAGATCCTTCTTTTTTATCTTAGATGCTCTAAGTCAAGATACTTTTTTGCCCGCAGCATTAGTTGGTGTTTCTATCAATTTCAAATCTCGACTCAAAGTAAAAGTGGTTTGTTTTGATAATGAATTAAACCAGGTTACAGAAAATGGTAATCACCAATAGTTTTTTTTTTTAATAGTTTTTTATTTAATAGTTTACACTTTTATTTTAACAAAATTTTATTTTTAGATTTTGAAACTATTCATGTCGTTTTAATTAAAAAAAAAAAGATAGGTGAAGGATGGACTAGAACATGTGATAATCCAGCAGTACCACTCTGGGAAATATCTGGGAATGGAAAGGTTACGGATAGAGGTATGTCTGTCTCTTATTGTGTAAACAAAAGAGAAAAGGATATGGTTTTTGACTATGTTGCTAGCATGAGAGAGCTGACAACTCCGCACCTGTTCCCAGAGAAAGTAACAGTTTCAGATAGAGTCGAGAAACTTAGTGAGATGAAAGAGCCCTACCAAGGAGTTTCAGAGGTCGAGCCCAATGAAAATCCCAATAACCAAATATTTCTGCCGGATCCAGAATGTACCGATACTATTCGAATTCCGCGCCACTACCAACTGGCTATTCGAAATAGTTTTAAAAAATTTAAAAAAGAATCCTCAACCAGCGCCAAGTCAAAGAGTCAACAAGACCTGAAGATGACCCATTATGAAATGGATTTCTTCAAAAAAGAAAAAAAACCAAAGGCATCAAGAACTCGTTCAACAAGATCAAACTCTCCATCTACAAACATCTCAGATTATGTACATCAATATTCATATTATAAACCTGGTGAGACTACCGCTATGAATATTCCTACTTCTCCAAATTCTCAAACAGATACTACACCTAAAAGAAAAAGAAAATCTACTCAAGAAATCAACACCAATGAGAATACTGAATCTGGTGAGACGTTGTCTCCTCCAACAGGCACAACTACAACAACCACGACAACAACAACCAACACTATGTATAATACCGAAGAAAATCAACAAAATGAAAATAAAAATAAAAAAAATAAAAAAAGAAAATCATAGAATAATATTACATGTTTCTTTTATTTGGGTTAGTTGCTCTGAGCAAGAAATATTGTAATAATTTATTTAAATAGTTTATGTAAAGTTAGGATTTCCTGTAGTTGCAGATTCAGTTCCACTAGATGTTGTTGCACTATCGGAAGTAGTATCGGTGGTTGGTGTTGATGTCGTTGGTTGTCCAATGGAGGTTGTAATTCCTCCAGAAGTTGTCGCAGCATCAGAGGTAATTCCGGTAGATGTTGTAGCAATAGTTGTTGTATCAACAGTGGTGGAGGCTGTTGTAGAATCTGAGGTAGTGGTAGTAGTAGATGAATCTGTTGTAGCACTTGTTGTTGTATCAACAGTTGTAGAGGCTGTTGTACCATCAGAGGTCGTTGTGGTAGTAGATGGATTTGTTGTTGCAATTCCACTGGAGGTTGTAGCACCTGTAGTTGTATCAACACTGGTGGAGGTTGTAACATCAGAGGTTGTTGTGGTAGTAAGTGATTCTGTTGTTGCTAGTCCACTAGATGTTGTAGCACTAGTTGTTGTTGTAGTATCAGCAGTAGAGGTTGTTGCAATTCCGCTTGAGGTTGTGGATGAACTAGTTGTAACCGGTACTTCATAGTTAATAGTGCCATTTGAGAAAAGAATCATTCCATTCCAAACAATATCAATTGGTATGCTATATGGTCCACTTGTATAAGGTGGTACGCTGCAATTCACAAATGAAGTAGTTTCATTTAGAAGCGAGCAGTTAAGAGTTATTCCTCCTATAGACAGCACAGGTGTAATGACTCCACTCCAATATATATTCTTTAACTGAATGATTCCTCCATTGATAGGAACAGTTGATATATTTGTAAACAAATCTAAATATAATAGTAATTAGTTAGTATAATAAAATTATTATTCATATTTATATTTTGGTTATAAACATACCTAAATAAACAATTTCAATATACGTAATGTTGAAATTTGATAGTACTGTAGATTGGTTGTTATGTGTAATATTTAATCTTTCAGTGATTGACGAAACAATCACTAATTGATCAGGACTTGGATCAATGGAAACTAAAGAATTATTCCAATCAATATTCTCAAAGAATGTCCAGTTGAACTTTCCATAAGGAAGAGATATGGATAATGAGCTATTGTTTGAAATCGAGATGGTATTGTTGGGGTTGGCAGTTAAGAATCCAAAGTTGTCAGTTAAATTGGAGATTGTGTTTGGTTTGGCAATAATATAGTATTTGGTATTGTAAATGGTGGTGATATTGGCGACATCGTCTTGAGCCAAAATTCTGATTGTGCTATTATTTGGTACATTAACAGTTAGATTCAATGGTAGCTGTTCAATTGGATAGGTACGACTGATGTTGATACCATCATTGGTCGATTCCATGATAAGCGTGACGTTGGTCGGATAGGTTGAATTTTCGGTGGCATCTAACATTCCATTGAAGTTTTCGTCGATATACAACTGAAGATTTATATTCGATTTATATTGAACTGTGAGTATAGATCCATTCTTTTGTGCATAGCAGTTGGATGGGAGCGAGTAGGTGTCGTACAAAGAGGTAGATTGATAGTTGAAGAGTGATAAATCTATGGCGCCATATTGTACTGAAAGTTTCTTATTGAAAGAATTTCTAATGGTTCCAAGACATCCATATCCCGATTTACTAAATACGGTGACGTTTACTTGGTAATCCTCAATATTGGCAATTGAAACTTTCATCACTTGTTCAGGCATAAAGTAAGAAGTTGAAATTACCTTTATGCTATATAAACCAGTACTGGAGATCTCCAAATCAAAGAGTCCACTTGTATTTGTATTCACAATGATATTTACAGATGGACCAACAATTTGAACGGATATATTGGATAGAGCAGATTCACCAGAATCAAAGAAATTGTTGAGATTTGCATCATCGAATATATATCCACTTAAATGACCAACTGTCGGATTACCACCTGTGGTGGATCCAGTAGAGGTAGTAGTGGATTGTCCAGTAGTTATTGGTTCAGCTGTTGTAGTGCTACTAGTAGTGGTCGTAGTAGTTATCTGATCAGTAGTTCCAGTTGTAGATGGTCCGGTAGTTATCGGTTCAGCTGTTGTAGTGGTAGTAGTTGTTATTTGATCAGTAGTTCCAGTAGTTCCAGTAGTGGTAGTAGTGGTAGTTATCTGATCAGTAGTACCAGTAGTGGACTGTTCGGTTGTGGATGGGTCAGTAGTGGTAGTTGTTGATCCACCTGTTGTGGAGCTTGTAGTTGATGATTCAGTTGTGCTGGATAAAGTTGTCTCAGATGTAGTAGTTGTTGTTCCGGTGGTAGTGGTTGGCTCCAAGTAGGTTATGGTATAATAATCAAAGAGATTATTACTGTTCCAAGTGGATGTGATTTGTTTTGTAAGAGAACCGCTAGTCCATTCTGGAATAGTACATTCAAGGAGATTTCCTTGTGATGCTACAACACATACGATTTGAACTCCGTCAATTGAATAGGTTGGAGTTCCAAATGGATAATCGTTGGTAATTGTCAAGTTTAATCCGTTGTTTGGTACAAACTGAGGGAACAAATCTATAATGTTTGAAGTAGTTATTAGTTAATGTAGCCAAATTTAAAAATCATTTATATAAAACTTACTTGGATTGACAATTTCAATGTTTCCGTATACAATTGATGAAACAGAATATTCATATGGAGAGCTATCGAATATACGAACATCTTGTCCATTTGAGTAGATAACAGTTTGATTGTCACCGACACTAAAGGAGAGTAACGAATGATTCCAACCGATATTGGCAAAGAAGCTGGAAGTGAATTTAGCGTAGGTCAAAGATAGGATTTCCGAGGTGTCAGAGCTGACGAATGTGATTATCTTTGATGGTGTGGGTACTATAAAACCAATCGATTCATTAATGGTAGAGATAATGTTTGGATTTTCAACTGTGACCAGATAGTTGTCAATGATTGGTACCATTGATATCAACTTATCAAAAACAATACGTGAGGTGGATGGTAAGTCAATTTGGTTATCTGCTGGATAAGTGAATGCTCTCTGAAGGAGATTTCCTTCCACTGTCGAAATAACATCATATTTGATTTGTGACAAAATCGTACTTGAACTGTTTCCATCCAAATTGATATCATTAAATAATGCGAGATTGAGATTTGTTTCTATATAATGTGAGATGGTTGGTTAGTAAGTCAAGTTGTAGTTTTTTTTTGGGAAAATATAAATAACATACTATATTTAATGGATAAAACTGATTGACTTAATGTGACTTGACAATAGGGTGGGAAATTTGTAGTAACATTTTCATATGGATAGATATCAAAGTTGACCAAATTAAATTGACCATATTGAAGTCTAACATCTTTAGATGGAGTTGATACTGTTCCAATACATCCATTTGGTGCTAAAAATAATTAGATTATTAGTAATGTTTTCAAAAAGTAATCAAATTATATTTAAAACAACATACATTTTCTAAATACAGGAATATCTTGCTCCCAACCTTCAAAGGTGAATGGACTGTGGAATCTGGTTTGTGGGAGGAAGTAGTTGACACCAAAGTTGGGTGAAGAAGTAACCATGATAGCATAGTAACCTAATTGTCTTGTTGTCTTAATTTCATAGGTACCATCATCATTAATAGTTGCTTGGGTGTAGGTGGTGTTATCATCAGAGATCAATCCGATTTCCAGACCATCAATGTTCAGTTGAATATCACCATCGTCAAATACTCCATTGTAGTTTCTATCATCATAGAGTTTACCAGTGATCTTTGTTTCAAAGAGTAGGGCTGGTGGTGGTGGTGGTGTGCTTCCTGGTGTTACGTTCATCCATGCTGGGAACTGAGGGTCTGGATCGTTTTCACCTGGTCTTTCATCTTCGGTTTCGCTTTCAAAGTCACAAAGCCAACTCTTTCCACTCAGCAAGTTTAAATCCAAAGTTGAATGAGAATCTTGAAATGATTTTGGTTTGCCATAGTTCCCAACTAATGATTGTTACTCGATAGAATTTAATCCATTGGAAGTCAGTAACTGGGAAAATGAATCCAGGTGGTGGCTCCAATGTTAAGATCGTGGGACCTGTGAAAACAGGTTTTCTTATTATTGGTCCAATAGTTGTTTTGATGATAACCTTTACTCTGATCTTTGGAATGACTTCCCAATTGATTTCCTCAATCTCCAAGAGATAGATTTCTTGACTAATGATTTCCTCGAGTGCACCTGTTGTACTTGACGCACCAGTAGTTGCACCAGTTGTTGATCCAGTGGTAAGTCCAGAAGTAGTACCAGTAGTACCAGTAGTAGCTTGAGAAGAAGTTGATGTGGTTGATGAAGTTGAAGTTGTACTTGAGTCAGAGGTTGTAGAAGTTGAAGTTGTACTTGAGTCAGAGGTTGTAGAAGTTGAAGATGTGGAGGTGGTTGAGGTTGACGATGTAGAGGTCGAGGTGGTGGTAGTGGTAGTGGTATCCTCATGACTGTTTTCACTGCTACTACTACTGCTACTGCTGTCATCATCTGTATAATCAAATAATTGATTTATAACTGAGTTTTGTGATCCAACAATAACCTTGATATCCAAATTCTTGCCAGTTCCAGATGGAATTTGGCATTTAACTTTATCAAAGTCAATCCACTCAACGGTCATACAATTGACTCCATCGATTGAAACAGAGTTATTGGAATCTTGTGGTTTCTGATTGATTTCATTGACGAATTCAGCAGGGATAAAGTTTTCACCAACGATTGTGATAAACTCTCCACCCTCAGAGTCACCTTCATACTTGATATTATCAAGTAGTGGTTCATTATAGCTGAATTGGATGGTAGCTGATTGATTACCTACAAACAATATCAATGGATTTTCAGCACCAATTCCAGCTGGTGCTTTGCAAACGATCTGCAATGAGCTAGCCCATTCGATTTCAGTACACGGTTTGTTGTTGATCGTGATATTCGAATTTAGAGGTTCAACATTTTCAGGCACAAAGTTTGAACCTTCAATAGTGATGGAGCGACCATCGGTATTGGATTTTGTAAAGCTGTTGATTGTAGGAGCATTATAGGAGAATAAGAATGATTGTGGTGCATCTTGTCCACCAATAAATAGTGATACCGATAGATTACAACCAATTCCAGGTGGAATAATGGCGTTTACCAACGTAGAGTTTGTAAATATAATGTTGCTCATTGGATAGTTTCCAATGCTTGCATTACTGTAGCTGAGAGGTCCTTCAAGTGTGGAGTACAACGGATTTGGAGTAAAGAAATCAATCGTTTCAAGCGTGAAATTAAGTTCATTTGGAACGAAATCGTAACCTGTAATGCTGATTGGTTGGCCACCATCTGTACTACTACCAACCACCGATACGTTCAAGATGGTCGGTCTGTTGAATGAAACATTACTAACAATATTTGATGAATAATAAGCATAGGAAAGATTCACTGGAATATTAAATCCTATACCTGGATACAAAGTACATAGTAAACAGTCAAAGTTGACGGTTGAACGATAGGATTCATTCATCATAACAAATGGATCGAAATATCCGCTGTGATAGGGATCGGTTGGAACTGGGATTGCATTTCCATTTTCGTCTTCGTAAGTCTGTTGGTAGTTGCAATCGTAATCAGCTTCACATTGCACTGTGACACTAGAGAAAAGTGTCATGTTGAAATCGGTACCTCCGAGTGGACCAAGATCGGAACCAACAACCCAGAACTCTGTTTGAACCGATGTGTTGGCAGTTACATTTGGTTGGATCACTTGGAAGATGACCGGAGGTGGATAGGTAAATGTTGGCCCATCATAGTAAACCTGTCCATCTACTATCACACCGACTTGGTTGATACCCCAATGCGCTGGAATCGTACATATGGCAGTGTTATCGTCGATCTTTGTTGTATCGGTACATGCCTCAGAACCAACGAAAACCTCCATTGGATCAAAAATGAGGTCACCAAAAGAAGTACCAGTGACAGTCATAATTCCTCCACCAGGTGTTGGTGAGCTGTTGACAGAGATGCCAGTGACTGTCGGTGCTTTGTAAGAGATGGCAAAATCCTCAGAAAAATCAGTGGATTGATTACCAACTGCTACATTGATAAGCTTATTGATACCTGTTCCATTCGACCTGAAAACTAAACCTTCAACGCCATTCGCAGCGTCATATATGAAACTTTGGATATCCATTGGAATTCTGTCAACCAATAACCTGGTATCTCGATTAGTGAATCCAAAGTTTTGTCCAAGTAAAGTGATGGTATCACCAACAGTCGATACAATTGGAGTCGGTTTAACAATGGAGCTGAAAACCGGTTGATTATAGGTGAATTGATATTGTTTCAATGGGGTTTCAGTTGGTAAATTGCTAATTGTATTTGAATAGCTAATAGGTAATACTCCAACACCTTGACCAACTACACATATTAATTGTTGGTCAGAAGCAGTGTCAACAGTACACAGTTTGTCTCCAACTTTAACTTGTACACCTGGTTCCGATAGTTTTCGACCGACCAATGTAATCTTGTTATTGGCATGAGTTGGACCGGTGACACCACTGATCGAAGTTACAATAGGACCACTTGGACAGAGTGAAAGAACTTGGCCACTTTCGAAATCGGCTTGGCTAGTTATAGCGAATCCACAAAGATAGTTTCTGTAGGTGACAATTGTCAAGCCGGTACCGGTGGCTTGTGAGAATAGAACAAAGTAGGTTTCCACCTGATTGTATTGAATTCTTTGTTGAGCAAGGTTGATTTGACTCTGGAGAACTCTTGTCAAGATTTCGAATCCCTTTGGAGTGACAGGATAACCTTTCTCAATTCCAAACTCACAGAGAGTTGTATCGACAACCTGTAACAATGATTCCAAGATAATGGAATTATTATATGCCGAGGCAAACGCTTGACTACCGTAAACCAATTGAATACCACGATTTGTTAGCCAATTGGTCGGTTGCTCCAACGATGAAATCCAGAAAGATGCAAACTTCTCTACCTCTTCAATTGGCGGAATTTCCATTGAGTCAATAGTTGATTGGCAAACTCCAAAGGAAAGAAGTGTTTGCACAAAGTTGGATGAGTCAATGACGCTCGAAGGATTACTATTTCTACAATATTGACACTGGAATATATTGTTATATGTCATGATTGAATTGGCGTGTGGAACAATAAGTGGATTATATGTGGGGATCTGTTCAAACAACGATTTACTAAATGAAATAATATCGCTATTTGCTGCTTGACTATTGATAGTATTGTTTATGATTGTGGAGAATTCAATTTCACTTCCACGATTACTATCATAGTGAGGTGGCTTTCTAAGATTGGTATCAACATAGTCATCGTTCTCTTCATCAATCAAATCCCAAAGATAAGCTGTAATCCAACCTTGACTGTATACTGCATTCTTTCTAGTCATTCTTGAAGTTGTGAATAACTCCATGTTAATTGGTTGTCCATTTGCATCGATGAGGGTTTGTACAATGCTTGTTGGTAGTTGTGGCAAAGTCAATTGTCTGAGTTTCATTGCTAAAAAGTTGGTCAAACCACCAAGAGTTGCAGAGGATGTAGAGTCTGTGAAGCTGTCAAATTGATAGATATTTGGAAGACCAACGGCTTGGTAACCATTGTTTAGCTGTAAGAGTAGATCGTAACTTATTGCACGGAAAACGGTGTCTACATTGAGCGATTGCAAACCAATTGGGATATTGGAGCGTTGATTGAGAATTGCTGTATTTCCATTGACACTCACAACATAACTAACATTTCTATACTCTCCAACTACCTGTCTGGCCAGTTGCAGTAACTTGAAGATAAAGATAATATTATTTTCAGTTATATTGGTGGTTTGTGGTTTGTAGGCAGCTGTGATATCGACGATTGGGAATGAGAGAACTTGACCTGAATTCTGTTGAATTACTACGATAGAACTATCGTTGGTCTCCAATTGCATTCGGAAAGATGGAGTATAGCTACCACGGAATGAGAATAGACCTACGGAATCGGTGGTGACTACTTGTCCATTGGTTTGTTGAAGTGGACACAATGGACCACTGCAACCAATATTGGAAACAACTATCTTTGTATTGGAAAGTAGAGGATTTGGTAATGAATCTAAATGGCTGGAAAGAGGGCTACCTGCAGATGCATAGGTACTATCCATAAGCAATTTCGATTTGATAGTGATGTAGAATTGATTTTGAATCTGATTGGAGCAATCTACGGTTGTGCAATTGGTTTGCTGATATTTGAAGATCGATGTAATGAAAAAGTCACTTAGAACAGTTTGCTTAATGCATACAGCCATACCACCACCTATTGTTGTCTTGGCAGAGTAGTCACCGAGACAGAGATGAGTGTCGTTGAATCCAATATGACTATGATCTCTACTGGCTCGCCATTGAGAGATCTGCATTGGGATATTATGTTGGCTGACGAAATCCGATGGTAATTTAGTCTCTGTAATTGCAGTGGCTGCAATTGGTAGTTTGAAATTAGCAGGCATTGTTATGAGAAGTGGCGATAATCCAACTGGTGTGAAAATATCTTGTTGGAATGCCGATGATAAGAATGCAGTGTTGGTGAGCCAGCTGCTAGAACGGAAAGGTGGAATCACCGCAGCTGTTGATTGGAACATTGGTGTGAACATGTTTGAATTGGCAGTGAATCTGTTACTTGCATAGGTGAATGGCTTCATCGCGACAATAGCATTGATAATCTCTGTTGCATCAACAAAGCTATGACAGAGGAATGAATGACCGAATGAAAGATCCGGCGATTCTGTTGGTCTGAGATGATAGTCGTTGGGGAACCAAGTTCCGTCAGGATAACTAGAGGGTGTCTTTATAGCACCGGTACTACCAAGTGGAACTGGAAATCCTTCCAGTGAATGTTTAATATGGAAACCGGGTGCATAGCTAATGTTGAATTTCGACTGAGAAACCAGGATACCCTTTCCAAGTGAGTTGTATTTATTGACATCACCGGTGAGTGATTGAGCAAGTTTTCCAGAGAGATCATCCAACCATGGCATATCATTGTATGCCAGATATCCATTAGTTGTTTGTACATTGTTTGATTTGATTTGGTTCAGTGTCAAAGCGAGGGAACTACTGTTGGAATTGATGGAATCAAAATATTGGACGACACTAGATTGACTGTCAAAGTAAAGGTATGAGCTGGATTGAGGAAGCTTTCTGGCGAACCACCATGAAACTGCAGCACCAGATGGTGAGAGACACGACAATGGTTGATCGATAACACTGAATATCACTAGGTTTGAAGGTAGTCCATTTACATAGACAGTGATACTGTAGTCAGCAATTACATTGGTCAGTGGAATTGAACATTTAATTTCATTGGTTTGAATACTAATGATGGTGCATGTCTGATTGATATTAAGTGGTTGATTAGATATGACGATTTCAGAGGTTGGAGCAAAGTCACCACCTGCCAAAGTAAGGGTAATCGGCGAGTTGGAAGTGAAACTGTTGCTATATAAAAACGCTGGTGTAATGCTGGTGATGTTGGCCGCATAGATATAATTAATATAGGCAATGTTTGATGCTGCCTCTGCATTGTAAACTATGACTGGTAGTAATCCTGGAGCAGTCACCACCGGCATCGTACAAAATATTTTGGCATATGGGAAGAAATCGGCTTGGCATTGATAGGGACCGACCATTACTTTAGTCCATCCCATTGTGAATCCAGATCCACTGATATCGATGATATTCGATCCATCCCTAGTGTCATAGACATAGGCAATGGCTGGCTCCACCGAGGTGATAACTGGAATGTCCAAACCTGTAATACTGAAAATCTCAGAGACAATATCGATATTTCTTAATTGGATTTGAACTGTTCCCACAGGCATCATTGTTGGATTGAAGAAGATGGTAGTCTTATTCATAAACATAACGTTTCCATATTGATTGAGATTGTATTCAAATGTTGTTATTCTACCGTCGAATCCACTACCTGTAATGGTGATGATGCTTGGTGATGCACTACTAGCTCCAACTATGATATGATTCGGTGTGACAGATTGAATGGATATTGGTGGAGATTCGAATGTTATGGTATCGGATACAATATTATTGGTTCCATCCACCAACATAAATGACTTAAGTCCAACCTCTGCGATTTCAGGGGTATAGAAGAGTACAGTAGTCGAATCTACAATGGTTTTTGGCATGTCAAAGCTACCCATAGTAGCATAGAAAAAGAGTGACATTTCTGGATAGATTCTGATACCTTTAATAGTGATCAATGTTGAGTTCATGTTGATGACAGTTTTCGGTGTGACCGATACCAGTTGAGAAGGAAGACGATAGGTCAATGGATACGTTGAAAAGAGATTTCCACTTGCAAGTACTTTGACCGTTTTGGTTCCTCCAAAATTTGGAAAGACAGCGGATGTACTGGTCAACATATTGGAGTTTACAAATGTTGTTGGCACTGACACACCGTCGATCGTTAGAGTAACACCATTGGAAAAACTATATCCCTGAATGGTAATTGGTTGTGATTGATGCGAATAAACATAGCTTGGTGAGATAGATGTAATGACTGGAGTGGGTGCAATCACTTCGAAATATCCATTGCCTTGAAGCATTTGAGAATTTCTAATGGTAACCATGTAGACTCCCAACCTTCCGGATGGGTTAAAGTTGAATTTGACATTGGTCGAAGTCATGGTGTTGTATAAAGCAACTGAAGAATTGACATATACAGCAAAGCCAGATGATTGAACAAACTTTGTACCGAAGACTGTCAACTCCAATGTCGTCTGGTTATTCAGAACTTTGTTGGGAACGATCGATGTGATGGTTGGATAGTAGAGATCGACTACAAAGTTCCGTGCATTCGATGCAATATTTCTGTTGTAGGCAACGATTGGATAGCTACCAGAAGTTGTCATACCAATATTAGCGTATTCAATCATTGTAGAGGTGACTTGGTAGATCCAATAGATAAATTCGGCTCCCTGTTTGAGCTTGGTAACTCCATTAATAAATCCTGTACCAGTGATCGTACTTCTTTGTGCGTTCTCCAGATTATTATAGTCTGGCACCATTGTGGTGATTACAGGTGTTGGGATGATAACATTTATATTGACAACGTTGGACACTGCAGTGAGATATTGAGCTTTGACTGGGAGGACACCAGCCAGCGGCAGTTGGGTAATATCTGCAACAATAGAGGTTGTGGTTCTCGATATGATCGGACAATTGTAGGTTCCAACTGTAATCGATGTACTATCGGCATTGAATTTACTACCAGCAACGGTTATCTTGGTTTGAGTATAATCAAAGCTGCTTGGTGTAATGCTACTGATGACAGGTACCTCCAAGACATATTGCATGTCAATAGGTGAACCGGATGTAGCTCCATTGATAGCCTGTATTCTATAGGTACCGGGAACAGTGAATGGATATGGTTTAATAATGGCCTGAGTCGCAGTGTACGATACCAACTCTGGAATCTGATAGATGGTGTTGGGAGGTGGTGAACCAATGTAGAAATGAGTTGGGATAGGTACGAAATTGGTACCTGTCACAGTGATAGTCATTGGAGAACCAATAATATATGAAGCAGGTGTAATTTTCGTAACTGTTGGTGTTGGTGCTGGAAAATTGAAATTTGTAATTTTAAATTGTTAGTTACTACTCTGATATCATTTACAATTAAATAACTAACACATCGGAGCTCCGATATAACAAATACTTACGAATCAATGACATTGAAAGTGAACCGGAAGAAATTCCAGAGTTTATAACAACAACTGGAACCTGTCCAGATTTACTGGTATCCGATACGGTATTACAAACGATGGCAGTTGCAGTGATCGTTCCAAGACCACATGCAACTCCTCCATAGGTGGCAGTCGATAGACCAGACATAAATCCAGATCCATTGATAGTTATAGTACCAGCCGAAACAGTATAAACATAATTTGGAATTAAAGAAGTAAGTATTGGTGTAGGTGCTGGTATAGTTTGTTTATTTATGAGTGAGTGTTAGTTAGGTTAGCTTAATATTTCTTTGAACTAAAAATAATTAATATATATATATATATATATATATATATATACATACCTATGAATGTAATGGCCAAGGTGTTGGATGAAACAGTACCAACTTTAATGGCAAGTGTTTTAGCACCGAGTGCAACAACCTTGGGTGCAAAGTTGATTTTCATGGAGGTGGCAGAACATGGTGTAGCATACACCGTGAAAATGCCGGCGAGCTCCGTACCCCTGATAACGATAGAGGCACCAGTGCACACTATACCTGTTCCTGTGATAGTGATGTCCACATTCTGATTAATCGTAACCGAAGTAACACTTAATTTACTGATTACAGTAGCACCTAATACATCTATTAAAATTGATTATCGAAATAATAATAAATAAAATTAATAACAATGAATCACTAATCAAACTGTTAAAATCAATCAAATAAATAGTGTGGGGGCAGTTTTTTTTAAACTAAAAAATAAATCAACTAATAAAAAAAAACATGACCACCGACCCAACTAAATAAATGACGGATCACAATACACAGCTTCTTTCTTAATATAAATCTTACATGAATAAGATATAAAAACTAATGCTATAAACAAGTATATTTGTAAATTAAATAATAACTTGTTTTTTATAACCATTATTATTTAACTGACTGATAATCATATATCTATGTGAAATGATTATTTATTATATATATACAAAACAAAAGTTTTAAAAGAATAAAAGAAAAAACAATTTCAACTCTCATAGTATATATCGATAGAAACTATCATTAAAAAAATCTCGATCAAACTCTTGTTTGAGAAAATCAAACTTTGATAGGGTCACACGACAAATCAATTTATTCGTGATCGATATGTGATACTATCGAATGGGTCATAATAGGTACCATACCACGCCTATAATTTGAAAAAAATAAAAATTGGTTCAGTTCAGAACGAGAGGTTTTTTTTTTTTGTGTTCACCTCCACAATAATCTAGGTGCTCGCAACATCAAAAACAAAAATAGACACAAAAAAATATAGATACACATAATTGTTGTAAGCTATTATATATTAAGTAAAAAAAGCAAAGATTCTTGGATTATTTTTGATTCTTTAAATTAATTATAATACAAATAATATCAATTATTATTACAATTACAAATGAGGAAAAAAAAAAAAGTAGTGGGTAGTTATTATGATTATGTTTTCGAAACTATAACATTTTGTTTTGTTTTGTTTGTTATTATTATTATTATTTAAGATTGTTTTTTTTAAGTTCGAACTGGTTCTGCTACTGGTTGTTGAGTTGCTGTTGTTGTAGTTGTTGATTTCTTTGTATTGTTGTTGTTGGAAGTGTTTTTCATCGATTTCTTTGCAGCGGTCAGTTGATTCGCCAGCCAAGACAAACCTTCATTGACACCCTGTCCAGTGATTGCACACGACTGACTGATATTCCATTTTCTATTTACAAGTTGTTGTAGACCTAGATGATTTGCAATCTCTTCCACTGACATCGCTCCAGGTAGATCACATTTATTTGCGTATACTAATAATATTGGTTCTATTCATTATGAATAAAGATAATTGACAATTAGTTAGTATACTAATGTTATTGTTGATTATCAATTTTGAAATATATATATATACCTCTCATTTCAGGATCATTTAAAACTCTATATAATTGTTGTTTAGATTCCTCTAGACGTTCTCTATCGCTACTATCGATTACATAAACTAAAACCTGTGTTCCTACGTAGTAGTGTCTCCATAGATTACGAATCTTATCTTGTCCTCCAACATCCTATAACATTGATGAATGGTAAGTTAACAATATTGTTTATCGTTCATCATCATCAATATCATCACATCATACCCATATTGTAAAAGTTAAATTTTGAAAATGGATTGTCTCTACAGAGAAACCAACGGTTGGAATGCTCGGCACAGTCTCCTTTAGTTTTATTCTATAGAGTAACGATGTTTTACCGGCTGCATCTAAACCGAGCATCAAAACTCTTATGTCTTTACTCTTTTTAAATAGTCTTGAGAATGCTTTTCCCATTTTTTTATATTGTATAATTATAGAAAAGTAACCTATATATAAATCGTATTTTGAATTGAATTGAATTGTATTGTATTGAGTTGAATTGAATTGTATTACAAGACTTTTTGTCGATAAAATTTCAGAAATAAATATAATATATTATTATTAAAAATAAACAAAACAAAATGCTAACAACTACTATAATATATAATATGACAAACAAACAAACAACAACTAATAATAATAATAATATAATAATAAGTATCGGAAATGGTATGAAATAAATAAATAAATAAATAAAATTTAAAATATAAAAATAAATGAGTAAAAAGTAAAGGGTTGGGTTGTGGGGATTTGAGAGTGTCAACTCTAAACACAAATTAGTTTATGAAAATTTTAAAATCTTAAAAATTGAATGAAAGTTGTGTTGATGTGTTTGTTTATTATTATTATTATACTTGTTAATTTATCAAGTTATTATTATACTGAATTTTATTAAATATTCGATATTATATTGTTTTCTTAATGTTATTTTTGCAATGTTTTGTTTTGTTTTGTTTTGTTTTGTTTTTTTAATGTTTTGTTTTGGTTTTAGATCTTAATGTTGATGATAAATATAGATGATCAAAAGATAATCAATGTTTGTTTATTTTTTTTTGTTTAAAGATACCATCACAATTTTGATCAAAGGTTTAAACCTGTTGTGTTATTCTCTTTTTGGTGTTTTTTTGTTTTTTCAACCAAAATGTAAAATCGTACTGTGATTTATCATGATTGACTTCACTCAAATTAGGTGAATTAATTAATTGGGAATCATCAAATCAAACAAATAATTCATCATCAAAAACCAAACAGTTGCAAATATATATATTTTTTTAAAATAATTTATTTTTTATATAATTTTATTTATTGTAGATTTTAATATTATATGCTATATATATATTATTATGATTGCTGTTGGTATATAATATGATTGATTTATGTGTTGATTTCTTTTCTTTTGATTTATAAAGATCTTGGTTTTGATTTATTTGGTTTGGTTGTTGTGTGAATGAAAATTAATTAATCGATTTGTTTTATAAGGAAAAAAATAAAGATGATTTTACTGGATTATATTGATTCAGTTTTGATTGACTTGATTATACGTATCTCTCTGTCTTTTTAAAGATTGGTGTGTTTTCTTGTGCTTCTTCAATGTCTTCGACTCTCTTTCTTTCGACACGAGCATTCTTGATTGGGATGAGACGTAAAAGGAATCCCAAAGGCAATGAAATGAAACCAGTGGCTACACATAATCCCCATTCTCCAAGAGTCAATGGAGTGGTCGAAGTTGCAGTTCCACCGAATGTTACAAACAAAATTTGAATACCAATTGTAGCGAACCAGATAATAACATAGATTGGATTTGTGAAAATACGTTTAAATGGATTCAAATCTAAATATTAATATTGGAAAATTGGAAAATGGAAAATATGTTAGAAATAAAATATATATAAAATAGTTGGAAACATATTTAACTTATAATAACTTACCATTACCCAAAACTCTTGCATTGATTTCATTGAATACTTGAAGGAATACGAAAGTGTTGAAAATGATAGTGTAATGTCTGACGGAATCCTTCTTGATGCCACCATCGAGTATCATGTTGTAAAAGTCGCAACCGAGGTAGAGCAAGAGGAATTGGATTGCCAGTTGGAAGGCGGCTTGTCCGAGAATGTCTCTCCACATGGTACGCGAAATAAGTGGAGCGTCCTTACCGTGTGGTGGACGGTTGAGAAGACTGTCGCTGGGTGGATCGGTTGCCAGTGCAAGTGCAGCCAGAGTGTCCATAATCAAATTGATCCAGAGAAGCTGGATACCGGTGAGTGGCGACTTTCCGCTACCGTAGATGTTTCCAACAAAAGCGACGATAACGGCGACAATGTTGATGGTCAACTGGAATTGAAGGAACTTGCAGATGGCGTCGTTGATGTTTCCTACCCCAGAGCAGGGCACGTACAATCGATGCGAAATTGTCGTCGAGAAGCACGACGTCCGATGCAGCAATGGCGACCTCAGTTCCGGTGACACCCATTGAGAAACCGACGTGTGCCAACTTGAGAGCGGGACCGTCGTTGGTACCGTCACCAGTGACCGCAACAACCTCACCGCTATCCTTCAGGAGTTGGACAAGTCTACGCTTGTCGAGTGGCGATGAACGAGCGAGCACTTGGAGACGTGGGAGAATTGCCTCGACTTCCTTGTCTGGCATCCTTCTGAATTCAGTTCCCTCCATACAGATTCCACCTTTGGTGAGAATACCACAACGTTTGGCAATGTTTTCGGCGGTGACAATGTTGTCACCAGTTACCATACGAACAACAACACCGGCTTGTTGGAATTGAGCAACTGCTTTTGGTACTTCCGCACGAATTGGATCACGAATTCCAACGAGACCAATGAAACAGAGTCCAGTGGTTGGTTCGTCGCCATCCAAGTTGTATTGTTCTGGATCGTAGTCGGCGTAGGCAAGACCGATAGTTCTGAGAGTATCCGATGCAAATTTGAAGATGGTTTGTTCAAACATTTGCTTAACCTCTTCAGTCATTGGCTTGATTTGTCCTTCCTTGTCAAAGTAGGTGGTGCATTGCGAGAGAATAATCTCAGAGGCACCCTTTGTGTAGAGACGATAGTGTCCATTTTCCTGTTGGATGAGGACACCCATCTTCTTTTTGGCAGAGGTGAAAGGGTAGAGTTTCTTGATGTTGGCGGTGGCTCTGGCAGCTTGGTAGTCGGCACCAAACACCTGAGCAAACTTGAGCAATGCACACTCTGTCTTGGATCCAATAAATTCAGTACGTCCCTTTGGCGAAATTCCCTCGTAGGCGTTGGAGTTGATGCAAATTCCATCGGTTATGATACTGTGAATGTGTTGAGGGATGTTATATTTGACGTTGTAGTCGACGTGCTCGATGTAGCTGGCGATGTGTCCGCTTACCACTGTCATTTGGTTGGTTGTGAGAGTACCGGTCTTGTCGGAGCAAATTGTGGTTGCGCTACCCATTGTCTCGCAAGACGCCATGTGTCTCACCAAGTTGTTTTCCTTGAACATCTTGAGCATGCCGAAAGCCAGTGCGACAGTGACTGCCAGGGGAAGACCTTCTGGCACGGCGACGACAACAATGGTGATGGCATCGACAACGATCTTTGTGACATCAGAGATACAGTCGGTTGTGATTTTAATATCGTTGACTTTGAGCTCGATGAAATACTTTGGGATGGTGATGAGCAACATCAAACCGGCGGCAATCAAACCAAACTTTCCAATACGATCGGCGAGTTGTCCGAGCTTCTCTTGGAGTGGAGTGTCTTCTACCTCAGTACGGAGCGACATCATAATCTTTCCGTTGATGGAATTGACACCGACCGATGTGACCATCATCTTACCGAAACCCTCTTGCACGGTTGTTCCAGAGATGAAGAATGGATCGAGCTTGTCTTTGGTGTGACCTTTTTTGATTGGATCAGACTCTCCTGTCATAGATGACTCATCACAGATGATGGAGTGACCCTCAACAAAGACACCGTCTGCACATACAATGTCACCAGTGTCAATCATGAGGATGTCACCAACCAACACATCGAATACAGAGATGATACATTGTTCACCTCCACGAACAACCTTGACAGTTCTATCGGCAGACTTTTTGTTCAATTCTAAGAAACGCTGTTGATTCTTGTAGTTGTTGATCGAAGTTACCAGAGTGACGACGACGACAGCCACCAAAATGGCGACACCTTCAATCCAACCAGTTGAAGGATCTTCTGAAGTGTAATCGATAGAACCTAAAATAATTGAAACAACCGCGGCAATAATAAGAATAATCAATGTTTCATCCTTGAGAGCTTCCACAATCATCTTCCAAAGTGGATCAATAGGTGGATCTGGTAAAACATTATTCGAAAATCTGGTAAAAAATTATAATAAAAAAATAAAAAGATGGAAAGAATATTAACAAATTTGAATTTCAAGATAAATATCTATGTATATATATTATTGCTGTTTGATTTTGTTTACCTTTCTATTCTATGTGAATTGGCAGTGTTGGCATGCTTTGATAGACCTTCTTCAAGGGAAGTTCTCAATTTTTCTGCTAAACCATGGTTACCTCCTAATTCCTCTAGACGTTGTGGGTTCTTTGGAATCGATACCAAATCCTGAAGTGAATGACAATCAATTCCAAAGGTCTCTTGTAAATCAAGTTCCTCGTACGAGGAAATAACTATCGACATTTTCAGATTTTCTTGCTTTCGAAAAAAATTTCAAAGTTTGAGTGTTGTTTTTTTTTTTGTTTTTTGTTATTTATCTATAAGGTTATAATGACTGTTGATTGTTAATGAATTAATTGTACTGATATGTGTTGTGATTGTGGTAAACAATTGTTTGGTTTTAAGTTTTAGATTTAAACACTTTGTAAAAACATAAAACAAATATTATAATTAATTCAGGGAGTGGGAGGAAAGTGGCAAACTAGTTATATATCTAATTAAAACATATATAATAAATATATAAATAGTAAACAACGCTACGAAACTGAAAAATTGAAAAGGGAACAGTAAGATGATGTAAAGTGAAAAGAGAAAATGTCAATGAAGTTTTTCTGTTGTCACATAGATAGCAAATATGTGATTTTTATTTGACCTCTTTGAAATCAAGAAAAAAGAATGTCATTTGGCACTCAAACCACAGAGAATTAAAGATTCAAAACCAGTAAAAAAAAAATAAAAATAAATAAATATCATTGTTTTATGTCTACACTAAATTGTGCATTGATTTGAAAAAACAATGCTGGCTTGATGGTTCGTAAAAATTGCTTAAAAAAAATCGCATTTTTGCAAAAAAAAAAAAAAAAAATTAAAATCAATTAAAACAAAAAAATCAGTTCGCATTTAGCAAATTTTCGAGCAGGTTAAGTTTGATCTCTTCAAGAAAAATTCTAACCTGATCGAAAAATGCTCATCGAAAATATGATCAAAGAGGTAAAAATAAGCAAAGTTGTTGCCTGTGAAAATGAAAGAATCGGATTTCGGAGTGATTCTAAAATTAAAAAATAGTTGTAAACTTTTAGACCTTTTTGTTTTTGAATCCATTTAAATTTTCCAACTGTTGCTTGGATTTTATAAAATAAAATAAAATAAAATAAAATTGGTTTAATATTTTATTACTTTTATTTTTTATTAATAAATCAAATCCAATCCAACCTCAACAACAAATGTTACTATTGTTATTTTGTTGTTTTTTGGTAAACTACTAAAAATTTTTGTTAAGAAGAAATAAAATAAATTAAATTAATTAAAAAGGTTAAAACAAATTAAAAATGCTTGTTTAGTTCTTTTAAAAAGCTCTCTTCAGAAACTCAATCACCATTAATTTGCGTTTGACGGGACCTATCAAAGAATACCTTACAAACATTTATTATTTTGATAGATACCTATGGGAGATGTATATCTTTACCTTCTATAAAAAGTTAATTTTAGTCTAAAATTTTCTTAGTTGACAGAAAAGCCTTCAATTTTTTTAAACAATCAATCTTTTGAATCTTGCAATCTACCAATTTCTATTGTTTTGTTTGTTTTGTTTTTTTTTTGCAAAAATATTGTAAAACCTCTTTATTTTATTTAGCTTTTTTTGAGACAACTTTGCCCAAAAATCCTTTGAGATTAATTGAAAACCAAACAACCACACCAAGATTAAAAATTAAACAAAAAAAAAAAAAAAAAAAAAAGTAGAGTGGATTGATTGATTATCTATTACATTTCAAGTTAATATGTTTTTCGATTACCTATCAACCAATAACACTACTTAACTAAAGCGCTAAACACTTCCTCTTTCAACAAGTATCACACAGCGACAGCGACAACGAAAAAAAAATAAAAAATAAAATAAGAATGATTATTAATAATAGTAGAAAGAGAAAAGATGATCGTAACTCGAGATAATCTCAATCTCTGAATTCAGTTCAACGTGTGGGTGTTTGAAAAACAACTGGCATTATATGACAAAATTGTGTGATACCATACATCCAAAACAATAGAAAGATAATGATGCATCATGATTCTGATCATGATCATCATACGAGAATAATGTGTGCTTCTGCATAGCAAGTCCAATTCTATCGAATTTTGTTTTACAAACAATTGTTAGAATCACACCTGGTAGGTAAGCTAGCGAACAAAATAAGGTATAAATACACATCAATCGATGTTGAAAGACAGTCCAAACACACACTTAAATTTCAAATAGTACATTATTGCTCTTCCATACCTTCTCAAACAAATAAATACACCCTCTTACTTATTTTTGGTAATAACAAACCAAAATTATATTTGTGTAACAGTATTAAACGTAAGAATATTAATATTGCTCTATATATCGTCGTGTTCTGATTCATCCGCTCACCCACACACAATTGTCATGTTTGTTTGTTTGTTAGTTTTTTTTTTATACTTAAAATTCGAAATCACAATCAATCGATAATAATAATAATCATCATCATTCTCACTATGATATCTGTAAATTACTAATCGTAGCCCCCTTTTGTTGTCATCATCACAATAAGCATCACACTACGTTCAAATTCTCATCAGTAGATGACTAATGAAATTTGATTATTCATTGATTCTAACTCTAAAGATTGAAATTAACATCACACAATTATGTGTTAATTTATATATAATTATAAAGTCCAACAGATAAATGACAAGTTTTAATTTGCCAACCAACACCAATTAATTCGCCAGCACCTACAACCTTATTACCTTCTCACATTCTCAAGTATCATTCCAAAACAAAAATGGAACCAGCTTAACCATCCGTCCAACCAACCACTCACTTCTATTTTCAATTTGTTTCGCGTGTTTTGTTTGACCAAACACAAATTGGTTCGTTTATCCAAGCCAAATAAATAGAATAATAGTATTAATAATAAAACATCCCGACAAAATACAACTTATAAATATCACAAAATAATAATGATATATAATTTGATTATTTATCTTCAAAAAAAAAGAAAATAAAACTGGGGTGTTCTTCTTGACTGATAAGTAATAGAAGGTTGTATGTAGAATTTCTGACGTAAAGTCATCTATTATATCCTCTCTTTTTAATTCCTATCAATTTCAAAAAAAAAAAAAAGAATCGAATCACACTCCTCCAACCTACAATCAGCTCATCAAAAATAAAATTGAATTATAATTATTTTATCACACTGACCAACACCCAAAAACACACACTAACTCACCTCCAGACATATTAACACTACCATTCAAAAAATTAATCCCACTCCTCTGTGCGTGTGATTTTTAAATATTTGTATATATATGTAAAAAGAATAATATACATCCACGAGCAAATTAGTTTTGATTCTGACTGAAATTATTATTTTTTTCAATATCTTTTTTTTTACACATATTTATTAAATATTGTGTGGTTGGTGTGTGAGACCATTAATTGCTTCAAAGAGATAGGGTCAAACTAAGAGATAATAGATATTCAATTTTTAATTGTTTTTCCTTAAAACTAAGTTACTTCAAATTGTTTGTTTTGTTTCTGGCCTGTCAATCTCAAAAGACATGCTAATACATCTAACAAACAAAATTTGAGTTGTTGGACGATTGTTGCTAGTTTTTGTTGTGATGGATGATGATGTTTTTTGAAGAAAATTTAAAAATAAAATAAAATATCAATTTTAATGTAAATAGATATATTTAAAGTCAAATACATGTATGGTTATATATATATTATTTTAAATTTTTTATTCTATTCTTAAATTCTGTCTTTTGTTTTGTTTTGTTTTTAATTTTAAAATTAATTTATTGATTTGTTGTTGCCATTCAAGACGATTGTCAAGAATCCCTCATCCAAAATCGCGATATTCAAAAGATAGATATTTATTAATTTAAGCGTATTCTCCTTTTTCCACAATTTCAAACAACATCAACAACGAGTTGTCAATTCCAATACCTTTCCTTCTGTATAATAAACACCATCTACACCACACACCCGAGTAGTGCTCCATTAATAAATCTTTAATTAAATAACACTAACCAACCATATCAATTAAATATTAATATTTCTGTATAAAATTAAATGTTGACAATTTTATTTAAATTAAGTAGGTCACCTTTTTAAGCCAGTTTCCAACCACATATAAAAGACGATCATTGGATTCATTTTTTTTAATCCAACAACAACAACAATAGCAAAAACAACAACAACAAAAAACAACAACTAAACTTGTGTTTAATTTATTATTAATAATATTTCCTAACATTTCAATATACAAAAAAAGAAATAGTTTAAGAACTTCTTCTTTTGCTTATTGATATTCAACAATGTTTAGTGTTAAAGCTTTACAACCCATTCTTATAGTTATTTCCATCCTAATAGTAGTCACTTCAAGTATTACATATAATCTACCAAAACAAAATTGCTATGATTTCATTATAGTTGGTAGTGGTTCCAGTGCCAGTATAGTGGCAGATAGGTAGGTTAAAATAATAATATTAATTTTTATAAAAAGTTAATTTAATTAATGCGATTTTTTTCTTTTACTTTAGATTATCTGCTAAAGGTCACACTGTTTTAGTTATTGAGGCTGGAAAAAGATCTATTGGTGATCTTGGAGGTTTAGATGTAGTTGGTACCAAAGGAAAATTGGATCCAACATCAATGGAGTATACTCCAGAAGTAAGTTTACAAAAAACAAAATACAAAAAAGACTTTTATTAATATTATTTTTCTTACAGAGACAAGTAACCATTTATGATGTACCATTGTATTGGCAAAGTTCATCTATAACGGGTGGAAAATGGGGTTACAAAGGTGCTGGAATTGCAAAACTTGTTGGTGGTTGCGGAGTTCACAATGGTATGGTGTTCCAGAGAGGTTTAAGTAGTGATTACGATTCATGGAATTTGCCAGGCTGGAACTGGACCACTATGAGTACCTACCTCAAGAAATTAGAAAAACAATTGGATCCACAATTGGCAACCAGCGACCTCCATGGACACGACGGTAAAATCAAAGTTGGATCGATACCGTTCGACAAAGAAGGACAACAGTTTTTGGCTTCTTGTAATGCAAGTGGTTTGCCATTCAACAGTGATTTCCAACAGGATTTCCGTGATGGCTGTGGTTATTTCCATTTCAATATCGACAAAACCAAAGGTGAGCGTTCAACTCCAGCCCACGAATACCTTTTGGATGCCGTCAACTCCAAGCGAGTTGAGTTGCTTCCAGAGGCAACCGTTACCAGAATCCGTTGGAGATACGATATCCCCAGTCGTAAATATGAAGCAACCGGTGTCGAATTTGTATTGAACAAATACAAAGATAAAGTTTTCACAGTCGATGCCTCCAAGGAAGTTATATTGGCAGCCGGTACTCTAAACACCCCAAAGATTCTATTGCAATCGGGAGTTGGAAACTCCACCTATTTGAATCAATATAGAGATAAAATTCCAATGGTAGTTTCGAATCTGCCAGGTGTCGGAAGAAATCTCCAAAACCACTTTTTATTCTTTTCCGTTTATCAATATTCCGATGTCAATTCACGTCCAACCATGTACGACCTCTTTAGTTTGGATCTCGCCTACAAATCTCAGGGTGCCGGTATTTTTGGTACACCAGGTTACTCGGTTGGCGTTTGGTTGCGAGGTAACTCGACAAAGGAGAAATCCGCCGAGAATGTCATGATTGTCCAGCCAGGTGTAATCGGTACGACCACCCCTTTCCCCTCGGTATCACTCGGTATCAGCATTGGAAAACCTGAGCCAAATAATCATTGGCTTGATCTCTCAACCAATCAATCGGGCTCAAAAATCGACTTTTTTATGAGACCACCCAATATCAACTTCACTCTGTTGAACAATCCACTCGATGTACAAAAGATGGTGCGTGGATTCAAGGAGGCCAAGAGAATTATGTCGTTCCCGCCGATGAGCACCTTGATGACACCGGCCGTGCCACCTCCAACTGCAACCAGCGATGCCGATCTCGAGGCCTATATCAGAGCCAATATCAACGCACACGAACACTGGTGCGGAACCTCAAAGATGGGTTTGACATCCGATCCAATGTCTGTTGTCGATCCCAGACTCAAAGTCATTGGAGTGCGAGGTGTAAGAGTTGTCGACGCATCGGTCATTCCAATTATCCCAGATTCTCTTGTACATGCAACCGTAATGGCAATCGCTGAAAAAGCATCCGATTTAATCTTAGAAGATTATCCAAATCAAGGTTCCAATCCTTTAGATTTAAATTTGTCAATATTAGCATAAGACAGGCCTCTTTAATCATTAGTTAATTTATTATTATCATTTTTTGTACAAAATTTTCGAATCATATTTATTAAAATTATTATTTAAACAAATACAAATACAATTACAATATATTTACAAACTAACTTAATATAATTAATAAAAAAATCATTTTATTTAATAATAATAACAATAATATATTTTTTTTGATTATTTTTTTTTAGTTGTTTTTTAATGGTAAAAGGATAAATGTTATATTGATTTGTAATGGTAGCAGTATAATAGTGATGATAAAGTTTGATTGTTGTTTAAAATCTGTCAAATTTTGCCATAAATGATTGGTGATTGATGATTGATTGATTTAGTTATTATTTAGTTCATTTATATTGGCTTTTATATCTATAGTTATGTTTGGATGGATTACCCTTATTTGGCTTTGGTTTGGTGTGGTATATTACTATTTTTTTTTTTGATTTTTCTTTCCAGTAGAATGCTCATTTAAGATTTCTACCTTCAACACTGAGAGTAAACGCTCTTGGATTTCCTTTGTAAGTTTGTCTCATGATCTTCTTTTCGATTTCCTTATCAATCTTACTGATGGTTCTAACTGGTGATACTCTAGCATTGTGTGCACTTTCATCGATTCCTTTTGGCTTCTTTGTATAGATCAAGTTGGCTCTTGGAATTGAAACGGCATGCTTAATATGTGCTGGTAAATAATCATCTTTTGTGAATCTAGAAAAGCATGATTAGTAATGAATTTAAATTCATATTAATTTCCAATTATCTTACTTTTTAGTTAAACCATCTACATTGTGAAGTTGTTCTGGATCCACTTGGATTTCATCGTGTTGTCTTTCCTCTCTGATTTGACTGGGTAGATTCCATTTGTGAATGACATCGTATGCGAGTTTCTTGATGACTGGTGTTTCGCTTTCCGATTTATTGATGGCCATTACCATCTTCTTGACTCCACTTCGTCCGATTTGATCACGTGCAACCGGCAGAAGACTGAGTGCCTTCAGCATTGCCGTCTTGATCTTGATGTTTGGAAGTGAACCGTCTGGCAGTGGCTCCAACCACATTGCAATGACGTGAAAGATGCTTGGATTGGCCATAGTCAAAACGTCGTAAAGCTGCACCTTACTGAGAGTCGACTCGACCTCTGACAACAATATAATCTTATTGAGTGCTGGCGCACGCTTCTTGTTGGCACTGACATCGAGATCCGCTGCATTCATCATCTTGTCAAGGATGTCACGTGCCATCTGGTAGGCAATGTTGTCGTCGAGCTTCTTCACCTCACGTCTTCCCTTCATCGATTGAAGCACGACATCGAAAGGATTCGGTTCCAAATCTTCGTTGTTTCCATCTGTTGATTCCATCATGTCGTCTTTGCTCTTCCTCTTACTCGATTTCTTCTTCTTCTTCTTGCTGCTTCCACTTTCGTCGTCATCGCTGGCGTCTCCATCTTCATCCTTGCTCTTCTTTGACTTTCTCTTTGTTCCCTTCTTTCCTTCTTCTCTTTGCTGCTACTCTTCTTCTTGCTCTTCTTCTTGCTCTTCTTATCAGAGTCACTTGCATCCGATGCTGATTCTTCATCTTCCTCCTCTTCTTCTTCCTCCTCCGATGCCTCATAATCTCTATCCTTATCTAGATTCTCATCGTCATCGTCCACGTTCATAACAGCACGCTTGTCACTCGACGATTGTTCTTCGTCATTCTCACCAGCGTCTTCTTTGATCTCGCCAACATTCTTAACCTTGATCTTTGTCGGAGTGGCAGCAGTGGCAGCAGCTCTCTTACTTCTCGAGAGTCTAGTGAATGACTTTTCCTCTACTACCGACTCTTTCTTCTCCGAATCACTTCCAAAGATATCATCATACTCGACTTCCTTCTTCTTCTCTGATTTTTCATCTGCATCCTCCTCGACTTCCTCAGCGGCATCTACATCTTCAGCATCCTCCATCTCCTCTTCATTATCACTTGATTTACTCTTGCTCTTCTTTGATTTTCTACTCTTCTTTTCTTTCTTCTCTTTCTTTTCCTTCTTTTTCTCTTTCTTCTCCTTCTTTTCCTTCTTACTATCTTTCTTCTCTCTCTTCTTTCTAGGTTTCTTTTCTGGCTTCTCTATTTCTTCTTCTTCCTCCTCTTCTTCCTCCACTTCTTTTCCTTCGGCTTCATGCTCCTTTTCTACTGCTTTCTCCTCTTCTTCTACTTCTTCTTCTTCTTTCTCAGCTTCATCCTCTTTATCAAGTTGTTTTGTCACCACCTCTTCTTCTTGTTTCTCTGCTGTCACTGTAGTAACCTCTGTTTCTGCGGTTGTTGATATTTCAGTCTTCTCTGCCTCAGTGGAAGCAGCATCAACCATTGGTTCAACTATTGAAGATTCGACATTTTCACTTTGCTCTGTGGAAGTTGGTTTGTCTTCAACGATATTCTCGACTATTTTACTTGTTTCTAAATCCATTTCTTTTTCTAACTAATAAACTAACAGCGATACTAAGTATAGATAAATGAAAACAACCAAACTAATTGAATAACTAGGTAACCTAAGAGAATAATTAAACTAAATAACTAAACTTTTAAAAAACAACACTAAAAAAACAACAAAAAAATAAATAATCAACTATCAAAATCAAGATTAACGTTGAAATTGACGATTTGATTAATTAATAATACTATAAATAGATAATAATATTATAAAGAAATACTAGATCTAAATATAATATAATAATTTAGTTGTTGAAATTAAAGGAATCATATAAAATTTTTAAATTTTTGATTTTTAAAAAAAACAATTAACGACTTTTTTTTTTTTTTTTTTCTTTTTTTTTTTTTTTTTTTTCTAAATTTAACTGATAGTTAAAAAAACCATTTAATTTTAAAAATTTTTAAATTGCAATTTTTGATGATCACTAGTTATAAACCCAAATTGATCATATTTCTTTTCATTTTCTTCTTTTTTTTTATTAAATCTTAAATAAATAATTCACTAAATAAATTTATTTATTTTATTTTTTTTATAAATTTTATTTATTTTGATTCATTTTCTTTCGTCATACCAAACAAACTAAACGAATCTTAAACCAGACTAGTCTCACCATTTCAAACATTCATTCATTTCTATTTCTAAACAATTATAAACAAAACATTATGGGTAAAGATATTTCATCGAATCAACCAACAATTTCATCAGAGGTATTAAGTTCTGCAGCATGGTTAAGTGAACACTCGAAAGATGTTAAAATAAATTCAGAGGCAATCGATAAATTTATTCGTGAAATTACAAAAGGTAAGCGGTTAACAATCAATGATTGATCATTTGAAGCAAATTTTGAAAGCATGAATCTCTCCTTTTAAAATTGATTGAAAAATGTACTAATTCTAGAATGTTTAATTTTCGATCTAGATGAATATGATCAAAAAACATCAGTTATGCAATTCCCATTGAATTTCAGTAATCATGAGCAAGAGGTGAACTTTTGGTTCGTTCTGGATCTTATAAATTTCGGTAGTGGCTACCGAAAGGAATTACACGAGGCATCGGGAAGAGGCGCATACGACACCATTTGCTATGGCTTGTTTGGAATGTTTCTCTCGCAGTCTGGCAATATCAATGCAAAGTTCTTCAAGAATCTATCGTTGCACGAGGTTTCCTCGTATTTCAACATTCCAATCTCGGTGGAAGTCCAACAGCAACCCGGAATCTACGCCTACAAAGATTCGCCATTGAAGCCACTGGCCATGTCGATCCACAGCGTACTTCGTGAGAGTGCAACCATAGTACAGGACGAACTTGGATTCGATGATTTCGGATCGTTCATCTTTAAATTCACTGAACCATCATCATCATCATCATCATCATCAAATAGTCGTCCATCAGCATGCAAATTGACGGAACGTTTGGTTAATACTTTCCCGGCATTTAGGGATGTCTCCAAGTACGGAGAATCAAACACACCCATCTATCTTTACAAGAAAGCACAGTTACTCTGTGGAGATCTACATAGAAGATTCAAGAGTTTGCTCCCGGAGCGATTCGACTTTGAAGATGTTGATCAGCTGACCGTTTTCACAGACAACGTAGTTCCCGCGGTCTTGAGAAAATATGGCATTCTCGAGGTGTCGAAAGAGTTGGAGGAGTGGCTCGACAGCGGAAAAGAGTTGCCAGCTGGCGACCGTGAGATTGAACTACGTTCGCTGGCGATCCACGCATGCCATCTACTCACAGAGAGAGCAAGACTTCAGAATCACGAATTCATAGGAAACGACATGAAATTCGATTACTTCCTTTGGACCAAAGGAAAAGATGGTGAATTTAGAAAAGTAGAAAGACATTATACAAAATCAATTTATTATTAAAGACAACCCAATCGTCTGTTTAATAAAAACTATAGTTGGATGGAGGAATAAATATTTATAAATATATAAATATATATATATAGTTTGGTTTAGTTTAGTACAATTGTACTATTTTGGTACTGGTGTTATCTTCATGAAGAAATAGGTAAAGAGGAACAGACACATCACCAATACGATGATAAGGAAATAGTTGAGTGTATCTTTACGGTTGCTCGATGTATACTTCTTGAGACGTTCGTGTTCCTCGCCGATTTTGTCGTGGTTGTTGGTGAGATGTGAATTGAGTTCGTCGAGACGCGACATGTCGCTGTTGAGCATCGTCGACATCTTGTTGGAGTGACTCTTCAGGTGCATAGCGGCATCGGACATCTCACGTGCCAAGTCCTCTTGGAGTATTCGTTGTTGATTGGTTATATCCTGGAATGACAACTGGCTTAGACGCTCCGGATCGTCCAGTCTGTCCTCTTGATGAGTCGTACCCAATAGTTTTGACAACTCACTATTTTTATTTTGAAATTTTGCTCGATAATGTAATGTTGGTGATGTTAACTGCTGTTGTTGTTGTTGTTGCTGTTGATTATTATTATTATTGCTATTATTATTATTATTATTATGTTGTGGATGAGGTGATGATAATAATAATTCTGTTTTCTTCTTTTCTTCATTGTTTCTTGTCTTCATTACAGTATGAACTTCATTCATCTTCTCACCATGTGTAATATTACTTGATTGTAATCTTATCATTGATAATCTTGTAGAGATAGGTGAATTCTAAAATAAAGTTAATAACATAACATATTAATGATAATAGCATTTATATTGATAATAGTAACGATATCTTACTAATTTCTCTTGATTAACTAATCCAAGTAAAACATTTATCTTTCTCGAGTATTCATTTAATGCTTCTTTTGAAGGTATATTCTTTTCTAATTGTTCATTGTTGGTATTTAAAGATGATGCTGTTGATGATGATGACGACGATGCTGATGTTAATGTTGGTGTTGTTTGTATGTTTTTATTTAATTGATTTGATTTATTCTCTATTAAATCTTTAAGTTGTGAATATTTAGCAAATAATACAGGTATAAACTAAAGTAGTAATTATTTTTGAATACAGTTTGTTAGTTTGTTTGTTAATCCAATGTAGTGTAAATATATATAATTACCTTTTCTACAGATAACATATCTCTATTTGAATTTGAATTTGAAATTAGATTCTCACATGACTGTATCAGTCTCTTTAGATTTACATCTAGTTTATGAATGTCTTTATATATATCTTTACTGCTGCTACTGCTATTACTTCCACCAGAAGCTATATCTGTATCAAATATTACATCTTGTTTAGCCATCTTCTTCATTATTGGCTCAAAAAATAAAAAAAATAAAGAATTATAGTTCAGTGTTTTTTCTTATCACCCACTCTGTTATTAAAAAATCACAAAAATAAAAGAGAAGAATACCACGTCAGATCAAATGACTCATTCATTTTTATTTGTTTATGTATACAGTCACCAAAGTTAGAATTAATAATTTATTACTCTTACTTGACCAAATAGAAATTTAGTTATGAATTAATTATTAAAATCAACTTTTTCAATTGAAATTTCTGGATAATAATCATGATTTATAGTTGTTTAAAATAAAAAGAACAGCAAGTGTTCTTGTTAAAAATAACAAAAAAAAGAGATGGATTATTTGCTGGTATCGGACTTTGGGCATCTTCAATTGATGTTTAACACTTCGTTCACGATATTATTTGTATTTTGTGTTGGAATTTGTTTATTTGATGGTTCTCAAAAATCAGATTAAAGATAGGATTATTGTAATAGCGGGCGGTACCCAAGAGAACATCCAATGCTGCATTAACACTTAAAAAAAAAAAAAAGTTTTTTTGGAATTGAAAAAAAGATATTTAGTTTTTGCAAAAACACTTTGAAATCTTCGAATGGGCGGAGGACAAGACCATTTAAGTGCCTCCGAAAATTTGATCATTTTTTCGAATTTATTGATATTTTTAATCAAATTTATCATTCTTTTAAATATTTAATTTTTTTTTATTTTATTTTTTTTTGGTGGTATCAAAAAAATGATGATAAAAGGAGGACTTTTCTATTCCAATTGAAATCAGTTCATTCAATCTCACAATCCTATTTAAAAATGAAATTTTATTTATCTTTAGTATTATTATTATCTGTTTTGTCATTTTCCTATTCTAAACCATCAGACTTGGGTAAAGTCTATGCTATTTGGCATTGCGGTATCGATGGTTGCATGTGGAATACACCAATCAACAACTCCTATGTCGATTGGATTGTCAATCGTGGAGATGGTATCCCAACCAATAACTTGTTTATCTTCTCCTTCTTGAACCCAGTAAACATTCTCCAACAAGGAATACAAGCAGTTCCAGCCGGTATGAGTAAATCACTCATTCAATATCTCCAATCTCAAGGTCTATCTGTTATGTTCTCCATTGGTGGTGCAGGTATTGTATTAAATTGTTTGAAATCTAGAGTTTTTTATTTTAATTAATAAATTTTCACAATTACAATTATTATAGCCTGGAGTTCTGAATGGGATCAAGCTTTAACTAAAGATCCAACTACTCTTGGTAAGAATGCTGCTGCCATCGCCCAAGAATTTGGTGTTGGAATTGAAATCGACTACGAGAGTGAAGCCAATACACCAAAGTTGGATGCTTTTGTCAAGGCATACCGTTCTGTCATTCCATTTGACAACTCCTCGAGTGCCACCGATAGCTCTTTGCTAACTGTAGATACTGGTGCTGGAACCGGATACTTAACCTCTGTTTCTCTCTGGGCAAGCAAGTGGTTGGAAGCCAACGAAATCAACTGGATCAACGCTATGGTTACTGGAGGACCATACGGATCTCTCTCTGAGGCAACTCAATATTGGAATGAACATTTATATGGTACCAAGTAAGATATTATTATTTTAATATTCTAAAATATTTAAACTTTAATTTATTAATATGATTTAATTTAAAAGCTGGGCAAGCATTCCACCAATGAGACCAGAACATTTAGTTGTCAGTCTTTACAGTTGTGATGGTTCACCAAATTGTAATTCATACCAAGGTACTGTTTTGCAAGCTGCCGTCGGTTGGGTCAACAATGCTACCACCAGAGGTATTTCCTTCTGGGTAGGTGGATGTGTTGGTGGTTTGAACAATAACTGTTGCAATGATTGCACTGGTCTTGAACAAGGATCAAAGAACTATTTGTCATAAACTATTATCATTAATTAAAAAAGATCTATTTATTTGTAAACTTTATAATAAAAAACAAATTTGTTTGTTTAAATTAAATCCATGGATTCTTAAAAGTCCAATAATCCTTTAATTTTTAGAACCATTTCTTTATATTCTTTTGAGTTTGTGAATCTAGTTGCTTCTTCTTTCATATAGGCAATGGATGGTTCGGATACATCATTGACTCCAATGTTCTTGTCAATCACTGGATCGAATCTAAAGTAGTGGAGATTTGGATTGGCCTTTTGGAATTGTTGATGAATTTCAAAACTGGAACCTGTCATAAAATTAATGATTCTGGTCAGTGGGTTCTCAATAACTTTGCCAATGTTGGTGGTTACAAATTTGGTACCAGTGGTAAATGAAGAAGTAAGGTTTGACATCATATCAGTTTTAGTAACTTGGTAACCAGTTCCAAAGGAAATGAAAATACATTCATGGATATTATCCATTCCAAAGATATTGACAGCTTCCTGGTGGGTAAGGTTAATTGGATTGTTATTGAAATAACCACCATCCATATAGGTGTAGTTCTTATAGGTAGGGGTGGAGAATAGCATTGGAATAGCAGATGTTGCACGAACTGCATGGACAATACTATGATTCTCTGGAATCTCCTTTGGATTGATTGCTCTTGTGGGGTTGTTGTAGTTACTTAGAATGAATGGTTCTGGACCGAGATGTGGAAGAAGGATATTGGTAGCTGAAGTAGTGACAAATCCTTTTACCAATGGACTGAAATCACTGAGAGTACTTTGATTGTAAAGTTTGGTGAGTGCTTCAGAAAACATCTTTGTGTTGGCAATCGATTGTGATTCCACAATGTTTCTACAGTCAGTTTTGAAAACTTCTCTTCCAACGGTAATATACAGATCTCTAATATCTTCGTTAGAGTGACCTGCCATTCTCGAAAAGGTAATCATACCACCAGTACTAGTTCCACCGATTAGAGAGGCTCTTGCAAAAATATCACAACCAAGATCTTTCTCAAGTTGACTGATAATCTGCAAAGTCATCAAACCTTTAAATAATTTTGTTATTATTAATTATTTTTTTATTCTAAACACAATTAAAGAAATTTACATACCTCTCATTCCACCTCCATCACATGAAATAATTAATTTTGGTTTATGACTTGGTGATTGCATTTTATTTGTTTGATAGTATTAATTATTTATTTAATGGTATAAGTAATGATTATTGAATAATAATTTTGTTACACTTTTAAAAGTTTAATTTAATATTGATTTACATTTTTAATTGTTAGTTCAATAGATTTAACCAATCACCTGTTAACACTACTTTTGATTTGCCAGTTTACAAAAAAAAACAAAATTAAACACATAGTTTCAATGAATTGTGTTTTTTCATTTTATAGGTTTCCATTATTTTTTCAAAATAAACAAAAAAGCTATGCAAAATTTTTTCATTTTTGGGAGGCATAAAATGAAATTACCCAATTATTATTGTATTAAATAAAGAATATTTCTAATTTTAACAAAAAAGAAAACTTGATTGATTTAATCTTTAACTTATCAGACTAGTCTGTTTATTAAACAAGTAATTTACTTTTTTTACTAATAAAAAACCAAGATTAAATTCTTTCTTTATCAGGAAACAACAAAAATATCTGTGATGAACTTTTTTTTTTTTTAAAAAGATATATGAAAACTGATTGATTGGTTAATTTAAATTATTGTTTATTGTTATAAAATGACAAGTAATATAATTCCAACTTTAACACCAATTCAAAAGAATAAAATTCTAGAGATAATCAAAAATGAAATAAAACAATGGTTAGAATTCACAGATGATCGTTTCACCATTAAAGATTGTTCGAAAGGTTACGATAACAATGTTTATATTGTAAATACAGATGCTATAGATAGCGAGAGGGTGGTATTGAGAATACCGAGATTGTTAGAAGACGAAGACTGCCCACCGATGCACACTCCAAGAATGCAAGCCGCTATTTTGAAGGTGTTGGGTGATCATGGTTTGCCTGTTGCCAAGTTGTTGGCAGTTGAAGATTCCTACTTGCTTGAGACCTACATTGAGCAATGTGATCTCAGTGAATTCTACAGATCGACTCTAGACATACCAGATACGGTCGGCCAGCATATCTTTAGTCAAGTAGGAACGGTTCTTCGTGGTATTCATCAGATAGAAACGGGTGGACGTTATGGCTATCTTCAAACACTCGATCTCCGTGGTGACAGAGATCACTGGCATCAGTTCTTCAGCGATATACCCTCACAGATCGAATCTTGTAAAGAAAACCAACTCTATCGATTGAAATTGATCGATGACTATACAAACAACGAAGATCTATCAAGATATCTACAACAATATTATCAAAATAGTATAGATCTATTGAAAGAATTGGAGGAACAGAACAATTATATTAGACCAAGATTGATTCATGCAGATCTTTGTAGTAATAACATTAGAGTAAGAGGAAAGAAGAGCAACAACAATAATAATAATAATAGTAATGCAGAGTTAGAGTTAGAGTTGGTTGGTATTATAGATTTTGCAGATTGTTTGGCAGGTGATGGATTATATGATATCGGTAGAATATTATCACATTGTTATTGCAATTGGAAGTTCATAGAGGCAATCGGTAGTACCTACACAGAAAGCGGTAAATTCTCTTCATTACAGATTAAACTCATTCATTTCTATGCATTCTCATTTTGTATATGGTTATTAGATAGTTCGTTAGACGATGATAATGATATCATTAAATATAATACAATTTTAAATAATCTATTAAAACTTATTAAATCAAACTAATAAAGAAAATCTGATATTATAATAATCATTTTCAAATGATGTTAATTAAATCTAAATATTTCAAAAAAATTATATTTTAATAGATTTCTTCCATTTCTTCTTCTTCTTCTTCTTCTTCGTTGTCGACTTGAGCTGGTTCGGTGGTGGTAGTTTCTTTTTCTTCTTTATCCTCTTCTTTTTCCTCTTCCTTTTTTTCATCCTTTTCCTCTTCCTTTTCTTCATCTTCAACTTGTTCTGGTTTCAACTCTTCAGTTACTGTGGAAGTAGTAGTTGATGGATTACTTGAAAAGTCGAGATCGACAAGCTCATCTAATGAGCTGGAAGTAGGTTGTTGTTGTGGTGTTGGTTGTTCAATATTAGTGTTGGCTGATGCTGAAGAATTCTTGAATGCTTCAAACTCTGCCTTCATTGAATCATATTGCTCTTGTAATGCTTTTAACTTGTCAGAGTTTTCTTTCAACTGTTGATTCTCCAATTCGAATGCCGCTTGCTTCTCTCTGAGTTGATTGAGTTCATCGGTTGCCGAAACAATCTGTTCCTTCAATTTATTGTTCTCTTGCTCTGCCTTTGCCATATTCTGTACGGACTCATCGTTGAGTCCACTTAGCTTTTCACTGAGTTCTCTGTTTGATTCCTCCAACTGGGCGATAGTTTCAATCTTTTGTTTATATTCATTTCCAGTTTGTTCGAGTTGCTCTTTCAACTGTTGATTCTCAGTCTCGAGTTGACCGGTCTTCTCTGTCTGTGAACTAGCCAACTGCTCTAGTTTCTCCGATAGCGATTGGTTGTCTGCCTCCAATTTCGACAGTTTCTCGGCATTCTCGCTGTTGACTGTCTCCAACTGGCTTTGCAACGATTGGTTATCTTGCTCCAATTTAGAAACTCTTTCATTCTCGCTGTTGTTGGATTGCTCCATCTTCTCGGTGAGTGACTTGTGCTCTGTATTGATCTTTTCCAACTCTGATTGCAACTTCTCGTTGGCCTGTTGCATTTCCTCTAACTTTGATGGATCGACTTGCTTCGATTCCAAATCGCTAATCTTACTCTGCAATGACTTGTTTTCCTCCTCGAGCTTTGAATGTTTGTCGCCACTCTCTGTCTCGGCCAATGCAATTCTCTCGGCGAGTTGTTTGTTGGCCTGCTCCAACTCTGTCACTTTTTCATTCTGCTGGGAATCGGTGCTCGCCACCTTGTCCTGCAGTGTTTTATTTTCCTCTTCCAACAAGCTAATGATATCTTTGAATTTATTCTCGGTTTCATCTACACGCATCTGGAAGATCTTATTCTCCTCCTCGAGTGTCTTGATTCTTTCGTTGTTGGTATTGGACAACTCCAACTTTTCTTGTTCCAAACGAGTGACATTCTCATCGGTCGAAGAGGTGTGTTGCTCTATCTGCTGCAACAAAGATTTGTTCTCTTGCTCCAACTTGGTAAGACCTTCCAACTTGCTTATCAACTCTTGGTTATCTTGTTGCAACTGTCCGATTTGCTCGGTTTGTCCTTGCAGCTTTTGCTCTAGCTTCTCTTGGAGATGTTTGTTTTCCTCTTCAAGACGGACCAACTCATCGGACTTTGGCGAAAGAGTAGCCTGTTCCTCAGCACTCTTTTCCAATTGATCGAGCTTCTCTTGCAACTTCTTGATCTCCTGATCCTTCTCCTCGATTCTGGCGTGGAGTAACAGCAGTTCTTGTTCTTTGAGTAGATCGCCACGTTGTGTCTCTTGGATCTGATTGTCCAACTCGCCAATCTTGGTGACCAACTTCTCCTTCTCAGCAAGGAACTGCTCACGCAATTTCAAAGCCAATTGATTCTGCTCGTCGAGTGCCTCTTGTAACGATTGGTTTTGCATGACGAGTTGCTCCTCTTTGAACTGGAATGTCTTGATTGTTTCTGCGTGATTCTGTTGATTGACTACTGCAGTGTTCAACTTGCCCATTTCATATTTCAATCGATCGATCTCCTTCTCTGATTCCTCTAGCTGCTTGGAGAGTCTCTCGACTTCCTCTGACGATGACTGCGACTGCTGTGGAGTGTCTGCAAGAGAAACGACACCGTTTCCATTGGTCTCATCGACGTGACCAGTCGATTTACTAAGTTCATCGATAAACTCTGCTTTGATGGCAGTGTTACCATCTGAACTTTTCAATAGCTGTGTGAAACGATCGGCCAATTGTTGCTTTTCCTTTGCCAGGCCTTCGATAGACTGTTTCAACACCTTGATTTCATCCTGTGATTTCAAGAGTGTATCAACCAGAGTATTATTCAATCTGACGAGATCATTAGATGGTGCTGGTTGTCCTGACATTTTAACAATTTATTTATTATAATATTAAAATATATATATATATCTTATTATATCTTAAATCTTATATATATTATTATTATATCTTATTTTTAATATTACAAAAAACTAATGGTGATATTTTTTGAACAAACAAATGGTTTTATTAAAAAAAAAAAAGATTTATTTTAAATTTTATTTGAAAAAAAAAATAATGATATCAATTGATTTTTGTTCGAATTCAAAAAGCTTATTAGATCTAAATAGTTATATCAATTTTGAAGTTTATTTATTTGTTTTTATTTACAAAGAGAAGTAAAATAAAAGCATTATGATGCTGAGAATCTAATGGTTTTGATCTCACCAGGTTGAATTCTGATGAAGCATTCATTGATTGGAAGTGGAAGTAAATCAGAACCACCTGGAGGATCACGTGCAGTTCTTATTCCTCCGATTATATAAGTAACTATTGGCTCATATGTACAATTGAATGTGGTTTTACATAGATTCATATCACTATAGTTCATTTCTATTTGTTTTTAAAAATATAAACAAAATTAATTAAAAGTTAAACTTAGTTTGTAATATTTATACAATATACGTTTAACATAACATACCTGAACTACCACCGATATACATTTCTCTACAATTATCTGGTTCTAAAGATCTAAATATTGTTGGAAGATTCACAGATGTGGCAATACGTGTCTCTGCTGGATAAATGTTGATTAATCTAATGAGGAATTCACCATTAAATCTCTTGAAGTTTAGAACATGAATATTTTCTGGTAGTTGATCTATATTCGGATTTCATTTCAATTAATTAGAGAATTCATACAAATTTATAAAGAAATTAATAATAATAGCTTACCAACTAATATACTTTCAATTTTACTGTAGGCTTTGCTGTTTGGAACCATATTTTGTTGGACCTGATAGATTGGCTCATTAAATCTATAATTTTGTCCTTTGTAGTTGAGTGGATCTCGATCCAATCTGCATCTGTGATTGACAGTGGTCGTCTTCTTTGGCATCGATGGATAGCTGAGACCCTTTGAATCATCGTAATATGAACTTCTTGTAATTCCAAATTCAATATTTCCTTCGTAAATGGCAGCTGCTCCTTTACTTCTATCACTATTACACTTGATATTATTTTAAAATGAAAAATATTATTAGACAACCTAAACAAAGGTAAACACATGTTAAAATAGATTTTAAATATTTACCACAAAACCAACACCACTATTTGGATCCATCAATAAAGCAGTTGTAACCGATGGAACGTATGCTCTATCGATTGGACCGGTTGTATTGTAAACAGCTCGCTCTCTTAATTCGAATCCATCGTCAGAATAGAAACTACCATTGATATCAGTCTGGAATCTAACGATTCTGTCAGTATTATCACAATCTGGAAGAGTATAGCTGATATCAACGTTTTCATCATATATTTTCGAACCAGTGTTGTACAATCTAATGACCACTTCATCTTGATTAAACTTGATCCTTACTTGACTGTAAATGTTACCCAAAATGAAAGTTGTCAATGAAAAATTAAGATTTTCCTCTACTGCAGGTCCATTTGCTCTAAATATATATGCTCCATTTCTATATGATGTACGATATCTCATTATCTAATTGAACTCAAATATTAATAAAATAATAAAATAATAAAAGAAAATTAAAGTAAAAATTAATACCTTTTGAAGAATATTATGTGAAACTCCATTTTTTTCAGATATACTATTAATAAAACCTTTATCAGTTAATTCAACTTTGATATAGTTATTTTCTAATATTTCTATTTTGAAAATTATATTAATATTATGATTTTAAAAGAATTGATTAATTATAATTCATACTTAAACCTGGTATCTTTTGTTCAGTTAGCAATTTAGAGAAAGGACTTTCGTTTCCAATCGTTTGAATTTTAAAGACTTTGTATGATAATGCTTGGATATCAATGACAAAGGCTATAGTCCAGTTAAAATTTTCTACACCAATCGAACTAATTGTACATTCAATTGGAATTTGAGAATCTTCTTCGAAAACAGCAAATGGACAGTAACCAGGATTATATGTTGTAAACATTGAAATCATCTTTACTTCTTTTCTGTTCCAACCAAGAGGATTGAAGAAAACCAATGGTAAAGAATCGGTATCTGAGTGGGTAATCGAATTCATTTTATTGGATTTCATTGCTAAAAGATTGGTTGAAGTTGCAATAGATTCCCCAAGTTTGGCAATAGCATACTGCATTCTATTCATATAGTCCACTCCTACATGTACCAAGTGAGTACCAGTTATTGCGTCATGATGTTGGATAAAAGAAGAATTCTAAAAAATTTTAAAATTAATAAAGATTCATTATTTCGTATCCATTAAACATACTCTCATGGTGTCCCTTAATTGACTTTCAATATTTGCACCGGTTTGGGTATTAATCAATTCTCCCAATCTTTGGAGAGATGTAAGTCTTCTACTTTCTCTTTTAAAAATTGGATTAGTTGTATAGTATCCCTAAATAAAAAATGTATAAATATATAATAAAACTAAAAATAATAAATCCTACATACAACCCAATTATCTCCTATATTGTTTTCAATGTATGGCATAAAGTCAGTGTTGGAATATTGGTGTTTGATTGGTGTACCTGTTTGACGGAACCATTTTCTGACATCGCTAAAATAATTTCCCATAGTACTGTACTTTACATTAAATTCAACGGTATTCAAATTTAGATTATCTAGGAAAGAAAAACAATAAGTTTTTTTATAAATATATAATGAATTTAAAAATACCTATGGTTTTATCGATAATTTCAAAAGCGGTTTGGGCATTATTGTACTTGAAATCACCTCCAATAAGCACAAGAATGTGTGGTGATTTGTAGTGATCTCTTCTCCTTATAATAGTATGTTTTAAATCAAATACCAATCTTTGGACATTATCATCAACGGTACCCATTGGTTCATCTAAGTTAAAGTCTGGAAACCAATACGGATCATCAAGAACATGTGTAAATATCTCAGAGTTATTGCCATGTGATCCTCTCCATATGAATTCCAAATCTTTCTTTCTTCCAAGTTCATCTCTTAGATCTGTTGTGATACGATGCAGAATGATATTCTTGTAATTGTCCATGGCTTCAAGTGCAGCTGTCTTTGATGCATGTCCAAATGGATCAATTTGCCAGCCACTTTTAAAAAAATGATATTAGATTTTCTTAGATAAAAAAATTACAAAATATATTTTAACTAACCTCATTGGAAGAAATCTTTCACCAAATTGTTCTTTAATAAATCGATTTCCTTCTTCAAGATTATCAATGAATGCTTCAGCAGAAGTACATGCTTCATCACTCATTACCCATCCACCATTAACAAACTCCATTTGGGATTCATTAACTAATTTTTGGAATTTATCTCTAAAGGCAGGGTTTCTTGCCCACCACTTTGTAAGAAAACCACTAAGAAAAAATAATTATAATTATAAGTTAAACAGAATATTTTATAAAGATAATATATATTTACATTTCAGACCAAACAAATTTTCTATTTGGATTGGCAATCATAGCTTCAGTTACAGTAGAAATGATATTATCTACTCTAGTGTTATAATATCCCTATTTATTTTTATTGTATATAAAATTAAAATCTCTTTCTCAAATAATTTATTTATATATATTTACATCTATTGTGTCTAACCAACCTGAATCATCATGAGAATGGCAAACTATATGAACCATAAATCCTTTTTGGGGATTCACTCCAGGCGCACCGGGATATTGATTTTCTTGTTCAGAAACCTCATCCAATCCATTAATGATATTGATATATATAAAAAAAATTGAAAATAAAGCAAACCAAAATTTCGATTTGCTTATAAATTTAGACATTATTAAAAATTTCTAAATATTAAAAGTCATAAAATTAATATCCAATTCAATTTCAATTATATTTTTATTTAAAAATAAAAATAAATTTAAATTAAATTTAAATATTATACTAAAACTTTGATATTTAGTTAGTAGATGGAAAAAATCGAATTGAGATTTGAAAAAAAACAACAAAGATTATTTATTATAGATTGACAAAAAAAAAAATAAAAAATAAATAATAATAAAAATGACAATATCAGATTATTAACTATTTTATATCTAATGAAATTTAATAATGATATATAATTTACAAATTTCATTTCCATGTTTGTTTTTCATTTTGTTATTTATTTTTATATGTGTTTGTTTATTTTATTTTTTTTGTTTTTTTGTATACAAGGGTGGTATAAGTACACTACACCACCAACACATTTGTTTGTTTATAGTTGATTAAAATACAGTGTTGTCATTATAAAATTATTAACACTATTGTTATTACTATCAAAAAATTTCACTGTAACTTACATAGTAGCACATTATTACAGATTAATTAAACTGCGAAAAAAAAAAAAATTGAAGTTAGAGATATCAACAGAGTTTTGAATTTGGGCGCCAGAACAAAATAATTGTGTTGACATCATGTTTTGATAATCAAATTGATTTATTTAGTATTTTATCATTGCTAAATCTAGAGATAGATTTGGATTCAATAGAAACTTTAGATTGGTAGAGATAATCTTGAATGATGTGATTGATCGTAAGAGTATAGAGAGTTTGTTTCTTAACATGTTGATTATGGGGAAACCGGTTTTCTTTGACATTATCAAATGGAATGCTGTGTAAACGATCCATTTAAAGTCATTGAACTTTAATGGGATATCACTAACCTTTCTTTTGATAAACCTATATGAATTAAATGTAAATAAAACCAAAACATCTAAAATAAATAAAATAAAATATTAATAATCTAATAGGAAATAGATAATCATTGCCAAAGCAAATAAAATACAAACGAACCTTTAAAGATTTTAACCTTTTCAAAATCTAAAAGTGCAATCGTACTATAATATTTCTTTATCCAACAACAAAATGCCATTGCCAAGTATTGATAACCTCTATAAATATTAATTAGTACTGTTGAATATAGATTTAAAGTGGGATCAATGAATAGTATATCTCTGAAATCAATAATAATATATTAATAAAACCCATCAATCAATTTTAATTTAATTTAATTTGTAAAATGATTAATTTAATCATTGTAATTTATACATACAACTTTGCTTTGACTTGAGAGTTTAGAAAGTTTAATAATCTTTGTTGTAATGTTAATCTTCCCATTGCTGGAAATGTCAATTCATTAATAAGCTCTAAATGATAATGATATGATTAGATTAATTAATTAGTTATAATTTAGCGGTTACTAAAAAAAACAAAACATACTCTTTCCTGAATACTTTGAATAGTCATATAGGATTTCAAATGATTCAACGTTGATAAGTAATCCACACCACGGCATGTATTTACCGTCCAACTCAACGATACCCTTTGCTTTGCCAAAATCGTGAAGGAACTGTTTGGTCTTCTGGTTGTTTGACTTGACACCATAGAGAGCGGGTGTCTCATTAGTAAAGACATCGATGAAACGCTCTGTGTTACTCGGACTGTCGGTAAAGTAGATGTAATCATCGACGAAGCGAACCAGTGCATTGAATGCATTCGGGTTGTTATCCAACAGGCGTGGCATTAGCAGCTGGTTGTCGAGATCACCAAGTTCCAGCTCGCACAACTTGGTGGAACTCTTTGCACCCTGAGCAATGCCCTTCGTCTGCAAGTAGTAATCCTCGCCATACTTTAGAATGTGCTCACATATCAACTCGTCAAACACCTCTAGCACCTCTTGTCTGCCAATCTCTCTCATATCCTTCTTATTCTCCACAACGCTAGCGACATTCAACTGACTTCTAATACGAACCAACATCGCATCGAAATCAGCTCTATCGTTCTCTGCATACGCCAACGTTATTATTCTACGTCTATTCTTAACTTTAAATTGTATTCTAACATTTGATATAATATATTTATCCTATAATAATAGCTTTTATTAATAGAATATTCTTAATATCATTTTTGTATTACTTACATTTACAAATACATTCTCATCTAATATTTGTATCAATTTCGATTGCATCAATGAATCGAAACACTTGTTGATATCTATTGACATTATATGAATCTTTACACCTCTCATGGCAAGTGATAGTAACTTTGGTTTAATTTCTTTAAACTTGTGATAGAAATCAGTTCTACTAGTAACTGTAGATCCCAATAACTTTTGATTCTTATTCTATTTAAAGATGTTATTAATATTTATATTTATATAGTATAATAAATAGTATACATACCATTTCATACTTTAAAATAGGGAAATAATCAACCATAGTTGAGTTACTTGATAATTTAAAATTCCTATGCGTAAGAGTTGTACCGTTGTTTGTGATGATTGTTGCCTTGGTAGCAGACTTTCCAAGATTAGCAATTGGTCTCAATGATTTCTCTTTTGGTAGAAATCTAAGATGTGACAGTCCTGTTCTTCTTGATTCAATATATGATGCTAATTCCTAATAATAATAATAATAATAATAATAATAATAATAATAATAATAATAAGTATTCTCTCTTGTTAATTTGATCAATTCCGTTATCAACAACCTATTACATACATTATTTAATAATAATTTATAATTTGATTTCTTTAATGATTTTAATTGAGTGGATGATAAACTATTCCATTCATTCATCAGGAAATAAACATGTGAGATTCTCGATTGTGCAGTCTCTGTACAATAGAAATGTTTGGTAACCAAAGTTGGAATCATATCATCAAACATCCACCATAAGAATGATCTTAGATATTTAATCTTTGGTATAATGAATTCATTCACCTAATTATAGTGGTTAAACAATTAGATTAGTATCAATTTATAGTATCATATCTATATATTTATCTATAGATAATATTTACATTAAACCTATTAACTAATTGATCAAAGTTAATGTAATGATATGTTTTTGACTTTAAATAATTTAAAAGTTCTTTTTCAAATTGTTTCTTGTTGCTAACAACATTCGTAGTTGTTGCTGTTGTTGTAGTGGTAGTTGTAACGGTTGTAATGTTTGTTGTTGCTGTTGAATTTGAAGGAGATCTCCAAATCTGTTTAGGAGGTAGTATATTATTGATTATAGTCAATATGAATCTATAGATATAATGAACTTCAATGTCCTTTCCTTTGATAAGATCCTCCAAATTCAATTGTGAATATCCACCAACATTACATGTAGTAACATTAAAACCACTATTATTATTGTTGTTGTTACTATCCATTTCATTGTCACTAACTGCAATTTCATCATCATCATCATCTTCTTCTTCCTCCTCTTCATCACTAGTGATATTATTATTTTGTCTATTTCTATTGTATTTAAATACATCGTATTGTCTTTTCTCTCTAATTAGATTATCTAAAATCAAAGAATATGGAGTTGACTTTAATTTGAAGAGCATCCTCTGAACCAATGGGAATTGAACCATTATCTCTTTCTTCATATTGAGTTCATTGATATTCGATGGTCGCTTAAAACCCTCTGGACTAAACAGACATTGTCCAACCTTGGAGTTAAACATCCTATTCATCAAAACTCTAACATCTTTCTTATCATTACATCTCCAATCTAATATTGAAATGAAATCAACTTATTAAATTACATGTAACTATCATACTATAACTATAATTATTACTTACATTTATTCTTTGTTGAACTTGAATATAAAAGATGTTTCGTGTGTATTTCTTCACTATTATTACTATTATTATTATTACTACTACCAATACTATTATTTTGATTTTGATTGTTAAGATTGCTGATGTTGTTATCTTTTTTTTTCTTTTTATATCTCTTTCTCTTTTTCTTTTTCTTATTATCAGCAGCAGTAAGTGCTAGTGAAGCTGTTGTGTTTGATATCTGAGGAACATTTACATTGTCTGTTTCTAACTGAAAACTATCTAGATCATTGAAAATATCGGCATAGTCATCATCATCATCATCATCTCTACTTCTTTTACCTAGCTGATTAGGTAATACTAAACTATTACTACTACTAATACTATTATCATCAACATTATTGTTGTTATTATTTAAAGTAGCTATGAAACTTGAACTATTAATATTATTATCTATATTATAATCAAAATCAAATTCAAAATCTGATTCTTCTTCATCATTCATCTATCGATCTATCTGTGCATATTCTATAATCAACAAAACTAATGCTTTTAATTTGAGTATTGGTGATAAAAAAAGATGGTAAACCAATTATTTTTTGTTTTCTGTGTGATGTTTCTTTTTGTTGCACCTACACGACACAACTTGCAATACATATTACATGTATGTATTAACACTCATTACGTTTTTGACGGTTAATTTATAATTAAAAACAGATAGAATATATAGAATGTGTCGAGTAAATTTCAATTTATTAGAAAATATTTATCATTAACTCACCAACACTCATGAGTGTATTGTATTGTATGAACTCTTCTTTCAACTAAATAAAGATATTTGTTATTTTATTTAGATCTCTAGATTTCATAACTAAATCTTCTATCGAAAACTTTTATTTTTTTAAAATTTGTTTAATAAGTTGCTTTGGTAATCTGTTGGATACTTGAGTTTTGCCATCGATACCAGTTGGGTAAAGATAGATTGGTAAGAGACAGAAATCGGATTGAAGTGGTCCTGAGTTGACACCACGAATGGCCATCGAACAAGATTGCTTGTCGAAACGTGGAATGGCCGAGGTGATATCGGTAACACTCTCAGCGGACCAAAGACGTTCGGCAATAGCCAAAGAACGTGGCCAAACTCTGACGTCCCAAGACATCTGACTGACTTGTTCACTCCACATTGCGGCTTCTCCACCGAGGAGGTTCTGTGCGTTGGTTGTAATTCCATTGAGTGGATCGTTCGAGTAGAATGTCTTCCAGGTGTCCTCAAACTCATAGTAGGTGTTTCCCATTGGAACCTGTTGGTCTAGATACCTATGATAATTGATTGTTGTTATTATTGTTAATCATAGTAATAATAGTAATAATATCATTAAATAGTTACCATGCGAAAGAAACCAATGCTTTGTAACCGGCTTCCAAGACTTGTTGGGTGATGGTTGCACTATTCCAAATTTGAATAAGAGTGTCGGGTCCGAGCTTGACACCGGCTTCGAATGGATCGTTCCAAGTGATCTTTGTACGATTGAGTGGAATGAGAATATCGTCCATTTGATTCTCAAAGTATTCGAATGCAACGGATGTTGAGAATCCCATCTTGTTCATCCAACTTTGAATGGCTGGATCGGCAGTCCAACAACCGAAAACGACTTCGTCTCCACCAGTATGGAAATAGGCATCTGGGAATAACTGGGTCATCTCTGTAAAGAAGTTTCTCAAGAAATCATAGGTACCCTCAGAGGCAATGTCAAGGGCAATGTTGTTGATGTTATAGGCATATCCTGGACATTGCGCTAGCAAATCTGGGTAACCAATACCCCAACCTGCAGCATGTCCCGGCAAATCAAACTCTGGAATCACACGAATTCCGTATGTCTTGGCATAGGCAACGATTTCTTCGATCTGCTCATGAGAGAAAACAGCAAGTGGATTGAATGCACCCAATGTTAAATTTGGATAGATTTTTGATTCTACTGGGAATGATTGAGCATCAGACTGATATAATTGTTTTCAAGAGAAAGAATTTTATAAAATTAATAAACCACTAAAGTATAAATGCATTTATATTTATAACTACTACTTACCAAATGCCAATGTAATACATTGAATTTATTATATCCAAGAGTGTCAATAATATGTAATATAAAACTAGGTGGATACCAATGACGAGCTAAAAAAAACATTTAGAAAATGTGAGTACCACCAACCAATTAGTAAGATTATCATATTAATATATCATTGATATTTAAATTATAATTACCAGTATCAATCATGAAACCTCTCCATGGGAAACGTGGGTAATCATTGATGGCGATTGGTGTGTTTGGAATGGAGTAGGTTTTTGAAGATTGATCGTAGATGATCAGTTGTGAAAAGGTTTCCAAACCTCTCATGGCACCGTAGATGGTCTTTGCGCTGATAGAGAGTTCGCTTGAGGTGGCAGTGATCGAATAGCTCTCGTCGACACCCATGTAGAGATCTTCGCTGGTCGACTCGATTGTGATGTTAAGAGTATTGAGTCCAGAGGCACCCGTGCCTTTTTCAAAGTAGGGAGTGGTATCACCGAATTGGAAAAACATACTGGAATAACGCTTGACTGCGACATTGAAAGTGGCAGAATTGATCGATGGTTCAATCGAGAATTGCTTGTCGTTCAACAACACGGAAACACTACCCGATTGGTAGGATTGTGGTTGTGGTACAACAGTTGGTTGTCCACTCACCAAACAACCAAGCAATGCGGTGGTAATAACTACCAAATATAATAATTGAATCTTCATTTTATAATTTTATTATATTTATTTAATTATACATAAAAGATATACACTGATGAAATAAATATGTAAAAAAAGAAAATACAAATGAAAAACTAAAAACTAAAATATCATGAAATTGAAGATTGTCCACCAAAAACTTTATGAAATCTTTAGTGAAAAAAAAAATCTGTTTTTTATTAAAACAAGATATTTCTTATTTTAATCCTGGTCATCAAAATTTTATAAAGATTTTCGTGTTGGGATTTAGATTATTTAACTTTTAAAGGAGATTTTTATATTCGCTGATGATAATCATTTAAAAAATAGGGGAATTGACTATTCTCAAATGCTTTGATATTACGGAAAAAAAAAGGATCTTCAAATTTAAAAATATCTTTAGATAGTAGCAATAAAAATAAAGAAATATCAAAAGATATCCTAAGGATATTATATCAAATATAAAATATCAAATATAATTGATTTAAATTATACTTTACACTTCTTAAAATATAATATATTATAAATTTTATGTTCAAATAAATAAAACTATGATTATTATTATTAAAACAAAGAGGTCTCAATTTCCAAAACATTTGAAAATTTTTTTTTGAAATAATTGTGCGAAACACAACCCATTAGCAGTTGTTGTCATCACCGAATAAACAAAACACAATCTTTTAAATTTTAGTTAAATTAGTTTATAGATTCATTGTGTAGTTTTAATTATTATTATTATTGTATAAATAAATAAATATTTATTTTTTATAGTTCAAAATAAACGGATTTTAAAGTAGTTATAGTAGTATATTAATATAGATATAGAATGGCAAAGTTTAAATTAGCGAATTGGGGTGCAATGATTGCGATATGTGCATGTTATAGTAGGTTATTAGACATACGTATTGTGCTATATAGCATGATTGATTATTTTATTTGAGCGAATGAATGAATGAATGATTAATAGATGTATCTATAAACTATATATATATAGTATTGATTGCAGGTGGTATTATGGCATGTATTTATCCAAGACAGTTTGTTGGTATTTATTCTATGTAAGTATTTCATAAACAAAAAAATAGAAAGACTGCAGACAACATTTATTTATAATAATATGATGATGATGATGATATCTATAGTGTTGTAGGTGTAGTTTTATTACCATTGTTATGGCCCGTTCCATGGTTAGGAAAGTTAAAAGCAATCTTTCAACAATATTATGTTGCTGCGTTTCTTTGTCTTGGGTAAGAGAATAGATAACAATAACAATAACAATAACAATTAACATAGTACTAATATTACCGATTATAATCCAATTAGATTGAGTGTTTTGACATTCTTTGAAGTACCAACTATTATCGGTGGAATAAGTTTAGGTCTTGCTGGTATTGTATTTTTGATATCTGCCATCATGGGTGAAAAAGGAGATTACTTTGAAAGATAATAACTATAATAATAATGATATACAATAGTAGTAATAATATATTCAAACAAATATATATAATAATGTAATTTCGAGTAGAAATGTTAAAAAAATAACTAAATGTACACACAAATCCTATACTTTATAACCATATTGCAATGTATAATAAAAGTTTTAATAATTTAAATAAACATTTAAAATGAGTGTAATATGCAAACGTTTATGATAGTTAAATGAGTGCCCTTCCAATACATTCCATATTCCATTTTAACATTCGAATGCATTCATTTTTTTTTAAAAATTCATTATTCATTTATTTATTATATTTGCATACCCACTCTCTTTATATTCAGATAAACTCAGCAATGACAACAACCGCAGCAGCTCCCTTAAAGATTACAGATTTATCATTTATCAATGGTGAATGGTCCGGAAATGGAAAGGGTATCTATCCAACTATTAAATCATTCGAATACACAGAGGTTTTAAAGTTTACTTTCAATGGTAAACAAATTGAATACAAGTATGATGTTTATTTGGTTGTTTTATTATTTGTTTGTATACTTTATTAACTGTAAGCGCAAATTTGATTATTTATTATATATATAGTCAAACATCGAATAATGTTGCAAATGGTGGATTAATGCATTTCGAAAGCGGATTTATTAGAGTGCTACCAACAGGTAAAATAGAGTTGAATGTTGTTCAATCATCGGGTGTTGCCGATCATTACGAAGGTACATTGGACAATAGCGGTGATAAACAGACATTGTTCTTCAAGATGACTGGTATCTCTAGAACACCAACTGCCAAATCACCGCATGTAACCAACGCAACTCGTCGTTTCACAATCACCAACGGCAACGAAATGAATGTCTATTTCGAAATGGCCACAACCACTCATCCAGATTTAGTAGAACATTTAAATAGTAATCTTAAAAAGAAATAAACAAATAAAGACTATATGTTTGTTTTTAAAAATCCATCAATTTAAATAAGTTTATTTATTGTTATTAAATAAATTTAGAACTTGAGAGCGTGTGGGAATTCACCCTTACGGAGACCGAAGGCAGTCTTCAAGTAGAGGACCAATTCCTTTTGACCCTTGAGGGCAGCAAGGATGGCAGTATCAACAGCCTTTTGGTCGGCAATACGTACCTCTGGGAGCTTCTTGGCGGCCTTCTCGGTGGTCTTCTTTTCACCATCCTTGAAGAATTCACCCTCAGCCTTCTTGGTGGTGGCGGCCTTCTTCTCAGCCTTGAAGTAACAGTCATTGACTGACTCTGGGACCTTGACGTTGGCAACGTTGACCTTGGTGGAGGTGGCGATGACGTAACGTTGGTCAATACGTCTTAATGGGACACCGTTGAGTCTGAATGGACCTATTATTATTTATTTGATTGATTTCCAAATGTTAGCCTAATCAACTATTCTTTATCCAATAATACTTAGATTGATCAATTTCATATTGTTATATTATTCCTAACCTAATTGTATTGTCTAATTCTTCTTTGATTTCACTTTTATTCGATGAAGGGAGTCAATCGATAGTATCATAATTAAACATGATTCCATTTTCCATTAATATTAAATAATATTAAAGAAAATAGATCAATTGTTTATATAATTTGATAGTTCTCGAGATGATTAGCATATTTGTTTACAATAATGTATCAAAAGCAAAGTAAAAAAGCAATAATATTAATTACTAATTTGCTTTGTTTGACGATAGAATGAATAAAATGAAATTTAATTTACATTTTAATCACTACAGGTGTAAGTTATGCTAATCAGCCTTAACATCAAAGTGAAACACAGAAAGAATGTATAGACGAAAAAGTAATATAAACATGTAATGGATTTGGTGATCAATCAAATGCGGGATACATACCGGTGATCAAGAGGAGACCAGAGGTGAGTTGCTTCAAGAAGACGACTCTCTTTCCGGCGTAACGACCAGCAACGATGATGAGGACGGTACCTGGGGTGATGGTCTTACGGAGGGCAACTGGGGATTGCTTGTATTGACGGGCGACAGCACGGACTTCAGAGGTCTCGACTGGGGCGTACTTGGCAGTCTTTTCCTTCAATTGGACCTTCTTTCCACCCTTGATGGTAGCTTCACGGACAACTGGGGCTGGGGCAGCCTTTGGGGCAGTGGTAACCTTCTTTTGCTTGGCCAAATAGAGACGAGTTCTCTTGGCGAAGGCACGCTTACTGTATTGACGAAGACCGTTTCCGATGATTGGGTTTTGCATTGTTCTGTATGTTTAAAATCGCGTTAACACTAAACTAAGATAAAAAGATAGATGATATAGTATTATTCTTATTACATACCAGTGATGGATTGAGTGACAAACTTAGGTGAAGAAGTCTAAGAAAAACGAAAGCATATAGTAAGTAATCGTTGGTCGCCTGCTAGCGTCGGTGCCAGTCCACACACCCACACAATTTTTCAAAAATTTCAATTTTTTTTAATTTTTATTAATTTTGCTTGAAAGAAGTTCATTTTTTTTGGTTTTGGTTTTTTTTTTTTGTCTGTGTGAAATTAATTTGTGCTATGCAAAGCAATGAAACACACGTAACAGTTTATTTTTGTTTTGATTTGTTCAGTCAGTTAAAGTTGTAAAATGAACAATAATATTACATATTGTTATTGTTAATTAATTAATTTGAAGTGGTAGCAGATTAGTTTGTTTAATTGATTTTTAATTGGTTGATCAAATTTAGTAATACTGATGGTGATAACAACGATTTTACTTTCTTTTGGTACTTACAGAGTTTAGTTATTGTTATTGTTATTATTCTTTATTGGTAATATGTTCATCTGATCATTTAACTGTCAATAAGAAACTAGATGTATTACTTACGTAGCAGAGCAGAACAGAGCAGAACAGAACATAATAAGAGAGTTAATATGATTATGTTTATGATTTGTGATTAAGATATTTTACTTACTTGTTAAATTGTTCAAATTAGATGATTGGATGAGTGAAGAGCTTGAACAGAGTTTGTAACATGTTCACCTTCAGATTAAGGACAGACAGACAGCAGTTCGGTATTTTCAATCTCGGATGAAGATTTCTAGCAAGAAAGGCCACTTTACAAATGAATTTCAATGAACGATGGTTATTGACAAGCTTTGCTGCCTGTTCGGAAATGAATGGGAATGCATTAGCAACAATAAAGGTAACATCTTACTTTGAATAAAAGTAGTGGTAATGGAAAGATGTTTGTTCAACAAACAGATATACTTGCATCCCCGAAACACACACATAGGCTTTATTTTACAAGTTCAAAGATTATTAAATCACAAAAGACCATCCAACCGCTTTATCATCTTTGCACTCTTCCATTCATTTTGTGGAAATGGTGAAAACAAATGAAAGGGTGTGTTTGTTGATTAGGTGTTGAATATTAAGTGTGGTGGGGTGGTGTGTTAAGTGTTTGTTCAGTTCGACAATAACATTTAATTAAAAAGGAGAGAGAGAATGTGTGTGTGTTGTGGAAGTGGTGTTGTGTTTGTCCATCCACCACTTCTTGTTCTTTCACTTTTGTTTTGTTATGATATGATTGTTTTTTAAATTAAAAAAATGAGTGTATTATACACATTGGTGTGGTAGTGTTGTGCAAGTTGTATTCATTTAATCAAGCGGTAAATCCACATTATTAAAATCAATACATTAATTAAGTAATAACAGTTTGCATTTACACTATAGTGGGTTACTTATTTGGGTGGGTGAGTGGGTTAGATGGTAGGTAAATCTTTAAGGAAATTGTAGTGCAAATCATTGTTATTAGCGATGTTTAATAATATGACAAAGTGGTTTTGTTGTGTCTTTACCAACTCTACACAGTGTTTGGCTTAGAGTCTCTGAATTTGAAATTGAATTTGAATTTGTTAAAGATTGTTGTTGTTGTTGTTTATGTTGTTGTCGATGTTGTTGTTTTTTGTTGTTAGTAACAACAACATGATGAGGATCGATGTCAAATATTGCTGCTATTGAGGATCTTACTCTGGAATGATCTCTTTAGATCATGATGAGTCGTGATCACTATTCTATTCTAAACTTAGTAGTCCATCGTGGAATCTAATTTTTTGTGTGGTGGAAGGGCATCCTTTGTCTGGTCGATGAGGAATGCGGTCCAAATGTCTCTAATTAAATTAGCATTACATCGAAAAGGCAAATTATTTTAAAAGAAATTGTGTGTGGTTTGTTTGGATTTTCACCCCACTCAAAGACTTGGATTTTAAATTTTTTTAGTATGGGTGTTGTATTTTTTAAAAGGTAAAGTGTTGTTTTTTTTGTTTTTGTTTTGAGTTTATTGATCTGATTCAACAAAAAAAGTAATTAATGTGTCAGTCATCATTGTCTTTAATTCAAAAAACAGATGAAAAGTAAACAAAAACAACACCCCACCACCCACACTGAATATTTGAAATTAAAAGTTTTTCATTTTTTTCACCCCACTAAAAAAAATAAAAAAAATTGAAAAAAGCAATTGTGTTGATCTGTGTGTGAATGAATTCTTTAAAAATTTCGTTGTTTTTTTTTGTCGAAAGTTTTAGTGTTGTTTTTTTGATCAGAAACACCACTACGCTCAGATTGGTGAGTATGTTTACCATGTCACAATTTTTCAATAGGTAACATATGTGTAGAACTAAGAAGTAATGTATGTGTATGTTTGGTGTGATCATACATACTGACCGCTTCTGTCAGTGATGATGATGCTGTTGTTGCATTGTTCTATAGTGATGAGTGACTGAGGGGGTAGTTGTATGGTGTGTGCCTGTGATTGTGGTTATCTGTGTTGGGCATGTCCATGGATCGTCGGGTAACCACTTAAAATAGTTCTTAGTGTTATTTTTAGGATGTATAGTTTTGAATCTCTTGAGCTTATCTAGAACTCTATAAATATTGGAACTGTTTTATCATTTGATTATAATCCAATCAGCAAAGAATAATAAATAAATAAAGAAATAAATCTTAAACAAATAATAAAATCTTAAACTTTTATTTGTTTATAATAAAATCAATAATAATCCTAAACACTTCAACGACAACGACAACAACGTCTACAATAACAATAATAAATAACAACAACTACAATCAATAACAATAACCAATCATTTCATAAACTGTTTTGTTTTGCTTTTTGTTTTTTTAAATTAATTAATTATTTGATTAATAAATAAAAATAAAAATTATTATTGTATATATAATTACATCTTATATCTATATAAATAATAATCAAAATAATAATAATAAACCTAATGGAATTTGAAGATAATTTTAATTTAAGTTTTATTAATGAGAGAATGATGCATTCCAACTATTTTAATAAAGATAACAATATCAACAATGGAAGACCCATTCACCAACAACCAAATCGATACCATCCATACCAATTGGTAAAGCCACAGGCCATCCAATATTTACAAATTCCAATCAACAACCAAAATAACAACACTATCTATATCAATAATAATAATACAAACAATCATAACAACCTAAATAGTAGTGGTAACAACAACATTTACAGTTCATCATCTCCAATATTTTCACCAATGAGCCCGTACCAATCCTCTCCATATTCTTCACCATTCCCATCACCCAAAGGTGCAGTTCCACCCCAACTTTTCCTCTGTTCCACACCCAACGCCAACCACAATCTTGAAAGATCCTCATCATCACCAGCAACCATTGTTTCTCCACCACCAATTCAAATTGAGAATAAATCAAATAGCAATGTTGAAAACTCCAATAATAATAATAATAATAATAATAGTAACAATTCCAATTCCAATTCCAACAATTCCAATTCAAAAGGATTCTATGGAATGACCAGTAAATTATTACAATTGTGTCAATCGATTGACGGTGAACGTGGAGTATCGAAAGAGAAAACAAGAATGTTGACAGAGTTACACGATGAATTGGATTTGATAATCAAGAAAATCAATAAGGTCAAGAAGAACAAGTTGCCATATCCACCATTACCAAGCGACGATCCCAATAAATCATTTATCGATTTGCGCCCACGCCGCAACAGAAAGTGTAAATTGACACACAAGGAGAACGAAGACAACATTCAGTGCCAACGATGTGGCACCAAGGATACTCCAGAGTGGCGCAAGGGTCCAGATGGATGCAAATCACTTTGCAACGCTTGTGGACTCTACTATGCAAAGACAAAGAAACGTGAACAAGAACAAAGCTATCAAACATCATCCTCACCATTACAACAATCAGAACAAGAAACACAATTTTTTAAAGAACAACAAAATCAACAACAATCACCACAACAACAACAAAAATCAAATTTAAATAGCTCAGTTTCAAATACCTCGATAATTAGTATAAGTAGTTTAATTAATAATTAAAAATTAAATTACAACTTGTAAATTAATAAACTTAATTGTAAATAATTTCATTGCACAAAAATTTTAATGTCTAAATTTAGAATTTCTATTTTTTTTTTTGTTATTTATTATTCTCTTTAATCTAAATAAATTATTAAATATGATTAATAGATATTATTTACACTCAAGATAAGTAAGTTTTAAAACAAATAATTGTGATCAAATCAATAAATAAATTAAACACGAAAATTTTTGCGAAATTAATTATTTTTAATTATTTTTTATTATTATTTTCTTCGGTCGACAATTTGGTTTTTTTTTAAAAAGTATTATTTTTATTTTTTATTTTATTTTTATTTTTATTTATTTTTATTTGATTGTATTACTTTTGGAATAACTAGTCAAAGTTGATAGATTTATAAAGATGTCAGAGGTTGCTACAGAGAATAAGGTCAAAGAGGTTTCACTAGAGACTATCGAGAAAGATGTAAAGAGTCACAAGAGATCGAGAGACGACGAGCCAATGGCCGAAGACGAATACAGCGAGAATGTCAACGAACCAAATAAGAAACCAACTTTTGCACAGATCACCGTCGAAGAAAATGTATGATATCACATAATTATAGCTTATCATCAATTGTTTGATTGATGATGTTTTTAATATAGATATCAAATATCAACTATGTTTGATCTATTCGGTTCTAATCAATCAATATATTATCTATTTTTATTATAGGGTGATTCACAAACAAGAAAAATAACTATACCACCCAATAGAATGGCACCACTAAAGGGTAAATGGCAACAAATTTATGAACCAATAGTAGTACATCTTAAATTACAAATTAGAATGAATCTTAAAGCAAAGAAAGTTGAAATTAGAGTATGTTTAAAGTGTAGATTGCATTATACATATGTTAATGTCACATTTCATCAACACAACATTCTAATCTTATTGTTTATTTATTTTTTTAATATGTTTTTTTAGACATCAGATAAAACAGAGAGTGTCGGTGCATTACAAAAAGCAGCTGATTTCGTACATGCTTTTGCATTAGGTTTTGAAGTAGAAGTAAGTAGTCATCAATGTTTAGTTAGTTTAACATTCAATATTAATTAATTCTTCATTCTTCATTATAAATAATAATAGGATGCAATTGCTTTGCTAAGATTAGATGATTTATATATAGATTCATTCGATATTGAGGATGTAAAAACACTTAAAGGAGACAATCTTTCTCGTGCCATCGGTCGTATCGCTGGTAAAGATGGAAAAACAAAATTCACAATTGAAAACACAACAAAAACAAGAATTGTTTTAGCCGATAAGTATGTGTTAGTTTGTTATATAGTTACATCTATCTATTATTCATTTTAAATTAATTTATTATTATTTTAAAAAAAAAAAAAAAAAAAGACGTATTCATATTTTAGGATCATATGCAAACATCAGAGTTGCCAAAGACGCTATTTGTAATTTGATTTTAGGTTCGCCACCCGGAAAAGTTTATGCCAAGCTTAGAACAGTAGCAACAAGAATCAGTGAAAGATTCTAATAATCCAATTCCTTTTTAAATAAAAAACTAAAACAAAAAACAAAAAAAACAAAATGATTAAAATCTCTTTTCGAAATATTATTTAAAGTTGTTGTTGCTTATTTCTTCTTTGTGATCACAACAAATCATTTTAATAATGTCTGACGACAACCATCTGTGGTTGATTTCCCACTAACACACAAATATTCTAAAATTAGTAAAAAAAAAAAAAAATAAAACACAAAATTGCAATGTTGTTGATGTGGTATTTTAAATTAGTGTGAAAACAAAAAAATGAAATAATAATAATAATATTCATAATAATTTAATTTATAATTAATGAAAGATGTTTAACATCTCATTACAATTGTTGTTTTTATTCATTTATTTTAAAACACACTCACCTCTTTACTATATATATATATAAATTTATACATAGATAAAATAGATTTTTTCTGTTATAAAATAAATAGTTTAAAAGATATATAATCATTTAGAAGTAAAAAATAAAATAAAATATATAGAATAGTTAAGTTTTATTGGTTGATTGTCAAGAGAAAAGAAGACCAATTTCATGTTGCAAAGTTATGTTTATTGAATTCAATAAGAGATTCCTCAGAGGTTTATTGGTGTTGTTACTATTAGTATTGGCGTTGGTTGCCTCGACTGTGCAATCAAGTCCAACCATTGTTATCGATAGCAGCGACAGCAACAATGTCAATGTTGGATCGTCGTCGTCCTCTCGAACAGAGTCCGATGCAGAGACTCAACAGAAAGATGCGAATAATACAATGCTCGTGTTCATAGCAATGCTCACAGGTGCAGTACTGGTAGTCTACGTTGTCGTCTCACTACACATACCATTCATACCAGAGTCGATCGCAATCGTTACCTACGGTCTGATCATCGGAATCATCACTAGATTCACCAACAGCGAGATGGCAGATCGTGTTGCCACTTTCGATCCAGAGAAATTCTTTCTTTTCATTTTACCGACTATTATTTTCGAAACTGGATTTTCATTACCAAAAGTAAGATTGAATCATTGTAACTAGCTATATTATTTATTCGAATCATCATTATAGTACTAACAAGTTAAAATAATAATAATAATAACATCAGACCGATTTCTTTCAAAATATAGTACCAATTCTACTTTTTGCTGTATTGGGTACGTTTATTTCATTCATTGTAACAGGTTCAGGTATTTTCTTGGTTGGAAAGATTGGTATTTCATTTCCTTTGCCTGCAACCGAATCTTATATGTAAGTGACTACAAAAATATCTTTATATATTTTTATATTTTATTCATTTTAATTCTTTTATTATTTAGATTTGGAGCAATATCATCGGCTACTGATCCTGTTGCGACACTTGCCATTTTCCAAGCGTTGAATGTTGATTCCACATTATATATGTTGGTGCTGGGCGAGAGTATTCTCAATGATGCAACAGCAATCATGTTATACAGAACGGTCGAACACTTTGTAGCAAAGGAAATATTTATCAATATTTTGACATTCTTGTTGGTTTCAATCGGTAGCGTTCTGCTTGGAATAGGAATGGCATTGGTATTATCATTGGTAAGTATCTTTTTTATTCTATTTTCATTGATAAAATCAATTCTAATTTCTAATTGTTATTACAACAACTAAATAGATGTTAAAATTTATTAATTTTGGAAGATTCCCTGCTTTGGAAACTATCTTTATGATTATGTTCTCCTATACATCATATATTTTAGCAAATTCACTTGAAATATCTGGAATATTGGCTGTATTCTTTTTTGGTATTACATTTAATCAATATGGAGCATACAGTCTATCGCCTTACACAAAGTTAACATCTAGACAGCTATTCAGAACAGCAGCTTTCATCTGTGAGACCTGTGTATTCATCTATATTGGTATCTCTGTTTCATTCCATAATTTCACATTCAATGCCAGTCTATTCTTTTGGAGTTTCGTAAGTCTTACATTAATTAACATTCCTTAATTGAAAACATTTATATTAATAGCGACATTTCTTGTAGTTCTTCCTTTGTTTATCTAGAGCAATGTCAATCTTTCCTATTTGTTTCGTAATAAATAAGTTCAAAAAGAATAAGATTTCAATGCCAATCCAGGTTGGATTGTGGTTTGCCGGATTGAGAGGTGCAATTGCATTCTCACTCAGCTTGTACTATTCATCCCCCTATTCCACTCATATCAAAACAGCTGTACTATTAAACGTAGTTGCAACGCTCTTTGTTTTTGGTGTTGGAACATACCCACTGTTGAAAGTACTTGGAATAAAGACCGCTTCTTCCGACCAAAGTTTAAATAATATTACACAGGTAAGTTGCATAGAATTGAACTAATAGAATGCCATGATCATTTACTTATTCATTTATATTTAGGTAATGAATAAATTACACAAACCAAAAGAGAGAACCAGTCTATATCAGTCGATTGATGATAAGTATTTTAAGAGATGGTTCAGAAAGAAATTACCACCAATGTCAAATGAAGCGATCGAAATCTTTGAAAAACTGGTCAAGTTTTCTAACGAGGAAGAGTCTGATACCTACACTTTTAATTCGCCACCACAAAAGATTGAGATGATGGACCATCCATCTTCCTCCGAGCTCGAACTGCTTGAGACATCTGAAGATATAATTGACCCAAATTCCCCACTAATTTAATAAAATCAAGCAAACTATACATAACCAAACAGGATCTGTAAAGTTTGAATAATAATTATTTTTTTATTAAATACTACTAAGTGTTTTTATTTTATTTTATTACTATTATCTTTTATTTATGTTTCAATTTTAACCATGAATTTTTAATTTTATATTCTATTAAATTGCAAATATTGTTTATATGCATTAGAATCTTAAATACCGAGTGGTTCCAAAGGGACAAAGATTGATTTGTGAAGTTGGTTGTTGCTTTCATATGATCCACTTTGACATATGCTTTCGAATATGAATCAGTATATTGATCGTCTAATCCGGACTTCTACATTCTTTCGATTTCTTGGACATTGTTGGTAAAATCAAAAATACAAAAATAAAAAAGATATTATTTTTATTTTTCTTTTTTATTTTTTTTCTAAAAAGTAAATTTTAATAAAATTTATTCTTTTAGTAATCTATAAAGTCGACTGGTTCGTTTGGAGAGTTAAGGTTGAATGGATCAGTAATTTTACCGCTTCCACCATTTCTTGGATGATTGTAATTAGAGAATAAGAAATATGGACGAGGAACTTGATAGGTGGTCTCAATGGGAAGACGGTGTTGGGTCCAGGGAGGTATGATCCTAGATCATCTAAGTTTTCCAGGATATGATAGTAATATACTTTCAATTATCTACAAACATTAGTTCCAATGGAATACAAAGAGAATCAACTTCAACTCCAAATCAGATTCAAAGAGATATCTTGGGGTATAGGAAACCATTTGGGTGGCGATATCTTCCAGATCCGATTATATACCGAAGACAAGACATTTATTAACTTTTATTTTATTTATTAAAAACAAAACTTGTATATACTTTTGAAAGAGAAATAATTCCAAAAAAAAAAAAAAAAATTTAGTTCATCAATTTTTTTTTTGTATTGTAAATAAAGAGATAGATCTTTGAAAATGACAGATAAAGGATCGGTTGTATTAGAAACAACAATGGGTAACATTACCCTTGAGCTCTATTGGAACCATACACCTAAAACATCTAAAAATATATATGAACTTGCATCAAAAGGTTATTACAACAACACTATTTTTCACAGATTAATTAAAGTATGAAGATAAAAGTTATATAGATATATCGATAGATAGATTGCATAAAAATAGTATTATATTAATAAATATTTAAACACATTTACGAACTATATAAAGGATTTTATGATACAGGGAGGTGATCCTACTGGTACAGGTAGAGGTGGATCAAGTATATATGGGTAAGTTATTATAATAGTTTAACAATCATATAGGATAATAATGAAACTGTACGAACTAACATATATATATATATAGGGAAAAGTTTGCAGATGAAATAACGAAAGAGCTTAAACATACAGGTGCTGGTATTCTATCGATGGCAAACAGTGGACCAAATACAAATGGCAGTCAGTTTTTCATTACTTTTGCACCTACACCTTGGTTAGATGGTATCGTATAGCTATTCAATCAATTGAATTCCTGAATGAATCGAGATTAACTAACAAACGTTTGAATTTTTATAGGTAAACATACTATTTTCGGTCGTGTTTCCAGTGGAATGAATGTTGTACAAAAGATGAACGTAATGCCAACATCAAATGATAAACCACTAGAGGAAATAAGAATCATTAAAGCATATACTATTTAAAGTATAAATCTAACGAATTTAGATCTATTTACTTATTAACAAAAATACCGCAAACATATCTCATATGGTATAGATCAAACCAACAGTATTTGAATTAGAATCAGAATCAGTATCATATAAAAGAATAAACATTGTGAATAACTTAATAATACAATACATGTTTAATTCTTTCCAATAAAATAAACAAATAAGTTTCAAGTGTATCTTGCATTTAATACCAAAGAATATTACAAAAAATTACTTTTTTTTTTTTGTTTTTTTTTAGTTTTTTTGATTTTTTTGATAGATCAATAATTTTTGCACGTTTTGTTTTTTTTTTGTTTGAAAAGAGAAAAACCACACCCCCAATAAATTTATTTTGCTTCTATAAAAATAAATATCTAACACTTTGTTGTTATAAATCATTTATGAGCTTGTAAATTTGCATCTTTATTATTTCTATTGTTTATCTTCCTCAACATCAATTTTATTATAACTATAACTATAAATATATTTATTCTTGGTTTTAGTTAACTTTTTCAATATTTTCGATAACATAAATCACCCCACTAATTACCAAAAGGGTTATCAGCAAAACAACAAAATATCATCAGAGATATAAAAATAAACAAAAGTCAATCATAACACAAAAGAGAAAAAATAAAATATTTAGTTTTATTGTATTATAGGTTTATAGTTTCATAGAGAAATAGTCAGAGAGTGGGAGATTAGATAGATTGAAAAATGTCATATATAAGTACAAACAGTACAAACAGTAGTGATGAAGATCATTCGAACAACAACAACAACAACAATAATAATAATAATTATGGAAGTGATAGTTTAGAGAATAATTTTAATAATAGTGTCAGTCTGGAGAAATCATCACCACCAAACTCACCGGATATCACTAAGCGTAGATCAGAATATTATAGTGCCAGTATGGTTCAACAGAATAAGCAGCAACCAGCCAATGGACCACAAAACAAACCGGTTGCACAGATGAGTATTGTTGGCAAAGCAATGGGTGCAACCAAGACTAGCATCAAGCAACACTTCAGCAAGCAGGAAGCCACACAACTCTCGCCAGAGTTGATCATCAACAATATCAAGACCAAAGCACTGAAGCTGCTCTACGAGGAGACAATCCGTCTCTCAAAGAAAACCAATAAGAAGATCGAGCGATACAACAAGTACACCGAGCAACTCAAGGCGTCGTTGACCGCTGTCGGACAGTTCTACCCAGCGGAACACATGACGCGTATGTCCACCGACAACATCGCTGACATTCACCAGGAGTTGGTTAGTCTCCGCCAGAAACTACACACTGCAATATCGAATCGTTTTGTTATGCCGGCAGAGGTATTCCTTCAGCAATCGGTGATTCCTGCGCGTGACTCCAAGGATCGTTACCGTCGCGCGCGTATCGACTACGATAGCGCCACCAACAAAGTCAGAATCATCCAGCAGTCCAACACTATCGATCCAAAACAACTGTTTAGCGCAGCATCTCAACAAGCGATTCTCCGTGTTCGCTATCAAACTCGTATGTTTGACGCACACTCCAAACTGTTCGAAGCAGTGTCGAGACACGGATTCGAATACTTGGTGCAGTCGATCAACTTACTGGCAGCGGAACACGATTACTACAGTGCGGCATGCGCCAAGCTCGAAGAGCAAGACAAGTTTGTACAGGAAATGCGTAACTACGCAGAGGCATCGAGACAGCACTACCAAGCCACCAAAGAAGCAGAGGAACAGCGCAAACTCGAAGAAGCAATGTATCGCGAGGACAATAAATACAATGAGATGGTAGAGATATTCTCGTGGGATGACTTGGCTGTTGTCAACGCTATCTGTTTATCGTCTGGCAGTGATCAAGAAGCTATTCTCGAGGATCTCGTAAGGATTCTCGATGCACACAAACAGACTATACCAATCATTAAACTTGGAATCACCAAAGAAGTTACTTCGACCAACTCTGCAGCAACATTGTTCCGTGGTAACTCCACCGCCACCAAACTAATGACTGCATTCACCAGAATGACTGGTAGACCCTATCTCATCTCTACATTGAAACCAATCATAGAGAAACTCATTAAAGATCCAACTGGTTATGAGGTATCTATCGATTTTATACTATTCTAATAATATAACATTTAAACTAACAAATCGAATCAATTTTTAAATCAAGCTTGATCCAGAGAAAACATCAGATACAACAGGTAATTGTGAACGTTTAACAAGTATTTGTCAAGAATTCTTAATTGCGATATATAATTCAATTGAAAACTGTCCAATGTATGTATTTATAGCTATTGATAGAGTAGGAAAGTGCACTTGATTAGATTGTATTAATTAATTGATTTTATAATTTGTAAAAAAAAACAAAACAGTCCATTTAGAGCAATGGCAAATCATCTACAAAATGAAGTTGTCAAACAGTTTCCAGAGAGTAAACATACATCGGTTGGTGGATTCATATTCTTGAGATTCTTTTGTCCATGTATATTATCCCCGGATGCCAATGGTGTCACCGATTCATCGTCATTGACCATGGAGTGCAGAAGAGCATTGATTCTCGTAAGTAAGACTTTGCAAAACGTTGCAAACGGTATTCAATTCGGTACAAAAGAATCGTACATGAAAGAAATGAATCCATTCTTGGAGAGAAACTTTGATCGTTGTAAAGAATTTTTAGATAATATCGCTGTATGTATCATTTATTATTACTAATTAATAGTAGATTAGTTTTTATAGTTATTAATTGAATTATTTATTCTTTTTTTCTTAATAGACTTTACCACCTGTAATAGAATATACACCATTGTCATCAAAGAGTGAAGTTAAAAATAAAGAGTTACCTTCCATTCATAGATTGATTGTAAAGAATTTGGAAAAGATATTCAAGACACTACAACAGTATAATCAACAAACAGTTACATTCCAATTGGTATCATCACTCGGTAGATTAGGTGATTTCAAAGAAGTTTAAAATAATTAATAATAATTGATCAACAGTTAAACAATAATAACAAAACCAAACAAAACTAAATGAGACGAAACAAAACAAAACTTGACATAAATATAATAAAATTGTAATATTAGAATAGAATAGAATAATATAGAATAGATTAGGTTTATTTATTTAGTTTCTCTAATTCTCTTATTCCACTTGAAATCTCTTCTACGTGTTGGCCAGAACCTTTTCTCTTGACGATAGATAATATCAGTTTTACAAACTCTGGTGTTAACTTCAAACCTTGTGACATAATAACTCTGAATACATTCATTACTTTATCGATATCATCTTTTAATCCTGTTATCAAACCTGTATAATCTTTAATATTTGGTCTACATAATTTATGTTAGTTTATTATTAAATAAAACAATAGATTATATTATTATTTTATACTTACTTTATATTCATATCTTTCATTTCCAAGAATAATTCATAAACCTTCTCTAGTTTACCTTGTTTCGCGTATGTCGATATCAAGACTGTGAATGACTCGCTGTTTGGAAGTAGATCGTATCTCTTCATATATTTCATAATTCTCTCTATAAACAGCTCGTTATCATAGATATCTTGATTCTTTGTCGATGCTATTCTAAGTGACAATCTAAACAGATTGTTTATCAATGATATATCCGGTCTAATATTCTTATTAATCATCTCTTCAAATAATTCCAAACCTTTATCAATCTATAACAAAATGAAATTACAATTTAATTAATAAAAACTAAAGTAATAAATAAACATATATATTCTATCTACTTTACCTTATTAATATAATTACAAGTTGATATTAAGATATCATAGGTTCTCGTATCAGATTGTAGATTCTGAGTGAATCTCATCTCTTTGAATGTTTTATAGACATCGAATACACCCTCTGGATACTTTGTTTGTTTACATGCATGTAAGATTGTATTGACAAAGTAACGGTCGGGTTGCACGTTGTTTCTCTTGAGTGATTGAATGATCTCGGTGTATTTCTCTATTTGCTTGAGTCCTTCGACGCGAAGTGTGTCCAACTCCTGATGGTCGTGTGAGTATGCAATACGCTCGAACAAATACCGTTTGTTCTCATTGAACTGCTGTTGTGTTTTATATTGCTCCTGCATCGCCACAACATAGGTAGTGTACGTAGAGATATCCGGCTTGGCACCGATCGCTTTCATCTTATCGATGAACGACAGAGCATCGTCAAACTTGCCGATCGATACCAACGTCTTCATCAAGATATTAAAGAAGGTAACAGAGATCTTTATCTCGTGTTTCTCGATCTCGTTGAGTATCTTGTTGACTCGCTCCTGGATGCTCGCACTCGGTATGTTATTGGCGGTCGTACACACATTGATGAGATGACCGAGTGTATAGATGGTCGGTTTGATGTGATCTTTCTTCATGGTGTTGTAGGTATTCCAAGCCTGATTGAACTTGCCACTCTCTGCACATGCCAGAAGCAGATTCTCGTAAGCGTAGATCGTTCTGCGCTCCTCAGGCATATGCTTCAGTAGCTCCTCTGCCTCTTCAAACTTACCAGACTTTGCCAACTTCTCAAAGTATGCTTTCTGCGAGAGAGAACGATCTTCAGGTGCACGATCATGTATACTCTGTAGTCTCTTTGACTTTTGATGTTCTTTCTTTAACAATGATTTCGATGTCTCTATTAAATCTGAACTCTGATCCTCATCATTTTCAATCTTTTTCTTTAAAGTTGTAACTCTTCTAGTTGGTATCTTTTTAACTATTTGTTGTTGTGGTGTATTATTATTATTACTACTACTATAACAATAAAAAGATAAACTACTAGATCTATTATAAGGTAATAAACAATTTGTAAATCTATATCTTAAAATTGATTGCATTATTTGAAATCGTTAATTGATTGTTTAAAAAATAAACGAAAAATTAATACAACCAAATTTGGTGATAACGATTAATTAATTAAAAAAAAAAAAAAAGAATATTTATTTTAATAATAGATCAACCAAATAATTGGTACTATTGGTAGGTGGTAAATGGCTATTATCTATATTCATTAGTTTTGCTATGAAATTAAATAAATCTGTATTTGGGAATGTAAAGTGATGATCCACTCCACTTTTAATATTTGGACCATGTGCTATAAAAATTGATCTCATCTTTTCATCACTTATTGTTGTTTTCAATATTGATTAGATATAATAATAATTAATAATTTTTATAATATAAATTGAATTGATGATGATCATCATATTTTCTATGATATTATTTACCTATTTGAATAACCATGACTACCTAATCCAACTATTGGAGATGAATTCAAAATGATTTGATATCCTTCATCGGCTATTGCGATCAACGGTGCAATTCTTTCGTTATTTGGATTGCTATAGTGAAGAGAGCTTGGTATATCTTTTTTAAAATATATATTTAAATGTTCAAGGTTGGCTTCTTTCAATTTAATATAGGTATCTAACAATGCTTTCTCACCACCGATATCATTCTCGTAGACAGAGAGTATCGGTGAGATATCTGGTGCATAGACCTCCGTTGTATTGATATAGCTAGATACATCTATTGTATCGATGATATTGGTCATTCCATGATCAGATACTATTATTATATTGGTTGAATCGAATAGTTGATTTTTCTTTAGGGATGATAATAGTTTTCCAATAGCATTATCCACAAATGCTATACTTTGATTGAATTTCAACGAATCTACACCATTATGATGTCCAGCAATATCTACATCATAAAGATATGCCATTGTTAAGTTTGGTTTCTCATTTAATTGCCAATCTATAACTTGATCTATTACAACATCTGATTTTGTTCCTATATACTAGTTTTCCAAAGATTAGTTAATTAACTAATGGTTATCTTTGCAATATAGTCAACTTACTGGATAAATATTATATTTTGGAAAGTATTCTTGACAACCTGGCCAAAGATAACATGCACATGTTAGATTCTTAAATAAATTGATTAGATTAGATGGATTTGCTTTAATCCTTGTTCATAATAACAGTTGCTATTTACCGATTTAGCTGCAGTCATCCATATAGGTTCTCCCCAAAACCATTTCTTATCGATGTTTGATAGTGTGAAAGTTTCATTTAAAACAGGGTCATAGAAGCAGTTCGATACAATGCCATGTGATTCTGGATATAATCCTGTTGCCATTGAATAATGATTCTAAGAGCATGTTTAGTTTAGTTTGATTTTGATCAAGATATTATATTTAGTAGTCAAGGTAACACTTACTGGGAATGTTTTTGTAGGAAATTGAGGTGTCATATAATCAGCTCTTACGCCATAACTATTACTTTTTGATGCATCATCATCATCATACAATGATTTTAGATTTGGTGTTATACCTCTATCTAGTAGATCATATCTAAAACCTATCAATATATAACGATAAACAAATTTAAATAAGTTTAGATTATTATAGTTTAACAAATTATGTTTTAGTTTTACCATCTAAAGATAAAATTATAGTTGGATTGATACTATTGTTTTTAACATTCTTTGTTTTTAAACTACTTATAGTATCATTATGTTTAATACTATTATTCTCTCTCTTTTTCTTCTCTACAATATAAACACTTGTAAATATAATCAATGTAATAACTATCAATGCTACGATGGTCAAAACAATTTTAATTTTCTTTTTTGAAAGATATTTTGAAATTGTAGATTTATTAATAATAAACTTTTTAATTTGTTTGTTTCCCATCTTTATACTTTAAAAGTATAAATTCTTGTGGTAACATTTTGTTTTTATTATTTGTTTGCTTATCATTTATTTATTTTTATTTAGAAACTGTGTGAAGTGGTTCTTTATATATTCGAATGTTGTGAGATATAATAAATTTAAAAGTATTTTTTTTTTCAAACAATCTAAAGTTTGAAATCAATATTATCTGATAAAAGAATTGAAGTAAACTCTTTTACATAATGGATCTTCAAATTAGAATTCCGAGAGTATTGAAGTAATAAATTCAATTGTTTAAAACTATGATTGCAATTGGGCTATAAAAATCTGATTAGCATCAGTTTTGAAAACCTCTCTTCCAACGGTAATATAAAGATCTCTAATAGCTTCGTTAGAGTGACCTGCCATTCTCGAAAAGGTAATCATACCACCAGTACTAGTTCCACCGATTAGCAAGTTTCATTAAACTAACTATAAAGTGAAAGAAACATGGTTCTCAAAGTTTAAGATCATCATTACAAATTTCTTCCATTGTGGGGGTTTGTATCAATTTTTTATAGGTGGTATTTGGTGATGAGGTATAAATAAAATTCAAAGTAAAACTATTTTTGTTGGGTTTTAAAATCTGGTAATTTAGAAATTTATTTGATTTTTTTTGTTTAAAATAGAAACTATTTGTAATATTTAGAAGATTGTTTTATTTCAATAAAATAGAATAGATTACCACGAATTTCTATTGCGACTATCTCTGGATATATCGATATCTGATGATCTGATATTAAAATGAGTTGTTTTTAAAGTAAATTGTTTATCATTGTATTCTGATGATTGATCGATATCCTCCATATCTACAAAGTGCTGATATCCCAATTTGAGTAAATCAATCAGTTTATGTGGATCGTAATCTCCAATCTCATTACTTGGAATGGTCATATCAAAGACTTTATCATTCTGATCGATGAAATAAATCAAAACACTGTTGGCTGACAACTTTGATGCATTATAACATATAATATCTGCCAATTGTTCTAAAGTAGGTTTGGGTTTATATCGTTCCTCGTCTGATCCGTATCTTGATCTGCATTTGAACTTGTAATCCATCTTTTGAGCTGCTGAGCCTCCACTGACTATAAAATCTCCAAAGAAATATTTGGATAAAGTTTCGATTGAATAACTGTCGGTAGCAGTCCATTCATTATATCTATAGAACGATTGGTTTGTGTCATCTGTATATCTATATATTCGATAACCTAGTGACTCCAAAGACTCGTTAAAAACGTAAGGAATCTCAAGTTTCCATTGTCCATCGATATTAGCCAATACCAAATTGTGAAAAGCTGAGCATGGACCTCTATTGATTGATATTCTGAAAATAGTGTCACCGGTGAGTGGTGTAACGAAAGGAATATTGATTTTCAATGTTTTTTGATTACAATCCAGACTTCTATCTAATATTTTCAAACTCTCTGACATTTGACTAAACTTCAAGTCTACTCTTAAATACACTTCAAATTTCCCAATAGCCCCATCTTGTATTGTCAACTGGAGATCAAAGCTACCCGATATAATATTAGATACGAAACTATCGATTTGAAGAGAATCTTGTAATATTTTAGATTCATAAGGTTCTGTTGGTGGTGACATTCTTCCTATTTTACAAACGATAATAACTTTTAATTATAATATATATTTATATATTTAATCTACCTACATATATTATATAATTTAATCTATCTTTAAAAAAAAATTCAAATTTGTATTTTAGCCTCATTCAAATGAGGGAACCACGTTTTGATTCACACACATTTTTTTTATTTTCTATATTTATTTTAAAATTTTGATACTGTGCGAAATGCTACTGAATCCTATGATTGTTATTGTGAAAGTTACGGTTTATATGGATATCCGTTGATATGTTCACAAAACGAGTTGTTTTAAAGTAATTTGTTTTTCGCTATTATTTATTGATTGATCGATATCCTCCATCTCTGCACGGTGTTGATATAAAAAAATAAAAAATATTTGTGCACTATTATTTGCAAGTTATTGTGTCATATACTGATCTTATTAAAATCAATAGACCTACTTATTTTATTTTATGTTTTATGAAAATAATATATCTAAAGAATTATCTTTGTTGGATGTGAATTGATTGAGTGACTCTCTATATTGACCAACCATTCTCTGTAGTGTACGATTCTTTGCAATCGTTGGAAGGAGTTCACGAAGTAATTCACGCTTTGGTAATCCTAAAATATTTGGTTCCCAAGATGTCGATACTTGATTATCATTATTATTATTATTACTATTGTTGCTATTGTTATTGTTATTGTTACAATTATTATTATTATTATTATTAAATAAATATCATACTCTTCATTGAATTCAGATTTAGTCCAATCTATGGTTGTTATAATTGTATGTAGTATCTTTATGAATCCGAATCTTTCCAGTGCCGATAGTACTTGGATCTTACGGGGACCGTTTGCAAGTCCGTAGAGAGTGAGAAGTAGATCGGATTGATATGATGACTTTGAATAATCACTGAGGAATTGATAGGGATCCTCTTGGTCACCCATTTGCATTTCGAGATTCAAACTCTCAATAATCTGTAGCAGCTGGTCGTTGGTGAAACTAATTCGTGTCACTCTATCCAATTGATTCCAATCGTCTTGATTCGTAGAGATACCTGCACCTTTTCGTAGCGATGGTGATACCCAATCATTTTCCATTGATTTTCTTAATAATATACAAAGCATCTCTAATAAACATGGTGAATTTAATACTAATGCTATATATATGATCATACACAAATATATTCACATTATTAATAATCGATTGATTGATTGATTGATTGATTGATTGATTGATTGAATGTTTGATAGTTATTGTTCATTTTCCTTACATTGATTTGTATTATATAATAAGTGCTATATGTTTGACGGTTTCTTCACTCACCACTCCAAGAGGTACGAGCCATGTGGACATTAACTGGTTTGATTTTCCAAAATTGAATAATTTGTTTATACTGTCAGCAATTGCGCTGGGTGATTCCCTACTATCTAGTAGCTTATCTCGTATAAAACTATCATAAGATTCTTTATCCGCGAGGTTTTGGAACATCTTCATATTTGATTGGTGCTTATTATGATAAAACTCCTCTGTATTGAAGCGTTCGTTTAGTTGATCATATTTTCCAGAATCTCTTCGATGCTCTTATCTTTTTTTGGCCTGAAGTTCGTTGATCTGATTTATATTATTATTTACAAGAGATTTTGAATTGATGTTCATAGTAATATTGATTTCATTATTGTTTTGTTGAGTTGACATCAATTGAGTTGAATTAAGAATAACTTCTTGGCTTCTACTGTTATTGGTTAAAGTGATGTCAAGTCTGGTGGTGTTACTTTTGGGATGTAGGATATCTTGGGAGGTAGTTGGTTTTACTATTTTAGACAGTTGTTAGTGCTTGTTTGTTATTGGTTGACTTGTGGCAAGGCTTTCGATGAGTTGATCACGAAGTTTAGTTAATTTGAAACTGTCAAATTCATCACCTGATCTTTTCTATTAAATTTAATTATATTAGATAACATTAAATTGTTGCTATACATAACCTATTTACTTACAACACAATTAAAGCATAATTTTGATTTTGGCACCGATAGGCTACGTGAAATCCAAATTGGATCGATATCTGAATTGTTATCTAATAAAGCATATTCTAAATTAAATATTTGTTTAAGCAGATTCCAATCACTCTTGCTTACATATGCATGATAGGTCATTTCTAATAGATAACTTTACTCTCAACAAGATAAGATTCTGCGAAAAGCAAGAATGTCTTACTAAAAGTCCTTCTTTACAGTAAGTCCAATAATTAAATTGGAGGTTATTATTTAGCTATGACAATCAAGTCAAGTGAAGCAATAAATGACTATTATCGTACTTTCAAAATTTTAAAATCAGCTGAGTTTACTATTTTTTTTTTGAGAGTAAAAAAAAGATTTCATATCAAAACGCCGCAGAATACTTTTTGTTACGAATACAGATATGAGAAAAAGTAGTAAATTAATATTAGATAGTAAATCAGAAGGAATAAAAGAAGCTATGAAAAATATAAAAAACAATATATAGAATTCTAATGAATATTATCACTAGATACCATTATTTAGTGAACTTCAGAATTTCGTATCGTCACTAGTTAAAATATGAAAAAATATCTCAAACATAATTTTTCGCAATAAAGTGACAAAAAAAGTTGATCAAAAATTTTTCAAAAAAAAAAAAAAAAATAGAAATAATCAGAAATTGAAATTCCACTGATAATTCGTGTATTTTTCAAAAATTAGTGAACACCACGTGAAAATTTGTATTTGAAATGTTTTTTTTTAGCTTCACTAATAGATCAATCGTTTTGAAAATTTGTATTTTTCCAATATTTATGAATCAATCAGATGCTATTAAGAACTATTAAGAAGGAAATGATGTTTGGTGGATTCATTCGAGTTTTATACAATGGCCCCGATACCCCAGAGATTGCAAAGGAGCTTGTGATCTCACATGATTCGGCAAAGGCAGAAATCAAAAAACAAACTGACAAAGATCTAGATTTGGATCAAGATCAAATCTATGTACTGGGTATTCGTGGATGTTGGTATCATACTAAGCAAACTACTTTGAAAGATCTTACCAAAGACCTCAAAGACATGGAAGAACTTATGAAAGTAAATAAAGAGGCCATTATCATTGTCGGAGATCCTATCGGACTTGAACAGTACCTAGTTCATGATGTATACTATATTGCTCGGTATTTAGGTTTTCCAGAGAAGGAGGCATTGGATTTAATCAAGCAAGAGATATCGTCCGACACCTACACTACTAGAAGTTTTCTTCACGGAGATATAAAAATAACAGTAATATGGAACCCAACTTCTGATGATCTCGCTGGCTATTTCTCTACACATATTCCAATGATCCATGCCATCGAAGTGTACATCTGTTATTGTGGCCACTCAGGGGAGGAGCCTGGCTCAATTGAACTATTCGATGGACACCACCTAGCCTCTGACCTATACAAAAACCTCCTTAAAACCTCCTTTCGTCACTTTCCCACTGGGGTTCACTTATTGTTCAACTGTTGCTTTGCTGTAGATGTTTGTGCCTCGTTCATACGTCACGAAAATGGCCTATCGGAGGAGGAAGCCGTGAAGAAAATTAGACAAACATATAATACTACTTTGTATCGGAAAGCCACAAAAAACTCAAAACCCCTCGAGCTCGAGGGGAATGTGATGGATCTAGAAACGTTTAATAATTGTACAAAAGCCAACTTTGAAGATCAAAGAAGTCAGATTAATTTGATGTGGAATAAAGTGAAGCTTTACCTCTATCCTCTCTCTGATCACGAATTGGTGAACCATGGAGCGTTTCCAGAAATTTTTCAAGTGGGAAAATTAGATCAAATTCTACCAAATGTGCAGGCCAGAAGAAGATCATGGGAAACTGTAGAAGGATGTAACAATAAATTTATCAACACCGTGAATGAAGAAGGTGAATATACGGACGACGATACCCGCATACGTATATTCCAATCAAAAGAAGGTGATAGTAGTCTTGTTGAGAGTAAAGGATTTGCCATGTTGGTCGATGGAGGGGCAACATTCGAACCATCTTTTTGGTCAAGAGTAAAGTGCCTTCAAGTGTTGGACATGGTCTTGCTTACTCATGGTGACTGTGATCATGTTAATGGATTGTTACCGTTCATCTTCAAATATAAATTCCCAACACACAGCGCACCAGATATCAAACATATTGCGATCCAGTCTGGAGACCTCAACACTGAGTCACGAGGTTGGATTCACGCTTACCAATTAGCAAAATATGCAAATGAATTCTTGAAATCAGCTATCCATTACAACAAATTGGTCAAAGGCGATAAAATATATTTAGATAAAGACAAAAAGATCATAATTGAAATTATTCTACCAACACCTGAAGGTAGAATAAAGGTAGAAGAGGAAACAAAAAAGCTGTCCAAGGAGAAAAAACGTTCGGCGAAGCTTACAGACATCAACAAAACTGGAATAGTATTCATCCTGTTCAACACTATAAATAATACCAAAATGTTATTTACTGGGGACGCTGATGGAATAGATATTTCGGAACAAATTAAAGGTAGAAATATCACATTTGACTATGTAGACATTCCTCACCATGGTTCGGAAAATAATAACCCTGGTAGTTTCCTTGAATCAATTAATGCCAAAAATCTAGTGATAAGCACCAATGGTTCAAAGCATGGTCATCCAAGTCCCAAAACTTTGGTTGCACTTGCAAATTATCTCGAGATCAAAAAAGAAACTAAACTGCACTTTAACTATCACCCAGATAATAGTAAGTTTCAATTGGAGCCAATGAAAGCCTTGCGTGAATTGATAGTTCAATTCCCAGATCGAGTAATTTTCCCAGATATTGGTAAAAACCACATTGATGTTATAGTGAAAAGTAATAAATAAAATAAATTCAAAGTATAAATTATATTTTTTTGCAAATTTAATTATAAATGTAGACTCATAATAATTTTGTGAAATACATTATATATTAATAGTTATAAACTTGCCTTATTTTAAACTTGTGTCATATACTGAATCTTATTAAAATCAATAGACCTACTTATTTTATTATGTTTTATGAAAATAATATATCTAAAGAATTATCTTTGTTGGATGTGAATTGATTGAGTGACTCTCTATATTGACCAACCATTCTCTGTAGTGTACGATTCTTTGCAATCGTTGGAAGGAGTTCACGAAGTAATTCACGCTTTGATAAATCCTAAAATATTTGGTTCCCAAGATGTCGATACTTGATTATCATTATTATTATTACTTTTGTTGCTATTGTTATTGTTACTATTATTATCTATATTATCAAATAGATTCTTACTAAAACTATTGTTATTGCAAGATGGACCTAAAAGATCGTTGCAAATCTCTTGGAGACGCAATTGATTGGCGTGATTGGTGAGATGTGTTACGTAGGTGAACAGCCAGTGTCGGTACTCTGACGGGCTTGACAATATTGTTGCGAGGAACAGCTGCTTCTCGAGGAATGTTGTCGAGAGCTGCAGCTGTGAGGCACGGTCGTTCGAGAGAGTCATGAGATCAGTCACCGAGCTTGGTTTTCCGGCCTGTTGGAGCTTTGCGAGCATTCCAATGCTCGTGGTATCAGCGTTGCTATTAAACTCCGAAAGCGAACCTAATCTATCGGTAATTTTTATCCACTCTCCAACTGTATCGGTAAATACATACGACACTCCATTGCTCATTGAAATAATAGGTTTACCTTCCTCAGTCACCAATGCATTTCCTTTATAAAAAAAGATTATAATATGATAAATAATTGTTAATCGATCAATCGATCTATATATATCTCTTTAAATAGGTTAACTACTACTTACTAATTGTTAATTTATCTCTATTTAAAAAGAATGGTAATTCTCTATTTGATATTTCACATTTTCTCTTTTTGATATCCCAGACACTGAAATAACCGTCGCATGTTATTATGAGCAGATGATATTGATTGTTTGACTCCAAAAATGACACTTGATTTCTCAGTACAATGTTGGACATAATCGAGACACCGTTGTAGTTGAAAATATGAAGAGTTGCATCGTGAGTTGCAACGGCACACCAATGACGGTTACCAGTGGCAACACAAACTTTACCATTGATTTTGTTCTCCCACAAGATCGAATCTTTCAGATAACGGATCGTGGAGAAATATTCAGTTGACTCCAGTAGTTCTTGCTCCACAATGTTTATATCTAAAATTAAATTAAAGTTATCTGATGTCGAAGCTGATGATGATCTTGGTATAGTTTGGTCGTGAGTTGTAAGATGTTTGGAAATATGATTGGATCCAGTTGCCGGTTGTAATTGAATCGATGAAAGTCTGTCGTTGAAGAACATCGGTGCATTTCCAGCTTGATTGTTTGCAGAACTCTGATGTTTACTAGATGAGTCTGATGCCGAAGACGAAGCTGTTGTTTTGTCTTTCGATGCTGAGGTAGAAGAAGACGATGACGAAGCTGAAGATTTAGTTTTCTTTTTACTTGTTGATTCCTGTACCTCGAGATTTCTTCTTTTTGCCAAAACCTCGCTGTTACCTGTACTTGTACTTCCTGTTGGTGTTGTCTGTGTTGATCCAGATCCTGACTTACTACCACTGCTATCCCTTGGTGTTTGTTGCTGTTGTTGTTTAGCTGCTTTTAACATTGCCGAGAGTGGTTGATGTACAGTTTTAGCTGTTGGAGTTGTTGGTGAATCCGTATTACTCTTTGATAAACTTTCAGAATTTGAACTGCTATTATTATTTCCTGTTATATCCATTGGTTCCAAACTATTATTATTGTTATTATCATTATCTGTTGTTGTTGCTGTTGTTGATGATTGTGGTGAGATGGTTGGTGTTCCGTTTAAATTATGATTTAGATGTGAGGGTATGGCGAGTGGAGATGGCTTGGTGATTGCTTGTGAGCTGGCAGGTCCTCCAATGTTCAACGGTGTAATTCTACGTCGTCCATTGATGATTGTTTCCTTTTGACGCTGTTTAACTACTTGTGTTGGGTGTATCTGTATTGGCACACCGATATCCGATGCCGATGTTGTTGACGTCGTCGTAGTTGATGTATTGTTTTTGGAGGAGGTGGATGTTTCGTCTTCCATTGTCAGTTGATCTGGATTCTCTGCCAACATTGACAGTTCCGCTCCACCACCGCCACCACCAACCCCACTGCCACCAGCAACTCCGCCACCGCCGCCACTTGTTCCGATCATCATTCCAACAATGAGTTGGCCATCGTTTCCCACACGAACAGCATCTCCGTATGCACGCTTAATAAGCTTTGCTTTTTCGCTTACGGACATCGGCTGTCCACCTATCTCAGACGGAGTCAGCTCAATATATCCAATGGTTCCGTCGGAGGAGCAACACAGGAATGAGTAGCCGTCCGGCAGCCAAGCTATATCTTGAATCGACTGATCAAACAGTGTTGTTGTTACCATCAACGGACGTGGTGATCCCGACGACCACAGAGTAATAGTATTGTCAAGTCCAGCCAGTGCAATACAGCAGTATGGATTCTTCTTGGCATCGAGGTAAAAGATTGGTGAGTATCGCGCTACAACAATCTGCTTCTTATGGCCAACGAAATCACAGCCCTGATTCCAACTGGTTCGTTGAATGATAACAGCGGTTTGCGATTGATTGTTCAACCCGTTGGCGGCACAAAGCGATTGTCCATCGGGTGACCAACTCGATCGCAAAAAGAAACTATTGCACGACTGTTGAAAAGGATCACTTATCACACTCTCCACCACCCAATCCGACACTCTCCAAATGATAACACTCCTATCCTCACTCTGCGATGCCAGATATCTTCCAATTGGATCCCAAGTAATTCCTTTCACCAATCCTTTATGTTCATCCAATTGCTTTACCATTTCTAAGAAGTAACAAAAAAAAATGTCAGTCAGTTAGTTAGTTGTTAATAAAGATAAACATGTATGTATGTAGCGTAGTAGAACTATAATAATAATTTAAACAGACATACTAAAACTATTCAGACAATCCCAAATTATAATGGATTTATCAAAGGATGATGATGCCAGATATTTTCCATCGGGTGACCAAGCAATCTCTGAGATGTCGGCGGAATGGCCTCGGAGTGTATAGACACAGATCCAGTTCTCTACGATTTTTTCAGAGGTGCTGCTACCCACCGAGATAAACGAAGAGCGGCCACCAGACAAAGTGAGTCCCCATACCATGACCAAGTTATCATCGCTACCCGACGCCAGATACTTTCCGTCACGCGACCACCTCACACAATTCACAGGACCATAGTGTGACTCCATAGAATTCAACAGTCTCGGTACGTTTGAATCCAGTTCGGCTTCCTCCACAACCACCGGTGCTATACTCCATATCTTTACTTTATTATCACCACCACCCGTTGCAAATCTAGTTCCATCTGGATGTATATCTATTGAAAATATAGAATAACCTAATAACAAAAAATCAAAAAGATTATCATTATTATTATAATCAATAAATTAACATGCATGATGATCATCATCATCATTAAATATCAATATTAAATAGTGATGATCAAATGATCATTTGTAATTTTAATTAATAATACATACCACTATGTTCTACCCATGTCGGTTTTAATATTTTCATTATTATGTACAAATAAATATAAATAAATATATAAATGTTATCTTTTCAAAAACTAATAAATTTTTTCACCTTTTTGTTTTTTTTTAAAAAAAAAAAAACTAATTTCTTTTTGTCAATGATAATATATTTGGATATCGATGTGATTTGATCTCTTTCAATTTTTCATTTAGTAGCAATATTTAAAACATTTCAAAGACGAATGAAATATATATTTGCAAAATAATTTAATTTAATATATTACAAATTTTTAATTGGTTGATTAATATCAGTTTTTGATCAATCTAAACATGAATACATGACAAAATTTTGTCAGTCTTCTTTCTATTCATATTACTTGAATTGTGTTTTGTTTGTTCATCAAAAAAATTTGTGAAAAAAAAAAAGAAAAAATTTTGAAAAAGGTTAAAAAAAAAAAGCAACATTAAAAAAATTTATATCTTATTTTTTTGCAGCAAACTATTTTATTTATAAATAACTTAAACCTAATCTTTTTAGATATTTTATTTTATTAATATCTTTTTTATAATGTTTTAAACTATATATTTTATATTTTAGTTTGTAATAATACTTTTTTTTATTATTAATATTATTTAAGTAAAGTAAAAGGAAAGGAAAACAATCAGTACCAAAAAAAAAAAAAAAAAAAAAAAAAAGAAAGTAGTTTATAGATAGATATAGTTATAAGAATAAAAAGACAAGATAAGATAATAAGTGGTTTAAAAGAATGAGATTAGAGTGGAAAAGGTTGGGTGTCGGTGGTTCACCTGAAGCCAGATGGGGACATGTCACCGTCAGTCTGAGTAACGGTGCATTCCTGGTGTTTGGTGGCAATGGTAATAAGACATTCAACGATCTAACGCTGTATAACAGCGGATCAAACAGCTGGTCAAAGATAGAACCTCAGGGTAATCCACCTGCACCGCGCTACGGTCACAGTGCAACGCCGTTTGGTCAACAGATTCTGATCTACGGTGGACGTGCCAACAGTAAACCATTCTCTGACGTAACGGTACTACAACACCAAGGTGGTGATCGCTTCAAATGGCTGAAATCACAACATCAACACAAGTCACCCGAGGGTAGAGCCGGTCACACCGCCATTGCATACAACAATCAACTCATTGTATTCGGTGGTCACAACTCTTCACGTAACAAATATTACAACAGTGTTTTAACATTTAATATAGGTAGGTTAAGGTTTATTAGATCAACAACAACAACAACAAACTTTAGCAGCAGCAACAACTAAATCACTATTTTTTTTTAGATACAGGAAATTGGGATCAACCAACATGTGATGGTGCCGTTCCACCTGCACGTGGATCACACTCTACTTTCCAAGTCGGTAATCATATGTATGTTTTCGGTGGATTCGATGGTAAAAAGTATTATAATGATTTACATTGTCTAGATTTAGGTATGTTTGCATATTCATCAATATATATTTTGGTTTTTATATTAATATTTGCTATGTGTGTGTGTGTGTTACTGTGTTGTTTATTTATTTTTATTTATTTGTGCAGATAAGATGATTTGGAAAAAGATAGAATGTAAAGGTAATTCACCGAAACCACGTTCAGGACATAGCAGTACGTTGATGGGTGATCGTTTGGTAATATTTGGTGGCTGTGGATCGGATTCAAACTTTTTGAATGATGTACATTTGTTGTCGCTCGACGATATGCGTTGGGAACAACCGGTGATGGCCGGTATGGAGAATCCACATCCGAGGTTTAGACATACTGCCAACTCGATGGGACAAAACAAAGTGTTTATATATGCTGGTACTGGATCTGGTATTCTGCTGAGTGATGCACTTGTTATTGAAGCGTCGGAAGATCAATTACTAACGATGCCATCGACTACGACAACATCTACAGCTACTGCATCCAATAATAATGCAACAGCTAATCAATCTACAACTTCACCACCACCACCAACAACTACAACAACATCTACAACTGCTACTTCAATACCAACATCAACAACAACAACAACCACAAACAATCCTGTTGTAATTACAACAACAGGGAATAATAATGGTAATGGTATTAATAATACCGGTGGAACTACACCACCTAATAGTAGTGCTGCTTCTATTATGATGACAACAACTTCACTTATAACGACAACGACAACAACCACGACAACCTCTTCATCTTCTTCAACTTCACCTTCACCTTCACCATCTCCATTATCAAGTTCACCTCCTAATACATCAACGACTACACATCAATCACCTATTCAAATAACATCCGATAGTTTCCAATCTGGATTCATTGTACAACAACCACAAACACAACAACAACAACATTCACAACCACAACAACAACAACAACAACAACAACAGCAACATTCACCATCACATCAATCTTCACATTCACATCAACAACAAATAATAAATATCTCACCAGAACGACCGAGTGAGAAAGAAAAAGAAAAAGAAAAAGAAAAGTCCGAACAGAAAGAAAAGAAATCGAAACTCATGAAACCAACAACGAGCGCATTGAACACTCTAAAGTTGGGATCGGAAAAGATTCTCTCACTTTTCGAGAAGGACAACGAGATAAAGTCACTGAAGGACAGTCTGGCATTTGAGGTCTCTCAAAAGATGCTGGCAGACATCAGAATCGAGAAGGAGTTGAATGAGAAGAAGAGAATCGAAGACCACTTGAACAGCGAGAAGATGAAATTCGAGAGTAAACGACAGCATCTCGACAATCTACTACGCAACGAACAGAAACAAAAGCAACAACTCGAAGATAAGGTCAATAAGTTGAATCTGAGTAACACGCAGCTGCTCGAACAAGTTGGAAAGCTCACTGCACAATTCCGTGAGATGGAACAAACACTGGCCAAAAAGAGTCATTCCAACAGCCGTCAGAACGACGAAACAATCTCACAGCTCAAGAAACAGTGTCTGCAGCTGAGTGGCGAAGACATCGATGATCTGACACTGGACGAATACGATAGGCTGGAATCCATACACCTGACGGCACTGGAAAAAATTCGTGTCAAGCGCCAGCAATCGCAGGCGCGCAAAGACGACGAACTCCAGCGGAAACTCGAGGAAATCAACTTGTTGCTGCGCAGCTATGTCGCGCCAGAGAAACACCGCGCAGCGATCGAGCGTCTCGAGACTGACATTGACTCGATGTCGCGTGAAAAGTCGGTACTGAAGAAGCAACTTGACCAACTGAATAGCGCCAATCTCGACGGATTATCGATCGACTCACTGAGCGCACTCGAAGAGATCCACCAGAAAGGTTTGGCGAAGCTGAGCATCCTCAAGCAAGAGGAATGGAAGAAGCAGTTGGCCACTCTTAAGAAGGAGAAGGAGCAGCTTCAGGATCAAAACACTTGTATCATTTGCACCGACCGACAACCAAACGTTGTCCTTTTACCATGTAGACATAGCTCACTCTGTTCGAAATGCTCCTCCTGTCTAAGTCGTTGTCCCGTTTGCCGAGCAAACATTGAAGAACGACTGGAAACATTTAATTAACCCTTAAATCCTAATTTGGAAAAATCAATAGTAATATACAATCAAAAGTAATAAAAACCATATATAATTTATTTATTATCTTACCAACCTCCAACACCATAAAATTATTTTTGCCTACTGAAATTTCAAAAGAAAATAGAATAACAACAAAACATTAAATTTGATTTAATAATTATTTTATTATTTTGATTGTTTAATTACTATTTCTATCTAATCTGAGTAGTTCTCTTCTTGACAATTTATCACCATTGGGAAGTGTAATAGTTTGTTTTTTGTTGAAAAAAGTCAATACAATTGATCTGTAAAACCATTCTTGAGAATCATTTAGCTTGTAGGACTCTAACAACAGTTGTTGTTTTGTCATTGATTGTCCATTGTGCAATGTGACTCTTTCGTTTGTTTCCATTACTAATGCTAGACCGTTATAAGCTGAGAAACGATCAGGATCGCCCTGATGTATATTTGTTTCTTTGTCATTGACTCACCATATGGGAAAATGATTGATTCATTTCGTTTGAATCGTTTTGCAAGTTAGGTGGGAGATAAAATGTGATGGATCTATCGATATTGTTTTCTAAAAGAGTTGTATATTATTCATTGTTTGACCATTTTGAAGTGTGATAGTTTTATCTCCAGACAGTGTCTTTTCAAGACGAAGATATGGAGATACAAAGTCTGGATCACATTCTATTGCTTTCAATAGTATTTGTTGTTTTGTCATCGGATGTCCATCATTCATAATGATTTGCTCATTAATTGAGAGTGAATATACAAGGCGATTATATGCATTAGCAATATTTGGATTATACTCTATTAACTTCATGTATAGTTGTTGTTTGGTTATTAAAATTTAATAAGAACTTGATTTTTAAATTTCACTTTACCAAAAGTGTACACTGGAATTCCAAAGACTCTATAATAAATCTAGAAGAGCTACTCATACCAATTCTAGTTTCTCTGGCAATATTAATTAACTCTTAAAACAACCAAACTAAACTAATATCTTTTATTGGAAATTAAATCAATCTTGATTGCGATTGCAGTGAAATAATAAAGTATATAACAAATATTCTTAACAGTTGATTATGAAATTGATACTCAATCTTTTCCTTGAAAAGTCTCATTATTGAAAGCAAACCATTCAGTTGCTACAAGCAGGAGGACCTATCAAATTCTATGATGGTTTCAAACTTTACAAATCAAATAAAATATTCATTATTTTGTTTGTTTACAATTTAATAAATAAAGATATAAATAAATTGCTCAGATAAATAATGCTTATATTTATTAATATTAAACGGGCATAGTGATGAGAGGCAACCGGCATAATAACGAGAGGCAACCGGCATAGTGACGAGAGGAAACCAGCATAGTGACGAGAGGCAACCGGCATAGTGACGAGAGGCAACCGACATAACTAAGAGAGGAAACCAGCATAACGACGAGAGGAAACCGGCATAGTGACGAGAGACAAAAGGCATAATAACGAGACAACCGGCATAGTGACGAGAGGAAACCAGCATAGTGACGAGAGGCAACCGGCATAGTGACGAGAGGCAGCCGGCATAACTACGAGAGGAAACCAGTATAACTACGAGAGGAAACCGGAATAGCAACGAGATATCATAGTAAGGAAGCAACAGCAATGGTAAAAAAGGACTTGGAAAAGAAGAAAGAGATAAAAGGAGATAACACAAAGAGTTAGTAAAACAAAGATATAAATTAGTTAAAGTTATAATTAATAGTTATTACTTACAAAATTATTTGTATTTGAAAAATAATGAAAAATGACATTGTGAATGAAATTTTAGGTTTATATAGTGTTAAATTTGATTCGTTTACTTACAGTTTGAACTCAAAATTGGCGGCAACCGTTAAGCGCCAATTAAAAGTATGAATTAATATTCAAATTTGAAATATAAATATTAAAATTAATTAAATAATTCATTTTATTATAATATAATATTCAAAAATAAAAAAAACAGGCAATCATTACCAATGAAGAAACAACAAGCATAATTTTCAATTTTATTAATTTATTGAATTTGCAACACCCCACTTTTATTTGACAAGTTCATCTTTTTTTAATTCTTAAGAATTAAGAGAAACTCATAAAAATAGAGAATAACAGTTTATTTTGGCTATCATTTTATATAGTTAACTAGGTTGTATATTTGTTAGAGTCTATATTTTTAAAAATGTTTCATTATAGAATATCTATTTCTTTCCGTTGTTCTTTGATATTTTGTTATATGTATAAAAGCAATTTAATACTAATAGAAATACAAGGGAAACATATTATTAAATAGGTTGAATGGTTTCACTTCACTGTTATAATTAAATTAAATCAGTTGTTTCCGAATTAAGATAATTCTTAATTACTCAGACATCAAATAAAATCTAGATTTTATATAAACATTTAGAAAATAAAATACAACTACCAACTGAACCACAACTGACAACAACTAGATCAACAAATAATTCATCAACACCTCCAAACCCACTCATTACCAGAAATATTTCATAGAGTTGAGGTAGATGATGTTTTTGGATTAGTGGTGGTGGAATGACATTTGCTATTCTGCTCCTGGTCAAGTAATTCAACATTTATGAGTGTTTGGATTCCACAAATTTAGTCTTTAAATAAAAATTTAAACTACATTTATAATTATATCTTTTGATTTTATTTTATCGATTTATGAAACTGATGGTAAGGAGTAGTTGAGCAGATGGAAATTGAGAGTGGCGTGTTCATCGGCAACCTAGTTATGGAGTTGATGGTAAATTAGTTGTAGTGTTGATCGAAGCTAAGATTTGTAGAAAACAGTATCTTAGTAGTAGAGTTGATGGATACACTAGCTTCGGGAAACTAATTATGGCTATTGAGTCAACTGAGTCATCAACTCAGTCCGGTAACTGGTCAACTGAGTCCGGTAACTGAGTCAACTAAGTCATCAACTCAGTCCGGTAACTCATTACTCAGTCGGTAACTGAGTCAACTTAGTTCAGTAACTAACTGAGACCGGTAACTTAGTCAACTAAGTCATCAACTGAGTCCGGTAACTTAGTCAACTAAGTCATCAACTCAGTCCGGTAACTCATTACTCAGTCGGTAACTGAGTCAACTTAGTTCAGTAACTAACTGAGACCGGTAACTCAGTCTGGTAACTGAGTCATCAACTGAGTCCAGTAACTTAGTCAACTAAGTCATCAACTGAGTCCAGTAACTTAGTCAACTAAGTCATCAACTGAGTCCGGTAACTTAGTCAACTAAGTCATCAACTCAGTCCGGTAACTCCGTCAGGTAACTCAGTTAGGTAACTGAGTCAAATAAGTCATCAACTCAGTCCGGTAACTCCGTCAGGTAACTCAGTCTGGTAACTGAGTCAACTAAGTCATCAACTCAGTCCGGTAAATGAGTCAGGTAACTGAGTCAGGTAACTAAGTCAGGTAACTCAGTCAGGTAACTCAGTCAGGTAACTCAGTCAGGTAACTCAGTCCGGTAACTGAGTCAACTAAGTCATCAACTCAGTCCGGTAACTGAGTCAGGTAACTCAGTCAGGTAACTAAGTCCGGCAACTCAGTGGAATCAACTCAGTTAATAAAAGAAATAATTATAAAGAATTTGAAAGTTATCAACATTATTTATTTAAAATTTGATCGAAATCAATTAAGGCGACGAATGAATCATTGGCAGAGAACAACAAGTCTGGTGAGAGAATGGTATCTGTCGTTTCCTCCACTACTAGCAATATCAAGTGTGGTTTGGTGATGTTGTGAAGATGATGAAGCTGAAGACGAAGAAATTCTAGTGTTGTTGTTGTTGTCATCGTCTGCGAAACTAAAGTGATTTATATTGTCGGTGCTGTTGTTGTTGTTGTTGATCTGGTGGTCATGTAACTACAAAGATCATAGTGAATTTGAAGTACTACTACTAAGATTGTTCAATAACCTAACTTATTGATAAAATAATAATTATAAAAAAGAATATTAATATCTTTTCAAAGATTAATAAAATAATAATAATAAACAATAAGAATATCAATATCTCTTTCCTAAAGATTAATAATAATAATAAATAAATAAATTAACTTGCAATTGAAACAGAACTCGCAGTGGTAATCTATAGATTGGCTTACCTTTATTTAAAAAATAAGAGTTAACAAAGTAACTTGTTATAAAAATAAAAAAAAAACAAACAAAAATGCAATACAATCTACAACATTTTAAATATCTGTATTAATGACTAAATTTAAATACATTTATAATAGTATATATAAGAACTTGTTAATAAGAAGTAAAAAAAAATACAAAAATAAAAAAAATGAATAAATAAATTGTTATTCTTTATATCTATTATAATAAATGCGATAAATAAATTCAAATTTGTTGGTGTGCTAATTAATTAGAAATATATAAATATGAATAAATGTTATAATAAATAGATTGATTGTTGCTTGATCAATTCGAATTACTTTAATTAAATAATTAATTATGTGTGGTGTTTGACTTTGGTGGCAAAAAAAAAGTGAAAAAAGAAAAGTGAAAAAAAAAAAATGTGAAAAAAAAAAAAAAATGTGAAAAAATTTTTTTGAGTTGAGTTGTGCTGTGGCGAGTGTGAGTGTGGTGGGTGAAGTGTGGGTGATCCAAGATCAATGTTAACATCGATCGATCGAAAGCTGCAAAGATTAAAATTTAGACTCTCTCAGCCTCATGGATCAATAAGAAAATATTTTTTAATTTTAAACATATTTTACTATATAAAAAAAAAAAAAATTTTTTTAAATCTTATCGATCCATGAGTTTCCGGTGCCAACCACGTGGAGGTGGAGTCTACTGGCACCTAGAGACCCCGATGGATTTATTGCCACAAACCATCGGCAGCATCTTTAATTGTTGTAGTTCCTAATCGACAGCGGAGTTAGAAGCCGAAGCAAATAAAACAACTTCGAAGAGGCAACAAAGAAAGTGATAGCTGTGGCGTTGCCTTCTGTACAGAGAATGTCGCCTCCATCTGCTCTGTGTCGCCACACCCGAAGATGCGACAGACTAGCAGCGTATGTATCACCTGCTTTCAGACTATATGAAGCCGTAACATGTGTTGGAGGTTTCCCTACCATCGACCCAGTGCCATGCATCCTGTAGATCAACACAGAGGTTACCATGTGCAAGACCACCTGCAAGCAAGTGCGCTCATCCCAACTTCGTCCGTCCACAGGCAACCGCTCACAACAATCTCCCCAACTGGCGGGTCGGGTGTACAGGTCGCCAGGTTTCTCTAATAACTAGGCTCTCATCAGTGGGTTCACTGATCGAGACATGCCGTCACGCTTGATAAGAGAGGCAAGGATCACAAGCAATGACACCCAGTTATCCCAGACCCTGGAAAGAAAAAAAAAGGACGAACCCATTGAAATGGATCACTTGGAATAGCTTGATTGATATTTGGAAAATAGAATAAAAAAAAACAAAGTAGTCAGTTGTTAGTATTAATGAATGATAGAAACAAATAATAAATAAATAAATAAATAAATAATGAATACAAGAATAATTAAAATTAAATATAAATAAAATGAATTCGTTTATAAATTATTTAATAGACCTACAAAAAAACCTAGAGCTTTGTTAACCTGAATTTCACTTTATATTATTTATATATAGTATACAAATATGATATTAATAAATTAACAACATTGAAAATAAATAAGAAAAATAAATTAATAATAATATATTACCTTTTCAAAGATCCTTCGGCCGTGCCCACCCTGCCGCCCATGCAACGACCAGTACCACCACCATATAGCCAAGACCATGACCAAAGAAACCAGACTCTTTTAAAATTGATCTACTTTTTTACATAGAATACAAATATAATATTAATAAAAAAACAACATTTTAAATACATAAATATAAATAAATAAATTAATAATAACATATTACCTTTTCAACGATCCTTCGATCGTGCCCACCCTGCCACCCATACAACGACCAGTACCACCACCATATAGCCAAGACCATGACCAAAGAACCAGACTCTTTTAAGATTGATCTACTATTATATATATAATATACAAATATGATAGTAATATATAAAGAAAATTGTAAATAAATAAATAATAAAAATAATAAAAAAATAAATAATATATTACCTGTACAACGATCCTTCGATCGTGCCCACCCTGCCACCCATGCATCGACCAGTACCAGCACCAGAACCACCAAACGCAGAACCTAGTATCCAGACATCTCTACCATTGATTACCTTGCCCACCCATTCTCCCAAAGTTCAAGAGACGACTAGCAATTACTATCCCAATAACAGAGACCACCACTCCATCCTGTTATTATTATTATTATTTACTTTTGATTGCTTGGTATTCTAAATTGATAAGTATTATTATTTGGTTTTGTTTTGTTTTTGATATTGTTAATAATGTTGTTATTATTATTGTATTCTATTTTAATTTGATTTGTTGGAATTCTAAATTGATAAGTTGATTGATTTCCTGTTGATTTAGGGTTATTATTGTTTTTGTTTCTCGAATTAAAATTGTCATTTTCGTTCTGATTGTTGTTGTTGTTGTTGTTTTTATTATCTTTTTTATTATTAATTGTGGGTTGTTTAAATTGATATGTGTTTTTGTTGCTTTCTTTTTGACTAACTGTTTTTTGTTGCTGTTGCTGTTGTTGCTGTTGCTGTTGTTGCTGATGTTGCTGTTGCTGTTGTTGCTGATGTTGCTGTTGCTGTTGTTGTTGCTGTTGCTGTTGCTGTTGCTGTTGCTGTTGCTGTTGCTGTTGCTGTTGCTGTTGCTGTTGTTGCTTTTGTTCTCTTCTTATTCTTGATCTTTCTTTGGAAAAGTACAAAAGGAACAGATTTCGATCTGACTCATCTTTAATCTGCAGTTTCTTTTGGTTGTAAACTGTTACTAAATCCAATGATAAACTTGAGACTGGAAAGCTTTGGATAACTTCCTCGAGCGACTTATAATTAACTATATTATTATCTTGTTGTGGTTGTTGTTGTGGGTTGCTGCTGTTGTATCTTCGAATTCCTTCATTTCTCGTACGAATTCATGGATAAAGTAATAAAAGAAACTCATTCGATCTTCTTCAACTTCGAGCTCAGCTTTCTTTTCGAAATAAATACCAACTAATTCCCATGAATAGCTGGTAATTGGAAAATTATCTATTTGATATTTAAGTTGTTGTGACATATGCATGATTGATTTAATTTATAAAAATAATGAAATATATTTATGAGTGTGTATTTTAATTATGATATAAAAACGATTTAAAAGCTAATATCTAAATTTATAATATCTATATATGTATATAAGTAATTTAAGAATACTAATTTATTTTGAAATTTTTCACCCAATATATTTTTTAATTTTTTTTTTTTTTCTCAATACAGTATTGTTTTTGATTGTATAGGGACACAGATATGATTCTGATATTATTTCCTTTGTTTATTCAAAAGGTTTCACTCAACATATGTTTTATTCAACACTTTCAATTGCATTAGTTGCAAAACAACAATTATACGACAAACAATTCAATAACAAAATGAAAATGGAAATAAAATATGTTTAAATAAATTTATTTCTTATTTTTAATAAACATAGTAAATGAGAAATCAACAGTCTCTTTATTATTATCAACGATCACTATCTAAAACTATATTTGATAGAAATTTGTTTATATTGAAAAGCAAAATTTCGATATTAATAGTATTTACTAGTATATAAATATTTAAATTAGATTTAAAAATAATCAATAAAAATAAGAAACCGCCAAATTTTGAAAATAATTAACGTCTTTTTATCCGATACTCTCAATTAAAAAGAATAATATTTAAATATATAGATGTCTTAATTTAAAAGTTTGGTTGATGTTTTTTTGATTGGCAAAAAAATAAAAAAAACTCAAAATCAGCGCAGAACACCCACACTTGACATTGTCATTCAATTCCAATAAATCAATAAATGGTGAATCAAATCAATTAAATTGTGTCACTTTTAAATAAATAATTAAAATTAATCTATTTATATCCTATTGTAGTGATATACTTTGTTTTATTTTTAAATATCAACTTGTAATAACTATTTAATGAAACAATAAAATAAGTAAATATTATAGTAATTTAGTATTCATTCTTTTATGTTGAACTAAATAATTTTGATTTAAATCTTTTAAATGTTTTATTTTATAATCAATTTATTAGTCAATCATATTTAAAGGTATAAAAAGAAAATTTATTTAAATATTGTGAAAAAAACAAAAAATGAAAGAAAAAAACTTTAACTATATCATTTATTTTTGTTTTTTTTACAATATTTAAATAAATTTTCTTTTAGTAAATTATAGTTTCACTCTTAACTCAACTTAAAATAATAACAGAAATAATAATAGTAATCGTTAGATGAATGAGAATAAAACAATCTTTTGATAACGATAATAAAAATAAAGTAATACAGATAAGATAATGTTTTAAACAAATTTAGAGTATCAAGATAGAATTGATAGTGCTTCATTTGAAGTCGATCACCACTATATGTAAATTCATTTTATTTTAAATTCTTTGATCATTTAATTATCGAGACAAATCACTTCTATTCGCCGAATATAGTAAGAATTCCTTTTGAGTTGTAATAGGACAGATTTTACCAATCTATTATAATTATACAATATAAACTTAAAATTTAAATAAATAATTATAGTTTACTATATCTGTATTTTAAATAAACTTTTTATATATTTTTATTAGTTGATACAAATAAAAACTAATTGTAAACTCTATTATCACTAATTAAATTCTCTCATAGTGATAATTGTAAAGTGATAGATAACATTTTTGATTTAAGTAATCAAGAATATCATATCTTTTACAATTCTTCAATTATTTGAATCAAAAAAAAAAAAAAATCAAAATTGCAAAAAAAAAAAAAAGATGAACTTGTCAAATAAAAGTGGGGTGTTGCAAATTCAATAAATTAATAAAATTGAAAATTATGCTTGTTGTTTCTTCATTGGTAATGATTGCCTGTTTTTTTTATTTTTGAATATTATATTATAATAAAATGAATTATTTAATTAATTTTAATATTTATATTTCAAATTTGAATATTAATTCATACTTTTAATTGGCGCTTAACGGTTGCCGCCAATTTTGAGTTCAAACTGTAAGTAAACGAATCAAATTTAACACTATATAAACCTAAAATTTCATTCACAATGTCATTTTTCATTATTTTTCAAATACAAATAATTTTGTAAGTAATAACTATTAATTATAACTTTAACTAATTTATATCTTTGTTTTACTAACTCTTTGTTTATCTCCTTTTATCTCTTTCTTCTTTTCCAAGTCCTTACTATGAGTGATCCCTCGTTGCTATTCCGGTTTCCTCTCGTAGTTATGCTGATTTCCTCTCTTTGCTAAGCCGGTTTCCTCGGTGCTATACTGGTTCCTTTCGTAGTAGTCGGTTGCCTTTGTCATTATGCCGGTTTCCTTTCGTAGTTATGCTGGTGCCTTTTCGTCACTAAGCCGGTTTCCTCTCGTCACTATGCTGGTTGCCTCTCGTCACTATGCTGGTTTCCTCTCGTCACTATGCCTTAGTCACTAAGCCGGTTGCCTCTCGTCACTATGCGGTTGGCCTCTCGTCACTATGCGGTTTCCTCTCCCACTATGCCGGTTGCCTCTCGTCACTATGCCTGTTGCCTCCTGTAGTGTATGCTGGTTTCGCTCTCGGTACCTGCTATAATGGTTGCCTCTCGTTGCTATGCCGGTTGCCTCTCGTTGCTATGCCGGTTGCCTCTCGTTGCTATGCCGGTTTCCTCTCGTCGTTATTTCGGTTTCCTCTCGTTTCTATGCCAGTTGCCTCTCGTAGTTATGCTGGTTTCCTCTCGTCACTCTGCCTGTTTCCTCTCGTCGTTATGCTGGTTTCCTCTCGTCACTCTGCCGGTTTCTTCTCGTTTCTATTCAGTTTGTCTCTCATTTCTATGCCATTCCATTCCTTTATTTCGATCACAACTCCATCCTCATCACGATATGTATGTCTGCCATTCCTTTCTCCAGGTACAACCAGAAAAGGTTTTCTTGTCCCAATTCAAAAGTTTTTAATCTTGCTGGTTGCTACCTGTTTCAAAAAAATATTTAATACTTGTAAATAAATTAATTGTAAATACTTTTTATTTTTAATATTAATAAATATAAGCTTTATTTATCTGAGCAATTTATTTATATATATCTTTTTTATTAAATTTTAAACAAACAACAATAATGAATACTTTATTTGATTTGTTAAGGTTAAGTTTCTTTATGTTTTAAGTGTTAATTAATATTGCCAGAGAAACTAGAATTGGTGTGAGTAGCTCTTCAATTTTCTAGATTTAGTATAATGTCTTTGGAATTCCAAAGAAGGTGTATTTTAAGATCAAATCAAATCTCTTCTTGTGTGGAGCTAGGCGAATAGATACATCTCCATTGAAGTATTGATATCTCCATAATTCTCAAATATAATTTTGTTTAAAAGAATGCGTTCATTTAACTTTAACTTAAATATTATTTATTCTTTATATGTTAAAAGATTTTATTTATCTAGTTTTTGCTAATCGTAGGAGCTCTCTTCTTGTCAACTGATCACAATTTCGAGGTGTAAGAGTTTTTTTATTGTCCAAAAGAGTCTATCCAATTATTTTGTACAACGATATCTCTGAATCATCTAACATGAGTGCCTTTAAAAAAAAGATAATTTTATCTCCAGATAGTGTATTTGCAAGCTGAATATATGGAGATACAGAATCTGGATTTATTTATTCCTTTCAAAAATAGTTGTTGTTTGGTCATAGAATGTCCATTTAGAAGTGTGATTGACTTAACTTTCGAAAGTGTCAAGTTGGAACGGTTCATCTATCATTTAAATTGATACTAATTGTACTCAAACATTTCTGCTGTATATTATCAATATTTTATTTGAATCAATGGTTCTAAATATTGTTTTTAAAAAATAAAGAAATTGATCTTCTTTTCAATTCCCTTTTTACCAATTAAAACAGCGAAAAATTACACATGTCGTTGTCTTATGTGGAATCAAACTTTATCTCCAAATAGCTTTTGCTCATTAAAATACAGTAGATATATTCTTGAACTTCACTTCTATGTAGTTAAGTAGATAAGAAATACAAGGATAAAAAAATCATTAATATCTATAATTTGATTATTTTAAATTTTTATAAATAATACAAATTAAACTTTTTAATTTTATTAAAGATTTGCTGTGAATCAATCATGTGTATATTTTAAAATTGTAGCCCCACCTTTTTTTTTTTTTAACAAAAAATGAAAACAAGATATAAAAATTTATCTACATAGAATGAATTCGAAATTTATTTTATTATTTTCTACAATATGAATAATAAATTTTTAATTTGTATTTTATTATTGTTTAGGTTAAGTGTTTTGGTTTTAACTGAAACCATTCATCTTAAACCTGAGCTGTACATTGATACTAAGAGTCAACTTGGCGAAGGTTCAATTTGGGATAATGAAAGACAATTACTTTATTGGATTGACATTGACGGTAAACAATTATATGTGTAAATATTATTTATATATATATTTCTTTATCATTCTTTTTTTTTTTGTTTCTTTATTTTCTAAAAAATATAAAAAAATATAATGTATAGATATGATCCAAAAACATATATAACAGCTTCATACAGTTTACCAAATAAACCTGGTACAATTGTCCCAAGATGTAAAGGAGAACCAGGTGAAGTTGTAATTGCTCTTGAAAGAATCGGTGTTGTAATTTACAACTATCTCACTGGAAAATACAAGGTCATTGCCAACCCTGAGCAATCATCGACCAACCGATACAATGATGGAAAATGTGATCCTCTGGGACGTTTCTGGGTGGGATCTCTTAGCTATAAAAATGGATATCCTCCAGAAGCAAAGTTGTATCGTGTCAATGTAGATCACAGCTACGAAACCATGCTGGAACAAGTTAGAATTAGCAATGGTATTGTCTGGACACCCGATGGTTCATTGATGTATTACATAGACACTCCGAAGCTGGCGGTGTTCAGATTCAACAGTACCGACGGTGGCAAGAGCTACGACATGGCCCATCCAACCATTGTTCTCAGATTCGATGCAAACAGCGAGGGATCGCCCGATGGTATGACAATGGATGCCGACGGTCGATTGTGGATCGCACACTACGATGGATCACGAGTAACCTGTTGGGATCCTAAGAAACCCGGTTCAAAGTCACTCTATCAAATCGACTTGCCAGTGCCTGCAGTGACTTCATGTGCTTTCGGTGGTGAAGACCTGTCGACACTCTATATAACTACAGCAAATAACGGTCGCTACGGAGGTGGAGGACTCTTTAAAATCAATCTAAAATCCTATGGAATCAAAGGTGTGCCTTCTTATCAATATAAAGGTTAAAAAAAACCCAAACAAACAACTCTTAAACCATTTTTATTTTTTTAATCAACAACTTTTTCCAATCAAATTGTAGAGTAAAGAATGAGTGATGACACCAACAAAAAAAAAAAAAAAAAAAAAAGTAAAAAAAAAAAAATGAAAAATAAATTTTTTAATGTTGATTATTTGTTTTTTTAATTTATTTTCATTAAACAATATCATATACACATTTTAGATAGTACATATTATTCATTTATATAATATGATAGATTTATTTTGTTGAACATCAATAAATTATATATATAAGACTTTAAAAGTAATAGCTTGTCACTCAGTTCTCAAAAATTGAAAGTCAAAAAAAAAAAAAAAAAAAAAAAAAAAATTAATTAAGTGTTTGGTGTTGTTTTTATTTTTACATTTTATTTATTATTAATAATACACTGAATATAGGAATAAATTTGATTGATATAGAGATCAATAGATAACTTAGGATAATAATATGATAGAGTAATAAAATTAACAAAAAACAATAACCTTTATATATATATTTTTACACCATAATATAAGTTAACAAATGGAGAATAATAACAACAATAGCAATAACAATATAACAACAAGTGGTGGTGGTGGTGTTAGTAGCATTAGTAATAGTAGTTCAACAACAACTACTTCAACAACTTCTAATAAATCAAGAAGCGATGCTCCAATTATAAAACTTTCAATAGATTTAATTAAAACATATAAAACAATTAATCAAGTAAGAGAAGAAACAGAGAGAAAAGAGCATATACCAAAGAAAATCAGTGTTTTTATTAATACTATCTTATCAATAACCTATTATTATTATTAATTTAAATGAATGACAGATATATTATGCATCGAAATCTAAGAAAAAGAATGATCAAGTAGGTAAACAGCATCATCAATCTAGCAGTGGAAGTGGAAGTAGCAGTAGCAGTAGCAGCAGTGGTAATAACAATGGATTCGACGATGAGAATGGTGATTATATATTCAAAGAGAACGACGTCTTTGAAGATAGATATGAAATAAAATCACATCTAGGAAAGGGTTCATTTGGTCAGGTTGTTAAAGCATATGACAGGTATGTGTTCGAACACTTACATTTTCTTTAGTTATCAATATCACTAATCAACTAATCAAATCAAATCAACTTGAACAATGAGCAGAATATCAGAGGAATACGTAGCAATTAAGATTATAAAGAATAAAACACCATTTTACAATCAGGCATTGATTGAGGTCGGACTGTTAGAATCAATGAATAAGAAAGATCCAGATGATCAATATAAAATTGGTAAGTTTTTTTAGAAACTACTTGGGTTGATCATATATATATATATATATTGGTGATATTAATTGGGTTGTTGTTGTTGTTGTTATGTTTGTGTGTTTGTTCAATTTATATAGTTAGATATAAACAACATTTTAAATATAAAGGACATCTCTGTTTGGTGACAGAGCTGCTATCGTTCAATCTATATGACCTATTGAGAAATACACAGTTCTTGGGTGTCTCGTTGAACTTGATCAAGAAATTTGCACATCAGATTCTGACGGCACTCTACTTTATGTCGACATCGGAGGTAGATGTCATTCACTGCGATTTGAAACCAGAGAATATATTACTTAGAAATCCAAAGCGTAGTGCCATCAAGATTATTGATTTCGGTGAGTTCTTGTCATTCAAATGAAAGAGTAAGTGGTGTTTATTATTATTATTATTATTATTATTATTATTATTATTATTATTATTATTATTATTATTATTATTATTGGAAATGTTTCACTTAAAACAAGGTCGCAACTATTTCATTTAAATACTTAACTTATACTATACCTATACTTACTCTTATTATTATTATTATTATTATTATTATTGTCATCATGTAGATGTATAAATATATACAAAGTAGATTCTATAGATCACCAGAGATCATTTTGGAATTAGAGTATTCTTTTGCAATCGATATGTGGAGTCTTGGATGTATTCTAGTGGAGATGCATTGTGGAGAACCGTTGTTTGCTGGTCAGAACGAACTGGATCAACTGACGAGAATCGTTGAAGTTTTGGATATGCCACCTGTATATATGATCGAAAAGAGTCCGAAACTCAAGAAATTCTTTACACTCACTCCCAATGATCCAATACACAAATATCAACTTAGAAGAACAGATCGATTAAAAGAGGTAACTAAAACTAACTAAATAACTATTAGCTATTCTTTTTACAACAATCTAATACATATCATAATTTATAAACAGTTTCAACCAAAGAGTTTATCAGATATAATAGGTGTCGATAAAGGTGGTCCTCATGGAAGAAGAAAAGGAGAAGCAGGTCACTCACTATCTGATTATCTAAAGTTTCAAGTAACTATTATTATTATTATTATTATTATTATTATCTATTGTCTTTAAATACTAATTTTGTTTAATATTAAAGAATCTAATAGAGAAAATGTTAATATATGATCCGAATAAAAGAATTACACCTTTGGAAGCACTACAACATCCATTCTTTTTATCTTCAAATGATTTGGAGATTAGTAATAGCAATAGTAATACACGACGACAAAACGAATCATCATCATCATCATCATCTACAAGTGTTGGCACAGCTACAACATCATCATCATCTTCAAATAATAATAATAATAATATATTACCACCAATTTCATCTTTACCTTTACAACAACAACCACAACAACAACAACAACAACTATCAACCACTTCATTACCAGCAACACATCACCATACAAATAATAGTAGTAGTGTAAATGGTGTTGCACATTCATTGTCACAACCTAATTTATCAAGTACGACATCATCGTTATCATCGACCTCATCCTCCTCCTCCTCATCATCATCATCAAATATAGAAAACAGTAAAAGAAATATACATTATTCGCCAGTTAGTCACAATCATATTGAATCATCGAAAGCAGCTGCACCGGCAACCACACTTTCACCTCATCTCTCATCGGCATCTTTAGTATCACATTCACCACAACTTCCACATCATCATCTACACCATCATATACAACAACAACAACAACAACAACAACAACAACAACAACAACACCATCTTCACCAACAGCATTATAGTAATAAATCAACTATATTAGATAACAACAACAATAATATTTATAACCATAATAACAATTATATAAACAGTAGTAGTAATAGTAGTAGTAGTTATAACAACAATAATGAATGTAATAACAACAGCAACAATACATCAACAACATCAAAACAACAACAAAATATCTTTGAAGATAACAATTAATTAATTTAAAAACCTAATTAAATAAATTTAAAATAATCAATATTTATTCTTTCTTTAAAAAACATCGATGTTTTTAAGATTAAGATTTATGAAGGTGACTACAACTACTTTAATTTATGATTTTAAACAAGATAATTATAAATCTCATACATGAAACAGATTTTACAGGTGATCGTCAATCAATGGTTTAATTAGAGTTGTTTTATCAGAGATTCACTTGGATTGACAATAAATTAAAAAAAAAGTGTGGAGGGAATGTGATATGTATCAAAGAAATAATCAGTTGTCTTATTAATATTAGTTATTGTCATGCACGATTGATTATTTTTTTTTTTTTATATTTTTATTTTTATTTTTAATTTTTGTATTTTTATTTTTAATTTTTCGTTCATTTAATGAACATCAATTCAAAATGGGAAAGCAGCAAAGAAAAATAATTTTTGGAATAAAATTAAAAATAATCTCCCCTTTGTAATGGTAAAACCAAAGATACCTATGCACACACAACACACAACACACACAAACACACACTCCACACTAATAACAAAAAATTGAATTGTATAGATCTAAAATAGACAGAATTGTTATAATAATTCATTCTTTTAAAAACAAATAATAATATTACATTACATATAAAGAATAAATAACAATTCCTTGGTTTTATTGTTAATAGTTTATGGTTTAATCAAATTTCAAATTTAAAATTTTAAAATATAGATATATATTATATTCTATTATATTTATTATATATATCTTCAATCTATTTATTTATTTATTTTTTCAATTAAAATAAATGTTATTTGGTATTAGGAGATGGATTACAACAGTACTTATTTCCTATTTAGATAGGACGTTGGTATCGATGAATGAATCCATCAAAGCATTTATACAAGAGGGTAAGTATATATAGATTATTGACAGCGGATAGTTTGTTAATTCATTTATTTTCTAACTAACTATTTAAATATTGAACTATCTACTTCTTTTAGTCTGGCAATTGGGAGTACAATTGGCGAATATTATAATAGTTGGATTCTTAGGATTCTTTTATCAACCTGGTTACCAAAGTTATCTTGAACAAAGAAATAGAATAAAGAAAAAGGCAAAACAACAACAGCAGCAACAGCAACAGCAACAGCAACAACAACAAAAAAGAAAATCAACGACAACAACAATATCATCAACACCGACTAGTACTTTAGATGAAAAGTTATTGTTACAACAAAAGCAGCAACAGCAACATCAACAGCATCAACAACAACTTCAATTACAACAATTAAGACGACAGTTGAGTAACTCACCACTATTCGGTGGAGTTAACCGACAGCCGCCAAACGATAAACATCCAACACCTTTTGTACAGCTTTTAAACGATAATTCCGATTCGTCACCTGCGATCTCATCGTCAACTTCGATGAACAATATCATAGATGAATCGACCAATTCATCGGGAACGACAACACCCGGCACCACACCGAATTTGAACAACCTTAACAGTAGCAACAGCAGCATCCAATACAATAGTTTTATAAATCACAACATAGGATCACCTTTTAGAAAGAGTGCAAGTACTTCATCGATTAGAAATAGTAGCAACCAATCACCTAGAAGACCCATGATTGTTAGTAACAATCCATCATCATTAGAAACAACAACAACAACAACAACATCTTCAACAACGATATCATCATCGCCATCAACATCATCTGCATTTTCACAGAATCGACCAACCCGAAAGAAAAAGAAACGTGTATACTATGTAAATAGAGATTTAGTTCATCAACACGAACAGATTACCACTGGATTCCTAGAGGATTTGAAAACAAACATTCTCCTACTCTTTGATAATCTATTCTACTGGCTAAGAGTCAAAACAACTTCCATACTCACAATCATTGCCAACATAAAGATTAGATCTTTAATACTATTCTCAATAACACTACCATTTTATTTACCTTATTATATATGTAAGCTAACATTATGTTTCATTACATTTAAAACATACAATAATACTAATATTTTCAATTCATTCATTTAGTTAAGCTATTTACATTACCATTTACAGTTATTAAACCACTTTTCAATATGTTTGTAAATAGAATAAAAAGAGTGAAGAACATACCGAATCGATTGTTCTCTGATAAGGAATTGGATGTGAGAAGTGTAAAAGAGATTATAGAACAGGCTGGATATCCATATGAAAGATATCATGTAACGACGGAAGATGGATACATTCTATTGTTGGAGAGAATACCAAATAAGCAATCAAAGCATACTCTCTACTTGCAGCATGGTATTTTCGATAATAGCTTTGCGTGGGTTGCCAATGGCCCAACACAATCGTTGGCATTCGCCGCTCATGATCAAGGCTATGACGTATTCCTTGCGAATCTACGTGGAAACGGCGAGCGTCTTCACACTGAAACCAACATCTCCTCTAAACAATACTGGGATTTCTCAATCAATGAACATGCATTCCGTGATATTCCCTCGTTCATTCAAGTGATTAGACAAGTCAAGACTAAAGAGTTGTCGGCGTTGAATCATGATTTGGTATCGCCTGACGACATCAACATTAGTGCAGTTGCGCACAGCATGGGAGCAGCATGCATACTGATGTATATTGTGATGATGGGAATCCTAAAGAAGAGTCATCATTTGAGTCGTGCTATTCTCCTATCGCCTGCAGGTTACCACGAGACTGCACCAAAGATCTGTGATATTCTTGGACCGATCATCAATGCTTGGCTCTACTTCTTCCCAATGGATGTATTCAGCTTCCCTAGCGATACTATCAGAGTAATCATTGCCAAAATCTATCATGATGTCATCAGCAATACACCCACCAAAGACTTGATGGTCTATCTTGTCTCACGATTCCTTCTGGGTGGCGATACCAAGAATCATCCACTAGAGAAAATTCACAATCTGGCATACAACACATTCTCTGGCACCTCTGTCAAGATCTACAGACACTTCTGGCAGAATAGAAGAGCTCGCAAGTTCCAAGCATACGACTATGGAAAAGAAAGAAATCTAATTGAATACGGTACACCAGAACCCTTAAATTTTTTAGATCATTATAACCTGTATGTTTTTTATTTTATAAAGTTGTATACAAGTAGGATACTAACCTTGATTGTTTAATTTCGTTATACTTTAGTATTAATATACCAGTTCATTTCATAATGGGATTAAAAGATAATTTAATAGAGCCAGTTAATATCATTAAACATTATACAACATTGAAAAAGTCACATCCACAACATGCATTTTTGAAAGCAAGCAAGAGTGGACACATAGAGTTTACTCTGGGATTGGACGATCAAATTATAAATTATATCATGAATATATTGGGTGACCCTGTTAAATCTGCGAATACATCTTTATCAATATCAACAATACCAACAACGACAACCTATGTTGGTTCAAAGAAATAATAAAATTTTTAAAATAAAGATCTTTATTTTCCAAAAAAATCGGTCAGTGTTTAATTAATTCGTTTCTGACTTGCTCTTTATGAAAAAAGAAAAAACACATTGTTGTTCATTTTATTTGTAAAAATGATGATGTTGGTGAAATGTAGATATCTTAGATTATGTTATAACAATATTCGTAGCAATAGAATAGCAAATAATTACAATAGTTATAATCTAAATAATAGAATATCATTTTCTTCTTTCGGATTTTCGAAACAATATGAAAACATCAACCAAAGAAGGTCTTTTTGTAATGAATCAACAACACCAAATTATATATCAAATCAAGAATTTCAAATAAAAGAATCAGAGGTCAGAAGAATAATTTCATTGTTGGTTGGAGGCAAACATTATCAAGACAAGAAACAACGGCTGGTTCTCATTGAGAATGAATTGAAATCAAATGGAGTAGAATCACAATTGTCGATAGATAACAAAAAAGCACAAACACTCAAAGAGTGTCAGCGATTAAAGAGAGATATAGAACAGATAGAAGAGTTACAATCAAATTTCATGTACTACGAAGAGATATCAGGAGAAGCAAAGAAAAAGAATGATCAATCAATGCTCTCTGAGATGTCGGAGTGTATCAGTGACCTCTATCAACAATCCACTGATTTAGAGTTCAAATCGATTATGTCTGGTGAGAATGATCATGAAGATTGCTATCTAGAGATTCACGCTGGTGCAGGTGGAGCAGATTCAATGGATTGGTCAGAGATACTATCAAACATGTACAGAAAATGGTCACAAAGGAAAGATTTTAAAGGTACCTACCAAATCGCAATTAAATGTGCAATATAAAAACTAATCAATCTATTGTAAACAGTGACATTGGTAGATATATCACCGGGTGAAGTTGGATATAAACGAGCGATTTTAAAGATAGAAGGAGAGTTTGCATATGGTTGGTGTAGATCTGAATCAGGCGTACATAAACTTATTAGATTGTCTCCATTTGATTCTTCAGTAAGTAATTATTTTACTAAATCGAAATTTACATAATATTCATTGACGACTATAGGGTAAAAGACATACATCATTTGCATCAGTTTTAGCATATCCTGCAGTGGACGATAGTATTTCGATAGATTTACAAACAAAAGATTTGCTCATTGAAACGATGAGATCGAGTGGTCCAGGTGGTCAACATAGTAATAAGACCGAAAGTGCAGTTAGAATAACCCATACACCGACTGGTATATCAGTTGCTGTTTCTGATCAACGATCTCAGCATCAAAACAAGTCTATTGCAATGGATTTACTTAAAGCAAAGATTATGGCATCAGAGATTAAAAAGAGGTAAGTAACGATAAAATTAACAAAAAAAAACAAATATCATAAACTGTTAAGGTCTAATATTCATAAAAACAGAGCACAACAAGAAGAAAGTTTTAGATCTGATTTGGGTGTAAATGGTTGGGCAAGTGATAGAATTGTTAGAACCTATACAATGCATCCACAAACAAGAGTAAAAGATCAAAGAACCAATTTGGAATCACTTAATATCGATGAAATCTTGGAGGGTGGTGATGAGTTGGATATATTTATTAAAACTGCACTCAGTCAAAAATAAATTAAATATTCTCTACTTGAAACGAATCAAATATTTATGTTATTCTTTTAAAAGTGTAATATTGTTTTTATTTATTTTTGGGGTTGTGAAGTTTGTTGTGGTTGAGATGATTCTCTGCTCATACAACTTTTAGCAACAGAGTCAAATAGTTGTTCGATTTCTGGTGCCAATCTGGTGAATGAGTGACTCCAGAAGTTGTATCTTGGATTCTTGATGAGCTCAATGAATGTAATTAATAGACCCCATGGATGTGGTTTGTTTGAAATCAATCTCTCCAAGAGAACTCTGGTGATTTGTTCCTTGATGATCTCTTGTGTGGCCTCGGCAAACAAATAGAGAAGTACACAACTGAAGTAATGAGTATGATTGTTTGGGTATCTCAACTGGTTGGTGATGGCATTGAAGAAGAGATAACGACCTTCGGCATCAAGATCCATTGCCAAACGATGGAAGATATCCATTGGTGCACTCTGTGATGGTGTTGGAGTGGTGTTGTTTGATTTTCTTTGGATTTGTGGGATGGCCTGAGTTCCAATGTAGAGAACGAGCGAGTTGATCAATGGAGCATTGTATTTGGTACCTGCAATTACATCTTCATTCTCTGGAAGCAACAAGTACTTGTTCTTGAGTTCAGTGAGGAATGAGAATGGAGCTCTGAGCTTAAGATAGTTGTCAACTTCATTCTTAAGGTTCTTTAGACTGTGGGTAAAGTTGGAAGAGATCTTTGGTGGTTGATTGATATCCGGGAGCAAATCAACCTTGAGATTTGGAGTGAATGGATCTGGCAGACGCATATTTCTTGGGAATGCAGAAAGTACTAGATTACGCAACTGGATGCAAGTGGTTGGAATGACATCACAGAAGCTAAAGTGGAACTCGCACAAAAACTCTGGGAAGTCATGGAGAAGAATCAAAAGAATCTTCAAAGTTCCCTTGTAGAGGAATCTTGTTGGTTCACTGACATCTACACCTCTGAGGAATGGGTCCATAAACTTAAAGTGTTGGATCAACAATGTGTGGAACCATGACTTTTGTTGTGGCTTTGAAAGCAACTTTGGTAGGAATGAACGGTGAGAAATGAGATCCAACCAAGCAAAGCAGAATCCTGGATACTTGAGTGGTTGCAATGTGGCGAGTGCATTAACAAAGCAATAGAGGATTGGTGTGGAAACTTGCTCCAAGACGGGATCTGGGGCTGTAAGATCGGTAATGAGGTTCTCAAAGATACGGAGGTATGGACGTTGGTTGAAACGTTGGACATTGGTCTCATAGTCTTTGGTCAATACCTTGATCAAGAGAGCAAGAACCTTGGTGAGTGTACTCAAGTGAGTTGGATCACCATGCTTAACCATGAGCACAACGAATTTGCAGAGTGCATCGATCTCAATGTATGGCGATGCCAATTGTTCACTGACACTGGCTTGATACTTTTCGATAGACCACTCGAGGGCAAGTCTAAAGAATTTCTGGAAGTAGAGTTCGTTCTTCATCATGTTGAGATTGAGAACCTGTGCCAAATATTGAATGTGCATCTTGTGTTCGCTGTTGGTCGACGAGAAGATAATCCAGTCTTGGAACAAAGAGATGGTAGCATCCTTCAAACCTGGTGGATCTCTATTGAGCTCCTCTTGTTTGATACGAGAGATTCTACGTTTCTTCTCTTCCTTTGGCATGCTCTTGACATCCTCGATGGTCTTGATAAGGATCTCTGATGGCGAACGTTGAGCAATCTTGGAGAGAATCTCAGTGATGCATACAAACTCCGATGAGACGGCATATGGATTCTCGAGCACGGTGAAACGCAACAAGTTTACAGCAAACTCAATGACTTGTGCAGCTCTCTGTGGATCCATCATGATAATGGCCAACTGCTGGTCGTATTCGTTGACATTGATCAACTGATGGATAATCAATCCTGCCACCAAGATACGATTCAACTTCTTGTCGGGCTGTGAGTAGAGCAGCATTGAGGTGAGAGTGTTGACAACCTTTGGTCCCTCCCAATCACGGAGAACTTCGAGAAGTTCAAAGTAGAACTCATAGATGTGAGCCTTGTCGGGGTCACACAAACGGGTGAACAACTTTTGAGCAAATGCTTGTACCAATTCGATTTGTGCTTGTGATGGAATCAACAATGAATACATCTGTTGGACAACGGTGTAGAGTAACTCAAATTCGATCTTGGCGTTGGTGGCGAGTACTCTCATGATGACCTTATCGACATCATTCAAGAGATAACCAAACTTCTCGAGAAGGTCGGCATTCGAGAGAGTTGGACCTCCTTGTTGTTGTTGCTGTTGTGGTGGCAACATGTGTTGTGGCATATTCATCATGTTTGGAGGTGGTGATGCAGACAACGATTGTTGAATACTTCCAACGATGCCAGGTGCGGTCTCATTGTCGGTAGACTGTGCCATGGCGATATTGGTGTGATGCGAGAGATTGAGGAAGTCTTCATAGACACGGAATTGATCTGGTTGGATTCCTCCTGGTTTTGGACGGAGTGGCTCTGGCAAGTTGTTGTATATGGTGGTAGTGAGATATCCCATATCAAAGAATGGTTGTTGACCTGCACTCTCCTTGTGTTTCTGACGATCCTTGTAACTGGAAGAAAGAACACCATCGATGTCGACCACTGCCTTGTCGGTGGCAGCACGCTCGACAATGGAACAAGCAAAGTCAAGATTGTCAGCACAAACAGTGGTGATGGCGTGTTCCAGTTGTGGTGGAAGTGGATCGCTTGTCGATTGAAGGAAGGAACGCAAGTGAGTCAACATACCGACACGCAATGGATCCTTACAGGTGACAAGTGCAAGACTGCCAGCCAAATTTTGAACCATAAGATGTGATGCCTTCTTCATCTTCTTCTCGTCGGCTTCAGTGGCAAAGTCTTTGCTGACCAACTCTTTCGATGTGATGACGGCGATGGCAACGGAACGCTCTACAACCGGTTGAATGATTTCCTTGATCGCTCGCTCAAAAGCCATGGGTACCACCTTTTTAAAGAGTGGCATCTGGGCGATAGTGATGATCGATGGATTGTACTGGATGTACTGCGCGATATTCTGGAGCAACTCTGGTGCGGAAGGCTGTTGATGTTGTTTGTGGCGCATACGATCGTTATTCTCCTGCTCTTCGAGACGCAGTGCTTCCTCACGCTTATCTTTGATGAGTGTCGATGGTTTGACCTCGCTCATCTCCAACTTTAGATTGTTAAACAACAGCTCAATCTCAAACTTGATATTGTTTTTCGATTCCTTGAGATTGTAGATTTCCACCATCAGACGGACAATAGCCATTACCCATGGATTAGGTGGTTTGAAAACACGTGATTGCATGCAACTCTCGAGTAGCTTCGCAACGAATGGAACCACCGCATTCAATATTCCATTATCAACGGAATACACCAGTAGATCCTTGGGTGAGAAGAACTTTTGGAGCAGTGGTTTGTTCTTGGCAAGTGTCAAAAGACCAAGCCAACCACCCAAGTTCTTCAACAACGTACGCTCTGTCAAGTCTGCTTTGATCTTCTCAGACTTTAACAAAGTATGGATATTCTGATGAGTGAAATATAAGATCTGTTGGTAGAGATCTGGAATATTCATACGATCCAAGAAGTGAAGATATACATTGTGGAAGTTTGGTTCAATACTGACACGCTTCACCACGAGATATTGTGCCAAAAAGTCATAAAACTCGGACTTGAGAATATCTTTCATCTCCTTGACTTTGGCATCGAGATTGAACATGGAAACATTGTTGATAATAAAGAACATCTTATCCTTGATGGCTTCTTCAGGTTGGACAATCTCCTTGGATGCACTAACGAGAGTACCAATTGGGAGACTGGAATACTCTTCGGCTTCACTTGATTTCTTCTCTGGTTTGGCATTCTTCTTGTGATCGTTAGATGCGTTCTTGTGACCACCTGGATAGTTTGGATTGTTGTTGTTATTATCATCGTCGTCATCTCCGCCGCCACCACCACCACCACCACTTCCACCTTTTTGTTGGTGTTGTTGTTGCTGTTGCTGGTGCTGTTGTTGCGAGGCAAAGTGTTGTCTAGAAACAGTGGAATTACTTCCTGTGGAATTGCTGCTAGATGAATGTTGGTGTTGTTGCTGACTGGATTGTTGAGTGTCCGACGATACTTGAACGTACATTGACTTGTCATCTGGCGACTCAAAGTTGTAGCTATCGGCATCTTGAATCTGCTGGAGTGGAATGTTGGTGGATGGCAAGTTACTGCCAGACATAGTGCGTTGGAACTCAGAGCTCTTGGGAAGATCGCTCGATTCGATGATAGCATTGATCTGCTTGACGAGGTCACCATTCGAGTAGTTCTTAAAGTGATCGATAGAGCATAGCTGAGCCCAGTATTGTGGCCACTCCACAAGTCTAGTGGCAAACGAAATCAGTGCGGTAATACCAAAGCTAAACATATTGGTTGATGGCTGATGCTTGATTGCCTCCAACACATACTTGAGAGCGACTCTCAACGGTTGTGATGAAATCAACTGATTCTTGATCAACGAACCAAACAGATAGGCTGTGATTCTCAACTCCTTATCTGGATAGTCCGACAAGAACTTATATTCATCAAACAAATTAAACAATAAACATTTATAGATTTCATGCTCCCTATAGAATATTATTAATAATAATTAGTTAAAATATTAAAAAGATAGATTAACAATTAGTTAGGTAATTACCTTGTGTTTTGAGAATTCTTATATTCTTTAAGGGTAGTAATGATTTGGTCGACAGAGATCGATTCTCCATAGAGTTTAATAAAGTAGAGGTTGGTTTCCTCTTCGACGTCCTCTGGGAAACGACGTTCGGACGATGTGATATTGTCGGATGTTGCGGATGATCCACTGCCGGTGGTGGAGTTTGGACCGGACATTGCGAGCATGTCACCAAAGTTGGGATTGATGCTCTTGATGGCATTCGAGATATCGGGTGGGAACGACTCGACATTGTCAATCAACGTGTTGTAGAAAGACATCAATATCGACGATGATATTGAGATATGATTCGGTTCGGACTGATTGTCGATTCTGTCCGACAAAAAGTTGGTACATTCCCTGACAAACTCGACGTCTTCCTTCATTCTTTCCTCGAGCCATCGCTCCAAGAACAAGAACTCTCTTTGACTAGCCAACACTGCCAATTCAATAATGAAAGGATATGTCTTGTATGTCAACATTTGTGTAAGAATCTAAATAATAATAATAAAAAAGAAATTAGTAAAACACAATACACTTTATCTATTTTCTGTATCAACAATATATATATATTTACTTTTAATTCTTGTGCAACATCCAATAGTCTTGATAAATAAGATGGATCTTTTTGATAGATATCGGACATACCACATACAACAATATTTGGACATTCTTTCCAAAGCTGTGAAATATGTACTTGGTAGTTATGATTGAATAACAAAGTATGGAATAACAATAGAATTAACTCTCTAAATAATAGATTATTCATCTTGTCCTATGGATATGAAAATGAAATAGTTAGTGTAACTGTTTCAATTTTGAATAGAAAAAAAACAAAACAACTTACAGATAAACTTGATAATCCCATTAGCAATAACTCTGGACAATGTTTCAATGGATAATCAAAGAGTGATCTGGTTTTGGAGTAGTGATCCTGATCGAGCTCCGAGAGGTTCAAGAGGATCTCGATGAGCGACAATGAGTTCCAGTGTGCAACGGTCTGCGACACCTTGCCAAGAGCGCTGTATTCGATGCGCTTCTTTTGTGAAAAGTGGAATGGGAAGTCCGACTGGAGTGCAACCTTGAGGAAAGAGATCTGTCCGTGTGAATTTTTCCAGATGTTATCGAGGATATAGTGCACAGGGAACTTGTCGTTGGTGGCGCGCTTAAAGATAGCTAGGATCAGAGTGAGACCACGCTGGTCGTGCAACACAAACTCTGGATAGTCGAGTTCCTTTATCACCAGGGACCAGTCGATCGATGGATACAACTCTTTGACAACGTCGACAAACACCGCGTAGTTCCATGCGGACTTGAGAGGTGACGCGTCCGATGGGTCACTGTCATTGTTGTTGGCTAGCGAAGGCGATGGGTTTGAAGTTGTCGCACTTGTAGTTGTTGCTGTCGCTGATGATGATGTTGCAGCTGGCGAAGGAGAGGGAGTGGCTGTGGTAGTTGCCGCTGCTGCTCCTGATGCAGTCGGGGTGGTGGCTGTGGTAGTTGCCGACGGAGTCGAGCTGGTGCCGCCATTGGAAGAGGTGGCAAACGATAGGAATGGCACGAGTGGAGTCGAGCTGTCAGCACCACCGGTTGTCGATGTCAGTGGATGCGAAATATTCTCGGCCATCATACCGATACACTGGGCAAGGTCAGACTCCACCAACTTTGGATAGGGTTGGAGCAACTCCTTCAATATCGAGGGTGAAGAAGATGATGTTCCCTTAAAACTTTGAAGTAATTGATATGGAAGTGGGAATGATCCATAATTATAATTATTTGTTGCGCTATTGTTGTTGTTATTGTTGTTTGATGATGTGGATGATGTTGTTGTTGTTGTGAATAGCCTGGCAATCAAGGCATCTTGTGATCTCTTGGAATTCGGTGAGGAGGCGACATCATTGGGAAGATAGGGTGCCAAGACACGCGATGGATTGGGTGGATAGAGTGGTTGGATATACTTTAGTATTTCAGATTGTTGTTGTTGACCGCTATTGTTGTTATTGCTGTGGCTGTTCAACTCTTGCATATTAACTTTATATAATAATTGATGTAAGACATTCTCTGGTAGTGATTTTATATTTGTTTGTGACAATACATGATTCAAGTACTTTTCACCTATTAATTAAATGTTTGTTAGTTAGTTAAGAGTATGATAAATAGTTATTGCCATTGCTATTTCTATTTACCTTGTTCTCTTGATTGAATATTTAAAGATTGAGAAACGGCTAGACCCAAGAGAATCTCTTGTGGTGGTGTTAAATTTAGTTTCTGAGAAAATAGAGTGAGGAAATCCATGTTGAGGTTGTCGACGCCCTCAAGCGCCTTGCACAGTATACTGGTAAAGTTTGGTTGTTTCATTAATCGCGAGAACTCATCTCTGAACAAGTGAATCTTAAAGACATCCTTTTGTTGATTCTTCTGATCTCTAAAATCAATGGTATCTACAAGTATTCTAAACAAGTATACTTCTGCTTGTGCTCCATATTGATTAATAATCTACAATAAATAAATCAAAGGATTAGTATAATTATAATAATAAATAATCGTTCGAAAAGTAAAGTAAAGCGCTAGCTATTTACCTGTGATAGATCGGTATAGATTTGTTTATATGATTTCTTTGAGAGCAACGATAGAAGATTATTAATTTGCTGAGAGATTATAAAACTGAAATTTGATAGTATATTAACGTCATCAATTGAATATTGATTTGATTGCTGTTGTTGTTGTTGTTGTAATAGCTGTTGTTGTTGTAACTGCTGTTGTAGATGCGGAGGTAACTGTTGTTGCTGTTGTTGCTGTTGCTGTTGTTGTTGTGGGAATTGCCATTGCTTGTAGAATAATTTTTCAGATTTGAAATCATTGCTATTCTCTGGACTGAATTCGTGTAACTGTTGTTGTTGTTGTTGCAATTGCTGCTGATAGAGTTGTTGTTGCAATATAGGCGATGTTGTTTGTTGATTACTACTCAATGTAGCATCAATACTATTCTTATCCATCATTCTTATTAACACACAATAATAATATATAACTTTATATTAATATATACAAATGAAAGATAGGTGATGTTGATGTTGATGTCAAAAAAATAAAATAAAAGGGAAAGAAGTTTGTTTTTTAAAAAAAAAAAAGAAAAATATAAAATTTAATAAAAAAATAGAAATTTTATATTATTATTTTGTTTGTTTAGTTTTATAGTTAAGTTTAGTTTTAATTTATTATATATCTATTATTTAGATTATATTATTAGATATACAAATGTAAAGTTGAAACTTAACTTAAAGTTTAAAGATGAAGATGAAGATGAAGATGAAATTGTGTTGATGAACTGGTGGTGAGAAAAGAAAGAAGTAAGTTGTTTACAAAAATAAAGTAACTATATATATATAATAATATATAAATATATATAAACTTTTACTTTATAATATGTAAGTGTTGTTGTTGTTGTTGTTTTGTTGTTTTTGTAGTATTAAAATATAAACTTTATATAATTTCAAAGATGTTATCCAAATGTTACACTAACAAAAATAACTTGATCTTTATTTTTAATATATTATATAAATTTATATTATTTATATTCTTAAACAATATTGTTATCTTATTTATTTTTTATTATTATTTATTTAAAAAAAAAAAAAAAAAGTTTTTTATTATATTTATTTTTTGTTATTTTTGTCAAACACATGATCATCACTCAATTTCTGCCAATTTTTTTATCAACTTGATTGTTTCCTTTCAACGTTACCTAAAGTGTCAGAAAAAATGTCATATTTTTTTGCACAAGACAAAAAAAAATAAATCTATTAAGTGATATGTTTGTTTGAACAGAAAGGAATGGAAATGGAAAATGTAGGAAGTTTATAAATATTCAATTTCCGTGGGGGGTAATAACTCAGTTACCGGCTGAAGTTTGGGTTAAGATAATATTGGTCAAAGAAAGATGCATATTATAATTTAGAATATGTTTTTTTTAATTTATTTATATTTATATTTTTATTGTGATGAGGTTTGTTCGTGAGTTTCTTCAATGAATTTTGAGACGTTCTTTGAGTTGATTGGTTCGGTTGGGACGATGTTGCTGTTGAATGGCTCACCCAAGACCTTTGATTGGTTGGAGATGAAATGACGTGCCTTTGGCTTGAGGAATGAGAAAATACCGTCGATACCGAGTGTGCTACCGATTCCAGAGTGTCCACGACCGGACCATGGAAGGAATGGCGATACACGATCACATGCATTCCAGTAGACGGTACCGGTGTTGGAGTTGTCAGAGACGTAGTCGGCGACTTCGATCGACTTGGAGTAAACCGATCCGGTGAGACCGAATGGGGTGTCGTTCATGAGTGCAACTGCCTCGGTTGGACCACCGCTCACCGACTGGACGGTGACGACTGGACCAAAGAGCTCCTCCTTTTGGATGTCCATCTGGTGATTGACGTTGGCGAGCACGGTCGGTGCAAAGAAGTAGCCTGGTGCGTTCTGGACGACGTTACCACCGAGCTCGACAGTGGCACCACGACGGGTGGCATTACCAATGAGACGTTGGAGATGTTCGATTTGTGGTTGTCCACGAGTCAATGGACCGTAGTAGGTGGATGGTGACTTTGGATCGAATCCCATGTGGTAGGTGCTGATCTCCTTGACCAGTCCCTCGACGAATTGGTCGTGGATCTCCTCGTCGACGTAGATACGCTCGACCGAGCAGCACGATTGTCCAGTGTTGTACATGGCACCGTCGGCGAGCGAAGCAATGACCGATTGGAGATCTTCGACGTCCTTGTGGACGTAGGCGGCGTCCTTACCACCCAACTCCAGTTGCACTGGAATCATACGGCCAGCGAGTGTCTCTGAGATTGATTTTCCAGTGGCGTAGCTACCGGTGAAGAAAAGACCGTCGATTGGCAGCGAGAGGAGCGATTGTGAGATGACGGCCTTTCCGAGGACGACTTGGAATGCAGACTCTGGCAGACCGGCTTCCATGAGGAGATTGTGAATGTTGATACCGGTGATTGATGAGAACTCTGAGGGTTTGTAGAGCACGCAGTTACCGGTGAGAAGTGCTGGTACGATAACGTTCAATCCAATGAAATATGGGTAGTTCCAGGCAGAGATATTACCGACGACACCGAGTGGTTCGTAGCTGAGGGTCTCACGGAACTTGTCGGTGACACGAACAGCACGCTCCTGCAAACAACTGGAGAAGTTGAACAAGAAAAAGTTGATTCTCTCAATGACTGCTTTAATTTCGTTTTTCGATTGTGTAATTGGTTTACCTGTTTCCTCTGTTAAATCATTGGCCAAAGAATCGATTCTCTCTGCCAACAAATCTCTAAATCTAATAATAATATTTGCTTTTTCCTATAAATGATTGTAATGATGGATGATGAATATTATTATTAATTCCAATGATAACAAATTGTTGTTTTTTTTTTTTTTTTTTTGTACCTACTGTTTGAGATACATATTTCCATTCATTCTTGAAAAGATATGCTTTATCAAACTTTTGTTTCAATGATGTCTTTGTATCAATCTTTATATCTTTAATTGGTTTAGTTGTGGCTGGATTAATTGGTTGTAAGAAAAGTTGATCTGCCATAACACCCATTGGTGATCTATAAAATAAAAAAAAGGATAATTAGCATGTATACTTTTGTTGTTTTGTTGTGAAGTTTGTGTCATCATATCAATTACATATCGATCGTTGTATAACATAACATAACATAACAAACATAACATAAAACAACAGTTCTTAATTGGTAAATTCATATTTGAATCAACTATTTTAAGAAATGATAATTTTTTGAACATGATATGTTTGCTTTGTTTTGTTTTTGTATGATCATATGATAACACAAACTATTCATTTGTACTTAATGATGACATACTGATTGAACTTTGGGAATGAAGAGTAGTATCTGATCGAAGATACATTCTTCACTATATTTCTATTATTTCTTGCTAATATTTGGAACATTTTTTCTGTATTTGTTGTTTGTCTGTCTGTCTGTCTGTTTATTAAATTACTGTTTTACTGCTGTAGTCTTTTGATTTGATTTCGAATTCGAACTCTAAAATATCTAAAAACTAACTTGTAATATATATTTACAATAAATTTTACACTGACTATACTACTTTTATTACTAACACTAAACACTAAATTGGGTATTGAATGATGATAATAAAATAATAATAATGGGCAAAATGAAACACTGAAAAAGAAATATTAAATTTATTGATGATTTTAAATAAATTCAAACACACACTGTTAAAAAAGTACACACAACCCTTTCAATCACATCAGAAAAAAAAAAAACGAAAAATGCACACTCACACAAATCACAATGAAATGTTGTCAAAAAAAATAAAAAGAACTTCAATTTTTTTTTTTTAATTTTTTTTTTACCGACAACTTTAAAGTTAGAGTTTTACATGTTTTATTTGATTTTTACAGGTTGTTATGTTGTACATGATGTTTTGGGATTGATCGGATAGGGTTGATGAATGGGTTGATGATATTGACGTTCACCGGTTTCATAGGTGATCCATGTGTTGTAGGTGACTGGCTGACCTTTGGAGCGATTGATCTCTAACACTCTGGCACCTCTTTCCCAGGTGCCATAACCACCGTATCCACTGTGACGACCGAAACACATCTCGATTCCCGATGGTTCGTAGGTTCCGCAAAAGTCGTTGCCATGATTATGTCCAACACTCATAAACTTAACGTCGCCAATCGTTTGGAACGCCTGGAGTAGTCCGGCATTCTCTGGCTGACAGGCAACCGAGTCGTTGTTCCATCCGTAGGTGACATAGTTATTATAGAGATCGACATACTCTTGCAGAGGAATATGAAAGTAGGCTGCTGCCCATGTTATATTACCACCACCGGCTGGTTGTTGAGAGTATAGCTGTTTGGCAGTGTCGACATACCATTGCACTTGACTCTCAGTGATGTAGGTGTTGCACCACGGTGCTGCGCCAGAGGGTGGCGGACAACTTCCGTCACCGGAATCCAACACCCATATCACTGCTTCTATGGTGTCGGACCACTTGTCGTAGATCGGCAGATAGTAGTTGGTGATACCGGACACTGATTGCGGTCCGAATTGCGAGTAGCTGCCAAGCGAGATGTCGAAATTCAACAGGTCGACACGTGTATCGTTGTAGCCCGTTGCCAGATCATCGTGATTTCCAAATGTCACAGACCAAGGTATTTTCATGCTTCTCACCACGGCCAGTGCTTCCTCCCAATACGATGTGGCATTATCAATGATATTGTTACCGGTGATCAAATCACCACTAAACATAACGAAATCCGGTTGTTCCAACTGCAGCAGGGTAGTCATAACCCTAGTGGAATTCACATCTTGTTGTCTTCCCCAGCTTACATCTTCACCTTCTCCAAAATGTAAATCGGTTATTTGTAACTAATAGTAGTTTTTCAATTAGATTAGTTTCGATTTGTTTTTTTTGTTTTTTGTTTCCAATAATAATAAATAAACAAGGTATCTATCAAACAATCAACAATCAATCCAACTATATACAGTATTTATAATTACAATTTTAAAAGTACTAGTATCATCATTCAAATCATTGAATGTATCACTGTTTAAAATGTTATTATAATTATCTCTTTTTATTGATCTAAATACAAGTTTATCTTTGCCATTCGAAAATCTAAAATGTAAAAAAATAAATATACAAAACAAAACAATGTAATTGTTAAAATTAATTCTATTCATTATAAAAAATAAATTAAAATTATTGATTTTAACTAACTTGAATCACTTTTTAATTTTTTTTTGTAGGAACTCCGACATTAATCACAAGGTGTAAAAAAAGTTAAATTAATTTAAAAATATTTGTTTATTTTTTATAATGAATAGAATTAATTTTAACAGTTACATTGTTTGTTTTGTATATTTATTATATTTATAATATTTGTTGAACAATTTTCATCGTCATTACTAACCATTCTTACAAAGAATGAATAACTAACTTTATAGTTATTAAAAAAAAAAAAAAAAAAAAGTTTTTTATTACTTATTAATTTGATTATTAATAAATTGTTTATTCAAATCTGACAATCGCACTTCTAATTTCAATTTTTCTGATTTGAGTGATTCTAGTGAAGCATGATTCACCTGATGGTTCGACTGTAATTCATTGATTCTATTGACAAGATTCTCGTTTCTCTCTATGTAGTCACTGAGTACTCTATCTTTTTCATCTAATAATTCATTTGTACTACTTTGTGATTCATTCATTGTCGATGTCGATGTTGTTGTTGGTTCTGTTGTTTTATATTCATTCTCATATCCTTTCATTACTTTATAATAAACAAAACCATCGATATATCTATGTTTATTATTCAAACTTAAAAATAACAGAGTTATTTTAATAATAAATGATACTTACCATTTAATATATATTCTTTTTGTTGTGTGATACTTGATAATGACTTTGAAATCAATGTATATACTTCATCTTTTGAATCATTCATCATTTGCTCTTCTTCTTGATATATAATCCTTTAAGTATAATATTATATATATATATATATATATAGATTTGATGATGTTAAGGATGAGTAGATTAGTTGCTATTGTTAAAGATTCAAAAACATACCTTTCTTGCTCGAATTGCTGCAGTAATCTTGTTAGTATATTATTTAACTTGATAATCTGTTTAATAGTCTTTTTCTTTTCTAAATCTAAAAGATAGATCTTTTGATTTCTTTTCGAAATGGTTAACTGTTGTAGTTGTATCTTCAATTGGTATTCAGCCAAGTTTGTATTGGATTGATTCAATTTAACCGTAAGATTCTCAGATATCTCTTTGAAACATCTATAATGAAACTGTTTCTTCTGTACACTATCATATTGCACCTGATACATTCCTTTCAAAAACTCAATCTCACTTCTAATACAATCGATTCTATCTCTAACATTTATGATTTTCATAGTATTATTATTCTCATCAATATCATTCTCAACCTCTTTACTACTATTATTACTATTATTTAAACCAACACTTTCGTCATAGTCTTTTTTATCTTTATCATTGTTAATATCATGATCTTTTACATTCTCACCACCACTACCGCCACCATTATTCAAATTTATCATAAGATTGTTATTGTTGGTATTGTTCGATTCCATTTTGTTGATATTTTTTTGAATCTATTCTTTATCTATCTATTTCCTCGTCTAAATAGATATTTAAAAGAAATATTAGTTTGATTTTTGTTTGCGCAACAGATTATGTTGGAAAAAAATTTTTTTTTTTAATTGATTAAAAATTTAATTAAAATAACAAAATTTTTACCAGAGAGAGAAGAATTGTCAATTATTTATTAGATGAAGGTCACACCAAACCCATCTTATTTTTTATTATTCATTTTTGCAATAAACAAACATAACATACAATTGAAAAAAATAAAAATAAAAATCGATCGAATATTAATTTTAACACACAACAATAATAATAATCTGTCTTGTGTAAAAATAATAAACTGTTTCATTGTTTAAATAATAAATCATATATATATATATTAATATAAAGATTGTGAAATTTTCTTTTGTTTTTAGAATATTTATAAATAGAGAAAATAAATAAATGGTTGAATATGATTGTATTGTCATAGGAGGTGGACTTTCAGGTCTACAGTGTGCCTATACTCTAAAGAAACAAGGTCATTCTGTACTTGTACTTGAAGCTAGAAATGTAAGAAAAAAAGATAGATTCATTTTGAATAAAAACTTTTTTTTTTTATTAACATACATACATCATATGACTTTCAAATATCATTATTATTATTATTTATTATTTAGAGATTTGGAGGTAGAACTGAATCATTAAAGGTAGATGGATATTGGTTCGATCTCGGTGGTCAGTGGATGGGTGGAACTCATAAGCATTTGAAGGAGATTTGCAAAGAGATCGGTGTGGAGACATTCGACCAGTACGACGAGGGCAAACATGTCTTGGAGTTGAACGGAAAGCGTGTCTACTACCAAGGAAATATTTCAAAGCTCAACACCGACTACAATTTGGAGGGACTTGAAGAAACGATTGCAATGATCGATAAATATGCTGACACTATCGATGTTACTGCGCCACACAAGCATCCAAAAGCATCGGAATGGGATCACCAAACGGTTGCCCACTGGACCGAGAAGAATGTAAAGGGTAAGGATGCCAAGGGTATCATCGATTGGTTCGTCAGAGTTTGCTTGGCTGCCGATCCAACCGAGATTAGCTTCCTCTGGTTCCTTTTGTTCATTAAGACCGCCGGATCCTACAGTTTGTTGGCCGACATTAGAGGCGGTGCGCAAGAGAAACGTATGATTGGTGGTTCCCAACAGATCTCTGAGAGATTGGCAGAGAAGGTTGGATTGAAGAACTGTATTCTCAATGCACCGGTAAGAGCTATCTACCAAGATGGTGCTGGCGTTCAAGTCAAAACCGAGAAGTTGACTTACACCTCGAAATATGTGGTCGTTACCGTTCCACCTGCTTTGGCCGGAAGAATCGAGTATCGTCCACCAATGCCTGCAACTCGTGACGACTTGACTCAGCGTTTACCAATGGGCTCCGTTATCAAAACCATTGTGATCTACGACGAGCCATTCTGGAGAAAGGATGGTTACTCTGCTGAGGCACTGAGCGATCTCGGACCTATCTATATCTGCTACGACGACAGTTCACACGACGACAAGAAGACTGCAATCGTTGGATTCATTGCTGGATTGCCAGCCAAGCAATGGGCATTGAAGACAAAGGAAGAGAGAAAGCAAGCCGTACTCGACTGCTACGCGAGATGGTGGGGACCAAAGGCATTGAAGCCACGACACTACCTCGAGAAGATTTGGAAGGATGAAGAATACTCGCGTGGAGCATATCTTGCCTATGCTGGTCCAGGTGTGCTCGATGGTTGCAACGGTGCATTGCGTGAGCCAGTCGGAAGAATTCACTGGGCTGGCACAGAGACTGCCAATGTTTGGATTGGATATATGGAGGGTGCACTCGAAAGTGGTATTAGAGCTGCTGGTGAAATAGATAATAGATTGAAATCTTCAAAACCCAAATATTAATAATAATAATAATTATAAAAATAAAATACATGTGTAGTTTTTCAAATTAAATTATTGTTTGTTTTTTTTTGTTTGTTTAATTCTTTTTTCTTAAAGTTAATAATAATACAATTTTGTTTTTTGTTTTTTTTTGTTAGTTTTGGATTTTCTACCAACATCCATTTTTAACAACTCTTTTAATCCACTTTCTACTAACAACTCTGAAATTTTGAAAAGAAAAATTAGTTATTCATTTTTCACTTTGTTGATGTTAACATTGTGCTTTAAATATACTTACAGCATTGTTAAAACGAAAATTAACCAAGGAGCTAATAGACCACCACAAACACCAAATGTGATTTGATATCTCATGTTCATCATTGGTTGTTTTTCAAAGAATACATAATGGATATCATCAACATCATAGTAGCATGTAGAATATTCATTGACTGGCCATTCACTTTCTGCATATGATGGACATTTGTTTCCTTGGCAAAGTTGTTTCATTGTACTAGTTACCAATGTACCATTTACATCATATTGTACATCCATAACAATATTATAGTTTTTCTTCAATAAATATTGGACACTATTAATAATAAAAAACAATTAATATACATGACCTGTTGAAATATAATTATCTAACAATTTGTAATACAAACTCTTGATTCAATACGAGACAGGAGGAAGTTTCTGTTTCCATATTTTTGAATGGTGCAACATAGAGTTTCCAGAGTAATATAAATAGTACTGCCAAAACGATAATCCACAAGAAGAAAAGATAAATCATCCACATACCACCAAGGAGTCTACGGTTCTCAAAAAAGGTTTTAAGAGTATATGAATCCTTTTGTGGTGAGAATCTTGATGTGGGTGGTGGAGGTGGTGGAGTATTCCATTCTTCTTCACTCATTTTTCCTTTATTTGTGGAAATTACATTTATCCATTCACTAGTTTAATTTATGAATAATAGATATATTAATAAACAACAAAAAGTATTTAATTTTCATAATACAAACATACTCTAAAGTAGATTGAGAATCCAAAATAAAAATCCAAGTCGATCTAGATCTGGTTTTTAACTGAATGACATATGGAGTATCAGCAGTGACAAGATCCTCTGCTAGCTCACAAAATACAATATCATATAGATGAAGATTTCCTCTGGTAATTCTATCATCTGCAGATTCTTTCATAATCAATCCACCTTTTGATAAATCAATGTATCTATCCTCCCTATAAAAAAAATAATTGTAAATAAATATTTTCTTTTGTTGTTCTTATATATTCATTTCGTAGGTTGCTTACCATGGCTTTGAAACACCTTCGTCGTTGATCAGCTGAACACGGAACATACCCTTGAGTTTTGGTTCTGTTGGTGGGGCGCTTTTGTTCTCCTTGTGGATGGCATCAATCTTTTTGTTTTGTCTGTATTTGGCAAAGTCATCGAGATATTCACCAGTTGTCTCTGTTGGGGGCGCAACTGCTGGCTCAGGTTGTCTGTTGAATACCACTCTGTCGTCATCGCTGTCCTCCTGACTGACTTCATCGCTTGCAGATTCGGTGTCATGTTTGTCGACCATTATCGATACTCTTGGAGTTACTTCAGTTGTTTTTGTAGTTGACACTGGCTGACGGCTAAATTTAAATCCTCTTTTGGAAACTTCCTCTGAGGCTTCGACTCTGCCTTGGTCACTTTCAGTATCACTCGAAGAACTGTTACTAGCACTTTCAAGATCTCTCTGATACATTGTTGTAAAATTAATTTTAAGATTGAAACAAAAATAAAGTCTAAAACTTTAAATTTTTTTGTTTTAACAGTGCTGATTTATTGATGAATCGGTTTGATCAAAAAATAAAACGTTTTTGTGTTGTTTCTCGCATTTGTGTGGTGGCGAACAATTTTATTTTTAGTTTCACAGAAAAAATCAGGATTTATGTAATTTTTTTGAGTCGGTGTGCCTCTTTGTGCAATATCTTTATATTATATACTTTTAACACATTTATGCAACTTAATCATTGAGAAAAATTGAATAAACATAATTTTTTGTTTTTAAGTACAACTATTTCAATTATTATTAATTTGAAGTAAAATGATTGTATAAAATTAATTAATGTAATTATTTTGAAATATCTTTTTTTTGTTTTTTTATTTAATTTTTTAAGGCTGACCCTCATAAAAAAAAAAATCGGTGCCTCCCCATGAACCAAAATAGAATAAATTAACGTTACAACTTTGATTGAAATTTTTTGATTTAATTTAAATTGCGCGACTAGATATTTTTATTTTTAAAATTTTAAAATCAAAAAAAAAAATTGGATATTTTGAGTTACACAAAACCTTGGATTTATATGTCTCTTCTTAATTTAATAGTCTTACACCAAAACAAAAATTAATTTTGACACTTTAGACCTCGATGAGGAGGTCTCTACATCACAAAGTACTAATTTTGTGGTTCGGATTTTGAATTTGCAAATTTTCAAAGTGTGAGCTGTTTTTTTGGTGTGTGATGATTGACATTTTCTTTGGATGATGTTATTCATTGTTTTTTTCTCCTCTGGATCTGAAATAGGTCGAAGAATTATTCTCATTAATAAATACATGCCAGCGTAATTGAAGACCAAAAGACAAATAAAAAAATGGGATTGTTTTAAATTTAAAATAAATTGTTCCCAGACTCTAAATAAAAGAGAAACCAAAAACAAAAAAAATCTATTATAAAATGATATCTTTGGGATTTTTTTTAGATTTTCTTTTCTCCAGTTTCAAAATAATAATAAATAAATAAACTAGTTATGAATTTTTTTTATTTCTATCTATTTATTTTAATAGTTTTCCAAATTAATTCTGTGCAATCTGCCAATAAGTGGGCAATCGTGTATAATTATAAAGATGGTCAATGCGATAGCGTGATCAAACTTAGTTCCTATTATTTAGGACAATGTTACCAGTCGGGTACAACCTCATCTTTTACCTATAATCCATCGGGATTGTCTTTGGTTTCCAGAGATTATTATGCCAGCAGTACCAGTTGTACAGGAGCCAAATCTACTAATACCATGTTCGATGCAACCGACCTCTGGATCTGTGACGGCACCACTGGTATGGCTGCAGTTCAATCGCTAGGTCCAATTTTCCTTAGTTTTTGGGATGCCTACTACGAAACCTATACATCATCGTGTACTGGAGATATGTACAAAAATGCTAGATCCGTTGTTGATCTTTCATCAACTACGGTCTGTCCCAATGATGAAGCAGGTGTAAATAGACAAAAGCAATTTGTAGTTTCTGCAGATTCCACATCTGTTACCATGTCATTCAACGCCAATCAATGTGCCTATACCGGTCCAGTTACATACTCGAAAACCTGTACTGCCAATGCCAATCGTATTACAAATGCCCAAGCACCAACTGGTACCGTCAATTTTGGTACCTTCTATAGACAACTCAGCTGGAAGAGTGTCAACATTACCAATGTCACCTGCGAGCAAGGTCCTGTTTACAACTATAATTTTGGAGCTGGAAGTGCCTCCAATCCAACTGTATTTTGCCCCGATGCAAAGTTTTGTGTAATTCCCAATTTAATTCCATTTTTGAATGCTGACGGTCTCACAGTGAATATTACACTTCAGGCCGTTGCTTACAGAATCAACCAAACTACAAGTGTTATGGTAATGCCTATTGAAATTGACGGGCTTCCAGATCTAACTGCTTTAATACAACCGAGAACAAAGACTGTGTTTATAACGGTGACGTTCTCCGGTGGTGATAGCAGTAATGTATTATTAGTCAAAAAGGGTAGCCAGGCACCATATTCAAATGGAAACATTGCAAGATTCCAATTGGATACTACCCCAGGAACATTTAATCCATTATATTTAGCTGTAAATAACAGTGGATATACATCTCAGTTTAGAAACTATTCTTTTACTACCTATCCATTGGTAAATCCACCAGTTTTAGATTCTATCATCGAATTAGGTTCCGCTTTTACTATAACTTGGTTAGCGGCAACAGGAGGTAAGATATAATTTTATAATATAAATATTAAAATATTTTAGATAACTAATTTTTTTTATAGGTTTTCCTGGAGATACAAGTTACAATGTTTTCTTAAATGGAAATCCAGTAGGAGCTTGTCAAATTATTACCGATACTACTTGTAAAATTCCACTCTCTGGTTTTGGTACCTATACAGTTTCTGTAATGTCATCAAATGACGGATCCAATTCAACAGTTGTAAAATTCCCACCATATAATTTCCTTCCATTGACACCTCCAGATATTTCAGTTACCGATAAACACATCAAGTCATTCACAATTAAATATGGTGCAACCGGTGGAAGTTTAAATGCAACCAATAGCTACACAGTTTATTTAAATAATGTCCAACAGTATAATGGTCCTTTGACTACCTATACTTTTACAGGTCTCCAAGCTGGAACCACCTACGCTGTCAAAGTAGCAGCTGCCAACGATATCCATACATCTCAGGCGACACTTGACGTTACAACCTACACAATGATTAAATCTGTTATTTCCATCCAACAAACTAAAACACAACTATTAATTAGATATAATTCGACTGGAGGAACACCTTCAACAACCACCTATTTAGTAAAAGTAAATTCAACTACACTCACAGAATCTAATCAACCTGGAGTTGAACCAATGAATTTTGTTGTCCAACAAGGGTATTCAATTGAACTAACAACAACCAACGACGGTGAACAAGATGTACAAACCTTAAATTACTATGTTTATCCAAGTAAGTAAAGATAATAATTAATAGGAATTAATAATAATTGATGAACTAATCAAGAAATTGTTTAATATAAATAGGTCCAACTGGAGTTGGTATATCTGTTTACTCAAGCAATCATTCTATTTATACAAATTGGACTGCAAGTACTGGTGGTGTACCAGGTTTAACTGTTTACAATGCTTACCTTTCATCAGACAATTCGACTTGGACACCTATATGTATTTCAATTACCGAAAAACCATTCGAATGCAACTATACCAATTTGATTTCCGATTTAACCTATTACTTTAGAGTAATCACAACCAATGCCATCTTCTATGATCCGGTTTTAGATTTTGAGAAGGGAACTACTAGAGAATCGGCTATTAAGGGATGTGCCGATCCACTCTGCTCCAATCACGGTACTTGTGTCAATGGTCAATGTAAATGTGTGAAAGGATTCAACGGTGAGGTATGCCAGACTGAAGTCAACGGAGGAGGAGACTCTGGTGTAGCGCCTCAGGCTGACCAACCTTTGCTCAACATTACGTTGTCCGGAACCACTTATTCTTTCTCACTAAACTCGATCCGTGAGCGTACTCCAACCGGTGAAATTTTCCAGTATATCAACTTGACTGAGGTCACATGGAAGGCTGTCAGTGAATCGCATGACTCGGTCATCAACAGCATCGATCAATCGAAAGTTAAGAAGAACCAATGGGTCTATGAAATGAGTACACAATCGGCCATTGTCCAATCGATTCAGATGACATTCATTCAATTCTTACCAGAGGATTCAAGTTCGAGCGTCGATTCTATTAATTTGGAATTTGCGATGGAATCATTCCCACTAAAGTACGGTGCCATAAAGTATACATTGAAAATTGATGAATGGAAGTTCGATAGCCAGCTTAACTACTTGGAAGTAACAACATTGCTTTCAACCCCCGTTGATCAATGCTCGGTTTCATCGAGCAATCAAGCAGTGATCACCAACGCAGACTCTGGTACCTCCATCATTACAATTGGTGAGGCGAACGGTACTCATATCTACGGTCGTCTCATTAACAGAGCAATGTTAGATTCCATTCCAAGAGTGATTTCGTACAACACCATACCTGTAGGTAATAACAACGAGTTGGTAACAGTGATCCCCTATTTCTTTACAGAATGTATTTTAGATCCAGGTATGTAGATGTTTTTTTTTTTTATCTATATTTGTTATTAATTAGCTTTTTGTAATTCACTTTACTTCTTTAGACTTCTCACTATTGTTGAATACTAAATCTGATAATACTGGAGGATGCAACCAGTCAGCCTCAAAGAATGAAAGTTGGAAAATTGCTGTTGGTGTAGTTGTTGGTGTTGTAGGTGCAACGGCAATCGGAGTGGCAGCTTTTCTAGTGATAAAGAAAAAACTCTTATCAAAGGATGAAGACAGCAAAATGGCACACAAACTTAAAAAATTACAAGAGTGAGGGGGTGAGAAAAAAATAAATTATTAAATTAGAAAAAAAAAAAACCCTCCAAACTTTGAATCTTTAAAATTTTTGTTTTATTTTTTTCATCATTCTAACAAATGTGTGTTATTGGGAATCAGATTTACAATTGATTGTAAGAGGGGAGGTTCTTTTTTTTTTCAAACCCCTCCTTTTTTTTCTCAATTTTTTTTTGTTTTTTTTCCAAATTTAGTTAAAATGAACAATATTGGTGATGAAATTTGGTGATGTTGAAATTTTTTAAAGTCATTAGGTGAACGAGGTGCTATCACAACACTAATATCTCGAGATAAAAAATTTAGTTTAGCCTGTTTGAAACACCTTTTTTTATTTTTGTTTGTTTAACAATGGTGATTAACCAAACTAAACCTTTTTTATCTATCTATTCATTCAACCTTGAAAGTAGTATTTTGTGTTACTGTGGGTAGCTTTTTAAATTCCAATTAAAATTTTAAGCTTCCCTTCACTGGCATCTCTATTATATTGATGCAGGTGTAAGTGGTGTGTGTTTTAAAATTTACACTAGTGTGACATGTCTTGTCAACAAAGAGAGAGTATTAAATTCTTTTGGTTCTAGTTTAGCAACATTTAATTCCAATTAAAATATACATATATAGATAAAAACCATAGTGGTTAGTTGTAGAGTTTCATCATCACTACCAAATTGCAAACATCACTTTTTAAAAATAATAACAATAATAGTAATAACAATCATCTTTACAAATAAACAAATCAACAAATAATAATAATAATAATGAACACAGATATAATTAAAGTTTGAATCTCTTTAGTTTCAAAAACACAATGCTTAATAGATTTATACTTTTTTTTATTATTTATGTATAGTAATAATATATCATCGTTTGTACACTGTCAGTCACCCAATTCCATTGCCTACAAGTACGGTTCCATTTTTGTAAATTTCATTGAAAACACCATCCCACCCTATCAAATCGATTTTTCTTTTTCCAATGCGTCGAACATATACAAGTCTCAGTATCCTCTGATGATGCCAAACATTGAGGCACCAACCGACGTCAATCTTTCTTTTATTGAAAATGTATCTCTAATAACAAACACACAAAAATACCTGACCACTTCATTTCCATCGTTGGAAATCACTTCGTGCAACATCTATTTATTTTCCAACTACAAACTTCAAACCCCTTCACTCACAGTCACCAACACGTCGTTTTACTCTTTCTCACCGTACCATTTATCTATGGAAATACAAACTTTTAAATATATCACCATCGCTCCAAACACTCTGGTTCTAACGAACTTAAACTACACGGGTGACACCTTTCGTCTGGATTCTAGAGTGAATGACAAGACCTCTATATTCACTTGTGGATATTCCACCGTTTTTCTTAATAAACTGATTATTAACAATCATAACAATGTATATTTTTACAACATTCGTCTTTTAATAACTACACAACTCTCTGCCTCGGAAACAACGCTTACCTTTGAAGAATGTTCAATATTGGCTCCAAGATTAGACTTTTTCGGTCAATCTAAAATTAGTATTCTAAACTCCACGTTTGAAAACCAGACATTGATAAATTCATTCTCAAACAATGCCTACAGTGGTAGTATATATATAAATAATACAATCTTTAAAGATTTTATTTCATTCAATGTATGTTTACCAAATTAAAACAGCAATCAAATGGTTATTAATATTTTTTATAGATTTCAGGTGGTGGGTCACTCTCGCTCGAGAGTGTAACAATACCGAAAATACTATTGGTTTCCTATTTATATAGAATCAATATTAAAAGTTCATCTCTTTACTTTCAAGAGAATCTACAAACTTTTAATTTTTCCTTAAATGTAGAACAATCAAACTTAGTATTCAATACTATTTCCCAACCCATTTATATTTATAATAGTTTTTTTAATGTAAGATTATATTTATTATCTATCGAGCTAGGTTAGTGCTAACACACTCTCTCTTCTATTATAGTACTATACAAATTTAATCGTTGAAAATACATATTCAATTATTTGCAACTGTACTTTCTCTGCACATAGTATTGTCAATAGCTATAATGGCACTATTGAAATCAAGGGTTATGTAATAAATGTAGTGACAACCTCATTTCTCATTCAAGCAAACTATAACTCTGTTGTGTTATTCAATGGTACAGATATTAAAAACTCAATAACCATACTTTTAAATGATTCTAAAATTTTATTTGCGGTATGTACAGAGATAATAATTGTCATTTATTAATTAGTGCTCTTTTTTAACAAATTATGATTTACAAAGAATAATAATAGGATAACAAATGCAAGACTTAATATAAAGACTATTTCAGAGAGTATTATTTCATATTCCCAGGATGGTATGCAAGGCTATTTGGAGTTGGTTTCTGGATCGGTGTTAAGCATCCAAGATTCATCATTCAGCTTTGACAATTTAAATATCAAATTAAATTCAAGTACTCTTGAATCCTCCGGTAACCTCTCACTTATTGATAATATTTCGTTTATTGACTCTGTATTGAAACCATCATGTTATCAGGATAGTTGTCAAATTCATGTTTTTGGTATTACAAAACTGTCGCTAAGAGTTCCAATTAAAATCAATGTCCCATTAGGTAAGCTTCTAAACCGGATTTGATCAATTGTAAATCAAACTTACTAATTTATAATATTTTTACAGTTCATCTAATAGATATTAAAAGTGATGACTTTGATGGTATTGTAAATATAGAAATTCAAAATAGATCCTATATTAACAATACAGACCTCGAATATACCGTTGTCAAGTTTAGTGATCAATCGATATCGCTCAATCCCAACATAAAATTGAAATTTGAATTTTCAATGACCTCCAACTCATCAGATAACAACCCATCGACCAACGAAACAGTCTATTACCTCGATAAATATTACTTGAACAATCAGACATTTGAATTAAAGTTAAAATTTGTTGCCATCGTCAAAGGAATTCCTACTAATTCTCCATGCATAACACCTACTCCCACGAAGCCGCAGGTGGAAACAAACAGTGGTGAATCACCACTCTCTGCCATTGTCATTGCAGTTGTAGTCTCAGTGTCGTCGGTCCTGATTTTATTGATTGTGGTTATCATCATCTACACTTTCAAGCTGAGGAAAATGAGACAAACAAAATTTGTCAAGGATAAAAAGAATATTGAATTTCTTGTGTTTGGTTGAACTAAATTTCAACTTTTACCAATAAAAATTAATGTGTGGATCCTTTTATTATACATTAATAATAAATTGTTTTTTTTAATTACATAATATTACAGTAGATTTTACCTGATCCACCCTTTAATTTCTTACGAATATTTTCATCGATAGCTTTGATCTCTTCATGTTTCATATATTGTGAGAATTGGAAGGTATCGGTCACGGAATAAACTGCTTTCAGGCCAAGGAAATTGGTTGCACAGGTTGGAGAGATGACACCGTCACTCTTGAGACCGGCAACGAATATCGGTTTCGAAAGTTCTCTACGTCTGATCTCTGAGAAATAGGCGGGAAGTGATTCCAAGTACTCGGGATTGGTGAGGTCAACACAGACAATGAAACAACTGGCATTGGTGAAATCATATTGTGAAATAAATTCAAGCTCTCTGTAGACCATGGTGTTCTTGTAGCTTCGACAGACGAACGATATTCCATTGCCGAATGTTGACTTTCCAATACCTCTTTCACCAATGATAATGGCAATCTGTGATTTAGGTTTACCTGAAGAAACTTGACGGTCGAAATTGAAAAAGGAGGCGGGATTTGGCTTGACTGTATGTACATATGGGGTGGTGTCAGTTGATGGAGGTGGTGGAGGTGGTTTTGGAATGGAACCAGAACTCGATGACGATGAATAAGATTCACTTGATTCATATGTTTTCTTTGGAGCAATTGGTTCTTTGTAAATTTCGTATTTAGGTGGCCAACTCTTGATAGGTGTTTTTGCATTCGCTTCTCTTATGGAAATCATTCTCTGATTCTCAAAGTAACCGATCTCTGGGTTATAGTAATAGAGTGGTTTACCAAAGTCCTTGTGAATCACAAACCATGGTTCGCTATTCTTTATCTCTGTTGGTTTACCATATTGTTTCTTAATCTTTTTGCTGGTTGGAGTTGCATCTACATATGGGGTATTTGTATTGGTTGTAGTTGTGGTGGTTGTTGTAGTTGTTGTGGTTGTGGACTCAGGTGTTGTCTCTGGGCTGGTTGGTGTAGTGGTGGTTGGTACATCCGATGTACTTTCAACTGTGAAATTCTCTTGATTCAAATCCTGAAGAATTTCTTTGAGATCCGAGTCGGTTGTTTGTTTGTTTAGCTCCTGTTCGTACTCCTTGAACTTTTGTTTCGATGCCTCACGATAGCAGATGGCCAAAAACATTTCGGTGATCAAGTTGAACTTCTTAAAATTAATACAGATACCACCGGTACGCTCTGCAATCTCGTCGTAGAACACAGAGTTACCAAGTGCCTTGACACCGTAGACTTTGATACCTTTCTCGTAGAGGTCATCACACTCCTTGAACCAATTGATATTTAAATCGGTGAATGAAGGTGGATGTGGATTACTGTCACCAATCATAACGAATGCCTTTGATGTATGGTGAGACCAACTCAGCTCCTTTGCTCTAAAGAGTGCATATTCATATGCCTCTGGTGAATCTCCACCCGATGTATCCTGCACGGATTTAATGAAACGAATCAACTCGTCTGTGTTCTGAGTTAAATCCAATGTTGATAAAACTAGCTTACCATCACAATACTAAATAATAAGATAAAAATTAATAAGTCAAACCAAAAAAACAAAAAGATTATTTATCGATTTTGAAATTAATTTTCAAAGATAACTAATACTTACATCACCCATACCCATGATACCTATTCTAATGTTTGGAATATCTCTCATCAATCTAGCGACTGTACTTTCAACTTGTAACTTTACATTCTTGATGATGCTTGCCATTGAACCGGTAGTGTCAAAACAGAATACGATTTCTACGTCCGATGAGATGGACGATTCGACAAAACTATTCAACAGTGCATCTTGGTCGAATTGTTCTTCTTCCTTTGCTGGTGGAGATGGAATGGCAGTAGTGTGATCTCTATAATCAACGGCATCTGGTGCTTTGGAAACTGAAGATGGATAGTAGTAATTATAAACTGGCTCTGGCGCCTTGTAGACTGGTCTAGCCTCAATAGATATCTCAACAACGCCATAGTTACTGAAATACTCATGCAACCTATATGATCCACTCAGTTTAGTTGGATTTCCAGGTGTATGAATAGAAATATTTCCATTTTGAATCTCTTCAATTGAATCTTTTAATTGATTTCTAATTGCACTGTTTTATCGGAAAATGTCCAATTAGATTAGAAATTAAATTAATTTTGAATGTGCGAGAGCTGGTGTTACATACGTATTTAAATGACTTAAACATAGACCATCATTGTTTGGTACGGAAACAGGGTATTCATTATCTTTGTATCGAACTGTGAACTTCAATTCCTTGATGATCATCATGTGAACGGTAGATTCTTTTCTGACACCACATCCTGAGATGGTTCCTTTGGACAATGGAGAACCTGCGAACAACAACTCGAATTGAAATTTCTTGTACTCGGTTCTCTCTGCGACCTTATTGAATAACACTTCAGTTAAATCCTCAGGTTGAACATCCAATGAGAATGTAATGGTTGGTGTTTTAATTAAAATCAACATTTTTTTTTTCTTTAAATATATACAATAAATAAAATAATAATATAAATTGTTTTACAGAACAATTAAATGAAACTGATAAAATAGTTTCTTGAGCATAAGATTACTCTTTAAATCAACAAAACAAATCTATTTTTGATGAACCACCACACACCAAAAATCTAATTTTTTTCTGCTTTTTATTTTTTGATTAAATTTGTTCAACACTTTTGTTTCGCTGAATTTTTTTGATCAACAAATAAAATCGATCTATTTTTGAAAATAGGAAGATATTTGCAATATTATGTTTTAATATTTTATTTATATTTTTAATAACAATTTATTTATTAATAATATGTTTTTTTTGATTCTTTAAAGTTTTTTAAAGATTCATATTGAGGCCAACATCAAATCTTATTTTCCTTCATTTTTGTGAATTGAATTTACAGTGAAAGATAATCTTAAAATGCTTCCCTCTAATTTTGTGTTATTGACAGTCTATGTATGATGGAAATGAATTAGTAAAGCTCTTATACAATTTCTTCTTTTTTTTTTGTTTTGTAAACTACTTACTATCAATGCTTCGGTTGCAGATTTTAAATCTGAAAACTCAACTAATCCCATCAATTTAGTGCTACTTGGTTGTGGTGGGAAGAACTTTACTTGATTTGGAGCGCTTGCACCAGAGTTTATAAATAGCTATTAAAAATTATATAATTAGATTAGTGATTTTGGTTGCAAGTTGCTGATTTTTGTTTGGTAATACTACTTACATGAGTTAGATCTTTTTCTGTAAATGTCATAGGCACGTTCAAAAAGTGTAAGGTGGCAGATGGTTTATAGATATTCTTGTAGGTGCCAAGACCAGCTTTGAATCTGTTGAGTGGTGATTCAGAGTAGTCTTTGGTCTTTTCGGAGTCGGCAATCGATGGATGTCTAGAGTGGAAAACCTGTATCTTTTGACCGAAAATGTTGGCCAAATTGAGGCAGTGAATGGCAGAGTCTGCTTGGATGCCATCGGCCATCTGCACCATAGCACCGGATTTGGTGTTGTGGAGCATCTTTATCTTCAATACGGTTCCGTAGAGACAGAAGATATTGAAGAGTTGGTCGGCGGTGATGTTCTCTGGCAGTTTGTGAACCATGATAACCGATTGAGTCATTGGCTCCATGGGGTATCCCATGAATCCGGGGTGGTGTGGTTGGACGCCGACGGCGCTTGGGTGTGGAGCGGCGGCAGCTGCACTGGGATTCATCATGTAGGCGGATTGCTTGGTGAATCCAGTTGGATCCATATGGGCGGGTGCGAATGGATAGCCGTGAGCAGTCATTCCAATGGGTGCACCGGGTGGCTGTATCAAGTCCATTGTGTAATCTGTTGTCTTCTCGTCGTTTACCTTTACATTCAACTTGTTGACACGAGCGAAATCAATCTGGAGTGTACAACTGCCAGTATAGATATCCTGTCCATTCAAAGCATCTTTTGCAACCCATGCGGAATATGGTGATTCAAACCTGTTGTTATATGAAAATGGTTAGATTATTTGAAAACAAAAAAAACTAACAAATGATTGATTGATTGATTGATGTACATACTCTACAAATGCTTGTAATCCTTTCTTTTGGAAAATAACGATTCTAAGTACTCTACCGTAGGGTGAGAAGATCTGGTAGAGTGTAGATGTGGTGATTGGGTAGAGTGGAGTAAAGATCGAGCACAACAGAATGTTGTTTGCTCCGGCGGGTGTAGCAGGACTCTTTTTTGATTGATTCAAATGCTGACTCTTAGAATATGAGAATTGGATCTTAAGGGGAAAGTAAAAAGAAGAAGAAAAGAAAATAATAAAAGGTAAGTAAAAAAAACATTGGTAATGTTTTCAAATGTGTGACAAAAAAGGTTAGTATGAATGATCGTTGCCAACGTGTTTCAAAACAAACAAAAACAACAACAAACTTTTTGACCGAAAAGAGATATGGGAGTCGGTGAGGATGATTGGGCAATGATGGCTGAGGATGATTGAAGAGAATCCATTTCGATGAGTGCTTGTCCTTTTCTCAAAAGGCACACTGTTGTGTTTTAATAGTATGTTTTTTGTTTGTTATATATGTTTACATTGGTGGTTGGTTTTTTGTATTGTGTTGTTATTATTATTATTATTATTATTGATAAGAAGAGGAATGTTGTGTTGTATGATTTATTGTATTGAATTGAATGTTGATTATATATAATTATTTGATTATGTTGATAATTGGACGCATTTTGATTTGGATTTGAGGTAAGGAGTTCAAGGATTACGTGATTCGAGCGATTTTGATGAAGGTAGGGACGTGATTGGTGATCGGTGATCAATGAGCAATCGATAGCAACAACATACATACAAAATGTATTTGATATGTTTGGGTGTTTTAGTATTGTTTTGTTTATTTTGTTTGTGTTTGGATTGTTTGTTTGTAATTTGTTTATTTGAATTAATTAATTTAAAGGGGAAAAGAAGATAAAGTGTGAGAGAATGATGATATTTTGGTATTTTTCTTTTTAAAAAAGATTAGAGTTTATAATATGTATATATATAGATATAAGTTATATATATATAAATAATATGTAGAATAGTATATTTAATTATTATTTATGAGACTATTATTGATTTGTAAACTTACCTGACTCAACTCTACCGAATGGTGCCAACAAAGAGGTAATCTCTGCTTCACCTATATTATATGGTAATCCACGGCAATGTACAACTGCACTTGGTTGTAATACCTCATCACTATATATATATATACATATTATATATATTAAGACATTTATTAATATTGTTTGTAATAAAATAGATATGTTTTTAATTTGCGCTTGGTGAATGATGTTCATTTAATAACTTACAAATCAGTACCTGAAGCAACTATTGAACCATCTCTATTTTCAACTTTAATTCTCTTGTGGAATGTATCATTTCCAATGCCATTGTCATAACTATTGGCACCATACAAATCAACATCGTCAGACTCTGAATAATCTCTTTTTTTTACATCCATCATTTGTTGTTGTGATTACAATCAATTGTTGTTGTCTATCGAACTAAATTTGGTATATACAGAAAATTTTAATTATTTTATACAAAATTAATAAATAAATTTAAAACATCAATCTATCTATTTTGATTTTTTTTTTTTTTTTGATGTTTTTTTTTTTTTTTTAATATCAAAATAAATTGGTATTTTTTTGTTAATTTTTTAATATTAATTTAATTTATTATTATTGATGAATAATATTATTAATATCTAGTTGAAATTAGTTTTTTTTTTTTATATTTATTAGATTAGATTTATTAAAATATATAAATATTTATTTTAAGTTTGATTTTTATTAATATTTTTGAAAAAAACTTAATCTAATTAATTTTTTTGTGAATTACACTAAATGTAGTTTGTTTGGATTAAATTGAAAAATATAATAATAATAATAATAATTAAGAATTTCCTCTTTTGGTTTGTTCAATTTCAATTGCTTCAAAGATTGATTTGAAATTACCAGCGCCAAATCCCATGCTATTCTCGACTTTTTGTATGATTTCAACGATGAATGTTGGTCTGTCTTGCATTGGCTTGGTGAAAACCTGTAGGAGGTAACCAGCCTTCTCATCGTTGTCAACGAATATGCCATACTTTTCGAGCAACTCGAAACCCTCTGTCACATTGATACCTGCAGCAGCCATCTTTGGCTTCACTACATCGTAGTAGTGCTTTGGTGGACGCATCAATTCTACACCACGCTTTGTGATTTTATCGATGGAGTCGACGATGTTGTCAGTGGTCAGAGCAATATGCTGAATACCGGCACGTCCATAGAAATCGATATACTCTTCGACTTGTGACTTTTGTATTCTCTTTTCGGTCTGGTTGATCGGGATCTTCACGTTCTGAGTTGGGTCGGCTACGACAATCGACGAGAGCTCCGATGTCTCGGTTTTAATCTTCTCACTCGGTGTCCAATATTGGTGGAATCCCATCACTCTCTCGTACCAATCAACATTCTTGAGGAGTGTGTTATCCTCGACACAGTAGACGTGGTGATCACATACCTTGAGACCGACAGGTCCAGTAATATGGGTAAGTGGATCCTTGAAAACATTGCTACTGAAACCAGGCAGGAATTCACCAGTGTATTTATTTCTTTGGACAAAAGTATGTGTCAAATTTCCAATTGGCGATGCAATGGTTGCCATAATAACAATTCCATTTTCATCTGAAAGTTCGTATGGCTCCTTAATTGAAACTGCTCCAGCTTCAACTGCAGACTTATTTTGTGGTTAAATTAATAATAATAATAATTAATAAATTAATTAGCTAATGATCATTTAATATAATATTGAGTACTTACTGAATATGATAATTTTGCATCATCAACGGTGAATGCTAAATCTTTAATACCATCACCGCCCATCTCCATGTGTTTGGCAAACTCCTTGTTGTCAGTGGTCAGCGATGAGACGAATGACAAAGTAATTCGGTTTTGACGAACGACATGAGTAGCATACTCTCTATCACCTGTTTCGAGATCTTTGACGGCTATTCTATCAAAACCAAACTTTGAACAATAGTAGGAAGAAGCTTGCTTAGCATTTCCAACCCAAAAGGTAATATGATCATAGGTTTCAATATTTTTCTAAATATAGTTTTTAGATTTTTAGATAATTTGCACATTTCCTATTGGCAACATTTATTACTTACAATACTAGTTGGAATCATTGTGTTTAGTATTTATTATGTAAAGAAAAAGAATAATTCTATTAGAAATAATTGTGTAAAAAGATTAATGTATTGTTTTTGAATTTGTTAATATTTATTACAAATGTTTTTGAGTTCCTATTTATATTGTTGGATTTCCTTTGATCTTTATAGAGTGGTACTGTAAGATTAAACCACAACACTCTTTAATTATTAGAAGACATAATTATTAATATAGATTCAGCTAAAAGGCACAACCAATTATACAATGATTTTTGCTTATTGAACTAAAAGCAAACTGTTATATTTTTAACTTTTTGTTTTGTTTTTTAACTGTTCTTGGAATGTTTAAAAATGTATAATGAGCTGTGCTCTGTTCCGCTCCAACCGTACACACTACACATAATCAGCAGTAAACACAACTTTATCTTTAACCTATTCTATGATAATAAACATATTCCAATTAAGATATAAATGGAAAGCTGAACCTTTCATTTATATATATTGTGATGTAATACTAATTGAATTATGACCCCTACACAAAGCAAACAACACAAATAATATTAAAAAAAATTGCTTTAATTTTATTTTTATTGTTTTTTTTTTTTTAGGCGCCGGTATAGAGTAACTGACCACTGTTAAATCTTTGCAAACTGTACTATAGTAATTAATCATCGATTTGTAACGATTGATTTATTTAGTTTAGTTTGATAGTAAATTTTAAATATTTCAATGAACATTATAATTAATTAAAAGTAATTTATAAAAATTAAAGATAATTTAATAAATAAATAAAAGATTGAAAATTTAAATAAATTATTGATTTATAAATAAATACATTGAAATATTATTTTTATTTTTTATTAAAAAGTTAAAAAGAATATATTTTAATGTTTTTTTTTTGATATTGTTATTGTTATATATATTATTGTTGTTGTTGTTGTTGTCGTTATTGACCAAAAACCTTTCTACGATGATTACCTGGTAGTGAATGATTAACTAGTGATGCTTCACCATTGGTGTTACCAAGTAATTCATGAGGTGGGATAAATTTGGGTTTAGCTTTACTCTTTGAATCTTTTCTGACTGGCATGTGAGAGATCTCTGGTGTACCAATCATAAAGTCGTTATTGGTGGTGTTGTTGTCAAAGTTATTAAAGTTGTTGGTGTTACTATGTAAATATGGGTTAAAGTGAGTGGCGGTGGTGGTGTTGTTGTTGATGTCGTCGTCATCATCGATTTGATTGTTGTTACGACGATCGTCTTCTTCGTCCGACGATATATCAGAGTCGTCGTCTTGGTGTCTGAGAGGAATCGGAATGGGTATTGGTGCAGATGCTGATACTTGAACATCTTTAGTCGGTGTTGCAATGCTGATGTTCAACGAACGCAAATAACGCAATTTAATATTGTTGTAGCCGTCGTCTTTGGCTAGACTCGATGAAATCGGGATGTCAGACTCCTTCTCGCCAGCCACTGTAAGAATCGGTTGGAGATAGTCTCTTGTTCCGATGATGGTGGCGCCACGACGTCTGCCGTCGATACCAGTTGACCTTCCGTCTTGTTTGTCTGGCGACTTCATCGATGGCACAGTATTTGAAGGGTGATCAAACCCAACAATCTTTTGATGATGATTGTACTCTTCGAGTGCGGCTCTCATAATGGAATGATTTAATAATTATATAAATAATATTTATGTGTGAAGTTGGATAGATAGTGGATATATTGATAAAAATATTGATCAATTAAAAAAATAAAAACAGTAAATTTACAAAATAAAATAAAAATAAAGATAGATATTGGTATAGATATATAAATTAAAAAAGAGATAGATAAATAGATGGATGGATGGATATGTAATAAAAAAATAAAATAAAACCTATAAATGTAATTGATGATTCTCTCTCTCTCTCTCTTCCTAATGATTATACTATTTGATGTTGTTGCTAAATAAGATTTTGATTGCTGATACTAGATATTATTGTTATTACTACTAATTGTTGGTTGATCGGAACTGTGATTTTGTTCCCTATCGCCAAGAATATAAATTTAAAATATATGATATACTATTATTATAATAATGTGTCGAAATTTGTAGCATGGTAATAAAGAATGTAATAATTGGAACTTGGTTGATTGATTGCTTTATAATTTTGTGAGGGGCTTTTGTTTTGGTTTACTATCTAACTTGATGTTCTGGACCAAAATTTTATATGCTCATACTATATATAATATATCTAAAGCTAAAATGTTGTTTTGATAAATAATAATAATAATGGTAAAGTTAATTTATTTGTTAATTTTTTTTTTGTTTGATATTTCTTGAGAAATGAAATTGAATTGACAAAAAAACACAAAAGTAAACAGTAATTAACAAAATGGATTGAAAAAACACAAAAACATATTTTTTAAAAAAATAAAAATTAATTAAAATGAAATGAATTAGATTTATTTATGATTTATGTGAGGTGATTGATTGGTGGTTTTTTGATTGGGTTTTGGTGTGTTTTGACTGATGTATGGTTTCGGGTTAAACACAAATCCATGGATCATCTAAATGAAAGAATCAACAAACATTCTTTTATTTTCATACATTGGTAATATATATTTGTGTGTGAAAAGAGTCAATATAAATCATATATACACACACATTTAAATGATATTAATGTACAAATTGAGAGAGAAAAATTATTGTTTTTGTTTGTTGTTATTGTGTATTGGTGTTTGGAATCGATCTATTGTTATTGATAATCAATTGCAAATTGAATGTGGATTGATAGTTATGTAATCACGATCAATTTATAAAACAACGTATTCATCATTACTTCTATCTCTAACTATAAATATTATTATTTTAATTATTATTTTGGAGCAAAAAAAAAAAAGAAGACAAAACAAAACAGACACTCTCTGTTTGAGAAAAAAAATATGATTAGAAAACAACAGTCGTCTTTGGGACAACATATACAAATTTAAACATATATTTGTAATAATATGTTTGTTTTACTATTTAAAAATTACTATTTACATTTTTGAAAAAAGTAATTAATCATCGGTGAAGCTTGAATAAATAAATAGAATTTTTATATATTTATTTATTATTTATTTATTATTTATTTTTTTATTGATATAGTTTTTGTTTTATAAACAATATAATATGATATGATATTGATATGAGTGTGTTGTTTTTTTTTTTTTGTTGTAGTTAAGTTAACTATGCTATGTTGGACTATTATTATTATTCCTAAGTATTGTATCTTTTTTTTTTTGAGTCGTAGATTTTAACCACATACAACATGATAATAGGATACCACAAATATAAAGAAAACAACCACTCACTCAACCACGGACGCAACAACACACATTATAGGATTTAAACGTTTATTACTTTAATAGATAGAATTATATGATAATAAATAATAAAATATTGAAACAGCAATGATAGTTTTCTTATCAAGTTTGAAATATTCCACATGAATTCAATTACACTTTCAATTTCAATTAAATCTGAAAACATTAGATTCATTTGTGTAGAGTGCTTGCAAATTTGAAGGTGTATATTTGGTAGTATGACAATGTAGTGAAGTGTGAGTTCTGTATTTATATTGGAGTTCAATGATATCTTTATGTCCCCAATAATGAAATTGTTATAATAAGATAGATAGTGCAATTAGATATAGATATTATAATAATAATAATAATAAAACAAATGCTAAATAGTATACGATTTTCTTTCTTCTTTATATTGATATATACCCTTCTATAAATTTATTATTGATTATGATAATTATAATATAATATTATTCAAAAGTAAAGATCTTTGTAATAAATATTCATCTGTAGTAGATTATTATTATTGTTATTGCTATTAAAGGAGTCAATAACATTTAAACTCTAAAAATGAAAATGATAATTGTTTTGATGATGTATTGCGGTGTGTTGTTTATTAAACATCACTTCGTTGACTGATAACAGATTGATTTATTAAAATACGATAAGATGATATCTTTTTCTGTTGTTGAGTTTATTTGATCAAACTATAAACTATGATGGTTTGTTTGTTGTTTGATCACACCACACACTAATGGTGTCAAGCATACATACCTAAATAATAATAATAAAATAAATAATTGTTTAATTTGTGTAGATAAGTGAGATTAAAATATACAATGACAAAAAAAAAAAAAAACAAAGTTTTTTGTCGTTTTTTCTTTGTGGTGTTGGTGTGTCTCCACTAAAAAAAATGAAAAATGAAAAAAAAAATAAAAAAAAAATTCATTTTATTTATTTTTAATTAAAATAGTGTTCGTCGAAAATTCCTTTCACTTTGTATTTAGTTGCAATGATCAATCACTTACAGTTACACTTATTGTTGTTGTTTTTTTGAAAATATTTATAAACCACGTATTACACAATAAAATCATTCTATACTTTGTTGAAGTGCATTACCTATCATGATTTAATAAGCTAGTTTAGATAATGTTAACATTCTTTCTTGGTGATGCCAAAGCTATACATCCATTCATTTATTTTATTATTATTATGATTTTTTTTTTTTTTGAATATTAACCAATGATTATTTAATAAATCATTGTTAATATCAATATTATTTAATTTATTTTAAAATAAAAAAGTAATGTCAAAAAATAAAAATTTGTTGGGACTTTTCCTAATAATTTGTTTGGTACCCTTTGTGAGATCTGGAGAGCTGGATGGATTGGATGAAAATGTATGTTACTATTCAATTCTTCAACGATTTTAGTTAAAAAAATAAAATAAAAAATTATTAATGCTGCTATATATCAGGTTATTTTTGGGTACCTAATCTCAAGTTTTATTGCTGGAAGATCAGCACCATCAGCACCATCAACACCAGCACCTATTGCACAAAAGGTAGAGCTCATTAGAGAGCAACTATTCGAGAGAAACTCCTCTTTAAGAAATGACAGCTCAAGCTTGGATTTTCATATGGACATGAATCTCAACACTGGAATTTATCAAGAGGTACATTCATATCTTATTATTTTTCTGACAATACTGATCCCCAAAAACATTTCTAATATTCCTTTCTTTTATTGTTATTATTATTTTTTTATTTTAATAGTTTTTGGGTAAAAATCAAAAAATCAATGCTGATGATTTGAAGTACCTTAAAGACTTGATCAATTCACAAGATGTTAAAGGTTTACCAACTTACTCTTTCTTCTTGTCAAACAAAACTTCAACTAATACCACTAAAATCTTCAGATACATCGTAAGATTCCAAAAAGGAGATAATCGTGCCACTGTTTTCTGGGAGACTGGAGCACCAGATAAATTACCATCATTCTGTTCTGTTTTAGAAGGATATTATGACAAGGTAACTTTATTAATAATCTTTATTTTTAAAAGTTTATTTTTAAAATAATTAATAATTATTTTATTATTTTAGTACAAAAATTATATTGCCATTTTCCCACATGATTTCAACCCATTCCCAAAGCCAACAACTAAGTCCAAATCCGGAAGTCATAAGGATGTTCAAAAATCAAAGAATCATGATAACCAAAAGAAACACAAGAAGGGAGAGAGACATAAAATGAAAAAGGTTTAATTTGGACCTTTAGCAAGTAAAGATAATTTAACCTTATCTTTTTTTATAAAATCAGCAAAACGGAAATTGATTTTTCCAATCGGATTGTTTTATTTTAATTCTTAAGAAATAAATAAAAAGTATAGTTTTAAATTTAAAATTAATTTCTCATATCTAAAAAAAAAAAAAATCAAAAAACTCATTTGAACTGTCCAACCAATACCCAATTTTCAATTTCCTTTTTTGTTTCTGTTTCTAATTGGCTATTTTTAATTTGATTAATTATTTCTAAATTGTTGTCTCCATGAAAAATCAATTCTAATTGGCTCCTCATTTTTAAAATTTGATTCGATTTCAATTGGTATCATGAGGAAACCAAAAAAAGTTGTATTTTTTTTTTTTTGTGAAGTTTGTTTAATTTATTAAAACCATCATTAAAATTGCTTTGCTTTCATTGAAGTTTGATTAATTTCAGTGGTTTCAACAGCAACTATCTGATCGACATCAATGCAATCATCACAAACCAACAACAATCCCAATATAATAATGATATATATTATCAAAAAATTAAGCAATTGACAGTTTTTTTTTCTTTACAGTCTAACTGACTGATTAGACTATGAATATAAATAGAAATGGACAGCAGCAGAGCATCAATCATTTATTTATTTCAATTAAAATAAAATAACATCTATTTTATTTGTTATAAATACTTAAACACACCTATTTATCTACTATCTATCTATCTATAACAATACTTATATATATCTAAAATAGAATGAATATATCGAAACATATTCATATTATTGGTAGCATTGCTACTTTATTACTTTTAACATCAGTTGTTTATTCTATTTCTTCTGGTAAGTTATTTAAAAAAATAAAATATAAAAGTTAAACAATTTAAAATATTTAAAATTATTAATATTTTGCTTTTGTTGTTAACAACATAGAATCATATAGATCACATCATAGAATACACATTAAACAAACACATAATTATTGTGAGGTAATGAACAATGGTTTGATGTTCTACAAGTATAATCGTGCCGGTAGACTATCGGATAATGACGTTCCCTGGAGAGGACCATCGGTACTTAAGGATGCCAGTCCAAATTCGACACCAAATGCCAACGGCGACGGTGATTTATCTAAAGGTTACTTTGATGCCGGAGATGGTGTAAAATTCGCTCTTCCAATGGCCGCCTCTATGACAATCTTGGGTTGGGGTTACCTCGAGTACAATGAAACCATCGAAAATTGCAACGGCAAACAGATATGGTTGGAAGACTTGCAATGGGGATACGACTGGCTCATGGCTGCCCACTACGCTGAGAATCGATTCGCAGGTCAAGTCGGTGAGGGTAATGCCGACCATGCTTTCTGGGGTCCACCAGAAATGATAACAATGGATCGTCCGGTCTACATTCTCTCGGATACCGCACCGGGAACTGAGGTTGCCATGGAGGCATCGGCCGCTCTCTCCATCTGCTATATGATCTTCAAGGATATCAATGTGACCTATGCCGAGCGATGTTTGCAACACGCCCAAGATCTCTGGACATTCGGTGACACCTACCGTGGTGTCTACTCTGACTCGATCCCCGACGCCCAAGATTTCTACAAATCGTGGTCGGGCTACAAGGATGAGATCGTATGGGGAAGCATCTGGCTCTACCGGGCAACCGGTGACAAAGAGAAGCTTGCACGTGCCGTTTCCGACTACGCTGCTTTCGGCATCGGTGAAATGGCTCAAGCCAATTCTCACGATTGGGATTTGAAAGCACCGGGTGTTTCACTCTTGATGTCACAGCTGTTCCCCGACAATGAGACCTACAGAAATGACATCGAGCAATTCCTGAATTGGTGGCTTCCAAAGGGTGGCGTTCCCTATACTCCAGGTGGAATGGCATGGATCAGAATGTGGGGACCTGCAAGATACACTGCTACCACTTCATTCCTTATGTCTGTCTATGGAAGACTGACAAACACCCAGAAATACACTGATTTCACGGCGTCGCAAATCAATTATCTTCTTGGTGACAACCCCAATCGTCAGTCATTCGTTGTTGGCTATGGACCAAATCATCCGATTAACCCACATCATCGTGCCAGTCACCATTCTCTTACCAACAATATTAACAACCCAGTAAACAACACCTACCTATTACTTGGAGCTCTTGTCGGTGGACCAGGTGTTGATGACTCCTACGTTGACAATCGTCTCGATTATGTAAAGAATGAAGTGGCTTGTGATTACCAAGCCGGTTTCTTAGGTGCTGTCGCCTACCTCTCATCAACCAATTAACAATAAAAATTAATACATTTTTTATTTACTCTTTAGAATAATAATACTAAATTGTTGTGTTTCTATTTATTATTTATAAAATGAGTAGGCTGATGAATCTCCGACTCCAAATGGATTGAGTGGCACAAATATTATACCGGAATTGTAATCATAGTCTCCCGGTGCTGAAACATATGCTCTTGAGTATCCTTTCTCAATGGAGGTGACCTTAGGACTGACACAGTCACTAGTAATCTTTCCATTGACGTCTGGACATTGTTGGATAGCCAATACGTAACCAACTGACATATGAAAGAAAGAAGCAATATTAGGGGCACCAATTAAAATAATTGACATTCCAATGATCTCTCCAGGGTATTCATTTGAGTCGAATGAAATAAAAAGAGGGTCGAATGCTACTTCTGAAAACAATCTATATTCAATAAAGGTTTTGTACTGTGTATATAATCTGATCACCATTTGGTCATTTATGCTCGGCACTCCACTTGTTACTAACTTTATATAGAGTTGGATATGATTTGGCTTATAGTCAAATGGTTGATATTTAACTGCAAAAGGTGAGCTACCAATGATAGTTTCAGGTGTCAATCTATAGAATCTTGAAGTGAATGCGTCATAGAGATGAATTTGTGGACATGCATATTTAGACTTAATGGTAAGTTTATATTTGCATTCTGGGCTTTCTGATAAGTCTGAAATAGACATATCGATCGTTAGATCACACAATAGTTCTATAGAAAGCGTTCTGTTTTTGTTCGAGGACCCACATTTTTTTTTATCACTAGGATTAGCTGTGTATAGCAATGACAATCCATTAGGTATCTCTCTTACCTCAGGTGTTCCTGACCCAAGAGAATTGTTCTTAGTGCTTTCTATCATACATGCTTGGTTGTTGGTATATCCAAGCAAATTATCACACAATGAAACATTTCCACATAAGTTGAAATAAATATCATACTATGAAATATAATTATTGTATTAATTTAGGATATCTTTTAATTCAAACAAAGTATAACTTACTTTTTCATCTTGGTTTAGAGGAAAGTTTGTTTTATAGTATTCATTTTGGTATTTAATAAACTCTCCAAAATCATAGTAATTTCCATTGGATCCAAGATATCTGCACGTGGACACGGAAGAGAAAGCATTTTTATTTTCAAAACTACCTTTAGATACTGTGGAAGATATATACGAGATTGTGTTATCAACTTCTGATAATATCTTCAATCCACTCATTGTCAATGTAGATTCTACTCCACCAACCGCAAACTTAGTATCGGAAAAAGTGAGGGCATCAGTTGGGCGTCCAAGTAAAAAGACTCGTTGGTTTTTTGAAATAGAATCTATATTTTATCATAATTAAAATTAATATTAAAAGTCCTTGAGTTCTTTAAAATTAAAATATTACCTGTGATTCCTGAATAAAGAGTATTTTGGATGGATTTGAATTTGCCAACATATAATTTTCTTTGAGCATCTCTCCAAAGTTGTTTGACATTCGATCCACTTTTGATCTGCCATGCGTCAGGAATGATATCAACAACATATTTAACTTTGTAATCGATTGGCATTGGAAGAAGATCGAGATTATCAGCCCATGATTTGATTGGATTGTTGACATTAGCACCATAAGATCCAGCAGCTCCTCCTTTAACAATGATTCGAGAGAAACTTGATGATTGTTCAAATCCATTTTGTTTGGACTCACTTGATGAATAATCAAAATATCCTTCAAATGAACCCCCACCTTTCATTCCAAATCCAGATGCTTGTGCTGCAAAAGACAATGCAAGATTGATATCAAGTGAATTTGATGATCTTGATGCAAAGTTGACTTGACTGACTTTTGAAACTTGTTCAAGAGTTCCACCAAGAGTTGCGGTTTCTTTGTAAAAGATTCCATATTTCTTAACAACAACCATCATATCATCAACACTTTTGACTTTTGAAATGTCTTGGATGAATTTCGGATGGAATTTCGGATCATTATTGTGTGCTTTATAGATTTCACATTGGAATTTGGTTGATGCAATCGATCCAGAAACTGTTGAATCATAACCTCCTGCAAATTGCATACCAAAATCCAATGAAAATGCCAATTGGAGTGATGCTTCAACCAACCAATAATCCATTTCTAAATGGGCTTCGGTATGAATTCCGGCATTTATACCCTTCTTATAAGAAAATGATTTTGCAGTTGATGAGAAACTACTCATTGTTGAATAATCACATTTGATTGATTTCTGAGCAGAGAATCCATGTGGAATTGTATAAACCATATCACGATATTGATCTTCCAATGTTGAAAATGATTGATTGCTGCAATATGAAATCGAGAATAAAGGTGCTGCATTATCTTCCATTGTTTCGAGATCAACTCCATGGCCCATATAATTCAATCCTGGCAATGTGAAAAGGTAATAATTGTCTAAAATTTGAGTTTGAATGTTTGACATTCCTCCTTTGAATTTATTTGGCATACCAATTGGTGGTGCTTGTCCTGTAGATATTAAATAAAGAAATAAGTATTTTTGCGATTTCAATTTCTAAGTAAACTAATTTATAATCACCTGAACAATCATTGACGATTTGATCAAAACAATCCAATAAACAACTTTCAGGAGCTTCATTACAAATCTTATCACCACATATTGGTGCTGGTTTTGACTCTTCTAAAATCAAATATGAATTCAATGATTGATATTCACCAGAATCAGAACTCTTCCATTTCAAACTTAAAGATCTTTGACCACTCGATGCTGAGAATATCAAAATTGTGACTGAATGATATTCTTGTTTCGATGATAACAGTTTGGTTCTGAATGATTTGATCTTTTCATTTGAAAAGTATGAATCAAAAAGAACTGTATTATCAACATAAACAACAACTCCAAGATTGGTTGCTTCCAATTTGAAATCATAATCAATTGTTTTGTTGATTTGAATATCTGATTCTAAAATACCTGAAACTGGACATTTTGCTGATCTAATCCAATTGCTGAATTCTATTTGAAAAAAAAATATTAAAATAATCGAATTAATAAATGAAAATATTATTAATAGCTAAATACATACCAGGATTAATTAAATAATTTGTTGGTATCACTCCACATTCACTTGGTATTATTATATCACCCTGGAATTGAGTTGGTTCTGGAATGATACATGATTGGAATGATCTAAACTTCCATCCAGGTTGAATTGAAAGGAAATCAGATTCACTACTTGAGTCACTCGATGAACCGGTTAAATCCTTCTGAATTGCTGAATTTGGTTCTAGGGTGCATTGTTGATTGTTTGATAATGAACAATATGAAGCACCATTGTCAGAATCAATTGATGATGAATCATCACAATTCACAGCAACCTTTGAGAGATCAGTTGAAAACAACATCATTGAAGTTCCAATCAATTGTATTTCATTTCCAGTGTTGCATTTTATCTCTGTTGAAAGAATATTTGATGAAGAATCTGATATATAGATTGCGGCACCTTTATCTAATGCTTGATTCTTGCTGATAAATGAATTTTCCAAATTGAAATTTGTTTTATCTAGATATATAGCACCACCTTGATATCCTTTGTTGTTAATGAATTTTGATTCTTTAACATTAACATTGGAGTCAGTTGCTGAAATTGCACCTCCTGTTTGAGAATTGCAATTGGTGATTGTAAATCCACTCAAAATGAAGCTATTTGAGAATTGAATAGTAAAGGCGCTACCAGCATTCTCACAATCAATTATTGTAGCTGAATATCCTCCTTCAGATCTTAAAATTAAAATTATTAATATATTTGTAAAGAAATATTACCAAATGATACTTAAACTTACCTTATTTCAACATTAAAATTGATTAACAACTCTTTATTGTTTGGTCCTCTATAAGTTCCTGGCATTGCAATAATAACAAGTGATGATTGATCTTTGTTAAAGTCAAGTGCTGTTTGAATATCAGGATATGGATTTTTGTAACTACCACATCCATTGTTTCCTGCGCAGTTTGAATTTGGATCAACATAAACTTCTGAGCCTATAAAAAAGTTTTGGTTTAGTGTTGTAATAAAAAATTAATTGTTAAAATAATTTTGAATACCTTTTGACAAAGTTATAAAAAATAAAAATATAAAAATAAGATAGTTCATATTTTTTGAGATATTAATATAAATATTAATCCTTCTTTCACAAAAATTATATATTTATAAAAAAAATTGTGTTTATTATTTTTCGTTTTTTTAAATCTTTTACATTTCTTTCGTTCTTGAATTGTACTTTTTTTTTTTTAACCCATTCTTTTACCAAAAATAGAGAAAAATATAAACAATCCTTTTTTTTTTAAATGATAGAATCATGTTGGAGTTAGAATGATGCCATTGGATACTTATGTCGAAAAGATAGATTCTCTAATTAACTTCTAAGATCTTTTGTATGATCTCCTGCCTATGTAATTACAACTAAGGAGGTCAAAAGGCTAGACACTATGAAATAACATTCTTTTGAATTAAAAGAAGTAGCAAAAAACCATGGGGTCTAATATGTTATTAGGTAATTTTTTGACGAATGAGGGATATGTTTTCCTAATTTTAGAACAAACAAAAAAATCGCACCAAAACAAAACTGGCTTTTGCTTGTAACAATAAATCGAATAAAATAAAAAAAAAAACCACCTTGATCACATTAACCCCACTAATTTTTAATTTTTACATTTTTTTTAAAATTAATGCGCAGGCGAAAGTTGTTTTGTTTTGATGTCAAAATAAAAAAGAAACTAACCACTTTTAAAATGAAAAAACCCAAAAAAAAAACAAGGGATATGTAACCCTTAACTAGTTTTTTGCAAATGAATAAAAAAACACTCCAATTTTAAACTCTTAACCAAATTTGACGAAAAACAATTGTCTGAATTATCATCGTTTTACCCCACTTTTTGATGTTATGATGGAAAAAAAAGATCACATGTAAAATTACAAATTAGAGAGGGTTTTAAAATTGGAGTGTTTTTTTTTATTCGTTTTGCAAAAGCAAAACAAAAAAAAAAACATAAACTTTGATTTTAAACGAACAATTTTTTGTTTTTATACTATTTAGATCAATAAAAATGAAAGTAATACATATAATATTAGTACTAATATCTCTAAATTTGGTATATGCAGGTAGGTACGATGATTGTGATATTGAATTTTTTTATTAATTAAATAAATTAAATCTATAGATATTTTTGTTAAACTTGATGCGACATGTGGATCTACATGTGATGGAACATCAGAGAAACCATTCACAAATATCAAAAATGCTTTGAATTCGATTTCTTCAACACAAAAAAAGATTTCAACAATCAGTATATATGCCGGTACATATACTGGAGTACAAAATATTGGTGTTGAAATTAAAAAAGGAGTAAAAATTAAATCGTAAGTTAATAATAATATTTTTGAATACTTTAAAAAGTCAATGTTAAATTATATACAATCTTAAATTTAAGAATACCAGGACAAGAAGTTACTATTGATTGTCAAAAGGTTGGATTTGCTTTCTCGGTAATAGATGTACAAGAATTTTCTTTGAGTGGTGTCACAATAAAAGATTGTTCTGCTTCAAAAGGAGGTGCTATGAGAATAATAAATTCCAAAACAACAATAACCAATACTAATTTCAAAGGAAATATTGCTTCTGTTGGTGGTGCAATCTACTCAAAGTCAAGTAAAAATGTGATTTATGAATCAAAATTTACTGAGAATGTTGCTTTGGAAACTGGATCCGCAATCCACTCAATTTCATCTGATATTAGAATTCTATCAACAACACAATTCACGGATGTTAATGGTGCCAAAACAATTTTTATTTCGTGCAAAAACTCGAGCATCAAACTTGATGATGCAGTTACCATCGATAGCTATATCGCATGTGATGAAGGATGTATCACCAAACATAAATCAAAATCATATTGTAATACTGCTATTGATACATGTTCATTTACTGGCGTAATTCCAAGTATTGTTGACGATACAACAAGTAAGTTTATTACTTTTAAATTATTAAAATTGGTATCATGAATTAATTTAAATAATCGATCTATAGTTTACACCACAGGAATGTTATATGAAGCATATTTTAATGATCTAAAACCAAGTAGTCTTTGTAAGTATTTTAAATTTTAATTGATAAAAAATATTTTTAATTAAATTATTATTTTAAAAAACTTTTTAAAGTATTCAAAAAGATTATTCCAGACAATACAATTGAAGACTTCTTGATTGGCCATGATGGAAAGGTTTATGGTGTTTTAACAGGATATTTACACATGGATAATTCAATGAAAGTTAAATTCAGATTTGAAGGAAAGAATCTTGGATTCACTTTGAAGATCAATGGTGTCAAATATTTGGATGTTACTCAAACTAATAATTTTGATTTCCCTTTTGAAATCTATTTAGTTTCTGGAGTTTCCCATCAAATTCAAATTGTAATGTATCTTTAAATATTTGAATTAGAAATTGTAAGATCTAATAATTTTAATTTTTGTTATTTTTTTTAGATTTTGAATTCAGATACAACTGGAATTGGTCGTTCATTCAAATTGTATCAAATCTCACATGATTACAGAATATTCTACACTGAACAAAGTATGTATCTTATAAAAATCATTATTATTTATTATTTTGAAAGAAATTTATTCTAATTTCTATTTTAGTTTGTGGTGATGGTGTTCAAGATGATTTGGATTATTGTATTGAAGATTCATGTAAGTATTTTTTCAAGAATTTATTGAAATAGTATTAATATATTTTAATTTTAAATTTTAGATGATATTTTTAATCCGTCAAATCCGTCATCCGATAGAGTTTGTGGTGAAGAAAATATTCACATGAACTTCCAAGATTGTTTCAATGAAATATCACAAAATTGTGAGATTCCAAAGAAGAAAGATCATATCAGTCCTCTTGGAAATGTTGGTGGAATGATTGGTGATCTTGTTGAGAATCAATATCTTTGGAATGTTCCAGGATCTGAACATTTCACTTATGGAATGAATATTCTCAGTGGTCAACAATCGAAAGCACCAGTATTCCAATTTGATTATTGTGTTGAAGTTGCCAACAATATTCTTGAAGATCCATACAGAATGATGGCATATGAAATCCCACCATCATTGAATATCAAATCTCTTCCAATTTGCACATATACTACACATACCAAAATGTATAATTCATATTCTGAATTTCAAAAAGAATATCAAATTGATGGTGGTAAGTTTTCTAGTTTTAAAATTTTATTTTAATTAATACATTTACCAAAAATTAACGATTTAAAAAAATAGGTTTAGAAGCTTCAGGAGATTTCAAAGAAGAATTGATCGATTTCAAAGGTGGATTCTCACTTGATGGATCAATTGGAGCAGCAAGAGATCAATCACAATCATCAACAAAAAATGTTTTTGTGACTCAAGTTAATTGTACAACAACATACATTGAGATGGATGATCAAAGAATCAGATTCCATCCAATGTTCTTGAAAGATCTTGCAACAATCAAACAAAAATCAGATCTTTTGAAAATATTTGATAAATATGGAACATATTATTATTCAAGTGCATATATGGGTGGAAAGTTGGTTCAAATTTCAACAACTTCTGAAAGTATTGACACTGATGAAAAGAAAAGTAAATGGAGTATTGCTGCTGAATTAAAATTAGGTGCTGATGTTGAGTAAGTAGATTTTTTCTTTATTCAAATATGATATTAATATATTTTGAAGAATCCCAGGTTTTGAAGGAGGAGGTAGTAATAGATTCAACTTGGGATTGTCATCAGATGAAGAAACCTATAGTGAAATTCAAAGAAAATCAACATATTCAAGTATCATCACATATGGCGGACCACCTGCAGCATTCGCACCATCTGATAGTTTTGTACCCCCATCTTTTCATGGATGGTCATCCTCAATTGATCTATTACCAGTTCCAATTGGATTCAAAGTCAAACCAATCAGAGATTTACTCAAAGATACATGGGCTATCAAACTTGGATCAACAGAATACAAAGTTGCTCAGCTTTGGAAAGAAATGGAGAAAGTCTATTATCAAATCAATCGTGTAAATCCAAGTAAGTAATATTAAATATTTCTCTATATTGTTATTAATTCAATTATTTCTTTTAGTTCCACTCCCTGGTGATTACAAATATTCTTTAATTTTTGATTTCCAAAGTACTGATGACCTTCCTCCTACACCTCTTCCAAAATACATCTTGTCAATTGATTGGTATAGTTTTGGTGAAAAGAAATCTTTTTCAACAAGAATCAGATTTGTACACTATGAACCATCCGGAGCTCAATCTGAATATTTATTCCCAACCAAAGGAAGCTCAAATCCCTTATGTATTGATAATCCCCAGGTATCATTTTCTGATGGAACTATATCAAGTAAAACATGTGACTCAACAATTGATGGTGCTACAACAACATTCAGATTTGATTTCTATGGTCCCAATTTTATGGCAAGCACTAAACCCCCAGAAATCTACATTGATGGACTTGATAATATTGGTAAATTTTTAAAAATGATTATAGTTGATATTTTTTAGTTATATTAACTAAGTGTTTTAATTCATATAGGTACTTCAACACTTATTTCATGGTATACTGGTGAAGCTATTAAGTTGTCTCGAACAACAGGTGAAGCAAATGTTTTGCAAGGATTTTCAGCTTATGCAACAAGATCATTGATTCAATTTGAAGCTGCCCGTACATCATTAATTTCAGCTTCATCCAACATTGGTGATATTGGATTTTATATTGGAGCAAGTGGAAGCTCAAGAGATGGTCCAATACTTGATTACAGATATACAATTGACAAAGGAATGAAAAAGGACTTCAATTTCTATAATAGATTCACCAAAGATTTTGTATTGGATACTCAGAAGTATGAACCGGTTACTAAATTCTACACCTATCCTTATAACATAATAGGAACAACTCAATTCAGAGTAGATTACCTTTTGTATATTGCCAACAACCAAGACAAAACTAATTGGAAATCAAAAGTATACTATTACCATATTATAGAGAATCCAGAACAACAAGAATATTTGCTCGGACATGTTAATACCTTCTACAATTTAAAGCCGCTCACCAAAGATATTCCATCAAAATGGTTTTCATTCACAAACTACAACCATAAATCAATCGGTGGAATTGGAGCAGTAACAGATCCATTCAACTTTAATGCACCGGATCGTGCTGTGGATTTCTGGGAATACTCTTAATAACTAAATATTTTTCTTTAAAGTATTTTCTAAATAAATAATTCCCACTGGCGACTTATCCACACTATTTTTAATTACAAATCGTTTTATATGGGGTTCGCAGAAAAAATACAAATCAATTTTTATATACTACAAATCATATCCTTCATAACGTTATGAAAGCACATTTTTTTTTTGAAAACCGATTTTTTTTTTCTCATTTATCATTCATATTTAATTCAATATTGAATATTTATATATAAATGATTTGTAAAACGAGATTTAATAAATGTAATGGTGTTGTGTGCTTCAATTTAAAGGTAAATATATAATTAATTGTTATGCATACTCACATAGGTGCTTTTTTATTTCCAAATATTAACAATCACCCAATAGATCAAAGATTTAAACAATGAAAATAAGTAGCGTCTAAATAGCTTAATTGTTAACTCAATTAGATTATTTTAACAAACTTTTTTAATATAGGTTGGACAGTGATGGTAAAACGAATGTGCAAAGCATGGAAGACATCGAGTTTGGTGGTGGGTGGCCTGAGTCCGATACAGACTCTATAGATCTTCAAAGGATAAGATTCAAAAACATATTTTCGGAATTACCTATACCAACACAATCACAAACAATGAATCTCCACCACTGCGATATCGGCTATGCTTGGGAATCTGAAACAACCAACGGTCCTAATTCAGGTGCTACTACCAATACCAGTTCAGGTGCTACTACTAATACCTGTCCAGGTGCTATCAGCGGTCCTAATTCAGGTACTACCAATACCAGTTCGGGTGCCACCAACAAATCCAGTTCAGGTTCTAAACCCAGGACCACAATATATGGATTGATAATAGATGAGATTGATATTACAGGGGATTATCATTCGACAGGGTTGGTAAACAAGCTACAGGATGTGAGCACCCAATCAACCATTTAAATATAGATGAATATATAGCATTGCACAAATTTCGTCAACTTTCAGATCACCTATTCACTAAAGTGGTTCAAATTATGTTTGTTACGCTGGAAGGTAATAAGTTTATTTCCATCTACCACCCAACAGTAAAGATGGATAAGGAACAGGTTTTCAGAGTAGTCAAAGACATCAAGGAGATTTTGCAATCAATGTCAATCGAAATAGTCTTCACAAGCACAGATGGATTCGATACAACTGGCGCATTTGCACGGGTAATGAGGTCATTGGGAATTTATCATGTCTATGATCCTGTCCATCTTAGCAAGTCAGCTAGAAATCATTTAATTTCCGATACTCCATTGCGATCGACTCTATTCACCAGAGATGCTATCGATAAAGCCAGTGAAGAAGAATATAACGATTCCGTAAGAGGATGCATGAACTTTTAGGCAAGCACATTTTGATTGACAGTTATATTGGCAAATATATTATTGAAAAAAATGGTTTTGTTTAGATTGAAGAATCCCGAGGGTTGCAATACAGACCGAATTCCACTCCACTCGATACATAAAACAAAGACAGACTCTATTCAAGTTCAGCTTCATATGGCTCGTCTCGTTTCAGGGAGACTAGTAGCGAGATGAAAAAACTGGTATCCAATGTAGATTTGGCACCTAGGGACAAAATGAAAATGGTCCACATCAAGAAGCTATCAGATAAAAGGGTTTCAATCCGATAGTCCCACACTATGGCTAATTGCTCAGAATCGCCAAAACCTACGAATATTTTTGGACCTATGTAAAGATCCTGGCCTAATACATTGGAGTCGAAATGAAGTTATATTAACAGAAGTCAATCTATTTCACTAAACTGAATCCAGATTAAATGCCACCAATAATTCATCGTTTTGTTCTTGGGATTGTAAATGAAGTCAACTTCGCGAATATTAAGAAAAAAATGAAAAGTGCACTTTGGCAAAATTGGTTTTTTGAACATTTCAACTGAAAATAAACTTGTATTGGCAAGTGGATGACTCGTTAAGTACACTTATGGTAATAGTGTCGACTGTAGTGTCACAAAGAACATTGATTGTGGTTGTTATATCTATACCTTCGCAATTAGGTGCATTTTTAGTTCCTTCATACTTCAAAGCCAAACCACCAGTAATCTCCTTAACAGTAGGTGCAGTATATTTACCAAGACAATAAGCAGCACTTAAATCTGTTTTTCTATTACAAATTTGATTGTTGGTGGTTGATAGAATTGTATCACATACTGGAGCTGGTCCACAAGTTGAAAAAAATATCAAACTTGTGAGAAATAAAAAAATTAATTTTTTAATTTAAACTTTCAACATGAAAAAAATCTAACATTTGAAGTAGTATAGGTAAAAGTAGTCGTATAGTATTCTCTTTGTAATTTGATAAGCTCGAAATAGTCGTAGAAATTTCCTTTGCTATCCAAATATCTACAATTGCCCATTGAACTGAATGCATCAGTATTGACATAGGTTCCTTTTGTCACTGAAGACGTCATTTTACTGATACCACCTGGAGCTGTTGTCAGAATTTTCAAACCACTAAGTGTTATAGGGTAAACAGTTCCATTCGAAGTTAGTTGTACCTTTGAAAAAGTGAGTGAACCTGTAGGACGTCCAAGCAAAAATATCTTTTCATTTTTTTTGATATTATCTATAAATAAAATTAATATATATATATACCATCATCTATATATTATAACTTTTATACATACTTGTATTCCCGAATATAAAGAATTAGTAATGGTTTTGAATTTATCAACATATAGTTTTCTTTGAGCATCTCTCCAAATTAGTACGAACTGTTTATTAGCCAAGCATCAGGAATGATATCAACAACTATTTAACTTTGTAATCGATTGGAAATGGAAGAAGATCAAGATTCTCTGCCCATGATTGAATTGGATTGTCGACATTTGAACCATATGATCCTGGTGATCTCCTTTAACAATGATTCTAGAGAAACTTGATGATTGTTCAAATCCATTTTGTTTAGACTCACTTGATGTTCGTATGAGGGATGATGAAGATATTATTGAAAAATTTTCATTAATTGTATGTGTGGGTCGATATGTTTGAAAGTTTTTTTTTTTCATCTATCTTTTTAATAATAAATAGTTTTTTTATTACGATTGTTAATCATTTCAATCTCAAGATATTTTATGTCAATGAATTGGTATGATAATGGTGTATTGAAAAACTTTTACACTACTTTCCATTATGTCTAATATGATACATATGGTTCAGAAACTGAATTACTTTTCCCTGATTTAGAAGGAAACTTTATTCCTGAGAATGAACCCAATTCGACTACCACTTCAGGAAATGTAATATCCAGTAAAACATGTGATTCAACAATTCTGGGTGATCCAACTAAATTCAGAGTTGATTTCTATGGACCGAATTTCATGAACAGTTCACAAGTTCCAAATATCTACATTAAAGGTTTGATTTCATTGGTATATATATATATATATATTACTTCAAAAATAACCTCGATATATATATTAATACTATTTATCTACCTTTTAATCTTAGGAAAATCAACTCTTATTTCATGGTATATGTTTGTTATCCGGTTAACCCGAGGTGATGGCAGAGGACCGGTAATTTAGAAGCGGCCAGAGTTGATTGAAACAGATCGGATGGAAGTGGATCCGGGCGAGTGTTGGTAGGAGTTACGTCCGGGAATAGAGTGGAAGTTGATTGAATTGGATCGTTATTGTTGTTACTTTCAAGGTCGCTCATGCTGAGGTCACTTATACTAGTTGTTGAATCTATAGATGCTGTTGAACTACTAGTTGTTGTGGTTGTTGTTGTATCTGATGATTGATTAGATCTACCATTTTCTTATTTAATTAATAATCAATAATAATCTGAAATAATAATCTTAATAAATGTTTTTTTATATAATTTAAATTTAACTCTAATTTAATCTTTTATTTATTAATTAATTTTTGATATCTTATATAACTTTTTAATCTAATAATCTTAATTAATATTTGAATGAATTGAATAAATTGAATGAATCTTTAACGTCGAATATATTCATTATTGAGAAGCTTGACGGCTGAGTGTTGAATACTTAATTTAGAAACAACAGATTCTAATTTAATTGTTTTTTCGATCTGTTGTTTTGAACTATTACTTATTTAGTTGATTTAATTTATTTAATTAATTGTAATTCACTATTACTATATGTTGGCTGATGTATATTGTTTAGAAAAAATGCCAGGCAATAGTACAAGATCATTGATCCAATTTGAAACAGCTCTTTCATCATTGACTAAAACAAAAGTCATCAGTGGAGAGTTTGGTATTTACGTTAGATCAAGTGATAGTGCAAGTGATACAGTAATGCTTTACACATACACACCAAGTAAGGGTATGGGTAAAGACTTTAATTTCTACAACAGATACACAACCGATATTACCTTGAATACTCAGACGAACATGCCAGTTAGCTCATTTTATGCTTACCTCGGAAAAAGAGTCTTACACTATTCAGAATGGACTATCATTTATATATTGTGAACATCAAACAACGGCTTCTTGGAAATCAAAAGTATACTACTACCATATTCTTGAGGATCTAGACAATCAAAACTAGATGCCTCTTATTTCCACCAACTATTCCTACCCTTTGAAGCCGCTCACCAAAGATGTTCCTCCAAAATGGTTCTCCTTCTCGAACTACAATCATCCAAAATTCGGGGGAAGTGGAACTGTAACTAATGATTTTAACTTTAACTCTCCAAATCCACCCGTTGAATTCTGGGAATTCTCTTAAGAGAAAGAATAAAATAAAGATAAGATATCAATTAAAAAAAAAATATAAAAAATCAAAACAAAAAAAAGAATAGATATTTCAAACTATGTTGTTGTAACAAAAAAAAAACCACAATTTATTATTTTGTTTTGATTCACAACTGATTGGATTGATTCTTTGTAAGGTACAATTGTATAATCAAAATGTTCAGCTTTGGAACGCAGACACCTGCACCAGAATTGAGCTTTGGTATGCTTAGTAACGGAGCTTTGGTGTGACATGCACAGTAACGGGCTACGGAGAAACAATCATAGTGAAGAAGAAAATTTCTTAATACGTTTTTCTTAGCGATTAATTCTGTATTTAATGATTCTATTGTTTTTGCTATGTTATTGTATGGTTTACTATTTAATCTGAGAACTGTAAATATATTCAATATATGTTCGAAAACAGACTAATGTTATTATAACGTATTTAACTTTGTCAAAAATTACAATTCTAGCTTCTACATGTTGTGGTTACAAATTAATATAAATCTAGATAATATATAAAATCAAAATAAAAAAATAAGCGCTTACCTTTTGAATAACTCTAATAGCTTTCGAAGAAGAGAAGACTTGCACTTTGTACCTTGTTCAAAATCTTAATAATCAAAAGAGAAATATGACTTTTGAAGATACTCATTATCCCCAATTGTGCTCTGATGTAGATATCACATCAAAAAAAAATTATATTTGGTGTTGGAGCCATTTTCACAAACAAATATACTATAATTTGTTATACCCGATATGAAATAAGTGTATGTTTATAGCTATTTATATTATATTTATGTATTATATTTAGTTTCTTTTGATTATTTAATGAATTATAGAGAATAAAATGGCATAATATAGGTGATATTCCAAGAGTTCACAGTAGACAATCACATCAGTTTGCAAGCTATCATTCCCTATATCAAATCTTTGATTGCATGGATACAGAATCGAAGAAAGGAGAAGGTATGCCACCTCTGCAGTTCGATAGTTTGAGTACTCAGTTTAGAGATCGTGATGTTAAATTTAGTAGTTAGAAGAGTTGGACTAATGGGCGCCGGTGGTAGAAGTAACAATAGTAATAATAACAACAAGAGTCTAAAACAACAGTTGGCTGCTGGTAATCGTATGAACAAAGACCAGTTTAAGAGGAAAGTGTTTGAAGAGGATGATCGTGACTTGGTCATGTTGAACGAGATAGAATATATCTTACACCGTCAATATCTAGCAACACAGCCCAACAACAACCAAATCTGAACGCATCTCTCATCATTCCTCTTCAAACCCAAAAACAATGACAATGATATCGAATCAGATACAAGAGACATTAATCAAATGTCATTTAAGTTTAAAACAATAATAAAAATAACAATATTAATAATAATTTGAATAAATGCAGAATATTTTAACACACACTCCTTTATTTATAAAATGAATATGCAGCTGAATCAGCGATTCCAAATGGATTTAGAGGGATATAGATAGGTTTGTGGATGTTAAGAAGATTGTTAAAGGTTCCTGGTGCTGAAACATAGGCTCTAGAATATCCATTCTCAATGGAGGTGACTTTAGGGCTTACACAGTCACTTGTAATCTTTCCATTGACATCTGGACATTGTTGAATTGCAAATGCCCAATCTACATACATTGTAAATTTAGAATTATAAAAATAATTGTTGATGAGTGGTATAATAGACATTCCAATTATTTCACCTGGGTATTCTGTTGAATCGAATGACACAAATCCATAATTCGCGAGATCAGAGTACAATCTATATTCAACAAATGTTTTATATGTGGTGAACAATTTGATTTGAATTTGATCTGAATCAAAGATATTACCTCCACTCGGAGGTGAATATTTGAAATATAGTTGGATGTGGTTGGGTTTATAGTCGATTGGTGAATATGTGATTGTCAAAGGTGAAGTTCCGGATATAGTTTCAGGTCTCATTCTATAGAATCTGGAGGTGAGAGCATCATACAGATGTATTTGTGGACATGCATATTTCGATTTCATTGTGAGACTATATTGGCAAGTGGATGACTCGTTAAGTACACTTATGGTAATAGTGTCGACTGTAGTGTCACAAAGAACATTGATTGTGGTTGTTATATCTATACCAACTGGGCAATTAGGTGCATTTTTAGTTCCTTCATACTTCAAAGCCAAACCACCCGTAATCTCCTTAACAGTAGGTGCAGTGTATTTACCAAGACAATAAGCAACACTTAAATCTGGTTTTCTACTACAAATTTGATTACCGGAGGATGATAGAATTGTATCACATACTGGAGCTGGTCCACACAAGTTGAAAAAAACATCAAACTTGTGAGAAATAAAAAAATTAATTTTTTAATTTAAACTTTCAACATGAAAAAAATCTTACAATTGAAGAAGTATAGTTAAAAGTAGTCCTATAGTATTCTCTTTGGAATTTGATAAGCTCAGAATAGTCGTAGAAGTTTCCTTTGCTATCCACAAATGCACAATTGCCCATTGATTTGAAATCACCAGTATTGACATAGGTTCCCACTTTTACTGAGGATGTCATTTTACTAATACTACCTGGAACTGAAGACAAAAATCTCCAATCGTTACTAGATATTGTAGGGTAAACAGTTCCATTCGAAGTTAGTTGTATATCATTAAATCCTGTCAGTGAATCAGATAGACGTCCAAGCAAAAATACTTTAGTGTTTTTTCTAATTATATCTAAAAAATAAATTGGAATAAATATACAATCTTATTTAAAATATTATCTAAAATATACTTACTTGTTATTACAGAATATAGAGAATTCGGAATGGATGTGAATTTACCAACATATAATTTTCTTTGAGCATCTCTCCAAAGTTGTTTAACATTCATTGTACCATTGATTTTCCAAGTATCAGGAATGATATCAACAACATATTTAACTTTGTAATCGATTGGCATTGGAAGAAGATCAAGATTCTCTGCCCATGATTGAATTGGATTGTCGACATTTGAACCATAAGATCCTGGTGATCCTCCTTTAACAATGAGTTTAGAGAAACTTGATGATTGTTCAAATCCATTTTGTTTAGACTCACTTGATGAGGATGAGATAGATGTTGCTAGCTTTCCACCACCTTTCATTCCAAATCCAGATGCTTGTGCTGCAAAAGACAATTCAAGATTGATATCAAGTGAATTTGATGATCTTGATGCAAAGTTGACTTGACTGACTTTTGAAATTTGTTCAAGAGTTCCACCAAGAGTTGCGGTTTCTTTGTAAAAGATTCCATATTTTTTAACAACAACCATCATATCATCAACATTTTTGACTTTTGAAATATCTTGAATGAATTTCGGATGGAATTTCGGATCATTATTGTGTGCTTTATAGATTTCACATTTGAATTTGGTTGATGCAATCGATCCAGAAACTGTTGAATCATAACCTCCTGCAAATTGTACTCCAACATCCAATGAAAATGCCAATTGGAGTGATGCTTCCACAAACCAATAATCCAATTCCATATTTGCTTCGGTATGAATTCCAAATTCAATTGCTTTCTCATATGAAAATGATTTTGCAGTTGATGAGAAACTACTCATTGTTGAATAATCACATTTGATTGATTTCTGAGCAGAGAATCCATGTGGAATTGTATAAACCATATCACGATATTGATCTTCCAATGTTGAAAATGATTGATTGCTGCAATATGAAATCGAGAATAAAGGTGCTGCATTATCTTCCATTGTTTCGAGATCAACTCCATGACCCATATAATTCAATCCTGGTAAAGAAAAGAGGTAATAATTGTCTAAAATTTGAGTTTGAATGTTTGACATTCCTCCTTTGAATCTACTTCCAAGTCCAATTGGTGGTGCTTGTCCTGTATTAATAAATATATTAAAATTGAATTAATTTTGTTAGTTTTTGATCGAACAAATATTGTAAATTAATTTATAATTACCTGAACAATCATTGACGATTTGATCAAAACAATCCAATAAACAACTTTCAGGAGCTTCATTACAAATCTTATCACCACATATTGGTGCTGGTTTTGATTCTTCTAAAATCAAATATGAATTCAAAGATTGATATTCACCAGAATCAGAACTCTTCCATTTCAAACTTAAAGATCTTTGACCACTCGATGCTGAGAATATCAAAATTGTGACTGAATGATATTCTTGTTTCGATGATAACAGTTTGGTTCTGAATGATTTGATCTTTTCATTTGAAAAGTATGAATCAAAAAGAACTGTATTATCAACATAAACAACAACTCCAAGATTGGTTGCTTCCAATTTGAAATCATAATCAATTGTCTTGTTGATTTTGATATCTGATTCTAAAATACCTGAAACTGGACAATTTGCTGATCCAATCCAATTGCTGAATTCTATTTAAGAAAAAATCGATTTAATATAATATTATAACAATAAATAAAATAGATAAATTTTATACATACCAGGAGTAATCAAATAATTTGTTGGAACTTTTACACATCCATTGGGAATCGTGATTTCACCTTTGAATTGAGTTGGCTCTGGAATGATACATGATTGGAATGATCTAAACTTCCATCCAGGTTGAATTGAAAGGAATTCTGGTGGATTATCCGATTCAATCGATACACTTGATTCCTCAGATTTAGTAGCTAATGTTTGTGAAGTACATTGTTGATTGTTTGATAATGAACAATATGAATCACCATTGCCAGAATCAATTGATGAATTAACACAATTCACAGCAACCTTTGAGAGATTAGTTGAAAACAACATCATTGAAGTTTCAATCAATTGTATTTCATTTCCAGTGTTGCATTTTATCTCGGTAGAAACAATATTTGATGAAGAATCTGATATATAGATTGCCGAACCGTTTTCTAATGCTTCGTTATTGTTGATAAATGAATTTTCCAGATTGACATTCGATTTATCGAAATATAAAGCACCACCTTGATATCCTTTGTTGTTAACAAACTTGGAACTTTTGATTATAATGTTGGAATCTGTTGCTGAAATTGCACCTCCTGTTTGAGAATTGCAATTGGTGACTGTAAATCCATTCATCATAAAAGAGGAAATAGAAAAAACAGTAAAGGCACTACCAGTACTCTCACAATCAATGATTGTTGTTAAGTATCCTCCAACAGATCTATTACAATGTTGAAAAGAATTAGAAAAATGTTGATTGAATAAAAAATAGTAGAAAATAATAATATAAACTAACCTTAATTCTAGATTGAAATTAATTTTTAGATCTTTGTTGTTAATTCCTCGATAGGTTCCAGGCATGGCGATGATAACAAAGTTAGATTTGTCAATATTTGAATTCAATGCAGATCGAAGATCTGGAAATGGTTTTCCATAAGAACCACATTCAACATCTCCACCACAATTTGAATTGGGGTCAACATACACTTCTACAGGGGTACTTTGAGCATAATATATTAATAAAATTAAAAAAAGATAAAAATTTTCATTATCTCTACAAACAACTAAATCTTATAAAGAAAAAAATGATTTGAAGAAATGAAAAAATATAATAGCTACCTATTTTATATAAATGATTAAAAATCGAAATAGTTTTTTTAAAAAGAATCTTAAGTTAAACGAAAAATATTATTTTTCTTATCGCAGTCGTATCGTCTACCTCTTTTTGGATCCTTGCACCTTTGATGATGTTTTTTATTTAGATCATTTGCTATAAGTGAATCAGGTGGTCTTGATTAACTTTTTTTTTTTTGTTCAACATAAACTCGCCTTTTTTAGAATGATCAATGTGTGGTTACACAAAAGATAAGATTGAAATCATTCAAATTTTTGACCGGTGGACCACCAAGTTGGTGGACAAAAAAAAAAGAGAAAAAAAGTAAATCGAGTAATTTTTTTTTTTTCATTTTTTCCGCACCAAAATTTCCCACATGAGGGATGCAGAATCTAAAAATAGAAAACGAAATAAAGAAATGAATTATTTTCTCTGGTGAATTTTTTATCTCAAAATTAAAAAAAAAAAAGAAAATTAAAAAATACAGGGTAGTATTAATATAGTTGGGGTTTTTTTTGTTTTTTTTTAATTTTGAGATAAAAGATCGAAAATGTTTCGCTTTGTTCATATTAAAACTAAGTTGGATCATTTTTAATCATAAACGAATCTTATAACAAAAAATGAATGTAATAAAATTTATTTTAATTGTTTTAGTACTAAAATTGGTATCTGCTGGTATGAATTCTATTTTATTGAAATAAAACAAAAACAAATTATTAATTCTATTTTTAATATAGATTTTTATGTTAATTTTAATTCAACATGTGGGTCTGCATGTGATGGATCATCAGAGAAACCATTCACAAATATAAAAAGTGCAATTAATTCAATTGTTTCAAACCAAAAAAAAAGTACAACCATCAATCTGTATGCAGGAACTTACAAAGGTTTACAAAATGTTGGTGTTATGATTACAAAGCCAATTCAAATTAAATCGTAAGTTTTACTTAATCAATCTTCTTCTTTATATTAAGCTAATTCTAATTCAAAATAATTAGAATATCAAACCAGACGGTAACTATTGATTGTGAAAAAGTTGGGTTTGCTTTCTCTGTTGTAAATGTGGAGGATTTTTCATTGAGTGGAGTAACCATTCAAAATTGTTCTGCTTCAATGGGAGGTGCTCTCAGAATTGAAAATTCAAAGACCTCAATCTCTAAAGCAAAATTCCTAGGTAACAAAGCTGCATTTGGAGGAGCAATCTATTCAAATTCCAGTGTTGTAATGATATATTTATCAAATTTTACTGGAAATGTTGCTTTGGAATCCGGTTCCGCAATCTATTCAGAGTCATCACAGTTTTCAATCCTTTCAAAAACAGAATTCAATGGAAATGCCAACAATTCCAAACCAACTTATATTTCATCCAAAAAGTCAAGTGTAATATTGGATGATGCCGTTATTATCAATAATCATATTACTTGTGACGAATTAAGCTCAACTAAATATAAATCATCATCATTTTGTGATTCTTCTTCAGATACTTGTTCAGCTATTGGTATTATTCCAAATATTGATAGTGATAAAACTAGTAAGTATAGAATTTTAATATTGAACACAATTAAAATGATATCATGAATTAACATTAATCGATCTATAGTTTACACCACAGGAATGTTATATAAAGCTTATTACAATAATAATTTAACCTCTGAAATTAGTATGTATTTATTAATTTTTATTTTCCAAGTTTTTATACTAATATTTATATTTAAACAAAATTAAAACTTGTTTCTTTCTGAAAATTTAAACTTTTAAAGAATTCCAAAAGATTATTCCAGACAATACAATAGAAAATTTCTTGAATGGCCATGATGGAAAGGTTTATGGTGTTCTAACAGGATATTTACACATGGATAATTCAATGAAAGTTAAATTCAGATTTGAAGGAAAGAATCTTGGATTCACTTTGAAGATCAATGGTGTCAAATATTTGGATGTTGCTCAAACTGCAAACTTTGATTTCCCATTTGAAATATATATGGTTTCAAAAGTATCTCATCAAATTCAAATTGTAATGTATCTAAAAGTTAAAAATGATCTTAAAAGAATAATATCTTCTAATATTTCTATTTTTAGAATTTAACTTCGGATACAACAGGAGTTGGTCGTTCATTCAAATTGTATCAAATCTCACATGATTACAGAATATTCTACACTGAACAAAGTATGTATTCTAGAACAAATTATTTTATTTAATTATACTAATTTGTTTTTTTAGTTTGTGGTGATGGTGTTCAAGATGATTTGGATTATTGTATTGAAGATTCATGTAAGAATTAATTTTATTTTTTTTATTAGTAAAATATTAATTAATTTATTGTAAATATTTTAGATGATATTTTTAATTCATCAAATCCACTAGGAGACAGAGTTTGTGGAAATGAAAATATTCACTTGAACTTCCAAGATTGTTTCAATGAAATATCACAAAATTGTGAGATTCCAAAGAAGAAAGATCATATCAGTCCTCTTGGAAATGTTGGTGGAATGATTGGTGATCTTGTTGAGAATCAATATCTTTGGAATGTTCCAGGATCTGAACATTTCACTTATGGAATGAATGTTCTCAGTGGTCAACAATCAAAAGCACCAGTATTCCAATTTGATTATTGTGTTGAAGTTGCCAACAATATTCTTGAAGATCCATACAGAATGATGGCATATGAAATCCCACCATCATTGAATATCAAATCTCTTCCAATTTGCACCTATTCATCAACTACAACAATGTATAATTCTTTCTCTGAATATCAAAAAGAGTTCCAATTAGAAGCGGGTAAGTTCATAGAACAGTTAAGGCAATAATTAAATATATCTAATAAATATTTTTAACAAAGGATTATCAAGTTCAGGAGATTTCAAAGAAGAATTGATCGATTTCAAAGGTGGATTCTCACTTGATGGATCAATTGAAACAGCAAGAGATCAATCACAATCATCAACTAAAAATGTTTTTGTGACCGAACTCAACTGTAAAACATCATACATTGAGATGGATGATCAAAGAATCAGATTCCATCCAATGTTCTTGAAAGATCTTGCAACAATCGAACAAGAATCAGATCTTTTGAAAATATTTGATAAATATGGAACATATTATTATTCAAGTGCATATATGGGTGGAAAGTTGGTTCAAATTTCAACAACTTCTGAAAGTATTGACACTGATGAAAAGAAAAAAAAATGGAGTATTGCTGCTGAAGCAACATTTGGAGCATCTATCAAGTAAGTATAGTTGAAAGATTATTAATTTGATAATTAAATTAATTAAATTTGAATTTCAATAGTGCACCTGGTTTTGATGGAGAAGGAAAAGCAACAATCAATGCCGGAATGTCATCCGAGGAAGAATCACTTTCTGAAGTTCAAAGTAAATCAACATATTCAAGTATCATCACTTATGGTGGACCACCTGCATCATTCGCACCATCTGATAGTTTTATGTCGACAACATATCAAGGATGGTCATCATCAATTGATCTATTACCAGTTCCAATTGGATACAAAGTCAAACCAATCAGAGATTTACTCATTAAAACATGGACAATACAACTTGGATCAAAAAATGAAACTGTTTCTGCCCTTTGGAATAAAATGGAAAAAATCTATTATCAAATGAATCGAGTAAATCCTAGTAAGTATTTTAAATTTAAAATATTTAAACTATAGATATTAACAAAAAATCAATATAGTTCCACTGCCAAATGATTACAAATATTCAATTATTTTTGATTTCGAATCAGTAAATGATCTCCCCCGTCCAATTACAAGATATTTTATGTCAATGAATTGGTATGATAAAGGTTTATTCAAAAACTTTTACACTACTTTCCAATATGTCTACTATGATACAGATGGTTCAGAAACAGAATTTCTTTTCCCCAATACCTATGGGGCCAACGTTTCTGATCCTTCTGTATCTGTATGTACTACCAATTCGGCTACTGTTTCAGGTAGCCAAAAAAATAGTACAATTTGTGATACCACAATTCGGAGTGTTCCAACTAAATTCAGAGTTGATTTCTATGGACCGAATTTCATGAACAGTTCACAAGCTCCAAATATCTACATTGAAGGTCTAAGTAACATTGGTAAATATAAAAATTATTTCAAAAATAACCTCGATATATATATTAATACTATTTAATCTTAGGAAAATCAACACTTATTTCATGGTATACTGGTGAAGCAATCAGGTTGTTTAGAACTACAGGTAATCCAAACTTTTTACAATGGATGCCAGGCAATAGTGCAAGATCATTGATCCAATTTGAGGCAGCTCGTTCGGCATTGAATGTAGCAACCGGCACCAGTGGAGATCTTGGTATTTACGTTGGACCAAATGAATACTCTAGAGATAACATATTGAATTTTGGCCATAATGCGGGACAAAACTTTAATTTCTACAATAGATACACAACCGATATTACCTTGAAAACTCAGGCGAACATGCCAGTTAGCTCATTCTATGCTTTCCATGGCCCGATGACCGGTCTTACTCAATTCAGAATCGACTATCATTTATATATTGTGAACAATCAGGCAGAACAGAGTTGGAAATCGAAAGTATACTACTACCATATTCTTGAGGATCGAGACAATCCAAGTTACATGCCGCTTCTCGCCAACAACTATTTCTTCTCATTGAAGCCACTCACCAAAGACGTTCCATCAAAATGGTTCTCCTTCTCAAACTACAATCATCCGAAACTTGGTGGAAGTGGAACTGTAACTGATGATTTTAACTTTAACTCTCCAAAACCAGAAGTTGAATTCTGGGAATTCTCTTAAGAATTAATTACTAAAAATAATAAGATATCAATTAAAAAAAATTACAATAATAAACAAAATTTTGTAATGATTTCAAAAAAAAAAAGATTTTCGAAAAAAAAAAAAAAAGTTTATTTAATTTTTATTTGTGTTTAGAGTTTATCATCAATATTTATTTATTTGATTTACAAACACAGTAATAATTAGAAATATATATCTATCACGAAAATGTCGGCTATAACAGTCTCAAAAGTATCTACGAATACTAATACAACGAATGTTGTAAATAATAGTAACAGTAACAATAATAGTACATCTGTAGTCGCAACTACCACAAGTGCTGTCAATAATAATAATAATAATAGTAGCAATAACAATAATAATGATAATAATCTATCTGAAGAGTTAACAGATATTTTAACATCGTTAGCAGATACATTCATACCAGCAGAATCAAATTTTACATCTTTCGAAGATTTATTTATGTTTATAGAGGAAGCATACTGGTATTACATCGATATTCATCTCATTCAGAATCCAAGATTACCAAAGCATGATTTAGAGAGTTTCTCTGAGCTTAGTAAGTAACATATTATAACTTTAACTAACATGACACAACATAATTAATCGATATATATTATTCAATAATTAATTGTTACTATAGTTTTAAAGAGCAATGAGAGACTTGCACCATTGCATGAGGCACTCTTAAATACAACATCATACAGCGACATGATGAAGAAATTTGAGTCATTTAAACGTTTAATACCTAGATATGGTGCTATTATATTGAATAAGGATATGACAAAGGTAGTATAGATTTAGTATTTTATTTATTGTTTGTTTTGTTTTTTTTTTGTTAATCATTAACTAACTCGTATGAGTAGATATTTGTCTTTGATACTTATTATTGTATATCTTTATTAAATGTTATTATATATATTGTAATACAAATAACAATTGTCATTCAATATTGTCAACATTATTATGGTAACTAACAAATCAATGTTAAATTGGATGTATTTAAGTTATATACATTCTTTTTATAAAACATAGATCAATTATATTATCTAAGTAGATGATATGTTGTTACTAAATAGATAAATAGATGGTAATTGATGATTAAAAAAAAAAAAATAGATTAATAACTTAATACAGTATGCTATGTAGATAGTCGGTGTTAATCATAAAGAATTAACAGAATGATATGATATGAGTTTTATTTGTTACATATATATATTTATTGTGTTGATATTTATTATTATATGAGTGAATGATGATATAGAGAGTATAAAAGATTATTAATATTTAATTACTATATGATAAAAGGTGGTTTTAGTTAAAGAACAATGGTGGGGATGGGGATTTCCTAAAGGTAAAGGTAAAGAAGGAGAAACAGAGACACAAAGTGCATCAAGAGAAGTGTTCGAAGAGATTGGTTACGATGTTTATCCATTAGTAAAGAAAGAAGATTTCATTCAAAAAGAGAGTCATGGGTATGTTATTATCATTATTATTATTATTAGAATTAAAACTAATTTCATCATTTTTAACTAAATAACAAACATTAGTGTATTAAAGAAGTTCTTTATTGTTGTAGGTGTAGATGAACAAGTTGACTTTGAAACTCATACAAGATATGAAATAAGTGTATGTTTATAGCTATTTATATTATATTTATGTATTATACTTAGTTTCTTTTGATTATCTAATGAATTATAGAGAATAAAATGGCATAATATAGGTGATATTCCAACAGTTCACAGTAGACAATCACATCAGTTTGCAGCTATCATTCCCTATATCAAATCATTGATTGCATGGATACAGAATCGAAGAAAGGAGAAGGGTATGCCACCTCTGCAGTTCGATAGTTTGAGTACTCAGTTTAGCGATCGTGATGTTGACTTTAGTAGTTTGAAGCGTTGGACTCAAGGTGGTGGTATCGGTAACAATAGTAATAATAATAACAACAACAAGAGTCTAAAACAACAGTTGGCTGCTGGCAATCGTATGAACAAAGACGAGTTCAAGAGGAAGGTGTTTGAAGAGGATGATCGTGACTTGGTCATGTTGAACGAGATAGAAGACATCTTACTCTCTGAGTACATCGTTAACTTCCAAGAGTTTCTCAAAGGTCTCTCGGTGCAGCAACAACAACAGCAACTTAACAGCAGTCAACAACAGCAACAACAACAACCAAAGCTGAACGCATCTCTCAGAAAACTTGATCATTCCTCTTCAAACATGAAAACAATGACAATGACATCTAATCAGATACAAGAGACTTTGAATCAAATGTCATTTCAAAACAATAATAATAATAATAATATGAATAACAATAGTAATAACAATATTAATAATAATAATAATTTGAATAATAATATGAATAATAATATGAATAATAACTTTAATATGTATCAACATCAACAACAATTAATACAACAACAGCAACAGCAACAAGTTCCACAACAATTATTGCAGTATCAACAACAACTATTACAAAGACAGCAACTAGCACAACAGCAACAACAACAACAACAACAAATGATGGATATCGTAACAAACAAACCAGTCAATCAAAATCAAATGAATATGAATAACATGAATATGATGCAGCAACAACAATTGATGAACAATCAACAACTACTACAAGCTCAACAATCAAACAATATGATGAGATTCAATAACAATAATAACAATATGAACAATAACATTATAAATAGTAATAATAATAATATGATGATCGGTAATAATCAACAACAAAACTTTATTCAACAAAATAGAAATAATATGATGAATAATAATCAGAGTTTTAATATGAATAATAATAATAATAATCAGATGAATATGATGAACATGAATATGAATAATATGAATTTGACACCACAACAACAGAATCAATTCCAACAACTACAAATGATGAATCAGACATTTAATAATGCCAATGCTGCGGTGAACAGTCAAGCTTTTGCAAATATGACACCACAATTACAACAACAATATTTACTGCTTCAACAACAACAACAACAACAATTGAAACAACAACAACAACTTCAATTGCTAAAACAACAACAAATGATGAATAGTCAACAACAAGGACAGCAAAATAACAATTTACAACAAAATCAACAAAATAATAATATGTTTTTCAATCAGCAACAACAACAACAACAAATGATGAACAATCAACAACAAGGACAATTACAAATGTTATTCGGTCGACCACTACAGCTAATATCAAACAATAATAATCAACAACCACAATCACAACAACAACAACAATTTTTTAAATAACTATGTATATAAATAAAATAAATAAAAGTTTGACTTTATAAACTTATTGTAATCAAAGTATTACATTTACTTTTAACTTAACTTCCTCTCATCTACAAATATAAATATATAAATGATGTTTTGGATTTTTTTTTATTTTTCAAATCTTTAAATTAATATATATGTGAGTTCATTTTTGTTTTATTTATTTTATTTTATTTTTATTTATTATGAAATTATAGATATAGATATATGTCAGATTCACAGAATTTAATACAACCTATTGAAAATGTACAGTCTTCTGTAACGACACCATTACCATCGATAGTTGAACCACCGTCAATCGGTGGTATTGGCGGTTCAACAGCAAAGAAGGAACCAAAGACACCAAAGACACCTAAAGAACCGAAAGCAAAGAAAGAACCAAAGACACCAAAAGAACCAAAAACACCTAAAGAACCGAAAGCAAAGAAAGATCCTGCCACACCAAAGACACCGAAAGAACCGAAAGCAAAGAAGGAACCGAAAACACCTAAAGAACCAAAAACACCCAAAGAACCAAAGACACCAAAGACACCTAAAGAACCGAAAGCAAAGAAAGATGCTACTACTAAAGAGAAGAAAGATGGTAGTGGTGGTTCTGCTGCTGCTGCTGCAACTAGTGGCGATTCATCGGCGACAAGTACAATCAGTACATCTTCAACAAGCACTACTACAACAACAACTTCGACAGGCAATACTTCCTCTGCTACTACTACACCTGGCGGCGGTGGTGCTGGTGGAAAGAAGAAAGAATCGACATCCAAGAAGAAGAAGAAAGAAAAGGATAACGACGATGACGATGAGGTTACAACCGTTGCACCACCATCTTTGATAGCAAGTGCTGCTAATGCAAAGGATACCAGTGTGACTGGCGGTACACCTCTGGGAAAGGATAAGGAAACTGGCAAGAAGCGAATTGGTTCTCCTTTGGCACAGACGTCGGCATCAACAAAGAAGAAGAAGAAGAATGATGATGATGCTGCTGGCGGTGACGATGACGACGATGACGACGACGACGAAGACAACGAAGACAATGACGACGATGAAGATGAAGATGAAGACGAGGAGGAAGACGAGGATGAGGAAGACGAAGATGAAGACGAAGACGAGGAAGATGAGGAAGAGGAGGAAGAAGATGAAGAGGTTGACGAAGAGGAAGTTGGTGAGGAGGCCGATGAAGATGCCGATGACGATGAAACTGTTGCACTGGCAAACGAGACTGACACCCACCAGCGTGAAGATACCACACTACTCGAAGGTCTATTCACACACTTTACAGAGGAACAACAAACACGTTACGAATTCTATCGTCGTTCCAGTTTGAATCGTGCCAACGTCAAGAAAGTAATGCAAGGTGTCATCACCACACCGGTCAACCAGACATCTGCAATCATCATGGCAGGTATCTCAAAAGTATTCGTCGGTGAAATAGTTGAAACAGGTAAATATTAATCAAATCAATATCAATATCAATCAATATCAAAGTAAACAAATATTAACCAAACATCAATCTCATCATCATCATCATCATCAACTATACAAAAATATTATAGCAAGAAGTATAATGGAAGAATGGAATGAGAATATAGGACCACTAAGACCAAGACACATAAGAGAAGCCTACAGAAGACTGAAAGAAACAAACAAAGTTCCATATTATAAAAGATTTAATCCTAAATTAAATTAAATTAAATTAAATTTAAAACAAAACTAGTGTACACAGAAGTCAATGTTTTTTTTATTTTATTTTAGTTTTTTTTTTTACTGTTATTAAGTAATAGACTATGTTACGTGATGATTTTAAATAATAATAGTGACAGTAATAATAATAATAATAATGATAGTGATATGAGTCTCTATAACTATAATTCAATAGGATTAATGAATCAAAATAAAAAACAAATTATCAAATCTAATATAGATGAAATAAAAAGATGAATCAATTAAACTGTATATCTTTAATGGTAAACTATATAAATGTAAATATTTAATGTCAAAGCTATCAAGTAGAATGTATGTTATGCTATTATACCAACCTTGTGTATAAACAAAATTAACTTGTGAATTTCAATTTTAATCTCTTTTTTTTTTTGAAGACCACCATTAAGCACACAATTCATACAACAAAAGATAATTGTAGGTAAACACTTTTTATTTTTCATTGTTATAGTTATAATAATACTAATTGATTGTATCAATCTTCAATAGAATTTAACAAAGTATCTATTGGCATTGGATGAATCAGAGAGAGACAGAGATGCCTCATTCGCAAGAAACGGAAATGTTGTATTGACAATGCGTATGTGTATTATAAGATGATAATAATAACAATTCAATTAATTACCAAAGATATTAACACTGTTTTAATATTAAATCAATTTTGGTTTGTTAACTTGTATTTAGATGTACATGAAAACAACTCTATCAATTTGAATATAAGAGAAGTGGAACCACTCGATAATTCTGAGCATAACATCGATATAGGTGATATACCCATTGACAAGTATAAATATACATTTATTATACAAGTTGTCTAGATTAGAAAGAGACACATCATAAACATGTATGTTATTATTATTTTAATTTATTTTTATTTTATTTGCAAAATGAAGATCATTATGATGACCAGTTGTTTGTTTGCTTTTTGTTTTATTTTTTTTGTTTCAGATTTGTTAATATTTATATTTAAATTAAACCAAAACTAATCAAATAGATAAGATCTAGGTTTTTCATAGATATAGAATATAGATAACACAGATAATAATATACATGTATAATCCAAAACCTGTAGTTGTTAGTCAACTGATTTTCAAGACGGTTGGCTTGATTTGCAGAGGATGGCTAAATTTGAATAAAGTTAAACTACACAACTGGGAGATAATAGATACAATAATGAATCAAAGAGCATTCGATATAAATATTTTAAAAAAGATTCAAAACAGCAAATAAATCAATTAAATAAACAAAATAATAATAATAATATCATTAGCAACAACAACAACAATAGTAATAATATAGATAAATATTCTCATTCACTAAGACCAATAATAACAGTGTCCAACCATATTGCGAATCTAGATGATCCAATCATGTGGGGAAATCTGGGTTGGGACATCGGCAGTAAACCACAAAACATGAGATGGACATTGGGTGCATCAAATATCCTATACACCAACGATTTGTATTCATATTTTTTTAATTTAGGTAAATGTGTATGTAATATATTTATGCTATTAAATATATATATATATATATATAAAACTAGTGTTAATTGACTAACTGATTATGCTGTTTATAGGTTAAAACAATTAGAGGAAATGGAATCTATCAAGAAGCAATCGATTTCGCCATTGACAGACTATCGGAAGGTCAGTGGGTGCATGTATTTCCAGAGGGCAGAGTCAACCAGGACAAAGAGTTGTTGTATTTCAAGTGGGGTGTCGGTCGTATGGTGGCAGAGAGCGCGTTGTCACCACTGATACTACCGGTCTATCATCGTGGACTCGAACAATCGATGCCACTTGGCAAACCACCAATACCACGCATCGGTAAGCACCTGGAATTCTTTGTTGGTCAACCATTCGACTGCGAAGATATCATCCAGGCATTCAAATCCGATCGACGCATTGACACCACCAACAAGAATGCAAAGAGCACCTCACAGTCTGACATCGACAATGACCTACTAAAAAAGAGTTACTACAAACAGATCACAACGAGAATAGAAGAGAATTTTAAAATACTTCGAAAGGAATCGATCCAATCAATCATTGACAAATAAAAATACTACACTATTATTGTTTATATTAAAAAAAAACCTATTATTCCCTTTAAATAAATCCATAGGAAAATAATAAATTACTGGAAATTTTAGTTAATAATATGTTGGTTGTTAAACATTAGGAACCTGGTATTTTCCTCAATCATGTCCAGAATCAGAAAATAAAAAAAGATTTTATATTGTAAAAGAATATCAAGATATTCATGTATTCGATAATCACTCACAAAAATTAAAAAGATTAAACAAATTTTAATCTGGTTTAATTTTAAAAGATTTTTTTTTTTTTGACAAATTTAATTGTTCTTTTTTTTTAAAGGGAGTGCAGTGTTTTTTTTGGTCTATTTTTTTTTTAATCAACAACAATGTTCAAATATAATAAATCGATCACTTATATTACTAATTTTTATAATAAAAGACTTTTTTATTTAACATCCATAAATGTTTACAAAAATTGTTTTATATTAAGATCCTATTCCAATAGTAATAATTTTATTTTAAACAACAACAATATCAATGATAATATTAAGATAGATTTAAATTCAACATCTTTATTATCTTTACAAATTAAATATCAAATTGAAAGTAATTTAACTAGTTTTGAGAAATTAATAGGGGATGCCCAGTATCAATTGGAAAGAGGTAGTATATTTCAATCAATTGAACTCTTTTCAAGGTCGATTGAAGAGTTAACCAAGAACTTGAAGGATGATGAAGTCAAACACTCGATAGAATCAAATATCAAACCGTTGATCAGATATTATCAAACATTTAAAAAGTGGGATCATTCAAACATGTTACTTGACCATTTTGACTACGATGTTTTGTCAACGATTATCAGTCATCTTATTTTCTCAAAGCAGGAGCGTGATGACTCTGACGTCGACCGTTTGGATAGTCTAGACTTTTTGATGTTTGCCAGAACTACCGTTCTCACTACCATCGAGTCAATTAAATTCAATCACATCGGTGTAAAGTGTATATTGACAAATGTTGGAGGTTCTTTCCTCTACGATATTTATAAACAATCATTGGCATCGATCGATCCAATGACCATCGATGAGAACGATACGGAAGCAATCAAATACATAGATCTTCTCCAAAAATTTATTATCAAAAATTTTTTGTATAACGCAATCGATAACAGTGAAGCACAACGTCAACTTTCTGTAAGTAAATTATTTTTAAATGAAAGTTCAATAGTTGAACAAGTAATTCTAATTTTAAATTTAGGAGAATGAATCAATTAGATTGAAGTTGGCTGGAAATGAAGATCTACTTTATCTTTTGTTCAACTATATATCATTGATCAACAAAGGAAGTACAACTGATGTAGATTCTAAACAGTTCGACAATATATTGGCTTTATTGAAGAGAAACAGTGGAGAAGCCTTAAATGGATATAGTGTCTTTATGATTAGGTATTTAGTTAATAGAGTTTTATACAATTACAACTTTGAAGAGTTTGGAAATAGGCTAGATAAATTCAGTGAAATCAAGCAGCAGTTGGATAACAATTGGTGTGAGATTGAGACATCGAGAGAGCGATTGCAATCGTATTCCAACTTTGTTAAAAGTGTATTGAATAGCGATCAGCCAGAAGAAACAAGTTTGTTGATAATGGACAGATTTGTCTCGATGTTTTTAGAGAAAGTCAAAGGAGATCCCAATGAACTTGAACATCTTAAACAAATTGGTATAGATCTTACAAGGATAATTCGTGAAATGGAGGACGAACATTTGAATAAGAGATCATCCAAGCAACCGGAAAAGATGTTAATCGAAGCGAAACGACTCTATAGAAATGATGAAAAAGAGAAATCATTGGAATTGGTTAATTCGATCATCATCAACAATGATAATCATCTGAATGAAGTGGTTATGAATCTCAAAGCAAACATTATGTACGATAAAAGAAAATTTGAAGAAGCCATCAGTTGTGCGAGACAATCAATAGAGCTGTACGATAAACAAGGGAAAGATAAAAATGAAGAATCACCAGCTAATGAGCTCCCATGGGTTTTCATTGACAATAATATTATTATTGCAAAATGCTTAACTCATTTCAGAAAATATCGAGAAGCAGAACAATTATTTAGCAATTATTTCTATAGAAATGATTACTATCACCAAAAAGATGATATCCAATGCTATTCGGAAACTCTTGATTATTTGATTAAACAAAACAATAGTAATAATACCAACAACAATATTAATAGTATTTTTAAAGATAAAAATGAAAGACTAAAATCAGAATTGAAATTCTATTCAAATTAATTAATAAAATAAAGAAAAAGAAATATTTTTTTAAATAATTAAATTAAACAACATCATTTTAATATTTGAAATATATTTATGGTGTTGAATTTGTTCACATGGTGTGTTTCTGTATTATTTGTGTGTTGGGTTTGTGTGTGTGTGTAATTTTTGATAAAGTAAAAAAATTAATAGTTGATATCACCTTATCGGTTGTTTTACTTTAAATTAAAGTCAAAGAAATTCTTTTACACATTTTCCAATTCCCTTTTAATTTACTTTTGTTTAATGTTACATTAATAATAATAAATAATAATAATAAAAAATAACAAGGAACAGAACAGAAAAGAAAGAAATAGAAACAACATAATAAAATAGTAAGTCAAATCTCTTCTTCCATTAGACTATTTAATTTAAACTTTTGTTTTTTTTTTTTTTTAATGATATGGTAAGTAAAAGCAACACATATATTATATTATTCTTCTCCCTCCTTTTTTTTTTTTTTGTTTTTCACTTATCTCATTGTTTTTCAACATCATCACCATCACCATCATAGTTGTTGTTGTTAATCTAATCTACCACTTACACTCACTGTAACAAATAGCCACTAAAATAAACACACACATTAAAATTACAATATTAAATCTACGTCGTGTATTTATATTTATTTATTGATTTTCATTTTTATTTTTTATTTTGTAGTGTGTATGTGTATTACAATGTTAGAATAAATCACAACACCTATGTTACTTTTCATACTACTATAATTGTGAGTTGATGGCATACAGTAACAAAAGACCGCTAGCTATCACCTCCACCGCTACTGTTATCTTTGTTTAATTAATACTTAACATATCAATCAAAAAAAAAAAACCAATTTGTATATATGTGAAAACACAAAGTTGACTTTCTTTTTTCTTTTTAATGACTATTTTATTTGTTTGTTGACAAATTAGCTCTTCATTTGTTTATTTATACTTATACATATTATATATAATAATAAATATTTATTTATTAATAGTTTTATAATTTGTTTTTTATTGTAAGTATTGAATTCATTGACAAATAATATTTACATCACCAATTTTGCCATTCTTCTGTGAAACATATCATGACATAAACATAATGTGTAACCAAGTTAGATTTTTTACTGCTATTGTTTATCAAGGAGTCAGTCTAGCTAAATCTGGATTGATATCTGTCCAATCCACAATCCACAAACCACAAAATCAAAGGTCATCGACAAACAAAAAAGCAAAACAAAAAAAAAACAAAATACATCGATACTCTTGATTTCTTAATGATTGACTGATTTGTGGATGTCTTTTTCTTTATTCTGTGTGTTTCATATTTTATACATTGGCGTGCAATGAAAGATTGTGATTGCTCTCCACATATGTTCTAATTTCACCACGATTTTGTTTGCTTGTTTTTTTTATGTTGTTGGTCCAAAAATCATCCAACCCAATGACCACATAAAATCTTAATTTGGTATTTTTTTTCAACGTTGCAAAGACAATTTTCAAACTAAAACCAAGAACAAGACAGAAAACACCCACTCTTACCCCTCTTTGTGATAAGTTTAGATATTTTTCTCTTTTAGTTTTTTTTGCAAAATTTCATAAAAAAAAGTTATCTCGAGTCAACTCCATCATTTCATTCCACTCTTTTCTAAAAAAAAAAACGTCGTCAATATTGAAATTGTGTGGTGTTTTTTTTTAAAACCAATCTTTTCTTTTCTTCGCATTAACCAAACTGAACTGCTATCTGCTAATATCATATCATTTTTTGTTGTTGTTTTATTTTTATTTTATTTTGTCAAAATTAAAAGAAAAATTCACAGACCTTAGACTCGAACATTCAATGTATCACACCTACACCCACTGCCACCTAAACAATTTATAAACTTTTATATTACTTTTTTAATAATAATAATAATAGTAGCAATATTTATAACATTACTAATATATAAGAGATAATCTTTTGTTTTCTTTCTTTTCTTTTCTTTTCTTTTTTTTTGATAATCAAGTTAGCTAGAGTAGTTATAGTTTAATCAAAAAAAAAAAAGAGAAACAAAACAAAACAAATACCTTTTTTTATATATTATTTCATATTATATTATAATTATAAATATATGAAAATATGGGTAAATTAAGGTTTAAAAGACAGGATCTATGGTCCACTCTGACCTCTAAAGATACGATTAGATTTTTATGGCAGCGTTTTGTTATGATGGCAGGTATGGATCTGCGTTCGATTGCGCTCTTCCGTTTCACAATGGCTTGTTGTGTGATTGGTGATAATATCGAGCGTATGGGTGATCTCTTTGTGTTGTACACAGAGGAAGGTCTCTTCCCACGTTCATTGATTGTCTCGCGTTACAGCAGCAACTACTTCTTCCCAATACACATTGTCAACACCAGTTGGACAGCGCAACTCATCATTTTCCTCATCCACACTTGGATTGCTTTCTGCATGGCCATCGGTTTCCGTACCAAACTAATGACTTTCCTCACTTGGGCATTGACTATCTCGCTCCAGTCATACGTTGGAGTCATCGGTCACGGTGGTGATGTCTACTTCCGTTTGATGTTGTTCTTCTGTATGTTCTTGCCGACTGCAGAGTTCTACTCGGTTGACAACTGGAACTTCTCACAGCCAAAAGATTCCGCTGGAAAGGACGACGACTCGGTGCCACTCATAGACCACGAGAAGATTGTCGACACCAACACTTCGCTCGACGACAGCAAGAAGAACGATGACGCACCCATTGAGATTGTCGGATCGATGCCCGACAGCTCGTCGTCGTCGCCGACCTCAATCGCGTCCGTCAGCAAGAAACCACTCGACCCCAATCGCTATCGTTTCATCTCTTTCGCCACTATGTGTGTATTGCTACAGATGTCCTGTATGTATATCGCTTCGTTCTTCCACAAGTCTGGTGAGGAGTGGGCCAATGGTGAGGCAACCTTCTACGCCATCTCGCTCGACTACTTCCAGACACCGTTTGCTCGTTGGATTCTACCCTTCCGTACCACTCTCAAGTTACTCACCATTGCCGTCGCCAAGTGGGAGTTGATCGGACCACTCTTTTGGTTCTCGCCAGTCTACACTGACTACTGTCGTCTGCTCGGTGCTGTTGGATTCATGGCGCTACACGCCGGTTTCGTTTCGTGTTTGCGTCTCGGACTTTTCTTCTGGGTCACTTTCTTTGCACAGACATGCAATTTCCCACCATTCGTTTGGGACTACACCTTTGATTTCTGTGAGCGTAAATTGATGCGTGGACAACGCGCCGTACGTGTTTTCTACAACACCAGCTCACCACTCTCACAATATCTAACTTTGATAATGAAGACATTCTTTGTTTTGCCATCGTGCGCCACCTATGCACCACTCGACAAGATGCCAGAAGAACAATCAATGACCACAGTAAGCACCACCCCATTCGCCAGCGACGACGAATCCTCACACAAACACAAGCGTCTCTTGGGAGACGATTGGTTCGTCTCGATCGATGGTAACGGTGTGCGTCGTAGAAATCTCGCCGCCCTCAATCATCTCTGCAGCAAGTCGCCACTCCTCTTCTGGCTCGCTTGGTTGTGCGCCAAAGTACCCATCGGTGTCACCAACGTCGTCTCCACCATCTTCCAATACTGCCACAGCCAGTCGCAAGCCTCACAACAACAGACCAAACGTCCATCTATCTATGTTCGTCGTAGAGGTCCACGTCGTCCAGCCCACCGTATCTACTCGATCTACACCAACGTCGTCTGCGCATTCCTCTTCTACTTGGTACTCGGTTACAATCTCAACATTTTCCACCACCAAATTCCAGGCTGGCACTTCCGTTATCAACAACTGGCGTTCCTCATTCGTTTCGATCAGGGTTGGAACATGTTCAGTCCAGCACCACCAAAATCGCATTGGTGGCACGCCATTCACGGTGAACTCGACGACGGAACACAGGTCGAGCTGTTCAAAGACAACGCATTCCACGAGCTGGCAACACGAGTCAACTACAAAGTCGATTTCGAGAAACCAGTGCCATTCGACACCACCTACGGTAACCATCGTTGGTTCAAATTCTGGGAGAACGGATACAACGCATTCGGAGCGGATTCACTCCGTCTTGAGACTGGACGTTACGTCTGTCGACAATTCAACTCTGTCAACACTGGAACAAAGAAACTCTACAGATTTACAGTATTCTTTGTACATGAATTTATGAATTTAGATGGTACTGTCACACCACCAGCACATCAATCACTTTGGAATCATCTTTGTTACGAGAGAACCGAAACAAAGACATAATAATAATTTTAATTTCAAAATAATAATAATAATAATATTTTTCCCTAAAAAAAAAATAAAATATATTTTTTCCTTTAAACCAAAATATTTGTTAAAAATTTATAAATATAATACAATAAAACCTCTAAAAATTAAAATAATAATATCTATTGATATTTTTTATTACTTTGTTTTTGTTTTTTTTAAGAAAATTAAAAATTCAAAAAAAAATATTTTCTCATTATTTACAAATAATAATGCAAAGATTGAATTGTTATTTGCAATCTTCCCATGGTATTTTTATTCCATGGGATCGATCTGATCAAAAATATCATAATATTCGAATTTTTAAAATTTTTTGCCATTTTTTAAAAAATTAATTAATAGATTTTTTAATATGAACAAAAATTAATTAGTTTAAATTTTTGACACTCTTTATAAAACAAAACACACACTTCACAACAACCAATTACAACAACAGGTTTTGCAAAGATAGAGACAACAAACATAATACACAAACACACAATTAACATTCATTGTTTAATTTATAATTTATAATTAATTTTAAAAGAAAAAAAAAAAAACAAAACAAAACTCAATTCTTATTAATTGAGATAAATATATAATATTTATATTAATAATTAAAATATAACGAAAGAATTTATTTATTTATTTATTTATTTATTTATAAAAAGTAACAAAAAAAAAACGTTTATATATTTATTTTTATATTTTATTAGATATTTTGTAATTTATTTATAATTTTTTTAGTAAAATTATAAAATATGGAAGATATACATGAACAAGTACAAGCACAGGCACAAGAGCATGAACAGGAATATCACCAGCAACATAGCGATGTTGGATATTATGATGAAAATAATATAGAATATTATCAATATGATGAGAATGGACAACCTCTACAGCATGATACACAACTGCAGCAACAACAGCAAGATTATTATTACGAGCAAGAGGATTATGAAAAATTACAACAACAACAAGATGAATATTATGAGAATGAATTGAAACATCAACAACAACAACAACAAACAGTTCAACAATCTACAGAAGTTTATTATGATGAAGCTATAGCAGTCGGTGATTCTGGACAGTTGGAAATAGGCGAAGTTGCATCAATAAATTCAAGTGGTGAAGTCAACTTTCGACAAGAGACAGAATCAAACAATGCAATCTCTGAGAGTATCGATCTCAGCAGCATAGGTAGTCTGCCAGAGGAAATCGTAGAGACAGACACACATCGTAATAAACTGGTAAAAGAAGTTATCAGTTCCGAAAGAAATTATTTAAATCATTTGAATACTGTTATACAAGTAAGTAATAATAATGAATTTAAAAATGAACAGACACAGTATTAATATTAAAAAACAAAACAATATAGATATATTTGGATCCATTGAGAAATAATAGACCAGCTGTTTTGGAGACAGAATATATTGTATCGATATTCTCTTGTATTGAGAAAATCAAGGATTTGAGTGAGGAGGTATTGGCTGACTTGGTCGAGATACTGGAGAGTGGATCGGAGAATGTAGGAAGACCGTTTTTATCGAGGCGAACCAGATATCAAGATTACATTCAGTATGGAAAGAATCATGGTGATGCAATCGAACTCATCAGTAAACTAAATGAAAAGAAACCAAGTTTTGTTTCTTTTCTTCAACAAGTTAGAGATATCAATAGTAAGAAATTAGATCTACCATCTTATTTAGTAAGTTTTGAATCAACAACAACAATACAATACAAATACAATAGTTTTGTTTTTAACTAACTTGTAATTTAATCTAATTAAACTATTTTAGATTATGCCAGTACAAAGAATGCCAAGAATAAAATTATTGTTACAAGATATATTGGAGCAAACAGAGCAAGAGCATGTAGACTACAACGACATAAAAGATGCACTCGAGATGATTTCCTCGACGACAAAGATTCTCAATGAGGAGATTAGAAAGCATGAAAATAAGTTAAAAGTACAAAAGATTCAAAATGAATTGGTTGGAGGTCCAAGAGTATGTTAACTAATCAAACAACAAGAACAATCGAACAATAGTAACAAAATAATAATAATAATAACTAATTAATTGTCTTAATATATTTTTATAAACTTTCTTTAGATTATAACAGATTCACGTGTATTTGTTAGAGAAGGTTCAATGATGAAAGTTTGTAGAAAAGTACCGAAATCGAGATGGTTCTTTATGTTTTCGGATATTTTGATTTATACTAGTGTCAGTACGACACCGAACAGCAGTGGATCTACAGTGGTAGGTCCCTATGTGAATAATAGAGATGCACCGACCTCCTATACCTTCCATCGTATGATGAATCTGAACGATATCAAAATCAAGGATCTCAAAGACAAAGAGAATCAAAAGAATGCATTCCAAATCATTAGTTCCACTGAAAAGTCATTCACTGTTTACACCGAAACACCAAAAGAAAAGAACAATTGGTTAGAGGATTTCAAATTATTATCAATTAAATTTGGTAAATTGTTTTATATATATATATATATAATATGTAAAAGAATCTTTCTTTTATTTACTTACCTACTCGGTTTTGATAATTTTTAGTTAGTGAAAATCAATCACAGAATATACATGATTTAGAGTCAACTGAGGTACCAGTTTGGGTGCCCGACAAAGAAGCAAACAAGTGCATGTTTTGTAATGATCATTTCACTGTTATAAATAGAAGAGTATGTATTTTAGAAATGATAAATAATATAATAAATTTAATTGACTTTTTTTTTTTTTTGTTTTTAATTTATGCTAGCATCATTGTAGAAATTGTGGAAAAGTTGTATGTGGATCGTGTAGTCCAGGTAAAAAGTTATTGCCTCATGTGAAAAAACATAAACCTGTAAGAGTTTGTTTGTTTTGTTTTGATTTTATTTCGATGAATGAAAAGAAGGATGAAAGTTCACCTGCTCCCGGCGGAATTAAACCTGCTTCTTCCTCTCCACAACTGTCACGTTCCAATACATTCCAGAAACTGTTGGATATCAATGGCAAGAAGAAGACGAGTGAGTCGCGGATGAGTGGTGGTGATGCTGACGGTGGAGCTGGAGCGAGTCATCATTCCGGTCGTAGCCATTCCATCGGTGGAACACTGCGTCGCTTGAAGCACTTGGCAATCAAGCCATCCGATCAAGTCAAGACCATGAAAGAACAAAATACCAAGGAAAAGATACTCGCCGAAGAGGAGAAGAATTTGAATCGTGCACAGTCTGAACCCTACTTGATTACCAAGTCAAAGGTTGCACTGCCGATTGTTGGTGGTCCTCCTCCCAGATTGATGAGTGCCTCTGAGAATGGTTCGAGACGATCCAACACCATCTCCATGAAAAACAACACGATTCCACTGACACCAACACCACCAGCACCGACCACATCGCCACAATCTGCGCCATCTGCATCGTCACTCATTCAGAATCGCAGATCCAAGAATGAAGGTGGTGTCGTTCTCACACCAACACCACCCGCACCAACGACACTACCACCATACCAACACCAATCTGCAACCAATATTTCACAGCTCCAATCCGCGGAGCAACAACCACAGAGCAACGGTGAAATTGCACCACCCGTTCCACCACGTACCTCTCGTACCTATTCACAACCACCACCACCAACACAACCACAACTCAAAGCCATAATAGAGCAACAAAAGAACCCTCTTTCCAACTCAACAGGTTCATCTGGCATGGCAGGACCAAACAAACCCTTCATGAAACCTCCTCCCTTAAGAAAAAACACACCACCCAAACCAATTACACCTGATCTCAACAATGGAGCTCCACTCAATCCAACAACACAAACACCACCACTACCAACTCAACCACAGAGAAAGAGTGCAGAGAATACTACACCAACTGCAACAGCACCCATTAGAAAACCACCCATCTCTGCTGCCAAACCACAAGTTTCAACACCCAACCAAGCCAGTCATAGTGGTAGCGAGATAATAAGACCATCTAATCCACTTGTCAATCCAAAGAGAACAAGTGGTAGCGAGATCATTGGTGGCAGCAGCAGCGGTAGACCATTACCAACACCAGCACCAGCAGCACCAGTTACCACAGAGGCAGTACCGCCACCTTCATCGGAATCTAGAAAATCGAATAGCGAAATTCTCAGACCAACTCCACCTTTTGTTGCAAAAAGAACTCTATCAACAGCCAATGGTGTCGATAATGTTCAACCATCTAATGAATTAAACGAGCAACAACAACAACAGCCACCTGTATCATTACCACCAAGAAGAAACACATTAACCAAACCAATAGCACCAATTGCTTCAGCACCAACATCATCTGACTCTAACGAAACAACTACATCAACAACAACAGCAACAACAGCATCCAATGTAATGCCTCCAAGAAAACTATCAAACGGACCATTACCAATAAGAAAACCAGGAGCTCCATTGCCGACACCACCAACAACAGCAACGCCTACACCTGTAAATCCAACACCTACTACCACAGCAGCACCAACAACAACAACAACAGCTACTTCTGCAACAAAAGTATTCCCATCAAGAGGAAGACCATTACCAACTCCACCAGTTTGAAGATTTCGAAATCATCATTCAAATACTCACTCATTAGCAACAACAACAACAACAACAACAACAACAACAACAACAACAACAACAACAACAACAACAACAACAACAAACAATTCTAAAATTTCTTTTTCTTTACTTTACAAAAACAAAAGGGAATATTAAACTAAAATATTTATTAAACAACATGTATTTTTTAAACAAAACATCATCATCATCATCCTAACTTTGCATATGTACATTTATTTTTTCTTTTAAATTTTATTTTTTAGTATCTAACTAACTAATGATTGTGCTTGATACAAAGTTTTCTACAAAAGGTATCGATTCTGCTGGTAATACTGAAGCAGGGAATCTAATATAATGATTATTAATGTAAATGATGCTATTAGAATATCGAAAAGATCTTTGTTAACATAATTTAAACACTTACAATGCAACTAAAATAACTTTTTCTAAAACAACTATAATAATACCTCCACCTACACTTAAATTCGTATTTACTCCGTAATATGATCTCTCTTTAACAGTTGTAATAACATCTTTATAAAGATATGCTTGATTAGTATGTTGCAAACAATAGTTTGTATTTGTGGTGATTGATCTATGTTTAAACAACAACCTACATTTTGTACCAGAAACACTAACAAGTTCTAAATGAAGATTATTTTTTGCAATAGCATCACATATCTGTATTGTTTCATTAAATTTAATAAGTAATCCTTTTTGTGACAATCTATAAATATATATTTATGTATATACAATGAATAAATAGACAATATTGAATCATTAGTAACTAAACTATCATAAAACAAAGTAATAACATTATAATTACAATGTATTCTTTAATTTAGGACCAGGTATCTTTGATATGAGTGCAGCAGACATAATTATCTTTCCGACTAGTTGATTTACATATTTCTCGTACTTTGCCTCTGGTTTGTATGATGGTGGCAATATAATGGGAATCGATATCTGTGTGAGTTGTTCCATCAACTCAACATTGGGTTTAGGTGATGCTGGTGTAGCACTTGCTCTTTTCTTTCTTCCTTCACTCATTTTTATTATTATTATTATCTATATCTATTTTTTGTTTTTTTTTTTGGTTAAATCCTAAAGACTAATTGATCAAAAAATTTTTTTTCATTGAATATTAAATAATCATTTATGTAATAAACATTTAAAATGCAATCATTGCACAAAGTCAATATTAGGAAGAAATAATGATAATAAACATGATAAGAAAAAAACAAAAATAAATATTCATATATAACTTCCTCATATTATTAGGAATAAAACTATTTCTGATAATTTAGAATTATATACCATTTGGATTTATTTTAATTTAAAATTCAAAAGAATAATGAAAATAGATGATTTAATTACTCTATTAATTTTTATGATAGTTAATCCTATCTCTTTTGGTTTGGTTCAAATCCTTGTCTTCTTTCTCTTTCTACCCACATATTCTTGACCTTGGCTGTTGTTAGAGTCATAAATCAGATTTAAGTTTGGTGTGATTAATCAACACCACAATCACAATCCTTAAAAAGGAATTGTTTTTGATCAATTTTTTTTTTTTAATAAAACATCCAACAAAACCCAAAAAGGTTTTTAGTACCTTTAATTTTAAAAACAACACACAATAAATAGATAGATATATATACATTTGTACTTTATTTATAGATGAATAAAAATCAATTGATATTAGTTTTTCTACGATTACTATTATTATCTATTTATTGTGGTGTTGCAATCGGCGACACTTCATTTGAAGATATAGATCTACGAAATGGATCGGTTTACTTTCGATTCAGTGAAGATGGAGTGCAATGCGATTCTACATTCACCGATTTCAAAGGAAACCTGATAGCAGGTGAGACCAAGCAGTCGGCCAATTCCAACTATACCTACTTTGGTTCCGATCAAAAGACAATCAGTCAGATCACTCCGATTCTCTTTGAATCGCAACCATCTTCACCACCTATCGACCTGTACATACAAGATATATATTTTCATCAATCGAATATCGTATTTAATGCACCATCAACTCTTACATTTCAATCTTCCCAACAATTATTATTTTATTCAACTTTATTAATAAGTGAGTGTATAAATAAGCAAACGAAACAATATATCTGTTCAATACCTTTAATATATTAATATTTTTAATTTTAAAACTATAAACAAACAACAGAAAACAATTCAAATGTAAATTTACAATCTTTAGCAATCTCACAATGGTCCAATACCACTATTGTTTCTTCAAATGTCAATATTTATCAATTTTATTTAAGTGTATGTAAATACTAAAAAAAAGAAATGTAATCTAGATAATATAACTTATTGGAGAATAATAATTATAAATAGTCAATTTCAACATTCAATGTGACAAGTAGTCATTTATCGATGAATAGTTTAAGTATTATAGGTAGTAGTTTCACATTAGAAAATTCGACATTGTCTGTCAATGTTGAGATTAGAGTGAATTCAGATCCACCAAACCCACCGAATCCAATACCCTTGTATTATACAGCCTCCAATGTAATTTGGAACAATGTTAGCATTAACAATAAGCTCAATTACAGTATCTCGAGATCGAAGCACACAATGACCAACACCAATTTTTTCGACCAAGTCTATCTATTTGTTCTGGGAGCAGACCGCAAGGACTTTTCAAATATCTACACAGCACTAGCAATCAATAGATCCATATTCTTCAACGACACAATAATAGTGCAAACCAATTCAGTTCTATCGATTTCAGATACAATTTTTATGACACCATTACTATTTGTAGTAAGTAGCTATTCATATCAGAGAAAACTATCTGAATAGTTAATAGAATATCTAATTGGTTTCTTATTAAAATATAGGTTGAATATTTATCTAGTGTGAACCTCAATAATGTTACGGCAAATATATCTACGAATTCCGATATGACAGAGTACTTTGATATTTATTTGTACAATTCAAATGTCTTGATTTCCAACCAATCTGGACTATCAAGGATACACTCTCGCTCTAATAGTTTTCTGACTATCGAGAACGTTTCTCAAACGATTCCAGGTTTTGATGGCAGTTCGTCAAATCTTCGGATTTTAAATTGTACAAATCTCTCTTTTCAAAGTTGGCTGGTCGATGTAAGTTAGTTCCTAGCTATAAGATAATGGTACTATCTTGAATTTCTAATTGTTTCATTCACTCTCTCAACAGGATTATGCTCCAATAGATATGATCGATTCGACAATAAGTATCCCTGTGTACAGCTATACTGGATTGCACAGCTTAAGACTACTAAATTCCAATTTAAATGTTGGTTATTGGACATCGAGTGTATCGGTCTATTCACACATACTACTATCAAACTCAAGTATTTCGCTCAATACATTCAACCGATATGTTTATATACCAACCTATTTATTTGATGCCGATCTCTATAACTCCACTCTAACCATTGAGTACCTCATGAGTTATACTCCAGCAATGTCCATCAATTTAAATTTATATGAAAACAATAACGTTGGAATCGGTGGAGTTTTGGTAAATACCAATATCTCCCTCAAAAGCTTCAGCTATAATAATTTTTTTAACATGGTATATAATTATTCAAACGATAATATTATTTTAATTCCGTATTAATCTCGATTATTCTTTATGTACAGACCACCTTTATTGAATCAACTATCTCTCTAAAAGGATACATACGTACGTCGAATAATTTCTCCTTTACAACTTCCAATGTTTATTTTTATGGAATAATTGACAGTGATGGAGTTACCCAAGATACTTGTAATATAATAGCTCACAATCTTATTTTTGACCGTTCAAAATTCACGCCATTTTGCAACTATATTGCTGGGTTCAATTCAATTCAGATTTTAAACAGCAGTGTAGTTTTAAACAATTCATTGACTATAGATACTGATTTCTATTCAGATACATTAACCACCTTTACTTTTACTTTACATACAAACGATATCTTCACACAAGGTAATATTTAAATATTTATTCAAACGATCTGCTCTAATATTCATATTCTCTTTATTTTTATATAGTTTCGTTAAATACTATTCCATATTATCAATTCACTTCATCGATTTTTATCAATTATAATTTTTCATCGATTGTGGATGGATTTGAAATTCCACTTATTAAATTCGCAAAGTTGGATAGGACCACTGACAATATCACCATTAGTAATAGAGTTACCTATTTTTCATTCTCCAACGACACCAGCATATATGAGAAAGTTCCAATTTTCAATGCGGATACCTACTACCGTGACCCATATATTTATACTAGGTTCTCATTGGTAGGCTATGTTACTTTGCCACCAACAGTGACACCAACACCAACCAAAGATTCACCTTCATCACGACCCTCCAACACAACGATTGTATTCTCAATCGTGGGGTCTGTACTGGCGCTAATTATTACAGCAACCATCATCACAGTCATCAAGTTTGTCAAAAACAAAAAAGCAAAGAGAATCGATGCAATGAAAATGACACCCCACGAAGAGAACTACATTACAGAAAAAGGAAAATGGATCGGTATGTTGTCTCCACACACAAAAGCTTTAGTTACCATACAACCAACCGAAAAGGAATTTAATGGGGAATATTTACCAAACACATCATTAGAGATTGAACCAAAAGAGATTGAATAAACCAATTTAATTAGCCACCAATATTAGTTTTCTATTAGTATTTGGAGTTTACTTTATTTGTTTTTAAAGAAATGCAATTCTCATGTTAAATTGTATATTTTAAAAAAAGAATTACTTACTTTGCAGAGGCACCAAATGTTAATTCAGCAGCAATACTCCATTTACTTTTCTTTTCATCAGTGTCAATACTTTCAGAGGTTGTTGAAATTTGAACCAACTTTCCACCCATATATGCACTTGAATAATAATATGTTCCATATTTATCAAATATTTTCAAAAGATCTGATTTTTGTTCGATTGTTGCAAGATCTTTCAAGAACATTGGATGGAATTTTATTCTTTTTTCATCCATTTCAATATATGTTGTTGTACAATTAAGTTCTGTCACAAATACATTTTTTGTTGATGATTGTGATTGATCTCTTGCTGTTTCAATTGATCCATCAAGTGAGAATCCACCTTTGAAATCGATCAATTCTTCTTTGAAATCTCCTAAAACTTCTAAACCTATTTTTTAAAATTGTTAATTTTTGGTAAAATATTTGAAATATTCTATTTAAATTTTCTATACTTACCAGCTTCTAATTGGAACTCTGTTTGATATTCAGAAAATGAATTATAAATTTTTAATATAGAGTTTAATAGTTTTGAGATACTTTACAATATTAATTTGGTGAGAAACTCCAGAAACTAAATAGATTTCAAATGGGAAATCAAAATTATTAGTTTGAGCTACATCCAAATATTTGACACCATTGATCCTCAAAGAGAATCCAAGATTCTTTCCTTCAAATCCGAATTTAACTTTCATTGAATTATCCATGTGTAAATATCCAGTTAGAACACCATAAACCTTTCCTTCATGACCATTCAAGAAATCTTCAATTGTATTGTCTGGAACAATCTTTTTGAATACTTTAAAAAATTTAAAAATAAAAAACAATGTTAAATACAATAAAAATATGAAAAGAAAATTTTATATATTAATTTTAAATACATACAAAGACCAGATGGATTTAGAACATCATAAAATGCTTCATATAACATTCCTGTTGTAAATACTTTTGAAAAAATAGAAAAAGATTAATATTGGAATTTAATTTACAAAAAACTACACTTACTTGTTGTATCGTCAACAATACTTGGAATTACGCCAGTAAATGAACAAGTATCAGAGGCAGAATCACAATATGATTTTGATTTAGGGACAATTGGACGGTCACCAGTAAAATTATATTCAAATTATATACCGAGTTGGAAACATTTGAAGTTACCAGGGATCCCTATGAATTCGCTGGATTTGGACTTATTTCTTTCGATCCAAAAGAATATCTAGGTGATATCCTTGGAATTTCTATAAACAGAATAGTGGCAGCGAAGGTAGATAATATCTATTCACTAACAGTACGTTGGGTTCTTGTCATGCAACAGTGTCCTGACACTGATAAAATTACCAGTAACTGTGTAAGCAAGAAGGTTCTATCAATTAATAATGGATATTCAAAGGGCCTTCGTCTCGCCAGTGGGAAAATTCGAATATGCATTAGATGAAAAGCCAGTCTTTGTCTTTTGAATCTGTTTCGTTTAGGAGATTCTCCTATTTATACGGCCTATTATTAACTTTTGAAAAAAAACAACTTGAATAGATTTGTTTGAATCAAAAAAAATTAAAGTGTTAAAAGGTTGAGATGAACCTTTTTCAAAATTAATATTTTACCAAAGACAACAAAGATAAAATAATTATTCTAATTCTCCATATTTAGAAATGATTCATAGAGAGGATATAGTGACCTATTTTGTTGGGTTTATTTAACTTTTTGTTCATGTAGACTGTAGTTCTACCTATCAATTAATTTCAGTTGAATATCATAGTTTATGTAATATTAAAAATTGTTTATTAAACCCCAAGAAAATATTTTTTGTTTTAGTTTAACTTACAAATAAGAATCTTTGTGATGACTGATTGATTGTGTAACTAGTTTAATATTATATTGATCGGATCTGGTACAAGATCGTCATTCATCTTCACCTTTACCAAAAATAGAAGCTCTTTGATTGGCTTCTAGATATTTACCATCAGTTGTAGTTTTTATTTAAATCTTAACGAGTTTATAGAGTAAATTTGATCTATGAATCCTTTTTAAAAACTCCAAGAATTTTTGAATTAAATTTATTAGTTATTTGTTTTTTTGTTTTTATGAAAATCATTAAGATGAAAATTCATAGAATTCAACAGATGGATTTGGTGAGTTGAAGTTGAATGGATCGACAATTGTTCCACTTCCTCCATCTCTTGGATGGTTGTAATTGTCAAAAGAGAACCATTTGGAGGGTACATCCTTATTCAATGGTTTCAATGGGAAGTAGTTGTCAACAGCAACTAGATCGCTATAACTTTGAAGCTCTGGATTCTCGAGAATATGATAATAGTAAACTTTTGATTTCCATTCAGTGGTAGTTTTGTTGTTCACTGTGTATAAAAGGTAGTCAACTCTGAATTGTGATGCACCAGTCCATTCTCTATGGAATGTATAGAATCTTGTGACAGGTTTATCCTTTTGTGATGACAATGTAATATCAATTCTGAATCTATTGTAGAAATTGAAATCTTTGGAATTGGCTTTTGAAACTGTGTAAATATAGTTATAGAAAGAATCTCTTGAATTTCCAGCTGTTCCAATGTATGTTTCAAAGGAACCTTTGTCGCTTGTTGTCGAAGTCAATGTTGTTCGAGCTGATTCAAATTGGTATATTCCTCTTCCAGTATTTGGGCTAAAGGTACTCAAAACAGATTCAACTCCAGTTGTTCTTTTTAATTTAATTGCTTCACCAGTATACCAAGAAATTAGAGTTGATTCACCTAGAATTGAAAAAATTGTCAGGATTTTAAGGTTTTCAAAGTTGTATTGGTATAAATATTTACCTATATAATTAATTCCAAATATATAAATATCAGGTTTTTTGGCACTCTCCATGAAATTTGGTCCATAGAAATCAACTCTGAATAGTGTAGGAGTAACTTTGTTTGTTGGATCACAGGTTTTACTTTCGGTTGCGGTTCCGGAGAGCGAAACACTGGGATTATTAACACATCTTGGATCTATTGGACTGGCTGTTTGGTAAGAATAAGGGAAAAGGTATTCGGTTTCGGTTCCATCAGGGTCATAATACACAAATTTAATTGGTGTTTTGAATATTTCAGTCACTGCTTTGTTGGTCCATTTAACTTGCAATTCTATGTCACCTGGTAACGATTGTGGAAGATTGGTAACACTTATGAAATCAAAAATCAAAGAATATTTGAAATCTTGAGGTTGTTGAACTAAATAATATCAATTAGTATATTGATTATCTAAAGGAATATATAAACATACTTGGATTGATACGATTCATTTGATAATAGATCTTCTCCATATTTTCCCAAAGTTCAAAAACTTCGGATGTTTTTGATCCAAGTTTGATGGTCCATTTAGTATCTTTGAGTAAATCACTTATTGGTTTGACATTGTATCCAATTGGTACTGGTAATAGATCGATTGAAGATGACCAACCACGATATGTTGTGGCTTGGAAACTATCAGATGGTGCAAATGACGCAGGTGGTCCACCGTAAGTGATGATACTTGAATATGTTGATTTACTTTCAACTTCAGACATTGACTCTTCTTCAGATGACATTCCAAAGTTGATACTTGAACTTCCTTCTCCATTAAAACCTGGTACACTATAATTTTTGATAGTAAAAATTAATTTAATCTAAGAAAATTAAAATTTTAATAAATTATCACTTACTTTGCAGAGGCACCAAAAGTTAATTCAGCAGCAATACTCCATTTACTTTTCTTTTCATCAGTGTCAATACTTTCAGAAGTTGTTGAAATTTGAACCAACTTTCCACCCATATATGCACTTGAATAATAATATGTTCCATATTTATCAAATATTTTCAAAAGATCTGATTCTTGTTTGATTGTTGCAAGATCTTTCAAGAACATTGGATGGAATCTGATTCTTTGATCATCCATCTCAATATATGTTGTAGTGCAATTGAGTTCTGTCACAAAAATATTTTTGGTCGATGATTGTGATTGATCTCTTGCTGTTTCAATTGATCCTTCAAGTGAGAATGCACCTTTGAAATCGATCAATTCTAACTTGATATCACCTGAAGTTTTCAATCCTATTTTAATTAATTTTTAGTTAATTATTCATAACATATTATTTCTTTTTGGGTATCATCATATTTGAACTATTCTATTTAAATTTTCAATACTTACCAGCTTCTAATTGGAACTCTGTTTGATATTCAGAAAATGAATTATACATTTTTGTGGAGGTTGAATAGGTGCATATTGGAAGAGATTTGATGTTCAATGATGGTGGGATTTCATATGCCATCATTCTGTATGGATCTTCAAGAATATTGTTGGCAACTTCAACACAATAATCAAATTGGAATACTGGTGCTTTTGATGGTTGTCCACTGAGAATACTCATTCCATAAGTGAAATGTTCAGATCCTGGAACATTCCAAAGATATTGATTCTCAACAAGATCACCAATCATTCCACCAACATTTCCAAGAGGACTGATATGATCTTTCTTCTTTGGAATCTCACAATTTTGTGATATTTCATTGAAACAATCTTGGAAGTTCAAATGGTAATCTTTGTCACCACAAACTCTGTCTTCTCCTGGCTTTGTTGGATCATAAATTGAATCTATAGAATAAAAAAACGACTTTAATAAATTGTTTTCAAAAATTGAATAAATTTTATAGTAGTTTTAGTACATGAGTCTTCAATACAATAATCCAAATCATCTTGAACACCATCACCACAAACTATAGTTTGTTAATAAGATTAGTAAAATATTTATAAAATAACAAAAGTAAAATTAGTTTCTAAAATACATACTTTTTTTAGTATAGAATATTCTGTAATCATGTGAGATTTGATACAATTTGAATGAACGACCAACTCCTGTTGTATCCGAACTTAAAGTCTAAAATAGAATTATTAGAGCTAAATTTTTAATATAGAGTTTAATAGTTTTGAGATATATTACAATTTGAATTTGATGAGAAACTTTTGAAACCAAATAGATTTCAAATGGGAAATCAAAATTGTTTGTTTGAGCAACATCCAAATATTTGACACCATTGACCTCCAAAGAGAATCCAAGATTCTTTCCTTCAAATCTGAATTTAACTTTCATTGAATTATCCATGTGTAAATATCCAGTTAGAACACCATAAACCTTTCCTTCATGACCATTCAAGAAATCTTCAATTGTATTGTCTGGAACAATCTTTTTGAATACTTTAAAATAAAAATTTAAAAATAAAAAACAATGTTAAATACAATAAAGATATGAAAAGAAAATTTTATATATTAATTTTAAATACATACAAAGACCAGATGGATTTAGAACATCATAAAATGCTTCATATAACATTCCTGTTGTAAATACTTTTGAAAAAATAGAAAAAGATTAATATTGGAATTTAATTTACAAAAAACTACACTTACTTGTTGTATCGTCAACAATACTTGGAATTACGCCAGTAAATGAACAAGTATCAGAGGCAGAATCACAATATGATTTTGATTTATATTTAGCGAGACATCCTTTATCACATGTGATATATTGAGTGATATCAACTTGATCATCAAGTTTGATGTTTGAATTTTTACATCCAATATATGTTGGTTTTGCATTAGTTGCTCCAGTGAATTTTGTTGTCGATAGAATTTGGAATTTTGAAGAAATCGAATAGATTGCAGATCCTAACTCCAAAGCAACATTTTTATCAAAAATAGAAGAATAAATTACATTATTACTTGAAATTGAATAGATTGCACCACCGAATGAAGCAATATTTCCAGTGAACGTTGTTTTTGTGATGGTTGTCATTGAATTTTCAATTGTTAGAGCACCTCCCAGAGAAGAAGAACAATCTTGAATGGTTACATCACTCAATAAAAATTCTGTATCTTTGACAAAGAAAGCATTTCCAGTCTTTTTACAGTCAATTATTACCACTCCAATTCTAAAAAAATTAAAATTATTAATTAATAAAATAAATATTTTATTTGATCTGATTCTAAACTTACGATTTAATTTTAATTGGTCTGTCGATATTTATACCAGTATTGAGAACACCAGTGTAAGTACCTGCATTCAATTGGATGATCGTACTTTTTCTTTGAGTTAAAGAAATTGAATTAATTGCACTTTGAATATTTGTAAAAGGTTTGGATGATGTTCCATCACAAGTGGATCCACAAGTTGAATCAAGTTTAACAAACAAATCTATTAAAATTTAATAAATATTTGTTTTTTAATTTAGTTCAAAAAAAAATTAATTGAGTTGAATAACATACCTGCTTTTATTAGAGATAGTGATAAAACTATCAATAAAATATGTATTACTTTCATTTTTAATAAAGTAAATCTGAATTAAAAAATAAAAAGATTTTTTATTGTTTCTATCAAAAATATTACAAATACAATTAAATACGATTTTTTTTTTTAAATAAATAAATTATTATTTTTGTCAAATAGAACGAGAAAAGTCTTTACATAAAAACCGAGGTGTTGTTTTTCAAAAAAGTCAATTGCTTTTTGCTGATTTGATCTTTTTTAATATCCCTTTTTCACGGCTTACCCATAAGATTCACAAAATAAAAATGTAAAAAATATTTTATAAAAAAAAAATTTGGTTTTGTTTGATCAAACATAAAAGGAGATCTAAATATGGATTGCAAATCTATTCTATTTATTTTTTTAAGATATCAAAAATTGTAACAATTTTAAACTGTTTATTTTGTTTTTTGAATGGAAGTGCAAATATTAGAATATGATTTGTTTGCAAGACTCACCCTTTTAGATTTTCAAACTATCAAAGGTTTAGCTTCTGAAGAACCTTCATCATATACTTTCATCAAAAAAAAACAATCTTTTTTAAACGAGGAACATTCAAACCTTTTTGTAAACAAAAAAGGAAATCGAAATTGTTTTTTGTACATCATAGAACGAATGAATTATTATTTTTTGTATTTTTTTGAATTATAATTTAATAGATATTGTCATAAAGATGAGAGTACGGTAGTCTTAATATTTTTTTGATTTCATTTCAGAATTAAATTATTATAAAAATGAAATATTATATATATATAATGCTTTTATTATTTATCTCCTTAACTCAAGGTATATAATTGAATATCTTAAAAATAATTCAAATCCCAGACTGACTAACATTCTTAAATAAATACAAAACATCATCATTTTTTTTTCTTAGTTTTTGGAGTTTATATTGATCCAAATTCAAACTGTGCTGGTGATAACGGATGTGGTACTTATGATAAGCCATTTCCAGACATTCAATCTGCTTTGAATTCAAATAAAGATAAGTCTGACATGTCAATCACTGCTATGCCTGGTGTCTATAAAGGAATAAACAACAAAGAATTAAAAGTCAATTTCAATGTTGAACTTAGGTAGGTTTAAAATTGAAAATTAATTTATTTTTTTTTGTTTAGGATTTATTATTAAAAATATTATCATACTCTAGATCTTTTGAAGGAGATTCAAAAACAATCATTGATTGTGAGAATGCTGGAAGTGCTTTCACTCTCAAATCAATTAATTTTGTTTTGAATGGATTTACAATCACCAATTGTAATTCACAATATGGAGGTGCTCTTAATGTCTTGGATTCCACTTTGAAACTCGAAAGTTCCAAGTTAATCAACAACAAAGGATATCAAGGTGGTGCACTCTATTCCTCTAGATCAAGTATTAATATAGTAGACTCAAAGATTTCAAATAATGTTGCATTGGATAAAGGTGCAGCAATCTATTTGTCAGAATCATCATCGAATATTGTTAAATCTGTTTTAAATTGCAATACTGGAAATGAAGTCCAATTGATTGGATCTTCAATGATGTTATATTCAACAGGTCTCGAAGATGTTGCAGTGAATTGTGATGCTTCATCATCAATCGATTCTGACGATGGTGCTTTATATTGTTCTAAAGTACAAGAACAAAAATGTGCTGCTCCAAAAACCTTTTCAACTCCATCAGGCTTAACAAGTTCAGCCAGTGCATCTAGTAGTCAACCTGGGTATATTTCAATTCAACCTGGATGGAAGTTTAGATCATTCGAATCTTGTATCATTCCAGAACCAGATAGTAAGGTATTCAAAGGTGAAATCAATGATCCAACTGGATGTACTAAATTATCAACAAATTATTTGATTACACCTGGTATGTTTTTAATTTTATTAATTATTAATATATTCATTTTATTAATTATACTTTTCAAATAGAATTTAGCAATTGGATTGGATCAGCAAAATGTCCAGTTTCAGGTATTTTAGAATCAGATATCAAAATCAACAAGACAATTGATTATGATTTCAAGTTGGAAGCAACCAATCTTGGAGTTGTTGTTTATGTTGATAATACAGTTCTTTTTGATTCATACTTTTCAAATGAAAAGATCAAATCATTCAGAACCAAATTATTATCATCGAAACAAGAATATCATTCAATCACAATTTTGATATTCTCAGCATCGAGTGGTCAAAGATCTTTAAGTTTGAAATGGAAGAGTTCTGATTCTGGTGAATATCAATCTTTGAATTCATATTTGGTTCTAAAAGAATCGAAACCAGCACCAATATGTGGTGATAAGATTTGTAATGAAGCTCCTGAAAGTTGTTTATTGGATTGTTTTGATCAAATCGTTAATGATTGTTCTGGTAAATATTTTTAATTTATTCATTTTATTTAAAATGAAAACAATCTAACTTTTCATTTTAAATTTTTAATAAATATATAAATAGGACAAGCACCACCAATTGGACTTGGAAGTAGATTCAAAGGAGGAATGTCAAACATTCAAACTCAAATTTTAGACAATTATTACCTTTTCACATTGCCAGGATTGAATTATATGGGTCATGGAGTTGATCTCGAAACAATGGAAGATAATGCAGCACCTTTATTCTCGATTTCATATTGCAGCAATCAATCATTTTCAACATTGGAAGATCAATATCGTGATATGGTTTATGAGCGATTCCACATGGATTCTCTGCTCAGAAATCAATCAAATGTGATTATTCAACAATGAGTAGTTTCTCATCAACTTCAAAATCATTTTCATATGAGAAAGGAATTGAATTTGGAATTCATAACCAAGCCAATTTAGAAATGGATTTATGGTTTGCTGAAGCATCACTCCAATTAGCATTTTCATTGGATGTTGGAGTACAATTTGCTGGAGGATTCGATTCAACAGTTTCTGGATCGATTGCATCAACCAAATTCAAATGTGAAATCTATAAAGTACACAATAATGATCCGAAATTCCATCCGAAATTCATTCAAGATATTTCAAAAGTCGAAAGTGTTGATGATATGATGAAATATGTGAAGAAATATGGAATCTTTTACAAAGAAACCGCAACTCTTGGTGGAACTCTTGAACAAATTTCAAAAGTCAGTCAAGTCAACTTTGCATCAAGATCATCAAACTCACTTGATATCAATCTTGCATTGTCTTTTGCAGCACAAGCATCTGGATTTGGAATGAAAGGTGGTGGAAATTTGGCAGCATCTTTGACAGCCTCAACGAGTGAAGCTAAACAAAATGGTTTTGAGAAAACATCAAGTTTCTCTCGAATCATTGTTAAAGGAGGATCACCAGGATCATATGGTTCAAATGTAGCCAATCCAATTCAATCATGGGCAGAGAATCTTGATCTTCTTCCAATGCCAATCGATTACAAAGTTAAATATGTTGTTGATCTCATTCCTGATAGTTGGTTTATTGCAAGTGGATTGAATGTTAAACAACTTTGGAGAGATGCTCAAAGAAAATTATATGTTGGTAAATTTGCTGAACAACCCAATTCTTTTTATGACGATGATACTTTAAGTAAGTTTTTAAAACTAAAATATGGCGACTTTAGTATACTAACAAAACTTTATTTTTTAGCTACTATTGGCAAAACTGAAGGGTTATTTATACGTCAACTTTCTTTCCTAGTAACAACTTACACTGGTATCTCTTTCTTTACATCTGATGGAACTAAATATCATGTAAGAGAACATGCATTCACTGGTCGAATGATATCTAATATAGGTGCCGCAGAAATCACGAATATGGAATCAACTATTAAGAAACCTGATTTATTTATTAATACCCAAAAATTCATATCATCTTCCGATTGTTATTATCAAACTAAAGATGGAAACTTCTTTGATTTTACAGGACTTATAAAATATGGAAATGATAATTTTGTATCTAAATATCAAGATGTAAGTTGGCAGTTGAAATGTTCTATTTTTTTTTTAATTTAATTTTGACTTTTTTTTAAATAGTATACTGTATATTTCAACCTATGCGGTGTATCCCAAAAATGTAACTCCTTGGAATCTAGAACTGATTCACAAGCTTGTAAGATAACTGCTGATGGTACCAAAGTTTATTCATTAGGCTTGAACACTAAAGCAGAGGTTTCACCTATTGCTGATGGTCTTTCTTTGAAATATACAGGTGCGGTTGATGCTTCTTCGTGTGGTGCTGGAAAGGCTAGAATTGTAACTTACAATTTCTTATGTGATATGACCGGCATCGGATTTGTTGTAGGTGATTTGGTAGGAACTTCAACATGTCAATACGAAATCACTATTAAATCCAGCTATGCATGCCCTACCGTCAGAATCTACGATGTTTTCACAGGCAGATTTTACAGAATGAGGATTATGTCCTTTTTGACAGATACTAAAGTTCTAATGGCAACCGTAAATCACCCACCTAATCATATTCAGGTCAGAATCAAATTTGAAACAGATGTATGGACCGGAGACAGCAAAATTGTATTCAGATTGTATACCGAATTCGAAACACTTGAAGCTACTAGATATCCTAGTGAAATCCCTGGATCAGGACTTATTTCGTTCGATCCAACAAAATATCCTGGTGATCTTCTTGGACTTTCTATTGACAGAGTTGTGGGATCGGCGGCTGCTGATAATAGATATTCACTAAAAGTACGTTCGGTTCTCGCAATGCAACAATGTCCTGACAAAGACAAAAAGATTACTAGTGATTGTGTAAGCAAGAAGGTTCTTTCAATTGAGAATGGATATGCAAGAGCATTCGTCTCACCTATAGGAAATTTCGAATATAAAAATGATGAAAAGCCAGTTTTTGTCCCTTTGAATCTATATGGTATATCTAGCTCTTATGCTATCTACGAATAAACAACATGAACAAATCAATAAAGATTAAATTATGTTTAAACTATATTAGAAAAAAAAATTTTGTTTTTCTTAGTGGATATTTTTTTTTATAGGCGTATCAGTGGTTTAGCGTAAAATTCGTATCCTAACAATGCTAGAGTCGGTTGAACCTATCATTTTCTATCTTTAATGTTATTGAGATGAGTTGGTCTATCATTGGAATGCGTTCAAAGAATTGGGTTGATCTTGTTTTTGACGAGTATCAAAAGTGATGCACTACAACTAGTCAATTGGTGGATTCCAAAGCTGGTTGCACTACAGAAATAACAAAATGGATCAACTTTAACTAAAACACTTCTTGATAATTTCAATGTTTTCAATAAAAAAAAGGCAACCCAGAAAAAAAAATATTTTTGAAACACAAAACGAACACAATTTTGATGATTTCTACACAACAATTAAGTTTGATTTGTGTTTAACTTTTTACAATTTTTGTTTTTATTTTATTTTTATAAGTTTAAAATTATTTTTTTGACACTCTGTGACAACCAATCGAGACCCTCATAAAGTCCGCTTCCAGACAATGCTACAGTTGGTTGGACATACCATTTTCTGTCTTTAATGTTATTGAGCTTGAGTTGGTCGATCAATTGGGATGCGTTCAAAGCATTTGGTTGATCTTGTTTGTTGAGGAATATCAAAAGTGATGCGTTCGTCAAGGAGTGCTCCAATGTTATTCTGGTGATTTCCTCTTGAACCTCTGGCAGTCTTTCACGATCGGTACCATCTATAACAAATATAACAGCAGTGCTACTCTCATAGTAGTGTCTCCAGAGAGTTCTGATCTTGTACTGTCCACCAACATCCCAAACTGTGAAATTGATATTTTTATATTCGACTATAAATAAATAATAATAGAATATATTAGACGTCTAATATTGATAAATGATCTCGTAAGACATGCAAGATAACACTAACATACCTGTTTCAACATTAAATCCTATTGTTGGAATTGTGGTGACTACTTCACCTACTTTTAATCTATATAATAAAGTGGTCTTACCAGCACCATCCAGTCCTATCATCAAAATACGATGATTGGCCTTTGGGTCGAATAATTCAACGATTTTAGTTAAGAGTAATCCCATTTCTCTATTTATTGTTTATTGGATATTGCTTTAACAAACTTGTAGTATATTAAATATATTTATATTATATGATTGATACATTTTGATTGGAATTACAAAGATATATATAGTAAACATAACTATTGTTAAACAACTCAAATTAATCTATCTGGCTTGTTGCAATGTTTTTTTTTTTGTAGTCATCATCTAAACAATTAATTGTCAACTACATAAAAAAACCACGTTTGTCTTTTTTTTTTTTTTTTGCAATTATTTTTTACAAATTAAATTAAGAAAAAGTGTTCGTTGTTAGACAAAGAAAAGTTAAACTTACTTGAACCAGTATGACATTTGAAGTTGAGAAAATAAATAAACATATAAATAAGTAAAAATATCATTAAATAGTTAAATATATTTAAATAAATACATTATTACAATTATGACTGGTCATATTTAAACAGTATTAAAATGATCATAATTAGTACTCTGAGGATGATGTCGTGATGGTTTTAGTTATAACTCTTTGCTCATCATCTCTGATCAGAGTTGCATTATCGTCTGTTTTTTTTTTTTTGAAATGACTGGTATGGTTTTTCAAGATCTAAGGCTGTTTTTGTTTGCAATTTTTTATAAGAAAATTTTTGTGTGCCTTTTAATCAAAAAAAAACCGAAAAATTAATCAAAATAATTTAAATAAATCAAAAACCCAATTTTTTGCACTGGTCGACCAGAGATTAGATTTTTTTTTTTGTCGTATCACCAAAAAATGATTGAAATTAGGAACTAAAAAAAAATTTCATTCTAGACCAGGTCAAAAGGTGGTGTTTGGGAAACCATGCCTCCCAAAAATTTCAAATAGTATTTATTGAAAAGTTATTATTCCAAATTTCAATTCATTTACTTTCCACAAACAACATTCCACACATACCTTTCGATTCTTATCTTTAAGTCTTCTCACTTTGTTGTTTGTTTCCGTCCTCTACATTAGCAACAAAATCTTTCATCGTTCGTCTTTCTTTAATACCGATTATTTAAAAATCTACAATACATTGCACTTACAATTAAAGTCTTAATTAATCATTTCATTTATTTATTTATTTAGCAAAGTTTTTTTTTGTATATAAACATTATCAACTGTTGACAACAAACAACTGCATTCAATTCCAATCATCAGACCAATCACCAAATTTTTCAATTTAATTTTCATTCTCTTCTAAAAGAATCGATTTGCAAATTTTGACAAATCAAAGTAAAATTCAATCAACAAACACCCACACCCACTTCTAAATTTAATTTAATATTGGTCAGAGTTATTTTTGATTAACCAGAGATTTAAAATATATATTCAAATAACAAAAACATATTTATTATTTATTTATTTTGTAAAAACAGATATATCTATATTTTCTTTTAAATTTTATACTTTTTGGTGATTAGCATTGTTTAATGTCACCGCCTTCTTATCAGAGACTCCTAGACGATGGAGTTGACGAGAGAAAATTGTCTTATGGTACATTGGTTTCTGAGAGTTCGACACCATATGAAAAGCCACCCAAGTTTTATTTTCCAAGGAGATTCTTCATGTTGATCCTTGGTAATATTGGTCTGACAATATGTTACCTTCTTAGAGTTAATGTGTCTGTTGCAATTATACCAATGTCAACCGTAAGTATTTATTAATAAATTCGAAAATTGAAATTATTCTGACTGATAGTTTGTTCATTTAGGAATATGGTTGGTCTGATAATTTCAAAGGATTTGTTTTATCTGCTTTTTTCATGGGTTATCTAGTGCTGCAGATGCCAGCAACCTTTTTATGTAACAAGTTTGGTGGCAAACGTGTATTTTTAGTTGGTGTCACTATTTCGATTATTTGTACCATTTTTGTACCTCTAGCTGCTCAAAACAGGGCCGCTATGATGATTTGTAGAATTTTGACTGGTATCACTCAGAGTATTGCTTTTCCAACTATGAATTGGTTGATTAAAAGGTGGTTCCCTGTCACACAAAGAAGTGCTTCTGCCTCTTTAATTTGGTCGGGTGTCTATCTTGGTACTATCTTGGGTGATGTAAGTAACCAATTAATTGTTAAAAATTTCTATTTATTCCAAAACTTACATTTTTTTTTTAATTTTAATTAGATTATCACACCAAATCTCGTAGCTAAATATAATTGGCAAATGAGTTTCTATTTATTCTCGGGATTGGGAATGTTGTGGTCACTGGCTTGGTTGATTTTAATCAAAGATGAACCAAAGAGTGTATGGGGAATTCATCCAAGTGAGGTCTATATGATCAACTCTGAGTATGAGCACGACAGACAATCGTTGCTCTTAAACAATCCATCCTATGAGAAAATCAACAACAAGGACAACGAAGAACTTGGATTCCTCGAGGTCTGCAAATATCTCTTTAAGGAGAGTGGAATCTATGCGATTCTTTTATACAATCTTACAACTTCATGGGGTTATTATTTATTGTTAATGTGGTATCCAACGTATGTAAATTTAAATAATTATTTAAACTCCATTTTTTCTTATAACAATTTATTAATTAATAATTATTTTTAATTATACTATTTCAGTTGGTTACAAAGAGAAATTGGATTATCAGTTGGAAATGAAATGGCCTTCTTTACTGCTTTGCCATATATTGTAGCGTTTGTTATCTCCAATGTTTGTGGAACCATCTCTGATCGTCTGTTGAAACGCGGATTCAGAAAGATCATTTTGAGAAAGTTCTTTGGTGTGATGAGTACTCTAATTCCAGGTGTTGGACTAATTCTCATCAATTGGGTACCAATGGAAAAGGCCTTGAAGCTGTTTGTAATGACCGTTTCGATCTCCGCCACCGGTTATTCATCGGTCAGTTCACAGATTGCCACCATTGATTTGTCACCAAACAACGCTGTCATTGTCATGGGTATTGCTAATTTTGTAGGAACGATTCCAGGTGTTCTGGGGCCACTGTGTGCCGGTTTGCTTTTAGCCAAATTTGGTAGTTGGGTCTACATCTTCCTGATATGTTCAGTTTGCTATTTCTTTGCCATGACTGTTTGGGTACTTTTTGCCAAGACCGACAAAGTTATTTAAAAACTCGAATAAACATATAACTATTTTATTTATAATATATTAAATTTAAAAAAAAAATAGATTTTTAAAACTGTTAATACATTTATTATTTTTTATTGATGGTGTTTTGGATTTGCTTTTTTCTTTTCTTTTTGTTTGTTTGAAATTATTTCTTATTTAATGTATATGTTATGTATATATGGTTTTGTTTTCTAGTGATAACAAGATTAATAATAATTAAAAGATTAATCTTTATTTAAATTACAAATGTATTTTTGATTTTTGTCTCTCGGCAACAAAGCTTGCCAACTTTGCCTTTGGTAAAGCTTCAGTTGATCCTTTCTGTATTTAGTTTGTATTGATTGAAAAAGTAATTAGAGAAGAGAATTGGAATTAATTAGAATTTGATTGTTATTGTTTGGATTGGTCGAGGTAATTGTAAACTTACACTTAATAACCAAGGGTGATTTAATGCATCTTCAGCAGACAATCTTGCTTTGGCGTCAACGACAAGCAACTTGTTGATAAAATCTTTGGCGGCCGATGAAATGTGTGACCAATACTCCTCTGGATATTCAAAGTTTGCCTCCATAATGAACTCAAAGATCTCTGGAATGGTGTCACCATAGAATGGTGGGAATCCACACAACAGGATATAGGTGATGACACCGACACTCCACATGTCGACCTCCTTGTCGTAACCGGTGGCATTCAACACTTCCGGTGCGACATAGCTTGGTGTTCCACAAGCGGTTTGCATCATTGTCTCCTGTGAAACCAACTTGGAGAGACCAAAGTCGGCGATGGCAACTTCGAGGTCAGACGAAGCTGTCTTGAGCAATAAGTTCTCTGGCTTCAAATCACGATGTGCAATGTTGGCGTTGTGCAAATACTGTACGGCACTCACAATCTTTCTTACCAACTGGACAGCGTCTGCCTCGCAATAACTTCCTTTTTCAACAATCTTATCAAATAATTCTCCACCTGTAACTCTGTTTTTATTATAATTATAATCATTGTTATTATACAAATTTATAAATGAATATTAAACATATTATTTATAAAGAATATTATTTTTATATGTATTATTTAACTACTTACAACTCCATAACTAAATAAAGATTATTTGGGGTGTCGAATAACTCTTTCAAGGCGACGATATTTGGATGGTTTACACGTTTCAAAATATCGACTTCCATCTTTAAATTCTTTTCATAGTCCTTTCCAAGATTTGATTTATTGATGACCTTGATGGCATATTGTAGTTGGGTCTCTCTGTGTACACCTAAATAAACGATTGAGAATGCACCTCTATAGTTTCAAATTATAAAAAATGTTAATATTATTAATTACTCTATAAATTAAATTAAAAAAAAAAAAACAAAACTACTCTCTCTCTCTCACTATCTTCACTAACATCTAAAAATGATGATCATCATCATTCTTCTTTTTCTTATTTTTATTATTATTATTATTCTTCTGATTATTACCTTCCAAGTTCATTCTTAAACTCATATATACTTTCAATATCAACCATTTTTGGTAATAAATATTAATTATTAAACTAACTAACTATAGTTTTATATATAAATTATATATAAAATCAACTAAAATGCTACTATTAAATTTTATTAATAAAATTTGGATGGGTTTTGGTGTGTCAAAAAAAAAAACAAATAAATTGCAAAAAAAAAAAAATGCCCCAAGAAAAAAAGGTTTCAAATTTTTTGATAAATTGAACAAAAAAAAACCCACCAATCACACTTTAGCACTCTATTATGTTTAATGCTAATTAATTTTAAACTTATAAGTTAATATGTTGTTTTTTTAATTAATGTTTGTTGTTTGTAGTTGAACTTTTAAACAAATAAATAAATAGTTTAGTTTTGGTTTTATTTCTATTTTTTAAAATTTACAAAAAAAAATAATTAAAAATAATCAAATAAAATAAAGACTTTTTTTTTTTGGTATTTTTTTAAATTTTGTTAAAGATCGGAAAAATGGAAAAGATTTTATTTTTTTAGTATTGAAATTTAAATCTAGATTAAAATAATTATATAAATAGTTTAGTTTATACTATATAGCATAGTTCTTCTCTTCAATCACATAAAAGTTTAATAGTTGTAGGTGGATTTAATTTATATTATTTTTTTATCTAATTTTCACTTCAGTGTTCCAAATTGATTTCGCAACCCAACATCATAATACATTTTAATATTTCCTTCTGAACAATGTAAAAATGGCATTGTCAACTCTATATATCATAATTTAATCAATCAGTGTTAACTTTATCAACTTTGGAAACAAAAAAGAAAAAAAAAAAATAAGATTAAAAAAAAACGAAACATAACAAAACAAATGCAAACGATAGAGAAGTGGAGCCGAATTGATTGCATTACTGCTGTCTATTTAGTTACCATCTAGATTGTAAACAAACAATCAACTAATTCTAATTCTAAAAAAAAAAAAAAAACAAACAAATAAAACAGTCGATCTTTGTTGCAACTACACTGAACAGCAACAACAATTACATTATCAACAATCCACACGATGTGATTTTGTTGAAATTTTCACGACAACAACAAACAAACAAACAAACAATACACACCAATCAATTTGTTGAGCAGGGTTAGTAGTCGTTGGTATTTAAGCTACTGAGAATAGTATGATGTATCAACAGTTGATGTTGTAAATGAAAATCGATTGCATAACAAAATAAAAGAGATTTTAAATCGATTTAAAGTTAAACATTCATCACTCCTTTGATCATCATCATCATCATCACTAAATTACATCAGAATTTCAGAGCTCTTTCTTTTTCATTCCACATAACCACTTTTACATCTTCATTTTCATCTCAATATTCTCCAAACACATCAGCTTTAGCTTAAAGTAATCACAGTCTAGAGTAACAAATACCCACCATTGATCACCCAGCATCACACTCACACAAACTCACATGTGATCATTAAAAATCACAATCAAACACACACCCACCCACAATCAAAGCAATAAATAAAACAACCACTGAACACAGAGATATGTATAACACTACTACTATATTATTATTATTATTATTTATTATTTGTTATTTAATTATTATAAACAATAACAACAGGTGATACCCCCTATAGTATCACTCTAGAGTATACCAAGAGACAGAAATGATAATATAGTTGTTTGGTGGTATTTAAAACTGGTTACCAAAATTGTAGGAGGATAACAAAGCTATTATATTATTATATTACTATTAAAATCAATACTATCAAATAAAATCAAGTTTAATATTTATTTGTAAATTATCTTATCATTTTAAACATTTCCATTTTATTATTATAAACAAAAATATAACACATTTACTATCTGATCCTCCTGCTACTAGCTAGTAACAGTATTATCATTATTTTTACAATCATACTTTACCATCATTCCAAAAGTGTTTTGTTTTGTTTGGGTTTTTATTATTACTGTTATTACTGTTATTGTTATTGTTGTTATTACTTTATTAATCAATATCAAGTAAATTATAACAATACTCTCAGTCCATCATCAACAACAGCTTTATTCTAATATATCTTTTTTATCTTAATCTTTTAAATCACCATCCCTCACAACTACACTATAATCAACTATCAACCTACCCACTACCTACCCACCACCACCAAGAATTAATTAACTCTTTTCTATTTTTGTCATTTTAGGAGCAATACTCTTGTGTCAATATTACATTGTTTATAATATCAACTTGATCATCATTAATAAATCAATTAATAAATCAATCCATCAATTAATAATCAATCAAAATCAATACAATCAAAGTTTAACTAAACCAAACTATTTTTATCTAATTATTTAAAAAAAAACATTAATTAATATTAAATAATAGTTTGTTTAATTAAAGTTCTTTATTTGAATATTTAGATTGTGGATCGTTCACTGTCAATCCAACATATTATATAGCCTGGAATAATTGGTCTCGATAATAAAATAAAAACGGAGCCACCAATCAATTGTAATAAAGTGCCAATAATTACACAGACAACCAAAATGGGACCGATTTTGGTTGATATTTTGGCACCTGCCCTTACATTTCCATCGAACCTCTCACAGTCTGAAATTATAAGTGGTACATCGTTGTCATTAGGACTTCCAGAGGATCAATTGGAGTTCCTTTCACTAGGTGAATCTCATCTATGTTGTCTGATAAAGAATTCAAGTAAGTACTTCTTGTTTTATTTAGAACTAAACTCTCCAAAAAAGCAAAAGATATCTAATCAGTTATTATTATTATTATTTCTTTTTTTATTTTTAGAATTCTCTTTGGATTTTATTGAATCTTTATATCAGGAGAATACACTGTTACATCATCGATTTGAAAAGAGTGCGGAGGCAGTCGAAGCACTACAGGAATCGTTGATGCAGACAACACAGCAACTACAGGAGAAACAATCGTTGATCTACCAACAGCATCAAACCATGACCATGTTGTCACACAAAGAAAGACAACTCTCTGAAGAACTCAATCAATGGAAGAACAAATACGAAGAGGAACTTTATAAACGAAAGAAAAATGAAAAGAGAATCGAACGTATGAGAATGCCAAAGAATGGTTCAACAACTCCAACCAATAGTAATAATAATAATAGTAACAACAATAGTAACAACAATAATAGTAATAGTAGTAACAATAGTAATAGTAATAATAGTAGTAATCCAATGTATTTAATTAATTCACCAACACCATCACCTTCAATGTTGACATCAACAGCAGCAATGTCACCATACTTGGAACGAGAGATCGAGCGACACAAAGACCGTGAGATCGAATTCAAGAAGGAACGCCAACAACTTTTGGATCAACAACTCCAACAACACGCCGTCCAACAAGTAACACAAGCCGCCCAATTGAAATCACCATCGATCTCACCATCGACTTCATCCAACTCTATAAACACGCTTACCAACAACATTTGTAATACATCTAATAATAATAATAATAATAATAATAATAGTAACAGTAGCAACAGCAACAACAACTGTAATAGTATAATAGTTGGAATTAATAGTTTGAGTAGTGGCAATCTTCAAAGTAAACTAAACTCTGTCGCAACGTATGCAGGTTGCAACAATGAGAATACCGCGGCACTCATACAAGACCGACACTCCAAGCGGTCATCTTCACTCTCCTCACAGACATCACCGATCAGATTCACCGTCACACCCACACCTGTAAAGAAAACACCATGCTCGACGCCAACCACACCGATCAGCTCATCCATTCCAAACCTCAACGACTTTAAATCACCATCTTCACCCTATAAATCACACAACCAATCAGTTCAATCACCAAACTTTAGAGAAACAGAGTTATTCGTAAATGTAAGTTTGAAACTTTTATATATTTATTTAAAAATAAACTATAATTTAATATACTAACTTAAACATCTATTAATATATATATTTTAGTGTCGACAATGTAAATGTAATATTTTTAGAGAAACACAACTTAAATGGGTTTGTGATTGTGGGCACCTAAAGATAACACATAAGCCTTGTAATGAGAAGGCATTAAGCCCAAGACCCAACTCATCGTCGTCATCCTCTTCTACATCATCAGCATCATCGCCTTCACCTTCACTGAATTAGATCAAATCAAATCATTTTCAAAATCAAAACAAAACAAACAGACACACTGAATTTATCTTAAAATACACAATTAAGTATAAAGACAAAACCCCTACAAATAAATATTTATATGTTTATATTCATTCAATCAAAAAAAATATTTATTTTTACAATTTTCTTATTTTTTTTCAATTATTGCATATGTTGTATAATTGCAATTATTCGTTATAAAAAATCACAATATTCAAATTTGAATTTCAAGAAGTTCAAAAATAAAATTTGAAATTTGAATTTTGGGTGGCTGTTACATTGGCGCACAGTAAATGAAATTTTTTTGTTTTCCAAACCCTGCTGTATTTAAAGGTTTGATGCATTTATTATAATCAATTATTATTGTGAAATCAAAAGTAACTATAACTAACTACAAACCTACATACTTTATATATATTATTATATTATTTTATATTTTTATAAATAAATAGTTTAACTATTTTTTATTTATTATTTATATTATATTCTTATTTGTTTAATATATCTAATTATTTAAATTAAAGAAAAGAAAAGAAAGATGTCATCAATTAGAGATAGACAAGATAGCAGAAGAAAAGACTTTAAGAAAGGTATTGATACCGAACTTGCTAGAAGAAAGCGTGAGGAGGTCACTTCCAGCATTAGAAAGTCCGCCAGAGATGATTCCATCTTGAAGAAACGTTCTATTCAAAGAGAACTTATTCCAAGCAATACCATGACAGAGATTTCAATCCCAAAGGAGATTCAAGATCAATTCGATCAATTCGAATCAAAATCATTAGAAGTTAAAGTATGTATCATTTTGATTATATATATATATTATCTGTCCCCACAAATATTAATATTCAAATATAATACAATTAGTTACAATTATTACCAGAGTTAACTAGTGCACTTAATTCCACAGATCAAGCTATTGTCGTATCAGCTTTGATTCAATTCAGAAAATTATTATCATTAGGTGTGTAGTAAATCAATCCAATATTTTTTTTGATCATTCAATCAACTAACATATTTATTTCTTTTTTTCCAACCTTTTTTTTTTTTTCGTATTTATTTATTAATAACAAAAATAATAATAGATAAAAATCCACCAATTGATAATGTTATTGCATGTGGAGTCATTCCAAGATTCAATCAATTATTATCAGAGTGTCCAGTTGCCAAAGTTCAATTTGAAGCTGCATGGGCATTGACCAATATCGCATCGGGTAACAGCAAACAAACCGAAGAGGTCATCAAAAGTGGATCCGTCCAATTGTTTATCCAATTGCTTTCCAGTCCATTCGAAGATGTCAAGGAACAATGTGTTTGGGCACTCGGTAACATTGCCGGTGACTCTACCAAGTCTCGTGATGGTTTGATCGAGTTTGGTGCTATCGAGCCATTGGTTGCCATTGGTATGTCGGGTTCGCCACGTATGTCATTGATCCAAAATGCCATTTGGACTCTATCGAACTTGTGTCGTGGTAAGCCACACCCAGACTACAACCAAACCGTTAAAGTCCTCCCTTTGCTGCGTCATTTGATCAGTCCAGCATTTGCTGCCCACTCTGATATTTTGGCAGACGCTTGTTGGGCTGCCAGCTACTTGTCCGACGGTGAAGACAAGCGTATCCAATCGGTTGTCGACGCCCAGTTGGTTCCAGGTCTCGTCACCATGTTGGCTAATCCATCCAGCTCCGTCTACACTCCAGCTTTGCGTGCCATCGGTAACATTGTCACTGGTAACGCCGGTCAAACTCAGACCGTCATCGAATGCGGTGCCATTCCAATGCTCTCCAAGTTGTTGGACGTCAACCGTAAGAATGTCCGTAAGGAAACCTGTTGGGCATTGAGTAATATCACTGCCGGTAGCCAAGAGCAAATTGTCACAGTCGTTTCGCCAACCAGTGACATCGTTCCAAAGTTGATTCGTTTGCTCAAGTCTGCCGAACATGAAGTCAAGAGAGAAGCCTGTTGGGCACTGAGTAACGCCACCAACGGATCACCAGCCACCATCAACGCATTGGTCAACAGCGGAATCCTCGAGCCACTCTGTGAACTCTTGGACAACCAAGATCTGGTCGTTTTGAAGGTCACTATGGAGGCTTTGTACAATATTCTCAGCTATGGAAGCACCTTGCAAAAGAAGAGCGGTGTCAATCCATACATTTCCATGATCGAAGAGGTCGAAGGAGACCAAAAACTGATCGAACTCCAAGAATCAGAGAACAAAGACATTTTCAAAAAGGCATCGAAATTGTTGGCTGAGTTCTTTGAAGTCAGTGAATACGATGATGAAAACTCTGAACCAAACACTCATTTCCAATTCGGTAGTTCTGTAAATTCCAACGCCATCTCTTTTTAAATTTATCGACATATAAATAATAATAGTATCATTAATTTCTATTTAATAAGAATAACTAGAAATTTCTAATAAATAATAATAATAATTTTAATCAAGTTAGTGAAAACCCGATGATCGTGGGTGGTTTTTTTTTTTTTATTTGAAAATTGGTCAAAAAGTTATTTTTTGAAGATATTTTCTGGTGAAATAGTTTAGTTTTTTTTTTTTTTTTTTTTTTTGTGATTATTGTTTTTTATTTTGAACCAACTGTCAATTTATTTTTGCATTTCTTTAATTTAGGAATTTGTAATATTTATTTGTAATAGTAAAATAATATCTTTAAAATGGTAATGAATAGTTCATCTCAGTGAATAACAATTATGCTAATATGTCAGTGTGTAATAATATAGGCAACACTATCTGATGAACAAATGCAAATGATCCGTGTATCATTTGATAAATTTGATACCGATAAGAGTGGTACTTTGGATAAGTTCGAGTTGAGAAAGGTATTGGAGGAGACACTCAAGAGAAAAATCAGTGATGTTCTATTCAATCGTTATATTGAGATTCAGTTCCAGATTTCAGATACCAATTTCAATGGAGTTATCGATTTCGACGAGTTTGTTTCACTCTACAAAAAGATTCACATAAACCCAGAGCTTCCAATTCACTTGCAGGCCAAACAATCACCAGAGGTACATCGTACATTGGAGACAGGCGACGGTGCTCCAAAGGTCGAGAGCAAAGTGATCACTCTTACCGACGCTGAAATGGTAGACGCTCAAGCACAGTTCAAGAAATACGATAAAGATAACAGTGGAAAAATCGATCGTCAAGAACTTGCTGATCTCCTCAGAGAAACAATTGCAAAGAAGATGGGTAATTTAATGATGAACAGATTGGTCGACAGCCACATGCAATTGGCAGATAAAGATAACAGTGGCGAAATCGACTTTGATGAATTTATCATCATCTATAAAAAGATCTTGTCAAATGCTAAATAAACAAACAACCTATATATTGTAACAAAAAATAAAATAAAAAATAGTCAATGGATATAATTTGAAACAATTACTTTAATTTGTTTATTTTTTGTGTCAAATTACTATTCAAACTAAGCGTCAATGAAACCAGATCTAATATATACTTCTGGATCTGGCTCATTTACTGTATCAAGGGTGAAGCAATACTTGTTGTCAACGAATTTGTTATGTATTCCTACAGCACTGTTTTTATATTTGCCTGTTGGATCTGTCATTGTTGCACAGTATTGTCCGGGTTTCAATCCTTCAACTGTAGTTCCCTTATATCTCTTACTGGCGTCTGTTGTTGTGGTAAAAATTACCTTATCCGAGGAGTCCTTTAATTCATATTGAATGTCACTTAAAAAGCTATGTTTTTCATTAAAAATTATGATTTCAATTTTTTTTAATATTTCTATTATTATACATACTATTCATTTTTACCTACATCAGCACCATCATTGTTAGTATCAAACCAGGAGTATGCATAAAGGGTGAATTTATCAATAACTTTTCCACTTTTGATCAGAACATTTTGGGTGCGTTTGAACATTCCATTGAGAGTGAAGCAATATGTGTTGTTCTCAAACTTGTTGTCTTTTCCAACCTTAGTATCACCATAGATTCCTTTGGGATCGGTCATAGTTGCGCAATAGTCACCTTCAGGTAAGAATGGTATTGAAATAGTGGTGGATTTTTCTGAGAAGACTGTTGTTTTCTCGAAGATAACTTCTCCAGTCTTGTTGTTTGTAAGTTTGAAATCCATTCCAGCAAGATACCTTATTTGTAAAAAAAGAAAATTAGTTCCTTTGAATTGATGTTTATGGAAAATAGTAACTCACAATTCACCACTATCATCTTGTCCATTTTCATTCTTGTCTACCCAAGCAAAGGCTGTGAAGTTAAAATACTTGAAGTATTTACCACTTGCTATCTGGAAGTAAGGAGATTTACTCTCGGTAGTTGCTTTTGGTAGCTCGAAACAGTATTTGTTGTTTTCAAACTTGTTGTCCTTTCCAATTTTGCTATCAATAAATCTATCAGATGGATCGGTAACAATTGCACAGTAATTTCCTGGCACTAAATATGGAATAGATATTGTTTTGTCAGTTTCTTTAACTACTGTTGTTTTACTATAGACTTCCTTATCATTTGAGTCAAATAGTTTGAATAACATGTCACCTAGATAACTATACAGAAGAGTTAAAAATTTTAAGAGTTTTTTCTTAAGTTAAAAAATAATACATACTCTTCGCCTGAATCAATTCCATCATTGCTTGCATCAATCCATGAGTAACCTGTGAGGTTATAGTAGGTTGGGTATTGTCCATTTATAAAGTTATAAATTTGTTTAGGAGCTGTCAAATCATTCAATTCAAAGCAATGTCTTCCAGGAGGGGTAACGGGGTTCGGACCAGATTCTTGATATTTTCCAGTTGGATCTTTCATTATTAGGCAATAGGAGCCTGCCTTCAAACCCTTAATATCAATTGCATCGCTTTTCTTTGTATCGTCAGTGGTAAACTTGGCTACTTCATTACCATTCTCATCAACCAAAGATCCTTCGATACCGGATAGATAACTATGGGATTATTAAAAGTTAGTATTGAATTACAACAAATTATCTCTTAACTTACGGTTCACCTGAATCATCTTTTCCATTATTATTCTTATCTATCCAAGAGTATCCATTGATAGAGTAATCTCTGCCATCTATTCTTCCACTAGCGATATCTAGAACACCTTCATCCGTAGTTTCTTCATTGAGATTAAAGCAATATTTGTTTTCAACAAAATCGCTATCAAATTCATTAGAAGTATCTTTTGAGAATTTACCAGTAGGATCTATCATTGTTGCACAATATTCTCCTGCTGGCAAATCATGAATTTCAATGGTTTTATTTCCCTTTGATGCATCTGTTGTGAGTTTCTGAAGTACCTTTCCACTCGAATCTGTTAATGTAAATTCAAGGCCACTTAAGTAACTATTGTCAATTTAAATTAGTATTGAAATGTTTTATAAAAATTTGTTAATAAAAATTTTACCTCGAATTTTCATTAATAAGACCATCTTTATTCCTATCGAGCCAAGCATATGATATGATCGTAAATGTGCTTGGTGGAACTACACCACCATTGATGTTTGGTAAGATGTTATTGACAAGTTGTGAATTATCTGGTGATAAATCAACATCAACTTTAGAGTCGACAAACTTAGAATCTGATGATCCACTCATCCATTTTGTACCTTCAGGAATCTTTGGAACCAAAACTGAGTATTTGCCAGTTGGAAGATCATTGAAACTGTAAGTTCCATCGTCTTTGGTTGTTGTAGTTTGAAGAACATTTCCATCTTTATCTAGAAGTTGAACTTCGATTCCACCGAGTTTCTTGTCATCCAACTCCATTTTATTATTCTTATCAGTGTCTTCAAAGAATGTTCCAGTGATTCCATATTTGGTTGATTCTGGAGGAGTTACTCCACCATTGATGTTTGGCAAGATGTTATTGACAAGTTGTGGATTATCTGGTGATAAATCAACATCAACTTTAGAATCGACGAATTTAGAATCTGATGATCCACTCATCCATTTTGTTCCTTCAGGAATCTTTGGAACAGAGACAGAGTATTTACCAGTTGGAAGATCATTGAAGCTGTAAGTTCCATCGTCTTTGGTTGTTGTAGTTTGAAGAACATTTCCATCTTTATCGAGAAGTTGAACTTCGATTCCAACAAGCTTAACATCTTCTAAGCCAATTTGATTGTTCAAATCAGTGTCTTCAAAGAGTGTTCCAGTGATTCCATATTTGGTTGATTCTGGAGGAGTTACTCCACCATTGATGTTTGGTAAGATGTTATTGACAAGTTGTGAATTATCTGGTGATAAATCAACATCAACTTTAGAGTCGACAAACTTAGAATCTGATGATCCACTCATCCATTTTGTACCTTCAGGAATCTTTGGAACAGAGACGGTGTATTTACCAGTTGGAAGATCATTGAAACTGTAAGTTCCATCGTCTTTGGTTGTTGTAGTTTGAAGAACCTTTCCATCTTTATCGAGAAGTTGAACTTCGATTCCACCGAGTTTCTTGTCATCCAACTCCATTTTATTATTCTTATCAGTGTCTTCAAAGAGTGTTCCAGTGATTCCATATTTGGTTGGTTCTGGAGGAGTTACTCCACCATTGATGTTTGGTAAGATGTTATTGACAAGTTGTGGATTATCTGGTGATAAATCAACATCAACTTTAGAATCGACGAACTTAGAATCTGATGATCCACTCATCCATTTTGTACCTTCGGGAATCTTTGGAACAGAGACAGAGTATTTGCCAGTTGGAAGATCATTGAAGCTATAAGTTCCATCGTCTTTGGTTGTTGTAGTTTGAAGAACCTTTCCATCTTTATCGAGAAGTTGAACTTCGATTCCACCGAGTTTCTTGTCATCCAACTCCATTTTATTATTCTTATCAGTGTCTTCAAAGAGTGTTCCAGTGATTCCATATTTGGTTGATTCTGGAGGAGTTACTCCACCATTGATGTTTGGCAAGATGTTATTGACAAGTTGTGGATTATCTGGTGATAAATCAACATCAACTTTAGAATCGACAAACTTAGAATCTGATGATCCACTCATCCATTTTGTTCCTTCAGGAATCTTTGGAACAGAGACAGAGTATTTACCAGTCGGAAGATCATTGAAGCTATAAGTACCATCGTCTTTGGTTGTTGTAGTTTGAAGAACCTTTCCATCTTTATCTAGAAGTTGAACTTCGATTCCAACAAGCTTAACATCTTCTAAGCCAATTTGATTGTTCAAATCAGTGTCTTCAAAGAGTGTTCCAGTGATTCCATATTTGGTTGATTCTGGAGGAGTTACTCCACCATTAATGCTTGGCAAGATGTTATTGACAAGTTGTGAATTATCTGGTGATAAATCAACATCAACTTTAGAATCGACGAATTTAGAATCTGATGATCCACTCATCCATTTTGTACCTTCAGGAATCTTTGGAACAGAGACGGTGTATTTACCAGTTGGAAGATCATTGAAACTGTAAGTTCCATCGTCTTTGGTTGTTGTAGTTTGAAGAACCTTTCCATCTTTATCGAGAAGTTGAACTTCGATTCCACCGAGTTTCTTGTCATCCAACTCCATTTTATTATTCTTATCAGTGTCTTCAAAGAATGTTCCAGTGATTCCATATTTGGTTGATTCTGGAGGAGTTACTCCACCATTGATGTTTGGTAAGATGTTATTGACAAGTTGTGGATTATCTGGTGATAAATCAACATCAACTTTAGAATCGACGAATTTAGAATCTGATGATCCACTCATCCATTTTGTTCCTTCAGGAATCTTTGGAACAGAGACAGAGTATTTGCCAGTTGGAAGATCATTGAAGCTGTAAGTTCCATCGTCTTTGGTTGTTGTAGTTTGAAGAACCTTTCCATCTTTATCGAGAAGTTGAACTTCGATTCCACCGAGTTTCTTGTCATCCAACTCCATTTTATTATTCTTATCAGTGTCTTCAAAGAGTGTTCCAGTGATTCCATATTTAGTTGGTTTGATTCCAAAATCGGTAGATGTTTGATCTGAATTCAATTTGAAGCATTGTTTGTTACCTCCATCAGTAGTGAAAGTTGAACCCTCAGGTGTTTTGATTTCAATACAGTAGTCACTACCTGGTAAATCCTTGAATTCATATTTTCCATCTTTGTCTGTTTTGATTGTTTGGAGTACATTTCCATTTCTATCTGATAGGGTGACGGTTATCTCTGGAATAGCTTGGTCATTCGAATCTTTCACTTTGTCATTGTTGTTGTCGATAAATACACTGCCTCCTGCCGAGAATGTTTGAGATGGTACAACTAAACCATTCATATTTGACAAGACATTGTTGACAATACCTTGATTACCTGGTGATAAATCAATATCAACTTTGCCATCAGTGAATTTTGAATCTGGTGAATTTTCAGTCCATTTTGTTCCATCAGGAATTTTAGGAACATGAATAGTATATTCTCCAGCAAGAATCTTATCAAACTTGTAATCTCCATTTGGTGTTGTGGTTGTGGTTGCGATGACATTTCCGTTTGAGTCCAAAAGTACAACAGATACTCCTCTCAATGATTCATCTCCAGCGGTCATTGTATTACTCTTATCTACATCATTCTTGAGATTACCGGTGACTTGATAGAAAGTTGGAATAATACCAGTGTTGAGGTTATCGATTTCTTTTGTTGGATTCGAATCAAGTAATGTGAAACATGTTTTACCTGATTGATCAACTACAGAATCGGTTGTCTTTGGTGAGAATGAAGAATATTCACTTGGTTTGGTAACCTTCATACAGTATTTGCCTGCTGGAAGATTGCTGATACTCCATTCTCCTTTGAGGTCGGTGGTGTTTGCACTAACAAATATACCATTCTCATCTGTGATTTCAATATGAACATTAGGAATACCTAACTCTAATGGGTCTCTTAATCCATCGCCATCCATATCCTCAAACACTACTTTACCAATAGTGAAGTTCTGTTTTGGAGGAACAACTTGCTTGTAGAATCCAGCATCAATATTGAAATTGGCAAACTGTGCTTTGATGTTTGGATAATTTCCAGTTGGACTTGTAGTGTCTTGAGTCAATTTAATTCGATAAACCCATCCATCCTTATCAGGTGGTGATTGTAATGTTGTTGGTGATGATATGAATGAATTTGATGGAGGAATGAAATGAACATTGTAATCACCAGATTCAAGACTGTCAAAGTGGTAGAGTCCATTTTCGTCTGTTTTGGTGGTTGCCAAGAGTAATCCTTGAGAGTTATAGAGATTAACAGTAACACCTGGCAGAGCTTTATCAATAGAGGCGTCATACAATCCGTCTTTGTTAACATCTTCAAAGACATGGTCACCGATTGCAAAGAGAGTTGGTGGCTTTGGTATTAACATTACACATGCATTGGCAATCATTGTCTTTGTTAAACCAGTGGTATCGTTGTTGATGACCAAGTTGGCAATTCCGTTTGAATCGACTTGAGATGAGGCACCATGAGTGAACTTGTAGCCATTTGGAAGAACGAACTGAACTTGATACTTTCCAGATTTGATATTATCGAATCTGTACATACCAGTGCTAGTAGACACGGTATATTTAATCAAATTTCCATATGCATCAAGAAGATTGACTCTAATTCCTTGGAAATATCCTTCTCCCGCCTCTGAAATACCGTTTCCATTAATATCATTACAAACTTTACCAGTGATGGTAAAATCGTCCACAGGTTGAGCCGCATTGATTAGACCCATATTAATGTTTGGATTCCAAAGTGTTGCATTTGATGCACCATTACTCGGTTGAGTTGTGCTTGGAGATAGTACAATTGGTTGAGAATGGCCATTGGGATCAACAACTGAATCTTTTCCAACTCCAGTTGGTGATACTTGTTTTCCTATTGGAACAGTGAATTGAATAGAGTAGGTTCCTTGTTCCAAATTGTCAAACAAGTAGTTTCCTTTAGAATCGGTCACTGTTGTTCTGATTATTTGACCCGATTGAAGCAATTGGACAGTGACTCCTGGATAGTATAGTTCATTTGGTTGGTGAATTCCATCAGAGTTATCATCTTGGAATACCATTGAACCGATGGCATATTTTTGTGGATTTGTTGTTGTGTTGGTACAGTTACCAATTCCAATTAAAGAAAAATAGTGGAGAACGCTTTTACATGGGACATCACAATAGTTTCCTTTGGTGGAAATTACAATCTTTGAAACCATTTGATTTGGTTGGAGTGCAACATAGCTGTTGGCTCCAACACCAGACCATGTAATGTTCATTGTTGTATGTTCAGGTGTCATACTAAAAGCTGGAGGATGCATAGCTTCACTCGAAGAGAGAATTCCATGGTCCAATGTCTTCCAGTTGAGCATATTGATTGGATATCCATAGGCATCGTAGGCATCAATGACAACCGATGACTCAGAGGTCACACCATATATAACGAAAATAAAATTCATGGTGCTTTTCTCAAGGAATTCCAAGGTAATGTTGCTTGGCGAAGTTCCACAGCTGGAGTGCATCAACGACTTGATGTCTTGATTTCCAGTGATGTTAAAGAACTTTGGATTGGAAAGAAGCTTGGAATATAGATGAGTGAAACCAAGCATCAATGGTGAGCTATTACCTTGGAGAGACACTCTGACCTTTGGGAATCCCTGTGCCCATTGGAGAACTCCACTCTTAACGTGCTCAAAGGCATGCGGTTGGAAAGAACTGAAATCAAGGTAGGTCTTCTCTGGTACACAGTAATCACAAATCACTCCATTTCGAGTTGGATCAACCAAACCACTGGATAGTGTGAAAAACAGTGTTACCACCAAAAGAAGACAGTAACCAAAAAGGTTTTATCATATTCTTTTAATGATATCAATAAATCCTAAACATTTTTAAAAGAAATAATAAAAAAATAATAGAAAATATAATAAATAAAAGTTAAAATTTTGTAAATTAATTGGCATACAAAACAAAATGAAATACTTTACAAGATATTTTTATTGATATTTTTTTTTTTTTTATAATTTGGTATTTACCAAAAAAAAAAAAACAAAAAAGTTTTATATTTATAGTTTAGAAAGTTAGCTTTTTATATAAATATGTTTTATCAACTATATGTGATATTTCATTTTATAGGTTGGGTTTTTCACAGCGATTTTTGTATTCTCGCATTATTTTTCAAAATGCACAGAAAAGCTGTTCAAAATTTTTTCATTTTTTAGGGGATAAAATGAAACTTACACATATAAATGTTATCAAACCATTTCATAAACCTTGCTTTTAAAAAATTTTATTATTAAGTTGAAAACTAAACCATACCCTATAAAGCGAAACCATCTGCATTAAAACCCATTTGTGGATTATATTATAAGTACTAATAACTGTAGAAGAATATGGATTGCACCTTTGCTTAGTATGTTAAATTTAATTTGAAGAACATCCCACTTAGTGTTTATTATTTTGTTGCATATTAACATGATCAAATAAGGAAAAACAAATAATCAAATCATATGATTTAAATAACTATTAAAAAGAAACCAAAAGTTGCATAAAGATTCATACCAAATCAACACCAAAAATATAGAGAGTCAATTTTACAAAAGTGGTGATTGATTAAATTTTAATGGTGAAAAAAACCAATGAACTAGTAAACACCATACACCCCTCAAACAGATAGTTAATGTGTGATTGATTAATTTAATGTTTATCACCACTTTAAATCAAAAAACTATCAGTTCTGCAAAATAAGATTTAACATTTAATTTGTTTTCAAAAGAATTTTAAAAATTTCGTTTAAATCAAACATTCATATGAAATTGGTATCAAAATAACACCCTATTCTCAAGTGTTGAATGTATCAAATTGTTAAAAATGCCCATCCGAAATAGAATAGAAATAACTTACTATTGTCAAGACCTATGCATTGCATTTTATTTAAAAAATTAATATATCTATCAATGAGTAAAAATACCATTTCTAATAATGATTGTTTCAATAGAAACAAAAATTTATAATAAAAATTTATTATACAAATTAAATCAAATCTTAATGTCTTTATTATTTTTGATAGGTGATACGGTTTAAATCAAATTATATACAATGTGATTATACATTGAAGGAGTTTGAGTCAAATTCGATAGAGTGTTTATGAGTTTTCTATGAAAGGCAAGAAAAAACTAAAATTTTGTTTTATTTCTAATGCAATTAAGTGTAAAATTCATTCATATAAGCTTGAGCTATCAAAAGTTTTATCCTATAGAAATAAGATGATTTCAATCAATTTTTTTTTCTAAAACATGTTTAAATTTTCGTGGAATCTCATTTTGTAAATTTAAATTACATTAACATTATTTTTTTTTTTTTTTTTGGGAATTTCCCCAACATAGGCGAATTAATTAATGACATGAGTAAATATTTTTTTATTTACTGAAATAGAGAAAATCAAAAAAAAAAAAAAAAAAAAGATTTATTTTTAAAAAATAAAATGAATTAAAAAACAATATTTTTATTTTGATATGATATAAAAAGATAACTCTTGTATATATTTAACTTAACAACATCAGATCGAAATGGTCTATCCAATATTGAAAAATTTCTTACTCTTGGGAACAGGTTTTCAACGTCCAAGCGAATAGTGACAATCTACTATTAAATAGTTTCTCTTCTTCTGTATTGACTCCTCCAAGTTTTTTTAATAGGAGTTAAAACTTACCATCACCTATATAGGCTTTATCACCTACGCCAAATAAATAGGGCAAGTTGGTTTGTCTTGCTATATATATAGTTAGGTCGTCGACCGTAGTAAGGACCATCGAGTTTTACCAAACTTCCACTTAGGTTAACTATAACTTGATATTTAAAACCATTGGCCTTATATTTACCTTTATTCGTAGTTAGTTATAAAAATTATTGAGGTTAAATATTAGTTAATAAATTAAATAAATTTAATCTACTGAGTATTATACCTGAATAAGTAAATTTTTGTGTTTCTCGATCTATTGGTTTTTAATTTCTATAGTATCAACTACTAAAAATGATGGTCTGTTTTTGTGAACAACAGGAGGTGTTTTCAATCTCTTTGAAAGATCAAAAAATCACCCATTTTTAAAAAATATTAAAATACAACTATTAATATATAAATATATTTAAATATCACTAAAGTGATATTAATGTAATTATTAATTTATATGTTGAAAGATGATTTACTGAAATAATCACAAAAGACCATATAAATAAGTTTTGTTTAATGAAGTCGGCAAAATGAATATAAATAAAAATTAACTTAATTCTTTATAAATTTACATAGAGAAACCCGAAAGTTAAGTTAATATCAATTTTTAATATAAATAATTATTTACTTGAATTTTTAATCGCTTTCCCAAATACCGATATCTACTATGACCAATGAATCAAATGATATATAATAATAATTTTGAAAATTGAGATTTAAAAAATAACATAGTTGGTCCACAGTTTTGATACACTTTGAAAATGTGAAGACAATTTATATTTAGTTTTTTTTATATTAATAAAGATCGAATTTTTGTTTTCTCATGGTGTTATTTTTGATAAAGTCAATTCATATCAACAATTTCCTTTTATAATTGATTATTAAAAGTAAATTCAAAGGTTTTAATCTAAAATAAAGTGTGTAAACTACACAGTCAATCCCAAATACCACCCAATATTTCTCTTCAGGTAACTTTGAAATCCAGAGTGTTGAACTTTAAAAATAATGGGTGGGATTTTTAAATTGAAAAAAAATTTTATAAAATAAAAATAAGTTTTTATTAATTTTCAAAAATAATATAAAAATGTTTCACAAATGATTACATTTTTATTAATATTTTTATTATTCTTAAAACAAAGTTAAATATTTAATATAAATAAATTCTCATTGTCTCAAATGGACATTGAAATACCATTAAAATCGTATGGTTTAGTTTTATCAACATTTTTTTAAAATTGATCACCAAAAAAAAAAAAAAAAAAAATCTATAGATTATAAAACAACAAAATTAATTTAATTTTTTTTATTTCTTTTTATTTCTTGCACTTGAAGTATATATTTAATAACAAATATTAACATAAATAATCTAATATTTACTCAAGTCAAATAATTAGATTGTAACAAAAATAACACATTGTTGATATTTAAATTGACATTTTGTTTTTGTTTTTAGGTTGTCCAATCCACACTTCATTGAAATGTCGAATAGCGCATCGATAACACAGTGTACAAGATGTGGAAGTATTTCATTCTATAATGATGACCAAGGAAATAAAAATTGTTCAGAATGTCATATGAGATTTGAGGTAAAGTATTATATATCTATTAAAAATACAAAATAATAATGGTAATTAATAATAATTGTAGGGTTTCTTAGCTCAAACTACAGAGACGGTGGCAGCTGTCATTGGTGCACAGGTAGTTAGAGTCAAAAAGACGTTGAATTCGGCAACCGAGATCGTAAAGATCATCGAGAAGGACAATCGATATCATATTCTACAGTTGTTGCTTCGTGAGCAAGTCTCGGTGTTGATCAAACACTACAAGTTTAATAGGCAGCTCTATCAGATCGTTGGTGATCTATGGCATTCCTACTTACTATCGATACGTCAGGTAATGGAGAAAGTAGATGATTTAAAAGAACAAAAACAAGATGATAACAATCAAGCAGCAGCAGCAGCAACAACTACAAATAATACAGATGAAGATGAAGATGTTCAAATCGATATTGCAGCGATAAGAGAGAAACCATCGCCAATTCTCACGCTCTCTATTATCTATCTTGCATTGTCGTGGCTGAAAGAACCAGTAACACCGAGTGACTTGCTAAACATGTTACAAGAGGGTCATCTCATGTCAACGATACCACAGATTACATGGGATACTAATCCTGCTGTAAGTTAACCTATAGTCATTCAGAAACTAACATCGATGTTAGTATACTAACTTTTGTTAATTCATTTTCAAAAGAAATGGTGTAACTTTATTAAAATACAAAACACTGCATATGACTTGTCAAAGTATTTAAACTTCACTCCTAGAACTAATATGAAGTTATTAATGGTTAGATTTTGTACAGAATTAGAATTACCAAGTAAATATCTTAAGAATCTATTAGATATATTATATACATTGTCATACTAATATAATAATAATGGTTTATTATTTATATTTTTTTTTTAAGAGTTTATATTACAGTTATCATATCAGCTGATACAGGTTTTAGAGATACCTTATGTCATTGCACAGAATCATAAAGATAAAGATAAAAAGTGGCAATACTATTTAGATATACATCATTGTGTGAATAGTGGAGTGTTGGCGGCTGCTATTATTATTGTGTTGCTTAATATGAACTATAACTTGTCGCAGCGTGTCGAACTCTCACACTACACAGAGTATCTCGATGGTCTCGTCGAAAAGGAGATGGATACACTCAACTCTGAGATGGTCGACGATATCTTTAATAACAGCTACCTCGAATTCCCCGTGCCAACGAGCGACCAAGAGATTCAAGAAGACATAAAGTTTCAATTTGAAAAATGGATGTATCATCGTATAAGTATTATACAAGGCTCTGATTCTTTACCAAAGAGGTATGTTTGTTATGGCAACATAATGTAATATAATATATCGTCTCAGTCAAACTGACTATCTAGTTTAATAGTAATCTATGGGATGTTAAAGATGCAACGAAACTACCAAAGACAATCAACAGGAATGCACCGAAATACTATTTACATGAGTTTGTAAATGAAAGATACAAGAGTTATTTAAAACAGTTTAGAAAGTACGATAATCAAAACAGTGACGATGAAGATGAACAACACAACGACAACAACAACAACATATACTCTCATTCAGACGAAACAAGTGAATCGATGTTATCATACAATTTCGAATCATTCTTTAAACAACCTACCAACGACTTTCTTAGTTATAACAACGATAACGAGTTAGATTACCGACCATGCAATAAGTACTCTTCGTACAAAGGTTCAAAGAAAACAGATTATTTCGCTGTAAGTCAATTTTTTAACAAAAGCAACAATATATTTCAATAGTTATATAACTAACAAAAGAATAACAATCATTCTTTATTGTATTTAGATTATGGTTGAAATGTTTGAACTAATATTGGGATGTCCAAAGAATTTAATAATCAACTCTGTTATATCTATAGAAAGAATTTACTACATCTATTCTAGCAAGCTGAAAAAGCAACCAGATGGATCATTCAAATTGAAATTGAATCCCAGAGACTTTTTAAGTTTTGTTAAATTTCCAAAAACGAGAAAGACGTAGATTTAAATGACATCACCAAAGTAGTGGTCACCCCTGAAATTCAAGGAGTTTATTTTATTTTTTTATTTTATTTTTTTTGCGACCTTGTATTAAATATCCAAGATATTAAAACAATTGTTTAAATAAATTTATATAAATTTCAAGATTAAGCACAAATCAAATCAAATCAAATCTGATCAGATCAGATCATCAAGATGGATAAACAATTATTTTTATCTGTATTAAATAATATTGTTGTTAGTAAACAGATTTTCAAGTTGGTAGAGTCGATCAATTTGAAATTGAATGAAACATCGATTAGATGGAAGCAACTATCAGACGATCCTGTTCAGCTGATCAGATATAACTATATAAAGGATATGAAAGAATGTTTGAAACGTATAAAGATCAATAAGCATATTGTCGTCAAGGTGTTTGATGAATCGATAAAAAGGAATGACGTTCAACTTTTGAACTATCTCTATTTGTTTGTCAAGGAGAAATCATCGGCACTGCTGGAAGTGGTAATGGTAAATAGAATAGTGTTGGTCGCCATCACTAGCAACAGTCTGGAGTGTCTTGTCTATTTGGATCAGTACAGAGATCGATACAATTGGGACTATCTGAGTGTACTTGCAATCGTACCGGAATTTGGTGATTTAAATATGCTCATATGGATGTGGAAATTGGCAGAGGCTGACCCTCTCGACAACAAATACATACAGAAAGCCGTGCAATACGGTAGACTAGATATGGTGCAATGGATACTTTCAAACACCAAAACGAGAGGAGACCAACTCTTGAATATTGCCGTCAGTCTTGGACATATGCATATCATCCGATGGCTGCAAGAGAACATCGAAAACTCAAGCTGGCAGAACGAACAGCTGAAAACCGAATCCGTTGAAATAATGCTCAGAGTGAGTGGAAAGAATTGCAATGAATTGTTGGAGTTGATACAATGGATTCATCTCAACCATTCACATGCATTCAGTCAGGAGGTAATGAATGAAAGTGCTGCCAAAGGTCATTTAGCGCTAGTCGAATGGCTGCATGTCAATCGTGGAGAGGGTTTCACAGCAGCTGCCATGGACAAAGCCGCTACTGACGGGCATCTTGAAGTCGTACAGTGGCTGCACGCCAATCGAACAGAAGGGTGCTCAATCGCGGCAATGAACAGAGCTGCTTCCAACGGGCACGTCAATGTCGTGCGTTGGCTCCACGCCAATCGAACTGAAGGGTGCTCAACTCTGGCAATGCTATATGCCGCTCAGAATGGCTCACTGGAGACCGTTCAATTTCTTCAGGAGAATAGAACCGAGCGTACAACGCTTGCGATGAGATCAGCGCTGGAACGAGGACATCTCGAGGTTGCCAAATATCTTCAACAACATAATCATGTTTCTTACCAACGATGTGACATAGCATTACTTTTAGCTGTCATTAATTTTCAACCATTTGAGATCACACAATGGCTTGTGACCAACCGACATCACGACCTCTTTGATCTCCTTGATCAAGCTATAGAATATGCCAAACATTTGAATAAAACCGAAATATTTAATTGGTTATCAGAATATCAGAAGCAGCATCAACAACTACAACAACCAGATACTGAAAATAATCAGCAGCAGCAGCAACAACAACAATAATAATTTGTTTAAACATACTAATTAAATCATAATTAATTCACTCCTAGTATTTTTTTAGTTCTTATCTAAACTTCATATATTTATTTGTTATCGATAACAGATTTAATTTTAGGAAATATCTTTAATGATATAATTCATGTCGCTAGAATATCTAAGTTTAGTTCCTTTGGAAAGTATTATGAAAAAGTAAGAAAATATAAAAGCAAATATTGATTGTTTTTATTAAAAATTAGAGCAAGGAATAACAGAAACAACTTATAAGTTCGAAAATGAAAAATTCTTCTTTTTTTCAAAAATTCAAAAAAAAACAAAAAAGTTTTTAAGACGAATAAATTGGTATCAATTTCATTCTATTTAAATAACACTTTAAAAGTTTATTTGTATATTTATTTATTTTTTAAAAACAAAAAAGAAACAATGGAAAATAACGAAGAAGAAATTATATTACCAGCATATCAAGTAGTACTTTCAAAGATCGATACTGTTATGCAAACATTGGACTGCAAGACAAGTGATCCCGAATTCAAACGACCAACAAGAGGAAACATTGTAAAGTCTGCCAAAACATTATCACATGAAATAACAAAGAGTATATATATATTATAACTATCATTATTTTCATTTTTTCATTTTTCAAAACACCCACAACATTGAATTAGTATTAGTAGACTAACACACAAACCTTTTATTTAAGTTTCATTATTACTACAAGATTGCCGAGCAAAACCAGAGTTTTTCTCGAATATAGAAGAATGTTTAGATAATCTATTTTCAATTTATCAAGGTATGATATAGATGAAGAGCAAGCTTAATTAAATATTGACTTGAAATAAATGTAAATTTACTAATAACGACCAACTAAACTACTTGTTATCGGAATTTGTTTGTAGGATTATGTGGTTATTCAGGAGCATCATTATTTAGACAGATTCAGATATATTTCAAGAGAGTTTATAAATCACTTTACGATACATTATATACTTTTATGGAGAATGAAAAGCGTATTGGTGAAGACGAAGAGAATACAGTACCAAAAGAGAGAATCGGAATTGCTTGGAAATCATGTGAGTTGCTCGAGAAGATTCCACTTAGAAACAGCAGTGCCATCTGTGTGAGAATGGAGGAACTTCTCACCATGATTAACGATGCCTACGATGAAGTCGACGAAGTCAACGATGGAATCGAAAACTACAAGAAAAGAATGTCTGAACCTGCCAATCCAGACGACGAAGAAGCAGAGGAAAAATCAACAGAAAAAGGAGGAAAAGAAGATAAAAAGACAAATAAACAAGTTGAAAAAGATGATGAAGATGAAGAGGATGAAGATGAAGATGATGAAGATGAAGATGAATTGGAATTTGTTGATGACGGAGAAGACGACGAGGAAGAAGACGACGACTTTTTTATTGAAGATCAAGCATTCACTGGAAGCAGTTCGATGCGTATGTTGAACGACGAAGAGATGAATGCTATCGCTACCATTTGGGAGTTGGCCGAGAAGTGCGTGGAGTACGTCGATGAGTTTGAGACCTATGTGAAGGACCGCGAGCCAACCAAACCCGAGGATCTCGACGATCTCTCCAGCGATCTGAAGCCAGAGCAACTGGCAGTCTACGAGGATCTCGTACTGCAATTCGACGAGCTCTCCAAGACCGTCGACGACGTCGTCAGTGGAATCTACCCACCACAAAACGCCTATTTCATCAGCGGTCAAATCGAGTACCTCCAATCGAAACTCAACAAAATGGCCAAAACCTTCAAGGACAACAACATCGAATTTCGTAACTACGCTCACCAAGAGGTTATCGATAAACTATTGACAGCAACCAAAATTGAAAAATAAATATGTTAATAATAAATTGCTTATCAAGTTAAGTTAATCAAATAAATAAATAAATAAAACAAAAAAACAAATAAAACTATGATAAAAAAAAAAAGCAGATGTTAATCCAATCAACTTCACTAATCAACTCAACAACAATAATGAAACGACAAAATCACCAAAACAAAAAATCTCAAATTTGATAAAAAATATGAAAACTTCTAATTTTGGTCATGTTTTGGAAAATTTGCAAAGTAGTAGTTTGACATTTTTCTTTTTAGGTTTGCCCACCTCAGTGACAAGATTGCTCATTGAAGTCAACACACAAACCACATATTTTTTTTTAGGTCGATTTATTTTTAATATTGACAATAATAATTTGTATTTTTTGTTTTGGTCAAACACACATTTTTAATTACACTTTTTTATTTACTTTTAAAATAAATAAATAAATAAATAATTATTAATAATGTATAGTAATAGTAGTAGTAATACTACCGGTCAAAATAATAACAATAACAATGATTATAGATTAAGTGATGGAGAAGGCGAAAATGACAGTGCCATCGAAATGAATAGTATACAAAACAATGACAATGATTCATTATCCGATCAACAAAGAGATCAACAATCTCTATTAGATAAACAACAGCAACAATCACAACAACAACAACAACAACAACAACAATCACAACAACAACAAAAACAAAGTGAAACGTATGTAATTATAGGAACACCATTTAAATAGAATAGTTTACTAAACTAATTGTTAACATGTAGAACAAAGATTGTTATGGTAATTACATTTTATTTCTTTATTTCGATTTCATTGGTATTCTTGAATAAGATGTTGATGAAGAATCTGGATTTCGATTATCCTTTGTTCATTACTTGGTACCAACAGATTGTATCGTTCGTAATGATCTACTTGATGTGTAAGATTGCACCCAATTTTGAAGCATTGAACTTCCTTCCACAATTCGAATTCAATTACTCGACCGCTCAACGTGTAGTACCATTGACCGTTGTCTTAACACTCATGATCGTTTTCAATAATCTTTGTTTAGAATACGTTGAAGTTTCATTCTATCAAGTAAATATACATAGCAATAACCGAATTCCATTTTAACATATCTAACAAGCAAACAAACATTTCATTTTTCAGGTTGCTAGATCACTTACTATTTGTTTCTCATTGGTTTTGACCTATGTCATTTTGAAGAGTAAGACATCATTCAACGCTATGATTGGTTGTGCCATTGTCTTTTTTGGATTCATCCTTGGAAGTATTGGTGAAGTCAACTTCTCATGGTATGGTATCATCTTTGGTTTGTTCTCTAGTTTCTTTGTCGCACTCTACTCGATCTACGTCAAGAGAATACTTCCAGTTTGTGAAGGAAATGAATGGTATGTTAATTTAATAGGTTAGTTAGTCAGTAATGAATCAAGATATTAACACAAACTACAACTCGCGATATATAAATACAGGAAATTATCAATTTATAATACAGCTATTTCTATTGTTTTGATTTTACCTTTGATTGGACTCAGTGGAGAAGCAAAGACTTTGATGGACGAACCGATTCTCTATACCGGTGAATTTTGGATGGTAATGACAATCGCAGGTGCAATGGGATATCTCATCAGTATTGCTATTTTCATGCAGATCAAACATACTTCACCACTGACCAACGCAATCTCTGGAACCGTCAAGGCATGTGTACAGACTATTTTAGCCGTTATGATTTGGGGAAATCCAATTTCATTCCAAGTAAGTTATTTTTGTAATTCAAAATACAATATTTTACATAACAAGTGGTTTATTAATCAAACTCTTTCTATTTATCTTTTTACAGAATGGATTTGGTATATTTTTAGTTATTGCAGGATCATTCTATTATTCATATGTTAGATATCAAGAAATGAAAAAGTAGTAGATAAATAATAATAGGTAATCAACAAACAAACAAACAAATAATAATAGTAATAATTCATTTTTTTAAAAAAATAATACAAATATTATATAAATCATAAATCAAAAGATATGTAACTATTTAATTCATTACAATCGATCGTTTTTGATCAAAATAACGTTATTATGATTGAAGGCAGCACATGAATTTTGCAATTTTTTATTTTTTATTTTTTATTTTTTCAAAATCATATTTATTGATTTTTAGTCGTTTTTCATTGATTGATTAGATTTATATTTATATTTATATTAAACTATATAGTTAATAGGATTATAAAGTAAAATCACAATAAGAATAATGATTACATCAAAGTTTGGATATTTGGGATTGAAGACAATTCAACAACACGGTGCTCAATGCTCATTGTTGGTACGTTCGGCAGCTGGACAGAGTTCATTGCTCAACACTCAGATCAGAACATTCGCAGCAGCAGCCACTGAGAACAAAGAGAAGAAAGTAAAGAAACCAAAGGCAGAGGAAAAGATTGTTGTTACCGACGCCGACAATATCGAGTATGGTGCAAGCAGCTTGAAATTGACTGCCAACAAGAAGGTCGTCGTACAAAAGGTCAACAAGAAGCGTTTGTTGAAACCAAAGTTGAACCCAATCAGCAACACCGACACAGAGACTGTATTGCTCACTCGTCTACACGAAACAACCACCACCACACAAGCTGTCACTCCATCAGTTCCAACCATCACATACGAACAACTCAAACAACTACTCTCACAAACAACCGCCACCACCACCACCAACACCACAGATTCGTTCACACTTGTAGATTTACGTGATCCAAAGGAATTCTATGGTGATTCACCAATTAAACAATCTGAAAACATTCCAAGTAAGTTAAATAACAAACTTCTTATTTTGCAATAATAATAATAATAAGTAAACATAGCAAACAGCTTACTTACCTTACCTTACTTGTTATTTAACTATATTAGTGGAGTATGAGATTAAGAAATCAGAATCCGAACAAGCTAACGAAGCAAAGCAAAAACAAAAGGCAAAAGGAAAGAAGAAATCAAAGTCAGAGGAAAAGAAGGTCGCATTGGTAGACGATTCAAACTTTTGGCAACGTTGTTGTAAATTAACTAGTGCTCAATGGAAAGATAAATATGGATTCCCTAAATTACAACAAGAACAACGTATCATTTTTTACTCTGCCAACAATGGTCGTAGTTCACTTGCTGCTGAAATGGCAATTAATTCAGGATTTAACAAGTAAATATCGTCACCAATTATCTTATCATCAATAGATAGTAATTACATCAATACTAACAAAACTAATCTATTATCAAATCTCTATAGTGTTCAAATATTAGAAGGTGGTATTCGTTATTGGAATAAACAAGAAAATAAACAACAATAATAAGTAAATAATAATAATAATAAATAATTTAATAATAGTTTTTTAAAAATATAGAAATATATTTATGTTTGTTTCTTTTTTAAAAAATATTTTAAGATTTATTGTTTTTGTTAATATAATATAAAATAATGAGAAGAATATGTAATGTTGTTATTATGTTGAGAAGATCCTATTTTCTTACAAATTGATCAGCTGATGGTAAAGATTGGTTCATTGCTTCGAGGAATGAGGTGGTGGCAGTTGGGATTGATTCGGCAACAACAGAAGTGACTGCTGGTGTGGTGGAGGTGACTGCTGTGGTGGCAGCATCGATGAGGATGGCCGAGGTGGAATCGTTGGCAACCAAGCCAGTAGCGAGCACCTTACCGGCGGTGGCGGCACCCGGCAATACAGATGCAACCGTGGAGGCAACTGCATTTGAAACAGAGACAGTTGCTGGTACAACAATGTTGGCAGCAGCCAATGTTTGTGGCACCGAAGCAGCGGCAGCACCAGAGGTTGCTCTGAATGTCTCCACTGCCATCTGTGAGGTACTGGAGGCAACCACTGGAGCAGCGGCTCTAAACCAGGATCTCAATCGCCAAAATCCAAACAATCCTACAATCAATAATGATACAGCGACCAAACCAACGGTGGCATTGTATTTTCTGTTGTCGTCAAACAGAGTCAACAAAGATCGGACCTGTGGGTTGTGTGGGTCGGTCTGAAGAATCTCTTCCAACACTTCTACACCCTCCTTATTCTTCTTTAATCTATAATAGGCAAATGCTATTGAATATTTATACAAATAACTATTTGGTTCCAATTCGCTTAATTCTTTGTAAATTACAACAAATAAGTATGTTAGTTAATAGAACCTTCATCTTAATAATAATAATAATAATAATAACAACATACTTTGTAAAAAATATAAACCTCTTTTAATATCGTATTTGTTTGAACTATGAATTAAACTATTTGTATAATTAAATATTTGGTCCTATATTTATCAAAATTTGTCGATTAGTTTGAATGATTGATTAGTTAGTTAGTTAGATGTAAGTAAGACACATACTCTTGGTTGTTTCATGATTTTCTCATCTTCATCTTCTTGATTTTCTTGATCGTCGTGATCGAGTTTAAAGTATTTCAATTCCTCTTGGATGAGTTCTTGAGGGATCTCTGTTGGGATGACTAGTTTTCCGGTTCTATAAAAGTTGAGTATCACCTCAAAGACACGACCGTTTCTATCGAAAAAGTATTCACCTTTCTTGTCTGGACGACGTAGATGCTTGTTCTCACGAAGGAACAGATTACCTAGGAGTGTCTGTGGATAACGTGTAAGTGTACTCGGTCTAACCTCGTACTTGACACCACCGACATTCAGAATGACTGGTTCATCATCTGCCGATGCCGCATCAATATATTCCAATGATGAATTGCTACTACTACTATTCGATTCAATATCAACTGGTATTTGTGACATGTTGTTATTCTATTCTATACTATTATATTATATCAAACTATTACTATTTATTATTACTACAAAAAAAAAACAAATGAAAAACAATGAAAAATTTCTTAAAAAACAAAATGAAAATTTCTATCTCTACCAATAGTATATATCTAAAAAAAACAATAATCTTAACTAATATTATTAAAATGATTGATAAATATAAATAATAAATATAAATAATATATATATATCTAAATAATTATAAAGCTAACAATCCAAATTTAAATGAAATCAAAATGATTTGTTGGTTTTTTTTTTTTTGTTTTAAAATTTTTTTAAAATTTAAATTTTGGCGGTTGGCATCGATGAAAGAATTGTGTGCTCATTTGATGGACTTGTTGTTTAGTTAAATTCGATTGTTATTATGTAGATAAATTTGAAATTAATGTCGGCATTAATTATTTTATTAAAAAATATTATATATATTATTTATAATTGAAAAAAAAGTATTAAAAATTTAGTTATTATTATTATTATTTTGTTTGATTTAAACTGAGTATAATCTAAAGTAGGTGAGCATGGTGTTGGTGAGTGAGAAAATGGAATTTTGGTAACTGAGGTAGGTTCCGGTTGGAATGTTGTAGAGGAGGTAACCTTGACCGTTGCTCTCGTCGATGACGAACCAATTGTCACTGCTTGAAGTACAGGCAGCCAATCTACCATTGCCGTTGAGACACAATCCAGTCTCGACAGAGACGATGTAGTTACCGAGGACACCGGCAGCTTCCTTCATGATAAAGTATTGGTTGTCGTTGGATTTGTCGTTGGAGATTGGACCCATTGAGATGGTGGATCCAGTGGCGACGACTGCTTGGGTTCCAGACTCAAAGACGTAGGTACGTCCGAGTGCTGGATTGTTACCACGCACCAAACGATAGCCTGGTGCGACAACTGGGTAGGTTTGGTTTCCGTAGGGAACGGATGGGTATGGACCTGGCAAATCTTCACACTCTTCGGTTGGATTCCAGTTTCCGCTTGGATCACGTGATGGGACTGGCATGGCAGTTGTGTTTGGCACGGTGAGGTTGGTGAAGGAGAAGTCGAGTGCTCTTGTCAAATCGGACATAAAGTTACGACGGTAGGTGGAAATCAATGGATGCAAGACTTGATCGGCTGGATAGTCGTTGGCGATGGCCCATTGCTCGACAAACTGGATGACAGAGGTGTGATCGGATGGCTCAGTGAAAACGACACCACCGGTTGACCATGGTGATACGATGAAAGCTGGAACACGTTGACCTGGACCGATTGGTTGTGGAGCATCGCCGTCACCGTAGATCCACTCATCAAGAGTACCGATTGGTGAAATGGGTGGGATAACATGGTCAAAGAATCCACCGGATTCATCATAATCAATAAGCAAAACGGTCTCTGACCATGCCTTTGAATTGATGACAGCGTTGACAACTTGTTGTGATAACCATTGTCCTGCCATTGGTCCATTATCCTAAAATTATAATTAATAATTAATATGACAAATTGAAAATGAATAATATATTATTTTTTTTTTAACGAAAAATTACTTACTGGATGTTCCGAAAGTTCAGTTGGACCAACTACGAATGAAACTTGTGGAAGAGTACCGTTGAGTGCTTGTTCGTAGAAAGTGTCCAATCCCAAGTAGGAGATACCTTGGTTTCTCAATGGGGTACCTTTACCGGCATCTTGGTATTGTTTGAACCAGGCAAGAGCATTGTCATCAAAGTTGTCTTCACCTTGGTAGACCATCCAGGAGATACCCGCATTTTGCAAGAGCTCTGGGTAGGTAACCCATTGGAGGGGTGGGGTTTCAGTGTTGTCAATGACTGGACCACGTGCGGTGGCACCACGGGCATCGATAGTACCACTCCAGAGAACGATACGATTTGGATTGGTCGAGGTCATAATGGATTCATAGTATTTATCGGCAATGGTGAATTGGTCAGCCAATTCAAAGTAGAATGGAAGGTTATCTTCTCCGAGGTATCCGAGCGAACCAACGGTGTTTCCCTCTGGCCAGTTGTTGTTGAGACCGTTGTTCCAGGCGACGTGGTTTGGACTCCAAGCGTTGGAACCACCACTAGTGCAACCAGCTTTTGGACCGTCCAACTTGAATGGCAAAGAGTATTTCTGACCGTTGTGACTATCTGGTGAGTGTGGGTCTGGTTGGTAGAGAATGTTGTTACCGTTTTCTTGGATGGCCATGTTTGGATCTTTGAAATTACAAACACCTGGCAAAATACCATAATAATTATCAAAGGCACGGTTCTCTTGCATGAAGATAACGATGTGTTTGATCTTGGTGAGACCGACGGTGTTGGAGGCACCCTTGTCACAGGTATCGTTGAGATTGGCACCGTTTTGGATGCAACCGGTTGGACATGTCCAACGCCATGATGGGTAAATACCCTTTCCGTCACACTGGTAGAGAGCGTTTGGATCGAGGTCGGCACAGTTTCCACCTGTAGATTTCTGGAGGGAGGAACCACAGTGGTCAGCAGAGTCTGGACATACACACTTGGTGGAAGCGGGTGCACATGTATCTGAGGCTGGAGCGTCGTTAACCTGACATCCATTTGGACATCCAAGTCTTCTCATTGGTGGTTGTCCAACGGTGACACATTGATATAAATCGGTGGCATTCAATCCACGACATTCAGTCAATTGCGATCCACAGTATGCACGATTGTCAGTACATTTACAACTGGCATCAACATAACTACAAAATATTAAACCAACAATGGTTAATATTATTAATTTATTCATTTTTCTTTTTTTTTTTTCGAAAAAAAGAAATAAATATATTTTTATAATATATATATATAAAAAGATTTAGTTTATCTGTACAAAGTGTAGAAAAAAAGGTTTGTTGAACCTAACTTAAATAGTTTGTTTAAATATTGTGTAAAATAAAGGTGATTTTTGACTCTAATCAAAAACTTCATTTAATTTGTTTGTAAGAAAACATCGCCACTAATAAACCCACGATAATCGGATATTATCTTTTTGGAACAAAAAACATCAACTTTGACACCCAGGTGGTGTTATTCATTTCTTGTTTTTTCAACAAAATCAGCTTTTGATTAAATACCAGCACCCCAAATTTCATCTGTAAACTTTAAAATTATTAAAATTAAATCACTCAGTTGCAAACATTGGGGAGATATTTTTTTTCGGGTATAAAAATTTCATTCTTCGGATACACTCGGTTTTATGCTTCGAAATCATTAATATCTTGGTCGAAAACATTGAAAATAAATTAATAAATATATTATTTATTTAATTTAATTTATAACCATTTTAATCCTGAAAAAATGATGTATTCATTTGTAAAAGTCATTTTAATAAAACAAACATTTAAAATTTTGAAAAAAGATTAGATTTTTTTTTAAATGATCAAAAACAACTCCTAAAAAGTTTGGGTTTTTTTTTTTTTTTTTTTCAAATATCATCTTTTTTTTTTGAAGTACTCCTATTTTTAAATCTTTATCTGTTAATTTATAATATAAATATAATTTATTTTATTTTATTAATCTTTAATTTAATTAAATCAATAGTATTAGCGAGAGAGGAGAGAGAGAAAGAGTTGATCAGAGATGATGATCCCTGATGCAGATATAGGTGGTGATGGATCTGGGTCTGGATCTGGATTTGGATCAAAGTCTAACAATATAAAGGAATTGGAGGCCGATAAGATTGAATATGTAACGACCATTGGTAGAGGTCATTTTGCAGTGTGTGATGTGGTTAGATATAAAGGAGTGCTCTACGTACTGAAGCGTGTAACACCCACCAAAGAAAATATGAGCATTGAATTCTATAGTCGAGAGAAAAGAGCACTCGAATGTGTTATGCACCACGGTTCACATCCTCATGTGGTCCAATACTTTGGATTCACAGTTAACTCAGTAGGTATTATAATCATACAAAAAGTTTTTTTTTTATCTTTATTTTTTTAGTTTTACTAACTTTTCAAGTCGATATCTAGCAAAACGAACAGTGTTACCTGCTAGAGAAGTGTGAAACCGATATCCATAAGCAATATTGCGCCACAAAGCGTGAGGTCGATGAGAAGTTTTTACAGATGATATTCGTTCAGATGTTGTCGGGTCTTGCTTTTCTGCATAGCATCAATATAGTTCACAGGGACTTGAAAACCGACAACCTTCTTCTGAAGACAGATGAACTATTAATGCGTAAGTGTGAATCCGATATTATATATATTGTCAATTACATCAACCAAAAACAAGCTTATTCTTGAAATGGTTGATTATTGCTCTCTTTTTTTTTCATTCTTTGTTGTTAACTTTATTTATATATCATTTACTTTGGTCAAAACCAAACCATTATCAACTTGTTGTGGTGGTGGTGGTTTTTGTTGTCGTTGTTGTGTAAATATGAAATGCAATGCAGTGGCCGACATGGGTTTGTCTGTTGAAATGCCTAAGAATCAACATTTCATGAGTTCCCTGCACAAGAGGGGTCATCATTGGTTCACAAACCCATCGGAACTCGGAGAGTACACTCACAGCTTCGATTTCTATTCGATGGGTAGAGTGATTTTGTACTTGGTACTCAATTGTATCAAAGGGAATACATTCGATGAAAAGGATGACTACAAATACAAAAGTGATTTCGACAACCTCCAAAATATATCCGACGATTTGAGAGAGCTGCTTTTAGAGCTGTGTGACGATAAAGAACATCGAATTGAATATAAAGGTATCGTCAACCACAAATGGGTACAATCGAAACAGCTGATACAATATATCTATAGTGGTGACAATATTCAAAAGAAAGACATTACACTCAAAGATCTCTATCAAATATTGTAAGTAAAATACATGATTAACAAACTAATCACTCACTCATTCAATATCTCTGTGTGTTCACTAATTCAATACCAATCAATTAAATAGTAAGGAGAAAGATGAATTTTCGAGTGAATACATTGTATTTGTATCTTACTATTATGATCAAGATACATTATATCTTTTGGAGGATACAGATCGCAGACATCTTTATTCAGTTGTATGTATAGATAGATTTTCTAATATTAACTGAAACTTACTAACCAACTATTTATCTATTTAGAAAACAGTGTCATTATTCCATATTAATATTTTAAAGGTTTGTATATATTAAATTTCTTTTTACCAAAGTTTATCATTACATTCTAACTTTTTGGTTTATTTGTCAATAGAATTGTGATAAACCAACAGAGCACAAAGAATATCAACGACTTTTAACATTGTACAAAACAGTACTCGCAGAAAAGGTATGTTTATTTATTGAATTAAAAAAAGGGTTAGGTATAATTATGTTAACATAATCTAAATTTTTAGAACTCGTTAATGGCTATTAATATGCAAAAGTTGTTAATACCCAGACCAGATTCAGATGTTTATAAAGCAGCCGATCTATTGAACTATCTCAGTTTGTTATCAAGTGAGGTAAAAGCGACTCTTTTATCAACAATAACAAGTATCAATATCTATGATCACTACTTGGAACAATCACCATTGAAAGTTACACCTGATATCGTCGAAAGTATACTGTATGTTAAATATAATATAAGCTTACTTTTTTGATATAAATTAACAATTCTATATATATTTTAGTATGAATAATGATTGTAGAGCTCTTTTTAAAGAAAGATATCAAAAAGATATGGCAGACTATATTGTTTTGGTGACTGACGATAAAGATCAATTTTCAACACTTCAGTCATTGCAAATGAAAGAGATTGTATGTAGAATATATATATTTAATAACACATAACTAATATATTATCTTAATATTGATTGCTACAACAGAGATCAATTTGTATGATTAGTCTAACTATCAATCAAAAACTTAAAGTCAAAGCATCTGATATTTACAAACAATTGGTCAATGTTTACTCATCTTTGCTCAACAACAACAACAAAAGAGTATGTATTACAATTAATAATCACAATTAATATGATAGCAGGAACAAAACAACAATCTAACATTTAGATTGTTTCATATTTAAAGTCTGAGAGTGATGAATCAAATGATATCGAAGCACAAGAAAGATTGCAGTACTTATTACCAAGAGTAGATAGTCATATGTATAATCCTTATCAATTAGTTTACTATTTGAGAGTATTTGTCGAGCAAGATAAAGATGAAGAATCTGTTTTATCAAGACCGATAGCATTCTCCAAGTATAACGATCAATTACAAGTTCAATCATGGGATATTCATCCTAAATCAATAGAAGAATTGATGTATGTCAAACAAATAATCCATTCAGATCTGAATATATATAACAAACTAACTAACAACTAAATAACAATCTATCTATTTAGTAATCAAAACTATGATTATCTTAAACAATATAATATGTCAATATCAGATTATATTCTATTGGTATCTTATACGGACACTCCAGATGAATTACATTTACTTTCATCGAATAGACAACCAATCTATAAATTCGTAAGTATTTGTTATTTGTTATAAACCTTTTTATAATTATTAACATTCATTATCAAATGATTAATTGATTAAAGTATACAATCAATGCATATTGTATAAAGAGTTTATCTGATGACTCATCATTGAGAAACAAGAATGAATATGAACAATTGGTAGATCTTTATGAATCTATATACAAAGAAAGAGTAGTATTTACTTATATTAGATCTATTAAAGTTAATATTTTAATATTTATAGCATTTTATGTACAAATTTAGATCGCTTTCTTACAGAATATAATACCATATGAACTCTACAGTTTGTTATTACCCACAATCGATCATAGAAACTATGAACCAGTTAGTATCATTCATTATATTCATATTTTAATGTCAAAGAATATGGATGAGATTCACGAGCGATTCTGTTCACCTAGAGATCTTCGAATCAACGATCACCAAGGTATCAGCAATCATCGATTGGTGCAATCGAAACAACTGATACACAATATCTATAATGTTGACAATGTTCAAAAGACAAACATTACACTCAAAGATCTCTATCAATTACAGTAAGAAAAAAAATGAATACTTCATTATTATATTAACAAATTAAATCAATCTAATTCAAATACAATATAAATTAAATAGTAAGGAGAAAGATGAATTAAAGAATGAATACATTGTATTTGTATCTTATTATTATAATCAAGATACATTATATCTTTTAGAGGATACAAATGACAGACATCTTTATTCAGTTGTATGTATAAATTAAGTTAGACACTTAATTATTTGATCTATTATTAATAACATAAACTAAACTAACCTAATTAATAATATTATATTAACCTATTATCTTTTTAGAAAACAGTGTCATCATTCAATATTAATATTTTAAAAGTTTGTATAAATATAAACTTATTTTTACAATTTTATCATCATAACTAACTGCTTGATGATTTATTATTAAGAGTTGTGGTAAACCGACAGAACACAAAGAATATCAAAGACTTTTAACATTGTACAAAACATTACATGAAGAAAAGGTAATCTTTATTTATAAAATAATTAATATAGGCTTGTCAATAACTTAATTAATATAATATTTTATTAGAAACCACTGTCACCCATTGCCATTAATATACAAAATATGTTAATGCCCAAACCCGATACAGATTTATATAAAGCAAGCAAACTAATGAAATATCTCAGTTTGGTATCAAGTGATGTCAAAGCGATTCTTACAACCTTGACAAGTATCAATATCTATGATCAACACTTTAATCATAAAGCAATGATAGTTACACCCGATATCGTAGAAAGTATATTGTATGTTGTTTTTATTATTAAACGATTGCAGATAATGTTTTTTGATACTAATTAGCTTAATTAATCTATTTTATTAGTATGAATAATCATTATGCTCTTTTTAAAGAAAAACATCAAATGGAGATGTCAGATCACATTGTTTTGGTGACTGATGATAAAGATCAATTTTATACTCTTCAAGCATTGCCTATGAAAGATATTGTATGTATAATATATATATTTAATCAATCGAATCGAATCAAATTGTAATAAAACACATTACTAATATTTATTCATTTATTTGACATAACTATAGAAATCACTTTGTTTCATAAGTATAACGATCAATCAACAACTTCAAATCAAAGAATCGGCTCTATATGATCAATTGGTCAATGTTTACTCATCTTTACTAAACAAAAGAGTATGTAAAACAATTAAAAATCATATATTAATTTGTTAGTATAGGAATCTAACATTTAGATATTTAATAATTAAAGTCGAGTGAATCCAATTCCATTCCTCAAGAAAGATTGCAATACTTATTACCAAGAATAGATAGCGATGAGTATAATCCTTATCATATTGTTTACAATATCAATCTGTATCAAGCCAAACCAAATCAAATTGGATCCGTTTTATTAAGATCGATAGCATTCTCCAAGTATAACGATCAATTACAAGTTGAATCATGGGATATTACTCCTAAATATGTACAATCTTTGGTGTATGTCAAACATAAATGATCTATAAACTCAAACAACAACACCACCTAACTAACAATCTATCTATTTAGTAATCAAAACTATGATTATCTTAAACAATATAATATGTCAATATCAGATTATATTCTATTGGTATCTTACACAGATACTCCAGACAAACGACATTTACTTTCATCAAACACAAAACCAATCTATAAAATAGTATGTATTTTGTTTTGTTTACTAATATGAAGCTTAAGTTAACTAACACCTCACTCATAACATAATCAATAGAGTACAATTCATGCATATTCAATAAAGAATATTACATTGGACGATTCACCGGTTATCAAGAGTAGTGAATATGAACAATTGGTAGATCTTTATGTGTCATTGTTGTCAGAAAGAGTAAGTTGATTGAAAAAAAAAAAAAAAAAAAAGAAATTGAATTATCAAGTCTTGAAACTTTGTACTTATTGCACTTTCTATCAAAATTAATTTAGAATGATCAATTGCTTACACTAATTCCAGAGGCTCTATGTAATATGCTATTACCTAAAACTCATTATAAACACTATCAGCCAAGCAATATCATTCAATACATTCACATGTTGGTGTCAGATGAAAAGTTAAAGTCTGTCATTGCCCAAGTTAATAATGTAATACCACTGTCACTGTACGAAAGCTACAAAGAATATAAATCGATTCACCAATTCTCGATTATGGATTATATTGCATATCTGTAAGTATTTATAAAATTAATGACGATTGTTAATTAATTCATATGATAACAATTATTATTAATTAAAAAACAAATAATAACAACAACAACAACAATAGTAATCACGACTATGAGCAAATCAAAAAGAATCACTCCATTGAAATTTCCAACTATTTGATTCTGGGATCGATTCATGAAAAGCCGGACTCTTTTTTCGTTTTATCATACCATTCACTCTTTTCAATGGTAAGTAAATTAACAATATCGTTCACGAAAGTTGTTTTGTTTAACCGATAGTTATATCTAAATTGTTTAGAAATCGGCATATGCTTTTCAAATAACAAAAGTACACGACATTATAGTTCCAGAGTATTCACCAATTCATGTTGCATTGAAAGGTTTGTACATTTCACTACGTAAAGATAAAGTAAGTTTTACATATCTAATAGATGCTACAACTACTACAACAAACTAATTTAATTTATTTTGCTAATTTCACAATAGTTTTCAAAGATTATAGGATCAATGCCTCAAAATATAGCCAATATAATTGCTCCACCTGATTCCAATAGTAGGTTATTTTTATTTTGTTACCTCATAATATTATAATTAATATTAACATTTCTTTCTAAATTTATTTATTTATTTTTTCAAGTTTTTAAAGATAAGAATATGAATATAGCTTATTATATTAATTTGATTAAATCAGATAGTGAAATACAAACAATGATGTATGTTGTATATCTATGATAATCACTCCAAACATTGGAAATTGATTGATAACTAATAATATTTTCTTGTGCTCTATATTTAGAAACTGTATGGAAGAAGATTTGAAAGGTGAAAGGAATGTACATGACCTAAAGATTGAAACTCTGAAGAGAGATTTGAGAAATCTCAATGATTATACCGCTCAGAATGATAAGCGAATCAGTGATATCACCCATGAAATACATCTGCTAAAGAACCGCAATGAAGCAGTAAAGTTGCGCTCATCGAAAGAGCAAGTCGATATCAACAAGCAATCATTGATGAATCTCAAGAATAGCATCGATCAGCTCGAGAAGGATAGGGTCGAGAGCTATGAAGAAATGAAGATCGCATTGTCCAAGGGTGTCAAACAGAAAGACGACACCGAACTCACCAAAGAGGAGGAGAAGGTCGAAGCAGTTCTGTTAGAGTTGAGCAAAAAAGTTGATAAACTAGCCAGAGAATTGACAGATCTTGAAATTAAAAATCAAAATAATTTTAATAAATAATAATAATAAACGTTTGTATTAATATTGTATAGGATAAAGTTATACATGTTTAATTCCATTCAATGACAGATGGAAAAATTAAAATTTGGGGGTCTACCACTCAAATTTTTTTAATTTGGTTCTGTTTGTGGATTGGGATGGTTTATTAAAGAGGCACTGGAACTTGGAGCTGAATAAGTAATAGGAGTTGATATTTCAGTTCAAATGTTAAACCAAACTAGAAATTTAGTTGGTGAAAACAATCCAAAGGTTCAATTGTTAAATAAATCAATTGAAGAATTAGAGTTACCTGAAAATTCAGTTGATGTAGTTGTATCCTCCTATACAATTCATAACATAGTTGATTATTCAGGATTGGTATCAAAAATTAAAGAAATTTTGAAACCAGATGGAGAATTCATTTTCTTGGTTATTCATCCAGTAAGTATTTTAAAAATTAAAACCAATTAGTTTCGAATTTTAAATTTGATTAATTTAATAAATTATTGTGGTCGATAATTGTAGATTTATACTGCAGGAGTTGAACATCAATGGGTTCAATTAAATAATGAAAAAGCTTGGTGTATTAAAAACTACAATGTCGAAGGAATTAGAGTTGAACAAACATCTTTTATGATCAAGAATTTTAAGTTTTGTCATAGGCCAATGTCAGTATACCTTAATACATTGATTAATAATGGATTCCATATCTTGAACCATGCCTTGAAAATGAAAAAGAAAATATTACTTCTGAAGTTGAAAATAGACAAAATCAATTAGATAGACCTTACCATTTAATTATTTCTTCAACTTTAACAAAATAAACTGGTATATTTGACTATAGTCCAAACTTTTTTTAATAAATCATTAGTTTACATACTATTATGTCAGATACTTTATTCACAGTATGTTAAAAAAAAAAAAGTTTAAAACTATGTTTAATTCCATTCAATGACAGATGGAACAAATTAAAATTTGGGGTCGACCACTTAAAATTTTTTAATTTGCTTCTGTTTTTCCATGGAATTAAACACATGTATGTTAGCTCTTAACTAAATATATTGTTTGATTAATAATACTATTAAGAAAAAAGAAAAAAAATATCACAAAAATTACTTTTCACCCCAAGTTTTTTAAGTTTTCAAAAATTTAAAGTAAAAAACCACCTTTTAATAACCGAGTGGTAAAGTTTTGCTGATGGCGGACTTTCACACACCAAAAAGTGCTATTTTCAATTATTGTAATATTTTTGCGGGTCATCACAATCTTGTTTTTTTTATTTTTTTTTTTCTTAGCTTCTCTTTTCTTTGCACACCACATACAGACATACATATATACATACACACATATACTATAAACATTTTATATTTAAAGCATAACAAAAATAGGTTAAACAGATCAGATTCTGATTATAATTATGTTTTTAGAATAACTTGTTTTTTGTTTTTTTTATATTAATAAATTAAAAGTTTATTTTTATTTGTTTGTTTTATTTTATTTTGTATATAATAATAAATATATATTTAGTTTTTTTTATAATATTTTTATTTTTGTTGTTTGTTGTATTATTATTAAGAAAAAAGAAATAAAAGGAATAGAATAAAAATAATAACAGAATGTCTAGAATACCAGAAAAGTTGATACAAGATTCGTCGTTGCCTTCGACGCCGATCGGATTCTTTGAGAGAATGAAAAAACAAAGATCGATGGTGTCGATGGGTGAATTCCCACCGGAAGCACCACCCACACACATGGTAACTCAAGTGTTAGAGAAGACTTCCAACGATACCGATGATCTTGCTAAGCGTATTAAAAATACACCTGTATATCAACCTTTGACAACTGCAACAACAACAACTACAACAACAACTACAACAACAACAGATAATGCTCCAACAACAACAACAACGGAGGAAAATGATGATGAAGAGAAAATCATTATTTTCAAACCAAAGAATGTTTCACGTTTGACTGCAAAGCGACAGGCTTGGGATGACTATGCTTTCCTTTTCAATCGTGAGGAGGTGCGTGCTTGGCTGGAGGAGTGTTTGGATCACTCGTTCGAAGAGGAAGATCTGTTCCAAGCGTTGATCGACGGTATTTGGCTGTGCAAGTTGGCAAACATCATCAAACCGGGCATTATAAAGCGTATTCACAAGAAGAACAGTCCATCCTACATGAAACTGGAGAATATCAACTTCTTCCTCTGTGCGTGCTTGGAGCTTGGTGTCCTACCGGACTATCTATTCTTACCGACCGATCTCTACGAAAAGAAGAATCTAAAGAAAGTAATCTATTGTTTATTAGCATTATCAATTGAAGGTAAAGTAATTACTACTATATATATATAAAGATATACATATGTCTATAAAGATATTAATATTATTAATTTAGGTGGAAAGAGAGGATTCAAACACAAGTTAAATATTACTGTGTTTAATAATGATAAGATAGGTAGATCAGGTAGTAGTAGTAGTGGATCAACAACAATAGAGACTATTGAAGATATTCCACTACCACCTACATTGACAATGAAAAAGAGAAAAAAGAAGAAACCTGCTTCTGCAACTTTAAAGAAGGCTGCTCCACAACAACAACAACAACAACAACAACAACAACAACAACAACAACAACAACAACAACAACAACAACAACAACAGCCACAACCTACAACATCATCCTCTACATCTTCTTCATCCACTGCATCTCCATTATCAAATAACACCAACATTTCATATTCTAATCCAATTGATTTAGAATCTACAACCAAAACAACTTCGTCTGAATCAAACAATATTTTGTTAAACAACAACAACAACAATAGCAATGACAGCATTAGTAATATCAGTATCAATAACGATGTCAGTAACAATAGCAATAGCAATAACATTAACAATAATAGCAATAACATTAGTGACTATTCCAGTCAAACTTTGGCAATATCATCTATTGATACAGATAGTTCAAGTAAAGTTAACAGTAGCTGTGTTTTGGAAAATGTAGAACAGTCATCTAAAGAATCAAGTGAGATGACTCCAATTCCACCATTATCAAATAATAATAATAATAATAATAATAATAATAATAATAATAATAATAATAATAATAATAATAATAATAGTGATAACGATGAAAAGTCATCTGTAGTTGATTCAAGTGTAACAAAACAACAAGAAGATTTGAATATAGTTCTAATTGGTGATATTAGTAATAATAATAATTATGGTGCTAGTATTTGTATTAGTAATAATGATAGTAATCAATCGGAAAATAGTAAATCAATTGTAGAATCAACAAACGAGTCATCAAAGATTAATGATATCAGTGAGAAGAACAACAATACATCTGTTGTCGTATTAGAGAAAACAACAGAAATAACTACTGTCACTGAGACTGTTATCACCGAGGAACTAATTACCGGTGAGATAGCTAATGGTATTATTACTAATAATAATAATAATATGGCCAACAACAATATCTCTGTAAATAGCGTACAACAATCAGAAACAACAACTAACAATAACAATAACAATAACAATAGCAATACTTATGATAAAGAGAGTATCAATCATACTGATATTCCAATATCATCATCACAATCTACAACCTCTTCCTCACAATCACCTTCAATTAAAGATGATAATAATAACATTGTTGCTTCCACAACTAGTTCAACTGAACCAACTAAAGTATCATCATCATCATCATCATCATCATCATCATCATCATCATTAGGCAATAATGATAATATTAATAACATCAATAATAATACAAATATTAGTAATAGTACATACAACAACAACAATTTAAATAATAGCGATAGTAATAATAATAATAGTAATAGTGGAGGTAACAAACAAAGAGGTGTATCTTTAACTTCATTTTTAAAATCAAAGAAAGAGTTTGATCAACAACAACAACAACAGTCAAACCAACAATCCAATACATCACCATCATCATCATCATCATTCTCATCATCTACACAACAAACAAAACCAAGAGGATCATCTATGATTTTAGGTAATCAAAGATTGACACCTACATCCACACCAACACCAACATCTACATCATCGACATCACCATCATCTTCATCTACAGATTCATCAGTTGCTACAAGACAGACATCTACTTGGGTCGACACAAGAAGATCATCAGTGGAGTTATTTAAGAATAATTCATCATCTTTACAGCAACAACAACAACAACATCATCATAGACATACTATTACATCAGGATCTAGTAGTAGTAATAGCAGTAGTAATAATATGATTGATTTAAAGACTTTATTTAATACAAAGTTTGATATCACTAAAGTAGATGAAGAGGAAGAGGTAGAATTGGTAGTAGAGGAGAGTGAAGATTCTTCGGATGAGTTTGAATCGGATTCCTCTGACGAGTATGAACCATTGGTGACTGGAAATGAGGTAATGGCATTCATGGGTACACTCAAGAAGCACAACTATGAAGACGATGAGGTCGTAGCAATGGACGAAACAGATTTGATCATAGAGCAGCTGAATAGCGAGGAGTTCAGTGATACCGGTTCAGAGTACTCAATCGAATCGGTAGAGCCATCAACAACCTCTGAGGATTTGATCAACAGTAGCATTAACAGCAGCAGTAGTAGTAACAATGGTACAACATCAGACATCACTGACTTGGAGTTAGATGTAGACAATGAAATAGAATCACTGAATAGATCAACTAGTTCATATAAGAATCTTGAAAAGACATTCTTGGAGACAATAACTGAGCAAGAAACTGTTAAGCAAGAAGAGGAAGTAGAAGAAGAAGAAGTAGTAGTACAACAATTACAAACTATACAAGAGGAAAAACAAGAACAAATTCAACAAAAAATAGAAGTACAAGAAGAGATTGATGTTGAGGATCAAGTTGAACTCAAAGCTCAAGTCGAGGTTGAAGAGGAATCATCTAATAATGCCACTATCTCACCAGACAAAGAATCAGATAGCAATACAAATACATCTATTGATCAACAATCCCAACAACAAATAGCATTAGAGGATTTAACAACTGAAATCATTGATAGTAGCAACATTAATGTAGATTTTGAGAATCTTAAAATTAATAATCTTAATAATAATAATAACAATACATACAACGTTGAAATAGAAGAACAGATCACAGCAACAACAACAATAACAAAAGACACAACAGAAATAGAAGTTGAAGAAAAGAACAATAATATTAATAATAATAATAATATTCAAGTTTTAGAATCATCACCAGATACCATAACAGGTGTGGTATCTACAGTTACAACAACAGAGAGTTCCTCATTGGGCACAAGCTCGTTGAACAGACAAACAATCGAAACCGCTTCTAATGTTGAGACCACCTCTTTAGAAGAGATACCAACTACAAACAACAAGCTAGAATCTAGTGAAATACCAGCATCTTCAACTGCAACAACAACAACAACAACAACAGCCACTACAAAGACAACTACATCATCTTCATCGTCATCATTACAACCAAGAACAAAACCAGTTATAGGGTCATTAAAACAACCTATTTCTGTTCAAAGACCGACAACAGCAACAACATCTTCACCATCAAAGAGTATTCCTACTAAATCAGTCACATCATCTACCACTACAACTGCAACACCAAAACCATCATCAGCTTTAACTTCAACAACAACAACTGTATCGTCACCTAAGTTAAAAGCTGCAACCTCTACATCGTCAACCGCAACTAGCTCAACATCTGCAATCAAACCTAAGATAACAGCAACCAGCTCAACACCGACAACCCCATCACCAAGTACAGCTACAAGCAAGATAACTGGCTCTATACCTTCACCAAAGACTATCAATTTACCATCTTCATCAACACCTTCCAAACCAAAACCATCGTTCAATTCAACTGTGAGATCGACTCTAGCGACCAACAATAACACTCCACAATCACCATCGAAATCATCTACTACATCAGTTCCAACAAAACCAATATCAACGGTTAGCAAGCTACCACCTTTAAGACCAGCATCCAGACAGTCTGCCGAGGTAAAGAAGTCAACCTCGTCATCGGCCGTTCCAATCGATGCTGTAACCATCACCACAACAACCACAACCATTACAACCATCGTAGAGACATCTACAGTCGAAGAGGAAGAGGATGAAATCGTAAGTTTCGGTGATTCTCTTGATGTAGATCTCGATTTGACGCCAGAGACTAGCACCAATGATAAACCAGCAAAACCAACGACACCAACCAAAGAAGTTGAAAAGAAAGATTATTCTTATCATCGTAATTTCCATACAGTTACAAACTATCCGACCTACAAACCTGCTGTAAGTGACAGTACCGATAAGATATTCGCCGAGTTCCTCAACACTACCATGAAGCGTATTCTCCCGCCATCTATTGTCCTACCGAGACACATCGAACGTATCGCACCAAACAAATACAAATGGGGAGATACCGTTGTCAACATGCGTTGCGTAAACAACATCATTGTCGTGCGTGTTGGTGGTGGTTGGATGACTTTGAAAGATTTCTTGATTCGTTATAATTCCGTCATTACTGCTGCTGATATTGGTATGTATTTTTACAATGGTAATCGATCGCAAACAATCAAATCACTAACATTATATTTTATATCATATAATCTATATAGAAAAAGTAGCAGAACTTGAGAATGAATCATCAAATGAAATGACAAAGTTACAGATTCAAAAATCATATGCAGAGAATGGTGTTGTTAAGACGTCACAGGATCTTTCACCATCGAAGACCAATAGTAAACCAGTTATAAAGGCATCAAAGATTCTCAGAGCTGGTACACCTTTGCCGCAGTATGGAAATAGCCAAAGTAATATTCCACTGCGTTCAGGTACACCTTTACCATACTCAAAGTCACCATCATCTTCTCCTAATGGCAGCAGCGGTAAAGACAGCAATCCTTTGCCAGGCAGTGGAGATATCGACTACAAGCTCGGTACTCACAGAACACAAGTTGCATCCGGAACATTAAGATCTGTTCCCTCCAACTCACCCTCTAGAATACCAACTAACAACAACACACCTACCAAAGGTAGAATTATCAATTCAACATCTGCACAATCCTCTCCAACTAAATCAACTAGTAAATCATCATCATTATTATCATCTACTATAAAATCATCACCATCACCGTCATCAATATCATCGTCTTCAACTACCACCACATCTACTACCCCCACTCAAAGTAAATCTAATTCCATTTCTTCAACAACAAAATCCAACACACCCACATCTTCACCCAGCACTACAACAACATCCACTACGAAAACGAAAAAATCACCCATTTCAAGTTTATCTTCACAAACTAAATCAATATTTGGTTTAAAAAAACAAGATAAATAAATTAAAATGAATGAATTGGAATTTAATATTTCTTACATTTATTTCTTATATTTAAATAATTTTTTAATAATTTTTATACAAATAATAAATACCCCAACACAGGTTTAAGGAAAAGTAAATGAAATATCAATTTATATGATTATTTTGATTTATTTTACCAACCTTGAAAAAATGAATCTATATTTAAATAAATAAAACATAATTGGATTGATTTTATTGATTTATTTAATTTTTTTAAAACAAAAAAATGAAAACTTTAATTTATATTTGTATTTTAGTTTTATTAATTTTACAATTAAATAATAATAATTTAGTATATGCAGATGATGAAGATGACGAATCCGAATCTGATTCTTACTCTGACTCATACTCATCAGAGGATTCTACTTCACCACACAAACCAAAAAAACCTCAAATCACAATCAGAAATATTTATGTATTGACACACAAATCGACAAACCAAACCCAAACAAATGTATATTTCAAATCCATTGTGGATCCAAAAAGTAAATGGAATTATTTAAATCAAGAAGGAATGAATGATGTAAAATTAGATAGATTTGTTTATATGAACCAAAAAGAAAAAAGTGTAAGTATTCTTTAAAAAAAACAATAAATCATTCTTTTTTAAATTTAATACTAATTGGAATTTTTTTTTTAATAGATGATTTTTGATTCAGTTCAAACTATTAAGAATACCTATTCATTAGTTCATCTCAAGGAACATTCTAATTTTGAATCGGAATTGAATAATGAATTCAATGAAAAAACCTACTATCATACTGAGGTTACAAAGGATGAGTACAACTCAAAGAGTAAGAAACCGACTGGTATTGGCTTGGTGGTTCCAGAGAATAAGAAAGGTTATCTTACTGCTTGTTCTTATCCCCAGAGTGTTACCTTTCATTGTTCAGAGGTGCCAATTAAAGTACCAGAGGATTTGGAGAATGGTGTAATGGTCACACTCGATAGATATTCAAATGCCTATTCTGTATTGACCAATCACAATGATTCCAGTGACAACTTTATGGCAATTTTCAAATTGAATTCCGATGGATTCCCTGAACATCCATCGTCTTTCAGGGTGGAGTTCAAAATTCAACATGTTGGTATTGTCTCTCATAATGGATATACATTTGTGGCTGGAAACGATCTCAATACCCATGAGCTAAAGGTCTATAGCATTGAACAAGATTCTAGAAACTTTGGTATTATTCTAGAGAAACCTTTCACTTTGGATACAGTTCTTCGTTCTTACTCTGATCCTAAATATGTTGGTCTTTACTCCAAAGGTGCAAAACAATTATTAGTTTTGAATTTGCAAACTCAGGCTGTTCAAGAACACAACTTCACAATGGATTTACCTTCAAATGTCAAACCTGTCGACTTTATGATTTCCAGTGTAGAACCATCCTTTAAATTTTCACATGAAAAATCGACTGCTTCTGCCATTTTTAATTCAAGATCGGTGTTTGTCCTAATCTTTTCTTTAATTATACTATTGTTATAAAAGAATAATAAAGAAATCAAATATTAATAGATTAATAGATTAATTAATTTTATTTTACAAAAACAATACTTTATTTGATGAAAAATATAGTTTTGGATGATTGTTTTTCATTATCAAAAGGTATTGGATTTCATTTATATCTGAAGTTGTCAATTGTATTAAATTGAACTCATATTTTTCATTGAATAATATTATTGATTCAAATGAATGTTTATGATCTTTAGTTGCTGTACATTGAATGTCCAAGTATCGCTTACCGCATTTCAATTGTTTTAAGCTTGGTGGGTATGTTACTTTACTACTGTAGTTTATGGGCAAAGATAAATGAGTTAGATTGGACATATTGCTTAGGTCGAGATCCGAGTTGAAGCTCGATTGCTTTGGGAAATGAAGCTGTTGCAATCCAGCCGGAAACGACATGTTCAATGTGCTCTGGAGTTGCTCGCCAACACGTAGGTATTGTAGATTCGATGGTAACCATTTCACAGAGGGTATCTGTTTTGACGCCATCGACATCTTCAACTTTACCAACGATTTCGGAAAGATATCATTGCCATCAATGAACTCCTGAGTCAGAACAGTTCCTAAATCTAACTCCTTTAGATAGCAAGGCAAATCGCCTGCTTTCAAACTGTGGCGGTATCTCGAGAGTTTGAGAGATTCCAACGTATCAGGTAGATAGTTTGGTCCGAGCGACGGCTTTTTGAAGGTAGTCTCAAGCTGCAACTTCTTGATGGTAAGCGGTATTTTGCCAGCTGGTATTGACTCTCCTAGGGTGTTGATACGGAGAGTCTCTATCGATGGAGGAATACTTAGATAGCCGTATTCACAAACACCGTTGATCGATAAGATCGTATGCTCTTCCTTGATCTCACTGATGCATCGATCAAAGTTATCCCTATGAAAGATGAGAGTGCACATCACTGGTGACATTGAAAAAGTTGACAATGACTTTTTATCATAGTTGTCGCTATCTGGTTGCTTCTGACTTGTTGATCTAGATCTATCGATTTTCTTGAAATAGTTGCAATAGCAATCACGTTCATTATAGTATCGTTTACATGTCAAAATGAATGATGCTCGATCTATAGGTTCCTTAATAAAACTAAAGATAAAATCTAAAATTATATTTGAGAAAGTAGTTGACATAATTATATAAATATCTTTTTTAATTGTTTTTTTAATTTATTTATGATCATAAACTCAAGTCTGGTCAAAAATAAAAAAAACAAAAAATGAACTTCCCAAAAATCATATCTATTAATTGTCTTAGTAAATGAAGAGATTTACATTGACGTCTACAACAATAACAACAAACATTTTGAATTCAATACTGTACAAGCTTATTAAAATAATAAGTTTTTAAAAAAATATTTATGACTAGTCATTACCAAACCTTGTCAGAAGTGTGGTCATATGCATCTGACTTTTGCTATGATACGAAAGCCACCTCGCTTAGAGGACACCAATAGATATATAACTATTTTTCATGTATTTAAGAATATAATTTAGATAATAGATATATTTATATTATAATAGATAAAAAAGAATAATAAAAATAATAATAATAATAATAATAATAATATAATTAATTTATCACATTGTATATTAAAAGAAATATTCTCCATCAATAATGGTTTATCTATATTAGATTGGATGTGGATGTCAACTTCTTAGAGAGGATCGTACACTGGAGAATCTACCTTGGTCAGTAGAATCGATTGTGATCAGCGATGTGATTGAACTCAGAAGATGCGATCATTCATCATTCATTGCCATCTACATGAACGATCACACCAAAGGTGGCTTCATCCATTCCAATCAACAATTAAACGATAACTTTAAATCTGACAATAATAAACTTTATAACCTTTTATTTTTATCAAATCTCTCAAATTCAGGTTATTTATTCCATTTACCACCTCAATAATATCCAGAACGGAAATGAAAGTAAATAATATTAATCTAATTAACTTATTTAATTTTATTTTAAATATTTTGTTGCTTAAGTTTATTTAATTCTTTGGTTTTTCTGTCAGTGTATTCACAAAGAACTTGAAGCGCTCTACACTCACATTCGATCCAGATCCTAGAGGCAGCGTACATTATTTCATTATATGGAAGAAGATCTGTTTCCAATAGCCATACTAACATTACATGTTTATTATGGCGTATCAAAAATGACAGAAAATCATGAGTATTATCCGGATCAATCTGACGTTCAGTTCTATTTTCCAACAGCCACTGTGCAACATCGGTGTGGTACGTGTAGTAAATTACAGAGGTCATCGGTGAGTGTTAGCAACATTCGGTCCTGTTCTCATGCAACCATTTTACAACGTCTAGTCTTCCGGAGAGAGCTGCATTATACAAAGTTTTATCGTTGAAGAAATCAAAGTTATACTTTCTCTCATGGAGAGATATCACAATGTTAAGAGGAGCAGTTTTGTTCATGCTTTTTGTCAACGAATGAGTAGTGTTTTCCAATAGCCATTCCATCGTATTAACATCTCCTTTTGAAACAGCAATACCTAATGTCTTATCGGAATACCATACATCAGTTCTATTCTTGAGTAGCCAAAGAGTAACTTCTTGATGACCATTGGTGGCAGCTGCATCGACAGTCGATGACATACATATATAAGTAGTATTTTGATGAATCCATTGAACTAATTCCAGGTTACCTGCTTCAGCTGCCAAAGACATCACTATAGGAGGACATTTACATCCAAGTTGGTAAAGAACTTTGAATATCTCAATACCAGTCTCTAGGTTAGCAGCATTCCTTAGATACTCTTCATTTCCAGTATCCAAAAGATCTCTGTGTTCTAACAAAAGGTATTCTAATACCGGTAGTTGATTATAGGATATTGCTGAAAGATACATCTGGGTATACGGTAACTCCTGTGGTCTGTTCTCGACCAACCATTTTATCAAATCGATTCTACCGACATGTGCTGCACTATTGAATGATTTACCATAGACTTTCGAGATATCTTCACAATTGTCATAATCAATCTTGTCAAAGAAGAATTGCATTAACTGTAAATCACCTGAAAACGGTGCATACTTCATCGCTTTCACCATATCCCACTTGGTAGTATTGAATCTTTCCAATAGATATTGAATTATATCGAATCTACCGTACTCTGATGATTCTTTCAATAGATTGTTTAAAACGTCTGTTCTATTACTACCATATCGAAAGTAATCTAAAATATATTGAAACACTGCTAAACTTCCACCTCCTCTGATCGCACAAGAGATTATATGCGTGCCAGTACCAAGAGTGAAAGTTGTGATATCACACTGACCAAGAGATTTTGGTAACTGATTGAAATAACCATGAGTTGCTAAGATTTTAGGTAACCGTTGTAATTCATTCCATTTATAATAAGTTCTACCAGTTAAACTGTTTATATATCTAATATATTTAAATATTGAATTTCGTAAAAAAATATTCTTAAAAACTACTGAAAATAATCTTTTCTCCATCTTTCATTTAACTTATATTTAAAATGTAGAAGATTGGATTGAATGGAAGACCAACCTATCATCAATACTGAAACAAACAAAAGCAATTTGTTAAATAAAAAAAAAAAATCCAACCTCTCAAATTTTAACATTTTATTTCTGATGGAATGAAACAAATAAAATTTATTAAAATAACAAATTTTAGAATGTTAGTTTGTAGATAAAAATTCTTTAAAAACAGTATAAACTCTTGGAGTTATTGTAATATTTTTGTCTTGAAATTCTGATTTAACTTCTCTAGAGATACGAGGTCCATGAACCTTAAAGTAGTGTTCTAGTGTTTGCTGTGATACAGGATAGTATTGGTTGATAAAACTAACGGTATTGGAATTGGTGTCGGTAGATTTTAACTTGTTAATAGTTCCACTTTTGAATAGTGTTCCATTGTCCAATAAAACTACTTCATTAACATGCTTTTCAATGAAGGACTCAACCTTTTCTGCTGATTCTTTGTCGACAACAACAGTAACTTCATAAATAGTTTGATTTTCCATTTATTTTTTTTATCAAATAATATTTCTTTTGAATAACAATAAAGTAGCTGTCTTTAAATAGAAATTTAAAAAAAAGTTATTATTTGTTGTTTTAACATGAATTATTAATATTATCTATCTTTCTATATTTGTGCAAAAAATTGGTATTGAATCATTATAAGATAAGATTGTAGATAAATTACCATTGTTTTTAATTTCATTGTTTATACATTTTTTATTTTTTTATTAATTTTTTCTATATGTTGTTTGGTTGTTTGTTTGTTTGACAACTTTTATAATCAGTTGATATTTAATTAATTGAATGTATGGCGATGATTACATAATATGAAAACAAATTAGTGACTTGGAAATAACAACTTGTTTAATTGGTTGGTTGGTTTTTTGATAGAGTGAATGAATGAATGAATGATGTGAGAAGAAGACATGTTGTTGTCAGCTGTTGACAAAGAAGAGGAATTTATGTACGTGCTTGTTGTATGTTGTTTGTTTTTTGTTGTATTGTGGTTTGTTTTTAGTTTGTTTACTTCCACAATTTACTCATACTGGTATTTGACTCTGAATCCTTCTTCATAACCTTTGAAACAGCCATTTCGAAATCCTCTTGACTGACGTGAATTCTTCTCTCTCTCAAGGCATACATACCGGCCTCAGTACAAACAGCTTTAAGCTCTGCACCAGAAGCACCATTTAACTTGTCAGAGATCTTCTTTAGATTGATACCTCTTGTCAAATTCATCTTTCTAGAGTGAATCTTTAAGATATCCAAACGACCCTATTATTATTATTATTATTATTATTATTATTATTATTATTATTATTATTATTATTATTATTATTATTATTATTATTATGATTATTATTATTATTATTATTATTTAAATAATAAATTATTAATAAACCAGTAAATAAAATAATAATAATATGTAATGTATAATTAACTTACAGCATCACCTGGATTGGGGAATTCAATCTTTCTGTCGATTCTACCTGGTCTGAGAAGTGCTGGATCTAAAATATCGATACGATTTGTACACATCAAAACCTTAATATTCTTGGTGCTTTCGAAACCATCGAGTTGATTCAACAACTCCAACATAGTACGTTGTACTTCACTGTCACTGCTACCACTACCACCTTCAATTCTCGAAGATCCAATCGAATCGATTTCATCCATAAAAATGATTGATGGTGCGTGTTCTCTATGGTTAATTGTTATTATTATAAAGATTAGAATAATTAAGTTGAAACTTTATAATTATAATAAATAGTAATAAAACAAACTAAACTTACCTTGCCATAATAAATAACTCTCTAACCATACGTGAACCTTCACCTATATACTTTTGTACTAGTTCGGAACCGGACACTCTAATAAAGGTACAATCGGTGTGATGTGCGACGGCACGTGCTAGCAGGGTCTTTCCGGTACCTGGTGGACCGTAGAGCAGTACACCTTTAGGCTGTGCAATACCGAGACTCTCAAAGAGCTCCGGATGTTTGATGGGCAACTCGATCACCTCTTTGATCTCTTTGATCTGCTTGTCGAGTCCACCGACCATATCGTAGGTGGAATCCGGTATCTTTTCGACTTTCATGAGCGAGACGAGTGGATCGATCTTGTTTGGCAGGATACGGTGGAGTGTATACGATTCGTGTTTGAGCGCTGCTCTGGTCGACGGTGTCAACTTGGCAATGTCGATCGACGGATCGATGTCTACGACGAACTTACCCTCGGGATTGACCTTGACGAGCACCTTGTTCTTACCCATCAACTTGACCACCTCGGCAACGTGTGAACCTGGGTTGGTAAGCAACTGCAACTCCTCCTTCAACATTCTGACACGATTGTTCAATTCATTTCTCTGTGCTTCCAATCTACGAAGATCCTGTGCTTTCTCATTTACTTTTATCTCTAACTCTTCTATTTTTGATACATAATATGATTTTATTCCTTTTGTTTCATCTTTTGTCATTTTTTTATTTATTTTATCTGTTTAATTTATTATTATTATATATATTTACAAATTTATTAACTAATCTTTAATTTAATTTAATTATATTGATTTGATTTGATTAAATCAAATATATATATTAAATATTTGTGTTATTTTATTTTATTTTAAAACTAATAATGTCAATTCACACACAAATTTTGATGTTCATTTTTTTAATTTAATTTTGAATTTATTGTTTTTTTTTATTTTATTAATTTCACAAAATTTTTTTAAATCAACCCAAAACGTTACTCCATCAATTTACAAGATGTAAAAAAACTGATTATTGTATTTTATTTTAAAATTATTTTATTTAAAAACTAATTTTTTTGTTAAATTTAGAAAAAGTTATAAATATGTTAGAGATACAGATCCCCAACCCTCTCTTGATAGGTATCTTCGGTGAAGAAAGGTTGATTTGTTGCTATTGAATATCTAAAGTTACTCAATAGATATTGACAGGAATCGAGGTGAGATGTTCAATTTCTTTGGTTTCAACGTTTAGTCTTATGAATAGATCATCTTTGGTGTGAATGTAGAAATTACCGTTGTTATCGTGACACGCCGTAAATGGTTGGTAGTTAATAGAGAGTTCCGAGAGTTCCTCTCGCTTGATATCCAATTTGCATAGAGTGTATTGTTCGAACGATACCGCGTATAACGATTGTTTGTAGAACATCGTTGATATTTGACGACCGGTCGTATCTCTCAGGAACTCTGAGATAACATCTTTTAAATTCGGCGTTTCGAAGATCGAGACGATGTATCTTATTGTTATATGCCAAGTAGATCGAATCATTCTTTTCATTGTAACAGGCAACAGAGAATCTTCTATTCTCACCATATCGCCGACATGTTGGATTTCTTTCGTGTACATCGACAACCTTAACCATTTGTGATCCAGTTGATCTTTTTATCATGAACTATCAAATATTTACAACACATCAACTTGTTGCATGAATGCTCTCTGTTTTCGAACCATATGGATTTGACATTATAATGATACCATTTTTGATTTTTTTTGCACATCTTTTTTTGGATTCTCGCATTATTTTTGCAAAATTTTTCATTTTTGGGGGAGGGATAAAATGGAATTACACAACCTTGCATTTTGATTTTCGAAGATTTCCAATAATTTTTTTTGAAAGAGTCAATCATGAAGATTCTAGATTTATTTATCTAGATAACTTTTGGGGAACAATTCCCTCAGATAGTCCAATTGTTTTTTATCCAAATTTTACTTGTTTTTTTAAATAATTTCATTTAAACAAACAACAATACAAAGAACAAACAAATAAAAGTTAATAGGTAAATATTAGTTATTTTTTTTTGTATAAATATTATTATTTTAATTAATGATAATTTTTCTTTTTTTCTTTTAAAGAATGTCTTCTAAAAAATCAAGTGATTATCAATGGGCTACTACTAAAAGTGGTGAGGTTGATAAAAGATATGCTCATCCTGTAATGACCAAAAAAGATGGCACAAGGGATATGAGAACCAACTCTGGTTCTCAACTTAAAAAATAATAATTGGATTATAAAATTTTTTGAAAAGATTAAACAGACCTTTGGGGAAATAAAAATGAATTTTAAAAAGGATTTTTTAGTTTCTTAAAGAATAAATAATTGAAATTATTTATAATTTTATATCAATACTAATTTTGTTTTATATTGCATCAAAAGAATACTGAATGAACTTATCACATTTGTAGCTCTTTAAAATTTAAAAAATAAACCGCTGGTGTAAAAAAAAAAAAATGCCCCATTAAATGATAATTCTAAAAAAAAACCTTCATCACTTATTTTTACTATCATTTTTTGAATAACATTATTTTGTAAAAGTTTATATAATGTATTATTATGATAGTTGTGAAAGTATTAAAACAGGAACTTTTAGAGATGATAATACTATTCAATCATTTACATTTTGTGATGATTTCAATAAACAAATAGAACCTGGATCACTGCCACCCAAATTAAAATCGTTGATTTTTGGAGAATATTTTGATCAAATCCTACTGCCTGGTTCACTACCACCAACACTAGAGGTTCTTGTTTTAAGTGAGAATTACGATCAACCATTTCTACCTGGAGTGCTACCAACTACACTGAAATCATTGATAGCAAGGGATTGCGAACAAATATCAGAGGAATTTATCATCAAATATAGACATAATAATAATAATAATAATAATAATAATAATTATAATACAGAAGCAGAATATCTTCAATGTCATTTAGTAGTTCCACTTCATTATGAAATTAATGTTGATATGGGTGAAGTTGAAGAAGAAGAAGAAGAAGATAAAGTAGAAGAAGTAAAGGAAAAACAAGAAGAAGAAGAAGATATTGAGGAAGGAGAAGAGTTTATATCTTTTTATTTCAAGAATAAAACTTTGTTTAATTTAATAATTTCTTATCCTAAAGGTGAAAAAGAAGAAGAATCAGAAAAGGATGGAGCAGCAATTGAGAATGGTGTCGAAATGAATCTACTTGGCTCTGTTTCAGAATACGGATCATCTACATTTTATTTACCATATGAGAGAAAGAAATGCAGCAAATTTAGATTGTTTGTTTTTAAAGATAATGATCCTTCTGTTCTATCAATAGATTGTGATCGATCCAATTCCTACTCATTTCAGTTCCGTAGTTATCAAAAGTATTCGGCCATAGATAAATCTATACAATCGCCATTGCTCCCAATCTTAAAGCAACATATCATAAATGAAATTTCATATGATTCATTAACTCGATTCGGAAATTCTGCTAATGGTGTATTTTTAGTTAGATCTCAACTTGGAAAATTAGTAAGTAGTTAAAATAGAACAATAATAAATATAGAAATAATAATTACAATTTATTAAAGAAATTTATTTACTTTAATTATAGTGTGTCTATAAAAGAATTAAGTATGAAACACATACAAGGCATTATTCAAGTCTTTTAAATGAAATCAAAGCTATGGAGTTGTTGGAGAATGAAAATAAATTTGTTAAACTGGTAGACTATTTGGATGAAAAAGATATCAAAAACTTTCATATTATAACTGAATATTGTAGTTGTGGTGATCTACAACAATTATTCAATCATAAAGTTGAAGCTAAAAGGTAATATAGTTTAGAAAAAAAGTTAATTTATTGAAATTTAATCAATTATTAATATTAATATTTTGGCTCTTTTCAATTTTATTTGGGAGAATTATTTCTTTGAATCGGAAATTTGGGAGTATATCTCCCAACTATTTGAGATTTTACAGGTATTGGAAAAGTATAGAATCATTCACTGTGATATTAAACCTTCGAATATATTTATGACCGAGAACGATCAATTGGTTCTTGGTGATTTTGGATGTTGTATATTTTTGGATGGTCAAAGCGATGCTGTAGAAGATTTGTATGAGAAATACAATCAGTACAAACAAACAATTATGGAGAAAGAATTACAAATGAATAGTTCTGAAGACCAATCAGAACCATCTGTAATGGATATCAGTGAAGAGAAATCCACATTCAAAGCGACAAGAGGAACTTTAGGATTCATTCCACCTGTAACTATAAATTATTAATTATATACAATTTTAATCAATTAACAATGAAATTTAATTCTTTAGGAAGCAAAGTTTAAATTGTATTTCCAATCATTTGATATTTTTTCAATAGGATCTACCATTCTAAAACTATTATCCTGGTAATTAAATATATATATATGATAATTATAGTATAATAATTAATTAATTTTTATTTATTATTGAACAATAACTAAAGTCATGAAGAAGATAGAGGGAATCATAATCTATTTAAATTTGATCGAATTATTAAAATATCTGATGAAAGATACTCGAAGAATTTAAAGGATTTGGTTTGTCAACTATTAGATTCTGAACCAAAGAATAGAGAATCTATACAAAGAATCCTAAATAAATACTCTGCCGATAGTATACGTCAAAATACTATGCACTACGATATGAATCTACCACTAAAAGCTATCCCAGAGTATATTACAGAGTTGGAGTTTGGAGATAGTTTCGATCAACCTATTCCCACTGGATTGCTACCAAAGTTACTGAAACAGCTCACATTTGGTTTCTTTTTCCGACATGAATTAAGACCTGGAGTTCTGCCACTAGGACTAGAGTATTTGAGATTGGGGCATGAGTACGATTATGAATTGAAGCCAGGAGTGTTGCCACCTAGCTTGAAAACCTTGGAGTTTGCTGGTCCTTATGAAGTTACGATCAGACCAGGTGTTTTGCCAGGTACATTGGAAACCATTTACCTAGGATCGTGCTCTACTTTTATTGAACCAGGTGTCTTACCTTCTTCACTTAAATCACTGACATTTCCAGGCGAATATAACTACCAGATTCCTTTTGGAGTACTTCCAAATTCCTTGGAAACCTTGGCATTCGATGATGGATATGAACTTGAAATAGATGAACAAGCAATACCACTTCCATTAAAGACTTTAACAGTTGGAGAGACATCGATTGATCTCCCAGAACATTCACAGAGATCAAAAAGATTAAAAAAACTTAAAAGTTTACTTCTAATAAAATAAACATTGTTATTCATTTAAAACAAAACTGGCCGAATAAAATAAAAAAAACCACTCAGATCACATTAACCCCACTAATTTTTAATTTTTACTTTTTTTTTAAAATTAATGCGCAGGCGAAAGTTGTTGGGAGCCAGTTTTGTTTTGAATGGTATTTTTGTTTTGAATGGTATGTTCACAAAAAACGTAAAATTCACAAATTTTTTTTTTTTTTTTTTTCTCATTTAATTCAATCAAAAAGTCTTTATTTTATTATTATCAAATATAAATAAAAATGAATAATAAAGTAGAAATTGATAAATCACCATCAGACTATAGAGAATATAGATATGTAAAGTTGGAGAATGGCATCTCAGTGTTGTTGATTCACGATGAGCAAGAACAACAATCCGCTGCATCTCTATCGGTTGGTGTTGGAAGTTTTCCTAAATCCAAAGGAATACGAAGGTTTGGCTCACTTCCTTGAGCACATGTTATTCTTGGGTACAGAGAAATATCCAGTGGAGAAGGAGTTCCTCACTTATATCGAGTAGAACGGTGGCAGCTATAATGGAGACACTGGCTACTTCTGTACCTCCTATTACTTCAAGATCAATCAGCAACATCTCGAGCAGGCACTCGATCGGTTCTCATCGTTTTTCATCTCGCCACTCTTCACCAAAGATGCCCCGCATCGTGAGGTGAACGCTGTCAACTCTGAGTACCAGGCAAACGTACAGAACGATAATGTACACAGTTTCTACGCTACACTGATGTCGTTCGATGACCATCCGCTTACCATGTTCAACTGTGGTTCACTGGAAACTCTCAATAAAGCCGATCTACACTCAAAGATGGTTGAATTCTACCATAAATACTACTCCGCCAACTTAATGAATCTGGTCATCATCGGTCCACAGTCGTTGGATGAACTCGAGAAGTTGGCAACCTCTTATTTCTCATCGATCAAGAACAACAATGTGGTATTGCCAGAGATCTGCGAGCTCAGAGTTTCTAAACCGTCGAAATCATTCATTGTTCCAGTGAAAGATAGCAATTGCATCTCTATCTCTTGGCCCATTCCAAAGCATCTCTCCTACTATAACAACTACAAGAATAACTCAGTGTCACTGATCTCTCATATCATTGGACACGAAGCAAGAGGTTCGCTATTTTCATATCTACAATCACTGGGCTACGCTTATTCTTTGTCGACTGGAAATGCGCCATTGGACCAGAATGTCGAATTCTTTTTTATCGATATTGCATTGACCGAGAAGGGACTTGAAAACTACGATGCTATCATTGGCCATATCTACAACTACATTGAACTCATGAAAAAAGTAGATGTTTCCTATCTCTACGATGAGAAACAGCAACTCCAACATTCAAGCTGGGCAGCCATTGGAAAGTCTGACTTGATGACCTATGCCGAAACCATCAGTAAACACTTTTGTATCAACTCCATCGAAAGAGGTGATATCCTAAGCTTTGAATACATTTTCGAGTCATTCAACACCAAACAATATCAAGAGATATTAAACTGTTTCAATCCAGAGAATGCAATGTAAGTTAAATCAAAGTATAATAATTAGAATTTAATGAAAATCTAATAATAACATTTGATATCTTTAGTATCAATCTTTATTCCAAACAATATGAAAAACAAGCGCAATTGGTTCATAAATACTATTGTTTCCAATACTCAAAGGTTGCCATTACAAAAGGAAGATATTGAAAAATGGAAATCCGTAGAAACCAACTCCAAAGCTGTACATTCCAATTCGTAATCCCTACAGTCCAGAGAATTTCGATATCAAGTCGGAACAAACCAATGTCGTTCAGCCATTGGACAAGCTCTTCGATGAACAAGGAATAACTGTTTTGTTCTCTCCAGACACTCAATTCAATACACCGCTTGCAAACTTTTATTTTAAATTCAACTCGTCGATTGCTACTGCACGCCAACTCACCATGGTCTATCTCCTCAAGAAGTGTGCTAAAATACTGTTGAATGAAGATGTTCGTTATTTCGCTTTGATGAGCGGTACCAAATTCAAGTGGGAAATCACTCTGACCGGTGTGAGCTATCGTATCCGTGGATTCAACGACAAGATCGCTCCAATCATTCTCGACATCTTTAGTAAGCTCTCGACATTCGACTTGTCAGAGATCCAATTCCAGCTGGCAGTTGCCAAAGCTCTCGAGAAGAAGAGAAACACCGCTTTCTGCAGTCCAATCGATCACGGACTCAATCAGATCCGTCCATTCCTATGCAACACAATCTTTGGCACTGCCGAAGATATCCATGTACTAGAATCGGTCGACTACCAAGAGTTTCTCTATTTCGTTCGTCATTACTTCAAGACCATGAACATTCAATCTGTAATCACAGGTAATCTCAGTCGTGAGGAAGTGCTCAACTTTTCAAACCAATTGCCAAAAGTAATGAACGAGAGAAGACCATCCCCAAAGTGTGACATTCTCTATCCACGTAGTGTAGAGCTTACCCAAGGCAAACGTTATCATCTTCGTCAAACCTTTGTTGATGAGAATCAAGTCAATTCAGTGTGTATTGCTTACTTCCAGGTCGGTAAAGGTTCGGTTGAACTCTATTCGATGGGAATGCTCTACGACCAATTGATCTATAGTAGTTTCTTCAGTGAATTGCGTACCAAACAGCAGCTTGGATATATCGTTGAGACAGCATCAGACAAAGAACTGGCAACCGTCCATCTACGTGTACAGGTACAATCAGACACCAAAGATCCAGAGTATCTATTTGATCGCATCGATGAGTACATTCAACAAGGATTGAAGGAGGAACTCAACGCTTTAGATGAATCGGAGATCCAAAAGTATGTCACCTCTTTGCAAGAGATATTACTACAGAAAAAACCAAACAATAGACGTCAAGCATTGGAATACACCCAAATTACTCAAACATATGAAGGTGACCAAAAAATAAGTAAGTAAATCAAACTGATAATTTTTTTATAACAATTTTATTAATTCTTGTTTGTTTTATTTTTTTAAGGACAAAAACAAGTTGATTATCTATCAACTGTTAAGAAGTGTGACGTGTTGGATTTCTTTGAACAATATGTATTGAACAAAGAAAAGAGAAAAATGGTCGTTGTTCAAATCTATGGTAGAGGACACAAAATCAATCCAATTAACGATCCAAATGCTATTGAATTGACTGATCCAGTAGAATTTAAGTCGTCAATTGGTTTATATCCACCATTCTGTTTAACTAAATAAAATGAGATATTTAATTTCGTATATCCATATTATTATTGTTGTTAAAAGATTATTGAATATTGCATTATTATTATTGTTGTTATTGTATCTGGTATTATTACATATTAAATTAAATAAAAAGATAGTATAGTGTATGATACATAGGTGTATTAGGTTGAAATATAATTTGGGAGTATATCTCCCAACTATTTGAGATTTTACAGGTATTGGAAAAGTATAGAATCATTCACTGTGATATTAAAACTTCAAACATATTCAATTTTAATCAATTAACAATGAAATTTAATACTTGAGGAAGCAAATTTTAAATTGTATTTTCAATCATTTGATATTTATTCAATAGGATCTACCATTCTTAAACTATTATCCTGGTAATTATATATATATACGATAATAATAGTATAATAATTAATTAATTTATTTTTAATATTGAACAATAACTATAGTCATAAAGATGATAGAGAGAATCATAATCTAATTAAATTTAATCGAATTATAAAAATATCATATGAAAGATACTCGAGGATTTGGTTTGTCAGTATTAGATTCTGAACCAAAGAATAGAGAATCATTACTTATATTGAACCAGGTGTCTTACCTTCTTCACTTAAATCACTGACATTTCCAGGCGAATATAACTACCAGATTCCTTTTGGAGTACTTCCAAATTCTTCAAATAAAATAAACATTGATATTAATTTAAAAAAATATTTTTTTATTTATCACTTTCATTGAATACAATGTTGGATAAACCGAAATGAGCTGGATTATGTCCTTCATTTATATATCTATTTATTTTGAAATTAATATGTGTAAAATAAAAAAACTTTATTGATGGTTTTTAATATACTTACAAAAATGAAAAAGAAGATTGTGGTTTTAATCCACCTTGTTCTCTTAGATATTTTGGTAGGTGATAGACATTTGGAGAAACTAATTCTACATCTTTAATATCGGATGGATATCTAAGATGCAATGAATCATCCATACATTCAATGTTGACATCTAGAACACTGAATATATTCATATTGTTTCTTACTGTTACATTAAACTGAGTTCTTGTCCATACACCATTTTCTTTGATAGTTATTGCATTATATTGTGTTAATGTCATTAAACTATGTGTAGGTGGAGGATCAACTGATTTTACAATATTTAAATATATAAATAGTATAGATAATAAAATAATAATTTTCATTTTTTTTGATAGATAGATTGAAGAATTGAAAAATTTAAGACAATTTTAATGATTTTAATTTTATTACAAATCCACTCAAATATTTATAATAAATTAAATTTTAATCATATGACTACTTTTTTTTCAAAATAGTGTTTATTTCAAAAAAACAAATAAACTTTCATTGGTGAATAAATAATCTGATTTTAATTGGGATAAGATCACATTAGAGATACAATGATTTTTTTGACGTGGTTCTATTAAATATAAATTAAATTCTTATTTGTTGAAATTTCCTAATGCATGAATCAAAATTGAGATAAAAGTTATATGATCAAATAAACCAATTAAACTATTTCTTTTTAATTGTTTTTTTTAATCTTTCTGTTCCAAACTGTTTAGATAAAAAAATAGTAAATTAATAATATTATCTTTTTACTTTTCTATTTTATTTATTTAATTAAAATTAAAATATTATTAATTTACTTATTTTTTTTTTAATTGTTTTTTTTTTGAAAAATTGGGTCTGCTCTTGATTTGTTATAAATGTCTACTATATTAAACTTGTAAACTACTTTATATGAATCAAAATAAGAATCTTTACAGTATTGTACAAAGATTATTTTCTATCAATTTTGATGAAAATGAGTATGATTGCTTTGATCTAGATATTGATATAGAGATTGACAGTTCATTAAGAAATCAACTAGAACAACAACCATGTAAATATTTCTATATTGAATCACAACTAACTATCTTGTTTATAAAGAAATGTTGCAACTTATTACCATTGTAAGAATAAAACTATTGCAAACAAAATTAAAACACTGTCACATACTAATAATCTATTTATTATAAAGAGATAATACTTTATATTATCATTCATCTGTAATCTTTCAAAAATACCTTTGTAATAGATCAATAAATGAATATAATAGATATGTATGTATATTTATTATTTAATAAATCACATATAAATAGATGATTGTACATATGTTCTAATTAACTTTTTTTCTGTTACAGATTGTAGCGATGGCATGTATATTGATTGGTGTAAAACTAAACTATACATCATCGAAAGAGTTGGGTGTAAGTGATATTATGAATGTAGGATACCATATATTAACCTCAAAGAAGTTGCTTGTAGATGATGTAAGTATTAATAAGTTAGCAACTGTGTTACTTTATAATAATAATAATAATAATATATTAATAAAAGTTTATGTGATATATTTTCGATTTAGGACTTTTTCAAGTTGAAAAGAAATATAGTTAATGCTGAACATATAATTTTGAGAACATTAAACTTTAATGTTGCACTTTCAAGTCGGTTACCACATAATTACTTGTTAAACTACCTCAAATTCATAGGTGACGCTGGTGATGATCTTGTAGACCGTTCGAGAATGAAACTGATTGCTCAGTGCTCGCTAAACCTTTTGAACGACAGTGCGCTTACACCTGCTTACCTGATGTTCACACCAGAACGCTTAGCTCTACTCTGTTTACTCTCTTCACTAACAATAACAGATACAAATAACAACAACAACAATCTATCACCAATAGAAAAAGCTGCCAATTTAATTTCATTTCAAATACCAACAAAACAACAATCAATACTTTCAAAAAACAGCATATTAGAGTTGATGGGTATACCTTATTTAGATGAAAATGATGAAAATGGTATGTTTATGTTAACTACATGTAAATTATCATTATTTTTTTATTAACTTTTTTAAAATGTTTATTTTTTCATAGATTTTAGTGATATGATGATTGATTTATATAAAAATGATATCATTTTGAAATCATCAAATCAAAGAATTCATCCTATAAAGAGTAGCTCTGATAGTTTGTTTAAACTAATAGAATCAACACAATAATAAAAAAGTTGCAAATATAACCTTTTTTACGAATTTCAAAGCTAAATTTAATTGGATTATCTGAATTATTTTTTAAATTTTTAAAAATTTGATCCGTTGTACATTTTTGATCAAAAAAAAACTGTTCCCGAATTTGAAAATGGGTTGTGTTTTTTGATGAAGACAACGCAAAACATAGTTCACTATTTTTTTGTATACAAATTTATGTTATTTTTAATTAAACCTTCATTGTTTTTATTTATCTTAACTTAGATATTTATTATAATTATATTTATATCATATTTTAGTATAGTAAAGCAAAAAGAGTTACACATTGTTGTAACTCACATCATCTCATCTCATTTCATCACTTCACATCTTGTATATAGTTTGTTTGTTTTAAAATAAAACTGATCAGTTTGTTTATTTATTTATTTTATTGTTTGTTTGTTTGTTTGTTATATTTATCAAATAGAGATAATAATGGTTCATCTTACACCGACAAAGTTTGATGGTGGTACCACAATCGTTGATGAAGATACCATTCAATCGCCAACAAAGAAGAATGCGAAACTCGATCAATATGGATTCGTTATGAATCAGAACGATATTGAAAATCAGATGTTACAATTCGAAGAGGAATCCGAAGATCAAATCGACCAGCGTAGTCTCACCGAAAAACAATGGAATAAATTAATTTTAAACTGGAATGAAAATATTACAAGTAATCCCGATAAGGTAAATTTTATTCTAAAGATTGATTATCATTAAAAAAATAATTAATTAATTATATCTATATATTTCTAGATATTGGAATTATGTTCAAAAGGTATTCCTATGTATTTACGTTCTATTGTTTGGAGAAAGATGCTCAATATCAAATATCATAAAGATCAATTTCCAGCTGACTACTTTCGTCAACTCTGTCAGAAACCACCAAATGAACATACAGAGCAAATTCTTTTAGATGTTCCAAGAACTTTTCCAAATAATAAGAGATTTTTTACAAAAAGAGGGTAATTATTAAATTTATATTATTATATTTATCGTAATTTAATACTAAAATTAATATTTGTTTAATAGTAAAAAAGATTTATTAGATGTACTACAATGTTACTCTTATCACAAAGAAAATGTTGGATATTGTCAAGGAATGTCTTATATTGCTGGTGTATTTCTAATGTATCATACCAAAGAGGATGCATTTTGGATGTTGGTTTCACTACTGGAACGTGAACACATGGTTGGCTATTTCATTTCTGGAATGCCAAAATTAATTTCCGATTCTCAACTATTTCAAAAGGTTTTAGAAATTGTTAATGAACCTTTAGCATTACATTTGGTAAGTATTATAATTTATAATATTAAACATTTAATAATAATAATAATTAACATGATAAATTTTATAGAAAAATAATGGAATCGATCCATTGTTATATGTTACACCATGGTGGATGTGTTTCTTTACCACTCTAGTCGACTGGGGAATGACATTGAGAATATGGGACTTGATTATGTTTGAAGGTATAAAATCACTATTTAGAGTGTCATTGGGTATCGTCAATTCATCGGAATCGTTCCTCCTGCAAAAGAAAGGTGCTGAGGGACTTCTTCCATTCCTACTGAGACCACCTCTTGATCAAGTAGGTGGAATCGATCATATTCTAAACATGGCCATTAATTATCCAATTTCAAACTTGATGGAAACTGGAAATCAAAAGATTGGTATGATTTAATAATTATAATAATAATATTCTAAATTGGTTATTAATATTTTTATTATAATATTTTTGTAGAAGAAGAAAAAGTGTTACTTTCTGCAAAGAAAAAAACAAATCAATCCCAACAATCTACATTGAAAAAGAGTGTTGGCACCACCAGTAATAATACCACACCAATAAATCAAAGTAATGATTCCATTTTTGGTAGAATTTTGAATATGGTGACAATGGACGACAACCAAACACCAAAGAGTAGCGTTGGTGATTTTGAGATGAAGGAGTTCAAGAGCAGTAAAGCAACAGCAACTACCAACAACAAAGTACAACAGCCCGCCACATCAACTTCAATTCCATCTTCCATCGCTAGTTCTGCTTCCGCTTCTTCGTCAGAGAATAAGTCATCACTGACCAACAGGATGAAAGATCTCTCACAGCGATTTAAGAATAGATTTATGAATAGAGGATATCAACCGTGTCGTGTCATTCTCGAACAACGCCAAATCAACCATGTTGCTGGACGTAAATCAATGGCGCGTAAGTCGATTGCGCCACGTCCATCAATTGGCGTAGGTGGTATCGCAGTCGGCGGTCCACGTAAATCGATGGCTCGCAAGTCAATTGCGCCACAACCACGTCCATCTATCAATCGTCCGGCGAACGGTCGTATTTCAATCAAACCAAGAACATCGATTGCACCAAGAATATCGATTGCACCAAGAAAATCGATCAATCCAGGTCTTGCCATAAATCCACGTCGTTCCATCGCGCCAAGAAAGTCGTTGAAGCCAACCACCAACTCGACAACAAGAGTGGTTGCAACCAGCAAATCAACCAATCCATTGGTTGAACCTCCACCCATTAAACTAAAGATATATAAGCAAGCCAACAACAACAACACTAATAATGATACTATCATTGATGATAATGTTGTTGTTGAAACATCAACGACCACAACAACAACAACAACTACCACAATATCAACAACACCAAAAACCAACAAATCAAACTCACCATATTCATCACCTGTTAAATTACAAACATCACCACCCATTCAAATTCCTAAAGCGAGAACCTCAACATTCCTTCCATACTCACCGCAATCCATCAAGATCGGGCCACCTCCAACTTCTTCCACGCCACTCTTGAAAATCCTTTCACCCTGTACAAATAGTAACTCAAGTAATAATTTATTAAACATTCTAAATAACAGTAATAGCAGTAATAACAATAATAATATCAATCAGATCATAAATACCAATAATAATAATAATAATCACAATAGTCTTACAAACTGTAGTAGTAGTGTAAGTGTTAGTAGTCATAGCAATAACAATAGTTTTACCAATACGGATTTCGATGATATATCGATTCCAATTCAATCGCCATTCAAGAAGCTAAAGACATTCGATTCACCAATGGATATTGACAATGAGAATGGATTCATTCAATTCTATTCTCACACCTCATCGTCTCAGTCGTCGACCAACTCCAACTCGGTGTCTGCTACCGGCTCTTTGACAAGTTCTTCGACTACTACCAGTCCGATATCAACACCTTTGTCGACACCGATCAAAGCAGCGGCGAACGATCATCGTAAACCACCACAACAATTGTTAAACTCTACTCGTTCGCCTACCAAGAGAGACACCTCTGACTACACCAACCACTATCACACCACCTATCATACCAACTACAACACCGGTAACATTAACAACCAAAACAACAATCATCACAGTAATAATCTCTATGGATATGGACAACGTAGATCCGTTGTTACCAGCATTCAACAGCAGCAACAATACAACAATCAACCATCACCAAACAAATCGTCGACACCAAACAAATCATCAACACCAACAACATCATCGTCGTCGATTCCAATCAAAAAAGTAAGACCACAAGCAAACTTTTGGTATCCAATGGGAATTTAATCTATTCATTTGGATTAATCCAATCTAGATACTATTGATTATCATTTATAACACATTATTTATATTTATAATAACAAAATAATAAAACACTTTTTTTAAATTAAATTTATTTTTGCAAATTATTATTATTTACTTCTGGAAAAGCTTGTTTGTTTTAGAATACATTTTGTATCATTAGATTTGCTTTCTTTCCATCTAAAACATCTACAAGTATACCTTCCAATTTTGTCTTTAGAACTCTTGTATCCTTTATGAGTTGATCCAATTTCTTACGTGATTCAGTCAATGTTTGATTGACTTCTTTTCTCTTTAAATCCAAATCTGCAATCATCTGTGTATATTTAGCAATATTTCCTTGTTTTTGATTGAATTGTAATACAAGTCTATCAATATACCTATCAATATTGTGTGTTTAATAATGAATGTTAGTATCATTTTATATCTATATCCAAATAATATCTTTGAATCTTACTTTTTACTTGATTTTATCTCTAAAATATGTTTAATCTTATGATTTGTCATAAGAGTGATGATCTCTGTGACTTGTTTCAAATACTGTTTACATTGATCCAAGTTGGTAGATTCTACGTTGATCTGATCTATACCGAATACATGCTCTGGTGCAGCCATCTCGACGGATCTATGTTTCAAGAAGATCTCCAACTCGTACAGTTCATCAAGGAATTGGTTTCTAAGAGTTCTGTCGCCAAGTATAGATTCGAATGGATTGTCAATAACTTTGGTATTACCGCTACCAGAGTTGTCACCACCATCCAATGTTATTTGTTGTTGCGATGCATCGCTGGCAGACAACAATACCGGTGAGTTTGATTCATCGATGATCTCAATGGCATCCATCATCGAGAAGTCATCGACGATATCTTGTGAAGTGGAGGAATCGATCACAGAGAAATCTTCGTCCCACTTGATCTCCGCTGGTTCTTGAATAGCAGTGAGTTGATCGTCGATCTCCCAATTAATACCACCAGCAGCAGCACCACCAACATTAGTATCTATATCGAAATTCAATTGAGGTTGTTGCTGCTGTTGCTGTTGTTGTGCACTCTCTGTTGTATTCACTCTTTTTGGTACTTTATAGGTTGGATCCAAGATTGCTTCTCTTTCACCAAGTGTAATATTTCCATGTTGAATCAAAAAGTTTGTCAAAGCTAGCAATTCACCATTCAACTCCTGATAGTATAGTATCAATAAATGAAATTGGTTGTTAATTGTCAAATGTTGTAAATATTAATATTAGGTTAATTCAATTATAATAACCTAAATTTAAAGTACATACACAATTCGTAGCATTGATAACTTCTCGGTAGAAATTGATACTCTTTAATAAAGTACCGTTATTCACTAAATTAATGACACTATCAAAGATTGATTCAAGATTCTTTGGTAACTCTTCGATTTCTTCTCTAATCTTCTCACCCTAAATATAATTATATGATCATATCACACGATATTAGATTAGATGTCAAAAAGTAAAAATATTACAACTATCACTTACTTTTATACCAAGATCTTGACATGCTTTCTTCAAAGCAGATTGTGCAGATGATCTTGACTTTGTATACTCTTGATCCTTACGAGTATAATCCTCCAATGATCTAGTTGATTTCTCAACAATCTTTTTAAGATTTGGTCTATAATAATAAATAAATAGATAAACAAAAAGTATTAATAACTATTATTATTTATGATGATAAAACAAAACTAACTAACTAACTAACTAAACATACATATCATAGTTTATAGATTGTGTAAAGGTTTGACAAGATTCACCGATGTAAAGATAGTCTTTTTGATAGGCTTTGATGACATCGTTCCACTTCTGGGTGGCGTTGTTCGAGTAACCACCAAACAGAGTTTTAGCGGAACCGTTCGGTGCATCCAAACAATCTTGTAGTACCGTCTGACACTTGAAGTAGTTCAAACGATCAGAGTGACCAACAGTTTCATCATCGTCATCAAGACGATGTGACTCTGGTAGCTTGACGTTAGTTGGTGGCGATGTACGTATTGCTTCATCAATCAACTTTTTCAAGTGCACTGCATTTCTCTTCCAGTGTTGTGGTAGCTTCTTTCTGTCGAGAAGCCACTCCATGATCTTCGATCCCTGTAAATCTATAATTAAATCATCTTGATCCTTATTTGATGTTTCAATGATTGATTGATAAGTATAAGTATTCCTTCATAAAAATATATATATTATTATTAACATATACATACTTTATTTTTATTCATCTTTATTTGATATTAATAAATTAAATTAATTTATGACTATTTTTTTTTGGTGGTGATTTGGCTGATTGATCTTCACACAATTTTTTATTTTTTAATCATTTTTAAAATTGTTATTAATTTAACAACATAAAGTAGTTATTCTATATCCAACTCACAATATAATTCCTTTTAAAATTTAATAGAAATATTATAGATAATATAGTTGAAAGATTGATTGATTTATTGATTTTCAAACTGGAATTTACTTTAAACAATCCGTGTGTTATGCTAAAGTTACTATCATTGTCAATTTCCAAGATCAACATAGAGATACAATATTACGTAATCATTTCAAAGCCTTCAAAACACTACTTCACTATCGATGCATTGATTTACCATACCGGTGATGGCATACTTTCCAAGTTGGTTCTTAGTTTGCTAATTGCAACCACACAGCGAAGATATATATATACATACGATCCTCTCTGAATGTGTTTTCGATTTGGGTGATGAAGTCTGGAGGGTCATCATTTTGACCGAACAATGGAATCTTTGCAGCGAGTTGTATGATTCTTGTTATGGTTTCTTTAGAGCCAATTAGTGCTTGTGCCTAGAGTTTTCACCTTTTCCTTGATGGTCCTCAAAAATGTCTATTAATTGAATATTCTCTCTATTAAATTAAATTTGAGATATTCAATAATTAAATCTTTAAAATGAACACAGTTTGTCAATACCTATTACTTATTATTTGGTGTCGGGTTGGAAAATTCCAAGGAATCATGCAAGATTTTTTTTAAACAGTTTCATAAATAGTGGATTTTTTAAATTTTTATTTTTGGAATAAAGTGTGATTAATTAATTTGTCATTGGTATCAGTAGTAACTTTCTTGTTTATAATATAATCCAATACAGATATATATTATCTTAATCAATCAATAGAGAGGTAGAATAGATAAGAAGAAAAGAGAAGAATAAAAGAATGACTTCAAGAATACAGAAGGCACAAGAAGCCTATAACAATCAAGATACCAACTCATCGAGATTGATTCACGATGAAGAAGATAGAAAAGAACAACATAAAGAGTTTGTATTTATAAATATAAATACTAGTTATTATTATATCTATCTCGTTTGTTAGTTTATTTTATTAATTTATTGTTACGTATAATAATAATGATGATCATTATGATTTATATAGAGAAGCAGGAGAAGTAGTTAAATCGATTGTATTCGGTGGTCTGGATGGTATTATGACAACATTTGCTATTGTGGCTGCAGCTGCAGGTGCTGGTTTGACAAGAGGTGTCATTTTGATTATCGGTTTCGCCAATCTCTTGGGTGATGCTTTCGGTATGGCATTCGGTGACTACGTATCAGAGAGAGCTGAAGAAGATCATCTCTTAAAACAATCTAAACTATTAGAAAAGTAAAGATATCTAAAAAGAATAGAATATAATAGAATTGAATTGAATGTTTATTCTAACAATATCATATCTACTTAACTTAACTATCAAACAGGAAAATCGATACTGAACCAGAGATTGAAAAAGCAAGATTAAAAGATGTATATATTTCTAAAGGTTTCGAAGATGCAGACGCAGCGAGAATCGTAGAGCTTCTCTTCCCATATAAATCAACTGTTATGTCTATTATGATGATGGAAGAACATGGTTCTGCACCAGACGAAGAAGGTAGCAGTGGAGCAATTAAAAGTGGTAAGTGTTGTGTTGTTTGACAAAACTTTAAACCTAAATATATAACCTTAGCTAATCATATTATTATTATATGTTGTTTTCTTTTTTTTTAGCTGTTGTTACATTTGCATCTTTTATGGTTTGTGGTGGTATTCCTTTGTTAGCATTCGTATTTGCTGGTAACTATAGAGAAGCATCTGGATTCGACCCAATCTTTATCATCTCAATCGCTTTGTTTGGTATTACATTGTTCTTACTTGGTTGTGTCAAAGGCTACATCTCGAATAAGAATTGGTTGCTGTCAGGTCTTATCATGACACTCAACGGTACCATAACAACACTCGCTGCATTCTTCATTGGTTATGGTATCGAATTGAAAGCTAAATAGTTATTCAAACAAAACAATATTAATCATAATCATAATTTCAATTCATTCAATGTTTATATCTCGAGATACAATCAAATCAATCTATGTTATATTACTTTATTATTAGACGATGCTAACTAAGCTTCACATAGGAGTACAGCATGCATTTAAACGACAAAACAAAAAAAATAAAATGACAACTAATTTATTTATTATACTTAAACCTCTCAACAAAAAAATACAATACAGAAACAGAGTTAAAGTTAGTTTGAGAAAACGATTTGATTTTTATTTATTTAATTGATATCTCTAGCAACAAAGCTTTCATTTGGATTCTTGTGGTCAGATAATTGAGGTTTGCTCTCATATACGGCAGTTACTACCTCTCGTTTTGTGTTTGTATAGGTTCCTTTTAATCCGATATAATAGATTCTAGTGGTAGGTGCACCGAAATTAGTTGGGAAATATAAAGTAAGTAAATTGATATTATTGAATTTTGTAATTCTATAGTTTAAAAATGTAAAGTAAAGTAAAGTAAGTAAATCTAGATTAGGCTCTACATATATACGTAACATAAATCGATTTCTATTTACTTTGTACTATAACTAATGCTTCCATCGAAATCTTCATGTAAATTCCATTCTTGAATGGCAGCAGTTCCATTTATATTTCCGAAATCTAAATTATCTTTATTTATATATCTACAATAAGTATTATGATAATAAGTTAGTATAAGTTCATGAATATAACGATTTGTTATTAAAAGAATAAGGAAATAGTTTAACATACGCTTTCATCTTTGATGGTGCAGTATCATTTCCACCACCGATGATAATGATACTCTTTACTTGAGTAAGTCCATTGAATCTATAGAAAGTATAAATAAAATTAGTAAATAAATTATTAAAATTATATATATATATATATATATATAGAAATAACATTTAAAAGAAAGTAAGTAGTTGTGATAACTAACTAGCTAACTAACTCTTAATATTAAAACTTACGGTATGTTAATGATTAACTCTTGATCTGCATCGCTTTCAACAAACTAAAAAAATAGATACAAACAACAAAAATGTTAAAACTTTCTAGAATATTTAATAAGAGATCTAACTATATTGTACTACTAACCTTTGTTTCATCTAATCTATTTTCCCATGCTTTGAAGATGTCACATGCAGAGTTCTTTACTCTTTCATTAAGACAGGTCACTCTTGCAGTATCAATGTATCTATTTAAACTAAATTCAATACCATCTGTGGTATCATGTGAATGACTTGGATCATTGCATTGATGTGACATTGTTTAACAATTATATTTATTATATTTATATTTATTATATTTTTATTTATATTTTTATTTACAAATTTAATTAAAAAAATAAAAATGTGAACTTGCAGATTGTCCATTTATGAAAAATATGTGAATTATGAGTAATTCTACAAAAATTAATTTATTATTTATCTCCTTAAGTAGTCTAAGTATCTATATTATAAAGAACAGGTTTCTCTTCTCTTTTTTTAAGATAGACATTGATGAAATAAGAGAAAACAAGAAGTATATCCATCGATATTTAAATTTTCTATTATTTACATTTCATTTAATCTATTTGAGTTTTTCGTATACAATTAGTAGTTATATATTAGCACACCCGTCCGGCACCATATAAATGAGTTACAAAAAAATTGACCACACTATACATCAAACCATTATTTATTATTAATACATAGTGTATTTCAAGTATTAGCCCACTAAAGAATAATATCTTTCTCAGTCACGCAGACGACCTTTTGTAAACTTCCCAACTGACAATTTGACCCCATTTTTAAAATTTTTATTTATTAGGTTGTTGCTTAAATGACAAGCACCAATATGATCTTTAAAGCAATCCCTGTGCAGAGGAGTAGAGCATATAAGACATCTGTACGGAGTCTGATTCTTCTTGCAACATCCTTCACATTTGATTGATTTGTTCTGGCATTGAATGGTCATTCCATCAATTTCGTATTCAATGTCAAACCTGGCGGCTGCCGTGGACTGGTCCCTAATTTGCTGTAAAGAATTCACCTTATTAGTTAGCTCTTCGACGGTTTGAGATATGCGCTTAATTACATTAATGTATTAGAAGGCTTATACAGTACTTACCTATGCCTATATCTCCCTTTAAATGCTATCATTGTTTCATCTATTCTTATGTGAGTACACGGTATCCATAGTTGGGAAAATTTAGGTGATAATTATTCTTCAAGATCAAGCATCAATCTTCAAAAACTTCTTAATCTCATAGTATCTAACAAATAGATAAATGTAATTTATTGGAATAAGAAACATATTATATTCTTGTTTGGAAATAGTTTAAGAACTGCAATGTTCCATAAAGAATTGAATCTTTTTCATAATAGTGATTGATAGATGGAAGTTTATTAATTCCCAATATGCTTGCCTTAAGTTGTGGTGTAAAAATGCGGTTAAAGATATTAGTTTCGTCAAATCCAGAGAGACAACCTTCTGATGTCATGATAGTACTTCCTTTTGTTTCTAAAGAATCCTTATCCAATGTCTTAGATGTTGTGGAATAGCTTTCTATTAGTTTATATGGTTCTTTTTTCTTAGAATTACTCTTCACTTGTTCGGTGATCGGCTTTGGTTCGTTGGTGGTAGGCTGTTGGGTTTTGGTTCGTTGTCGGTGGATTGTTTAGGTTTGGATATTTTACAGCCACATCCCTTTCTTTTTCTATCTGTGATATACATATTAATTATTATGATTTTAATCATTAATGTCAATAAAATACGTATATATTGACGACACCGCCATTGTAATTATTGATAATTGTTTATCTGTGGGTATAATTTTCAGAAGAATCTTCTGCTATAATAAAAAAAAAATTAATAAAAAAATAAATAACATAAGACATTACTTCATACTAAAAATCGTGAATTAAGGGCTGAATTTTGAATTTGTGGATTGTGAATTTTGAACCCACTTTTTCTGTTCATTTTTTGTAGTCGCCACAAACTATTTTGGGTTCAATAGGTTTTACAAATGTAATGACAAAAATTGAAAATTTAATTTCAAAAATTAATTAATTTGATATCAAATTTAGATAAAACCAATAGTTCATATCAAAAATACCTGAAGTTATATAGATAATCGTATCAATGACAGAACAACAACTTTACTTGAAATCAATAGAATGTGATCCAACCGATTCCGGAACATACAATAACCTTGCATTGACACTTTCAAGAGGTGAATCAATCACACTTCATAATGGTCAATCAATGACACAACAACAACTATACTTGAAATCAATAGAATATGATCCAACCAATTCCAAATCATACAATAACCTTGCAACAACACTTTCAAGAGGTGAATCAATCATACTTCATAACGGTCAATCAATTACACAACAACAACTTTACTTGAAATCAATAGAATATGATCCAACCAATTCCGACTCATACTATAACCTTACAGTGACACTTTCAAGAGGTGAATCAATCACACTTCATAACGGCCAATCAATTACAAAACAACAACTATACTTGAAATCAATAGAATATGATCCAACCAATTCCAAATCATACAATAACCTTGCAACAATGCTTTCAAGAGGTGAATCAATCATACTTCATAATGGTCAATCAATGACACAACAACAACTATACTTGAAATCAATAGAATATGATCCCACCAATTCCAACTCATACAAATACCTTGCAACAACACTTTCAAGAGGTGAATCAATCACACTTCATAACGGTCAATCAATTACAGAACAACAACTATACTTGAAATCAATAGAATATGATCCAACCAATTCCAACTCATACAATAACCTTGCAACAACACTTTCAAGAGGTGAATCAATCACACTTCATAATGGCCAATCAATTACAGAACAACAACTATACTTGAAATCAATAGAATATGATCCAACCAATTCCAAATCATACAATAACCTTGCAACAACACTTTCAAGAGGTGAATCAATCACACTTCATAACGGTCAATCAATTACAGAACAACAACTATACTTGAAATCAATAGAATGTGATCCAACCAATTCCAACTCATACAATAACCTTGCAGTGACACTTTCAAGAGGTGAATCAATCAAACTTCATAACGGTCAATCAATTACAAAACAACAACTATACTTGAAATCAATAGAATATGATCCAACCAATTCCAACTCATACAATAACCTTGCAGTGACACTTTCAAGAGGTGAATCAATCACACTTCATAACGGCCAATCAATTACAGAACAACAACTATACTTGAAATCAATAGAATGTGATCCGGCCAATCCCAGACCATATCATAACCTTGCAGTGACACTTTCAAGAGGTGAATCAATCACACTTCATAATGGTCAATCAATGACACAACAACAACTATACTTGAAATCAATAGAATGTGATCCAAAGAATTATAAATTCTATTATAACCTAGGAATGTCACTATTTCAATATGAAGCTATCACTCTCAAAAATGGTTTGAGCATGATAAAACAACAACTATTATTGGAATCATTAAGATTAGGTAATCCAGAAACATTGGTTTACCGAGAAATTGGATTAACACTTTCGAACAACAAACAAGCAATTACACTACCAGATGGTGAGCAAATGACAAGGAGACAGCTACTTAAAAAATCAAGAGATTAAATAAAAAATAATTCCTATTACACCCTGTCCCGATCGTGGAAATTCTTACATATGATTGCCAAGATGAAATTTTTAAATTTTTTAGTTAAATTGAATAAATAAATATATGTTAAAATATATTTTTATCCAAAATAGTAAGATATTTTGTTTATATTTCATTATATTCGATAATAAGATTTTAAAACAAGAGTTTTATAGGTTGATTTAGATAGTATTAATAAAATATGATGATTAACAGATTGTATAGCCGAGAACATTGCTAGATCAGAGAGACTAAATGTTCTATCTAATGAATGTCAAAAAAGGATCAATTTTCCAGAAAAAGAAAGTGAGACAGCAAAGTAGAAATCGAGATCGATCTTCTCACCAAGAGGTAGGTATCTTACCCAGAAGAAGATAATGACTTGGTATTGATGATATAATAAAATTATAACAAAATATCTCTATAGATAAGAGTGATCGTGATCTCTTTGTTTGGATGAGTAAAGGTTGTAAGAGAAATATCATAAATAATGGAGAAAAATCCTATTTTTGATTGGTGGATGCAATTGTAGAAAAGAAATCCTTAGATTATTAGGTCTATTAAAGTTCAATATACCTTTTGGTTGAAAATACAAACGATATAATAGCATTTATAGAGGTTAAAAGAGATTTCATCAATAAGTAAAACATCAAGCCGTGGAACATTAATAATTACTAGGAAGATATTCTCTTTTTTAAGATGTTATCGATAAGGTTAGTTTAGATAGTACTTTAATTATTTTCTAAAAATCTAAAATAGCCGTTTTTACAAATATAGGTTGCCATAGTTGACCCAAGATCAAAAAAGAAAAAAATAAATCAAATAAATACATACCAAAAAGTGATAGATTGTATTAAAAGTTAATTATTGTTTACATTTATTGGTAGAATTTTTTTAAATGAACTTGTTGAATTATTACTATCAGATGTATAAATTTCTAAAACGAGGTCAGATGAACATTGATTTTCATGTGGTATAGTATCAGTACAATCGTCATTGTAGGTAACATTTGGCAAGTTTGTAAATTGGCATGTAATCCATGTGTAGATGTTCTAACTCTTTTTTGTTTAGCTACATTTCCAAATATCGTTTGGGATTTGGCAATGAACTTTTCGTGGAGAGTGGCCTTACCTGATTTGATAAACTAAGACGCCTGCAGTTATCGTCAAATAGTCGTCTAATTGTAGGTTCGTCAACATCAATCTCTCTTAAGACCTTTATAATGTGCTTGCAATAGTTACGGTAGTATCCATGCTTAGATTGCATGTTAAAGGAGTGTCATTCGCTCAAGATGGAGTCAATGGTTACATCGTAAGATTTGAAGGATGTATTTTTTGCTACTTTAGCACTCCAACAAACGCCAGTGTTAATATCGGTGACTATCAGGCTCTTACGTTTCTCGGCATATGCTAAATTCCGATTGACATTAGAATATACCTTGTCACAGCCATTCACAGGATCTGGAGGCTGGTTTGTTATTAAACGTGGAACTCTTCCTGGCTTATACGGGAAGAAAGGTTGTCTTCAACATTTATGGTCTTGGTATTGGGAGATATATGGATTTCACTGGCACAAGGTTCATCAAACACCATTGGTGGTCAGAGAGATCGATCTTCTCCTTGTCTTGTGATCTTGAAACTGGTCGCGACCAACGATAGCATTTTACGAACAGAGTCTTGTAAAATGTTTCAGTAGCAAAATGAAAGTTTGAACAGGAAACAATAAGCTTGATGAACTTGTGCCTATTTTCAATTCCAAAGTTTGCCAAACGCTCCAACAATCCTCCAAACCTATCTAAGATATCACCAAAATGAGCGATGAATAAATGTAGGTAGGAGGTGATATTCTTGTTAAAAAGAGTACAGTATTGCTTTCCAAATTCTGTTGATAATTCTAACCATTTTTCATTTGTTACTATCACATCATCGCTTTTACAGATTTCAATTAGATACACAAATAGATCCCACAATTGAATAAGTTTTTCTTTCTTTTCTGCGTCCTTGCAAATGAAATCTATAATGGTATTTCGACAGTTCGTCAACTTGATACACTCATCGTATCCGTACCCGCTCCAAGTATATGAATCCTTCGTCTGATGCACAGATTCAACAACTCCTTTTTGCACCGACCAAAAATGTAAAGACCAAAGAGGAAATGCCGTAGGAGCGAGAGTTTGAGACAGAGAACACCGAGGGATTTATTGAAGAGGGTAAGAAGAAACCAAGTCTGTCTACTAGATCGTCCACCGATTCACCCTTATGGTTGGTGTAAAGTACAATGTTCGAGCTTCATTCTGATTAGATTAACAAATTACTTTTTGGCTCCTCTGTTGGCCGACTTTGCTTGTTCATTTTGCTTGTTGGCCTTCTTAACTTCCTTGGCCTTCATCAACACATTCTCATATTCGCTCTCCAATGCCAGATTTGCCAAAATAGACTCTCTCAGGTCGTATACTTTCTTGTTCTTGACTGCTAATAAAGAATAGTTATTGTGGAAGAAAAAGGGGATCAAAACAAAGGCTCCCAACAACTTTCGCCTGCGCATTAATTTTAAAAAAATTGTAAAATATGGGAATTTTATTACTAGTAATTCTACAAAAATTAATTTATCTCCTTCAGTAGTCTACTATATGAAGATAGGTGAGATAAAATAATATATTAATTTTTGTAGAAATATTTACTTGGTTTTAAATGAATAACTCGAATCATTAGTGAGGATTCTTGTGGCCGAAATAACAGGCCACAGGCTTACTTTTCCTTGGTCTAAAACGGTTACACAGATTATGCCATTTTTTTTTCTTATATCCACAAATACCAGGAAACATTTTATCACAAACTTTTTGTTTGAAGTAGCGTTCGATGTTTTCATTTAGATCTCACTATATAAAAATTAAAAGTAAGTGTGTGAAGGGAAATAAATTATTTTGTTTTTTATTCTTCATCAGGTTTTAAAATGTTTTATTTAAATTAAACTTATTAACAAAGTTGAATAATTACTATTATTAGTCTTATTCACTAAAAGCACATCATGACTTTAATAATAATCTTTGGCTATAAATACCAGTAGTTTTGATGGTTAAAGATCATTCTTCTTATTATACAAATACAAATATAAATACGGACCATACTGACGAGCAACAACTACCGAAGCCAGAGAAATTTATCGAGCCCGTTTTTGGTACTGGTGGTAGGGAGATCGACGGCAACTGCCCCAAGTGTCAAAAGATAGTGAAGTACCATGTCACCCACAATAGACATTTTTTGTTTCCATCTACCAGATTTATCGCTTTGCATGATTCAGCCGTTAATGCTGGAAAAAAATGTAAATTCCAATGGCTTCAATTACTCGAAGCCCAAAACGAAGCCCTCGAGCAATGGAACGCCTTATCACCATCGGAAAAAGAACTTCAAAAAGAGTACAATCATTCCCGGTATACCCAATTTATCAATAAAACACCACAAAACTATAGTTCCAGACTATACTCCATAACACCGGCCACATCCGCCAAGAAAAAAGATACTGATTTTACTACTGCTGCTACTACTGGTAACAACGAGGACTTGTTAAAACGAATATCTGAGCAGTTAAAGGAATTATTAGAGACCAACCAATTATTAAAACAAAAAATAAATATTAAAATAATAAATTAATAGTAAATAAATTATTTATTTTTTCGTTTTTTTAAAATCTTGTTAGGATCACCACCATCGTAGTTATTATTCACTTCCACTTTTACTTTTACATTTTGCTCTTTTTCTTTCTCTTCCATTATATCTAATTGCGTTTTTAAGTACGATTCTACATTATCCCATGTAGTAATCATTTCTCCAGGGGTTTTGATATTTTCAATTACAAACAGTTTTTTTCATCTTTTCAACTTGTTTTTTTTTGTTGTATATTTTTTAGTTAATCAAATACCTTTAATTTTTTTATCTGCCTCTTCTATATTCTTAATTATTATTTCTTCTTTTTTGTTCTTATATGATTCATTAATCTCATCGATTACTTTTTTCTTTTTTTCATTCATTTATGCTATTAAGATGTCACCATCGTCGATATTCTCATATATTTGATCAAATGTATTATATTCATTATCGATCGTCAAGTTCTTTAATTGTTTTACTTTTATTGATCCATGTAATATGATATTATTTTTATAATTTGATCATATAATTTATCATAGCGATCTTGAACACTCTCTAATTCTTTAAAATATGAATTCTGGTTTGATATAATGTTGTTTAATATATTTTATTTGTTCTGTAGCTCTTGAATAGTTTTAATATTTCGGGTATCTATTTTTATTTTATTATTAAATTGTTAAGAAATATTATTTTGTTTAAGTATATTAACATCAGTCAATATACTCTCTTGGTTTTATAAATTCATATCATATTGATTTGATATGAAAATAGTATATCAGGATGGAGTTGCACTTGATCACAGCTGGTGATTGGCTATAATTGCTTATGCAAATCTGAAACAGTTTAATCTACTTAGACAGATAAACTTATATGCTATATTAACTTTATTATAAAGAAATATGTGAAATGGTGGTTTTCTTAATGTTTAAGATAGAAAAATAGACTTTTATTTTTATTAATAATATTTTTATTTTTGTTGCGGTCATTCATTAGCTATAATTTTCCTTTTCTTCTGAATCGACAGTCAAATCGCTTCCTATATATTTTCCTTCTTCGGCAATCTTTCGAAGTAGCTTGGCATTCTGATTACCAGTCTCATTGACTAGCCATGTTAGAATGGAATCTGGGTTATCAAGTAATCTGATTGGTGTATCCAATTCCGATATTCTACCTGAATCCAATACCAAGATACGATCGGAATCCATAATGGTATTCAAACGATGAGCAATCGTGAGAATTGTACAATCTGAGAATTTAGATCGGATCGTCTGTTGGATGAGTTGGTCGGTCTGAGCATCAACACTGGCTGTTGCTTCATCCAAAACCAATATCTTGGGTCTACGCAATAATGCTCTTCCGAGACAAATCAACTGGCGCTGTCCAACCGACCAATTTTCACCGTTATCCGTCACTTTGCATAGCAATCCACCTTCATTGGCGCGAACCACACCAGCCAATTGAATGCTTTCCAGTAACTCCCAGAGCTCCGCGTCGGTATATTCCACAAAGGGATCCAAGTTCTCTCTGAGTGTTCCAGAGAACATAACTGGATCTTGAGGGATAATAGACAAACTCTTTCGAAGATCTTTTAGTCCGATCTTTGAGATATCTTGTCCGTCGATGAGAATTCGACCTTGTGATGACTCGACCAAACGGAACAAAGCGAGAACAATCGATGATTTTCCAGCACCGGTTCGACCAACAATACCAATTCTCTCCTTTGGTTTGATCTCACAAGAGATTCCTTTCAGTACTGGATCCAATCCCTCACGGTATCTCATAACTAAATTCTCAAAAACAATTCCACCATGTTGTGGCCACTCTTGAACTGGTCGATTGCTCTCAATGATCTGAGGTGCTTCCTTCGGTCCTTTGATATAATGGAGAATACGCTCGACGCTGTTCAGCTTGGTTTCAGTATCGGCAGCCTGAATAGTTGCTTTGTTTACTGACTGTGTTAATGTCAACGAGTATGAGAGTGCCAATCCAACTTGACCAAGATCTATACTGTCTCTTGCCAACTGTACAAACATAAAGGAAAAGAAGATTATCAAGTTACCAAGTAGATCCAAACGCAATCCTAACCACTGCATACAAGCTTGTAGAAGGAGATAAGATGAGTTGTTGGTATCTAAATACTTCATGTTGGTTTGAGTGTTGGCACCCTCGCATTTGTAGGCACGGATAGTGGAAACTCCATTCAAAGTCTCTGAGAAATGAGCAAATATCGGAGAACGACTAATTGATACCAAACGTTGTAACTCTCGTGAGGAATGACGATAGAAGTTTTGAAGTAGATAATATATCACAATGACAGGTGCCAAGATAATAAGAAGTTTAGGAATGACCGATGATATGATTGCCAGTGTTCCAACGACTGCCAACATATAATAAATATAATTACCCATTGCCGTTGATATTAGATTATCTACACTGTCAATGTCACGTGTGAAACGATTGATAATACGTCCCAACGGTGTGGTGTCAAAGAACCACATTGGAGCCGAGAGTATCGAGTGGAAAAGTTGCTCGTGGAGCACCCTTCCAACTTTGACACAATAAGTATAGAATGTAAGGCAACGCAATGTTATAAAGACAATCGATCCGAAACCAATTCCAATGAAACAATACAGGAAATCCTTATTACTCAGTCCATTGTGTTTTCCATTGGCTTGGAGTGAAGCTTGTGAATCGGACCAGTAGGATAACCACCAATTCATGAAAATAACCGATCCAACATCACCAGCATAGAAAATAAATGAAGCGATAAAATGGATGATTCCTCCTGCTGTGAAATACTTGAAGTAAACATAATTACTGACCGATCCCTCTTCACGCTCTTCCTGACTGATTAGCTTTCCACCATTATCTCCGATCTTTAGCTTTTTGGGTTGAGCTTCCGATACATTTGTTGTAGGTAAACTTTGATATTTCTTATTATTTTTATCCTTTGTATTGGTAACAGTTGTATCCATTTCAATTGATACATTTTCATCATCTGCATCCTCCTCCTTTTGTTCTTGACTGTTTGTTGGTGTCGATGACGAATCTTCAACTCCATACTCTCTAATAAGATTTGAAAACTCTGCTTCAGAGTTCATCAGATCTTGGTAGTTTCCACGCTCTGAAATACAGTTGCTCTTCATCACTAGAATATGGTCGGCATGTGGTAGATATTGCAGCTGATTGGTAGAGAGTATAACTGTCTTGTTTTTCAATACTCCTTTGAAACACTGATAGAACAAATGCTTTCCAACGTGCGCATCAACAGCAGAGAGTGGATCGTCGAATATATAAATGTCGGCATCGTTATATACTGCTCGTGCAATCGAAACACGTTGTTTCTGTCCACCCGACAAATTGATACCTCTCTCACCAATCTCCACCAGATCACCCTGTGGAAACATCTCCAAGTCTTTCTCGAGAGAGCAACACTCTATCACTCGATGATAGCGATCCTCATCCATTGGTCGTCCAAATAGAATGTTATCTCGTAGCGAAGCATTGATGATCCATGCCTGCTGAGAAACATAGGCAATCGATCCACGTGTTCTTACTGAACCTTGACGAATGGATAGCTCACCCAACATCGCCTGGCAGAGTGTAGACTTTCCACTTCCGACCGATCCAACTACCATGGTGAGAGAAGCGCCAGAGCATCGCACATCCAAATTATCTAAATGGAATGAATCGTCTTGCTCTGGATTCCAAACAACATCGGCATGCTCGATGTAGATTCCATTTGGAAGATCTGGATCGTCTGGTTCTCTCAGCGTGTCCAGCTCCGGTAGCATTAGGAAATCTGTCACTCTTTTGGTTGCTACCTTAAGTTGTGCGACTAGCGATATAAGGAATGGCAAGAATATCAATGGTGTTCTAAGAATATTTAGATAGGCAATGGCAGCGAATATTTCACCTGGTTTCATCTCGCTGTTGACCTTATAATAGATACTGAATACCAACATGGATACGATTGTTGGAACTGAAAGACTGAGAACTACCAATATCGATCTGGCATAGGTGAATTTGAATATTTGATCTACCTCTTTGTCACGATGATTCGACACTCGTTTGGTGAATGAATCCTCCCAGGAATAGAGCTTGATAACTTTGATCGATTGCAATATTTCATTGGTGGCTTTCACACGGAGATCGGTAAACTTGACGAACGCTCTACGTAGATTCAGTAACCGCTTACCGAGAACACTGTTGATAGGAATCATTAGCAACATGAATCCAAGAGCAACGAATGTAATCCATTTGATCTTCAAGTAGAGCAACACTACACACACTGCCAATTGCAAAGGAGCATACAAACCATTGTTCAAAACACCAAACACTTCAATCATTCTCTGAGCATCGTTACTCATCAAATTAACAATTTCACCAGTCGATGTCTTGGATCTTGCAGAATTACTTAATCTCAATGATTTCTGATATACATCACAAACAATGACTGATCTCATCTAAATTTGGTGCAAAAAATGTTAGTGTTTTTTTTATTTTCTGGAAATGAAATAATAGTAATTAATTTAAATATAATTAAACACTTACATAATCACCAACTCTTGCAGTCATCATATTGGATTTATAGAGACAAATGGAACCAACCATCGATGTACAGAATATTATTAGAGCGTAGTAATATCCCCAGTTTAGATCTAGTCCAGGCTTATTGGATTTCGCCTCCATGATGAACGTTATCATTTTCGATAGCATCTCTGGACCGACAAACTGTGCTGCAATAAAAACACACTGGAATAATCCCGCCAAAAGATAGGTCATACCAAATGCACGAAATCCAGCTCTAGTATAGGATGGATTAGGTTTTTTCATTTCTTTCTCCCACTCCACACGCATCCTATTATTAAGAGTTTCTGCTTTGTCCCATTTAGCTAAATTCCAAATATGCTTTTGTTCCAAAACATTTCTATAACAAAACCATACAAATCTAAAAATAGATTATAAAAAAAATTATATTAAAATAATTAAAAAAATTAAATGTGTGTTAATGATTTTTATTTATTTTTTTTTTTGATTAATTAATTTTTTATACTTACTTATTTAACCAATCCCATGTTAATAAACTGAACAATGCATTTTCTTCAGGTGATTGTTCTCCTCCAAAACCTTTTACAGCACCTTTTTTGGTGTTTTCTATATTTTCTAAATAATGATTTTTATTTTCCTCGTCATCATTATTATTTCCTTTAAGTTTTTTTAGTGGTATTCTATCTGAACTCATAATACATTAAATTAAAATTAAAAAATTAAAATGAATGAATTGAAAGGACCGGTCGTTGAGGTTTAAAAACTTGTCTGAAATTTCGGAATTTTGATTGGTTTATGCAAAAATTTAAAGTAATTTTAAAATTAAATTAAAAAGTGAGAAAAACTTAATAATCATTTCATCATCACAGACATTTTGCATTAATTTATAATTTAATTTAATTAATTTAATAATGATTATGTAATTTACGAATTTTAATATTATTATTAATAATAATACCGATAATCCTAATTTGTAGACTATGTTTTACAGAGTGCAAAGCATAAGTATGGTTAATGCTAATACCGGCATGCATTGTTGTCGTTGTTTAATTAATGATATCATTATCAATAAATTCAACTATTAATATGATACAGACAATCAATATTTTTATTAAAATCAAACAGAGCTCTAGGTGGGAATAAAATCAACACCTAATTATTATTATTTTTAAAGCAAAGTTATTTTCAAAAATTAATAATCTTTAAAAATAATATGTTGTCAGGTTATATCAATCATAGAGTTTTTTTGTTGTTTCGCCAAAATTAGATTTGACCAGCAAACATATAGATATTGTTTTGAAATATCTTTAAATGATTGAGAGCCTTACCCCTTTGGCATATGATCATTTGTTAATAAATATATTATTAGTAAATTCAGACTTTATGAACCTTCACAATTTGTACGAAATAGAACATTGATATGTCCATATTTGGATAAGTTATTATTGAAAAGAAATAAAATTAATTTTGATCAATCCATTGTAATTTAATTTAATTTGCTTTGCTTTTATTTCGTATATACATTTCTATCTCTTCTGATATCGACTGATGGTGGAAGTAAGAATGGTGGTCTTGGTTTAACTCGGTCTCTGGCTGCCGCTTCTTCATCGGTCAACGGTAGATAATAAATATGTGGTTTTGTAACTGTCTTTTTAAATAGTTTATCCATATCTATAATTATTGATCATCAATGTAAAAGTTGTTAGGTATTATTTCGTACATTTGCGGCGATTAATGATCTATTAAAATAATAAACATACCAATTGATTCTTTTTCTTTATCTTTTTTTGTTGATGAAGATGAAGGAGTATTGGATGAATCACCTTGTGATTCTTGTTGTAGTAGTTGTTTGCTATTTGACTCTTTTACTTCTTTCGACTCTTTTAACTCTTTTGCTTCTTTTGCTTCTATTTTAGCTGCCAATTTCTCCTTCTTTCTTTCTTTCCTTGATTTGGTAGTAGTATTGCTGTTGTTGCTGTTGTTTGGTGATGATGATGATCTTAAAAGAACGGGTGTAACGGATTGTGGATGTTTCTCTGCATTCTCAAACTCCTCTTCCGATGAAAAGTCGACGATTAACTTTGAACGGTTGAGTGGTGGCCATACCAATCCATAGAGTGCATTACGAGTGTTGACTGCTTGTTCCTCTGTTGCGTAGGTCACAAATGCATAACTTCGAATATCGTTCATCCAGAACTTCTCTACATCGCCAGTCTCTGAAACCAATTGTTTCGCCATCTCTATTCTGAAAGGTCTTACAAACTTATCGATAATCAATGTTCTACTGACTGGTTTAGTTGGTGTCGGTATTGGTGATGTTGTACCAGATACACCAGTTGTTGGTGATGTACTAGTTGTAGTAGTAGTTGTTGTTGTTGTTGTTGGTGAATTTGTTCTCTGTTTCTTTGACTCTGCACTTGAAGTAGAATTACTTGTATTTTCAACAACAGTGGTGGTCGTACTACCTGCCTCTGTATCCTTTCTCTTCTTATCCAATTGTGACTTTAACAATTCCTCTCTTTCTTTTGTCTCTTTCTCCAATCTTTCTTTTATCTTTTCCTTCATCTTATCTTTATCCTTATCTTCTGTATTATTATTATCCTTTGAAATTTCTACATCTTTCATTTCCACATTTTCCTTTTCTGCTACTACTTCTGATTCTGTATTTGTTTTTGTTTCTATTGGTGTCTTATTTTTATTATCTTCTTGTGGTTTCTCTGAAGAATCTTCTTTAACATCTGATGTAGTTTCTTTTGTAATTGATGTAGCGACAACAACTGAAGCTGTTTCTGTATCATCCTTGGCATTATTTATTGAAGTTTTTGTTTCAGTTACTTCTGTTGTTGTCGTTGTAGTTGCTGTTGCTGTTGTATCTTCTATAACTTTATTATCTACTTTCTTTGTTGATTCTGTTGTTGTTGCTGTAGTTGTTGCTGTAGTTGTTGTTGTTTCATCTAAAAACTTTTTTAATGCATCCACCAATGCTGCTTTTAACATTCCAGTGGTAGACACACCTCTCTTTGACAACTCTTCCTTCAACTCTGCCACCTTCATTTTAGCAATAGATTGTTCTGTTAACATCTTTTTTTTCTATATATATAAATATAATTAATTATTCTTAATAATAAACAATCTTAATATATATAAATGTAAATTTAAATGAAAAAATAAATAATTTAAAAAAAGTGATCTTCATCATGATCAAATTTTTCACACCACCCGCTCACTCACTTATTTTGATTGATTATGATGATGCAAATAAACAATGATTATTATTATTATTATTATTTTAAAATTAGATTTATTTAATTTAATTTTTATATAAATACTTATGATGATTGTGATTGATGAGAACTGATTGCTTGTTGTAGCTTATTTGGTTAACCGAGTAAATAATCCTTTGTGGAGTTAATCAGTTATTGATCGATTATTGCTTTTTAGATTGTTGATTATATTTCTTTAGATATGCTTCGATTACATCACATGCTCTATCGAGATCTTTGGTTGAGATGGTGAGTGGTGGACAAAGACGAAGTGTGTTGTCACCGGCGGAAATGAAAAATACATGATTGGGTGCTGCCACAGCAAAGTTGACGAGATCCTTGACGGCGTGGTCGAATTCGATACCTACAAACAGACCACCGACAGTACGAATCTCTTTGATCGATCGACCGGCATCGCTGTCGGCAATCGCTTGGAGTCTCGCCTTGAGGTGTCTGCCCTTGGCGCGCACCTCCTCGAGGAACGCCGGCTGCACGATCTTTTGGAACACGTAGAGTCCGGCCTGAGTAACGAGTGGCGAACCTCCGAAAGTGGTTCCGTGGTCGCCCGGGTTGATGCATCCGGCGACGTGGTCGCGCACCAAAATGGCGCCGATCGCCATTCCGCCGGCGAGTGGCTTGGCCAGCGTCATGATGTCGGGCTTGACACCGAGACGCTCGTGTGCCCACAACTCACCGGTTCTTCCCAGTCCACATTGGACTTCGTCGACGATCAACAACGCGTTGTTCTTCTTGCATTGCTCTGCCAACGCCTGCATAAACTCTGGGGTGGCGGCTTCCAGTCCACCTTCGCCCTGTACCGGCTCCACGATGACACCGCAAGTGTTTGGTCCGATTGCGGCACGCATCGATTCGATATCGTTGTAGGTGGCGAATTTGATGCCTGGCACCAATGGACCGTAGATTTCACGGTACTTTGACTTGTGGGTGACGGATAGCGCGCCCATCGAACGACCAGAGAATCCGTGGGTGAAAGCAACGATCTCGTATTTATCGGGCGACGATTGGAGACCGTGTTTACGTGCGAACTTCAACGCTCCCTCATTCGCTTCCGTTCCGGTGTTGGCAAAGAACACTTTGTCGAGCGCGCTGTTGCCAATCAATTGCTGTGCCAGACGGATTGCCGGCGCATTGTAATAGAGGTTGGAGGTGTGGATTAGCTTGGCCGATTGCTCAGCGATCGTCTTGACGAGACCGGCGTCGTTGTGTCCGAGAGCATTCACAGCGATACCGGCACCCATGTCGAGATACTCGGTTCCCTTCAGGTCGAAAACCGCTGCATTCTTTCCGTGGGACAAAACGATGCCTGGCACACGCGCATACGTATTCATAATGACACGATTGTGAAGTTCAATCAACTTGTCAGTGTCGTTGCCAGCGTCGAACGAGAGAATATCGTCCTTCTTAGTGACGAATGTTCTACGCGATATCATCGATCCACCATTGTTAATAAAACATCTCTGCTTATTTAAAACATTTCTAGAAATTAAATTAAACATTATCAATCAAAAATGAAACTTTTCTTTGATGATGATCTTTCGAAAGATATGTTTTTTGTTGTTATTAAAAACTAACTAATATAATATAATTAAATTAAATTAAATTATATATAATGATTTTAAATAAATAAAAGAATATTTGGTAATGAAGAAAATAAAAAAATTTTATATCACAGGTGATCATGAAAGTATGAATTTCGTGAAGTCCAATTTTATCAGACCAGGCTCAATTTTATTTTATTTTATTTTTTTATTTTGTTTCCGTTTAATTTTTTCCAATTGGTTTATAAATAAATATAAAAATATAATAGATATCTATTTCTTTGTTTAGTATAATTATTTATATATTTTCAAATTAGTTGTATTTTGTTTGATTTTTTTTATTTTTTTTATTTTTTATTTTATTTTTGATTAGATTACATGTGAAATTACTTTGATTTTTTTCATGTACGATTACAGATTAGTTTATGTATGATGCCAATGATATTGGGAATTGAGGCAAACTTTATTTATTTATTTTTGACATTGATTCAATGAAAACGATGAAATTTAAAATCACGTTGATTGTGATTTAGTTATTGGGTAGATTTAAATTTATATCGATAACGAATTGATGATATGAAAAAACCATTGATTGTGTTTCAATGATGTAAACTAAGGCTTATAAAAATCTTGAAATTTGATGCAAAACAACTAAAAAACCAAATTGTAAACAAAATGTGAAAAAAAAAAAAAACAACTTTTTGAAAATTTTTCGGTTTTTGTTGTTGTTTTTTTTTTTTATCAAAATACAAACATGCAAAGAATCAAAAAATCTCTCTGATATCATATAATGTTTTTGTCATATTGTAATCTCTGCAGGTGTGATCATTATAATGATTTTCAAGGTTTGCTTTTGGATAGATTTGTTTTGTTATTGTTATTGTGGTTGTTGTTTACCAATGAATTTTCCATCACTTGTTTATTTTTATCGAGAATCAAAAAAAAGAATAGAATAGACACCCCACAACCAACCAAATATCTAAATTCATTCCATTCGTTTGGTTCGTTTTTGCTTAGTATCTTATTCAATCATTATTTTTTTCAACCAAGTTTAGTTTACATAATATCAAATAACAATAACATAAATCAAATCAGTGAGTGCAACCAATCAATCAAAATCTAGATATATCTTAGTTATTACTACAAATTCCAATACCAACTACTTTGCTTTGATTAGACACTCGAGACCTCCACTTCCAAATTCAACTTCAACTACTAGTAATTATTTTTATTTTATTATTTTTATTTTATTGTTTGTTGTTGCTGTCAATGCTAGAGTTGTTGAAATAGATAGTACTATCAATGTTGTTTGTTTGTTTTGCAAATGGTTCAACTATCTAGATTATTACTTCAGCATATAATATCGTATCTTGAAAGTAATTTGGATCGCATTTGTTTTGTTTTGGTGTGTCGGCAATGGTATTATGATGTGGACCGATATTTGTTTTTCAATGTCGAGTGTATGCGCGAATCGATTGCCTACTACAAGAGTATCAATGGTACAAACAACGCTAGCATCTCACTCAACCATTTTCGTTCGCCAATCAATACGTCGCTCAGACTATTGAATCCGAAACTGAAAGAACAACCACCGCTAATCGATTCGCCAGAGCAACTATCAACACTAGGCAGCATACTATTACATCATCCAAACACAAGGACTCTGATATTTGGTAATCGCTTCAATTCGCAATTGAAACCCGGATGTTTTGGATACCAATTAACCAATCTCGCACATGTTCAATTCGGAAGTTTGTTCAATCAAGAGTTGGTACCGGGAGTGTTTCCGGTGAGTGTGATCGACTTGACATTTGGAAATCATTTCAATCAGGTGCTGAAACTACCCTCCTGTTTTCCTGGTGCATTGAAATCACTGAAATTTGGAAATGGCTACAATCAACCTATAGATATCGATATTCTTCCGGCGACACTTACACACCTTCAATTTGGTCAGAATTATAATCAACCTTTGATTCCAGGCTCATTACCCTCCGCTCTACAATCACTTGTTTTCGGATTTAAATTCAATCAACCGTTGGAGCCGTCCTCGCTTCCACCAATGTTAAGGACAATTCACTTTGGTGAAACGTTTAATCAACCGCTGACAATTGCTTGTCTCCCGATTGGTTTGACCGTTCTCCAACTCGGAGAACACTACCGCCAACCTCTACAACCGGATTCACTACCTCTCGGACTCCAAGTATTGAAGTTGTCCTACGATTATATCCATCCTTTCACTAGAGATACATTACCATCGTCGCTGACAGAGTTGCATCTAGGTGGACGATACAACCATCCATTTGCACCGGGCATACTACCAGAGTCACTGAGAACACTGTCATTGGGTTGGAGTTACAATAGAGAGTTTGAAGTGGGATCCCTACCGAGCAGTCTGACAAAACTATCGATTGGCAACGATTATAATCAACCTCTTCATATCGGTATACTTCCGGCATCGTTAGAGTATCTTGAATTCTCAAGCGAAATATTCAATCAAATCTTTGAACCGGATGCACTACCCTCTGGTTTGAAATCACTTAAACTTGGTAATGGATATACTCAACCTATTAAAGCAGATATACTACCAACTACACTTACCAACTTGGATCTTGGATCAAAGTATACACACAAGCTTGACCTATCAAGCCTACAACAAAAATGTAAACTAGATAACCTATGTTTTGGATATAGATTTCTAGTTAATAACTTTGAACAGTTATTACAAATTAATAATAACAATAATAACAATAATAACAATAGTAGAAATAATAATAATATAAGTAATTTAAAGGTCATGTTAAAACGTGATTGTTTAACAATTAGAATTTTAGATGATAAAAGAATATTGGCATTAACGAATCATATGGAAGGTGGATTATTAAATTTATCAGAGTTACTACTGCGGCATCATTATAATAATAATTATCATAATAATAGTAATAATAATAATAATAAAGATATAAATAACTGTAACTTCTTCTTTAAATTCTTAAAGGATAGAGGAGAACTAAATGATGATAAACCAGATGAAGAAGAAGACTATGACTATGATGTTTCGATGGAATCTGGCGATGAAGAACGTCGTGAGTATCTACTGCGATCACAATCACGTCACTTTAGTTTCATAAACAATAATAATAACTACAACAACGAGGATAACTTTATCATCAGTACTCTAGAGGATCCGTATCAAAGCAGTAGCAGCAACGGAGATCTCTCGAATGACTCACAGTTTGACATTGACGACGAAGAGATTCTACAACAATCGAAAACTCATTGGCTAACAAAAAGAATAGAGAGATTATCACAATCAGATTACGAACAAGAAGAAAGTGAAGATGATGATGATAGTTAAATAAAAAAAAATAAAATAAAAATAACTTTATTTATTAAATTTAACAAACAATTTAGTTATTTATTTAGTTACACCCTATTAATTCTAAAAAAAAGGCGCGAACTTCACAAGTAAACAAAATTTAAAATTAATTTTAATATTTGCACAATTAAAAGTTAAAAAAAAACAAAATTGAACAACAATATCTTTTTTAATTTAATTAATTTTACTTATAATTTATTAATTTATTTGTTTCATCATCAAACAAGTAGATTCATTGTGTATAATAATATAAGCTAATCTAATTTTAAAACAAGCTAGTTCACTATCATTTTCATCAATAAATCGACGTTTTTTATTTTTTGCTAATAATGCGTGAAATTATCAGGTAAGTTTAACTAAATAGTACTATTGTAATCTATTATTTGTTTATTAACTTTTATTGAATTCAATTAAGTATTCATATTGGTCAAGCTGGTGTTCAAGTAGGTAATGCCTGTTGGGAACTCTATTGTTTGGAACATGGTATTAATCGTGATGGAACGATTCCAGAGGGTGCAGCAGCCGTTAAGCATGCCGATGAAGTAAAGAGCAGAAGTTCCGGTGGTTCATTCGGTACTTTCTTTAGTGAATCCTCCAATAAGAACAAGGTGGTGCCACGTGCTGTCTTTGTCGATCTCGAACCAACCGTCATTGATGAGGTGCGTACCGGTCCATACCGTTCGTTGTTCCACCCGGAGCAGCTAATTACCGGAAAGGAGGATGCCGCCAACAATTACGCTCGTGGTCACTACACTGTCGGTAAGGAACATCTCCAAGTCACACTGGATCGTATCCAAAAGTTGGTGGACGACTGCGATGGTCTCCAAGGATTCATGGTGTTCCACTCGGTCGGTGGTGGTACCGGTTCCGGTTTCGGATCGCTTCTTCTCCAGCAACTCTCACACGACTACGGTAAGAAGTCGAAGCTCGATTTCTGTGTCTATCCATCGCCACAGGTATCGACTGCCGTTGTCGAGCCATACAATTCAGTGTTATCGACCCACGCTCTTCTCGAGCATACCGACGTCGCCTTTATGCTCGACAATGAGGCGATCTACGATATCTGTCGCCGTTCTTTGAATATCGATCGTCCATCCTACAGCAATTTGAATCGTTTGGTAGCTCAGGTCATTTCCTCGCTAACTTCCAGCTTGCGTTTCGATGGATCGTTGAACGTCGATATTAACGAGTTCCAAACCAACTTGGTACCATTCCCAAGAATCCACTTCTTGCTCTGCTCATACGCACCTGTCGTCACCAAAGAAAAGGCAGGACACGAACAATTCTCAGTTAGTGCACTCACCAACGCCGTCTTTGAACAACAAAACATGATGGCCAAGTGTGATCCACGTGAAGGAAAGTACATGGCTTGCTGTTTGATGTACCGTGGTACCGTCGTACCAAAGGATGCTCAAAAGGCAGTGAACGACTTGAAGACAAAGAAGACCATTTCATTTGTCGATTGGTCACCATGCGGTTTCAAGTGTGGTATCAACCACGAACCACCCACCGTCGTTCCAGGTGGTGATTTGGCCAAGGTCGAAAGAGCCGTCTGTATGTTATCGAATACCACAGCCATCTCACAGGTATTCTCTAGAATCAACCACAAATTCGATCTCATGTACACCAAGCGTGCATTCGTGCACTGGTACGTCGGTGAAGGTATGGAGGAAGGTGAATTTGCCGAAGCACGTGAAGATCTCAGCGCTTTGGAGAAGGATTATGATGATGTCAAAGAGAATCAAGACGATGAAGTAGAGGAAATGTAAATTAAAATAAAACTATCCATCCATTTAAAGAGATTATAAATACATAAATATAATTATTGTTTTTGATATACATTGAACTTATAAGATCATATCATATGTTTTATTTATTTTTTAACCTTTTCTACAAGTGATTCAACACTGATTGGCTCTAAATGATTTCTATCGTATAACATAATCAATCCTTTCTCCAATATAATCGATACACTTCCAAATTTATAGATTTGTTGGCCTGTGTCTGTGTGTGATGATGGTATAAACAAGAGTCCAAGATTCTGTGCCAACATCTCCAATAACTCCTTCAAGGAAATATCGTTCTCAACGTTGTTGAATTTCTCTGTTATTTTCTTTGTTATATTTACAGGTGGTTGTTGTTTTTGTTGTTGTTGTTTGGTCGATGTTGTCGGTATGGACAGTATTGATGGCATCGATATTTCTTCTCCTTGACCAGCCTTATCAATCATTTCCAAAGCTTGGTTGAAATAGAATTTCAAATGATCTTTCTCTGTTTGCTCCCAAATCGATTGGAATTGATCTTTCCAATCGGAATACCAATCGAGAAGTTGATCGTCATCTGCCTGTTTGGCTTGTAGTGTATTGTAAAGTCCATTGATCCATCGTGGGAAGAACGATTTATTGAGAATCGATATCATCATTGGAATCGACATGAGTTCTCGCCACTCCAATAGATATTGGATTGGATTGTCGGTGGGTGGAACCGACTCTCCAACCTTTGGAATTGTCCAGTTCTTGAGAGATTCCGTCATCTTTGGAACGATCGCTCTATTCAACAATGATTCCATCGAATTGCCTTCGAAAACACCTTTCCATGGCCGAAGTAACATCAATGCCGATTCATCGCCTGTCTGCCAGTGTACCAAGACACTCATCAATGTCTGTCGGATCTGTGGATAGAGCAATTCTAGTTGTTCGCCAATGAAAGGAATCCAAGGATGTAACCAACGATCGATTGGAATAGGATCTACAGTTGGATCCCACTGAGTGATTGCCGATCTCAATCGAGGAAGAACAGCGTGTTCCAACAGTGTTTCAAAGATGATTGGTGGGAATGCTGCACTCCAGTAACCAACCAACGCAACTGCTGCATGAGGATCTTCTTTGACCGACCACTTTGAACGCAAATAACTCTTGAATCTAGGTAAGAACAAGTCACGAATCAGAATGAAATAGACATCCGATCCTTGATTCATATGCGCCACACTATTATTTCTCGCATGACTGTCAGAGAACTGTGGATCCAATATCGATCTCCATTTCAACATTTCATCCAACATGTAATTCGGTGATCTATCCATATCCCATTTATCAATCTCTTTAACCAGCTAAATATAAAAGATAACAATTGTAAATCAATAATAAGTTAGTAAGTAAGTTAATATCAATTATGATAACTACTATTTAAAATAAAATACATACCAAAGGTCTTAGTAATTCATTTTCAAGATTATATAGTTTCAACTTTTGATATTCATTTCTATAATTTCTATGTAGCTTTCTAAATGTTTTATATAAAGAGTTCAAATCCAAAGTATTATCATTCAATTGTTCTTTTGCTTTAGTTATTAATTGCAATATATTCTTTATCTTTGTTATTTCTATGATTATAATATAAAGTAAGTAATGAATTAGAGATTAGTTAAAAGATTTATATTTAAAAAGTATTGTTAAGATAATATAACTTACGATCTTCATCTGATTGTATTGTTAATTTCATCTTTTGTATTGAGCTGGTCAATGATTTCAGTTTCTCTTTTTCAAACTTTAGTTTATTGTCGCTGTTTCCAATATCCAATTCCTTCATCTTGATGAGTAGTTTAACGTTGTGTTTCAACTGTGCCAAAGGTCCATCTTCAATAGTCAGAGCTGCTTCGCTTGCACCACTCTTTAACATAGCGGTAGGTCCTCTCATATCAACTATTAACTGTGATGGTTGTTGTTTTTGTTGTGATTTATCATGTTGTTGTTTATTATGGTGATGTTTATGATGATGTTGTTTATGTTTATGATCTTTAATATGTTCATCAAAATCATATTTAACTTTGGTAGAGGCAGCAGTAGTCTTACTCTTCTTCTTCCATCCTTTTCCATCGTCTTCGCTCGATTCACTGTCACTACGGTTGTCTTCACCCTCAGATGAAGATGACGATTCATGAAATCTATCGTCGACGTGCTCCTCAATGAAGGAAAGACCTACACCCTGTGGTCTTGCAAACGACTTGATAGGTTCCACTATACCGGAACCATCTTTACCGAGACCAGACGATCCGTCGTAACCCATCTTCTGTAACATCTTCAAACCGATACCAGTGTACTTTACATCTTGTAAATCTGTCTGACCAGCACCACCTTTCATTTTCTTCTTTTGTTGTTGTTGTTGCTGTTGTCTTTCTTTCTCTTTCTTTTTCTCTTTTTTCTCTTTCTTTTCTTTTTTCTTCTTTTCATTCTCAATGTCATTTGAACCATCGTCGTCACCACCATCTTTCTTATCTTGAGCATTGCTGTTGGTATTCTTCTTCTGTGCATTTGGATCGTAGATACCAGATGATACGAATTTAATACCCGTTGACATATGCTTCATTGTTTGTTTTATTGATTGATATGAGTTTTCTTCTTCTTGTTCGTCTTGATCATCGTCATTGAATACACCATAGATTGCATCATCCTTTGTGAACTTTCTCTTTTTCTTCTGTTTCGTTGTTGTCAGTTCATCATATAACTTTGAATCGATATCTTCATCATCGTCATATCCATACATAACTAATAACTATAAATATAATAACAATAATAAATAAATAACCAGATCAATGAATATTGAAAAAAATATAATAATATCAAAGAAAGAATCTTTTTTTTTTTTTGGATAAAATTTTTTTTTTTAAATTAATTTTACCTGTAAGCATTTTCATTGAAGAAAATTCTATATAAGGAAAAAAAGTAAGAGTCACTCAGATAGTTTTTACTCAATCGATAAATTCGACTTGTCCTACAAAGTACCAGATATATTTATAAATGTTTCTATTGTATAGATTAGCCATTTTCCAAATTCAATTTTTTTTCCTTAAATAGAATTTTCTACAATGATAATGCTAATAAATATTAATTTAACTTTTATTATAATAAATGGTTTTATATGGTTTTTTTAACAAATCAATCTCATTTAGTATATTTGAATTGAATCTACTTTTAATTAATTTAAAAATAATATTTGTTTTATTTATAGGTGTGAATAATGATGTCCAAGTTTCTCATTATACATTCTTAGTGCATGATCTAATTTCATGTTGAATATCATGTTGATATTATCGTCGTCCACTGGAATTGTCTTGGTTCCAACGGAACGTTCGAGAAGTGTGAGATCTTGTGGAGGACTGAGTTTGAGTAGGAGTCCGTTGTTTGGAACGAGCTTGACTTCCTTGATGACACCGAATGGGATTTGGAACAAGAAGGAACTCTGTAGGAAGTTCTTCTTGGACTTGGTATAGATGATTCTTTGGTCGGAGATGATAACTGTACATTCATCGTTGACTGCATGATGCCAGATATAGTTGTCACCGGCATGCTTACCCTTGTGTGCAGTCTTCATGAGGAACCAACCCTCAGATTCGATTGCATCGTACTGTCTGAGGACATTGTCCGCGCCGAAGCAACGTGGAGGTCTCTGACGGTCACGGAAATCCTGGAGATTGGTAGTGTTTCTGATACCTTCGGTTGCCTTGGTGGTGAGATCGATGAAGGCGGTGGTTGGCTTGACGGCAACACCAACGACACCCTGCACCAAACCCTTGGCAAATCCAGCGATACCGTCCTTCTTGGCACCTTCCACCGGCTTGGTGACGATACCTGTGATACCCTGGAACAATCCCTTTCCGAAACCGATACCACCCATTGCCAGACCTTCACCAATGTGTTTAGGTTTCTTTGGCTTGTTGTGCTTTACGATCCTGTAGATACTGGTCGTCGAAAGACAGTGTGGCAACACCAGTACCGATGGTTCCGGTGATCTTTGAGATGGTATTGAAAGTACCGTACACTGAATTCTTGACGAGTGAGCTGGTTCCTTTAGCCAGACCCTTACCGAAATCAGCTGGCGATTTGACAAGACCTTGAGCTGGTTCAACAAAGAAATCTTGTACACCAGTACCAAAGTTTCTGAACAGACCGACTGGATTACCAATCAAATCGATTGAACCAAGAATATTGTAGAACTGTCTCAGTACTTGAGTGACATAGGTGGTCTTTAGCTTGTCAACCATGGTTGTCCACGATGAGAATGGATGCTCCATCATGATACCTTGGAGAGTGACGGGAGCACGATCCAACTTGGTCAAAGTGAATCCGAGACCTTCGATCGACGAGAGAATCTTTTGATCGGTCTTGAACAAACCGTCTCTCTGGAGTGAGAGTGTGATGTTCACCTTGATTGGGTTGAGCACCAACAGCGCAAAGTATACCATACGAAGTGCAGAGGTATCCATTGAGGGTGGTGGTGTCCAATCGAAAACTGGATAGAGATCTTGGACTTCTACAATTCTTGAAGAGGAGGAGTCGTTCAATGAAAGAGAGCTGGTTGATGCTGATAGTTGGTTTGTATTGATTGAGGTGGACAATGATGAGGTCAACGACGATGAGTTGGCTGAGGAGGTCAGTTGACTAGTGGATTGATTTCCGAAATCGGGCATGCGACTAAAGAAATCGAGCATTACCTTTAGCCAGTGATCTTCAATCTCCAGTGTCATCTCCTGAATGAGAATGGAGAAGTATCTAAAGTGATCGATGTTATCAAATGATGACTTGACAACAGAGAGATGTAGGAAGTCCTTCTTGTTATCCTCTTTCATCACGCTGTGAAGCAGCACTGGGAATTCAGTCTTGACCAACTGATTGTCGATCTGGACATCGCCAATCTTGAGTTCCAGTGAATTCTCGAAATACGAGTGTTGAAGTTGCAGGAAGAAGTCTTTTACCGTTACCAAAGCAAGTTCTTTCGGTGTGTGATCGATGATCGATAACGAAACACCAGACATTCTAATATAGAATTGTAGTTCAGTGGAGCTGCTCTCCATCTTGGTGTTTACACTCTCCTTCCAGTGCTTGATCTGACGGTAGAGTTTACGATGAGTTGAGAACTTAACGAGACGACTTGACTTCTCAATGGTGATGGTGATGTAGATGTCGATTTGATCGACAGTCACCTTGTATCCAGTGATCTTGTTTAGCTTCAACTCTTTCTTGATTGGTTTACCATCGACATAGGCAATGAGATTGTACACACCGGATGGCTCATCCCAAGCGAATGCATCGATTTGTCCAGGTTCGAGATGGTCAAACTTCTGGCCTGGTCGCGATGTCTTTTGGTGATAGGATATAGGGAAGTGTGTGTCGTTTTGAACTAGATAAGGTGGATTCTCCTTGTTGATCAAAGGCACCATGATATAGAGAGTACCTTGCTCCTCTTTGATATTGATATGGCACATTGTCGAAGGTTTGGCTTCTTCCTTATCACGAATTCTAACGACTAAATCATTGACTGTATCGACATAGAAATTACCGGACCAGCTCTGAGTCGAGTTGACTTGACGAATACATACTGAACGATCTTCTTTATCGTACCAGTGCAATGGCTTGAACTCGTTGGGTGCAAGTGTAATCATCTCCTTGACTTCCTCTTTCTTCTCGGTCTTGACAAGCTGGGCAACTTGAATTGGATATTCGAGTTTGTTTTGCATGATATACTTTGGAACAAAAGTAACCACTTTGGAAAGTGCAAACTTACTATTCTGGCAGAATTCAACACGATATGCCAATTCATAGAGACGGTCGACACCCTGGAGTGTAATGGTTCCAGTGTTACCAACAGTGCAGATTGGAGTTGATTCACAGTATTTACGATCCTTTCCACCTTCGTTAACTCTCAAACGCACATTGGAGTTGTGATAGAGAATCGGTGCATGCATTTCATTGCAATTGTTACTTGGAATCATGATTTCTTCGTTGTCACTCGATCCCTTTACAACCAATGGCAGCATTGTATTGTTGACCAACCAATATTGACAGAAGAATGACAACACTCTGATATTCTTGATCTCTTCAGAACGTTCGATCTGCAAAACCATCTCTTTGGATTGTGAGTTGAATTTGAAGCTCTTGGCAATGTTGGGCGATGATGCATCACCAGAGATCAAAGTGTGAGTTGTCTCGTGGAAATTCTCGACATCCGAGATGGTTGCTGTCATTGTCGAACCTGGTGCATAAGAGAAAACATCCAATTTGCATCCGGCTTCGACTTTAACGAAACCTTGGTCGGAATTGTTGATCTTGATAGAGATTGGCGATGGCAGCAGATTCTCGAGTTGGACGGGTGCATTGAATGAAATGACCTGTAGTTTGTTTCTACCGAATTGAACGGTGGAGGTGTGACCAATACGATGCTCACTGTTGATCACAGAGATGGCAACGAATGTTGGCTTGTCGTATTTGTCGGTAACCTTGAATACTCTGCTGTTTGGTTTCTCAATGGAGTACTTGTCTTTTTCTTTCTCCTTTTCACGTTCCTTCTCGAAAACTGCAGTCAACTCTGAAGGGCTGATAGCGTCGGACCATTGTTTTGCACCTGGCACTCTGAACCATGCCTTCTTAAACTCATTGACATTGGCAATCGGTAGAGAGTATTTCTCGGTGTGTGCGAGAATAACACATGAATCATCAGGTTGGTTCTCATGCCACTTGAATTGAATCGGTTGAACCGAGCTATTGACGAATTGTACCAGAGAACGAACACAAATTATCTTACTACCATCTCTTTGGAGACGTACCTCAACAATGACATCGACAGGCTCGGAATTGCTGTTTGACAAACCACCGTTGAGTGGTTGCAAAGTATAGATTCTGTAGCCAATGGTATCGATTGAAACCGAGTCAATCTTGCCATTTGGCAAGAAGATATCGAGATTTGTTTTCAAACCGATGCAAGATTCACGTGATTTCGATGATTTGATATGAACGGGTGATGTTTGATTGTTGGCAACGCTGTGTCTGGTGTTGATACTGTCCAACGAATTGGTGGATGCTGTCAGTTCAGTTCCAGTGGAATCTTCAAACTTGGGAAGTGAATACTCAACAACCTGACCGGTCTGGTTTTGAATCCAGTGAGAATGATATTTCTCGGCATTCTTGAGTTGGTTTATACTAGCCACATCATTCTGATCAGTCTTGATATACTTGGAGAGAAGTGCATTGTTTGAAACGATACGATTTCCAAGCGATGTATTGTTCTCGCGATCCTTGATCTTGATGAGATGCACTGTCGATGCCAGTGTCTCTATCAATGCATGTGACACATTGACATTCAACATTCCTCTTGTCGCCATGAAAGTAGCTCTTGTCTTTTGACCATTGCGTTTCACATCGAAATTGAATGACCAGTCCTCAATGAATGGTTCAAACTTCATATTACCCTCATTGAAGTAATCGGATTTGAAAGTGACCGATGTCTTTAACTCGATATCCGACGACCAGTTCGATACTTTAGCACTGAGATCCGCGAGATAGAGTTCAGCAATCGGGAGATAGAGATCCATTGATTCATTGATGAGCAAGACACTCATCGATGGACATTCGAATTGGAGTGTCTCTGTGATCATGTAGATCTTCTCCTCTGGTTCCTCCGAGGAGGATGCAATCGATGCAGAGTTGACAGACGATGTCAAATCGGTAGCGGTTGTAGTGGTGCTGTTGGACGATGGTTGAATGGCATCTTTGATGGTCGGTTGGTTCTGTTGGAAACTAAGATTCTGGACAATCTTTAAGATAGTATTGATATCCTCGTAGGAGAAATACCACTTGATAATAGAACTGCTAACGGTGATCTTTTGTTTCCAATATTCAGAGGTTTCGTTCTCCTTGATGTATTGAACCTTGATGTGGTCGATCGGTTTCAATATTTGTACGGGACGCGAACCTTGTGATCCGGCAAAGTCGGACGACACTATATTGGGACGATAGATATTCAACTTTGTCTTTCTGAGTGAAACGATTGCATTCTCCATACCCTTTGGATCACGTTTGAAGTAGACATGAACTTTGGTTTTGGCTGCAAGACAACGGGTGTTTGGTTGAGTTTCGTTTTCCACCAGTGTTACCTCTGCGTTGATGCTGGTTGTCAGAGTGATGGAGGGAGTTCTGACCAAGTCTGGATTGAAAGCACGTGTCTGAGCAAGGAATCTTGGACTCTTCATATCCTTTGCCTCTTCGACTTCGAGCATGAATTGTTTGTCCTGTTGCTCCTGTTGGATTGGCTTCAAGAAGAAGTCGGAAATCAAGATTAGTGGTGTTGGCGACAAGAATAAACATGGATTGTTGACCTCGACATTGATGTATTGATCACCCAACACGTTGTCTCTGATGTATCCCAAATGAAGGAAGTTGGAACGTTCCTGTTTCTTTGGAATGTTTTCAAGTAGGTTCTTAAAGATATTTTCAGAGTTCTTTCTTGAATCAGAGAGGGCAATCGATTCCATGATGACTTGAACCTTGGTCTTTTGTTTCTCGGTCGATTTGAAATCGATATAGATATTCTTGATTTCAAAGGTAGCGATATCGTTCTCCGGTGTGTAGATTCGGAATGTCAGGGTTGGTAGCGAGAGCTTCAATGCGAGAACAACTCTTCCCATTGACTTGACAACTTCCTGCTCAGAGAAATAGGGGATCTCTGCGCTGGGTGGAGGTTGATTGTTTATATTCTGATTGTTTTCATTGACTTCGCCAATCTCTCTGGTAACATTGTCGGCCAACTTCAAAAAGAATGTGTATTGCTCTTGATTCAACATAAAGTAAATGTGTGAGATATGCAAATCGATCAACAAGTCTTCAACATTGATCTGGAAGTTTGGAATGAGGAATCTGGTGATTCCAACGTTGAGATCCAACTCTTGTAGGAAGTGAGAACGACTCTCACCATCGACGATAGTGATGTTGGTCTTCTCCAACTTGATGCTCATGATGTCCACTGGCTGATTGGTGACGTTGTGATTTCCAAAGTCGTTGGAGACAACGATCTTTCCAAGCTCCATTTGAATCATATTGCCGGAGTTGGCTGCTTGCGGTACTCTAAAGATTGGAGTATCCATCACGACATCGATCTTGGTACGGCTTACGGCTACATTTGCCTTCATTGGAACGACCGACTTCATATCGGGACTGAGTGGTGGACTGTATTCGCCAACACCACCGGGTTGTGGGGAGGGAGGAGTGGCTGGAACGAGTGGCACCGGTTTGTTCAAGATTGGATCGAGCATTCCACCCAAGAAGTAGTTTTGTGTCTTCAACAGGAATCCAACCTGTGCATTGACGATGATCGACTTGATGTGAGCATCGACCGAACTATCGTAACCTGGATAATTGACAAGGTTCGAAGGATGTGTTTGGAATTTGAATTGAAGCATTGCAGATGTTAGATCCTGTGGTGAGATGACTTGTTTGTAGAGCGAATCACTCTGAGTGGTCAAGTCCTCCAGCACGATCGAGCCGAGCGAACCTTCCACCGACATTCTGTTATCCTTGTACATCGATGTATTCACATTGATTTTGTTGATAGAGAATACACCGAGACGACGATTGTTCTCTTGATTCAACACCACACCCAGACTGTTGATATTGGCAGTGACCTTCAAGGAGATTCCTTCGTTGATTGGTTTCTTCTTTGGCACCTTCTTGATGATCTTGATTGTCTTTACTGTTGTGTGTGGTTGCGGTGATGTTTGATCCGGTGAGATGACAGTGCCGTTGTTAGTGTAGGAAACGGGTGACGATGGAGCTGCTCCACCAGCACCAGCTCTCAAAGTTCTAACGACTCTAGTTCTCTTTTCAACCACCTTGACAGTGGATGGTTTCAAAGAGATTGCAGGTTGATCGGCAAACGACTGAACAATAACCAACAACTGATGAATAGTTGGTGGATTACAAACTAAATAGAAAGAATTGAAATTTACATCCAATGACATATCAATCTTTTGATACTCTGGTGAATTCTATAAGAATTATCAAGAATTAATAAAAAATAATAGTTAAATGGTTATTGTTTAGATTGTTTGTTGACTTACCATTTGATATTGTTTGAAATTAATTGATACCAATGATGATTGATTTGATTTACCTTCGATATCTTGAGATGGATTGGAAGTTGCTAACTTCTTTAGAGAGCTACGAGTGAAGAGATCATCGATATCGAAACGCTTTAGTTCGACACTACCGATGGCATCGAATGTTCGTTGAACAAATGAAACACCAAGACCATCGACAGAAACTCTTATCAAGTCTGTATTTTCTCTCGAGATTGTAACATTGATCGATTTCATCTCGAAATTAAGACTCAACTTTTTGTGATTCTTTAACAATTCAATTGATGATTCTTTATCTTGATTACCTTTACCATGATGACTAAAAACAAAACAAAACAACATTATTAATAAAACAAAACATATCTTTAAGATAATAAGAAATAACATACCTGTATAAATCAATGATTGCTTTCTTTGCTGGTTCAGTTGCTGCCATTGCAGCAGCTGTATTATTGCTCGTTGTTGGTGATGAAGATGGTTTTTGAATATCTTCAGCCAGTGTTCTGGCCATTGATAACAACTGTTTGCATTTACGATCGGAGAGAGCAATGTTCAATTGTGGAAGTTCACCAAATACTTTGAGTTTGGTCAGGGTAAGACTGTCTTGTTGAATACAAGAGAATATCTTGAGATGAACATCGAATTGATTGATAATATGAGTCTTTTGTTCGGTTTGAATTCTCTTGTCGCTCCAAGAATGAATATCGTTGGTAAGTAGCAACTGAATCGATTGCAGTGAAAGGTTGAACTTATCATAGAAATCATCTTCCGAGGTGTTCGAGACGACCTTTCCTTTGATTGCATTGTTGGAGATATCCGACTGAATCTTAAAGTTACCGAGATCCAGTACCAAAGCATTTGAGTTTTTGTTTGCAACGTTCTCTGGCAAGATGATGACTGGCGCGTGGATATTGACTGAGAGTGCCAGTGTCTTGTGAGTGTCAAGTGCCTCTTGCAACTGCATCTTTGTCTTCTCTGTGAAATTGTCGATGTAGTCACCAGCTTTGTTTGTGATATTCGTGAGATCGACACTCTCCTTTGAGAAGAAGTCGACGATCTTCATTATCAGTGGCTTTGGCGCGATGACTTGCAGCGGCTCCATGTTGAGCTCGATGAACAAATCCGACGATTTGTCGAGTGGACTGGTGTCGACGATGGCGGTCATGAATGTCTGTGCGTTCGACGAATGTGGCGCTGGCGCAATGATCTTCTTGTATTGCGTTTCCTTGGAGTATTGGTCGTACACCTCAAACTGTTTGATTCCCGCCACCACTTTGACACCGTCTTTACGCTGCTCGAGTCGCACCGACAGCGAAGTGTAGACGGCGTCGATGAACGGCATGTCATTCTCTACCAGCTGCATAGCGAACGACTTGATTGTGAGGTTGGCGACAACCTTGTTCCAGTCGGGTGGCTCCTCCACCGACTCTATCACATCGGAATACTCGATGGTCTTGTACAGTTCGTCACGCTCCGTAGTGGACAACTGCACGATTGGCGCAGCCTGTTCGTCTTCTTTCTTCTTGGTGTTGAAGAGATTCGTAAAGAATCCACGCTCCTGCTTCTTGCTATCCAAGAAATCCTTTCTGACCTTGTTCTTCTCTGTCTCCTTCTTGATCTCGGCGTACGCAAGTGAACGATAGAATACAATATCCTCAAACGACAGCTTCTCTTCCAACTCTGCCAGTTGCTGGGTCTCCTGCTTGCTCAGAGACTGTAGCCACTGGATGTTTGGCAGTGAACGCTTGAACAGCCCTACATACTTGATACGATCCTTTCTACGCTCCATGAAGAACGGCCAACTCGACTGGTATCGTTTCAAACGGATCTGCTCGAGAGTCACCTGACCAGCGTATTTCCACCAGGCCGCTGGATTCTCGGACACCTTGAACTGCGGTCTGTATTTCAAGTACTTGATATCTCTCAAGAACTCATTGGTGAATTGCAGTAGATTAAGAATACAATGATGTTGCTGAGCGGAAAGCGCACAAACAATATCGGAGAAGATACACTCCGATATAATCTTTGGTACACTCTTTTCAATTAAATCACTCTTATTAATAGATACCTATAAATAGTAATTGGATTGTTAGGTTAGTTAATTACTCCTATCTCCAATTGATTTAAAAACAACATACTTTTAATTGAGAAGAAACAGGTTTAACTATAAACTTTCTAAGCATAGAGTCATGTACTTTGAGTGATGGAATTGCATTGTAGAATGCGTCACTAAACTCTTGAGTTGACAGATTCTGCATTGACTGTGCGGAATCATCGATATATACACCTAGCGAATGCATCTCTGCTAGCTTTCTAATAATATTGGATTTGGTACTATCAATAAACGATGGTATCCAACGTTCATCTGTAGATTGTGCTGAAATCTTATCAAGTGTAACACCAATTGCATATAACTATCGATAGAGAATAACAAATTGAATTAGTTGGTTTTAATATTCTTCTGAATCATTGTTTTAAAAAACAGATGTTATTAACTAACTTACTCTTCCGATTTCATTCTTGTGTTCGAATCTAATATGTACTTTGTTGATAACGATCTGAAGGTTATCAATGATTTTCGTTACGAGACGCCCGGTGAATGTATCGTCTTGTTTTCCGATTTGTTCGGTCTCTGCTTCCTTGATGGATTTGAGCCACTCGTAGTTCTCGATACGCTTCTTCTTGGTTTCACGCTCCTTCTTCTTCTCTGCTTCCTCGTCGTACTTGTAGTTGGCGGTCTGTGGTACGGCCAGCGCGAAAATCGAATCGATATTGACGATGACCGGCTTTGATTTCAGATCCTTCCAGGGAACCTTCAGTTCCAGCCGCCCGAGAAATCCTTTCTTCACGGTGATCGGTAGATTGATCGGTAGATTCGCCAGAGCATCTTCCTTCAATTCGAGATTGGTCAGTACCACATTTCCACCGAGTACACCAATCTTCAATTGATCTTTATTCAAATTCTTTACATATTCACCAAGAACTCTTGATAATACATCGGAAACAATACCTTCAAATACCATTGTTGTTGTTGTTGTACTTTTTGTTTTAAGATTAAAATAGTATTATTTTATAATCTTTATATATATGAAATGATAATATGTAAGTTAATATTCGTAAGATAATAAGGTAATATGATATGTATGTATTTTGATTAATATTTTATGATTATGATGATATGATTATTATTGTTATTATTTTTATTATTTTTGTTGATAAGTAAAAAACAAAAATATTCTAATTATTTAATAATTACTATTACTTGTTAATTATCTATTATTATTATTATTAAACATTTACATGTAAATAAATAACAGAAACAAACAAATAAAACTAATAAATTGTTTATCTTTATAATAATGATTAATAAAACAAAAATAATAGATTAAAAGATAGGATAATAAAAATTTGTTAATGATATTTTTAGTGACGACGACTGAACACCCACCGCTAACCTCGACTTTTTGTCTGACAATGGGTTCATTTATTCCCTTTGTCACTGGAATTTTCAAAACCACAACACACAAACACATAAATTAACAATTTATTTTTAATTTTTTTTTCATTTTCACTAAAACAATTCCCAAAAAAAGATTTTTTTTTCTTTTTTGTCTATGCTCACTTCATCTAACATCCTGTTTTAAAAATTATTTTCTTGTCACAATCTTTTTTAAAAATTAATTTTTCAGAAAGCAAAGATTGAACTATTTGGTTCCGCTTCCAACCTGGTCTTGGTAACTAAAAATCAGCTTCGATTTGATTGATATTTTTCAATAATTAAAAATCAGTCATCAGTCTGAAAAAAAAAAACAAAAAATCATATAAGATCAATTTTTTTTTTTTTTTGCATATTATTAAGTTCAAGCAAGTATAATTCATTAAATCTTGATCAAGCACAACACAAGAATCTGCATATTTAATTTGATTCACAAAAAAAAAAAAAGAAAAAAGAAAAAGGATGTCAGCAACAACAACATCAAAAACATTGTACCAATTGGTTAATGATAATAAAAAAGAGTCGAATGCAGTCGTCATTCCAACAGCGAACGAACAACACTATGCAACGGTGAGCTACGATCAGTTGGTAAATAACTCTATTCAATTCTCTCAGCAATTGGCTGCTCATTCCATCAAGAAAGGCGATGTTGTTTCAATCATAGTCGGTAATGGTTATCCTATTTTAGTTTGTTTTTTGGTAAATATATATAATGTTATGAATGAATTGATAAACAACAACAACTGATTATTAATTAACATTTCAAATCGAAAACTAAAAGGGAACAACATTCACAAGATGTATTGCAGCACCTTTGAATTCCGCTTATACCTGTGAGGAATTCAAATACTATTTGGACGATATGAAGGCAAAGTTGGTTGTTGTTCAAGCCGGTTTGACAGAGGCATTGAAAGCATCCGAAGAGTTGGGTCTACCCGTTTGGCAAGTGAATGAAGTGTTTGATTACGATAGTAACCATACTCATTTCACTTTGACAATCGATGGTAAAGTAATTGAGATCAACAACAACAACGTTGGTGGTTTGTCAGAGTTACCGGAACCAGATGACGTTGCATTGTTTCTTCATACCTCTGGTACAACCAGTAAGCCAAAGGGTGTTCCTCTCACCCACAAGAATATAACTACTTCCAACTCGAATATCGCGCGAACATTCCGATTGTCGCCAGCCGATCGTTCAATGGTTGTAATGCCACTGTTCCACGTTCACGGTTTGATTGGTGTTTCGCTCTCGACTCTGCTCAGCGGTGGATCGTTAGTCATCCCAGTGAAGTTCAGTGCATCGACATTCTGGCAACAAGTCAAACAATTCAAAGTGACATGGTACTCTGCAGTGCCAACCATCCACTCCATCTTGATATCAATGGAGAAACAACCGGAAAACTCACCAAACAAAGGTGTATTCAGATTCATCAGAAGTTGTTCTTCATCATTATCACCAACCCTATTAGAGAGTTTAGAGAATTGTTTTGGTGTAAGTATAGTATAGTCAGTTTATTTGACTTTATATATTTCACACACAGCATGCTAATTAATTATCTAATTAATTAATTTAGTGTCCAATTGTCGAATCATATGGTATGACTGAAGCTGCTCATCAAATGACATCGAATTTGTTACCGGAGGATGGAAAGCGTAAAGCGGGATCCGTTGGCAGAGCATCGTTTGTCGATGTTGGTGTTGCCGATGACAACGGTGATTTGTTGGAGCAAGGAAAGGTTGGTGAGGTTTGTGTAAAGGGTGAGAATATCATGAAGGGATACAATAACAATCCACAGGCAAACATTGATAATTTCACTAAGCACGGTTGGTTCCTGACCGGTGACATCGGTTATTTGGACGAGGATGGATTCCTCATTCTCAAAGGCAGAAAGAAAGAGATTATCAATCGTGGCGGTGAGAAAATCAGTCCACTCGAAGTGGATAATGCACTCCTAGAGAACAGCGCCATTGCCGAGGCAGTGTGTTTCGGTGTGCCCGACGCCAAGTACGGAGAGGAGATCTGGGCTGCCGTTGTACCAAAGCCAGATCACAATCTCACCGAGCAAGACATAATGGAATTCCTCCAAAAGAAAATAGTATCATTCAAGATTCCAAAGAAAATATTTGTTACCAACAGCTTCCCAAAGACATCCACCGGAAAGATTCAAAGACGTTTTATCTCTGAACACTTTTTAAAGATTGCAGCAGCAGCAACAGCTGAAGCTAAATAAATTTTATTATACATTTTATTGTTGTTTTGTTCTTTTAATTAATATCCACATGATATCATATACTTTGAAAATGATTCAACATTGGATATTGAATCTGTCAATGGTAAACTAGATTGACAAATTACAAGTAGAGTTTGTGTTTTAAATACTAATAATATACATTTTTTGTTATCCTACAATAAGTAATAATAAGTTAATATATATATATATTTAGATAATGGTAGATTTGGTAAGTAACTATACATACATTGACAGCAACAATTGAGGTATGACCTTTAGAAATGATAATATGTTTGACTGAATCAATTACTATTTCCAACAAATCTAAATCTTCAAACTTATTATTATTATCATCGATCTTTTTGATAATACTTTTAATTTCTTTGTTTGATTCATCCTATTTTGTTTGTATTATTAGTAGTAAAATATTAGTATATAATGATATTGAATCATTCATTTATACATACATTGAAATTACTTGCTAAAATAGATTTGTATTCTAAAGAATAAATATATGAATGGTGGAATTGATAGTTATTCGATAGAATGTCAAGGTATGAATTCCATCCTGATGACGATTCACTATCGTTATTGTTGTCAGTTGTAGAGTCATCGCTAGTTACTAGACTAGAGAGTAATCTTAATGTTTGATCATTGTGTTTTCTCGTTAATAACAGATAAGAGTTAATCTCTGGGAACAAATCTGATGGAATAGATAGTTTTAGATCGTCGACAGAGTATTCCAATAGTAGCTTAGATATTCTATCGATTACTAAATGCTTTAGTGACGGAATTACTTTGTTTGGCTTGGTTAAAGCCATAGTATGAACCCAACCACCGGATGCAGCAAGAACTACATTTTCAATACTCGACAACCTTTGCGGTACTAGATTATTTGATGCTTCTGACTGGTGCAACTGTTCGGATAACAAAAAGTTAAGATGATCTTTCTCTTCTTTATTCATCGCTATGTTATTGCTGTTATCATTATCTTTAGTTTCATTGGTATCATCAACTATATTTGTAAGATATGATACTGGTTTAATTGATCTAATTATCAAAAAGTAAAGTAAAGTAAAGTAGAGATTAATAAACCAAGTAAGTTAATCTATTATTATCTATATACTTACAGTTTATTCTCAATGATAACTGTTTCCTCTGTATCTGTATGAACAGGGAATTGCAATGTTTTAAAACCACCAGAACCATCTCCTAATGCTACATTCATTCTATAGGTTGGACTTTCAACCAATGCACCACCAAATACATAAAGTTCTCCATTATCTATGTTTATATTTGTTCGATATTAATAAAGATAGTAATTACGCTCATAATGATAGATAGTTAGTTACCAGAGATTAAACAGTTATGACATGCACCAGAATAAACAGACTTGATAGTTATGTCAGACAATGCATTAATCATTGTTGGTTCTGATTGTCCGTCATCGATATTCCCATTGCCAAATTGACCGTTGTAATTTGCTCCAAATACAAAACATCTACCTTCTCTGTTCAATGCTAAACTATGATAGTAGCCTGCTGCGATATCAACGATATCCTGTATTGTTTGTTATTAGTAAATAATAAATATTAGTAGATTAGCTCTAAGAAATGGTACAAACATTTAATGATTCTATTAATGTTGGTTCAATCAAATATGGAGTATCTTGATTTTCAATATCTATTCCGGTAGCATCACCCGATCCACATGAATATACTTGATTGTCATCGGTAAGAAACAGTGTATGATATTGACCACACTCTGCTTTCTGTATGCGTGTTTTAGTAGATAGTGAAGTTAATAGCGTTGGTATGTTAACTTGTTCATCATTGTTTATTTGCTCTACGGTCAGCTCTACTACTCCAAGACGACCATAACCAGAGTACCCCCATGAATATACTACACCGGCATCACTGATAGCAGTACAATGAAATGTTGAACAAGCAACAGAGCTAACGCTAACATTTGAAAGTGATATCACTCTAGTTGGAATCGATATAAATTGATTATTCCCATTGTCATTGTCAGCATCAATGTCATTATTTTGACGGTTAATAAAACCAACTAGTGAAGAAGGACCCCAGCTATAAAGTTCACCTTTCAAACCAATGGCAAGACTAACATCCCAACACCTAACCTTGGTTGCAACGATTCCATCGATTACGGTCGGTGATACAACCGATTCGAAATGTGAGTTTCCCGATTGACCTTGTTTAGATTCTCCACACATCCAAACAACATTGTTTTCTATTTTTTTTTTTTTTGTAATATTAGTTCATCATCACATCTTGTTGTGTGTTAATTTTTGTTATTGTTGTTTACCGTCAACGAACAGAGAGTGTGACTGACCAGCACAGAAAGACTTTATCTTGACATCTAGAGATGATGTACCATCGAATTGAATTGTGTTTGGTTTTAATGTATCTGAGAATGTACCAAACCCTATACGACCTAACAATACGTAAGTTTTCTATTAAAAGTGAAAAAAGATGTTGAATAAGCAATGAGATGATCACATACCACTACCCCATAGATACATTTATGAATAATAATCAGACAAAAACTGTTAGCTGAATATTTTAAATAGTAAAGATATATATATTTGGGTTTTGTGATTAGTTTTTACGAAAAAAAAAGTTTGTTACCTTTACACCACGATAATTTCACATTTAATTTTATTAAAGTTTATTTAATTAAAACAAATGTTTTATATTTATGTATATCTCTATCAAATAATTTGTTATTAATTAAATCTCTTAATTGTTTTGTTGTTGTTATAAATCCACCATTCACATGATACTCTCAATTGTGTACAATGAATTGAGTTGATTTGTTATATCTTCGAAGTTGTATTCCCCGTTAGATTTTGATGATCCTTTCGAAGGTAGGATACCTGGTTCAATAATAATAGATTCAATATCACTTCTGTTCAATTGAAGAGTTGAAACAGATGGTGGTAGTGAATCGATCCACTCAAATTTGAATCCAATTATTGTTGTCAAATTCTGAATGACTCCAAAGATTGAGGGAATAATCCATTTAAAAATAATTGATCTTCACAAAGAACTGTCATAGTTCTCAAACTATTTGGTAACACATATGAACTATTTTTACCATATATTTAGATCTTCGAGAGTGTTTGGAGGAGATCCTGGTAATATCTTTAGATTTGGAGCTTGGATATCAAGTTCTCTGATACAACTATCTGAAATATCAAACATATGATTGTCTTTCCAATGTTTTACAATAATACTCTTTACTTTCAAAGGTATTTTACCTAAAAGAGTTTCATTGTTATTAATTTTAATTACTATTTCATTAGTAAAAAGTTATTAATATTTTTATATTTATTTTATATTAAGAATATTGTTACTTTAAAAGTATTTTTGTTTATTTAATAAAAGTTGTTACTCTATTTTTATTTAAATCTCTTTCAAATACCTTATTATTAATTAAATTTCTTAACTGTTTGGTTGTTGTTATAAATCCCCCACTCACAGGATAATCTCGATTGTATCCAATGAATTGAGTTGATTTGTTATATCTTCGAAGTTCTATATTGGAATTGATTTTGATGATCTCAACTGAAAGTGGGAGATCTTCCAATGTGTTTTTGTTGAAATATGGATAATCAACTTTCAATATCAATCTTTTAGGTTGGTGTGCGTTGTTATCTAATATATCTTTGGCAAGAGATGAATTATTGATTGTGAGTTTCTTTAAGGTTGGTGGTAACAATGAATACAAGACCGGATTATTGCGCCCATAGAATTTAAGTGATTCCAAATTTGGTGGCAATCTGCTTAACTGAGTGTATGTATTGAATGAAAGGCTCTTGATCGATGGAAGTGAAAGAATTCCTAAAAACTCTGATTTTGTTGAATATGGAAAACTGGGACTTATCAATGATTCCACAGAGTTTGGTATCGATTCAGGTGAGAAATCTTGGCCTACAAAGGAGAGATCCAATTCTTTGACACTGTTTGGTATGATACCTGGAACGAGACTATGTTCAAAGAAACGAAGCTTCAGATTTCTGACACTCGAAGGTATACTTCCAGATTGTAATTTGAAGTTTCTCATGTCACCAAAGTCAAGATCGGTGATTGTCGAAGGTAGGATACCTGGTTCTATTTTTATTGATACAAGATCGCTCTTGGCAAATTTAAGTGTGGTGATAGATGGTGGAAGTGAATTGATCCACTCGAATTTGAATCCAATGAATGTTGTCAACTTCTTGAATTGTGAGAGAATCGAAATGTTCTCAATACTTTGAACTATTAAAGGATTAAATTGAATGGATTCAAGAGATTTAGGAAGGTGTCCAATATCAATCTTGGGTCTCCAATTATATGATGTACCTATAAACAGTGATTTCAGATTGGTTGGTAGTGAGTGTTCCTCCAATGTATGTGTGTGCAACAATAGTGTGAGTGACTCCAACGATTGAGGGAATAATCCATTGAAAAATCTTTGATCTTTACAATCAATCGTCATAGTTCTTATACTGTTTGGTATCACAGATGAACTAACTTTTGTATTTAGATATAACACTTCAAGAGTGTTTGGAAGAGATCTGGTAATATCATTAGATTCTCTGTCCTTATATCGAGTTCACTGATACAACTATCTGAAATATCAAATGTTTGATTATCTTTCCAATGTTCTACTCTTAAACTCTTTACATTCGCAGGTATTTTACCTAAAAGAGTATCACTACTATTCATTTTAGGGTCTATATTAATATTGTAGATTAATTAATATTAGGTTAGTAAATAGATATTTTGAGACTAATTAATTAAACATACTATCTATTAAATAATCATAGTAATTTGATCTCTTGTCAATAGTAGATACATCACATATCAATAGATAACAAGATCTAATACGATTCAATATATGATGAAATTGATTAATATATGATCTCAATGTCACATGATTACTTCTATTGTAAATCAATTGAGCTTGAGCATATGAAAGATGTCGATTACCGAACGTCAAATATCTATCTCTATTTTGATATAACTTTTTACATATTAAACTAAAGCATATTGAATCTAAAACTGTGATATCTTTGAAACTTAATATTTTAGATATCAATACATATGGTAAGTCTTGAATATTATTATATATATTCATCTTATTATAACATATAAAAATTTTGAAGACATGATAGATCTCTGATAGAAGTTAAAATAAAATAAAAAAAAATATCTAACTCTAAGGTGGAAAAAGATTTTAAAAAAACTATATATTTCACAATTATCATTACCACAAAAAAATTAGATCTGTGCACATAAATTAAAAAAACATTTAGATAGAATAAACTAGATAATTTTAATTAACACAACACATGAAAGAGGTGAATAATTATCAAAATAATTTTATATCTATAATGTTAATTTTTACTTTTTAAAGAGCAGGATCATTAAAAGTTTTATATATCATTAGAAACTTTAGTTTTTTTATGACATTTTTTCTTTTTTAAACCAGTGAAATTGGTGACCACCAGTTCACAAATTTAGAAAAACATATAAATACTCGCAAAAGTAAAATGAATAAAATAAAGTAACACACACAGTGTGTTTATAAACAACACTCATTCAAATTGATCATGAAGTGACATCCATCATTTAAATTTATTATTTTTATTTTTTGAAAAATTAAATATTTGATTTGATTTTGTTCAAATATTATTTATTTATTTATATAAAAGTATATATAAATTTCTATTATTTAAATATATATAAATTTATAAAAAACAAAAAAAATGATAAACAATCAAGATGATATAAAAGATGATGTGAATCTAATGTTAATACATGAATCTAGAAATGTATTATTAGATGACGGCAGAAATAATGGTCAAATTCCAAGTAGTCTTGTCAATGAGGAGAATGCCATCAGAGCATCAACCGGTCCATTAAGACAAAGTCTTAGAAAAAGTAACAACAATATCAATAATTACAATAATATTAATAATATAAATAATGAAATCAACAACAACAACAACAACAACAATAATAATAATAATAACAATGAATTTGTAAAAATCAAAAACTATAACAACAATTCCAACAATAGTAATTTAACATTTAAATATATACTTTGGTTATTTACAATTTGTTTTGCTTTGGCTGGTGTACAATTTGTTTGTAAGTAAATTTACTTTGTTAATAAGAAAATAAACAAACTTGTTAATTATTATTAATTTATAGATGCAATTCAATTTGCAATTGGAACACCATTGTTTAATCAAAAATTTAAATTGAAACCATCCACCATTACATGGATACAATCTACTGCCGGTCCGATTAGTGGTTTCATTATCCAACCAATCATTGGAATCTACTCGGACAGCTGTAAGAGTAGATTCGGAAGAAGAAGACCATTTATCTTGGCCGGTGCCGTAGTTTGTATCTTTTCATTGATACTCATTGCATTCTCACCACAACTTGGTGAACTGCTCGGTGACAATCCATATGGAGATTATCCATACTATTATAAAGCTGGTATTCCAATTGCTGTAAGTGTTTAACAATTTATCTTTTAAAATTAACAAACTAGCTATAATTATCATTTAAATACTAATTGTTGTATCTCCTAAAGATTTTAGGATTTTGTATTATGAATATCTCTGTAAATGTAATGCAAGGACCATGTAGATCTTTAATATCGGATATCGTCGATCCAAGTATGCAACATTATGGCAATGCAATGGTGACCATTACAATGTGTCTGGCCAATATCATTGCGTGTATTATTGGTGCACAACTATCGACCGCTCCCGATTGTTACAGAAATATATTTATCATCGGCGCATGTTTTGTGACGTTCTCTGTCATACCAACGTTGGTCGCCAGCAAAGAAGTGCAGGTTCTCGATGTCGATCGACCAAGCTCACCGCTTTCCGCCTTTAAAAAGATTGTTCGTACATTTATTACCATGCCAAAGCAGCTGAAAATGATCTCGCTCGTTCTCTTCATTAGCTGGTTTGGATTCTCGCCATTCATGGTATCGATTACCAACTACTTTGGTCACAATGTTTTCCCCAATGACTATAGCAATGGTATCAAATTCGGATTCTATGCACTCGCTATCTACTCGGCGGTATCGTTCCTCTTTGGTTTCGTGATGCCCTGGATCATTCATTTGATCGGTGAGAAATTCACCTATTGCATTACCCATATCGTTGGAGGTGTTGCATTCATACTGTTGTGGTACTTTGACTCGCCATCGGTTGGTATTGCCATTTTGTTGACAGCGTTGGTTGGCTTCAACTTTGCAACATTCAATTCGATTCCATTCACTCTGTTGATCGATTACATCGATAAACAAGACGCAGGACTCTACATGGGTGTGCTCAACTCTGCAACAGTCGTCTCTCAGACCATATCGATCTTTACATCTGGAATGGTCGAAGCCAGTAGAAGTGAGAACTCTGCATGGGCAATTGGATATGGTGGTATCTTCACTTTGGTAGCATCATTGGTTTGTTTCATTCTGCCAAAGAGAATCAACCTACTGGAAGAAGAAGAGAATGAAAGATTACTATCTGAAGATAGAATTTGATTTATTTTTACTTTAAAATCAAATCAAATTTGTTTTATCACTTGATATTTTTGATTTCATAAATATAAATATAATATAATTTTTAATTAAAATGTATTTATTTTACTTTATAAAGGACTTGCTAAGTTTTTTTTTTTCAAACAAGATTTTTTTATAAATTTTTGTCTTTTTTTTTTTATTTTTCGATCAAATCCAATAAGTATTTTGTTGTGAAGATCGTTGCACAAACAATAACTAGCTTCATCTTCCTTATGAGGAGTTGCTGGTACTACTATTCATCTTTTCACATTTCATATTAATTTATCAATATTAAAGGATCAGCAACGTTAGCAATCTTGGATCCACTTTCAATATCCATGGAACTTTGATGGTGTTCTTTTGGTGTACCATTTCTAAAGAGATACAATCCTCATATCAACTGGTTCAAGAACCCCCACCCAAATAGTGAAACAAAGAATTCCATTATTGACTAACTCTGGATTAAAACAGACCTCTTTTAAATGTTTGCTTTTCTTGGGACATGTTTATGTTCTGGTGATTTGCAATAGAAGCATAACCCTTTGGCGATACTCTCCTATTTGGAAACAAATTTCCTGTGATATTTAACTGCGCTAATGTCCATTGGTGTTGGAAGAGAATCGTGAAGTTTCAACAAATCGGATCTAGACTCCAAGAGAGTTGCTTTGATGAAAGAATCGTTGAGACTGATGATCCTCTACATTCAAGTGACTTCCTCAATACATAGTGTCACTTTGTCAAAGCCATCATGATTAGTAGGAATATCGACAAGCTGGATGGAATAATAAAATCAATTAAATAGTAGTACCAACAACCTCTCACTGGAATATGAGGCTAGTGCTAGTAAAAAGCAACATGTCAACTTAATAAATAAATCAAACAAATAAAAAACTATGTATTGTTTTGTTTAAATAAAAAAATTATAATAAATAAATGTAACTACAATCTACTATCACTGTAGTTATTTATTGGTGAATTAGTATTATCATCAGTCAGTAATATGGCTGACGGTTGATTTTCGGCGATCTGTTGCTCATTTGGCACTAGAATCTGTGTGGTGAAATAGGATGAGTGTGTTCTTGGTGGTCCACCAAGAATTCTAATGACAGCCTCGTGTATACTCGTATAGAATCTATCTGTTCCAATCAAATCGTAGAATCCACCTCTTAAAAACATTGTCTTTAACGAATCTTTAAGCTTTACAAATGTTACAATAATATCTCTCTTTTCATAATTTGATACAATTTCATGTAATATTTGAATAGAACTGTAAATATAGTTTTAAGAATTTAAATTAATATATAAACTGATATTATATACCATAATAGTATTATTATTAATTTAATAATTACCTTGCATCTATAACTGGTATATTTCTCATGTCAAATACAACACCTTTGAGTGGTGTCTGACCACCCTCGGCCTCGGATGGATGTGCCATTGCAGAACCGAGCTTTTCGATTCTGAAAAGAATTTCTTTGACCTGTCCAACGTTGGAGAAATAGATACTCTCGTCGAAACGAATGATAATTAAGCTATCGACTTGTCTTGCCTCTGTGAACAGTGTGATATCTTTATACTTTGTGGATTCTGGCATACGTCCAAGCACGGAGAAATGAGGGGCAGACGACTGTTTGATCACCATGAAACAAGACATACCAATGCTAACTATCAAACCGACTTCAGTCGAGAAAGCAAAGGTAGTGACAAAAGTCAGTGTCAGCAAGAAGAGATCTTTCCATGCACGAACCTTCCAGAGGAATATGAGGTCGTGTAGCTCGATCAGTCCGACGGCGGCAACGAAAACAATGGAACTCATGATTACTCTTGGCAGATGTTGGAACACAGGCATCAAGAAGAGACAGGTGAACAAGATGATAATGAAAGTAACGAATCCAGCCAGCTGTGATCTTGCACCGGCTTTGTCGTTTACGACGGATCTGGTCATCGAAGCAAACATTGGATATGCGAGAAAAACCGAACCAGCGAGATTCGACATTCCAATAGCAACCAACTCACGGTTGGTCGATACCTGATAGTTGTGTTTGGCAGCGATAATCTTGGAGATTGCCATTGACTCTACGAAGCCAACGATAGTAATAAACAAACCCGGTGAAAGCAATCCTGTGAACATATTCCATTGGCTCAGAGGTGGTAACGTTGGTTTCGGGAAACTTGCCTCCGTGTAACCAAGAACAGCCAATCCTTTATCTCCCAACTTGAAAATCGATGTCACTGAAATACCAATGACCACAACAACCAAAATACTTGGAATAAAGAAACCAATATGATGTATAATCTTTGTTCTCTTTTCTGGAATCATTCTTTTCAATTTCTATTTATGCAAATGAATATTATTAGAATTTACTGAGTTTTGTTTTGCTTTGCTGCAATAACAACTATAATTATCTAAACTTACATTCATAATAAATAAAGAAGTAATTGCACCAATTGACATACAATATGCTATTGGTTTGGCAGTGTGTATAGATTTGAATATTGGAACGACTTTTCTCCATCCTGAACCTGTTACGCCTGTCAAACCTAGTAGTGTATCCATTTGGTCGAGTAAGATTGTCACTGCAATCGCCAGAATGAAACCACGGATCAGCGGACGTGAGAGTACTTCAGAGAGGAAACCAAATCTGAGTAGACCGAGTGCCAGTGAAAATATACCAACTATAAAAGATAACATGATTGCCAAATCTATCAGTTCCGGTGTTGTCAACGGCACATCGTTTTCATCGGAGATCTGTTTCAGCGTAGTTCCGACAATCAGAGAAACCGCTGCTTCCGGTCCCACCGACAACTGTCGCGAGGTTCCAAAGAAACAATAAACTAAAACCGGTATCAAACCAGTGTATAAACCATGAATCGAAGGTATTCCCACGAGAAAGGCATATGCCATACCCTGTGGAATCAACATGATCGCCGTTGTGATTCCGGCAATGATATCGCCCGACAAATTGCTCTTGTCGTACTTGGGCAGCCAACTTAGAATCGGAATATAATAGGGTGCTCGCTTTTGTGCTGTCTTTATATTATGTTTAATCGTTTTGATCACCAGATCCTTGGTGGAAGTCGGTTGTTCTGTTTCCAGCTTTTCGCGATGCTGGTGGCGATGTCGCCGTTGCTGAGATACATTCAGTCCGGGTTGTGACATCTCCATTGGCAAAGCTGATGATGATGACAATGGTGATAATCCAGCTGGATTTTGATAGGAATTATACAAACCGTTGGCCGATTGTATCATTGGCGATTGCTCGCTCGGTGACATCGAGCCGATTGGCGAGATAGAGGAAGTGTCGGAAGATGAAGCCTGCAGTAGCGAAGAAGGTGATTCTACACCTCTCGATACATTGAGTTGATGTTGTACTTCTTTCTTTTGGATGGTGCGCAGTCTGCTCACGAAATTACGCCATGTCGAGGGTGGCTCATCGAGGATGTTGACCGTGCTCGACTGTGGGGATTCACGACGATTGCTACTGCTGTTGCCGCTATCATCCATCGGTGAAGTCGAGTCGAATCTCGAGATATCGACACGTGACATATCCTCGTCGGAGGAATCGTCGTCAGTGTTGGCGGGTGGCCTCAAAGGTAGATCGTCATCATTGAATGTACTATAGGTTGGCACAGACGATGATAACAACGGCCGATTATCCTGATTCTCTATATCTGCATTTGGTGAAGCATTACCACCACCACCAGGTGAAGATTGCTTTTTCCAAAATCTAAAATCAAAAGAGGACATAATTTTTTTTTTTTATTAAATTTTCCTCCCTTGTTTTTTTTGTTTTTATATTATTATAACTATATTATATATAATGTATTATTACTGCTAACTACTATTTACAAATTTTAATTTATCTTGATTGTTATGATTATGAAATATGTGTATATATATTTTATGCTATTTATCTATCTTTTTTTTGTATTATTATTTTATTATCGATATCTATAAAAAATATTAAAAATAAGCAATAAAGATAAAAAAAAGAAAAAGTTGTAAAATTAGTACCTTAAGGTTTGATTCTTTTGTATTATTTATTTTTGTATATATATATATATGATTGATTAATATAAATATACTGAATAAATGGTATTGTGATGACTTATTTCAAACATCACACACACTTTTCAGTACTGAAACAATCACACCAAAGTTGTGATAAATTTTATAATAATGTTGTTGGTTGTGAATGATTTCACTATTTTCGGGCTGTGGAATGTGGTAGTGGTGTATAGTGGGGAAAATGAGTGAATGTCATTATTCGATTGACGAATGCAACGAGATTTCTTTCAACTTCCAAACAAAATAAATAAAATTTAAATTTGATTTTTTTGATTTTTTATTTTTAATTTAAATTGTAAAAAAAAAAATTTCCCAATTTGTGAAGAATATGGTTTTGAAATAATAATATTATTAATTACCTTTAAATTGAATGTTATAATATAATTAATCTATATGTTAATATTATACTTGATCTAATTTTGTTGTTTTAAATAAATATTTTAAAAAAAGTAAAAATGACTGTTGAAGGTGCTTTAAATAAGAGGTTTTGACTGTTTAGAAAATAAAAACCAGTGAAATGATTTATCTGTGTTTAAATATTGTTGTTTGATTTCGATATGATAAGTATTCAATGTAATAAACCAGAGAAAAAAGGTAAAATTGAAATTTGACAAAAAAACTCATTTCTTGTCAAACCATCAACTTACCCTTTACTCAAAATTCCTGGGAATCATTAAAAAAAAAATGTGCAAAAAAAAAAAACAATTAGAATTACACAAATTTTATTCGATAATCTTAAGACAACACAACCAGGATTAGATTGTTAGTCTATTTCGAAATTAAAATTACCTCTGTTTTGTTTCGATAATTAAACACGTTTAGTTGCGATCAATATCAATCGATTGATAAAGAGGTATTGTATTTTCTAATCGAAAGTATATTAAATTGAAAACTCATCGTACTTCAATAAATGTTTATTTTTGCAATTATATTTTTATAATTATTATTAATTTTTTTATTTTGATTCAATTAAAAAAAATAACAAAATAAAATTATTCTTATTTATTATTATTTTTTATTTTGTTTCAATGAATAAAAAAAAAAAATGACACAAACTTTTACAACGTAATAAATAAATTAATAATTCATAATTGATTTTTTTATAAATTAGGAATTCATGTTTTTTTTTAGATAATTAAGATGATTATTTAATAAATATGAACAATAAATATCAAATCATTTTTTTAATATTTCTACTTCATTGTTGTTGTATCTACATAGTAATAAATAAAATAGATAGTACTGTTGGTGTATCGGCAACTCAATTAGATAATAATAATAATAATATAATAATAATAATAATAATAATAATAATAATAATAAAGATAATCTTAATATAGATAAAGATAAACAAGAAGAAGAAGGACAAAAGATGTCAGATAACGAATCAAAGAAATCTATTAATCAAATTATTAGAGAGGGTTACGAAAGTCTACCGAAGGGTGGAAGTGCAACAGATAACATTTTGAAAGCAGAATCGGAAACAACGAATAGCATTAACAACTACAGCCCTAATCCATACGAATATCAAACTATACCAGAGCATCAATGTATACACGACCAACTAATGGAACGTCAAAAAAAGATTTTTGTATTTACAGCAACCAAATATTAGACATATTGATGATAAGCGTTAAAATTATTTCAATACACATTTCGTTTCTTTAAATAAATAAAACTTTTTGTAAATACAAGTAAATTAAATCTACATTTTATATTATTATAATTATTATATGTTAACAATAAAGTTAAAGATTTTGTTGTTGTAGTTGTTTGTTTTTTTTTTTTTTGAAATAAATAAAATCGGGACAATTGTTTATTTTATGTTTTAAATTTAATTACAGTAATTGGTGGTGGTAGTGTAAGGCTGGATAAAATATGTGCAAGGTTTGTTGTTGTTGTTGTTGTTATATATGGGTGTTCTATTATTATGATTCCAAGAATTTCATTCTCAAATGCTCATTGTCTTTGACCAAGAGAATCTCTGGTACTTTTTGAAGACGTTGTAATTGGAAGTCCTTGATGGAACCGTAGAACTTGAGATGTGGGAATGTGACCAACAGATTCTTAATCTTGAATTTGATATTATTTTTTATCAATTTCTTATTGACTAAATCATTGTCCAAATTTCCACTACTATTATTGTTGTTGTTATTGTTAACAAGTAAAGAAGAGGAACCAGCAGAAGAAGTACTTGATTTCTTTGATTTTGCTTTAATATTTAATACTATATATATAGTAAATAATAATAATAAAACAATTGATGTTAATATTAATATCAATCTATAATTATTAACATTATTGATGATACAAACCTTCATATATTTTCTGATAACATTCTTCTATGGGTAATGAACTTGTTTCCAAAAGTATATCGTAAAGTACAGTTAAATCGATTTTCATTGTATCACTTTTGGTGTTTTCGTTCTTCATCATGAGGATATCGTTTAGATCTGGCCATTCACGTCTGCTACGAAATGCCAAGATGGTCTCGTCTTCCTTTCGTGTGAAATCCAAGGGTGGAACCACTGGATTGATACCGGCGCCACACTTGGATGCTTGTCTTCGTCGATACGAGTTGTAGTGTGCGTGACACATGCAGTACTGTTTCTTCTCGCCTAGACCAACGGGGAATGGCAAATCGAAATAATTACAGTGCTCCTGACTGAGGATATGTTGTTTGTTGGTCGAGTCCGATCCCTTTGGTGGCAGATATGTGATCGATTCACAAATGTAACAGGGGAGAGTGAGTCCAACTTTTTTAACGAGTTGAACATTATTATTGTTGTTATTGCTATTAATATTTGAGGAGGATGATGATGTTGTTGTTGTGGTAGTGGTACTTGTAGTTGATAACATGTCAACACGTGGTGAATGATTCATTCTGTGCTGATCAGCAGTTGCATATTGATCAACTGCTTGCTCAGATGAATTTGAAATAATATTGTTATTGTTGTTGTTGTTGTTGATAATCGTTGAATTGTTGTTGTTATTACTTTGTACAAATTGTGAGGGTGGAGAAGATGAGTGTGATGGTCTTGGTGACTCTAGAGAGAGTAGTGAGATGTCATATTGCTTCTTACTGATCTTTCTCTTCATTGTTGAGTTCCAGTGATTCTTGATTGCACAATTTGTTCTTCCAGGTAGGAGTTTGGAAATCTCTGCCCATTTGTTTCCGAATTTGGCGTGTGCTTCCAAGATGATCTTGTCCTCGTTGAGAGTCCATGCATCACGTTTGATTCCTGGGTCCAGTTGGTTGGACCAACGCTCACGACACTGACGACCGTTACGAAGACCGAGCAGCGAGGCAATGTACTTCCATCGTTTGGTTCCATACTTCTCGACGAGTGCTCTCAACATTTCGTCCTCTTCCTTTGTCCAGTGACCCTTTGATTTTCCTTCACGTGGAGTTGTCTGATTGCGTGGCGATGACTCTGTAGAGGTTGGTTGACTATCGTCCTCTTCATCTTCATCTTCATCGTCGTCGTCATCATCGTTGTTGTCTTTCATTTGTCTGGACAATGGTTGAATATCGTCTTCCTCTTCTTCATCTGAAGAATCATCACCATTCTCACTATCGGACACCTCTGAATCACTACTACTATTGTTGTTGTTTGGAGAAACATTCATTTCTTGTTTGATTTGTTGAAGATCAAGATTTGTATTGTTATTGATTTGTTGTTGATCTACCATTGGCATTGGTATGTTCATCCAGTTGGTAGCGGTGTTGGAAGTGGTGGTTGGAATCAGACCAAAGTCAGTTTGGATGTTTTGACAATGCATACAGATCCATTGTTGTGGCTGAAGGTGATTCTGTTGCTCTGGACCAAACACGCAGTAACGATGGAAGTGGACATGACAATGAATGCAACTTAGCAACATCTGTGGATCGACAGAACCCATACAACGGACACAATTCAATCCCGATGGAATAGGCATAGCAATCTGGCTAAACAATGGAATGCTTTCCGAGTCCATTGGATCAAGCGATGAAGTTGAAGTGTTTGGTTGATACATATAACTTTGGTCAATTGGTTGAGGTTGATGTGATTGTTGTTGTTGAGTTGGTTGTTGATATATAACTGGACAAATCTTTGACACATTATTGAAATATTGTAAATGTTGTTGTTGTTGATCTTGATGTTGTTGATGTTGTTGCTGTTGTTGTTGTAAATCATTTACCATTGAAATAGCTTGTGGAATAATTAAAGATTTTGGTGATTGTTGTTGTTGAGGTGAGTTGGCAGCACTCGAAAGATTTCGAGGCGAGTTAAATGTGGAGGTGCTTTGGTATGGACCGAGAGAACTATCTGCAGTTGAACAGCCGAGCTCTAGTGAACCGGATAGTGGCGAACGTGGAGTGGTATTTGGTGTTACATGTTGCTGATTTGGATTGGTAAAGAGTGGAGTCGACGCCGAGCTCAATCCAGCATTCTTGAGGGTCGATGGCGACAGAGGCAATTGGTGTGAGATGAGAGTGGAACTTTTAGATTTTGAGGAACGAGGTGAATAAGGCTTCTTGGGTGTCGTAGAGATTGTGGATTTTGGTGAAATTGGACCAGTGTTGGACTGTTGATTATTTAAATTGTGAAGTGGTAGTGAGAATTTAGGTTTTAGTGGTGCTACTGGTGCTGGTTGTGCTTGTTGTTGTATATTTGAAATTGGTTGAGTTAATGGCTGTGAAATTGATTGGGTTGCTGGTGCAGGTGTGGCATTGCTTATATATTGTGAATTCGAAATTGGACTGGTTGAGGGTGATTTGGCGGTGGGCGACGACATCATGGGCGATTGTTGTTGCTGCTGCATGTTGGGTGGTTGTGAAACTAAAAAGTTGTTATATGGTAGGTATGCATGATGCATGTCCATCATGATCGGTTGTGAAATGGGGTGTTGCGAAGTGATCGGCGTTCCATTGGGCGAGTGTTGTTGTTGTTGTTGCTGCTGTTGCTGTTGTACATTGGCGGTATAAATGGGTTGGCTTTGTGGTTGATAAATATATTGGGGTGTGGGATAGGCATGTACATTGGTCGAAAACTGTGGTGTTGACTGAGATAACTGGTTGGTAGTGACATATTGCTGTGGTGGTGGCTGTGGCATGCCAGTGGAGTTGGACAGACCCGTTGGTTGTTGTTGTTGCTGCTGCTGTTGTTGTTGCTGCAGGGCTTGTTGTGGATTATAATATTGGTGTCCAAACACTGGTACCATCATCGCTGGCTGCATCATACCGTATCCAACATTGGGTGGAGGATTTGTATACATATAATTATATTCATTGAATTCCATTTTATTTTTTGTTTTTTTATATTATTATAAACTTGAGATATATATATATGGATTACTATTATTGATGTTGATTATTATTATTTTTAGAGGTTTAAAAATACAAGGTGTTAGTTTTTGAAAAAATCTTTTTTCTTTTTGGAAAGAATGTTTTATGTTGATTGGAAAATGAATAGTATAATAATGAGAATGATATTGATAGTGATAATATAGATAATGGATGGATGATAGATGACTCGAGAGTAATTACCTTTTGGAATAATAATATAATTAGAAAAGCAATGCTATTTGTTTGATATTTTTGTTGTTTTTGGACCTTGTTGTTGGAGATAACTACTATACTATATTACTACTACTACTACAGAGTTGTTAATGTATTATGAATAATATAATTCTTATACCAGATCTGGGGAGGAAGGTGGTGTTACAGCTGGAAACACTACTCTACACTCTTGGAGGTGTAGGTAGAGGAAGGAACGAAGGAAAGATGCTGATATAAAATGTATACTACTTATTGAAGTTGTGATATTGTGGATGTTATTTCTGGTTGATGTTATTTTTTGTGGACTATGTTGATGTTGATGATGATGAAACTATTTTGAAAATAATAATCTTTAAACATTAATTAACTGGGATAATATAAATTTGGTTAGCTATATATGGAAGATCATTTAAAATACATTGAAGATATTTGATTTGATTTGATTTGACTGGTTTGATTTGATTTGGTTTGGAAATCCAATTATGAAATATATTGTTTTGTTTTGCTTTGCTTTGTTTATATTATTAAAAGAATATATTAATGGATATATAAAATATGATTTAATTAAAATAAAACAAAAGGGTTTTACACTTTTTATTCGGTGGGGGTTTGGTTTGAGGTTTGATCAATCACTTGAGTGAGTAAGCTAGTTAGTTGTTGGTTGGTAGTGTGATGTGATGTGATGCATTTAACATTTAGTAGTTGTGTATTGTCAGGTGAATGTATTCTATTCTATGTAATGCATATATGTATATATATGTACAGTACTTATTTTACTTTTATTTTTTTAGACGTGTGTTGTTTATATAATTTGTGATTGTATGTGATTTTGGTTAATCTGTGTGAGTGTAAGTGTGTGGGTGTGAGTGTGTGTGTCTACTCTGGTAAACATTGGTGTGATATGTGGAGTTGTTTTTTGGTTGCCTTGCAATTTTGATTTCAATGCCAATATTTAATATTACAGTGATTTGATTTGATTTGATTGATTGATGATATTGGTATAACAAATTATTTGTTTTATTAGCAAATCAAAAACAATGCTTAGGTATCTTGATGTAATGATGATGGATGGATGGATGGTTGAGAAAAAAAAAAAAAACAAAAGAAAAAGAATGAAATATCAAATTGAAATGAAAGAATAGATAGATTTTAGATAGATTGTGTTTTGTTTTTGGTTATTGTTAATGTATTGTTATTGTTATTATTGATATTGTCGAGTCCAATCGATATGCTAGGAGTTAGGGTGTAGCAAGGAGTGAATAAAACAAGCAAGTGTGAGAGAAGTGAAATTGTGTGTAAATTTATAATATTTGTTGTTTGCAACAAGATTATAGCTGAGAATGAATGAATGAAAGAGTGAGGTGGTAATAACTACTTTACTACTAACTGGCAAAACCTAATATATTTTTCTCTTTCTTTGGCCAACTTTACTATTGAACTTTTGATGATGTTATGGTTGATTAGTTGAGTCAAATGGATTGGATTTGGTGAAAATGATTTTGAAAATGTATATCTTTTTGATTAAATAGTGTGCACAAGTGATGTTGGCTCTGTGTAAGTGGAATGTGTGTAGTTGTTATTGTTATTATTGTTGTTCAATATAATAACAATATTTCAAATCTGATCCTAATTATGTTGAAAAGGTCAAAAGAAAAAGGTATATTAGAATATATTTAATTAATTTAAAAACAGCAATAAAATGTAATTATAAGTATAGAGTGTGTGGTGTGGTGTGGTGTGTGCACTAGAGTAGACTATATACGGTATATCTACACGGTGTCGCTCTGATTGGTTAGAACTGTAAGTGTGTGTGATGTGTGAGATCAATAAAATATATTTGCTATTTGAGTCTATAGTCTATTCCTATATAAATATTTCATATTTGACAGCCAAGAAATATGAAATTTGTTGAATGTGTGAGTGTATGTAATTAAATATAAAACATAACTACTACTGTACATGAACACATTATGATATAGTATGCTTTTTAACATTCATATATTTATATTTATATATTTACCACCAAATAAATCTATTTTGATTAAATATTTCAAAAAGGTATTGCTACTGTTGGTGATTGTTGTCAAAGTGGTGTCTTTGACCATCAACAACAAGTTAATAATCATCAATAACAATTTTTTATAGATTTACAATTGAATTGTCACACTTTTATCAAATCTAGTGTGTGTATTATTATGAGTGTGTGTGAAATTAAAAACCACTAAATATGTATGATCATCAGTAATTTTATAAGAGTGTTGTGTGAATTGTTATTAAATATAGAATTTAACAATATTGTTATTATTATTATTATTATTTGGTTGTGCGATGATGATGAATAAATAAATGTGTATTATATTCAATTAAATTGATGTGGGTGTGGTTTGGATTGTTTGTTCTCTTCTCTTCTTGTTGTGTGTGTGTGTGTGTGTGTTTTGGTTTTTATTAAACTTTGGAGTGAGCGGGAGTGGTAAACTTAAAAGTAAATTGTGATTTCGTTTGGTTTTTTTTTTTTTTTTAAACAAACAACTAATATATCGCGATATCAAGAAATGGAACCTCTGCTACTTCTTCTTTCTCTAACATTATTGAATTCAATAATTACAATTATTATAGATTTATCTTTACCGTGAGCACTGATTTCTAATATTATATCTATAAATTATCAAAAGCAAACACACCAATAACAATTTGATTTTTCAATCAAAACAATAAAAACTACCACAATCAAAAAAAAAAAAAAAATAGAATGAATCAAAAAAAAAAAAAATTAAAAAAAAAAAAAAAAAAAACAAATTGAAAAATTAACAAGAAAATATGATGATTACAGCGTTGTAGTGGTGTCTCTTTGATAGTGGTACTTTTTGATGAAAAAAATTTGAGAGAGCGGGAGTGTGAGTGGAATCGAAGAATGGGCAGTATGACACTGCACACTGATCATAACTAGTTAAAACTAAACTAATTGGTTGGGTTATAGTTAACAACAAGTAATTTGAAGAATGACAATTAAAACATGGTGGTAATCATTTTACATGAATATTTATTATTATTATTATTTAATTAAATGATTGAACAAATATAAAGTTGTAGTAAATTGACTACGTTTTTGTTTTTTTTTGTTGTGTTTGTTTAGAATTTAAAGACAAAACTTAAAAGAAGAAATATATTTATCCGAGGGTTATTGTTATTTATTATTATTTATTTGTTGTGACGGTTGGGATTGTAATAATGATGTTATTAACGATGATGATGATGAACACATGCATATGTGTGTTGAAATTATTAAAGTAATTGGTAATCACACTGTACACACATAATGAATAAATTTCGCATTTGTCAATTGAATGAATTTCAATTCAACTTTCAAATGACACTTGCAATTAATATGACTTTTAATGAATGAGATTGTTGGGTGAATCACTGTGATTCTATCTATCTATCTATCTACCTATTTTTGATTATCAAATATTCGTTCGTTGTACTTCACCCTTTATTAACTAACCGACAAACCAATCAATTAGCCAATTAGAGTTCATTCATATATGTATGTGATTCTACATTAAATATAAACATTTAGAGTAGAGTTGAGTTGAGTTGAAGTGAAGTGAAATAATTGACAATATACAATTAAAGTTTAACTAACCAATAGTAACTATTGAATATATATGGAAATAACCTATTAATTTGAAATGTAATATTAAAAACAAACAAACAAATAATTGTGGTAGAGTTACAGTGTAAATTAAATATAATGTAGAAAGGTGATATGGTACATTCTACTCTTTTTGGTAGAGTTGTAAAGTGGTAGATGATTATAACAATATTATTACTACTATTATTGTTGTTACTATTAATGTTGATAGATTACTGACTATAATATTTCCAATCCATCACAGCATGCTAATAATATTCTCCTAAATTCCTAGATTGCAGAGACTGTTGTTCTTTCTTCCTATTATAACTTTTTTTGAATCGATTTCCAAGCCACGTTCTCGACTATCTGAATATGATGATATCATCCAGCATATCAATCAATGCACTGTATTATTATTGGTAATATACTACTGCTGAATCTATTCTAATATTATTGTTTGTTACTTCATCTAACCACCAAAATACAAAATATTTATAAAATACTATTACTACTAATCTCCACGCACACAGTAACAAATTTTAAGTGATTGATTGCAATACAATCGACTTTTATGTAAATGAAAAAAGTTTACAAAACAATGCAATGGAACTGATTATGATTAGATTATGTTTTTTTTCTATTTAAATACACATACCTTACCAATCTATAGATTTATATACTAAAAGAGTGCTACTCTATTTCGAACGAAATTATTAATAAAATTATTCAAATAATTTAAAAGATCGTTGTTACTAACAATCAAAAATCAATCACCTACAAAAATTGTTTTTTTGCTGCAAAAAAAAACAAAATCGAATACAACTATTGCTTATTAATTACAAATCAATCAATTGTAATTAGTTGAAATGATTGTAGTATATATATAATATATTTACTATTCGTTTAATTATTGATTAATAGATAATTGGAGCGAATGAAAAAAATGATTGGAATGTTAACTTTTGTTGTACTCGAATCGTTGTGATTGATTTTTGCTTTATAACATTTGTGCTTATTTTTTAGTTTGGTTTTTTCTTTGATTACCTACTAATAAATGGGGATCGAAATCTGTGTGTTGTGTTGATTTGACCTGAAAGTAAAGTCGACAATATAATGCAGTGGAATGATAAATGATGTTGTGATTGAATTGAATTGTAGGAGGATTTTTTTTGTTTGTGTTTACAGGACCTGAATTGACGTTTCGATAAATTTTGATAAATAAATAAATAAATATATGATTGTTAAAGTATGAGGTGTGTTGTTTATTGGTGTTGTTGTGAGACCTCTTTATTTGCAGGTTGTGCGATTGATCAAATAGGACTGTTGAATTTTGGTGATATTACAAATGTAGTGATACAAGAAGCGAGGTGTGAGTATTGTTATTATTGATCGTTGGACGGAGTAGCTGAGAAAGTCAGAGTTCCACTGAGCGTTGTGTTGTTGTTATTGTTTTGGCGACTTTAATCATCCAAAAAACCAATGTTTGCACTTTGATGCGAAATCCTTCCTCTTTCCTTTGCTGGGCAAAACAAACAGTTGTTGTTTTTGCAAAAATAAAAAAAACCAAATTTTTTTTTTTTTTTTGGTGCCTTTTTTCCTTTTATATTATATACCTAATATTTTTCTTGATATTTTTTTTGCTTTTTTGCAAAAGTGCAAACAGATAAACAATGGAAAAGTCGACTTTAATTAAAAATATTAAAAAAAAAAAAATAGGATATCGAATGATGTGGAGGAGACGAGATAGAGTCCTTATAGTGAAAAAGAAAAAAAAAAAATGATTGATTTGAATTTTAAACAAAAAAAAAAAAAAAAAAAACGTATTTGATTGGTTATGTCTTGCAACAAAAGAAGTTTTTTTTTTTTTTGATCAAAAATTTCTTTTTTTTTTTTTGTTTTTGTTTTTCTTTTTTCTTTTTTTATTTTTCTTTATGAGAGTTGATCAGTTCGGCACACTAGTAATTCAATAACCACACATTTGACAAAAATAATCATGTGTGTTTTTTTTTAAATAGACCAATTGTTTTAATTATAATTTGATTGCAAAGATGTCAGTTGAGATTCCTTTGTGATTGGGGAAATCACCCTATTTTTTTGACGATTTGTGATCATTATTAGAACAATTTAAATAAAAAATAATTTAGTAGGTGGTTAAGTCGCTCATTGTATACAGTTATAAAATAATTGCAAGATATTTGATTCAACACACACACACACACACACAACCAACAACATTCATAGCAAAGAGTCAGCATTGACATTTATATATTACTACGTGATTGTGATTGTGTTTGTGTGATTGCGCAGTTTCACAAAAAGTTAATGTTTTTTGACTTTTTTTTTTTAACTTAGTATTCACCAACTTCTAAATATTTCAATGTATGAGGTAAATTCTTATATTTATATATATACAAGTGAATGCCGTGTGTGTATGAATAGATTTGACTAGTTGGGAGAATTAATTAGCTAAATAAATAAATAAGTTTAATTTTTTTTAATGTTTAAAGTTTGTTTTACGATAAAAAAAGATTCATTTGCAATGATGATGATTGTTATATTTATAGTAGTTTCAATTCTCTCTTCTTTTGATCTTGTTTCCACTTTGGTAGTTTATAAAAGGCGGATTGTTCCATATTAAAGACACGAGAAAACTCTTCATCAGTGAGATAGGTTTCCAATTTCGATTGATCCAGTTCAGCTCTGTTACTCTTTATCTCTTCGAAACTTAGTTTTTGTTGTTGTTCTGATCCACCTCCACCACTATTCGCTAGCACACTTGGTGTGGCACCACCACTGTTAGTCAGAGTAGTCGTTGTTGTAGCATCACCAGTGTAGTTTCTCGATGGTACAGGTGGAGGTGGTGTCTTTCTATTACTATTGGTATTGGTACCACTTGTATTTAATGTACGTGTTGATTCATCTATTACATTATTATTATTATTATTATTATCATTATTTGTTGTTGAAGTTATTTCAGTGTTATTATTATTATTATTATTATCGATATGATCATCATTATTATCATTTGATTCACTTGATTGAGATGAAGCAGAGGCAGCAGCTGCTTGTTCCAACTTTTCTTTGTCTTTCTTTCTTCTTGTGAATGCGAGTGTACCTGTTAGTTTCTGTAGACGTGTTTGTGCTCTTGCTCTTCCACCGTCCTCATGGTTGGACTTCTTAACGCCAATATCAATGTCGTCGACAGAGTGTTGTTGTTGCTGCTTCTTCTTCTTGGGTCTGCTTGCTTTGTTTGAAATGGTGGGTGACGACGGTGCCACTGGCGAAGATGACTCGATGCTCGACTCACTAGAGTCACAGTTTCCACCGCTGTTGTTTGATTCGACAGTGACAGACTCTGATACCTGTTCACTGTTATGAGCTAAACCTTCTTCTTTTTGCGTCTTTTTATTGTTACTACTAGGGCTATTACTACTGTTACCGCTACTACTACTACTGTTGCTACCACTACTCTTACCGAGAATTGATGAAATGAATGAGAAACCATGACCACTATTATGATTACTATGATTGTTTCCTGTTATTGATGGTGAAGATGGTGTGGCAGGAGATGGTGATTCTTTGATTGGTGATGTTACAGGGCTAGTCGGAAGTGATACCGATGTTGAGATGGTAATCGTTGGTTGTGGAGTGTTGTTGCTGTTGGCGTTGTTTGTGGATGAAGCGAGATCTTTCTTTGTCTTTCTTCTCTCTGCAAGTTGTTGTTCGGCTGTGACCTCCTTCTCGGGTTGTGCAGGTGCCTGTGTCGACTCTTTAGCAGTGGCATGTCCGGCTTTTGCTTCCTTAACCATGTTATCCTTCTCCTTTGCGTCAACGATCGTCTTTTTCAGATCTTCCACCCATTCCTTATACTCTTCTTCATCCTTGGCGGTGAAAACCAAGACTACTTCATTGGACTTGAGTGTAATCTGCAGTGGCGATGACGACGATGACGACGACGACGACGCTGACAGTGGTGTAGTCGACGAAGTTGTAGTAGTTGCAGCTGCTCCTACTTGATCTTCAACTAATAATGTAATCAAATCGATGGTTCCACGATATTTAACCTTTCTTTCTTTGGTTGTGCTCGACGTCGATTTTAAGCGAGAGGTTGGCTTGCCGTACACCAAGATGTCGTTGAACAAAAAGATGCTGATCTCCTCTTTCTTGGAGACGGCGAAACAGCCTTGCTTAACAAACTTACGAGTTGGCGCAAACAGCAACGGTCCTTTCTCCAGACAGGCCTGGATGTCGGTGAACCGCTTGATGTTCTCACCCTCACGCTTCTTCTCGTTGAGGAACGACGCTATGCCTTTGATACGTTCGGTAGCGTCGCACAGTGACTTGTAGTCGGGATGATCTGCCCAGGTGTGCTTGACAAGATCCATCAACAACAGGTTGTATCGCGGTACACGCTGGATCGGAGTGATGAGGAATGCCGACAGCTCGAATCCCTTGCAATCGGGATGTGCCCGACACTCGTTGAGTGCATGGCTGATCTTGTCCTTCTTGCGGATCTCGTCGAGCATCGCCAGTGCATTGTTATAGTTTTGAATGTAGCCGGTGTACACCTTGAGAAAATCGGCAATCTCCAGGAAAATGTCACCCAATCTCTGACGATGATTCCAACTCTCGATTCTTGGACGCAGCTTCTCAATTAGTTTTTGTCCAAATGCATGAATAATTTGAATATCCGAAAATATCGTCTTAATTTGATCCTTATTTAATAATTCCTTTAAAGGTGTCATATAATTCTAGAAAATAATAAAAGCAATATTGTTAGTTACCAAGTTTTTTCATTCAATTTCCCAATTTCCCAAAATTGGAATTTGTGTTGTTGTTGTTGTTGAAAATGACATACATTAATACAAATACTTAAATTGGTAACATAATCTTTTTCAGTCTTGAAAATTTCTTGTGTAATTTTATCTCTATAAGCACAATCACGCTCTATCAATTCAAATTAAATTAATATAGTTAATTATAAGTTAATTATATATTATTGGATTCGATGTTGATTTGAAATACTTACTAATTTTAGTTAATAATTTTCTACATTTAAAACCTCTCCATAGTGATTGGAATGCTATGAATCCACGTTCACACTTGGCGAAATCAACAGTGTTACCGGCGAGTAGTGCCATCTGTGTTTTTAGAATGGTGGCACCCTTACGTCCACCTTTCATTTGCTTGGTTGGCTCCTTGATGAGTGACAACCAGTATTTCAGCTCTTTGAGCTGTTCGTGAGCCGGAATGACAACCGGTGTTTTCGGATCGATCGGTTTCATCTTGGTGTGGAATCCATACTTTACCACGGCATACTCTGCGAGCGACACCAGACTCTCGATGACCTTGACCTTGTTGCCACCCTCATAGAGATCCGCCAGTTGGAATCGCTTGTGTTTCGGTGTGCCAAACTCTTCGAGTGCCTCCAAAAAAAAACTGATGTTCTCGTGCAGCTTGAATTCGACGTTGGTATTCTCCTGAATCTTTGGCACGGCATCGGGCGAGATTGCATTGGCCAAATAACATAGGACGATACCACTCCTTAGTTTTTCATAGAGGTCACCCTTTAGAGTGACTTTTAGTGACTCTTCAATCCATTGGCGCACATTGGCTTCGGTTCGCAAGAATAGCTTTACTCGATCGTCATTGATAGAGTTCATATTGCTCATATTTGCCACCAAGGTAAAGTTGGACTTGGTTCCTCTTAATGATGGTCGACTCATTTTCTTATTTTATTTTCCAACCAACCAAAAATTTATATTTAAATATACAAAAAAAAAAAAAAAAAAGAAAAAATATATATAACAAAAAACCTTGATGTTTGTTTCCACTAACCTGGTCTAACCTAACCTAACTTTTTAAATAATAAATAATTACTCTAAACTTTTAATCTATATAGATATCTATATATATTTATGGATAATTTTGATTATTAATAATTTTTTTCAATGATTCGATATAATATGATTGGATTATTAGTTATGATTATTATTTAATTGATAATTTAATTTTTTAATTTGGTACTTTTAAATTATTTAGTTGTTATAATTGATTATTGTAAATTTAAATAAGCTTATACAGACAAACAAAAATGTTTTTGTTTAACTTTATTTAAATTTTTGGTTGTGATCACATTTTATGTAAATCACTTGGGATATATCTAAATTGAATAAACAAATTCTTTATATGTGGTTTATTATATTTTATAATAATCACAATTATTTTATAAATGAACAGAACTCACACAAAGTTAAGAAAAGCTGATGGTGGAGATAAGTGAATGTTGTGTTGTTGTGTGTGTTTTAGTTTTTGAATGGTTTGGTTTGATTTTGTTTGTTATTTGGGTTGGTTGTTGTCATATGGATGGGATGGATGGTGGATGGATCGATTCTATGTTAATATATTCTATACGATATGGTGCATATAATATTGTGTAAACATCAATTACATCTGTGGTGGTGTTGGTCGGTGGTGAGTGGAGCAATGACAACAATAAATAAATAAAAACTGGTTTTTTAAATAAAATTAAACTTTGATTTCACGATTCGAGTTGATTTCTCTAAAACTGTCACACTCTCAACACAATAACAATAACAATAGTAATAGTAATAAAAATGGATAATCAATCTCCTACCCTCTTTATACTCTTTCTCTCGTTCTACACTCTCTCCTCTCACTTTCACTCACTCACTCACTACTATAGTAGTGAACAATTTAATTGTTCACTATCATCATTGTTATTATCATAATTATTTGTAATTATTTTTTTGTAGCTACATTACATTTAAAAAAAAACAAAATAAGGACAAAAAAAAATTATAGGACTTGGTATTTTACTTTTCTTATTTTAATTAAGTTATTGTTTACTATTATTACAATTTTATTATTACAAATATTTCTCGACTATTATAGCTTCTATGATTAAATAATTTAGTTTTCACGATGTTATAAATCTGTGATTGTTTTTTAATTTGAAAAAAAATGTGTTTCTTCGAAAGAAATTTTTTTTTTTTTTTTTGAAAAAAGGGCATTTTAAAAAAATTTTTAAAATAATTTTTTACAGATCTTGATTTCCAGATGGGTTTTTTTAATATTTTATTATTAAAATTTAGTAGTCTTTGAGATGGTCACCGATTTAATGTAGTAAATTATATAATATTATTATTATTAGAACCAATATAAAATATATTTTATTAAAAAATAAAGAATAGTGAATGTAACATATTACAACATCACATATTTATGGAATTCATTGTTTAAAGAAAGACTAACAGGTTTTCTTCTGTTTTCTTCGATATTTGATATCGATATCTTCCATTTCTATACAATGTTTAGATACCAATTTGAGTAAAGTTTATATCTTATATATTTGTTATTATTATTATTATATTGATATCTGTACAAAAAGACTCTAGTCTTTGTTTATATATGATGTAATCGATCAATCAATCAGAATTATCAAAAATAAACACAACTTCTGTGATTTATTTTCATCACAGTTCATTTTCTTTCTTTTAATGATCTCTCCTCTCTCTATCTCTATATATATATTGATTGATTGATTTAGAATATATTATATTATATACATTTATTATTTTCTTATATTATTATTATTAGTTATTTAATTATTATTATTGTTGTTGTTCAGATGATTGTTCAGTTGTTTCTGTTGATTCTTCTTCGTTGTTAATTGGTTTTTCAGTTTTTTTTGGGATGGTATATGGGAATGTAGTCCAATTCTTTTCCAACAAATCGATGACACGACGTTCTTTCATTTCAGTTACACCGTTCCATGTTAAAACACCATAGGCATTACCTCTAAGTGATGTTGTTCTACCTCCCTACAAAAATAACAATTGAATAATTGTGATAAATGATAATTGATATGATCATATCAAAAAGCAAAAAAGAGTGTAAGTAAGTAAAACTAGACATTCATTATAACATAACCTATTATGTTTTCCGAACACCAAGTGACAACGTACAGAGTTCTCTGAGAATTTAACTTTTGTAACAGTCCAATAGCTGCTTCTAGATGGCCAAACTTTCTTTGTCAAACGATGTCCAACACCTCTCTCTGGTAAACCGAAACAGACATCCAAAAAGTTTTCACCTTTCTTTGTTTGTTTGTTGATCGAAGAGAATACTTTAGCTAATGCTTCTGATGCTGGTTTTGACATTGTTTATATATTAATATTAAATATAAAGTGTATTGATAAAAATCGTACTCGGTCGTTAATAAAATGCATTTTTTGATCAAAATCATTGTTGAATGATCAAAAAAAAAAAAAAAGTAAAAATTTTGAACTTCCTTTCTTTTTGAAACTATTTTCATGATACAACTATACAAACTAGTTATCTGTTTCAATTCTTCATATGTATTAGTCATATTATTTTAGATCTTTTTATTATATTTGCACACTTTTCATTATTGAGAGTATTTTTTTCCCAAATCTCAAATAGGCAAATATACAATCTTTCATTTATGTAATGAATATGTACAATTCAAAGATTTAAACTTTGGATAACATCACATTTTTGTTGTAATAATAGAATAAAACTCTTAAAAAGTTAATGATTTCTTGGAAAAAAATCAACTGACAACAATCATTAATGATTTGTTGGACAGAATGTGGGTTTTAAAAATAATTTTACGAATTTATGATTACAGATCTGTAAATTAAATTACCATTGGTGTTTATTATTATAGTAAACAATGTTAAACTTTGCAAACAGATTATTTAAAAATCAAACCAATAAAAACACATGTACATTATTCCAACATCTTCAATATCAACAACAATATATCAACAGTGGTATAAGATGCACAACACTCAATAATAATACATTATGTTCAACAACACAACACTACTCATCAATTAGTAATAATATGAGTAGTAGTAGTAGTAGTAGTAGTAGTAACAACAGTAACAACAATAATAGTAATACTTTAGCATCTAATCATGAGAGTAATAATAATAATAATATTAAAAGTTATAAACCTTTAATTAAAAATAATAGTGGTAAACCATTATTCCTACAAAATAGTAATAATAATAATAGTAGTAGTAATAATAATAATAATAATAATAATGTAAATAGTTTGAATAGTAACGGTGGTAATGGAGTCCATTTGGATCAAACAAAACCACCAAAAACCATAAAGATAAAGATCAAATCAAAGGATCCATTCATTGAGTTACCTGGGGGTGGAAGGATCTATTTCGACAAAAAGCCAACAAAGAAGAAACAATCAACAAAAGATAATTCAGAATCCTTGACTACATCAACATCTACACCAACACCAACGTCAGCATCACCAATAGAAACTTCATCCAATTCAATTACAGATACAACTTTAACAACTACAACAACAACAACAACAACAGCAACAAATATCAATACACCAAGTATAAATACAATAACAACAGCACCAAATATATCTAGTAATGTTATAGAGGAAGTAGAAGAGAAGCAGAAGAGTCAATATAAAGAAAATGTAGATGTTGTTATTAAAGTGAAAGAAGAAGAAGAAGAAGAAGATGATGATGATGATGAAATGGTGTCAAAGAAACATACATTGATTATAGATGGTACACCTCTCTTATATAAAGCATTCAATGGATCACCATTGTTATCTGTCGATGGTCAACCCATCAATGCAATTCATGGTTACACTCAATCGATTTTACGATTCCTCAAGGATTTCAAACCAGACTATGTTGCACTGTGTTTCGATCCACGTGGTGGTTCTTTTCGTCGCGAGTTGTATCCGGCCTACAAATCACATAGACCACCGATGCCCGATGATCTTCAATCGCAATTCGCACTGATCGATCACCTCTCCGATGCCATCGGTATACCGGTGTTGAAGATCGATCGCTACGAAAGCGATGACCTGATAGCCACCTACACACGCATTGCCAACGAAGCAGGTCATCGTATTACCATCGTGAGTGACGACAAAGATCTGCTGCAGCTCGTTACCAACGAGAACATCTCGGTGTATCGTCCCAAGTCGAATGAAATCATAGGAGAGTCCGATGTCTCTGAGAGAATCGGTGTAGATAGCGAGTTTGTAACTACCTTTCAATCTTTAGTTGGTGATACTTCAGATAACAGTAATTATAGAAACAGCATAGCATAAACAATGATGATTTTAACATTATTATTACTATCACTATTTAGTTCCAGGAGTACCAGGTTTAGGACCTAAAACAGCAATTTCTATTATCAATAGTTTTGGACATCTCAAAGATATCTTGGAGAATGTTGAAAACTTACCAACTAAATTACAAGAAAAGTAATTGATTAATAGCAACAACTGTTAACAAAGTTAAAGATAAAATCACTAACACGCTATACTCCAATTTTAAAATGTTAGGATTCAAAATTTGAAAGATCAAATTCATTTATCATATCAACTAGTTACTTTGAATAAGAATGTAAATGTACCACCATTAGATAGTTTAAAGTTTAATCCAATCAACAAAACAAAAGTAAGATGAATCAAAATTATTAATAAGAGAAATAGATACATTTTATTAATTGTTTTGTTGTTAAAAAGTTGATTGAATATTTAGATAGATTTAAATTTCAAAGAATTAAAGATTCACTTTACAAGTTGGATCTACCGTTTGAAGGTGAAGAGATAAATGCTGGTGGTGTACAAGCTTTGAAATCTACAAAGTCGAGAGCAAAATCGAAATCTAAAGTAGTACAGAGTGTCGTAAATGAAGATCAAGTAGATGGTGACGATATTGTTAGTGCTGCGGATTTGGTGAATTTCAATGACGGTGATGAAACTACTACTGATATTTCAGTGGATAGCGAATCAAAACCAAAGAGAAAGAAGAGAAAGTCAAAGATGGAGGTTATCGATGGTGTCGAAGAAGATGCCGCTCTGACTGAGCCACTCGATGAAATCTATGTACCGGTGACGGAGGAGGAGATCTCTAGAATAAGAATGCCAAATGTTACGGTTGTCAATGATGTTGAGAAAGCCAAGGCAATAGTTAATCAACTGCTATCGCTAACCTATCTCTATCATGCGTGTGATACAGAGGTGGTTGACTTGGATCTAAAGAAGCAGTCACCAATTGGACATGGTAGAATCATTTGTTTCAGTGTCTACTGTGGACCGGACATTGATTTCGGCACTGGAAGTAGACTCTGGGTCGACACTATGGGTGAACAAGGCAATGAGATTCTCGAGGTGTTCCGTCCTTACTTTGAGAGTGAATCGATCTACAAGGTTTGGCACAACTATGGATTCGATAGACATATTTTCTACAATCACAACATCGATGTCAAAGGATTCGGCGGTGATACTCTTCATATGGCTAGACTGTGGGATGCCGCGCGTAATGGCAGAGGTGGATACTCGTTGGAGGGACTCTCAAAGGAGTTGCTAGACAACCATAAAACCAGTATTAAAGATCTGTTCGGTAAGAATAAGATCAAGGCAGACGGATTGCCTGGAAAGGATATTATCGTTCCGCCATTGGAGGTGATACAAAGACATCCGAAACATCTGGAGACATGGATCGAGTATTCATCGCTCGATGCCGAACTCACCTGGAATCTTCGTGAGAATCTACAAGCCAAACTACAAAACATGGTTTGGATGAATGACACCAACATGTGGGACTTTTACCACAACTTGTGGAGACCGTTCGGACATTTGCTGACAGACATGGAGCGTCGTGGTATGAAGGTGGACATCGAGCATCTCAAAACAGTTGAGGGTGTTGCAACCAAAGATATTCAAGACAACATGGATGCATTCCAACAATGGGCTGTTAAATACTGTCCCAATGCCAAGTATATGAATCCTTCGTCTGATGCACAGATTCAACAACTCCTTTTTGCACCGACCAAAAATGTAAAGACCAAAGAGGAAATGCCGTTGGAGCGAGAGTTTGAGACAGAGAACACCGAGGGATTTATTGAAGAGGGTAAAAAGAAACCAAAGAAGATGCGTCCGTTCTTGCTTTCCGGGTTGGGTCTACCGTTTGGATCACATACCGCCAGTGGTTGGCCAGCAGTCGACTCGGCATCACTCCGTGATCTAGCAGGAAATCCTTCCAAAGGCAAATATGGAAAGATCTTCAATCATTTCAAAGATAAATCAGAGGATAAGGAGAAAGGTGAACAGGAAGGTATCGAAGCTTCCAAGGCCATCACATCACTGTTGGAAATCGGTAGTGTTGGAACACTTCTCAGTTCATTCATTATCCCACTCCAGAAACTTTGTGACTCCAATCATCGTGTACATACTTCGGTCAATGTGAATACCGAGACTGGTAGACTCTCTTCAAAGCGTCCAAACCTTCAGAATCAACCAGCACTTGAAAAAGATCGTTATAAAATCAGAAAAGCTTTTACATGTGAACCTGGAAATACTTTGGTTGTGGCAGATTACGGTCAGTTGGAGCTACGACTGCTGGCGCATATAACCAACTGTCGCTCGATGATCAATGCATTCAAGATTGGTGGTGATTTCCACTCGCGTACTGCAATGGGAATGTATCCTCATGTTAAAGAAGCGGTGGACAGAGGTGATGTGCTGCTAGAGTGGGACGGTGACGGTGAGCCACCAAAGCCACTGCTAAAAGATTCGTTCGGTGCTGAACGTAGAAAAGCAAAGACTCTCAATTTCTCAATTGCCTATGGCAAGACCGCTCATGGTTTATCAAAAGACTGGGGTGTGACTCTCAAAGAAGCACAGGAGACATTGGATCGTTGGTATTCCGATCGTCCCGAAGTATTGTTGTGGCAACGAAAGACCATTCAGATTGCCAACACTCACAAATGGACGAGAACACTCATGGGAAGATATCGTATGTTACCAGACATTGACAATCCGGCCAAAGGAATGAAAGGACATTCTGAACGTGCCTCTATTAATACCCCGCTACAGGGTGGAGCAGCCGATATCGTAATGAAGGCAATGTTGATGATCGAAGAGGACAAACGATTGAAAGAGCTAGGTTTCCAATTGATCATGCAGATTCACGATGAGCTTATCCTGGAAGGACCAGAGCAACATGCAAAAGAAGCACGTGAAATCGTAATGAGACTCATGTCGAATCCACTCAACACACCGCTACTAGTTGAATTGGTTGTCGATTGTCGATTTGCAAAGACATGGTATGAAGCTAAATAAAAAGATATTTCAAAAAAAAAAAAAAAATTAAAAAATTAAAAAAAAAAAATGTTCGATAGTTGATGTTTGTAGTGGATTGTTAACAAGGAATTGATGAATGACTCTTAAAGTTGTAAGTGAAGTTGGAAGTACATTATCAGCTAGAGTCTGATCATGGTTTGATAATTTATCAAATGTCGGTCACTGATTCTGGTATGGAATGAGAAGTGGTAATGTATATTCCTAAGAATTAGTGTTTCACTGTGTTTGGAATCAAACCAAAAGGGATTTCATGATTCTAAACTTCTTAATAATTTTTATTTTTATTTTTCTTAAATTTAATTTTTATTTTAATGCATAGGCAATTTCTGAACTCTAAAACTAGTGGTAATAGACTCCACAAAAAAATAAATTAATTTGAGAATAAAAAAAAAAAAAAAAAAAAAATTATTTTTTATTGTCAATTTACAAAACTTAAATATTCAAAGCATTGGTATTTTAAAAAATACTTTACTGCAGCTCAATTTAATTCATCTACTTTTATTTATCAGTTTAAAATGACAACTACTTTAACAAATAACAACGATAATCATATCTTTGTTAATTTTTCCCATTTTTTGTTAAAAAAAATTGTTAGAAATTTAAAGATAGTTGATAGTATTAGATTCACACTTGTATCTAAAAAATGGTTCCAGGAGAGAGATAAATATCTTTTGTTTGAAGATGAAGTTCAACCTGAAGATTTAATATATCTATTATCTTTCAAAAAGATCCGTTTTGATATAGATTTTCCACAAACAAGATTGTTTATTGTTGATGAAATTAATGATACTCATTATGAGGACAATTACAGTCAATACGAGACACCAGGTATGTTTAAACCATATTTAATTTTCTGACCAAACATTAATATCATATCAATTTTTTTATAGATGATGAGTTGACTATTAAAAGAATGGAGGGTATAAGAGAAGTCTTCTTTGAAGTAGATAATCTAAATATTGCAAAATATAAAGAAATCTTGGAGAAATCAAATGTCCAAATAGTATCGGCAAGAAGAATTGAACAGTTGACACCTGGTAGCTTACCATCAAAATTGAAAAATCTGGATATTGATGACTATCCTTTCAGGTTAGAGAGTAATCATCTTCCATCATCATTGGAAAATCTTAGTCTTTTGTCAAACAATCATAATCCATTTCAAATTAGCTCATTACCTCCAAATCTGAAATCATTAACTTTTTTTAGAGTTTTCGGTGAAATTGCATTTGAAGACATTAGAAATGTTAATATTCTTCCAAAGACTTTGACCAAAATCAAAAATTGCCCATATCAATGGATAAAGTTTTTAAAAAACCTTCCATTTTTAACAACACTCCAAATCACAGAAAATATACCAAATGGATACTTGGAACCTGGTGATTTCCCAGAGAGTTTGACAAACCTAAGTTTACAAAGTCCAATCGAACTCATTGAATCTTTAATTCCTCAATCCATTCAACATCTAAATCTACCAAATTGTATTTTGGATCTTTCTTCAAATGAATTGCCAAGAAGTTCACACTTTCAAAGTCTCTGTGTTAAAGACATCAATTCTCCTATTCTACCAAACCAATTACCACCCTATATCAAAGAACTCAATTTGATAAAATACAATCAAGAGCTTGTACCTGGAAGTTTGCCAAACGGAATTGAAACTTTAAAACTCCCAACTTTGGATGCAGGTTTCCTTTATGAAGGAGTAATACCATCTTCAACAAAAAATCTTCATTTGTTCGAGGCTCACTCAGAAAACCCATTTAAAGCTTCTTCAATTCCAAATGCAGTCGAAACCCTTGAACTTGGAAGTCTTGATTCGGATATTGATTTTGGGATGATCCCAAATTCAGTTTGCTCAATAACATGTAATATTGGATTGATCAAGAAATATGGTATCAATTCAATCAAATCAACAGTTAACCATATCAAAATTATTGGAGAATTGAATTATGAATTTGATCGAATCGATCAAAACTGGTTTTTTGCCTATTACTGTGGTTATTCTTTTATCCAAGAAAAATCTATCCTGAATCTTTTGGAGAAAGATAAACCATTAGTAAATTTACAAACTTGTCAGACACAATAAACATTCTATGAACCAATCAACAAATAAATAAATATTAATTTCATTTTTCAACAAATATTTAATTAAACCCTTTTTTTTTTTTTTTTTTATAAGTGAACCTGTAATTAAACTAGCCAGTATCCTCTGTTTCCAAGTGATTGTCTTTTTTTTTTGATCAAAAAATTCTTATTTATTATTTATGTCAGTTGCATTTTAACAACATCCAGATTTCTGTGCTGGTGGAGCTGCTCCAATCTCCACCTTATTTGAAGGTTGTCCTAATTTAATTCCAAATGTCTATAATGAAAAAGAGTTTATTAATTACACAAGCTGTTGATGAAATTGTAGTTTGCTTACCTCATCTTTAATATCAAAATCACCCTTCTGAATCTTTTCATAGATCTTCTTTGCAGTATTTATAAAAGCCTCCTCTACGTTGGCAGCAGTTTTAGCAGATGTCTCAAGGAAAATCAAACCATTTTCCTCTGCGAATTTTGCACCTTCTTCGTATGATACCGCTCTCTTTTGTTCTAAATCTGATTTGTTTCCAATTAAAATGATAGTCATATTGCTATTGGCGAATGCTCTTGCATCCTCTATACATAATTTAAATTGCGAAGGTTGGAAATATGATTAGTTTTTTTGCCGATCTTTTTGAGATTCTATTTTACAAAAAAAAAAAATAGAAAACAAAACTTGATAAAATTTTTAATAAAAAAAAAAATATCCATTCCATCTTGCAAACATCAACGTCATCAGCCCAAAACCGCATTTGACATTGGGCAGAAATCCATGTTAGGTGAAGATTGGAATGTGGGACACAATTATCATGATTTTGTGGAGGAGCGAGTTGTAGTGTATTGTTTTGTTTTCTTTTATACTTACTAAGCCAACAAGTCAAATGATTAAAAGTTTCACGTCTATATTTTGAGAAAAATAAAATAAAATGATTAGAGAATGCACTTCTCTCTTTTTTTTTTTTTTTTAAAAAAAAAAAATAATTAAATACAAACCTTGTGATATCGTATACTAAAAGTGCACCTGCTGAACCTCTATAATATGATCTTGTAATTGATCTAAATGATTCTTGACCAGCCTACGTATTTAAATGATAGTGATAATATTGATTAATAAACTTCCTTCTTTTTTTTTTTTTTTTTTTTTTGATTGATTGATTTGTTTGTAATAATACATACGGTATCCCAAATCTGTAATTTAATTGGCTTGTTATCGATGCTAATCATTCTAGCACCAAACTCTACACCAATAGTTAAATCATGAACAGGTTGAAATCTTTTATCAGTGAATTGAAGTAAAAGACATGATTTACCAACACCTATTTATAATAATAACAAATAGTATCATTATTAATACCATAATAACCTGTTTTGCTAATCTATATTGTATCTTTTCTGTTTTTTTCTCCGATAGACTTACCTGTATCTCCAATAATGATATATTTAAATAAGAATGCGTACATCTTTATAGTAGTTGTAGTTGTTGCTGTTGTTGCTACTGTTGCTGTTTATATGTGTATAATGACTGAGAACTTTGTTGTGTGTATAATACAAGTAGTTTGATTGTTTACTAACTTAACTTAACTAAACTAAACTAAACTAAACTATTTATTTATTAACAAACTATTTAGAAATGTATGTTTTTTAAAAATAAAAGAATAAAATAAAATAAAAACAAAATAATAAAGAGATAATATGTATTGTTTATTTGGATTAAAATAATAATAAACACAACACCACACTATTTAATTTAAAGAATTTTTTTTTTTTGAATTCTTGTGTGTTTGAGTTGAGTTTTTAAAAACTATTTTATAAATTTTAAATTAATAAATGATTTTTTTTCTTATTATTAAGTCCTCAGTTGAGGTTTTTTTCATGAAAATTTTTCAACTTTGAATTCCTTTTTTGCTCATGAAAAATTGAACTTGAATTAATCATCCCGTCAGTCAACCACCAACCGATAGTTACAACCAATAAAATCAATAGTATAGTAACAACATAACATACATATCTAGATAAGCACAACCAATATAATGTTGAAATCAATCACATCAGGTTTATTACAATCGAATTTGAGATACTACTCATCGTCATCTGTATGTAAATATCTTATCATCACTATTTGTTAAAAAATGAAAATGAAAAATGAAACATTGTTAAGCTGACTTTTTAGTAAAATATAAATATATATATATATGTATATTTAAATGATTGATTATTGTTTTGTTTTGTTTTTGTTTTTGTTTTTGTTTTGTTCATTGTGTTGTTTGTTGTTTTCAGATTAAGAATGTAGGTGTGATTGGTGCAGGTCAAATGGGATCGGGTATTGCTCAGGTGCTATCACAAGTTGCCAAGCGTAATGTAGTGGTTATCGATAAGAGTCCAGAGATGTTGGTCAAGTCTGAGAAGTTCATCGGTGGTCTGCTGCAAAAGGCCGTCGAGAAAGGAAAGTTGAGCGAAGCCGACAAGGTTGCCACACAACAGCGTATCACATATGCATCGGACTTGCATGCTTTGGCCGACACTGACTTTGTCATTGAGGCAATCGTCGAGAACACTCAGATCAAGTGTGACCTCTTTGCCAGTATCACCAAGATCGTCAAGCCACACACCATCCTGTCGTCGAACACCTCGTCGATCTCGATCACCAAGATCGCATCGGCCACCAACTGTCCGGAGAAAGTGATCGGTATGCACTTTATGAACCCGGTCCCAGTGATGCAGCTGGTCGAGGTGATCTCTGGTCTCCAGACATCGGAGGATACACTCAACAAGACATTGGAGCTCGCCAAGGACATGGGTAAGGTCACCACCAACGCCAAAGACATTCCGGGTTTCATTGCCAACCGTCTCTTGATGCCATACATCAATGAAGCCATCCAGGCACTCTACGAAGGCATCGGAACCATCGAAGACATCGACACCACCATGAAGTTGGGTTGTAACATGCCAATGGGTCCATTGACTCTTGGTGACTTTATCGGACTTGATACTTGTCTTTCAATCATGAGGTAAATTATTATTATCAATCATTATCAATCATAGACACAATAACATATATACTAATATCAAATACCGGTAAAGAGTATTACATACTGAACTTGGAGATAGCAAATACAGACCATCTCCATTATTGGTTAAATATGTTGAAGCAGGTAGACTCGGTAAGAAGTCAGGACGTGGATTCTACGATTACTCCAAAAAAGTAAAGAGAAAATAACAAAACACAAGTTTCATACCTATTACCAAAACATTTAAGAACTATTTTAGTAAATCACATAATATCATAACAATGAATGATACTTTTTGAAATAAAATTTCGATTATCTTATTTATATATAAATAGAAATAGGTTGGTTGGTTGATTGTTTATTATGTGTTTTTTTTTTTCTTAACTTGATAATAAGAAGGAATTTTTCATTGGTGAATCGGTTTCACTTGTGGATGAGGACGATGAAGAAGAGGATGAGTTATCCCATTGGGTTGCAAACATAGCTACTGAAATAACTGGATCGATGTTGGTGATGGCAAATGTATTGGTATTGCTATTGTAACTTGGATAGTAGTTGGAGAGTGTGTTGTCAGAGGATACCATTGGGTTGACGTGGTATCCATTGGAGAATGGTGCGCTGAGTGTCAGTTCAGTGAATGGGGTGCTACTATTGAAGATCAAAGCTGAGCAACCATCCTCTGAATTATCTAGACATACAACAACCATACAGATCTGTGAATTCCAAAATCCATTTGAATTTCCATTGAAGCTTACAACAGAGAAGTATTGATCGCCGACAATCTCTCCTGTGGAGTAGGTTAGAGAACAAACGAATCCATTGTTCACTGCTTGTAGAGAGATTTGCTCTTGGTTGGAAGATGGCTTGAAAATGGTGAATGTCGAGTTGAAGCTGTTGGGTGGCACACCTTGGTAGTTGATTTTGTGCTTGACGATCTTTTGTGGCTCTTGGTGTCCGAGCAGTGGTTTGGAGTAGAACGGTTGTTGTTGTTGTTGTTGTAGTTGCTGCTGTTTGGCGAGTAGTGACTCTACGAGTGCAGAGTCGGACGGATCCTTTGGAAGCGTGGCAATCAACATCTGCGATTTCGATTCGTAGGTAGGATTGACGTAGGTTGCCTGCGGTGTTCCGCTGGTGTAGATACCGGATCCACTGATCATTGCCATCGTTCCAATGTTGGCCGCCAACACATTGGCATTCGCTTCGTATGAGAGTGCCTGCTGGATCTGTGTGGCATACGCATAGTTTGCATTGACCCACTCGGTCGAGTAGACAAAGTTGTTGATACCGAGCGCGACAAGGGTGGTGCGTGGCTCTTCAAACATGATGTCAAAGCAGATCATCATACCAAAGGTGACATTGAAATCGGTGGTAAAGTACTCAATGTCCGGAGTGATCGGTTGATCAAACACCGGTTGCTCACCGTAGAGATGTGATTTGTGGTATCGTCCAATGATGGCGCCTTCACTTCCGAAAGCGACTTGCGTGTTGTACTGATAGCGATTGTCAGTCGGACAGTTTGGATCCGTATTATTACACGGTTGAACATCACCCATGTTGACAACCACCACCGTATTATATTTAATTGCAGCACAGCTTAGTGTTTGCAAAACAACACGGTCGTCAAATTGTGTGTTACCACACGGTATAATCTAAAAAAGTATAAGAATGAGTCAGTAACTGTTACTCAATTTGTAATGTACAAACACGATTATAAATAAAATATAAATAAATACATACCGGTGAATTAGATGATTTAGGTGATGGTATTTCCTCTAAGAAACTTAGTGCACGATCACGATTCATTAGATTGTTACCGGTTATACCATACTCTGGGAATACAATGATTTGTGTTTTCTCTTTGACTGCTTGGTCAATGAATAGCTAATAATACGATATTGATTAGTACTTAGGAAAAAAAATAGCCACTGAGTATAAATGAGATTGATAGTTACAATATATTGCTGAACATTCATTAACATATATTGAGATGCCAACTCCTTCGATACGTTGAGCGGGAAGGTAAAAGCTATTGGTGAGTACTCTACGATTGCACCAGTATACGTAGATTGAGCATCTACATCTCTGTTGTAGTTGAATGCAACCAATGTCACCAATATCGATGATATCAAAAATGATGATTTTATACTAATCATATCTGAGATATTGATTTAATATATATATATATATAATTCTATTGATAATGGTCTAATATATTATATTACTATTTATCTATTTAAGTTCAATGTTAATCAATATAACATTGTTAAGTAATTACACACTTGCAATAGTTCATTTAATATTAACTCTGATGCATCAGTTCCAAACACTTTGCAAGTTTTTTTTTTTTTGTGGTTACGAAAGTTTTTATTTATCTGCAAAGAAAAGGCTCCAAACTTTAACTAAAATTTAATTAAAACTTCGGGAATTTGGTGATCAGTTGCTTTAAAAAAAATAATATTTTTTTGTTTACAATTATTTATTAGAGATTATTTTATTTTATTATCTAAAATATATAACAAGAGTGTCGACCCTTGGAGTCTGTAGATTGTCTCTTACTCTAGAAAACTTCATACTCTCATGACTCAGAAACTCACATATTCTAAAGACTTGTGAGAACTCAGCCAATATAAATCGTAAATTAATTACTCCCATCTCGACTTGTGAATCCAAAACGTTGTGTTTGGAGGCTGCCCTAAGGTGATCTTAGGACTCGATAAGTAAGAAACCGTTTAGTTAGCGTTCCATGACATAAACGAGCTCTGATTGGGTGACACACCGGTAGATGTATTTACATTGTTGTTTATGCATGCTTCGATACCATCTTACAATTAAATTTCTCTCAAATTTTATTGGTTCAACGATCGATATCTTACATTTGTCAATCTCATCTTATTTACAATAAGAGAGATAAAATAGATTTTAATTTAAAACATATATATTTAATTTTTATTTTTATTTTTTAAAAATTATTATCGTTTAATAATCGTTGATTACTCTCATTAAGACTTCCATATTTGGACGTCCCAAACCAGAGACTTGATCGAAACCTGGAACAGCACTCCATCCGTATGTGCAACAGGTTGGCAAGCTGTCGGTGACACCACATCTGTTATTTCCTACGATGACATCGTAGAAAGCATCTGGGTGGTCTTGAGCAATTTGATAGAGCAATGGATTGAAGAATCCCAATGGTGGATTACCAGCATTCAAACGAATGTCATTCAAAATGGTGACCAAACCACCGAAAATTGGTGCAGAGGCAGAAGTACCATCTACACCAAGGAATTCACCACCATTGATAATCCAAAGATTGTGTCCAACTGTTGCAACATCTGGGTATGACTATATTTTAAATTTGTATTTGATTAATAATAAACTCCACCATGTTTTGGTTTAAATAGATATGATATTGACTTACACGTCCAGTTGCATTGTAGAGATTGGATGGTGGGGTTAATTTCAATGCGTTCAATTGGTTGAAATACTGTTCAACTGCTGCTTGTTGGTAGTATGGCGATTGCGAAGTGTTGGAAATACCACCTCCAGTTGTCCACATCATACCGTGATCGACAGAGACAGAGATCTCACCCAATGGATTGTAGAGACAGTCGACTCCACCTTGCGATGGTGGAATGTAGCAGATTGGCTCGGCAAGTGGTGTGAAATAGGTGGAGCTGACAGCAGTGACGTATGGCGATTGCGATGGCCAGTCGGCAAAGAGTTTGGCGCATGAACCGGATCCCATTGGAGGTGGTCCAAGATCTGAGGCACCAGAGTCACCAGAGGCGATGATAACGGTGATACCACGCGATGCCAACTTGACAAACTCGATGTCGGAACGAGCCAAGTAACCTTGTCCGAGATAGGTGTCAACGTTGATTTCTGTCATACCGTAGGACAGCGAATTGACGAGTGGAGCATCATCTGTGTTACCAATTGCGACTTCCCATTGGAGGATGTCGTCAATCTCAACTGAGGAGTTGGCGTAGATCGACCAGAAGGTGGTTGGTGAACCGGTGGAGATGGCCATCATGTATTGGATGTCGAGACTTGCTTCGATACCTGGATTAGTTTCATCGTTGTATCCAATCACTTGGACTGGTGTGGTTGGTTGTGGCAATCCCATCTGTTGGAAAAAGGTGACCAAATCCGATGGTGAGTAGTATTGTTGTTCAAACTCGACAACGCATTGAGTTGCCTTTGGATTGGTGACAATGTAGTTTTGTGGAATACCATATTGTGACTTGATCGATTGTGGTACGACAACTGGTGTCGAAACAAAGTTGAATGGCCATTGAATGGTATCGGCACCTTGAGTGAGAGTGATTTGAGTCTGAACGTATGGGAAAGTTGGGACATAGATAGTACAGGTAGTTTGTCCACCTGCAACAGTACAATTTGGAGTGACTCCTTCAAGATCTACTGAAGGTTGGAAAGCATCTAAAGTTTGAACGGTTACATCAACTGGATAGTATTTACCATTGCAACTCTAATGATAATAATAATAGCAATAAAAAAAACTAGTTAGTTAAATAGTAGTTCTACTAGATGAGAATGAAACTAACTAACTAACTACTTACTGGAGCACAATTTGGTTGGAATACCATCTTGAAATTGTCACCCAAACCCTTCATGGAAAGAATAGACAATCCAGAGGATGATGAAGATGAAGATGATGAAGCATCCAAAGTCAAAGTATTATCAATTAATTTGGTATTTGCTGATCTACGTTGTGCTATTATAATTATTAATATTATTATTATTTGATTGAAGAATATTAATTTAAAGTTTTTAAAAACATGAAGTAGAAAAATGGTAAAAAAACACTTACAAATTGGGAAGTGTGAAATTCCAGTGATTAAATCGATGTGTTGAGCTACAGAGTGGTCTAAAACTGCGTCGGTAGCAGAACGGATGACAACTCTCGATGAGTCGCCGGCATATTGGAACTTTTGCATTTGTACTGAGAGCATCTTCTCTACGTTCTTTCTTGGCATGACGACGTGAACCGAATCCAAGTTACGGTTGTATTGGATGGACTTGGCGTTGTTCTCACGCAACCAAGCATCGATGGTCTTGATGGCTTCGTCGGTTGGTCTAATGACCTCGGTGATCTCGTCGATAGTCAAATACTGTCCGTATTGTTGAGACTTTGGGTCGGTGACAGCACGAACGATATCCTTAAGACTGTCTACATTCTGTTGCTTAATGAAGATTCTGAATGGAATTGGGTGCATTGGGCAAAGCTTTTGCTCGGCAGCCAATTGCCATCTTAGATGTTCAAAGTGTCTAGCACCACAAAGTGCTACCACCAACAATAAAAATAAACAAACAAATATGGATTTATTTGATTGCATATTTGTGTTTAATTAATAATGAATTGAAAAAAAAAAACTATTGCCTTCATCATCACTTATCGAAAAACAGCAGATTCCCAAAAAAGTTTTTTTGTTTTTTTTTTTTTGTTTTTTTTAGATTAAATTTGAATCCTTTGACGGAATGAGATTCCACAGAACTTTCTAAAGAATGATCTAATTACAATTTTTAAAGATTGTTTATAGAACTGGTAACTCTGATAATATTAACTGAATCTTAATAAATATCTTTCATCAAAAAAAAAACTTTTAAAATAGATTTTTTAAATTTAAGAAAGAGGTGATTTTCAAAAAGGAATCTCATTAAATTTAAATTCCAGTTTATTTATCAAAATCTATAAATGATTGGCCAATGTATTTAATAAGTAACACTGTTTATCAATAGGTTTTGGTAATAGACGCATACAATCCAAAGTGATCGGAAGGATATACCAATTCAGACTTGTCTATTTTCTCTGACATTCTTGTGCTTTCGTCAATATAGATAGGTTCAGTACCTATAATATTAATTGTTGAATTTGCATCGATTATTGGTAATTGTTGATTGTTATTATTATTATTATAGTTGTTATTGTTATTATTTTGCCAAAGTAAAATTCTGTCTACTCTTTCTTTTTTCTTTATACATGTAATTGCTGATTGGCTGCAAGGATTGACTGTAGTCCATAGGTCTGAAAACGATTGGTTCAACATCTCTAGATTCTCTGGTGTTTGTATGCCAAAGTTGAGATCACCCACTAGAAACGATGCTATCTCTCGTGTAGTACACTGTGACTGATACTTTTCGATTCTCTCTTGGTTGATACGATTGATAGTTTGAAGCTGTTGAATCCTCAGGTCGGAGCTCGTTGCCAAACTCTCGAGATGTACGGTCGACACTGACATCAGTGCACCGGAATCGAGTTGTATCAAGGCAGTGAGCATCTTACGATTCTGACGAGTTGGTAGTGGATATACAGTAATTGATTGTAGCCTATATGGACTGCTGTTGCTGCCCAATGTATGATGTGATTTGACCATGAGCACATTGCCATACGGGAATACAGTGTCAGAGCGACCACAATCCGACATCAGATAGTGTTGTCTGACCCATGGTTGCTCAGCCAGATACTCTAAAAAAATGGGTGTCACCTCTTGTAAACATATGAAGTTTGGCAATTTCGATTCGATCAATTTAAACATTTCAGTTGCACGTTGTTTCCAAAGATAACTATCAAACCAAACATTAAATGATAGAATTGTAAAGTTTAATTCTTGCTGTTGTTGTTGTTGTTGCTGTTGTTGCTGTTGAGATATCAGTGGATCAGTTTTGAATATAATCCATTTCGACAGTTCATTGCAATATACATAGGGTGTGAGTTCTGTGATTGCGTTGTAGTTTTTGCATTCCAGCGATTCGTCCAAGCCAAGATAACTAGATACAACGGTATCGCCACTGATCTGCTCTTGATAGACACGACCATCTGCAGTACGCACCTTGGTTGTTGTCTTTACCAATCTGCTTCTATTGAATGACAATAGTTGTTCATTTGCAGTAATTACTTTTGTAGTAGTAGTAGTAGTACTTGTTGTGGTTGTTGCAGTTGTTCTTCTACAAAATAGCGGTTTCATTTTGAGTGGAGGTGGTGGAGGTGGACTTATAATAGACAACTCGGCAGTAGGTGAATCTGCAGCGGACTGACTTATTACATTGATACTATGATGATTATGACTATGACTATGACTGTGATGAACATACATTGAGTAACTACTGCTGCTGTTTGTTGAGGAAGACGATGATGAACAACAGCCATCTACATTCATCCCATTAGATATACTGTTGTTATTTGACATTGCTGTTTTTAACATTTATTAAATAAATATATATATGAAATTGATGATAACGATTATTATATATTATTTTGATATATGTATTTATCTATATATAAATAACAATCAATATCAAGACTAATTGTAATTGATTCTATTGAAAACGACAGCCTTTCTAGAGAGAGAGAATGAATGACTGAGTGAATGACCTGAGTAAATAAATAAATAAATAAAATAAATATTGTTTTTTATGATATATCAACTAAAATGTGTTGTTATTCAGCTGATGTATTTTTATATAACTGTGTGTGTGTGTTGTGTTGTTGTTGTTTGTTATTAGAGAGTGCGTGAAATGTGTGGTTAATCTTTAGCTAGCTTGTAACTGACTGACTAAATGAAGATTTGAGGCAAAGTAATATTAGTGTTAGTGTTGTTTATAACAATAACTTTGTTTTTTTTGAAAATATAAATAAAAAATAAATAAATATGAATCTCAAAAAAATTAATATAAACAAAAAATTTTCTAAAAAAGGTGGTGGGTTGACATTCTACCACAATAAAATCCAAATTTATTTATAATAACTAAAGTTCCCATTTTTTTCGAAAATTATCTTAAATTTGGATGTAAATATTTGTTTTTTGGATTTTTTTTGGTTTATTCTAATTTATTATTATGATGTATTAAAAAAAAGATTTTTTTTTTTTTTGGAAATTTAAATAAAGTAAAGATTGATTGATTGTAGATAGAGATAATTAAACATTACTTTTTAAATTAATGTTATAACTATTATTATTATTATTATTATTATTATTTGATTTGTTTGGTTTTGAAATTAGAGTTATTTATGATCATTGAGATACTTTTGTAAAATAGTAGACATTGGATAACCCATCATCTTTTTGTACTTGATGTTCTCCTCACGTGTCAAACTGTCTTTGGACCAATCTTGTGAAACATTTCCATCGTACTTTTTGATGACTTCATGTGAATTCTTATTGAAGATATCTAATTATAAAATATTAAAAAGTAGTTAATTAGAATAATAATGGATTGCAAGTTAGTGAACTGTTATGTTATGATATGTAAAAATGTTGCTGTAACATACCTCTAAGGATAACACGTGATACTCTTGGGAAAATGGTATCTGGGTCGACATGTTTGGTTGCTTGCTTTCTTAGCTCCATTGAGAACACTGGATCCTTGGCCCACTCGGGAATCAACGATTCATCGACACTCTCGTCTTCATCTTCGAGATACATTCCATCGTCGTCTTCATCTGGCTCCAAATCTGCAATAGGGAATCCATCGTTGAATGATTTCGGTTTCACCATAACTCTTATATCTTCTTCCTCTTCTTCTTCTTCTTCTTCTTCTTCCTCTTCTTCAACTTCTTCAAATACATCTTCTTCCTCTTCCTCTTCTTCTTCCTCTTCTTCCTCTTCTTCATCTTCATATTCAAAAGAAGTATTACTATTGCTATTGTTAATATTTGATTTCTTGCTATTGTTGTTATTATTATTGTTATTATTATTATTATGTACAGGTGATTCCTCGAATGCTTTGAGATTGTATCGGATTGGAGATGTGTGTTTCTTTTGAGTGGCAGTGAAACGACGAGTTAGTCCCGGAGAGATTGGACTCTCTGTTAGACTGGATGGCAATGTTGGAACACTTGTCAAGACATCCGGTGAGAATCCACCATAGCTGTTCTCACCACCACGTCTCAATGGTGATTCTTGGTCGGATGCCAACGAGGAAGCCGGTGAGTAGTTCACTGACTGTTTCTTCTTGGCTGGCGAAGGTGTCACTGGCAATGGAGGCATAATCGGTGAACCTCCAATTTCATCTATATCATCTTGTTGTTCAGTGTCTGTAACCTCTTCTTCTTCATCTTCCTCTTCTTCAACTTCACCATCTTCCATTTCTTCATCTTCCTCGTCTTCTTCTTCCTCTTCTTCAAACTCTACATCCTCTCTTTCTTCAGAGTCAAACTTGGGAAGTGGAGTTGTGTTATTGGATAATCCAACGGCATGTGCAAGCTTACCAAAGATATCGCTAATGATACCGTTGGAGACGTATGGACTACTTGGGACGACGGCTGAAGCTGCGTTTTGATGATGTGTAGAGTGTGGTGTAGCAACTTTAATCGGTGTCTTTACAGGTGTCTTTTGTTGACGAAGTAGCTTTTGTTGGAGTTCCTGTTGACGTGCAATCTCATACTGACGACGACGCTCCTCTTCCTCCTTCTTTCTTTCGGCTCTCTCTTGTTTCTGTGCCAACTCGACGAGCTTACGTTTGATCTCCATCTCCTCCTCACGTTTCTTCTTGGTGGCTTCTTGCTCCTCGAGCTCACGGATCTTTCTCTCCTCCTCTTGACGCTGGGCAGCCTTTAGTTCCTCGTTCTTCTTTAGTCGTTCGTCATTCTTTTTACGCTTCTCGGCTAGCTTGGCTTCTTCATCGGCACGACGATTGGCTTCACGAATCTTGAGCTCCTCCTCTCTCTTTTTCATTCTTTCCTCTTCCTCCTCTTGACGTCTCTTCTCGTCCTCCTTTACCTTCTTGAGCTTAGCATCGATAGCAGCCTTTGTTGAGGTAATAATATTATTAGTGATAGCTGCAGCACTCTGTTGTTGTTGTTGTTGTTGTACTGGTTGTTGTTGTGCTGATGATACTGCTGATGGTTGTTGCTGTTGTTGTAATTTCTTTTTACTGGCAATTTCCTTTGCCAAGTTGATGGAAGCAGATGCAGCAGTCTTGTCCTTCTCATTACTTAGTCTCTTGGTTGGTTTTTGTTGATCTACAGTGTTGGTGTCATCAGCCTTTCTCTTTGGAGCAGCAGAGGTAGTGAGCTTTGCCTCAGATTCTAGCAGTTTGCTCAAGTCGTTATCGTTGGATGTCTTCATGACAGATTCATCGTTAGAATTGATTTCCATTTGGCGTAATCTTTCGAATTTCTTTTCCATGGCGATAGAGGCAGCGGTATTCTTTGCAGCTGAAACAGCTGTTGATGGTTGTTGTTGCTCACCAATCTTACGACCAAGTATACGCTCAGCGAATTGATTTGGTGTGGCAGCTACACTTACACTGCTGGTGGTAGATGGTTGGATCACAGAGATATTATTAAGTTGACTAATATCATTGCTACTATTATTATTACTATTCGATTGTTGATGTAATACACTGGTATTATTGTTATGATTGTTGTGATTGTTATTATTGTTACCAATGGTAGCTTTCAATTTTTCAAGAAGTACAGTTGTTTTCTTGGAAAGATTGGTTGTTGATGACGATGCGCTGCTGGAAGAGGTGGTAGCCGATGGTGTTGGAACGATAATGGCAGCGGCCTTCTCTTGGTAATATTTATTATTGTACTCATCGATTTGAGATTGATGAAGTTGATGACTTGCTTTGATTGGCTCAGCCATAACCGACTTGATCATATCGACATGCAAGAATGAAACTTTTTCAGAGATACCACTGCTTGAGTTGTTCAATCCATTTTGTTGAATTGGCATCAATGGTTGTCTATTGGTCTTTGATGATTTAATTGATAATTTCTTTTTGGTATTCGATGGTGATTGAATACTAAATAATAATAGCAATATTATTATTATTAATATAAAAAAAATATAAAGAATTATTTCTTCAGCAGTACTTACAATAACTTTTTAGCAGTTGCTGTTGATGAACATTTTGAAATAATATCCATCTTTACAGTTTCCATCCAATCCAATGTATCTTGATAATAAAACTCCAATTCATTCTTTCCCCAATTACCACGCTCATTAAAGATACCATTGTAATTCTGAATTTGTTCGTTTACAATTTCCATTTTCTAAAAAAAAAACTATTATTACTATTCTATTTACTATAACTGTTATTGACTATTATAAAAAAAGGTAGTTATATAACTACAAACTATCTACTATTGATAAATATTTAAAAAAAGACTAAACTATTATGATTACTGTACTAAAACAAAAAAAAAACAACAAAAACAAAAAGAAACAAACTACAAAAAACTAAATGACTCCTTGTTTTAAAACATAATTATTATAAATAGAGATATATATTGAATAAGTTGATCAAAAAACATTCAGTTCATTAATTTTGTTGTTGGAACATTGAAGTTTTAACGGTAAAAAAAAAAAAAAAAAGAAAATTTAAATTTTTTGAATTTAAGCGGGCAAACTCTTGAACAACAATTTAGCAACAAGTCAGTTTAAACTGACTATTATGTTTATTTATAGAATATATTTACTATGACTATATTAATTATTATTATTATTATTATTAATAGAAATGAAAAATTAAAAAAAAAATTTTAAATTGTATGATTTTATTTTATTTTATTTTATTTTATTTTTAATAAAGTCTTGAACCGAAACCAAGTACCATTTTCATTCGCTCAATAATGTTACGTCTCCAACCTTCTTCTGTCTTTTCGAATTCCTCTGATGGAATACCGGTTTGGTTGATTTCGACTTGAGTTACTGGCTTGTCACCGACGGTGAATGTGATGGTGACGGTGGAGAAAGCAGTGTCGGCCCAGGTGTTGAGACGCCACTTTTGAACGATCTTTGAGCCTGGCGAGAGCTGTACGTTGGTTCCAGAGATGAATCCACCGTACATTGCAAACTTACCACCCTCACGATCCTCAAAGGTGCAATCGCTCTGTGTATACGCACGAATCTTGGTGATATTGACAAAGGCATCGTAAGCATCCATCGGAGATGCTTGGAACTCTTCCTTGATCTTCAATGACTTGGTAGCACTGTTGCTGCTAACAACCTTTGGTTTCTCGACTGCTGCTGGTTTTTCAACTGTTGTTTGTGCAGTTGTTGTTTGTTCTGGTGTGTTTGTTGGTGATGTTTGTACAGGTTTTTTAAGTGTGAATTCTATTTAAACATATTCAATGAAATATTAATATCAATATATCCTCAGTATTAAACGAAAATAAACACTTAATACATACGATCTTTCAAATCAACTACATATTGTGCTACTTTTTCTTGTAAAATTGGAATACCGAATTTTCTGGCAGCATCCTTGAGTGTGTCGGCATCGTCACCCGATGCATCTCCAGCCAAAGACACATTTACTCTTGCCTTCTCATCTGCATTCTCATCGCTAATATATGGTATAACATAGTCACCCTTAATCTTCTTATCAGCGTCAGACTTTAAAAATCCTGTGAAATAAATTGTTAGTTAGTTTTGCGCAATATTGGAATTTCAATAATAATAATAATGATAATGATAATTATAATTGATAACTTGTAATTACCTTCCCATGATACTTTTACTTCCAATTCGTATAGGAAGATTGTTTTTCCTTTACGATTGTTTGATGTACATTCACCGGTGACGGTGACGGTTGTGGCAGTCTTGATTGTCAGCTTCTCGTTGTCGACGATCACCTGCGATGCAAGCAGAGTTTGGAACTTTTGTTTCGACCAATTGAAGCAATCTTTCTCTGACCAATGCCAATTGTTTACGTTTTTACCATCCTCACGATTCTCTACCAACCATCTTGGATCTCCTTCACCTACTTTTGCCATTTTTCTATCAATAGATTCGATTTGTTTCAAAAATCAGAACTGATGCAGCTTCAATAAAATATAAAATACAAAAACAAACAATATTACTAAGTTATATAACTAGAAACAATAGTTGTTTTTTTTTAACACACAATATATATTGTTAACAAAAAGAAGAAAACTGTTTGTTTCAAAAACCAACTAATCCGTTTTTTCATTTTTTTTTTTTTTTTTTTCAAAAAACACGAAAAATCTTTAATTTTAATTAAAATTTCATTGATTTTTCTTGAACATCATTTTAATGACATTTATTTTCTTACCTTTCTATTAAGACAAAAAGATAAACTTGATCAAAAAAAAAAAAATGTTAAATACAAATGTGAAATATGATTGTTCATTGAGAAAATGACATTGTTTGTTGTTGTTGTTTATGTGTGTTACTTTTTGTCTTCTTAATATATTTAATTTAGTTTTATTTAATTGTTAAAAACAAAAACAAGAATTTAAAAATTAAATTAAATTAATTTTTGTTTTTTTTTTTTGAATGTTTTATGTTAAAAAAATATATACATGTTGTGTGTATTATGTATATGTATGTTATTATGTTTTGTTTTGTTATTGTTTTGTTTTGTTTTTATTGTGATGATGGAGTATCTGCTTTGGTTACAGAATCTATCTTGTCTTTGGTGGCATTAGCAACCTTTGTGGTAACGGCTTCAACTTTTTCTTTGGTGTTGTCAACCTTTTCCTTGACATTCTCAACCTTTTCCTTGGCATTCTCCTTTGCCGATTCACCTAAAGCCTTGAGTTGTTCTATTTTCTTGGCTTGAGTAGCCTTAGCTTTCTCCATGGTGGCGTCGACCTTTGCAGTGGCATGTTCACAGGCAACCTTGAAATTCTCAATCTTTTGGTGTTTACACTGGTTGATTCCCATACCCATACCAATACCGGCACCCAACAACATAAATGATCCAACAACCTTTAATCTGCTAGCTATAAGTGTTTAAACAACAATAACAACAAAGTAACAATGATTTGATCGTTAGAAAAATAAATTTGATTATAAACCTACTAACTGATAAAGATTGTACAAAGAATCTAATCCAATCCAATCCATTCTAATCTGAATTTAATCTAATCTATTAGATTCAGATTTGTTTTTAATGATGAATGATATTGATCGATTGATTGATTGATTGATTCCGCACTGATCATTCATTACTTACTGAAAAGTAATAGACCTAATGGAGCAACAGCACCAATGGTTGTCTTTTTCATGACTGATTCAACACATCTCTCTGTCTTGAAAACTAAAGCTTGATCTTCAGCAACTTTGTTGTTGGTTGATGGAGTTGACATCTTTATTATTTATATCTGTTGTTGTTTTATTTTTATCGAACTATTAATATTCTTTTAATTTAAATATATTGTGTTTTAATAGGAAGCAATGATTAATAATCACTCAATGACACTTTTATTATCTGCAACGGAAAAAAAACCACTACTGCTTGTTCACATTTTTATTTTTTTTAATTATTTATTTTTTTTCAATTTTTTTTTTTTTTTGGACCACACAAAAATGCTTTTTAATGACTATCTTCAGTTATCAGATAAGGTAAAAAGATTAAGCATTCCATGTTATTTATTTTATATTCACGATATTCAACTTTACGAGTCAACAAAAAAAAAACCAAAACATACCAATTGAGATATATAATAAACCTTAAAAATAAAAAAAAAATTTTTTTTGAATTAAAAATTTAATTTAATTGTTTTTTGCACAGAAATACAGATTAAGATTAAAGGTTAAAACTGACACATTCATTTTATTATTTGTATTGCAAGTCTGTTTTGGGAAATGAAAGGTGAGTGAGTGGTTTGACAATTTCCATTAATAATTTTTTAAAAAAACAACAAACAACTATATTTATCATCAAACATATATGAAGAAGTGTTAACACTTAATTTTTTGTGTTCTCACATTTAAATAAACAAAACATCTATAAATGTTAACTTAAATTTTAAACAAAATAAAATCAACCAATGCAATCAAATCTTATTAATTTTTTTTTTGATTTTGTTATTTTAAAATCCAAAGGATTTTTTGCAAACAACACTTCACCATTTTTAAAAGAATTAATTGATGATTCTCCTAATTTTGATTGATTTCACACGCAACCTAAAACTCTTTGCAGACCAATCATTGTAAAACTACATTGTGACAACAATGTGATCATAAGAGAAACCACAACCTATCTATTTCATCTCAAATATAATTCCCTCAAAAGATATATAGTATTTAAACAAATTATTTACACATATTTATTTCCATGTTATTATAATCTTTTGAAATAATAAAATAAATAAATATATATATATTTAAAATAAATTAATTTTGCACACAATATGAGTAAAAATAATAAAGAAGAAATAAGTAAAGATAAAGTTGGTGATGACAATGAATATAATTCAGATACAGATACAGATGATGAAGTAACCTATTTTGTTGATGATCTCGACACTGTCAAGTTGGTGGTCAGCTGTGACGGTGGTGGTATGCGTGGTCTCATTGCTCTGCAGATTCTAGAGTATATCCAGGAGGTCTGTGGCGTCGACATCATACATAGAGCCGATTTACTGGGTGGCACCTCCACGGGTGCGCTCCTGGCATTCACCAAGTCCAACGGATATTCCGACGACGAGATTACTGACACCTACAAAAAAATGGGTGTCATCATGTTTGACGGATTCTTCAAAAAGTTTATCAATGTACTGCGAGATTTCTGTCTCTCGGATATGCGCGCCTACGAGAAGGAATTGGACCGTCTCTTCTCCCAAGTGAAAATGTCGGATTTCCTGCAGGAGCGAAAACTGTTTGTTCTTAGTTCCGCCAGGAATCGCGAGCAACAAACGTACATCCCAAAGGTTATCAGTAATTATAAACCGACTTCTGCCACCGTTATTCAAGCGCTTCGCGCCACCTCTTCGGCGCCACCCTATTTCTCGCCGGTGGAGATCGAAGGTGTCACCTATGTGGACGGTGGTATTCTCGCCAACAATCCAATATTCAAAGCAAAGGAAGAGTCGGACCGTCTGTTCAGACCGGGAACCAAGTTGATTATGGTATCGATTGGAACTGGACACGTTAAGAACCAAGAGAAATCGACGACCCCAGAGATGTTTTCAGAGGGTGCACTGTCGCCTGCACTCGTGCGAACACTGCTTAGCGCCATCGCCAACTCACATTCACTTCACAAAGATTTCAAAGATTCAGTCCATAACAATCCGATGGTATCGTATCACCGTTTCGACGTTGTATTGGAAGATGAGATCAAGCTAGACGACCACAGTGAGAAAGCGATTCAAACAATGGCAAGAACTGTCCAGACTTTTAAGGAGCATACTAAAATACAAAAGAAACTACAAAAACTTAAAGAAGATCTACAGAGTCTACCAACAAAACCAGCAAAACCAACGAAAAAATCTAGTTCTCCTCCAAAATCTTCAAAACCAACAGCCGTACCCCAACTTCATCCACAAGCATAAACCTACCATGCTATTTTTATTTTAAACACATTGTAAAATTTTACTTCCATCTTTAGATTAATAGTTAATTAATTACTTTGTAAGAGCAACATTCTCAGAGAAGTTTAATTAGTCAATTCTGTTGAAAACAATATTTCATTTTATTATATACACATTATGAATACAACAACCTCTTCTTCTTCATCAAACGTGTAAGAATTTAATCATCAAACAAGAAATGTTTATTTTGCTTCATTTTTTTAAATAAACAACCAAAAATCGATTAAAAGTTTGCCACATACAATAAAAAAAATGAATTGGTTACCACACAAAGTTCGACCCACTTTTGTTTTCACTCTTATTCTTTGTTCAGAGAGTTGACAAATGATCCTAAATTTAATAAAAATTTTAATATCCCAAACATATTTCATTTAATCTATATTAATAAAGAATTTGTTGAATTTAACAATAAAAAATTAATTAAAAAAAGTGACAGGAAACTATTTTATTTATTGTTATATAAATATAAAGTAAGTATTATATCATAGCTACAGTATTCCTCAAATCAACTCTAAAATTTTATAATAAATAATCTTTACAATAATATGTTAACTTTAGGTTTTGAAATTGAAGACAAAGCAATGTTTAGATCATTAACAAATTCATTATTACCTAAGTGTATAACAGAATCTACAAATGATAGATATTATGTTATGTTTACCAATGGTAGTAGATTTGAAGTAGTAAATATTGAAGGGTTTAACTTTATAGATATTTCATCTATAAAAACAATAGAATCGAAAATGTTATTCGTTGCAGAGGTATTTATATTAAAAACTAAACAATCAACCTTATCTTTATTTTATTTATTTATAATTATTTAAAAATAGAACTTCAGTCAAATAAATAAAAATGAAGGTTTTATATTATCTAGAAAGTACAACCTTCATGACTACTTAAAATCAGACAAACTACCAAAACAAGCTTTCTATTTTAATGGTATGGTAGTAATCACCTATTTGTCAGTGTCAATCGTTCATGGTAATTCAGTTGGCTTTCTAGGTAAATGCATTGTTAGATACTTGGACAACAATCATATCAATGGAGTAGCGCCAGGCGAAAGAAATATTAATTTTGGAAACAATTCCTATACAACTGATAATGCTTTGTCATTATATCCAGTACCACCAAGTATTATCTTTACAAATCCGTTGGTTGTGGAAGTTAATCGAAAATCAAAAAGCCTAAGTTTGTTTTTCCTCAAGTGCAGAAGATATTTCGAAAATCCATATGTTAATGTTGTACTGGGTGTGCATATATGGGATAGAAAACCTCAATTAAATGGTACATATAATGCTGTAGCCTTTTATTATAGACGTTCGGAGTTAGGTCCAAGAGCTGTTCGTGTGATATCGTTTGGATCAACTGTGACCACACGTTCAAGAGAGAGCAAACTTTTGACTTACTCTGGTCTCCAAGATGGCGATTTAGAGGGTCATTTGTGGAACCACCCAAACCCCGTCATTGACTCGGTTGCTCCTTATATTATTTCAGTATGTAAAAGACTAAATATAACTATTATTAATATTAATTTTAATATTTCAATTTTTTTTGACAGATTCCAGCAGTAGATATTTTTGGACATGGACATATATACCAAAACCTCCCAAACTTAGAATTTGATTTATTCCAACTCAAAGCAAATATTGATGTTGTTCCAAACTTCTCTATGGACTAATAAATAAAGATTAATTAATTTAGATTTTTATTTAAAAAAACCTCTTAAATTAGTTCTTTAAATATAGAAAATCATTTTTTATCACTATCATTTAAAGAAATCTTAAATAGATTTAATTCGTCATCACTTAAAATACATAATATTCTTATTCAGTTTGCTTTTCATTCATCGTCAAAGACATAAAAGTGTCTCACTTGTAATAATAAGGTACTTTTAAAGTAGAGTCAAATTAAAGCTAGTGAGAAAAACAAAAAAAACCGACATAGCATACCTCTTGTTGTTCACTCTTTTTTTTTTGGCGACTTCAGGACACTATTTTAGCTGTGTCTAGCCTGGTGTGGGGGTTTATTTGATTTTTAACAAATGATTCTGAACAGGTCTTATGAATTGATTTATTTCTTCTGTTCTCTACATTTTCAAAAATTTTGAATTGATTTTAAATCCTATTTAATTTATTCTATTTATAGTCTATATTTTAAGATATCTATATTTTTTTCTTTTTTTTAATTAAATTTGAATTTATAACATTTAGTCTAAATTTAAATAATTTAATCTTGTTGTAAGATTTTTTCAACACATTTAAATTCCGTACTCAATAATTTAACCACTGACTATTTACAATATATTATGATACTCAAATATCATTTTAATCCTTTTCTGATATGATAGTAGAAACAGTGATAAGAGAACCGATATTGGCATTCATTCATAGAAATCTTAAAAGAATACAGAATACAAATAAAAAAAATAAAACATAAAAAAGTGTGTTAGGGAGATGTACAATTTTTTTTTGATCGATCATCGCATGTTAATTTTATTAACTTTTCACTAAATATCTTTAAAATAATGAATAAGATAATATTTATAAAACTATTTAATTTTAGATTAATTAGAGATTTAATATTTGAATATGTTAGAGTAATATCAAAGCAGATTGTAAAGAGTGATATGCTAAACACATTGAAATGGCATCAAGTCATAACGATACCACATCAAATGGTTGCATATGGATACTTTGATCAATTAAAGGAATTTTACGATGGTAAATTGAATGAACAAGTTTTGGGCTGACGATGAACATAAATCGTATGTCAGTATGGCGTGCCGCTGCAATGTCGATACAGGTCAATAGAATCGATATTCTCAAGTTCTACATCGATCAAGTTAAGATACCAACCGATACGAGTACATTGATGATCTATGTTGCCAAGTATGGACGTTTGGAGATGATGGAGTACTTACACTGGCGAGTACGTGATTCTGGTTGGGATTACCGAGACGCTCTAAAAATGTCGCCAAACAGCAAGAATTTTGAAGTTTTTATATGTTTCTTAAAGAAATACTTGGCAAGTCAACAACATTTAGGATCTGACGACAGCCACCCATTTTATAGTTTAGATAATACCTTGAAGATCACGTTTGAATGTGCATTGGAGGCTGGTCAGTTGGAAATCATGGATTATTTGTACAATAATTATAACATCGATATTCATTCAGAGAAAATAGTAGCGATCCCACTTAAAGTTGGTGATACCAGGTTAATGGAGTGGCTGATAGATAGGAATGTAGATATTTGGGGATTATACAGAGATTGTTGTATTCTAGATCGAGCTCTTCTCTATGGTAATCTCGAACTTGGTAAGTGGATCCATGAGAAGCATACTGGCAGCAGTATCGATACTGTCATTGCATCAGCGAATGCAATGGATAATGCAGTCCTTAGTAGAAGACAGGATATAGTTGAATGGCTACACTATAATAGAAGTGAAGGTTGTACGCCTAGTGCTATGGATTATGCTTCATCGATTGGATCAATCACTATGCTGCAATGGTTCCATTGTAATAGAACTGAAGGATGTACATTCTTGGCGTTAGACAATGCAACTCAAATGGGTAATATCGATGCAGTTCGATGGCTTCACGAGAATCGTACTGAAGGTTGTTCAATTAATTCCTATATCAATAGTATTAGAATGAATTATCTAGAGATCTTTAAATTCCTTCTAGAGAATCGCTCGGATTTCCCAAAAGAGAAAATAGCGTCACTTATAATATATACATTAAGATATTCAACCGAGTTTCTATCTTACTTTTACGAAAACTATCACTACACTGTAAACGAAATAGATAGTCACATCAGAAAGGCAATCAGTAACTCAAATCAATATCAATTAAAATGGTTACTCAAACGACATATCGATTTATTCAAACAAAATAATAATAATAATAATAATAATAATAATGTAGATAATCTCAATCGACTTGATATTTAATCACCTAATTTCAGATACCAACGACTCACAAATGCTATTGATATTGAATGAATTCAGAATAGAAAATTTAGGAATAGTCTATTTCAAAGAAAGAAATTCATTTTGGTTACAACTAATTATGGTTTCATCAATAATAATAATATTAATTAGTTTATTTATTCAATACTTTATTTAATTCTGTTAATTATGTACATAAATAACTGTAAAATATATTCTTAATAAAATAATAAAAAAATTAAAAGAACTTTCAAATTGGTAAAAATCCCAAAACATTCTTGTTTAGACTTTAAAAAAACGGTGCAGTGCAACCACTGATAAGAGGCGCCAAACACAAATAGAATTGAAAATCTTTGACCAAAAAAAAAGTTATAAATGTTAATATTATTTTTAAAAGTGTTTAATAATCATGTGATCAGAAATACAATATTCAAAGAAGTGAGATCAATTCACTCATTTCTAAAGTTAAAAACATTTGGATGGCGAGAATTGTTGGAATCAGCAGAGTTTATGGTTTATTATAACAGGCAGGTTGAACTGAGAAAGTATTTCCTTCGACTGAACCAGAGTGCCTATAACTTGTATGGTGTATTGCAATTTGGTAGAATAAAGATAGAGTTCACCAAGGAGGTACGGAAAGCAATGTGTTCTGCGGTTGCTCTTAACAATGTGAAGCTACTAAAGTTCATAGTCGGTCATCTTCAGGACAAAAAAGATATCAGTTGCTTAATGAAATACTGTGCTAAATATGGTAAAATAGATGTTCTAAACTACTTACTAACACTACCATTCAATGGTTGGGACTTTGAAGTAGCATTGGTTCGATCACCAGCTGGTCAGTGTTTCCAAGTATTCGAATTCCTTGCCAATAAAGTATTGAACAAAAGAAACACAATTCCATTCCCACCACATATAATAGAACTATTTTCAAGAGTTTTAAAGAATGCTGGTAAAGTAAGTTATCTTTAAAGTTGTTTTTGTTGTTAGTACAAACAAACTAATTAAACAAATTATTGATTAAAATAATAATAATAAAAATAGGCAGGACGTATTGATATGATAGAATGGATACTGGAGAGAGTTGACTTGGAATTGAATGTTGTTTTCGATCAAAATGGTATACATCATGTTTTGATGGGTGGTCATGTCTGCGTGGCAGAGTGGTTGGTCAGTCAGAATATCGATCTTTTCAGACTGGGTGGAGTAGATACTTTATTTCATGCAGTGTCATCCCGAAATCTGGGATTGATTAAATGGTTACATAACAATAATATCGACAACATAGTTATTAGTTCAACCTCTTCAATGGATATGGCAGCCACTCTTGATGAGTTAGAGATTGTTCAATTTTTACATTACAATCGAAGTGAAGGTTGCACAACACGCGCATTTGACTTGGCTTGTAGAGAAGGTCATTTCCGAACTGTACAATGGTTACATTATAATCGTACAGAAGGATGCTCCACCAACGCTATAGATTTATCGCCAAAACATGGTTTAGGAATCGTGCAATGGCTCCATGAAAATCGAACGGAAGGTTGTTCTATGCTTGCGATTGATAACGCAGTTTTAAGTAATCGACAGGATGTACTTGAGTTTTTGTTGGCCAATAGAAAGGAGTTTAGCAATATAAGGAATGATAGTCAACTGCAACAGGGATTAAAGAATAAAATCTATATAGCAATGTGGTTTGGTTTTATAGAGTTGATGGACTATTTCTATCGGACACAAACCTATAGTATTCAAGAGATTCGAGAGCATTTCAATAGAGCAATAACATGTGGATACGATCATTCAATGCCATATATGCTTAGGAAACATTTAGAACTATTTATTAAAGATAGGGACAAACATAAAGATACGAAAAACATTAATGACAATGAGTACCTTTCATTTTCATTCATAGTCAAAGTATCAAAGATTTATAAATCATGCAGAAAAAGCATTAACGAGTTTAAATCAATATTAGATAAACATTAATTACTTAAGTTTTGTAAAATCGTTACAGAATTTACTAACAAATAAAAATACATGTATACAATAATCTTTATATTTTTTTCTCTTAAAATAGGATTCTAAGTTCTGTTTCCATATGTGGAAAATGGATAAAATTATTTTAGAATAATTATCATTGGTTTTTCATTTAAATCTTCTTTATATGATGCAAATTATTCTTCCATTTTATTCAGTAGGATATGTATAGATGTATATCGACCTAATAAAATTTATACCAAGAAAAAAAAAAAAAACTGAATCATATTATTTTTAGAGGCATCAATAAAATTATGATATTTTTCTCAACAAAAATTTCGAAATTTTTGAAAAAACAAGAGAAGTTGTTGATTTATTTATGAACTGTTCCTCATGTTGATGAGGGGAAACAAAATAAACACTGTCTAATTAAAAACATTGTTACACAACAATATTCAAATAAAATAGATTTTTAAAAAAATAAAAATCATATATATATTTTTAATAATAATTATTACTATATAATATTTTTAATGCAATCAAATATCCAAATTAATAAAATAAAACAAAATAAATCTAAACAACTTCTATATCCATTATTGAATCATTAGCTATTACTGTCGTCAACGTCATCGTCAACATCCTCTGAATCAAATATCATGTCAAATATTGCCATTGTTGATCCACCCATTGAAGAACTTGAGAAACTATCGGTTGTCACCGATCAAGAGTCGCAAGATCAACTCAACATTGAGAAGATCTACAATTTCTGGTTCGGTACAACCAGTTCGACCTGGTCGAAAAAGTATGCTCCCAAAGTCAAGTTGTGGTTCGGACGTCGTCAGAATCTCGACCTCGTAATCAAGCGCAACTATGAGCATCTCGTCTTGGAAGCTGCCAAGTCGCGTGAACCCGGCTCGCTCTACGACCGCTGGATGAAGAGTCCGCGTGGTCGTATCGCACTGCTCATTCTCTTTGACCAGTTCCCGAGAAACATCTACCGTGGCACTGCCGGAATGTTCCAATTCGACGCGCTCGCTCTCGAGATTGCCTATCAGATCATTGGCAACGCCGACTACAAGTCGATTCACTCGCTTCCCGAGCGTATCTTTGTGTACTTCCCGTTGGAGCATTCAGAGGTGTTGACAGACGTAGAGAAATCCGTTGAACTCATTTCGGATCTCGCTGGACAGACCATCTACCCACTGCAACGCAAACAGTTCCTAAAGTTTGCGAAATCCGCTGCCGATCACTTCAAGACACTCAGTCAATTCGGTCGTTATCCACATCGAAATTTCCTGTTGGATCGTCAATCCACCGACGAGGAACAAGAGTATCTGAAAAACATTAAATTCAACTATGTCAAATCCGTTGAATCTCTCGATACCATTCACCATGAGAATCAACTAAAGAAACAGTCAAAGAAAAAGACATTAGTAGATACAATCATTATGAATCCTCAGATCGCCAGTAAACCAAAGATGAAACTTGTTTTATTACATAGGTAACTATGATCAATGACAAAATGAATGAAAGAATAGATTTAAATATTGACAATATCCTTCCTTTCTTTAATTTCTTTAAAATTCTTTTAGTTTCAGACAGAATGGATCAATTTTGAAAAGAGCAACTACAAAGTTGGCAGCTGCAGTTAGTGACTTTGCTACTATCCACTATGCCAATGCACCGTTGCCCTATAACCCATCGGGTGAGATGAGAAATGCATTGATGAATGCATTCGGTGATTTGCAGACATCGGCTACTCAGCATCAACGTCAGTGGTGGAATTCCACAAAGGACAACAAGACCTATCAACACTTGGATGCCTCCATTCACTACATGGCACAGTTGTTCAAGAACGAAGGTCCTTTCGATGGTATCATTGGTTTCTCACAGGGTGCCGCCTTCACCGGTATCTTGGCGGCAATGCAGGAGCACAGCCAACTGCCATTCCAATTCAAGTTTGCTGTGTTGATCTCTGGTTTTCCATCACGTGCCGAACAACACGAGAAGATCATGCTCAAGGATTCCATTCGATTGCCCACTCTCACCATTGTCGGAACTGCCGATGAATTGGTAGACAACGAACGTACCAGACATTTGGCATCGTTGTTTGTCAACCCAGAGGTTGTCGAGCATGACGGTGGACATTTCACACCCAACAAGTGGCCAAACAAAACAATAAGAGAGTTCCTCTTGAAACAGAATGGAATCGACAATGAACAGCAACAACCATTGGAACAGGAGGATGCTTCGGTCAATGAGTTGCTGACTAGCAAATACATTGAACAGCTGAATCCTTTGGATGAATTGGAAGGATTCAATGAGATAATGTCAGTTTCTCTCAGAGTAAAAGGAACTCAAAACTATTCAAACAAAGATCAAGTCTTGAAACTATATGGTCTATCAGAGAACACTCGTCAACTCTTGTTGAATTCACCTGCTTTCAAGTCGATATTGGATAATGAATTGCCAACCATCAAAAGAGATGAAGTTCATTATGATTCATTGGCAAAGTTGTTGAGAGAATCTGGAAACAACAACGATACTGAAAAATTAGTTGATGAACTATTAGCAGTTGCTTGGTCCGTTCGTTATAACTTCAAATCTGCTGAACCAAGAGAATTCTCATTGTTCTATTATCTCTGGTTACATCTCTATCTTGAGAAACCAGAGTTGCTACTCACGAAATTGGAAAAATTCCATCTGTTTGGATCGTGGAGAGATATCTCGACTCTTGTCTATTGGGGTTCAAAGTTGTCTGACCAATTGGCAAACACTCCAGATGCTATTAATGAGCTGAAAATCGACTTGTTGAAACAACTTCGTAAGGCTGTCATTGTGATGCTCGCTGAACAGCTAAAGAAGGACTTCGACTTGGCATTTGGTGAAACTATCCAAGTGAGCTGCTGGCCATCCGTTTGTGCTTTGGAGGCACCGAGATTGGGTGGTGGAAGAAAAGGTTACTCTTCGATGCTCGCAAAGGAAATCTCGAGATACATGAATCCAATCGTGTTGCCAGCCGATGCCGATGAAGAGCGTATTCGTTCCGTTAAAGGACATTGCTATGAGAAGTATCGTTCTCTAGTCTCCAAGTTGTCTTCGCTCCTGAGAAATACTGCACCTGGAAAAGTTGACTACAATGTCATTCTCTCGGATAAAGCAAACTTTAACAGCGGTGGTGCCATCAATATGACCGATGAAGATAGATCCAAGATCATGGAAACCAAATCGGACTTTGTGTTGAATCCAATTCCCGAGCCTGTATTCCCTTGCTCGCGTGAGGAGTTGGAGCCACTCCTTGAGTTTATGAATGCCGACAAACCACTGCATCACGAGTCGCCAATGCGATTCACTCGTGGTACTTGCATGCCAGATGGTCGTTTGGATCTGTGCAAGCAAGTCGTTGGACCAGAGGGTATCAAACCATTGTTGGGTGCAATGGCAAAGAGCTCATCCATCAAGAGATTGCTGCTTGGTAATAATATCGTTGGTAATCAGGGTGGTTGGGAGATTGCAAACTACATCAAGTATAATAAGGATTCAAAGATTGATACTTGGTATATTGCTGGTAATGAATTCGACGTGGAGGGAATCACTCCGATTGCAGAAGCATTGGAGACTGACAACAAGGTGAAAGCTCTCTGGTTGAAGCGTAATCCGTTGTTGACTGCTGGTTGTAGACCGCTCGCAGCTATGCTCGAGAAGAACAGCTATCTTCAAATACTTGATGTCTTGAATTGCGGTATTCTAGACGAAGGTGTTGAGATTCTCTTTGGTGCACTGCAGCACAATTCGACTTTGAGACATCTGTACATCGATACGAATGGACTCACACCGAAATCCGCTACCACTGTTCGTAAGCACTTGGAGACCGGTCTTAATAAGCTAGAGACAATCTATATGTCGTGTAATCATCTTGGTGATGCCGGTGCTTCCGAGTTGGCAGCAGGTCTACTGGGTGACAAGACTCTTCTAAGATTGGGTCTCAGCTCCAATTGTATTGGACCTGCTGGTACCAAGGAGTTGGTCGATGCAGTCATCAAACATCCATCGTTGTTGGAGTTGAATTTGGGTTTCAAGAGAGGAACATTCTTGCTTGGTTCTCTCAATAATATTCTTGGTGACGAAGGTGCCAACGAAATTGCAAGATTGATTCGTGCCAACACTCAGATTCGTTCGATTGATTTGACACACAATAGCATCTCACAAAAGGGTATCTCTGCACTCAGAGAAGCATTGAAGACCAACAACATCCTCACATCAATGGATCTAATGCAATTCTCAATGGTTCACAATGAAGTGGCCAGAGAGGACATCAACGCCATGCTCTCACGTAATCGTTTGTTGTGGGGTAAACAAGAACTCACCAACAGAGAACAACAATCAGGTGCTCAACATATCACAAATGTCGAAGATCAATGGATAGTTCTTGGTAATAAACTAGCAGAGGAAGTTCATACCCCAGAGCATATGAATGAAATTCTATCAGTCTATAGAACGAAATAAATAAACAAACAAACAAACAAACAATAAAGAAACAATAAAGAAACAATATGTTTAAGTTATTTGAAAATCTTTTTTTTTTGTTTTTTTTTTTTTTTTTTAAAAGGTATTAATCCTATTTCTTTTAATTTCCAATCATATTCACTTATTACTATAGATTAATAGTGATCACTTGGTTACTAGAAGAATAACAATACTACTTTCTTGTGAATATTCAAGAAACTGATTCATTAATATCAATATCAATACAAATCAAATGAACTTTATCTTTGATCTGTGCACAAGACGATCTGTTTTTTTAAAAAAACAATTATCTTATGTTCATTCTCTTAAAATGATCTGTTTTGTTTTGATTTTAATATATTTTTTTAAGAAAAAAAAATTTTTAGATCAGATTCGTTGAAATTTTTACATTTTTAAACACTCAAAATTTGTAAACAATGAAATTTACATGAATATTTAAGTCTCTTTAGAGATACTACAACTATAAATACTTTAAAAAATGATTTTATTAATCATTAAAATCTCAAATAATCAAATCAAATCAAATCAAATATTAAAATAAATCTACCAGTAAGTACAGTTAAACATTTAATTCTATTTAAACAAAGTTAAATTAATCATATTTATCAAAATAAATATAGTTTAAAAAGTAAAAATGAATATTGTAAAATCTATCGCTTTAATGTTGGCACTGTTGTTCATGTTGAGCATTGCCACCGCTAGACCATGTTGTGAAAGATGCCCACCTGACAGCGAAAAGTGCCAAGCCAATTGCATTGATTGTGACAGACCAACCACCTTCGCAACAGTTCCACCCTGGCCCGAACCTACTTCCCCTTTTCCTGCCGGTTCAATCTCAACAACGGGAACTAAACCACCTTCTTCTACAAGCACTAGTTCAACCACTGGATCAACCACTCGTTGAACTATCAATTAAATTGCTATCGCTATAATAACTTTAACAACTAAATAAATATTTGTTAAAAAAATAGAAAAAACAAACAACTTTATGTACTTTCAACTTATTTAGTAGAACTGAAAATAGGATGGCTAAATAATTCTAAAAATATAAATAAAAATAAATTTTTTGAACTTAACATTCACACATAATCATATATCACCCCATTCCTAATTAATTTAGTTGAATTCATAGTACACAGTGTTTCATTATATATATATCATATACACTTGAAACAAACGTCGCTATTAAAAATCTCATATTAAATTAACACTAGTGAAATAAATCAAACACACCCACACCACTTTATAATTTCTATTGGCAATTGGTAAAGTGTGTTGTGTGAATGGTGTGTTTGATTTATTAATGCTCATCATAAACATAAACAATTGTTTAATAAATCATTATACAGCAGTATGAAAAACACACAATCATCATATAAAAAAAAAAAATAATCTTTTACATCATATTTATATATATGATGGTTTTTATTTTTGTTTTTTTTAAATTATTGGTATTTAAAACGATGATAAGTTAATTTAGTTGGTAAAATTGTATTGTATACACAATCAATCAATCTGTCAATCAATCAATCTAACAATCAATCATCAATCAATCAATCAACTTAACACCAACTTAATTGACTTTATTTGTTTAAATTTAAAATAGGAAGTACTGGACTAACTTTACATTAATTACAACACACATTTATTATTTTAATAGTTTTTTGTTTTATTTATTTTATTCCAAGATAGTAGTATTAAGAGTAGTAAAATTGAGTGAACGACTGAGAGTTGTATAAATCAATTTTTTTTTAACCCAATCACAAAACAAAACTACCTACAACAAACAAACAAACACCTTACCAACTACAAACTAATACTATAAATCAAAAAATAATGATCTTTGGTATTCAACTACCGTTAGTAAATATCAATCAAATTATACCAGCAAAAATTTCTTTTCATTTTTAAAAAGTAATTACATTCTCTTTTTACTATTTAAATCACCAATAGAATATATAAATGATTTGTTAATCAATGGTTTTGTTTTGTTTGTTTATGTTCAATTCCGAATTCCATTTATCTACAAATTTGTTTATTTCCAACTATAGAAATAGGAGAAGTTTTTTAAAATCAAAATATCAAATATATTTATACATCATATTATATATTTGTGTTTAATCAATATCAATAGCATTATTTTAAAATATCTTGTAAAGATTAATAGATTGATACAAATCATTGAAATCAATTAATAATAATAATATATTGTATTTTCCAAAAACAAATATTATTTATTTATTTAATTATTTTTAATATATATTATAAATATATATAAAGATAAAAAAAAAATCAATATGTTTTCACAAGAATTCATGATATCCATATTGATAATAATAGTCTCTGTAGTAATACTATTGACTCTTTTGTCAATACTATGTTACTTTATAATATTATATAGAAGAGCAAATAATAATTATACGAATCAATCAACTTTCACAATTGTCTCGCCACCTTTGGTAAGTTTTAAGTTTGTTTTGAAATTAAAATATCCATATTAATATTTTTCAATTGTAAAATTATAGACAACAATCACAATTCATCAAGGAAATAATAATATAAATAGTAATAGTAAAAATTCGGATAGATCCATTGGAACAAGAGTTCCAGAGAAATTGGAAATCTATATAATTAGAAAAGATTCGGATGGCTTGGGCTCGGCGTTGGAAGAGAATCTCTCAAAGATTCTCGGTACTAGAGTTACGTGTGGATACCCACCTCCTCAGATGCCACTGCCACCTCCACTGCACCTGACAGCGGAGAAACGCTCACTCATCCTCTATGTAGTGCCAGAGGAATCGTATCACTACAACAACGACGAGGAAGCAGGATATTTCTATTGTTCGGAAACCGATGAATTCAGTCTACTTCAGATTGGCGCAACTTTCAACAATCATCTACTTGGCTACCTGGTGATTCGTAGTACTCGTTCACAGTCGATCATGGTCAGTCAGTATCCTGACTCTGCATGCGAAGATGCATCCATTCGTCTTGGCAACGTTCCACCATTGGTATCCAACCTAAAGATGACACTCACCAAAGATAATTCCATTGAACAAAATGATATATTCGTTTCGAAATCAATTGAAAGACTGAAACAACTTATAACAAAAAGACAATCTGCTTGATAAATAATAATAATATAATAGTAATAATAGTAATAACAATATATAACATTAATAATGTATTAAAAGTGTAAATAAGATATATAACAAACAGTGATAGTTATAAGTAGCTGTAGTGTTATTGTTTAAATAATCTAAATAAATATTTAGATTATATACAAGATAGGAGTAATAAAACAAAAAAAAAAAGGTCATACGATACTTTCTTTTTATGTTTTTTTATATAGATATTTTTGATTTACATATCTTCTTCATCAAAAGATAACATTGATTTAGTTGTTGTTGTCGATGTCGATGTTGATTTCTTTTTGTTTAACTGTTGATCTTTTGGTTTTTGAATTGATTTCTTTACATTATTTACAGTTGATTTAAGTGAATTTGATGATATACCAGATGTTTTCGTTGATGATTTCAATGTCTCTGCTAATGGTTTCTTTATTGGTTTTTGAAAAACAATCTTTCTAGGCTGACCCGATTCCATTGCCAATTGCTCTTCTAGTTGATCTTGTTTTAAACGTCGTTCTAGTTCCTCTTCGTAGGCTTTCCGCTCTTCTTCTTCTTTCAGTCTTTTCTTCTCTATCAGTTTATGTTCGTTATCTTCTTGATCTTTGAGTGCACGTTCGATCGCATCTTTCTCCTCTTGATCTACAATGTCTTTGTCATCATCATCATCAGCCTTTGCCATATAATCTTTGAATTTATCATTGATGTCTACTTCTTTCCCTTTTAGCTTCTCCAAGAATTTAGGTACTACTTTAGTAAACTCTAATTTTCCACCACCTAATCCTTTATTTTTGTCACTCATTATTAATATATTCTTTGTTTGAATTATACTGGCTGTATTTATTTTTTCTGGTAGAATAAAAAAAAAAATTTTAAATTTTTTTTGAAAGTTAACTAATTACTTTGATACAAAAATATGTCAATGCTTATTAAAAAGTATTCAATATAGTTACAACTCTTATAACTATTGAAATAGTCAATGAAATAGTCAATGAAATAAAAATATAACAACCTATGAAATTCAAAAAATAAAAAATAAAAATAAAAGAAAAAGTTGTACATATATAAATCCTTTATCTTTTCTCTAAGTATTTCAGTTAGGCTAGGCACATTTAACATTATATGAATCAAATCTCTAATATTCTTTGTGGATAAATTTATTTGTTTGAAAAAAAAATGTTTCGTTTTTTTTAAAATTTTTTTTTTTTTTTTTAATTTTTATTAATTTTTTTTTTTATGATCAGTGATCAAAATCATTTTTATTACTTTAAAATATAATATCTATATTTATAATATAAAACAATTCATATAAAATGGTATACTCACCTAAAGAGCTCGCAATGAGAATATTGAAGGTTGGAGCCAGAAAAGTCTGGTTAGATCCAACAAAGATGGAAGCAATTCAACAAACAAAAACAAGTAGGTTTCATTATCATCAAAGTAGTTTAGAGAGTTATTCGAATAGATATTATAGATATATTAGATGAAGCAATATAAGAATATAGTTGTTGATTCAATCAATATATTAAACAGTGAATATGATATTCGTAGATAGAATCAAATCATATTGTAGATCTCTACTACAAGCAAAAGCTTCATAGCACTCAATATTAAATAGTTTTTAAATTAATCACTTAGTTTAAGACATTTGTACAGCAGATTCATTAACACTATTTAATCTTATAGGAGAAGGTATCAGAGAATTAATTGCACAAGGAGCTATTAAAAGAAAGTTTACATTAAGAGGAAGTTATAAGTCAGCAAAAGGACCTTTCTTGTTTCCAAAAGAAGATCTTACTTTAATAAAGCAACCATCCGAACCATTATCACAATAAATAAACAAAATAGATACAATATATATATTATAGTAAAAAACAACAAAAAGAATAATCAAATAGCTTTACCATATTTATTTAGAAGTCAATTGTCAGAAACTTATCGATTTTAGATTTAGGAAAACCATGAATAATTAATATTATATCTATTCGATTTTGCAGTAGCTTTTCATGTGGGCAACATGGCAGACTTGCTTTTGTGAAGCATGTTTGTTGATATCTCTAACCTTATCCTTGGTCAAAGAGTGGATAGCCTTTTTATAGATGTGGATGACTGGGGTGATTTCTGAAGATTGGTCGAGTGATCAAAATTCCTTGTCAACCCATGATTCTGCTTCATGTTCAGACTTTCCGTTGATGATAGCGTGCACTACCTTTAAGGCAACCCATTCACAGGCCTTGCATTCAACCTTCCTACCGTGGTGGTGATATCCGATTGGGAAGTGGTGCTTTTCGTTCTTGACATCATCGCCAACGAATTGAATGATGAAATTAGCTTGGAACTTGATTCTGTGATTTCCAAGCTTGATTCTCTAGGGATCTTGAGCGTTCAATGTTGCTTAGCATCCACTTGATCTTTAAAAAAAAATTTTTTTAACTTACTTTCTTTAGTTGGTACAAGCATAAAACTTTGAGTACTGGTTGGACCAAAGTCAATTTTTAAAATGGCTTTAATTAGACTTTCAAAAAATAAATAAAAATTATTAAATCTTATTCTTTGGAGAAAGGAATAAGTGGGTGTAGATAATAACTATCTTATCGATTGTAAAAATTATTAATTATAGATTATTCACTCAACAACTTATAAATAACAGGAACCTAAACAATATCGAAGTTAACTGCAATAAAATACTATTCTGTCTTTGATAAATGCTCTAACTTTTTGATCAAATTTTTATATGTATATATATATATAATAATCTTAAAAAATTAAGGACTCATATTTAATTTTATTTAGTTTAAACTACTTAATTGTTTGTTTTTCTCAGAATAATTTATTATAATTAATAAAATTTCGAATTGAGAAAAAAACAAATAAAGTAATATATTATTAAATTTTTTTTTAATATAAGATAAAGCTAATGATACTAATAATTATTTATAATTGGATAAAGATACAAAGAATTTTTATATTTATTCGATTTTGTAGTATTTTTTAAAAACTACTCATGTTTGTTTTGGTTTGTTTGGAAAAAAAAGATAAAAGTTTAAAGAAATGAATTTAACACATGTGGGCAACATGGCAGACTTGCTTTGGTGAAGCATGCTTGTTGATTTCTCTGACCATATCCTTGATTAAAGAGTGGACAGCCTTTTTACAGATGTGGATGGCTGGGGAGATCTCAAAATGGTCACATTCCTTGTCAACCCATGATTCTGCTTCATGTTCAGACTTTCCGTTGACGATAGCGTGCTCTACCTTTGAGGCAACCCATTCACAGGCCTTGCATTCAACCTTCTTACCGTGGTGGTGATGTCCGATTGGGAAGTGGTGCTTCTCGACACGACCGTTCTTGACACCGTCGAAGTTCTCTTCAGCAACCTTGGGAGTGCAAACTTGGAGTTGAGCACAGACAACATTTGGGTTCTCTTGGTTGATCAACTTGACGATGATTAATGGACCGTAGGATTCAACGATGGTGTTGCATGGTTGTTGCCACTTTGATGGGAGCATATGACAGGCTTTGGTCATTTGGTGTACAATTTGGTAGGTAGTTTCATTCTTCATGACCAATTCCTCAGCATACTTGACTACGTAAGTGCAAACATCACACTTTAAGAAAGAATAAAAAGATAAAGAAAAAGAAAAGAAAAGATATTAATAAATGTAATCAAAACCAGGAATAACTAATTTAATTTATTAATAACTTACTTTGGTGTCCTGGAGTTGTTGGGTGGTGGCGTTGGTGTTGGCAATCAAAGCCAACAAGACAATAGCAGCAATTAAGAATTTCATTGTTTGTTATAAATATATAACTGTTTATTTAAAAGATAAGAATATTTTGATGATTTGTTGTTGATGGCTGGTCAACTATTTATATTGACTGGTAACCAATCCAGAGACTTTATTTTCAAAAAAATTATAATAATTAATTTTATAAATAATTTTCTAAATTGTAAAAAAACAATATTAGTTTTCCTGGTTGTAAACAACAAAAAGAAAATTAAACAGTCCTCAATAAGAGAAATCTTATTTTTCATCAAAAACAAACAAAATTTTGACGACATCAGTATTGATTTAGAAAGGGGTTGTTTAGATGTTGGCTGATTTTCACAAAAAATTAAATTTCATCAAATCTAAACACGTTTGGTCTACACAAAATCAAAAAGTTTCGTATTTTTTAAGCTCTGGTAAATGTGCGCAAAGATTTATTTGTAAAAATCAAAATACTTTTAAAGTTCGCTGGTAATCAAAATTTAAAAAAAAACCAGGAATGTTAATTTTTTAGATCGATTTTTTTTTGCTAGCAAAAATAAATATAATTAAAAAAGAAAAAAAAAAACGTAATAAATATGATAAATATGATATTTATTTTAAATAAATATATTTATTATATTTTGACGAAAATATCTACTCAAGAGGTCGTCAATTTCTGTAAATAGTTACGGCAATTTAAAATTTTACTGCTTTGCTTTGATGATTTCTTCTTTTTGGTGGTTGTGGTGTTACCACTACTGCGCAGTGCCTTTAGGTACTCTGTTATTAATTTCTGGTTGGTTTGAGTGGACACTTTAATGAGTTTATCTAGCTGTTTGTTTGTGAGTGGCTGTTTCAGCCAGTGGTTGATGTAGGAGGCAACAATGTTCAGATGACCATTCGATATTGCATTGGCAGGATCCAATAGGAATCCATCGATAGTTGAGAGCCGTGATACGAATGCTAGTTTTCCCTGGGTGCATGCAGCCTCACACATGTCCTTGATGATCTCTGGTTTCGGAACTTGAAGATGTTGTACCATCAATTCGAAAATGTCAATGAAACCTTTCTCTGCAACGGTGATCCACGATGATTTCGTATGAGTTGCTATCTTTTGTTCAAAAAGATACTCTAGTATCTCAAGCTGTCTACCGTTGGCCGCTGACCACAGATTTACTTTGACCTGAGGAAAGTTCTTGTGAAGTGTAGTCACCACTGTTTTATAGCCAAATTGACATGCCAGTTCCATGATGGTCTTGGCCGACTTTTCATTAATATATTGCAAGAACATCTCGAAATTATCGAGAATTGTTATTATGACACCTTTCTTTTGTAGGATACCGACAATTGTTTTCTCTGCCAACTGTGGGTTGAGCTTGGCCAGCAGCTGAACGGAATCAAGACGACCGCGAACGATTGAGTTGGTAAATGCAATAGGGAATCCACGTTGTTTGTCTACGGTCATCAGCATGGAGACCAACTCGAGGTCTCCGGCAACAGAGCTTCTCTCCAGTGCCAAGTCATGCCACTGACAACCAGGAACAACCTGCAACACTCGCTTCATAATCTCTGCTGAGCCAAAACCAATCACCTGAAGACCATATTGCCAAGGATGATATGGCAAAAGGAATTCAACTAGTTCCAACGTTCCAATTTCCACTGCTGCGCCAAACATGATCGGTAATATTGAGTTGTTGGTCTGTGAGCGTTTCAGTGGCATCTCAATGATGTACTTTATTAGCGGTATACTATTGATTGCAACAATCTTTCGAATGGTATTGTAACTCTGTATTCCCTGTGCATATATATGTAGATTCATCTGGAGTAATGTTATATAGAATATCGCCAACAGTTTGTGCTCGCGTTGCTCCAGCTGGAATCTGTGGACGATCGACTCGGCAGTCTCTTTAGGCACAGTGTCCATGCCGAAACCAATCAATTGATAGATATAAAAGATGATACCGATATGATTCTTTGATGGATGATCAAACTCCACTGCGTACTCTGGCAGTATCAGTAGATCATTGATATAGTGTTCCAGCGCTATCAGCATGACATGTCGCGCGTTGGCATCGACACGGTTACACATTCGCTTGATCAACTCCAAGTCGCCACAAAGATAGAACAGATGTAGATCTACGTTCAGTTCCAACGTCCATTGCTGGTTCATCAGTGTCTCCACACAGTATCGTATCAGCTCAGCATTGCGTGTCTTGTAGAAACTCCGACGATTGGCATGACTGAGATGTTCCCTCTCCAAGCCATGTCGTTGCACCAGATACTTCAACACTTCCAACTGATTCTCCGATACCGATGTATTTAGGGCGTCACCTATCATCGATTTACTAACGGAGGGTAGTAGTCGTTCTAACAATTTCAACTTTTCCAATTGGCCGTGTCGCGCTGCCACCTCGTAGAGCTGCGGTAACAGATACTCTGGATGCTCCGTCAGAATCAAAGACAACGTTGAACCATTGATCTTTGGCGACCTTGTAGCAATCAACACCGATTGCAAATTGAATTGAACGTTATGAGAGTGACGCATCCGGTATTTTAGTAGTTCGTGATAGCCATGTTGAAGCATCCATTCAGCAGACCATATATCGTCGTAATATCTAATAGTATCGACACCAGCAACAATCGTACTTCCCAATTGATTGGAATCATCATTCAGCAATTCAAACTCGCAATTGACCAAACCATATTTTCTTCTATCAATAAATTTTATCTCTCTAAATATATATCTTCTTAAATATATACAATTTAATACTTTTCTTAATAAAGTTATATTTAGACTATTATCATTATTATTACTATCTACAATTATATTATTACTATTTACATTACTATTATTATTTACATTACTATTATATTCATTTTTATTATTATTATCTAAATTCATCTCCAAAGATTGATTAAACTTTGACTTTATATTATCTTTATCTACTTTAGCATTGTTATTGTTGACCTTATTAGATCTACCAAATAACATGAGTTATTGATTATATAAATAAAATATATATTTATTATTCTATATGTTTATATATGTATGTTTATATAGAAAGTGAAATGATTTAAAGAAAGATATAAAAACTAGTTAATAAAACAATAAATAATGCTAAAATTATTGATTGAGATTTTGTAAAATTGGTGTTGTTACCAAGAGTATAAATTATTTAATAGAGTGTGTGATGGATGTGTGACAATAATAGTGTTTGTCTGAAACACAAAAGGTGTAATATATTTGTCAAAATAAACCAAAACCATATAAAAAGTGGTCAAAATATTAACACAAAATTTTTTTAAAACAAATATTACATTTTTTTGTAACAAGCAGATAGATCTTAACAAATAATTTTTGATATTGTTTGTTATTTAATTCGCATCGGACTTGAACTACACTTTAGAATAAATCACAAATACAATAGCAAGTAAAGCAAGCTCCAAAAGAAGGATTGTCATTAGGAACAGTATAACATTGAAACTAACAAACTATCAATCACACTTCATCATGAAGTTATAACTGTTATATTAATGTTGTTGAAAAAAACACTCAACTCTCTTCATTGACTGAAGTAAAAGTAAATCGCGATAAAAATAAATAAATTTCACAAGAGTTGTTTATTGGTGTGATCACCAAGATATCTACGATAAAAGTTAACATATGGGAATGATCAAAATTGAAATGAAGATAGGACGAATATTAAAATTGTTAGTATTTTTTATTTGCATGATGTTGCCTTTTTAAAAGGTTTTATAACTAATGTATTCCCAATAACTATAACTATAAATTTTTGATAAAATTATAAATTCTAATGAAAAGTACAGAGTTTTTAATCTTTGCTTAAAACTTTTCTTTATAAATAATTTACTTTAGAGGTCAAAGCTGTATTCTTTCGATTTTTTTTTCTACAAAATTTTAAATCTCCAGTAGAAGAATATACCTACCACATGTTGCAGTCATTAGAAGAGGATGGTATAAAGATTTTCGAGATCATTGTAAAAAGTGTTCAGAAAAAACATGGCTCTTCTAGTAAAAGTCTGGAATATCTTGGTCAACTAGAGTAAGTAATATAGTTTATTTATTCTTTTAAAAATGAGATATGTTTTCTAATTTTTCTTGAAGATATCCTTTCCATTTATTTTGTCATTTATATATAGAAACCAATGGGGTTGGCAATGTAAGTTAGAATTTAGTTGAAAATTCCTTGTGCTATATATATTAATATATTTATGTTAAAATTGATCAATAATAATAGGATAAACAAAAACTTGGATACAACTTTCAGGAAGGTGGTGATATGTTGTTTGAAGGAGAAAATTATTTGATACAAGACTTCGAATGTTCAATCGAGTTGCATAAGCTATTTGATATATCCATCTTTTATGGATTGCCTATATCTTTGACAGCGCAATCAAAATTGAAGGAGGAGAAACCAGATTTCAGTTTCGCTAAAACCATTTTTGATTATGGTATCAGTGCATGTTGGAACCCAATTATTGAATTGGTAAGAAAACATGATAGATCAATAGATTTATTTAACACCTTTGTTCATGATCATCAAACATGTAAAAACTACGTTATCAACGCAATTGGTGAACCAATAGTCATACCTAAAAAAAAAATTCACAATAAATCCAATAGTTAATCTGTTATTTTATTTCTACATAATTGTTCAAACATCTTCATTTATTATTTAATGAATTTTACCTATCATAACAGTCATAAACATCATTGTTTGTATTGTACCCAATTATCGAATCGTTCTTTACTTTTTAAGAAGAACTTGACTTTTCAGTGAACTTTTAAAAGAAGGTAAAAATATTTTAGCCAAAATCATTGGCAAAGTCTTTTCGATTTATTTATTTGTTTGTCTTTTAAAGTACAGAGTACACTTCATAATCGGTTACCAAGAATGCATAGTCAGCGGCGAATGTAGACTTTCCATTACGAGTGGAATCACCATAGGTGGTTGGGAAATTTTGTAAACTATTCTTATTGGCATTGCAATTGTTACTGATTACCAGATCGTGTCCACTACCAAAGGTTGGTCCGTAGGTGTCGATTCCGGCTACATAGTTGGTGTTTGCACCGTTTGGAATATATTTGGTTGGCTTTACACCATGTTTGTTCACCAAAGTAAAAAGGAAACATTTGTCATCTCCATAGTATTTGTTCTCACTGTGCCACGATTGACTATTGTATCCACCGAAAACATTACCACACGATGATTTTATAATGCTAACAGTGGCACCTTTATAATCACAGTTAGCATGGAATTTGGTAGCATCGAATCCATCTTTAGAAGCCTATATAGAATAGAGGTTAAAAACTATTTCATTCCAAACCTTTTTTATATTACATACTTTAAAGAGTAATTCTGAGATCTTTGAATTACCTAACCATTTGTTAATTATTTCAAAATGTTCAGAATCAATCAAGTCTGATGTTAAAGCTGATGATGGTGGTGATGAAACGGTAGTTTGTGTTGAATTCGAAGAAGAAGTGGATTGTGATTGTGGCAAAACCTTATAAAATTTCAATTCTTTTTCAACCTCATACGCAATCGATTCTGGGTATAGACAGTCACCATCTCTCAAGTAATTCAAAATATATCTGAAATGTTCTCCATCTCTGATGTAATAATTAAAAAAAGTAATATTTTATTAATATTATTATAATTTTAAAAAAATAAAAACAATTCAAATAAACTTACCTATCAATGAAAAAACTATTTGATTTACCAGCCTCTACCTTTCCAGAAATCAAGTTATCAAAGAATGAACCAGCTACTTTGGTCAAAGTTGATTTTGATGTTTGGAATTCTTTTCCACCAACATTTAATGTGATAATTATCTCTTCAGTTGACATTTTTTTTATATATCTTTTTATTGTTTATGATTTATTGTTGATTGATTAATATTTGTAAAATTATTTCATTTTATTCAGATTTCTCATTTACTTACCTCGGGTTCCAAAGATATTCAGAGTTACAAAAAACAGGATGACTTCAAATTATCCATTTTTAATTTGACGTCATCCTGCAAAAAATCAAAACAGGTCGGAAAAAATTACAGGGTTTGATCTTGATTTCAAAATCATATATATATTACTTCAAAAATATTTTCAAATTACAAAAAACCTTTTATTTATTATATTTTAAAACCAGATAAAATGATTCAAAGATTTTTTGGGAAAATCTCACAATAAAATCAAACTTTTTTCTACTTTTAAAAGATATTTTGTGAAAAAGAATATCATTCCTTTTTTATATTTTACAACAATGAATTCCAACGATAATAATAATAATAATTCAAATGTGAATAATATCTTTGTAAATCTATCATATATACTACTGAAAAGGATAATAGATGAATTAAATGATAATATTGATAAAATATTCTTTACATTAGTTTGTAAGAGATGGTTCGACCAAAGAGATTGTTTGATAGCTACCTTCAACACAAAACATTTATATATATCAAAAGTACAACAATGTAATAGTATTTTTTTAAATTCTTATAAATCCAGGTTGATACAATCGATTAATCAAAAGTGTAATGCAACACTATCTATTGGGAATAAAAGTGGTACCCCTGATTATGTTGTTTCTTTAGGTAATGTAGTTAAAATAATTATTTTTTTCCTTATTGTATTGCTTTTTCTAATTACTTTTCTTGATTATCACATTTAACATGTTTCTTTTTTTAGGTGAATTATGTTCTATTGATTCTATTCAATCGAATATCAATACTGTTTCTATTCCGTACAATGATAGAGAGGAAATGGATTATACTACTACTTCTGCTTTATACAAATTGATCACCAATTCAAATGTGACTACTCTAAGACATGTTCAATCGTTATCGATGAAACTACCTGACAATCTGACTTGTATCAGTTTCGATATTCATTTCAATGAACCGTTAACAGCTGGATTCCTGCCAGCTTCTCTGAAGATTTTAAAGTTAGGACCATCGTTTAATCAAGTGTTTGGAATCGGTCAGCTACCCAATACATTGGAGGAATTAGAGCTCAACTACAGGTACAACCAACCCATTCAGCCAGGAGCTTTACCTCCGTCACTCAAGATACTGAAACTCAATCATTTATTTAAACATGAACTAGAGGTTGGATCTTTACCGCCAAAACTCGAGGTTCTCCACTACTCTGGACACGACATTGTCATCAAAGAAACTGGTGTTTTACCTAATACACTATACACACTCACCAATGCCCCGGTATCGTGGATCGCCGCAATCAGACTTCTACCGAATATCAAAGGTTTGAAATTCTATCAGAATGAAAGCGTTCCAATATTCGATCTTGACCAACTTCCACCCAACCTAACCAGGCTATCTATCAACACGGTCAATACAACTTTAAAGTCAAGAATGCCATCCACAATCACACACTTGAATATCTGTTATACCAATTACGATATCGATGAGATATTCCCAGAGAGATCACAATATCACTTTACGAAATTGATTCTCAGTGGTACGAAACAAGACGATATCAGCCATTTGAAAATTCGTGAACTGAAGCTTCGATTCACTGGTGACGACGATGATGATGTTTCACTGAAACTAATTAAGATTCCATTTGGTGTTAAGCTGCTTACTTTAGATTCTTCGCTACGAATCGACGACCCGTCAAGCATACCATCTTCAGTCACCACAATAACAGTTGCCAAGCCGTCTAGCATCAAGAGATTGGATCTTCTGCCAAGCACAGTTAAGGAATTGATTACTTCTGAGCAAGGAATCAATTTATTAAAAGAAATCATTCCAAGCTCAATCGAAAAACTAATCGTATCAGGATCACTGACCAACATACCGAATACATACAAAGTTAATCACACACTAATACGACTCAGTAGAGATATAATAATCGACATTCGAAAACTAGATGAACAATACTTTCTTATTTTCAATAGTCGGGTTGTAACGATGACCAATAATTTAAATGAATTATTTGAACAGTTGAGGTGGTGACATTTAAACTTATATAAGACTCTTTTACACCTAAAACCAACAAACTTTGCTTTGATGGTTGCAACAACGAAAAAAAAATAATAATTAAATAACAAGTATTCCGAAATGGATAAATCCCTATAAATTAAACATATTTTTCAATACACAAACAAATATGTATCCAATAGAAATATTAAAATAAAAGTATTGATTGTGTGTTTGTCTGAAACACAAAATGGTTAACTATTTTGATAAAAACAATATTTATAAATGGTGGTTTAAATAAAACCAATTTAGATTGTTTTTTTTTTGTTTTTTAAAAAAGTAGATAGTTTAGATCTATGATCAAAAAAATAATATTATTAATATATTATTTGTTTGAGATTTATTAAACCCCTAAATCAATATAAATGTATATAAATGTTGAAGATATTTTTAAAATAATTAAAAATCAATTTATTTAGTTTTTTTTTTTTTTTTGGAAAAAAATCAAATTAAGTTTCTGAAGGTGCAATAACATGACCCCCTTATCTTTATTGTCGTTTTTTTTTATTCTGTTTTTTAAAAATATATATCTTTAGATTTAGATAAAATAGAAAAAGAATGAATCTTAGCAAGATATATTTGATTACTTATAATCTCATACAATTTGCAGGATGGTCTTATATCTTGTTGTTGTTGGTACAGCATGCCCACCAGGCCAATTGGAGTAGCGCTGCATTCGAGGGTGTCTGGGAGAAAGTCGGTACTCTCGTTACCTACTTCCAGTTTGCCGCTTGCAATGAAGTGTTGCACTCTGTCTTTGGTCTCGTAAGAACACCGGCCTCCACCACCTTTGTCCAAGTGTTCTCAAGAGTTGCCTGTGTCACTCTTGCCCTCTTTGTACCAACCATTCACAACACCTGGGTACTCACTTTGATGTTATTCAGCTGGTCCATCACCGAAGTCATTCGTTATCTTTTCTACGCACTCTCCTTGATTGATTCCGTTCCCTATGTACTCGGTTGGCTAAGGTAAATAATCATTAATCAAACATTAACAACAGCAACAACACAAAACAACAACATATAGATCGAATCAACGACTAACATAATATTTTTAACATTTAACATATTACCAACAACACCAATCCAATTCTGTTATTTAGATATACTTTATTCATTGTTTTATATCCAAGTGGTGTTACTGGTGAGACTGGTACTATCATTTACTCATTGCCATACGTCGAAGAGAAGCAATTGTTCTATATGACAATGCCAAACTCTATCAACTTTTCATTCAATACCAAATACGTTTTGATTGGTTCTTTGATATTCTACGTTGTTGGTTTGCCATGGTTGTACACTTATATGCTCGGTCAGCGTAAACGTTTCATTCAAACCGGTGGTGGTAAACAACAATCATCATCTTCCACTCAAAAGAAGACTCAATAAAATAAATAAAATAATTAGATTTAATTTATATTGTTTTTATGTGTTTTATTTTATTTTATTAATTAACTTATTTTATTATCTTTATTTTTCTTATTTATTTATTTATTTATTTTCTTATTTTTTAATTAATCTTGGAACCATACATAATTCACAGGATTTATCTTTTTCTTCATTGATTTTCTCGCAACATGCACACTTCCATTTACCATCGGGAAGTGACTCTGTTTCTTTGGTGTCAGATAGTGTATCGATCGGTGATTTACCGGTTGCACTGGCATTAAATACGAAACCTCCAGTGGTAGATGATGGTGCCGGTGTTGCACTGGCATTAAATACGAATCCACCACCACCACTCGATGGTGCTGGTGTCTCACTCTTTTTATTCTCGGTATCGGATGATGATGATGTTCCAAACTTGATAGCTGAAGAACCAGATGGTGTTCCAAACTTAATTCCACCAAAGTCAGTGTTTCCACCACCAAGTTTGATTCCACTAGAATCGGTTGTTCCAAACTTGATTCCACCACCACCACCGCCTGAGGATGATGAGGAGTCAGTTGTTCCAAATTTGATTCCACCACCACCGCTAGAGGAGTCGGTAGTTGTTCCAAATTTAATTCCAGAGGTTTCAGTCGAACCAAAGTTTACTTTAAAGTCAGTACCACCCGATTTCATTCCGGAGAATAGACCAGACGACGATGTTGAAGAGGCGCTGTTCGATGCTGCTGGAACGGTGATGGGTTTGTTTGGTTTGGGAACCATACACAAAATACATGTTTTGGCATCAGGTTCATTCTCAGTTTCACAGCATGCACACTTCCATTTCTCGACTTTTGGAACAAGTCTTGGAACCATACACAAAACACAGGTCTTGGCAGTAACTTCATTTTCTGTTTCACAACATGCACATTTCCATTTTTCTGAAGTAGAGGAAGAAGTTGATGATGATGATGAACTTGTAGATGGCTTCAAACTGTTTGTTGATAATAAAGAGCTGCTAGCAGTTGAAGATGTTGGATTAAATACGAATCCAGCAGTGGTATTAGAGGTGGAAGTTGAATCTGTTGTTGTTGTTGTTGTTGGTGCTGATGAACCTGTTAATGGTGAAAATACAAATCCTGAACCACTATTACTCTTATTGCTATTTAATGGAGGGAATAATGTTGCAGAGGTAGTCGAAGTAGAGTTATTATTATTACCATTTAATGATGGGAATAATGATGAAGTCGAAATATTGCTGCTGCTGCTACTACTATTGCTATTGTTGTTGTTATTTAATGGTGGGAATAAAGTAGAGGTTGAAGTACTGGTAGATGATAGTGTTGGTGAGGTTGTTGATGACGATTTTACGGGTGGGAAAAGTGATGAAATAGATGTCTCTTGTGTATTGTTGCTGCTGTTATTCTTGTTGTTTTCGTTTTGTTGTTTAAAGTTTTCAAAGAGTGAGCTTGTTGTTGTTGTGGATGACGATGTCGAGCCACCAAATAAACTTGATGAGTTGGTGCTGAACATTCCCGATGTGATGACTGGTGGTGTGCTAAAGTTAAATGAGATCGCTGCAAATGGATTGGTTGATTCTGCAGCAGCTGCTGAGGCTGCAGGTGGTGAATTGGTGGATGTCGATGTCGATGTCTTTTTCTCGTCTGGTTGTTGTACTGGTTTATTCTTTGGTTTCAATTTAAAAATCCTATAGAGTAGTAGTCAAATCAAAAGCAAGCAAGCAAGCAAGCAAACAATGCAATTCATTAGTTTTGTTTTAATAATATCCTATTATTATAACTGTTTTGTCTTTACTTACTTTCTCTTTGCCATCTCCTCGGGTGATGCTCTTTCAAATGAACCCTTTAACACAAACAAAATTAGTACCAACAAACTAACTAGATCGAATTTCGATATTAAATATATATATATAGTACTATACTTACATCAAACTTTGGTTCTGGACCAGATTCGTTATCATCATCATCCTCTCTGAATTCATCTTTAATTATTTGTTTTGTGTTGACTCTCTTTTTCCTTCCATGACCTGTTTTTCATTCATAAACATAGTAGTAGGTAGTTTTTTTTTGTTAGTTTAAAGAGTGTTTATGTATTGTAACATTAGCTATTTTTCAGACATACTACTATCGTCAGACATATTTTGTTATTTTTCTTTCAAACTAATTAATAAAAGACTAAATAAAACAATAAAAAGTATAACTAACTAAATAAATAAATAAAATGAATACAATTAAAAACAATTAAAAAAAAAAAAAGTTGATTATTTTAAGATCGACAGTTTCTTTGTGAGAATCAAACCAAACACACACATATAAAAATTTTTCGGAAAGTATAACAATTTTTTTTTTTTTATTCAAAAAAATGGTTTCTTTGATTTTTTTTTTATTTATTTATTTTGTTGATAATTGATTTTATTGCTTTATGTGCAAACAGAGAACATCTCATTAATTAAAAAATTGATCATCATCATCATCATTGTCATCACCATCAGATTCGAAATAATCAGAGGAATCTTCATCAGAACTACATTCAAAATAGTTATCGTTGAATTTTAAAACATGTTGTTTGGTTCTTGTTAAGGTTATCTCTGTTGATTCTTGTATGACTTGATACTCCTTTTTGTTGGTATCTTGAAGTTTGGCAGCTTGTTCACTGATCTCTTTCGGATCGAGTGTATAGTTATTGATACCCTTGACGATGTTGTCTAGCTTCTCAAATACGAATTCATATTTCAATATTTGTGGATGCTCAAGATAGAGACCAGTAAACAAGTGAATGTAGCCTGGATATCTGGTGTTGTCGAATCGACGTTTTCTAATCAGACGGTAGTTGGCACGGAATGAAGCACGAACGATTGGATTCTCCATTTGTCTGGCTTTGTAGTTCTCCTTGTTTTGGATCAGCGCCATGTGGATGCGATCGCCTGCCAACTGCCGCTGTGACGCCGAAACGAAAAAGTCGGTAACCACCGACTTCAAATGATTGTCATAGTTGGTCAGTAAGTTGTCCGATGACCAATTGGTCCAAGGACAATTCCAATGGATTCTCTTGAATCTACGTCCGTTTGGAAAGAGACCAGAGATATCGATAGCGTTCAGACCAACCAGGGTTTCTACACCCAGTTTATTCAGTTGTTCCATCTTATACTGAATTTTTTCCGACTGTAACGGCGCCATCGATAGATCAGAGGTAGTAAGAGAGTTGGCAAGCGATGGATGTGTTGATTTGTGTTTGTTGATCAAAGCCATCGTGAACGAGAAATCACCATCACCAACAATCAATCTTGATTTACATTTTTGATTCTTAAATACCGATAAGTATTTATTATCATTTGTTAACTCTCCACAAAGCAATGAGAACAATCTTGATTCCGATTTCAATGACGATTCTTTTAAAACTGTGAATATTTCATACAATTGTTCACTATCAACGTTGGTATTGTTCTTAAAGATATTTGTTATTATCTTTCTTGTTTTGATTTGATCATATTGTTTGGTTGATAATTTGATTTGAGAAAGAAAATCATTGTCGATATTAATGTTGATTCTATTGTTCGGTCTGAGAATTAAAAGTGATCCTTGACATTCAACAAGTAATAACAAAGATTCACCAATTTGATTCATTGATAATATCTCTGACTCCATTAGATTATCAAATATTATTCTATTGTCAATGTCTTTATCATCTAATGATATGATTTGTAGTTCATTTGGTTGATTGGTTCCTGTTAATACTAAATATTCATTTGATAATAGAATAGATTGAATATTTTCATTATTACAATCTCTATCAGCTAGATGATTCCAGCCTTTTTCAATATTAAATAATGAGAAAGATTCTTTAAATTCAAATAATATAGAATTACTATTATATGATTTAATTGATTTAAATGACTGATCAATTGAAACAATACTTGAACTATTATCATTGATATTCCATAATGTCATTTTTGATTGATCTTGGTGGATGATAAAAACAATTCCACTTTCAGAGTTACAAGATGAATTGACATCATAAATACCATCTAAAATTTCAATTTTTTTGTTTGTTCTATATTCTCTTTCTTCTTTGTTGAATTTAACTAAATAGACATGGTTGTTGTTGAACTCAATGAGGTTGTATTCATGTTTAGATTTGATAACAATGATTTTGTTTATATTCGATTTAGAATATATGATATTATTTGTATTTAAATCATAAATACAATAGCATTTCGAAATATTATCTTCATTTTGATAATGAATTAACAATCTATCTTCAATTAGTGATTCTATGTTTATGATTCTACAATTAGTCAATTGATTTAAATGATAAGCAACTTCTACTCTTTCTTTTTGTTGATTATTATTAATATTGTATTTATAGATTTCATTATTTTTATTGATAATGTAGAATGAAGATGATGAATGTTTGCAAGATTCAATTAAATGAGTAATTTCATATCTTCCATATTGTTGAATGTATCTTTTATTTTGAATAATGTCATATTTTACCAAGATATTGCCATATGCATAAAAGATAAAAGAAGGTGTAGCATTGGTTTCTTTGAGAATAACTAAAGGATTATCAATCCTTATCTTATTTAATATTTTATATTCCATTGAATAAGAATATATTTTTAACAAAACTTTAGGAGTTTTATCAAAAATAATAAATATTTATAATAATTAAATATTAACTCTTTCTATTTAAATAATTTTTATATCCATATAATATAATATTAATATATTAATTTCTATTGAGATAAAAATATCACCTCATAATATTAAAGATTTTTTTTTGTGGTTAAAAATTTGGATTATCTATCTGAAGTATCTAAGTAAAATAAAATTTCAGAAACTAGTTCAACCCTAAAAATATCATAGGATATCATCGTCATATTTTCAAAAAAATACTGTTCAAATTTTTATCATAAATATTAATTAATTATGCAATTCAATCTCAAAATTATTATTTTTGTCAAATCTATTTTTCAAAGTCAGTACAAGTAGAATTTTTTATTAATATTCTTTAGAAAAAGAGGAAAAATTATTTTATTCAAGTTATATCTATTCAACTCATATCTATTCAACTCAAATAGTATACTTTATCCATATTGTTTTTATATTTATCATCAACCATAGAGATATTAAGAAATTTGTCTGATTTGTAATATATCTTTTTACTAAACAAAAGTTCGATAATCTTTAAAAACGAAACAATAATAATTGGTATAAAGAAAATAAATTTTATTAAATAAAAATTCTTTTTTTTTTGAGAATAATTCATCTAGAAAAATTTAAATTAAATAAGAATTCATTGGTCCAAGTTTCATCTATTATTTGATTTTAAAAAGACAACTAAGAAAGATGGATATTTAGGAGGAATGCCAGCAGGTGAACCTTACTTAATGTTAGGATTCATTTGTACTCTTTTATACTTTTATGTATTAGTATTATTCCCATTCATTTATATAATTGAATATAAAATAATTAAAGCTTTACAAAATACAAAATAATAGTATTATAATATTTATAATAAATAGGTGCAGCGCTTGCTGTATTTTTTATAATTGAAAACATAGTTATAAGGTGATAAAGTTTTATGAAAGTTTTATAAAAAACTTTAAAATAATAAAAAAAGAAAAAAGATGCCACAATTAGATAGTTTAATTTTTTTTAATGAAATGTATCATTTAATAGTAGGATTTGGATTATTCTACGTATTATTTTTAAGATACATTATTACCAAATTAGCATATATATTAAAAACAAGAGAAAAATTTTTAAATAAAAAGTTTTCTCAAATGATAAATAAAGGAATATTTTTAGAGGAGTTAAATAAAATGAAAAAACTTTATTTAAATGTAAATTATTCCTCAAAATTAATAAATCATACAACTGGAAATATCAAAAAAGAAATAGGAAAAGTAATAAGTAAGTTAAAAGAAATCTAAGAAATGAATAAATTAAAATTTGGATTTTATTTATTATTAATTTTAATTTTTGATATTGCAAAAGAAGAGATTGCATTAAATGAAGAAATTGTAATCATCATAAGTTTTCTTATTAGTATTACTTTAATTTATAATTTAATAGAAAACAGTATAGATGAAACTTTAAAAGCGCGTTCTGCAGAATATTTAGTTTTATTTGAAAAAATTAGTAATTTAAATATTAAATTATTACAAAATTTAAAAAATATGATTGTCTATTTAATTCAAGCACAGGAAATGATTAAAAGAAAATTACTAATGGGATTAAAAAGAAGTCAAATCTGGACTAAATTATTAAAAAATGATTTAAAATTAAAATTAAAAAAATATAACCTCATAATATGAAAAAAAACTTTTTAAAGATTAGGTAAGATAAAAATATCGTTTGTGGCGTTTTAAATTGAAATTTGTTCAATTTGTGGAAACTGCTTTACTCTGCAATACGATTCGTAGTCAGCAAACATGGAATTAAACAATTAATAATAATGATTTTTTTTGGAGCTGTATCACTTCAATGGCTGGTACGAGTTTATTGTTAGCTCGAGATGAATAATATTATTACTACAGGATTGGATATTAATTCATACCTGGCTATGGCACTGTATTATCAATTTGGATACTTGGCACGCGCCAATCAACATTGCTAAACAATTATTATTATTTCATCAACACATATCACATCTTATTATCATAATCAACAACAAGAATATCAAACTGATAACAAATCATATTTATTCATGAAGACATTATTTGTTGTCTAAAAACAAAAATTTAAAAGTGCCGCAAAATGAGCTTGGATTCATTTAATAAAATACTTTTATTTATTTCAAGATACAATCAGTCATCACTATCACTTCCAGATTCGAAATAGTCAGAGGAATCATCATCAGTACTACAATCGAAATAGTTATCTTCCAATGTTACCTCTGTATTCTGAACCATACGGGTTATCTTTTCATGTGGTTTGATTTCATAATACTTTTTGTTGGTATCTCTGAGTTTGGTAGCTTGAACTCTGATCTCATCCCAATCCTGTGTGAAATTGTTGATTTCCATTGTCTCTTTTGGGTCAACCTTTTCGAAAATGAACTCACGTTTGGAATCTCCAATCAATTTCTGAGCCAATCCAGTGTAATGATGAAAATATCCTGGATATCTAGTATTACTGAGTCGACGTTTTCTAATCAAACGATAGTTGGCACGGAATGAAGCTCGAACCAATGGATTCTCCATTTGACGGAATTTAAAATCTTCACTCCCCTGTACAAGGGTCATGTGGATACGATCACCTGGCTGCTGTAATTGCGATGCCGATACATAGAAAGAAGGTAGTACTGAGCTGATGTAATTCTTGTAGATACTTAATGACCAAAACGGCCAAGGATTGTTCCATTGAATACGCTTGAATCGCTGACCTTGAAATACATTTGAGATGTCGTTGGAGTTTAGTCCAACAATGGTTCGAACACCAAGTTCATTCAATTGTTCCATTCGAGAGTTGATTTCATGTGATTTGAATGGAGACATTGAGAGTTCAGAGGTGGTAAGAGAGTTGGCAAGCAATGGGTGTGTTGATTTGTGTTTATTGATCAATGCCATCGTGAACGAGAAATCACCATCACCAACAATCAATCTTGATTTACATTTTTGATTCTTAAATACCGATAGGTATTTAGTATCATTCGTTAGCTTTGAACAAAGCAACGAGAATAATCTTGATTCCGATTTCAATGATGATTCTTTTAAAACTGTGAATATAGAGTTCAATTGTTCAATATTAATATTGTTATTTTTTAAGATATTTGTTATAATCTCTCTTGTTTTGATTTGATCATATTGTTTGGTTGATAATTTGATTTGTGAGAGATAATCATTGTCATTGTTGTTATTTATGTTGTTTGAATTGTTTGGTCTTAATACAAAAAGAGATTTTTTACATTCAACAAGTAACAAAGATGCACCAATATGATTCATTGATAATATCTCTGATTCCATTTGATCATCAAAGATCATTCGTTTATCGACTTCTCCATATTGCAATGATATTATTTGTAGTTGATTTGGTTGATTGTTTCTTGATATAACTAGATATTCATTCGATAAAAGAATCGATTGAAAGTTGTTATCACTATTTGTTGTGCTTATATTGATATTTCTCCATCCATTTTTAATACTGAACAATGAATATGACAATTCATTATTGTAGGCAATGAATTCAAAGAAGATAGTATTGTTATCTATAAGTTTAATTGATTTAATTGTTTTAGCTGGTATTTGTGGTTGTTGCTGATCAATCGAAACAACACTTGAACTATTATCATTGATATTCCATAACGTCATTTCTAAATGATCCTGATGAATGATAAACACAATATCACTGCCATATAAAGCAAGGATATCATCTTTGACATTATTAACTTCTTTACTTTTCTCTAAACATTCTCTACTATCGAAGGTGAAAGTAACTAGGTTTACTCTATTCTCTTGTTGTTCAATGAACTGACAACATTCATGTTTAGAACTGACAACAATGATTTTGTTTATATTTGATTTAGAATATATGATATCATTTGAATGCAAATCATAAATACAGTAGCATTTCGATGTATTATCTTCATTTTGATAATGAATTAACAATCTATCATCAATTAGTGATTCTATATATATGATCGGACAGTTTGATAATTGATTTAAATGATAAGCAACTTCTACTCTTTCTTTTTGTTGATTATTATTAATATTGTATTTATAGATTGCATTATTTTTATTGATAATGTAGAATGAAGATGATGAATGTTTGCAAGATTCAATTAAATGAGTGATTTGATATCTTCCATATTGTTGAATGTATCTTTTATTTTGAATAATGTCATATTTTACAACACTGTTACCATATGCATAAAAGATAAAAGAAGGTGTAGCATTGGTTTCTTTGAGAATAACTAAAGGATTATCAATCCTTATCTTATTTAATATTTTATATTCCATTGAATAAGAATATATTGTTTAACAAAAAATAAAAAATAAGAAAATGTTTTAAATAATTAGTAACACTTTTATTTTAAATAATTTTTATATCCATATGGACCATATTTTAAAATTATTATGAAAAAATAATAGTTATCTTAAATCTTTTCACAAAACAAAAGTTCAATAATCTTTAAAAACGAAACAATTATAATTGGTATATAATATAAAGAAAAAATATACTTTTTTATCACCTTTAAAACAAGTATGTCTAATTAGGATATAGGTTTAATTCCATTCAACGACCACTCAAATTTTTTAATTTGCTTCTGTTTTTTCATATGTGTCGATTTGGAGACCATCTTTATTTCTTTCATGTACGGTACAAAACCATTTGTAATATATCATATACTAATTTATTTATTTAATGTATTCTATCATTTATAAATTATTGTTGTTCAAGATTTAATAGGTTGAGTAATGATTGTCCAAGTTCCCTATATTTTTATATATATATCAAAACGCGTGTTGTTAGTAAACACATATTTTAAAACTAATGAAAAATAATTACCAATACAACAATATGAATTTGTGGATATTCTCTTGTTTAGGAATGTTCAATTCGATTTCTAATTCCGACTTTACATTGTAGAGTATACCTTCATTGGTAAATTCATGACTCTTTCTGATGGTAGCACCAAGATTATAATCAGACAGCGGATGGTTTGGGGGTGGTTTCAATCTTTTGATTTCAAAATGATGTCTAATCAGATAAACTGAATCTCTAAACTCTGGCGCGATAATAAATTTCTTCTCGGGTTCATCGCTGACTACCTCTTCAGATGCTATCGGTTGTTCTTGAAGTGGATCATCGATATTATTGTTGTTTACTTCTTGTTGCTCTACCTTCTTATTGTTATTACTATTATTATTATTATTATTATTGTTATTGAATTGAATTATAGGTTTGTTCATATATTTCTGGTATTCATAAGAGTTCTCACAGTAGACTTTCTTTGATTGAATGGAGTAACGGACATCCAGTTTATCTTGGTTGGTCTTGTAGTCACTGGTTAGCCATCCCAAGTTGGTGTTACCGAGTCTGTAGGTGTTGAGGTCGGTATCCGCCCAGATTTTCATTTCAATTCTTTTGGCGAAATTGAAGAATGACACGGAGTAGAATTCACTTACGAAATCCTGCGGTAGATTGGGAGTATCGACAACACTCCAGCCTAAAGATTGTAACCTCCTCATTGTTTCGTCGTAATCGACAATATAGACAGCAAACGATGATTTTGGATTCTTTGCAGTATAGATACCCTTATGCTCTTCTTTGCTAAAGTCAATCTTGAGTTTCATAGATCGTACTTTGCTGCCACCAATATCAACCGATGTTTCGTCAGTATTACTAGGAGCAACATTGGAGACATTTGGTTTTGCAATTGGTTTTGGTGTAGTAAGGTTGGATAGATTTGTTGGATTTACTGAAGAGTTGGTGATTATTGTTGTTTTTGCTGCTGTTTTTTTGGATTTAGATTTAGGTTGTTTCCATTTTGGTTTTGATTTGTTGGATTGCTTAACTTGTGTTGAATTTGAGACATTTGGTTGCTGTTTCTGTTGTAGAGTTTGTTGTTGTTTCTGTTGTAGAGTTTGTTGTTGTTGTTGTTGAATTGGTTGTTCAATTGTTGGTTGATTGTTTGCCGGTACTTTTTGTTGTGGTGGTTGTACTTTTGGTATGAAGATTGGTGCATTTATAGACAGTAATTTTGTTGTTGGTGTATTGTTATTCTCTGAAATCGTTGTTGTATTTAGAGTGGTTGATGGTTCATTGGTAGTTGAAGTTATTACAGGTGTATCTTGATTGTTTTTGGTTGGATCACGTTTTGGTATATCGCTAGTAATTGTTGTGGTATTTGAAGTATCTGGATGAGGTATATTTGTTGTTGGTCGAGCGGTTGTATTGTTTTGGGTTTTAGGTACCCACACCTTTGGCTTAGATGATTTGGATTTAGTTGATTCTTGTTGTTTTTGTGGTGGTGATGGATTGGCGATAGTAATCGTATTGGTGGATTTGGGTGTGATTAAAGTGTTGTCCTGTTTAGTTAAATTCTTTGATTTGTTGTTGTGATCCTGTTTCTCTTTTTTTGGTTTTGTTATGTTTGTTTTATGTGTAGGAATTGTAAGAGAATTAGTACTGGAATTTGATAATTGATGTTGTGTCGGTTTGTTTTCTATTGACTTGAATTTCTTTTGTTTGTTGTTGTTGTTGTTATTTGTTGTTGTTGATGTTGGTGATTGTGGAGTTGGTACTATCGATGTGGTTGTTGGGGTTGTTTCAGATCCGTAATCAGGTGTATCAGATTCCATTATGGGTGGCGCTATTAAATGATCCAACGGAATTACAGATTTCATTTTGTTAACAATCAACTGATTGCGTTGTTTGGCAATAATCTTTGTTGTCTCAATGGGTAGTGTAACCTTTTGTTCGTTGAATGATACCATTTTCCTACTACCGGGAGCATACAGAGATTTACGAGTATCGGCAACACTCTTTTGGAATCCGTTGTACGGAACATTGAAGATATAGACCGATCCAAACCTGAGGAATGCACGAATCTCTCCGTATTCATCGGGATCATAATACTTGTAGACACGTTCCATCTGGCGGTAGTAAGCGGCACCGAATTCCAAATAGGATTCCTCGGCTTTAGCTGCGGTCTTGGAGCTGGGTGAACGCAAAAGAATCGGTCGGAATGGCCGTTTGAAGAAATGGTAGATGTTCACCTGGATGTGTTTCAATTTGAGATCGACGAATTTCAGTGTTTCATTCTGGTCGGTGCAGCCTTGGATTAGCAATATGCTGCCACCTCCAGTGACCAAGTTGATTTGTGTACGCACGGGAAGTCGCGATACTTCGTGTGCGAGATCCGATATCTCTTGGACGGCCGACTGTATCGCATAGGGATCACCCTCCACCCGAATCTGGTAGCGCTTACCGTTGAGTTTCTGGAGGACGACGTTCGTTCCTGTCTTAGCGCTGATCTTACTCTCAAAGTATTCCTCCTGTTCTCTGATGATCTTGGAGATACGACTGTCCAGGTTGATATGCTTGACATTGTGGTTCAATGATTTGCTGAGGAACGAGGTGATGTTGCTACTGGACGACAATGTGTGATAGGCAATCTGGAAGCTTTCAAAGAGATAGACGGAATCGGGTGTCACAACCAGACTGGGAACATCTTCCACATCGAGTGGACATACAACGACCATTCTTATTCCCGAGTAGATGCTAGTACCCAAGAATTCAATGTAGAATCTAAAGAAACTACGAAGATATTCGCTCAGCAGCTGTGCATGGCCATCGGGAATTTGAATCGCTTGATACAGATCTATCCACCATTGAACTGGATTGTTATCGATCTGCTTTTTCGCCTGGTAAGCCTGCTCATCGAAATCAATCTTTTGTATAATTTGACATTGTAAACAAAAGTGTATAACCATCCACAGTAATGACCATGTTTTAAGTGTTCTAACTTTTTCAACCTTATTTGCTGAGTCACCATTATTATTATTATCGTTGTTGTTGATTTTGTTGTTGATGTTGATGTTATTGTTGCATCCAGTTAATAATCCACTTTCTCTACCCCATTGGATGATTGCATACGATAATGGAAGTAAGAATGGATATTGTTTAAAGTATTCACAAATCAATTTGGTCTTCTTGAAACCATTGTCATCTAGGGACAAGTCACAGTTGGTGTGAAGCATACGGAATCTGACGATAGGGAAGAGTGCATTCTCTATGATTTCGATATTCTTGACATCGATGTCATTGTTGGTGAATATCGATTCCAATATCTTGTAGATGGAGATCTGACTGGCACCACTTAGTTCCGATTCCTCTGGAATGCTGAGATACAAGTCAATGTCGGATGACTCATTGAAGAGGAACATCGATTGTGAACCGTAGATTCCAATTCTACAGTCTCTAAGACCAGGATGATACGCCCTCAGTATATTCTCAATCGATGTTACCAACTGCAATCGATTGGTATAGATCTTGAACATCTCCAATGAATTGATAGTGAAGTAATGAACGATATCAATTGGTTTGCCAACAACAACAGCCGGTGATTCACTTGCACCTGCAGTTGTCGAACTTATGGTCACTTCATTATTAAAGAATTGTTTAACAATCCAATAGAAACTGTAGAGTGGATGTTTCTGATCCTTATAAGCACAATGATAGTATGCCGATACTTTTCGATTGATAATATCACGCTTTTTGTGAGGTTCCGGCTGGAATTCAACCATGAAATCAATCTGGAACTGTCGTTGTATCTGTACATAGTTTTTGAATGCCTCTTTAATCATCGGTTTGTTGATACTATCTGCGTCCTGACAGTAATCGATGAACTGCACAATGATTTCCTGTTCGGTTTCAATGCCAAAGCGACTGAGCAGCAACCGGATGTTGTGCTGATACTGATGGTATGTCTTGGTAGCTGAATCCAAATACTGGTGATATCCATCAACGAGTTTGTTAGGATCGTAGTTACGTTCGACCACACCGGTAATTGAATGCATCTGTTTACACTGGTCGTACATCAATCCAAGTATTTTCCTGCTATTCCAATACTTTTTGTTGGGCAGTGACTTTTCCATGAACATTGGAAAACTCTCAAAGTCACCAATGACATTCTTGACATCCTCAGGCAGCTTACCATGTACTCCAGTCTTAGGAGAATCGACTTCAATCGAATGTTGAATCGACAGAGCGATAGCCAGTGGATCGAGAGGAGTCAGTCTGTCACTGACAGCCAAGTGAGAGAGCGCAATCTTACCGAGCGTACCTTTATCAATGGATTTAAGATACTGTGCTAATATTGTGCTTTGATTGATGGGTATCGTTTGTTTCACTTTGATTGGATCCTCATAGTGGTAGTCTTCGTATTGGCGCACCGTTGAGATGACTTCGGGATCATAGCAAATAAAGTAACGGTCACCATCCAAATCACTGCCACTGCACTTTTTGAAATCAGGATTGTCGCCACGCGCTGAAAACACAACGACATTCTTCAGGTGACTCAACAACTCAATGTCGGTACCTTGAAGAATACGAACGTCACCCGGATGCAAACAAGGATTCTTACACACTGCAACCGCACCTTGAATCACCATGGATTGGCCATTCTTGGTATTATAAATATTGATATAGACTTGTCCGGCTTCAAGCAATCCTGTTTCATCCAATACACCGATGATTGTCTTACCATTGGCAATGGGAATGAAGCATTTATCACTGTACTCAGCAATACTCTTTTGGTAGACGAGATGGACGAGCGAACGAATCATCGGATCCGATCGGAGATCTTCTTTTTCAATGGTGCGAAGCCATGGCAAGTCTTCGGAGCATCGAATCGACTCGGCAGGATTATGGAGCAGATCGGCCAAGTCCATTAGCGCCTCTTTTTGTAGCCGCAGGAAATACTGGTCGGGAACACCGAGTCCCGAGAGCAAGTTGATCACCTGACGATTGAGATGACAAGGATTGTCTCCGTTGATACTGATTATCTCCAATATGCAATTGTGCTGCTGTGTCAGATCCGCTTGGAACTTCTTCATGCTAGGACGCAAGTAGATTCCGTCGTCGATCGTCGGATGAATTGTCACGACACCTTTGTATCCTGCTATTCTAATCTGGAATGCACAGGTCTCCTCTGGAAGCGAGGCAAATTCAATCACTTGGAGTGCAACACGCTTGCCAATATAACCGATTCCATCCGAGAAAATCTGACCGGTGTTCGCACTGACGACGTCGGGCACTTCGTGGATGTGTTCGGCCGGAATCAACAGAGATGGCGTGGTCGAAGGGAATACCAAGGAAAGTGAACGAAGATATTGTCTTGGTTCCGTATAGATCGATGTGTCACCTATGAGAATCTGTTTGACGTCATCGAGTGACGGTGCATCGTCCAGTGAATCTATGGCATCGGGACAGTAGAACCAACAGGTATTCTTTCGCAGCTGCGAGTTACTGTAACCGAGGAAATGATATTGTCCGTAACCGGCAACAGCTATTCCATCGATAAGCTTATCCAACATCAACTTGGAGATCAGCGGTTGATAGTCGATCGAGTCACTGATTGTCTCCTCGGTGATTTGCACCATGAGGAAACGATCCGGTCCAAACAAACGAATCGCTCTATTGGTTTGAACCATAAGCGGGCGTTGGAACAAGATACGACTCGGTGTAACATAGGCTTTCTTGATCCAACAGAAATTGGCATTGAGTGGCTTCACGTTGGATTTGGCACGCGGTGGAATATTGTTCCAAGACGGACAACTAAAAGGAGATGCATCGATCGCACAGAATATCATATACTCTGCTTGCTCGACATGGTCATTCGCCAACAAATAATATATATCGTCATAGAATTCCTTTGGAATAATCAAGTTTCCAAATTTATGATTACTAAAAAATATTTTTGAAATAATTAGTTAGTTAAAGTGGAAATTATTTTAATAATTATTATTATTAACTATTTTTACCTTTCTAATACAGATAATAAATAAGTTATCTCTTTTGGAAATTGATATTCTATTTTCGCTTTGAATGTTTCAATTGGAAGTGTTGTGGTTGAGAATGAACAATAGACTAGTGGAATATTGAGTAGTTCAGAGATGAGGTTGTGGCGTTGTCCGGCGAGTTTGAATCTATAGACAAGTGTGGGAGGAGTGGATCGCTTTGTGTAGGGTAGTTGTCCGAGACGATCGACAACAGCACCAGACTTTAATACCAATATTCTTGATGGACGATTCAAAATGAGATAGTGGTAACCAGTCTCAATATCGTAGAATACACGATGGAATAGATCCGATTGTATAGTTACAACCTCAACCGTTCTGTTACCACCATTGGTCTGATGACGGAATGATAAATGACCGTTCTTTACATACAAAGTAACAGAGTGTTCCCATGCCAATGAGAATTGTATTTGATCAATGAAATTACCACCTTGTAATTTAATTGGAATACCTGATAAATAAGTTTGTTGTTGTTGTTGTTGTTGTTGTTTGTCTTGTTGTTGTAATTGTTTTTGTGATTGTAATTGTTTTTGTGGTTGTGGTTTCTTATAATTGATATCGATAATATATCTCTGTTGATTCAATATCGATTGAAGTAAACTTATCAAATTGGTAACGGTCGTTGAAGTCTCAATGGAAACCATCAATCTCATGGCCAAGTATTTGTTACCACTGTTGATAGGTTGATATTGTTTGATTCGATAGCCGTTCGATGTGAATAGTTGGTAGTAATCTACATCGGGCGACACATAGTAAAAGATAAAGATCAATGTATTGACACTGGTGTTATCGACCAGTGTTCCATCGAGAGCAATCATATTGCTGACGATGTAGGACTGGTACTTTTGAAGGATATCGCGCGAGTCAAACTTGTCGGCTTTTCTCTGGTGCTTGCGGTTCAGTGAAACAATGGTTTTCTGCATTGATACCTCGCGATACGCCAGGTTTTTCAAACGATTGGGATCGCTATACTGTTTGAACACATAGAACTTGCTGTTGGCAGAACGTGCACGTCCACGACGTTGAATGAGCGAGCGCAGCTGCAAGTCGTCATCGAAGCAAATAATGAGATTACAAGCAGGAATATCGATACCCTCTTCAAGTACAGAAGTGGCAACAAGCAGTCGACATTCATTATCCTTAAATTTCGCTAGTATCTCTTGCTGCTCCTCCAAATCCATTCCACCATCCGCCATATAATGTCCAATCAACTTTTTAGCATGTAGAAAACTGTTGAAATGTTTCTTCTTTAGCGCACGAAGTACACTCGACACTGTTGTCTTTGTCTGCACGAAAATAATAGCCGATAAAGAATCATTAAGATTCTGTTCGATAATCTCTTCCAACAGTTTTAGTTTAGTTTTAAACAACTGGTTATCTGAAGTAGTAGGAGTTGTAGAAGTAGCTATTTCATTACTAATAGTACTGTTACTACTGGATGAACAACTTGTCATTATCTCGTTTACTGCTATACTAATCTCTTCGAGTGTCGACTTGAATGCTAGATTCTCTTGCTCTTCGATCTTGTTGACCAGTTGTTGTTGTAGTTTAACCAGTCCTTCCAACTCAATGAGTGAAATCAACTCGAGTAACTGTGTTAGATGATAGGGATGATAACTCAGATGAACGAGTTTGCGTTCGAAGACATATCTCTCCAGAACACGACAATGAAAGATAAAAGCTCCCCTATTCATTCGGGCATACTTCAGAGGGTTACTATAGTTATCCAACTCTCTGAGAAAACACTCGATGATCTGAACGATCGATTGCTCGATGACGTCGATCACCAGGCAATCGGCGTTACTCAGCCGGTATTCAACGATCGACATCACCGTGGTGTCGGTCTGATTGCGCACCATATCGATCGACGGTGGAATGTAGAGCGATGCGCCCATCTCCTTTTCTAGACCGACCATCGATATCCTCATATTGGAGCGTGTTCCAGTCGTAGGCGAAGCAGTCATACCAAAGATGCGCGGGCGCAGCCGTTCGTCGCCAATCGATTGTAGTAACTTGGCGAGACGTGAATACGAGTGCGAACCACCGCAATGATGCGCTTCATCAAAGACCACCAAGTAGAAATCGATCGGTTTCAACACCTTTCCGTGGAGAAGATTCAAGATCGAGTCGGAAGTGCACACCAAGACGTCGGGACGTCTGACATTGGCACTCTGGAAATCGGATCGCTCGCCACTGTGAATCGAAGAAACCACGAATTCCGACCCGACATGATACTGAATGGCAGCGCACTGTTGTCTTACGAGCGGGACACGATCTGCAACAAACAATATCATTCTCTTGGCAGTCATCTCATTGAGTAATCTTCCATTCAAAGGATGTAGTTGTTTCATCAAAAGAATAGATACAATTGTTTTACCATATCCTATATATATATATATATATATATGTATATTTAGAATTCAAATAAGATGGATGTTATTCTGACAAGTTTAAATTAAAAACAAACATACCTGTTGGAACAACTAAAATAGTATTACGTTTGGTTGCTCTGTAAAGTGTTTCAATTTGAAAATCATAGAGATCTTGAATGTTTAGCAATGACATCAATGAGAATGAAATGGTATCTGGTATCTTTGTTGGCATATAGATTAAATCATCTTGATTGTTGTTATTATTATTATTGTTATTGTTGTTGTTGTTGGAGATTGATTCTTTGTTATTGGCAAACTGTGAAGAATTCTCTTGATAGACATCGACACTCTCGATAACTTCAATATTTAGATCTGAATAATATTGATTATCGAAAGATCTCCATTTCTTATTGGCGACCACGGTTGTAGGAACTCCATTTGCGGCGGCAGTACCGACATCGGCGGCGGAGTTGCTATCCTCTAGATAGGTCTGACTCAAAGAGATGGAATCCGGATTCAAACAGAACATGTAACGATCACCAAACTTTCGGATGACACTACCTATCTCGTATTGACAGTGTCTATGGAGTATCTTGAATGGTATCTGCGCTCTTCCTCGGAGGTCTTCCACCAGATAGAAATCGGCATTGTCATTATCGATCTGATCTTTAGCAACTGAGATTCGGTCACTACTACTAATACTACTACTACTACTACTACAATGATCATTGTTGGTATTGCTGCCTTTATAATTAAGTTCAACAGGTACATCACTCTGAGATGTTGTTGTTGTATTTGTTGATCTTATTGCTAGATGAGCACCACCGTTAGCCTCTCTAAACAAACATAGTTGATCTGTAGGAATGAATTTACTTCTGCACCTCTTGCAGAATGAATACATTATCTTGATCTTGTTAGTTTTAACTAATTATATTTATATGTATATCAAAGATATTTATTTGTATATGTATGTTATCTATATTATTTGAATTTAAAACAACAATTCTTTTTAAAACCCATATTTTTCTTTTGAAGATTTGATTTTAGTACAATGATTTAAACATACATCTCTTTTTTCATTCAGCGACCAAAAAAGGAAAAATCATTTTTTGTTTGTTTGTTCACACCACCTTTTTTTTTGATTTTTGTCTAAATTTAATTAAATCAGTTTTTTTGAAATGATTTTTAAAGTTAATTTAATTTTTGTTTATTTTTATACAGTTGGTTTATTCTAATGTCTGGGCACTATAAATATTTCATAGAGACCATCGGTATCTTTAATAAACACCATATTTTTGATTAGTTTCAATTTAGTATTATTGGTGACAATTAAAATAGAGTCTACATTCATTTCTCTGTTGATCCATGGATTATAGAGTTCAAAATACTCCATATCACTTTGGTAGAATTTGAAATAGAAATGTTTGTAACACATCTTTCCTTTGAGATTAACATTGTAATACTTTTTATCTTCTGGCTTTATTGTAAGTGAAACAGGTCCACAAACTTCATTATCGTCATCACTCTGACAAATTACCATTCCAATAAGAAATAACATTAAAAAAAAAAGATAAATCTTCATCTTTTTTGATATTTTTTCAATTAAAACTATTATTTATTATTTAATTGTTAGAATCCGATAAAATTAAATTTTTATTATTTACCTACAGATATCAATTTAAAAACTATTGCAGAGTGAATTTCATACTGCTTTTCTGAAAATAGAAACACATATATTAATTTTAACACTGATGATGATTTCAACTTTTTTTTAACTACTAGTATACCAGATCCCACCATTTCATAGTGATAATTGATGTTGGTAATATAAACAAAAATTTGTTCCTCACATAAATATTCACATTTATTATTCACACATTTATTGTTAACAAGTAGCATATTAAATCTAATATCAAGTGATTTGAATATCATTGCTTTTGATTCTTCCTATGGTAAATAAACAAATTTTTATTGTTAGAAGATTGTGTTATTTGTTAAAGTAACTATATGATATAATTACTTACTATAATGTTTTAAAACACGCCCAGTATATCTATTTGAACTAATATATTCGAATTGTTTCAGATTGGAGATAAGGTAATCGTATTTCTTTGAGTTGATATGAAGTATCTCTAATGATTTACTTTCATGTACTAAATGAATGAAATGATCGAGATCATTGAATGATTCAAAGAAGTTATCATGTAATGACAAACGTCTAAGTGTCGTACTATCTGTGAGAATCTGTTTGAATACATTACTACTATGATAATCACTTGGACACCGTAGCATATGTACATGAGAGATAGAGAGATATTGAACTGTTGTATGGCTACCAAGTGATTGTAACCATTGATCATGACTATTGATAGTAAGCATTGCCAGTTTCAAAGTTTGAAGATTAACAAAATATTTGGTTGGCTCTATATAGATTTGATAATCATCGATATCAATTGAACTAAGTCTGACTGTAAAATCTAAAGATCTTAGTGTTGTATTTATGATTGTTGGTAATTGTTTGTTAATTTTCCAATTGCTTTTGGTGTGTTGTCGAGGATTAGAAAATCTTAATTTTCTGAGGTTGCTGTTCATCATGAAAGCAGATACAATAGAATCATCAAAGTCATGGAGAAATACAACATTCTTGAGAGTTTTCGACTCTGAGATAAACTCGACCAACGATTCGATGCAAACGATTTCATATGACATGTAAAGTTTAAATTTAGAAAGATGAGGACATTGTTTGAGAAATCTAACTTCACAATCTACATTCTCGACTCTATTATATAGTTCATAATGGAAACTAGTCAATGAATAGGTCGAGCGAATAGATAATTCCTTTGTGATTTGGTACTCTGAAGAACAGTCGAGTCTCTTAAGGTGTCGATTGTTTAGTAGATCATATTCCCCAGGATTATCGATGAGCTCTTCCAAATTGGTTGCTGTGAATTCTGGAAATCGATCGATAACATCCACCAATATATGTCCTGTAACACCACAAGTTTCAATGTCGATCGGTTTATTCATTCGTTGGATGAATTCGAGTACTGAAGTTTGCAAGCATCTTAGCGAGCACTTGATATGTATTCTGTATCTACTCCAGAGTTGCTCGATCAATTCGAGTGTTTGTTTTGCTTTCTCTTTGTTGGTGGCTGTCGTGATGCATTTATCTATAACACTTGCATCAATAACAAGAGTAATGCTATTATTGGTAGAAGTTGAAGGATAGACACTGAATACACAAGTATCTCTAATGAGATGATGATAATCATACTCTTCATCCTCCACGAAAAGTAAAGAAGATTGGCATTGAATCTTTATCTTCTTTGAACTTTCTAATAATTCAGATTTCATAAAAGTGAACCACCTCTTTGAAACCAAATTCAAGTATAATCTCCATTTCCAACAATATAAACTATCATTAAATAATATTGAAAATATAAATCTCTGAATATAACTATTAAATAAATTGTTGTTGTTGTTGCTATCAATTGCTAACATGAATTGTTTCGTTAATGAAATAAATTTGTGTGATATATGGACCAAAAAAAACAACTTAATTTCTAAGCGTGGTGGCAGGTCTTAAAAAATCATATTTAATAGGGACAGATTTTTTTCAACTCAGAAAAAAACATAAATCCCAGAAAATGCAAAATCGAAATGATCGAATCTTAAAACTTTTTTTTTTTTTTTTTAAGATTTTTTTTTTGTGTTTTTTTTTTTTTAAATTTATAAATCTATCAACTAATTTGGCTTCATATTACTGTGCATCCAAGAATTAGTTCATAGTCAAGGCTCTAAATTTAAGACTCCTCACACAGCTTTTAATCCATTAGAGCGTACTCAGTTCTTTCATTATTTAAATCATCACTATTATGGTACCCAAATGATCCCTGAAGACTTTAATGATGGATTTTTCATCTTTCGTCATCATTACAACCACACAACAACCAATATTCCTATTTTGCCTCGACTTGGTGGAAATATTGACGAATGTTTCCATTCTATAGACAATAATGAAATTTTAGATGATCTCAAAAATGGTCTACCAACTCAATGGGGCAGAAGAACAAAATCGATTTAATAAGACAAAGTCAGAATGGTCTTTTAGAGTATGGTTTTTTTGATAGCAAAGAAGCAGAGGAATGGAGATATCATATCTGTATAATTAATTATTTGAAAATTAATATATAATAATCGTTAACAACCGAGATGAAAACTCTATCAATAAATTTAAACATTATATTCAACGTGACTTCGTTTTATTAATTGTATTACTTTATATTAAAAGTTATAAAATTAGATTTATTTTAATACATCGCAGAAATCATGATCCATGAGGATTCTTGAGTTTATAAAGATTGATAAAAAAAGTTTATAGTTTTCATAAATGAGTACTAGTCATTCAACCAGTTAAATGATCCACAATTAAGGTCTTTTTTGGTGGTTCAGCGCCACGAACGCAAGCAGCATCACATTTCCAATTACGGTATTTGAAATTACAAGTGACCATCCAAGTATAATGATTGTATACAAAAGACACACAATCTATCTTTGAATTGATTATATCTTTCTTTGTTCCAACAGATGTCCTTGCAAATACACTCTGGTGCCATCCATCGGTGTATAATGGTGGTAGCTTAAAGAGTTCTTCATTCATATTCGAATTTGATTTATACCTAGAAAATTCAAACGTAGTAGTTGGAGTTTGGACATCTTGATGTCCAATGCAGTATTTTACTTTATTGTTGGTCATCTTCATGTTTGTATCTGATAATATTTAATTAGGTTAAATATAATGTGTACACGTATAAAAAAAAAAATAAAAATAAATAATTACTTACCTGTTTGATGCTTGTTAAAGTGTGCCACCAACACTCCAAACTCCACAGTTCCAATATCCAGATTTGTAACGCATTTTCCGCCACGTACCCCTAGTCTGTCATTGATTCTGTTTTCAGCCAGGAATAGAAACTGGTCCAAAATTAATCTCTTATGTAGAAGCACCAAATCCTCTGTTGTAATACGAACTTCATTCCCGATATTGGTATTTTTGACGATATTCATCGATGTGCTCATCAATCTGTGTGGATCTTTACTTTGATTACATTTGATGGATTGAACTGTTACTGAGGTGAACTGTCGGTCGTCCATGTCGCTCTCATCTACATTGTGTATATGATTTGTTGATATGGAAGATTCTGCCAGAGCACGTGCTGGGCGCAGTTGCACCGGATATTGCGGAGAATAGATAGATGGGCAAGAATAATACGATAAATCTACTTTTTTCAAGTGATGTACCATGGGAGTTTGAGATACTGGGAGACCAAAGACTACAACCTCAAGAGACTGGTCTGGAATGACTCTCTTATCATCAGCATCCACCCATACTATTTCTCTGCTAGGACAAGGAGCCACTGGAGCTGCAGGAGCAATGATTGGAGACGGTGTTGTTGGAGCTATATTTGAAGTATCGACTGGGGACTGATCAATAACTGGTATTGGGCTAGGTATTACAATACCTGTAGTTGGTTGTGGGGCAGTAATGATTGGAGACTGTGCAACCGGTGCGATGGGGGGTTGAACATCCTGAGTTGGTGCGATAACTGGAGTTGGTGCTACAGATGACATGGATCTTCTTTTAGTCACTGTGGTTCCATCAGTTTCATCGCAATTCAGTCTTTCAGGGAAAGTAGATTTTCTTTTCTGTGAATCCATTCATTTTACCAAGTTAGTATAAAATTAATTATGTAATCGAAGAAAATAATCAAAAATTAATATTTTTTTTTTTAAAAATCAATCAAAAACGAAAAAAAAAAAAATAAAAATAATAAAAAAAAAATAATAAAAAAAAAAAAAAAATGAATAAAAAATAGTTATAAAGCAATTCAAAAAATAATAAATAAAAAATAATAATAAAAAAATAAAAATATAAAATAATAATAAATAATAAAAAAATAAAAATAAAAATTGTGAAGAAAAAAAAACTTCAAAAAAATTTTTTATGACGCAACTTATTCACCATTTGTTTTGTGTTGTAAAAGAATATTGGAAACCAAACGCACTCTCATCAAAATTTATCGTGGAAAGTCTCATATTAAAAAACACTTTCGGTCTGCCACCACGCTTTCTAGAAATGGACGCCATATTAAAATTTCTTAAGATAGAAGTCTTTAAAATAACACACTGATTCAGGAACTAAAAGTAGTTGTGGTGTCATCAGATTGACTGTTATCATTGGTTGAGGAAGCTCCGCTTTCTTTGGATCGTTATAGAAGTCAAGCTATAAACAAAACATATTTTGAAATAGCGGTCTAGTGCACTTTTGCTATGATTTAAAAAATAAAGAAGATAATCAGAATTATTAGACAATAAAAGACCATCAGTCGATATTCAACTAGTTCAGAGGTGTATATAAAGAAGAAAAAGAATTGAAGTACTTCAACTAGATTTGATTTATTCACCATTGAAGAACAGAAAATATTATTGTACAAGGAAATTAATTGGTCTAATCTCGAAAAAAGAATTATTATGTTTTTCTAATACCAAAATAAGACAATGCATTTAAAAAGTTACTGTAAATTGTTTGACCAGTGAGATTGAATCCGGATTGTTCATTCAGAGTATGATTATTCCTAACTATTCAATTAATTTTTTGAATTAAATAAAAAAATTATAAATAATAAATTATAAATTAGTTTTTTATGATCCATACCATTATAGTAATAATGAATTGTATTTAATTGCTCTTCATGAATTCGATGTAATTTGAAACGAGTCAGCGAATTAAGAGCAGCTGGTAGCTCACACCTTTGAGTATTTACAATGATATCCAATGTATGTAGTGATGTATTACTATCTAATATCTCCACAAATCTCTTCAAGTCATCGATCTTCATAGACACTCCACTACCAATAGATAACTTTCTGAGTGTTTGATTCAATACGATCAGATTCTCCAAATGATTACAATTGAAAAATGCCAGTTTAGAATAGACATTGGAATTGAGTGAAAGATACTCTAGAGTAGTATCACTACCCAAAGTAGATAACCATTCTTTGTGTCCAGGAAGTATTGTCCTCATAGTTAACTCTGATAGTCTTGTAATGTATGTAGTTGGATTGAAGAAGACTTTATAGTTATCATTATCCAATGTAATGGTTCTATGTATTTCTTGAAATACCAATCTTCTAAGTGATGTATTTGGAAGACTACATGCTGAAACACTATTAATATTCAGTTTCAATTGATCTAGAATCGGCTGCAGTTCATTCATCTGTGAATTTTTAACCCATCGTTGTAACTTTAACTTTCTAATGTTTGGATTTGATAAGATTCTTGATATGATTACATCTGAAAAGTCCAGACCGAATTCACAACTTGTAAGAGTTTCACATTTTGACATGAACATTACAATTTCGACTGCATGCATTGATATACTATTGAATGATATCGATAGTTTCGATAGTTGTTTACACTGACTGAGATAATCAAGTTCATGAGTGATCGGATCATTGTGATAGAGTACATATTCAAATGATTTCAGCGAACTGCTGGATTGCAAAGGTATAGGTGTATGCAACTGAACCGACGAATAACAACCTAACTTCTCTAGATAACCATCGTTTTGGACTGATCGAAGAAGACGATCTTTGATCTCAGTGGAAACCGATGTCTCTGTTGATTCTGCCAATGGGAAGTTTGGAATGTATCTAATGGGAACACGACACTCTTTGAAAACCTGGAAAAACTTGGATTCGGCATTCGAGTAGATTCCATCGAATGCAATCGGTTTTTTCGATTTATTTACCACGTCGATCATGATACCCATGAAATCGGTATCGACACTATAATCATAATGAAGTACAACCGATTGGAAGTGAGAGCAGATACGTCCAAACAACTCCATATAATGAGACAACATGAAATTCAAGGGGAACGATACCATTGGATAAACTAGAATACTGGTGGCATAACTGAAAACACAGTATTCTCTATTCAAAAGATGATGGAAATCACTATAAAGTTTGATTGTTCCTATTCCACTCCTCAGATGATCACATCTGACTACAATTTTCGATTGTGATACCGCTGACTTTATAAATTCAAACCATCGTTTCGAAACTAGACCAAGTGATAATCGCCACCGAAAATTATAATGTTTATCATTGAAAGCAGCCTGAAATATTTTACTCTGAATATAAATATTGAAAACCATATTAGAAATAATAATATCACTATCCATTTTTCAAAATAAATAGATAGATAAATTAAAATTTTCTATTTGTAAATTATTTTACAAATTAAAAATTAAAAATATACAATCAAAAATCAAATGATTGAAAGATTAAGAGATATTTTTTTTTTTTTCCATTTTTCTTTATTTTTTCTTTCCATGAAGCACACCTGGAACTTTTTTTTAGTAATGGGTATCAATTTAAAATATAAAATCTTTTTTTTTGAAAAATAAAGATGTTATTTATTTATAACTTATAAAGTTGAAATTTTATAAATTAATTCAAAAAAATAATTATATTTAAAATATAAATTATAAAAAAAAAAAATCTAAAAAGAAATAAAAAGAAATTAAAATAAATGTGAAAAAAAAATCCATTTTTTTAATTAAATATTTTATTTTCCAAAAAATAATTCCATTTTTTATTTTTCGACAAACAAACAACGTTTTTTTGCTCACATTAAAAAAAAAACAGTGTTTCAATAATGCATTGAAAAAAATAGTGAGAGAAAGAAAGAAGAATAAATATATAAATATATATTAAATAATATTTTTTATAATAATATAAATATATAAATAACTATAGATATAAATATAAATAATAATAAATTATATTATGTTTAAAATTACATTTTATTATAATTATAATTATTTTAAGTAGTACTTTAATGTTGTTGCTATCATTACTTTTATAGTGGTGTCCAACTCCACTATTAATTTTTTTTTTTTCTGGTTTTAATTTTTTTGTTTGTGTCCATCCAAATTTTTTTTTTTTTTTTCAAATTACTACTATTATGGACTGCTGGATGACTTTTTCTTCTTCTTCTTCTCTTTTTCTTTCTCTACTTCCCATTTGAAACCGTGTTTCTTTGCGCTCTGTTGACAGAGTTGTTGGATTGCGCTGTGTGGCCAGAGCATCTGACCTGCCATCTTCAGTGCTTTGGTGGTAACAATACACTCGAGCATGGGCAGTGTCACCTCTGAACCACCGAGTATATGCAGCATCGAAGGGTACTTGTCCTCGCGGTACAAGTTAAAGTTGTACATTGTCTTGCCGAGCTCGTTCGATTGGAGTACTATCTCGTCGGTAATACCGACACTGAATGACGTTCCCACAAAGACAAAGGCGTCGGCCGAACTGATCCAATCCATCGCTTCGTGGTATCGCAGGAACGAATGTGAATTGTAGTCTTCATCGAACAGCAGCGACTGCGGCAGAATAGGTGAGCGACAATTCGGACAGTTTGGTGGTGAAATTTGTAAATTACCATCTTTCATAGATGTACCATTTATTGCTATATAATTATATTTTAAAAAATAGAAATAGAAAAATAGAAAACAGATAGATGTTTAATAATGGATTTCCTCAAGTTAATAATAGATAGATTAATAGATAGACATACCATAAGAGTTTATATCTAAATCATAGATTGATTCATCATATGTATATTTACAACCAGGTTTAATACTGTTAATAATATAGAAGAAGTTAATATAATTTGTAATAATAATAATAATAATAATAATAATATAGTTTAATCATAACTCATTTATACATACCATTTATATAATCCAATTCGACCATGTATTTCGATTACTTTTGGTTCGGGTACACCTGATTTCAGGTGGAGTTCGTCAATGTTTTGTGTGATAATTCTAGTATTACAGAGTCTGATGAGATTGTTTATTGCAAAATGACCAGTATTTGGTAGTGCATCTATATATTCTTGTTTTTCATGTGTTCTCAACCAAAATTGATTCTAAAACAAGTTATATATAATTAGTAAAGACAATAGTAATAATAATAATAATTAGAGAATATAGTACTTACCCACCAAGAAGCAGGATTTTGTTTAAACTTCTTTCTTGTACCCCAATTAACTATAAACTCTTCCCAAATAGCCTTCTTTGTATTTCTATATGCAGATAGACCACTCGGTACGCTCAGACCGGCACCCGTGATAAACACAATTCGCTTACCGGTAATTAAATCATTTGCCAATCTTTCAAAACTATTTTTATTCTTTTCATATAATATCTATTATATTTAATTATATATATATATATAAAAGACAGGTACAGATACAGATAATATAGATACAAATAATATATAGAGATAGAGATAGATAGAGATATATAACAGGATAAATAATAAATATAATATATATAATATAAATAATGTATAGTTTGTATGGATACACAAGATTAGAGTATGGATTCAGTAGAATATAGAAATTTTTTTTAGAATATATGAATAGGTAGACATTTATATGTAGATAATATGGATTTTGATAATTTTAAATTGGTTTAGGGACAAGAGCGGATTTATAGATATTCGATGATAACAAGTTGGATTAATGATGGATTCATCCAATTCAACAAAGATTTAGTTAAAAATAGGTAGTTTTAAGAAATAATCGGAATTAGTAATCAAATCACATGTGAACACTTTTCAATTTGTTACTTACAGATTCTATATCCTTCAGATCTTCATCACTACTATCGATATCCTCTATTTTAAATCTATGTGCATTCTCCTCCGTAATTATATCCATTGGCATATCTTTATCACCCATCTTTATTTCTCTTTAATTCCCAAATCAACTAAATAAACAAACAATGTTTAAACTAAAACTATAATAACTATTTATATTTAGATTGAAAATGTTTGATTGATTTCTAAATAAATTAAACAAACAACAAACTAACAAACTAAACTAACTAACTAACTATACTACACTTTTTGATATATGTATATTCTGAAGTGTTATTCTGTAATGTTATAAAGTGTAAATGAACTATAATGAAGTGTAATGAATGTGTAATGTATTGTATAAGTTCTTATCTATATCTTATTTGTATCTGTTTTCAAAAAACAATTATAAAAATGAAATGATTTTATTTTTGTTTTTTTTATTTTATTTTTGTTTTATTCTGTTTGCAAATAAATACGGGAGGTGTTTGTTTTGGTAATGTTGGAGTGCTCAAAGAGCAGGTATACCCCCACTCGATTATATTTACAAAACATTATTGCTAATAATATAATTTGAATACCCATAATTAAATATAATTTTGCTAATTTTTTTGAAATTTAAATCTTTTTTTTTTTTTTTTTGAATTTTTTTTTTTTTACTCGTTTTTTGTCATTGATGATGCTTTATCAACAACCATTTCCTATTTTGTTTTTGAAACTTAAACCAAAAAAAATTTATAGTTTTAAAGATTTGATCTTATAAAATAAAATATTTTTGTTTTTTTTTTTTTAGCAAAAAATAAAATAAAATGCATTTACTTATTATTATTATTATATATTATTATCATTATTTATTTAAGCATTATCCAACTTGGTACAGATAATCTTTCAATTCAGCTGGTTGTGCAGCTGATAGTTGACCAACAACAGTGGATCCGCCGACATTCATAAAATCTTCTTTTAAGACGGATTTGGGAGAAATATTATGATTGTGATTTTAATTTGGTGTCTATGTCACTAAGATTCAAATTGTGTTACATAGGTATCAAAAAGATAAAGAGAGTATGTTGATTTCTATTCTATTTCTCTTCTAATCTATCACTAGAAAGATTTAGGATTTTGATATTACTTTATATATAAAATCAATAGTATCAGTTTTATACTTAATATTTATATTGGAATCAAAATGATCAACCATTGAAATCGGGAGAATTAAGTGACTGGTAAAAAATAAAAATAAAAAATTTTAAAAAAAAAATTGCTAACACAAATTTATATGATTCAATCATATTCCAATTTGACTCATTGCAGAATGTATGTGGTGTTTGTTGTTTCCGGACCAAAAAACCAAAAACTTTGCTCTCAACAGCATTTCTTTTAGACATAGATATTGTAGTTATAACATGTTACAAAAATATTTATATATACTATTAATTTTGTTTATTTATATTTTAAATATAATAAATAGTGATGTGATTTCATCGAGTCAGATCCAAATATGTAAAGACGATGGTACTCTAGAATCTAAAAAAGATAATCAATATTTAAAATGTCAAAAAATGTTTGTTGTCTCTTTGACTATAGATAGTAATCAAGTAAGTATAAATAAATAGTATTAATAATTAATCTTTTATAAAATAAAATAAATTTATTAAAATTTTAATTTTTTAAAAAACAAAAAAATAGGACCATACAGAATTATCTCAATTCACAGTAAACGATGTTAAAAATGAGAATGGTGATACATTTTCATTGGTCTATCCAGTGGAGATATCGTTTTCAAAATCTAAACAATACGGTAAATCATCTCTGATCTATAGAAAGTCGTATTCTGAGGAGAAATACGAGAATGTACATTACACCAATGACTACTTGCTTTTCAGTAGTTGTAAAGATAGTCCGTCCGATCATACATGTCCGACCGTTAGAGACGCCTCTGGTAATCAGGTGCCATATAGTCAAGGATTCTGCTGTAGCTGTGACCTAGGTAGCTATGTCGGTATCGACCGTGACAGTCGCTCGCATCTCTCTTGTACTCTCTTTGGCGGTCGGTCATCATCGGCATCGTGTATGGCTCAGCGACCTCTCCTCTACGATTCCTACTCGATCGAACCACCCGTAACCACCTACGATATCGTTGTCAACATCACACAGTTTAACGTGACCACCGGTGCTAGCCAGACTCAGACTTACCGGCTAGGCAATGACAACCTAATTCTCAATGCCAATGGTATCGTTATCAAGTTGGTCGGTGATTTTGCATCGCCACAAGCACTGAGAACCTTTGAAGACAGCATGTTGTTTGTGAACAACGAACAATCGGATCCGAACAACCCAATACACAAGCTGCCTTTCGAAATGAGAGCTATGATCTTCTCAAAGTCAGACGTCGGTTCTCCCAATGAATGTAATAAGATCGCAACGGATTATGTAGCTTTTCAGAATCAACCGAATCAATGTAGCGCTCCTTTGAATTCATGTTTAGACAACCAAATAAAGAAGTTCAGAGATCAGGATATGGCTTTGTACGCCAAGGGCAAAAAAGGTCAATATCTAATCAAGAACTATGGTGCCACTGCTGAAATCTACAAGAATACCGGAAATAACAATCTGTTTCTTCAGGTCGAGCTCAGTGGCAAACAGACATCATTGGTCACCATAAAGATCAAAGCCGACAACTTTGCATTTGTCTATAAAGAAAGTCCAGGTGTCATTGTTTCGAATCGTCTCGAAACATTCGAATCAATGTCATCCGATGGCAATCTCTATATTCAAACAAAGAATATCGGGGCGACCAACACCCAGTATGTTCTCAATGTTTTGAACTGTACGGAGGCAATCACAGTCAACAATCCTAGTCAAGTGTTCACCATGAAACCAAATGAAATCGTTGAAACCAAATTCGAAATTAGAACGGTAACTAAATTTGGTGGTAATCAGCATTGCTATGCCGATCTAAAGGGTTTTGCTATGGGAACATTGTTTGACTCGATTCTTATTAAATTCAATACAACCGACACTGTCATTAAGGTACCTGGTTACAATGAAACTGGATCTGGAGATACACCAAACCCTGCTGTACCTGAATTATCTTGTCAAAATTACTGTACTTTGTAAGTTCACTAACAAAAGACAAATCAATTAATTATAATAGTTTACTAACATGTTCAATAAAGTCCAAATATTTTATGTTACTTTGCTCATAAAGAATGTATTTGGAACATTGTGATTATAGTTGGAATGATCGTGTTTGTCATCTTTGCACTTTGTACGTGTTGGAAATTAAATATATGTTCAAGGATATGTGGATGTTGTTGTTTTAGAAAAAAGGATAAGAATAAGAAAAGAAAATCGAAAAAGAACAAAAAGAAAACCAAAGTTGAGATATACTCGGACAGTGATGGACATGAAGAAGATGATGAATATGATATATTTGTATCAAGCAGCGATATTGACAACATTATTCGTTCTCAAAGGTTGGTCTTTTTTAATATATCTCTTGATGAAACAAAAATGGATTTATTTGTATGTACAAACATCCATTATTTCTAAATGGATAAAATATTACCAAAAAAAATCAAATTATTAATTTAGATTACCCTTAATATAGAATTTCAAAACTGGTCAATCTAAAAATAAGATATCTCTCTTAGGATGTTTGATGAGATCGGATAAATCAGCAAAACAATTAATATTCATGATAAAACCACCTTATCAATCACTCTTTAATGATAAAGATTCAAAGGTAAAACAAATTAAACCACCAATCAAACTATATCCAGAGGTAGTTACTTTTAAACTCTCAAAAAAGAATATAAAAAATGACCTAACATATCAACCATTGCAAAAGCATCTATGGTTAAATAAAAGATTAAATTAAACATTTTAATAGAAGGGGTGCTAAAGTAACCAAAGATCAATTATTTGTAACAAATAAATTTGTAATAGTTATTAGTTTAATAAAAACGAACAGTTGGTAAAGAAAAAAAGTAAAAGTTTTATTTCATTGTTACAGATTTGATTGCAAGGTTAGAGATAGATTAGATAGAGTTATGGATTTGATTGTTTTGTTAATGATTGTGCTGTTTCCAAAAGTTTTTCGAGGGTGATGTTTGGTGGGAGTTGGTCATTGATCCATTGTTTAGATTTCAAGATGCTGTTGGAGTAGATTGCCTTCATTGATGGGAAGTCTTTCTCGAGCATTGCAATGATCAACACTGTCAACCACAATTCATCTTGACTATCAATCTCTTTGAGTGGACACTGAACAGTCAAATATTTTTTAGTATCTGAAGTGACGCTCCAAGATCCATTGGCATTTTGCAACTTTATAATTGAAAGTAGTAATTCTTTATGTTTGGATGATTGACTTGTTGAGGTTTGGGTTGTTGTGGTTGATGAGGTTTGGGTGGTTGAGTTGTTGTTGTTGTTGTTGTTGTTGAAAAAATTGAAAAAGCTGGATTTTGTAGGGGGAGGAGGAGGAGGAGTGTAGCTTCCACCGGAACAACATCCGCTTGACGCTTGAGACTGATACCTATCTGCACTCACGAGTACTGATGAGCCAAGTTTAACACCTTGTCTTGGGTATAATTCTCCAAAATTGTTTAGAATATTAACTTGTTTGAGTGTTTCGTAGTTTGGTTGGTCGCGGTCAGCTGAAACAACAAACGAAGTGTAGTTTGATACCAAATTATACTTTAGAGCCAATTCCGTTATTGTCTTTTTGTGTGGTTTGCTATTGTCTTTGGTGATCTTTGATTCCTCGTACTCCAAACTAGCAATATACATCGTGGCAGCTGCAGTATGTAGCATCAATCCAGTTCCATCGGTATTCTGTAAGTCAAGCTCGATTGGATATGTCAAAGTCTGACCGGTTGGACTTGTACCTTGAAGTGAAACAGTGTATGATTTCATTGAATCCTCAGGTTTTAGCAAAGTTATCAATCCATAGACTACCATTCTTTCATTATGATAAATTGGACGAATATTACGAGGTGCTTGAATTACCTTTACTTCACTCTTATTTGGCCAATTCATTGTCAGATTAGAAATTCTTGGACGTAGTGAAATCGAAAGTAGTTCAAGAACTTCTGATTCAAAAAATTCAGAGTTTTCCATAACCATACGACATTCTCCACCTCCAGCCTCAGCCAAACTTCTAACAAGATCTTGGTCAGCTCCATTTCCAATACCAACGGTAAATATTCTCGATGTTGAATCCTCTTTCCTTACGAAATCAATGAGGTGACCCTTTCCAGAGACTCCACCATCGGTCAACACAATGATTTGTCTCGGATATTCAGCGTCGTGTTTTTGCGACAAAATGCTCTTTAATGGTTGATAGAGCTCGGTTCCACCAAGATCGGCATGCACTTTATTATCAATGTACATTGCTGAATCACTAACAGAATCGTCGTCATAGATCTTTGATTGTGGAAACATCTTGTTGAAATTACTTCCAAAACGAATGATGTTGAATTTCACAGAGGAAAACGGCAGAGATCTCACCAAGAAATGAAGTACTCTTCTGGTCAATGCGATTCTAGTTCCTTCCATCGAACCGGAACAATCGACAACAAAGATAAACTCTGCTTTCTGTCTGACCTTTAGCGAATCGCAATCCAACTTTGGTTTGAAACTCAAGGCGACAGCATATTGATTGGGATCGGCTGGACTTGTTTCAACAAATGACTGTGGTGCATCCGATTCCAGCAATCTCACCATAACCATAATATTCTTTGGTAGACCATCTTCACTTTCAATAGTTATAATGTTGTTAAGGCTATCGGTTGTCTTGGTAATTTTATATTGATAGTTGGAGACCTCGAACTTATCGAAATTACTCTTCAATTTGAGATCGATGGTGATCTTCACTGGATAGTGACCAAGTGGGAACCAGAATCTGTGCAAGCAGAACTGTAGGTAATTCATATGATATCCAACATCAGACATCACTGTGAATCTCACCACCACACTGGATCGAATATCAATATTTCCGAGTGACACTTGGAATTGACCGGATTGTGATTTCGATGCCAAGAATGCAGAGTTTCCAGAGGCGATGGCATCGTTATATTCGTTGGCAGCTGTTTCTTTCTCTTTGATAGTGGCAACCAGAAGTTTACCCTCGTATTCAACCTCGAGCGAACTGATGGCTGCGTACGGTGGCAACAGTAAAGAATAGACAGCTTCAAAATTGGAGTCATCTCCTATCTTTAGTGTTGAATCATTTGGGTGTAGAGCGCCATATCGTTGTTCTACTTTGGTCAACGAGCAGGTGTCAGTTACGTTTGCATTGATCGTCATTGATTTCAAACCAAAAACATGACCAACAAATCGGTCGCTTAAAGTATTGTCATGCGAAAGTATCAAACCTGCTCCACGACGATAGAAATTCTCATTCGCAGATTCTTCTAAAGTTCTAAAGAACCGATAATAACTTGCATTATAGAAAATTGGATTTAAATCCTATTTTTTTTTTTTTTAAAAAACTAAAACAAAAATAATAATGAATAAAAATAATTGATCAATTTGTTTTTATAATCAATCAATCTATTTATATTATCATGATTTTATTTGGATATCTTTTGCAAAGTTGTTTGTTCATAAAATACTTGATAAAAATTCTCAAAAACTTTGAAATTAGCAAAATTAAATTCGATGAAAACAGAGTGAGAAAATGATTCTCTTTGTTTTGAGCACAACAAAAAGAGTAAAAAGACAGATCTTCCACCCAACAACTCAAACCAAAAGAGAAATTGTCAAGATGCTGTATACATATGATAAAATAACTACACCATTAATCTTGTCACCACCAAACTGCAATATTATTATTATGTTAGAGAAACTATTTTGAAAAACATGATTTTTTTTAATCAAATCAAACAATGTATAAGTATAACTATTTTACTCTTGAAAAAATTAACAATTTCTATAGATTGTTAACAATACAAGTATAAAGATCCAAATTTTAAATTATACTTTGAAAGTAACTTATTCTCTATTCATTCATGATAATATAATAAATATTTAACAAATAGAGAATAAATAAGTCTCAAGCATGCAATAATCAAACTAATCATCTTTTTTTGTTTTCTTTTTTAATTTTTTTTTTTTTTTTTTTTTAGGGGTTATAGATGCAAGGTCTTTTTTTGAAAACACCACTCTGGTAAAAGATTTGTTTGGGTCAGATTATCAGGTGTACCCATTTTGTGAAGAGTTTATAATCACTTTATTTTAAAGGATTTTTGAGTGTGTAGAAGTGATCATTAGAATACTTCTTCCAAAACATTCTTATTTTAATACATTTTAAACTATTTTAGATTTTCATTTTTAATATAAAAGAAATCAATATAAATTTAAGATTTCTGAAAGTTTAGTTATAACCATACATATCATATTCTTAATAAAATAAATAAATAAATAAATAATAAAAAAATGGTGGTAAACAATGATGTACAACAACAACCGAGTGCACCTTCAAGTGCAAGTTTAGTTGGGGTTCCAAATAATAATAATGGACAACAACAACCAACTCCAGAGCAAATACAACAATATTTACAAAACGATCCAAATTACCAACAGTATTTATTATTCATGCAGAATCAACAATTACAACAACAACAACAACAAATGCATCAACCACCACCTGTACAACAATTCTATCAGCCACCACCACATCCACAACCTGGAATGCAAACAATGCCAGGAATGCAACCATCTCCACCACCCCAACATTTTTATCAACCACCACCACTACCTGTAGGAGCACCAATGCCAGGACAACTAGGAATGGCAGGTCCCATGCCTGTTTTCTATCAACCACCAGTAGTAATCAATTCATCGCCATTCGATAATGGACCTACCATCGAGCAAAGAACCGAACTTTCAAAGCATACATCTGAGCATGTCCGTATAGTAAATCAGACTGGTCGTACCATTTTCATTGCATATTGTCGATATAAAGGTACCACCGTAGTAACACTTAACAATGGAAACACCGAGAAGATAGGTGTCAATGATATAACAGAGAAACTGGAAATAACCATCGGTATTCCCATTGATCCACACAACATTCACGGACTATGTAACATAGTAATGGAAAGACAAAGAATAAGGCAAGGTTCCGTTGTAACTGTAGTTGTAAGTACTTTTATAAACTCAAATCAAACACACAACAAAACACATAAATGTTATAACAATCAAAACTAATTGTATTTTACTTTTTAATTTTAGAATCCAACACCAATTACACAGGTAACAGATTTCACAGCAAGATACTCAACAAAAAAGAAAAAGTAAAATTGATAAATAAATAAATAAATAAATAATGTAAAATAATAATAATTGTTCTTCAAGATGATTCAAATATTATTAATAAATAAATCAATAAACCGAGAGAGATCTCTCAATATCTATTTAAATTATGCAGTTCTTGAACATACATACACCACCAAAATTTGAATTTTTTTTTGAAATTTTTGAAAATTTTTTGTTAACTGAAAAAAAATAGTCATAGTGACAGTTAACACCAAACTAAACTAATCTATTTATATATATAATAATGGATTCTGGTGGATTCTTTCGTGTTTGTATAAAATATTTATATATTAATTTTTATAAATATAGGTATTATAACTAACTTTATCTTTTTATCTTTATAAATAAATTTACATTATCATTCTAAATATGTGTAATGTATATAGGGTACATCAGCGGAACAAGACAATAGATTCTCTGATAAGGAGAAGAAATTGCTTAAAGGCAAGAAGTTTCCACCTCATTTTTCGCAAAAAGTTGATATAACTAAAGTTAATTTACCTATTTTTAGAAAGTGGATGGCAAAAGAAATAGAATCACTCTTGAAATTCGAAGATGACGTATTAGTTGATTATATATATGGTTTATTAGAAGGTGTAGGTTGAAAAAAAAAACAAAGACAAAGAGAACTTACTTGCAAAATGGTTTAGTTTATTAATATGAATATTTTACAATGTTATAGGAATCTCCGGATCCAAAGATTATTCAGATCAATATCACTGGATTCTTGGCGGATGATACCGAGAAGTTCATGGATAAGCTTTGGAGTCTGTTGCTGGAAGCACAGACCACAGAGATTGGTGTCCCCGAGGAGTTTTTGAAGGATCTACAGGTGATGTCTGAGCAGATCGCTGCAGAGGAGAACAGAATCAAAGAGGGTCTTGAAAGAGCGAAACAAAAGATGGGTAACATGAGTAGAGTCGATGGCAATCAACATCTACCACCAACAACAGCTACCACTACCAACTATGGATTGAGTTCAAAGAGGAGAGAAACAGAGGATTCGATTGGTGCTGACAACTCACAGCAACAACGAGATAGAAAATATAGAAGATTCGATGTCTCTGAGAAACCTGCATCATCATCATCATCATCGTCATCAGATGATACTACTTCTCAAGCTCAAAATGTGACAAATATTAAAGATGAAAATGGAAATGGTGGTGATAACAATAATAGTAATAGTAATGGTGATGGTGGTGAGAAAGAAAAAGAAAGAGATGACAGAGATTTGAGAAGAGATCGTAGTGAAAGAGAAAGAGACAGAGAAAGAGATAGAGAAAAAGAAAGAGAAAGGGAAAGAGAAAGAGAAAGAGACAGAGATAGAGATAGAGATAGATATAGAGATAGAGATTATGAAAGAGATAGATATCGTGATAGATACGATAGTGGTAGTAGAAGAGATAGATATCACGATGACTACGATAGAGATAGAAGAGCACGTGATAGAAGTAGAAGTAGAGATAGAGGCGATAGAAGAGACAGAAGTAGAAGCAGAGATAGATATAGAGATAGAGATTATGATCGTGATCGCGATCGTGACTATGAAAGAGACAGAGACAGAGATAGAGATAGAGACTATCGAAGAAGTAGCAGAGATAGAGATAGAGATAGAGATAGAAGCAGAGACAGAAGCAGAGATAGATACGATAGAGATAGAGATAGAAGATAAATCTCTATCTATCATCCTCCTTAAGAAAACCAATAAAATCTTTAAACTTTACAATATTATTTACTTTTATATTTTTATTACATATATATATTTTAAAACTTTAAACTTTTACTTATTAGTTTAGTTTTGTTTTGTTTGTTCATTTTCATTTTCTTTTTTAGAATTTAGCATTCAATCTCTTGACTGTACCTTCAATTAGACCGGATGGCTCTTCAACTGGTTGGAATGTATTGTTCTCATTCTTTGTCTTGAGTTTAGCGAAATCAAAGCCAAATGCATGTTTGTTTGGTAGTGATAAGTTGATTTCATCTAAAAGAAATGAATGGTAGGTTAGTTTTGCTTGTTTGTTTGTATGTTTATTTGTTTATCAAAATAGATTAAACTACTACTCTACTTACCAATTTCTTTACATCTTTCAATTGCAGTCTTTCCAATGAGATAGAGTGTCTCTTGTACAGACTTTGAGTATTGCAATGAGAAGATGTCGAATACCGAGTTTTTGAACTCCTGGTAGATGTGTGGGTAGTTGACATTGTCGGTGGTGTTAAAGGTCCACTCCGCTGTTACCATGGTAGCGAATACACGGTCTTTGGTCTCTGGTAGGGTGGTGTATTGATCGCGGTAGAAGTTCTCGAATCCACTGCCGGTTGTCTTCATAATGAGCAGGTCTTGAATACCGGATTTCACTTGTGGTGGACGTCCACGCATCGATACCACCGAGGCAGTGTGGATCTCGCGTGCACGCACGAACGAGTGGTCGTGCTCCTTCTTCTCGTAGCTCGACTTCATACGGTCCCATTGATTCTCACGGAAGGTGGCGTGTACGTGCGACACCCACGAGTAGGTCGCCAGGAAATGCTTACCCAAGATGATGCCAAAGTCTTCGGCCGATTTGAAGTTCTCCTTTTGCGCGAGCAGGTAGACGGTGTTCTTGATGGAATCGGTGGCAACGACACGCTCGTTGTTTCCAGTCAAGTAGGTCTCCTCGAATTGTCCTTGCAACAAAACACAGCAATCCAAATCGAATACCGTGTGATAGTCCTTATTCTTATTTACTTTTAATACTCTAACCTTTGCTTTACCATATCTATTGTCAATTAATGTTGCCATTTTGCTGATGTTATGTTATATTATATATATCTTTTTTAAAAATCAAATAATATACAAATAATTATTTATACTACTACTACTTTTAAAATTAAAATAAAATAATGATGATGATGATGATGAATATAAAATGATTTTTAATATTGTTTTTTATTTTATTTTATTATTTATTTTATTCTATTCAATCAAAGTGTGGGTATTAGATATTAATCACCCAAAAAACCATCATCCATCCTAATATAAAAAAAGTGTGCAATACAACAATTTTTTTGTTTTGAAAAATATCTATCCAATGCGATGACCATCTTAAATTTTAAGTCAGAAATTTTTTCTATTCTGCAAAAGAATTTGACAATTCAATGAACATGATATCAATACAATTGCAAAAGTTTGTTAAAACTATTATTATTATTAATTTTGGTAGGTAGCCAGCTGTGGGTTATTTTACCCACACCACGCGTAAGATGCTCAAAAAATTATTTTTTATGGGATGTGTTAATTCAATTTTATTTAAAAATAAATTTGCAAGCGGGAAAAAAAATTGTTAATTTACATTTTTTTTGGGCATTGTCCTTTGACTTTGTGTCCTTTTAATAGTTCGCCACATGAACAATGATATGGATTGGTAGTCTTAGATGATGTTGGAGGTTGTGGTCTATCGCTGTCATCCAATCTTTTGTTTCTCTGATCCTTTTTCATACTGTCGTGGGTTAATAATAAATATGACCACATACTTGGTTTTGGTTTGATTTCGCTGATTGGATTTATTGGGTCATTGTAAAGTTTTTCGATAACTTTGATAGTTGTAATGACATCGAATAGAGCTCTATGTGGGTGAGGATTCGAGATGCTGTAGATGGCAGCTAATGACAGAAGCTTTTTACTATCAAACCTGTAGTGTTTCTTTGCCCAGTCTAAGTTGTCAAGAGTATCGATGATTCTAACATTTGTTGGTGTACCGATTGCATGTTTAATTGAATCTTTTTGTAGCTTATTTAAATCATATCCTTTAATATTGTGTCCAACCAGATATATGATTTGTGATTCATTATCACGTAATGATTCAAGCCATGAGTAAAAGGCTTGACCAACTCTATTCCAGTGGTGTGGAAGTTGGGTTACTTCTTGACTGCTGACTGGACAATATGTGAAAGGGGCACCAGGTCCTGGGTTGACCATAGAGGTGAAACATTTGGAAGTAGTCATATCAATGGCAGCTATCTCGCATATAGCATCTCCAGCGGCCTCTAAATCCAGGGCAACGAAAATACTATCAGATGGTACTATTAATTGGTACTGGTTCAAGATTTCTAGATTTGTGGCGACTTCGTCTGGATACACCGGTAGGCTGGTTGAAGCTTGGAATTGGATAAAGTTACTTGAAGAAAGAAGCAGATCAAAGTCAAAATGAAAGTCTTCATCTACGCCACTGATTTCTTCTATATCCACCTCCACAGGGGTATCATTGAGACAGGCCTGGGCTCTCTCTTTAGTGTATCTATGATCATCCATCAAATGGGAAATAAAGCGTTTGGTATAAATGTAAACCTTTGGACACAGGATCTCTGGACATGGATGGCCCCTTGTAGTTTTGGTCATGGTTGGATTGATACTGCATGTTGATTGCCTGAAAGTTAATCTTCTCTTAATGCATGGATAGTTCCTACAGAAGGCTTTGAGGCGTTCTATCATTTGGTCCGATGGTTTGCTTTGGGATGCAGTATCTTTCTTGGTGGTTGCTCCTCTGGTTTCATTTGGGCGGAGAGATTCCAAAATGGAATTTGTGAATTGTAAATCTTGGTTTGAGTTGTAGTTTCTAGTTACATTAAAAGTCTTCCGATGTGGCTTGTAAATCGATTCGTCGTTATGCTTCTTGACCATTTCAAGGAGGGCAGCCATTTGGTACTGGTAAAAACTCATGAAGTTTGGTTTAAATATCTTTCTCCGAACTGTAGAAAAGAACCATTCAACACAATTGGTACCCAAGTGGCAGATCTTTGTGATTGGTGGAAGATTTGGATATGTATTTTTGTACCATTGGTCCAGACTTGACAGTCCATTGATGGTAGCCTCCATATGATTGTGAAACTGAGGTGGCAAACCATTAATTGATTTAAAATAGGTTTGTAACCTCTTTAACTCTTGAATTCTATCGGATAGAGGGATTGGTTGTTGATTTGCATCCTCGTGGCTATCGAATATTTCGTAAAATTCTCTGATGGCTGATAGGTACCTGGAAAGTCGAACAAGCTCTGGGTGGTTAGCTTGCTCCTTCAAATAATCGGTAACCTTTTTATCATATAACCTTTGGACATGCTTCAAAAGTCAATATGTCACTGATACCTGGTAAAGAATCTGTCTCAAATAGAATATGCAGACCCTTTAAACTAAAGCCATGACTATTCAGTTTCTTTTCTTCGTCTGCAAATTCCTTCGGTTGGCCAGTGGATTCATCTAATGGAATAGGTTCGTAAAGCACTTTGTTTAATGGATAGTTGCGGAGGTTTTTTGTTAAATGAACATAATCATATATGTGGAACACTCCTTTGCTATCCATTGTGAAGGAGAAATCGCCAATTTCACACCCATCTGTCGATGTCATGACCACATGGAGGTTGACACACTTCAACTCTTCGATAATTTTGAGTGTAAATTGAGTAACATCATTGGAATCTACCTTCGAGGTTGGCAATGAGCAAAGCGGAAAAGCAACTCCTTCGATTATTGATAATAGGCTATATTTCATGATCTTTGATGCGAACCGAGGATAGATTTCATCTTTAGACATTGCTTCATATTTACTAATATTATCAGCTGTTATTGGTTCCTTGGCAATCCCAACCACTTGACAACTGTGCTGGTCATAAGTAGCTCCTGCTGATATCTCTATTTCATCCATAGCCAAACCATAATGCTTATGTTTTTCTACAAATATTCGTAGGGCTGGCAACAAAGAGTCATCTATTACCACATCTGAATAGTATTTGACTGGTGGCAGATGGTTTTTAATTGTCGATATTGAGGGCATTGGCAATGCCACTCTGGATTTATCGTAAACAATACGACGATTTTGCTTTTCAGCAGCTCCACCTTGCAGAAAATGAATGGCACCTTCTCCAGCAATGAACCTTAAAGTGGTTGCAAATCCTATGATTTCGGATGACCATTTGTGACCACCTGGACCACTTAAGATGTGCAGACAACTCTCTTCCATATAATGATACCAGAATGATTGTTTGATTTCAGGGTATAATTCCACCATCCTCTCTACCAGCTTTGGTAATGGCCCTTTACCATCATCAATGTTATTCTCATTCTCGGCACCATCACCTCCATAGTCAATCTCCAGTATGTTGTCATTATTGGCCTTAATCTTTTGCAACCGGTCATATATTATTTTCGACATTTGGGAACAATGATCGCATCTGGCGATTCCTTTGTATAGTCTGTTTATAGTAGTTGTATCTTTGGGGCAAGCGAAGTAATTTCCATTAGAATATAATCCATAAATACCAGCTTGGGAAGAAATATAAGGACCATAAATCAAGCATGCCATCTTAATATATTCTGGATACTCCAGACCTTGGCAAAAATGAGAAATTGGGTCTGCTTTACTGATACTGTTTGTAGGATTCCTAACTCCAATCTTTCTCGGTTGAGAATCTGAAACTTTAGGAAATATTTGGTTTGCCCACAAAATGATAAGGTCAAGGTCAGTTTCATTGATTTTGCTCAAATCATATTTTACAATACCCTAAAAATAAAAATGTTATTATTGTTGTTGACAGAATTATAAATTAAATTACTTACGGTGTAGTCCAGACGATATAACAAACCATCTTTATTGGTCATATTCTGAGTATATCTGGGCTTGCCTAATGGCAGTTGCTTAAAAGGAGGTATTATTTTCTTCTTCTCGAGTTCACCTTTAAGAAAATTTAGTTGCTCCTCCAATTCCTCAACTCTCATTTTTAGAACTCTATCAGAATTGGTTGTGGTGGTAGTTGTAGTGGTTGTTATCTGATTTGACTTTCCGCTTATTGTCGTTGTTGTTGTCGACGTTATTGTAGATGTTGCTGTCGATGTTGTTGTCGATGTTGTTGTCGATGTTGTTGTCGATGTTGTTGTCGATGTTGTATTCATATCATAAATATTGTTGAGCTGAACTTTACTGTTTGGTTTGAAATGTGAACCAATATCTTGCTCCATACCACATGGACCATCAAAGGCTTCAACCTGTGTACAATCTGGAATATGGTTGAAATGTGAACCAATATCTTGCTCCATACCACATGGACCATCAAAGGCCTCAACCTGTGTACAATCTGGATAGTCTCCACTATCTTCAAATGATATATCATTTTCATAATTATTTATTCTGGATAAAAATGTGCATTAGAAATCAGAAAAATTGAACCAATATGACAAAATAATCTTTTGCTGCTCTTACATTCACAGCTCATTGATCAGCTAATTGTGAACTTCAAAATATTCTTTTGTGTTCTCAGTTAGCATTTGATCTGCTAACTGTGAACTTCAAAATATTCTTTTGTGTTCTCAGTTAGCAATTGAACTGCAAGATGCGTGAAAAACAAAATATTCTTTTGTGTTCTCGGTTAGCATTTGATCTGCTAACTGTGAACTTCAAAATATCTTTTGCTTACAAAATATTCTTTTGATCGTTTGTTTCATTCTTTAATTTAGAATCTGATCTAATCTTTGAACCACAACAATAAAAGATAATAGAAACAAGAATGTTTGAAAATATTAGTAAGATACTATAGTGTCTTTTAATTACCTATACCTACTTTTAAAGGAAAGTACCATGGTTTGATCTTTTTCGAATCTCGTATATATTTGAAAGATCCCATTCCAAAAATATGGTTTAAGCTTTTAAAAGTGTGTTGAGCTAAAACGACTTCTTGATTTGTTACATGTTTATCTAAATATGGTTGAAAGCCATCTTGTTGTGAAAGTAATTTACAAAAATCTTCGCTAGTGATTAGTTCAGATCTGTTGTTTGTGGCATCTTTAACGAATTCAAAGTTGTTGGCTATCCACTGCAGATTTCGAAAATTATTATTAATAAAAATTTAATTTAATTTAAATATAAAATAATATTGTATATACCTCATTAAAAGGACTCCAATATTCTTTGATTCTTTGCTTCTTGCGTTGAGCGCAATCTGTAAAAAATTCCTCCGTTTGTGCTCTCTTTTTATTATCCATATAAATAATAACTGTAATATTACAGATGGCAAAAAAACAAAACAATCAATGATAATAAATAAAAATTTAATTAAAAAAAATAAAAATATTTAAAATGGGGTATCTGACACCTATTTTATTATGGTTTGTCAGATTGACATCACACACCACTTTATTTTTCAGTAATCAGATCGACTTCAACTAATCAGACGAATAAAGATGATTGGAATAAGAGGTGGTCAAAGTATACTAACTAGATTATGTGTTAGTGGTAGTTCTACTTTCAGTGGTATTACTATTGTTAGTAACAGATATACAACAGATTCAAATACAACAACAACAACAAAAGATAGTACAACAGTCTCTACACCAAAAAGAAGAAGATCACCAACAACAACAAAGAAAGTAAAAGATAGTGATAAAGAGAAGAAAGAAAAGGTAGAAGAAGAAAGTAAAAAGGAGGAGAATGGTGGTGTATTCAGTTCACAAATCGATCGATCGAAACTAAAGATTGAAACACATGTCGGTGTCAAAGACTACTATCAACACAAGATCGACTCTCTCCAAGGCAGTGTCAATTGGCTCTACAGTCGTTTGTCAGAGTTCAAGGATTTAGTGTCACCAGGCAACAAGATGACATCGAATCAAGTCGAACAACAACAGCAACAGCAACACCAACGCACTATCGAGTCGAGTATGAATAGAATCCTCAGCAACCACACCAAAGACAACAAAAAACAGTCATCCGATGACAATGTTTTAAAGTTGATTCAACAATCGATTGAATCGGAATTGAGTAGCAGCTATCAAAAGTCATTCTACAAGCCAACCAATGTTGATTCCGCCGATATCGATCGTTACTTGGAGGTTGCACTCAACGATATGGCCATGTCCACCAAGAACACACGTGAACTGCTCCAGAGAAAGCTGTCGCAATACAGAGGCACCAATGTTGCCGGTGGTAAATCACTCAGACTCTACAAGTTCATACATCTCTGCAACGTACTGGATACTCAGGTCGCCGAGACACAATCGATGATCGACAGCGAAGCTAGACTGACAGCCGGCAAAGCCGAACAACAGAAACAAATCGATGATCTACTAGATAGTTTGGAGTTAGAGTATAGTCAACAGAATAAACGATTGGAATCAGTGGTCGACGAAACCGAGAGAACCAAACTGAAAAAGCAAGTTGCAGACTTGGAATCTACTATAGAGTATGTTAAATATTCGTTGATTAGATACATCGATTCCGTTGAGAAGTTGTACGATATCGATAATGCTACCGTTACTGAGCAGAGTGGTAACGATCGTGAACTCTTCAACGATGTCAAGCGCATGTTCTTCTACGATAGCGTCTACATGCACCCTAGAAGCATCTCACAATATACATCAACCATCAATTATTTACAAGCAAAGCTACATGTTGCTCAACAACAATCAAAAACAAACAACAACGCCACCGCCGACAAAGACATTCAAAAGTTCAAACATATCATCAACCTATTAACAACAGACCTTAATAATCTAAAGTTAAATCAAGTTGTTGATAAATAAATAAAATACATATAACCATTCTTGTTTTTAATAATAAGAATAATAAAAAATATAATCGCATTTTATTATCTATTTGTTGTTGTTGTTTGTTGTTCATTTTGTTGTTGTTGTTGTTCGTTTTGTTGTTCTATTTCTCTTAGATGTAATATTTGTGAGAGTGAAATGCTTATGTTGCCAATTTGATGCGTTACCAGTAGATAGTGGTCGGATTGCTTGTTGAGACGAGACTGTAGATCTTCGAGTATGTTCTTGAAGATCAAGACACGCGACAATAGAATATCGATTTCCTTGAGTGACAGACTGACGACACCAAAGTCGATGTTTGAGAGCTGTGAGAGTTCACGCTGTTCGTCTCTGAGCATCTGGAGTTCGTCGTTGAGCTTGTCGATAGCCGACGATATCTCTGTGTAGTACTCTCGGCTCTCTTCCTGACGGGCGGTCTCTGCTTCGCGCTGAAGATCGCGAATCAGCGATTGCTTCTCGGTGATCAACCGCTGTTTGTGACCGTGCAACTCCAACACCTGATTCAGCAGCATATCGAGGAACTCGGTCTGCTGCGTCACGCTAGTCTCGCGGAAGTTGATACTCGAGGAGATCTCGGCGATTTTCGCCAGGTAGAAAGCGAGCGACTTGTAGTTCAACGTCTGGTTCTCCGAGAGACGACACCACGTCACGATGATATCCATCAGCAGATTCATATACTTCTCGAGCATCTCCTTGCTTATTTGAAACGATCGTCTACAGAGGTATTGCAGTCTGATCTTTGTGTACATATTGATCATATGAATGAACACCTTTTGTTGAACCTCCATCGATTCGATATCCGACTCGACCGGATACGCCTTGACCAACTTTGCCAAGAACTGAATGGTTGCATTCGAGTAGCCAATCTCGCAATCCAAGAATCTATTAATCGGTACATAGGCATCAACATCCAAACTATCGATATGTTTATATTGTATATGATTCTTATAATTATCAATTGATAAAATACTACTATTTATATAACTACTATTACTATCATTATCTTCATTATCATCATCATCATTCTTATTCCTATTCTTATTCTTGTTATTTTGCTTATTATCAAAAGATAGCTTGTTCTTTATATCTTTTTGAATTGTTAATCGCTCTTTGTATAATGTACTTTCACTCTTTGTTACGGTGATTAGTAGTTGATCGTTTTCTTTGTAACCTTTAATCTTGGCGGGTTCGACGCGCTCGTAGGAACAGAGGAATTTGATACAGAATTTGATGTCGGCGGCATTCATCTCTTGGTAGGGTGTCACACCTTTCACCATATTGATATGTTGTTCGATATTGACGTTATCGCCGCTATCGTTATCGTTTAGCCATTGCTGATAGCGCTCTACATCGATATACTCTTTGATGTCCTTTCGGTACGATCTCTCCAACTCTGTCCACTCTGTGCCCGTTCCAAAGTGAATTCTCTTGACTATGAATGATAGATCTACCAACCACTGTCTAGATCTCTCACTACCTTCCTTAAACAACTCTCCGTTACCACTACCAATATCATCACTATTATTATTATTATTGTAACCAATCAATGTTTCCAATTGATGAAGCCAGTAGAGAATCAACTTGTTGTGTGGTGTAACAAAGTTATTGACATGTAACATTCCAAACATACGAACAACATATTTATATAATAACTTTATATATCTATCGAAAGGTATGTTATCTAACTTTACTTGTTGTTCTAATTGTTGTTGTTGTTCTACTTGATCTGCTTGTTGTTGTTTCTGATTAATAATATGATGTTGTTCATAACCACTACAATTCATAAGGAATAGAATGAGCTTAGCATTGGATTGTACTTCATATCTGAGTGCATCTTTGAACTTCTTTGATCTTGTCTTCTCAGTGATTATATTATCTTTGGTTATATCTTTAATCTTTGTAATTATCTCTGGTTGAATTATATCTCTTTTCGAATGCAATTCATGATATGACACAACAGCCCTTTTCTTAAAGATTTTACCACTATCTGTTAAATGACTTGATTGACTTTTATCTTTCTTCTTCTTGTTATTATTATTATTACTATTATTATTTATACTTTTTTTATCATTATTATTACTACTACTATTAAGATTCTTTTTACTTTCTGTTGAATAATTAACTGTAGATATTTTACTTGATAAAATCGATGTTGTTGTTGTTGTTGTTGTTGATAATAATGATGGTGTTATAACTCTTGAAGTATAATTATAGCAATTATTTGTATTTCTAAGTAAATTTAACATGTTGGTTAATTAAACTATCACTATTTGATCATGATCAGATGAATCACATCGCTCTTTTGATTGATTTTTACAAAAAAAAAAAAAAAACGAATCATTCAAAGTTAAAAATCAGTTTGTTAATTTATTTATCTTTATATTAAGAGTGTACAGACATTATTATTATATTAAAAGACATGACAGTCGATAAAATTATATTAGGATCTTCATCTGTTTGGAGAAAGAAGGTATTAAGTGATCATATCGGTATTAAAGATTTCACTGTTATGTCACCAGACATCGATGAAAAGGTTGGTCTGTTATTATTACAATAATCTACTGATGATGAAAGGTCACTTATAAAAACAAAATAAAAAAAAGGCAATTAGAGATACAGATGCAAGAAAACTTACAATGATGATCACACAAGCTAAAACCGATGCACTTTTAGATAAAGTACTGGAACCATCCATTTTGATTTGTTCAGATCAAGTCATCGTTTGTAATAATAAAATTAGAGAGAAACCAGGTAATTATTAATCAATTAATTCAATTTGATTGATAAGCCAAGATAAGCTAAGTTATTATTTCATTTATATTAATTATTATTTTTTTTATGATAATAATAATAATAATAATAACAGTTTCAGAAGAAGAATGTAGAGAATATTTAAAGAGTTATGAAAAGTATCCTGCGGAATGTATTGTAAGTGTTGTTGTTGTAAATACAAAGACAGGAAAGCGTTTGGCACAGACCGAAGTTGCAGTGGTACATTTTAAGCCATTGCCAGACGAACTCATTGAAAAGCTGATTGAGATAGGTGATGTTATGTATTGTGCCGGTGGATTCACCATTGAACATATGACCGAATACGTTGAGCGTATCGATGGTGAAATGGAAACCGTCATGGGTCTACCAAAAACAATGACAATCGATATGATTCGTCAAGCTCAACAAGAGTAAGAAGATGAAGAAGAAGTAAGAAAGAGAAAAGAAAATAAACAAACATAATAATATTATTTTAATTTTTAACAAATCAAGGTAATCAATCTTTTACCAAGTGGTTGTTCATATGACGTGTTGTGAAACGAAGATGACCACCAACTTTGCTAATTAATTACCATTACCCCCATAACCAAAGATTTCCTTTATGATTCTTGTTTATTTTTCTCACAAAAGTAACAATTGTTTGATTTTCTGAATTTTTTCAATTTTTTGCAAATTCTGAAATTTAATTATTTTTTTAATTTTGGTTTAAAAAAAGATTATTTAAATTAAAAGATCAATTTTTTTGTATTACCAACAACAACACTATTTTTTTTTTATCTCTTTTTTTTAAGACAAAAAAGTAAGATCAAAAAAGATAGATAGATTACCAAACAAACCAATTGTTTATTTATTTTATTATTTTTGAATAAATGGTTTGTTTAGATTAGATTAGTTAAACTATTTATTATCAATTAACAGCAATAATAATAATAACAAGAACAATAAACAATCTAGTCAGTCAATCAGTCCAACAAACACAAATCTAGAATCAATTTCGAAAAACAATGGCCATTGAAGATGATTTGATTCCTTATAGAAATAAGGAAACTCTTTTTAAAAAAAATTATAAAGTTGGTGATTATCTTCAAATTAAAAAGTATACTTTTGATCAAAACACAACAAACAAACACTATCACTCTATTTTATAAAATACAAATTATTAATTTTGCTTGATTGCTCAGCTCATATCAAATTAGAAATCGTTATTCTTATGGTTATCGTCGTTTTGGACACCAAGAAAATTCAATCATAGTTGCTAAAATCATTGCTGTCTATGATAATCCTCCAAGAATTTATTATAAATCTGAAAAAAGTAACTATTACTACTACTACACGCTTTTCATTGACCATCCACAAGAGACTTTGTTATTTGAATTATTCAACATACTAATTATTATTATTATTATTATTATTGAATCATTAACAATCAAACCAGCTGGAAAAACCAATTTTATTGTGCCCGGAAGTAAATATTCGGATGGCTACAAACAATTGATTCAAAACAAGAAAGAGGCAAGAGAGAATCATCAGAAACAGGTACAGGAAGCATATAATAAGCGTGCTGCCATTGCAAGAGGTGAACTTTCGTGTACACCTGCAGAAACACAAGATTCAAGTTCTTACTCTCGATGGGGAGAGAGAGATTTGGAGGAAGATGACATCGCTTCCATATATGAACGTGATAAAATTGTCTTTGAAAAGAATAGAAGATCCTCCAGCAAGCGTTACAGTGTCGCGGTGGAGCAGGATCATGGTGCACCAACCATACATCGTGACTACGAAGAGATCTTCTCACGTGATGAACAATACGAAGTGAGAATCATCACTGAAGACGAATACAAACAGCTCTCACAGCAACGCGCAGACCTCAAACTACTGAATCAATTCAGAAAACAAGAAATCATTGACAACGAACTCAAGAAAGAACAAAAATCAAACAAATCAAAAAACAACAACAACAACAACAAACCATGTGGATTTACAATTAATGATAACATAGTAAAACAACAACTATTAAGCTATTTAAAGAATAATAAGGTAATACAAAATAATGGAAATGGAAATGGAAATGGAAGTGGATATGGAAATGGAAATGGATATGGAAATAGTATAAAAAATAGTAATAGTAATGAAGATGGTGATGATGTAAATTATTATAGCGATGAAGAAGTGGATGACAATGATAATTCATCATCATCAACATCCTCTTTGGCATTTGAAAGAGTTTATTTGTCAAGAGGTGCACAAAGAGATTTCTTGGATGACGATGATGATGATGACGCTAGTTTTGGTGATACCGATAGCGATGTCTATTCCAATATTCTGTACGGTGGTAATGCTACACCCGATTTCTACTATCAAGGCTATGCTGTCGACTATGAGAATGCGCTCAACGACGACGGTGTCATCAAGGATGACATTGACTATGACGAAGAGGAATTCAGCTATTCCCTGACAACAAAGGAACTGGAAGACTGGGAAAAGCTGAAAGTTCAATACAACTTCAGTAGCAACGAACAACTCCAAGAGGAATACGTCAAACTCTCCAATCTCTTTGAGAGTAACTACATTCCAAAGTATGAATTCATCATAAGAAGAAATACTCTTTGTTCTCAATATTCAAATAATAAAACTATAAATATTTTGTAAATTATCTATTATTTATTTATTTTTGATGAATTTGTTTTTGTTGATCCAACCAACCAACAAAATTTTCCAAATTAAGATAAGCATTTTTTTGTTGTTGTTTTGATTAAAAATAATCAAAAATTTAATTAATTTTATTCTGTTCTGATAGATAAATAGAAATATGACAACAGTAGCAGCAACTTCAACACCAATATCACTTGATCTAACGATTATTTGTCAAGATTGTGTCGTTGGTGAACATGTCACCATTGGTAAAGGCACTGTACTACACCCTAAAGCTTCGATCACCTCTTTGCATGGTGCACCTATTACCATCGGTGAAAACAATATCATAGAGGAACTAGTTTCCATAGTCAATCGTTCAAAAGAACCTATGATCATAGGTGCCGGTAATCTATTTGAAGTTGGTTCAGGTTAGTTTTCTATTATTATGTTTTATTACTAGTACAATAGTATTGAATCTTATAACAACAACAACTAATCTATTTCTATTTTTTTTATATTTATAAATACAATACAGTTATAGAATGTAAATCAATTGGAAATGAAAATATAGTTGAAGCGAAAGCAAAAGTCAGTTGTGGAGTTACAATTAACAATGGATGTACGATTGGTGCTGGTTGTATAACACCAGAGAATGAACATTATCTAGATAATTCAATCGTATCAGGTCCAACATTACATAGAATCAACTCTACAATTCCACTAGAAGTAATTTATTATAACCTACAGTTAATTTATAGTAAATGATAGTTATACTAATACATTCTCAATCAAATCATTTGTAAATCTAGATGCACAGTGCAACTCATATAAAACATTTAGAATTCTTACATAAAACATTACCTAATTTCCATAATATGAAGAAATAGATAGATAGATAGCTTATAGAATATATAATAATAAATATAAGATTTTGTATAATATAATATAAAGATAAATACAATGTTTTTTTTATTTATATTTCGATTTCATTACTATCTTTGTAGGTAGTTGTCGTAGAAGTAGAAGTAGGAGCGTCTCTTGTGGTATTATTGTTATTATCATTGTTTACAGGTATTTGTGAGGTTGTCGATATAGTCGATGTTGTTGTAGTAGTATCTATAGGTGTTGTGTTTATTGGGTTACTTATCAGATGTTTCCATGGATCTTCAAGAAAAGATGGTTTAAAGTAGAATGTTGTTATAAAAGTTGCTGGGTTACCGCCACCACTGCTATTTGGTTGTTGGTAGTGATTTCTATTTCCTCCTCTACCTCCTCTGCCTCCTCTATTGTATCCACCACCGCCACCTCTGTTGTATCCGTCACCACCACCGCCTCTATTGTATCCACCACCGCCACCTCTGTTGTATCCACCACCTCTATTATATCCACCACCGCCACCACCTCTATTCCCTCTATACCCACTGTTACCACCTCTATTACTATTATTATTGTTAAAACCTCCAAACATCGTTTGCTTTTCACTAATGACCAAAAATATAAATAATTAGATAGATCTGTTGTTTTGAAGAAAAATAAAAACAATTAGAATCAGCTATGAAGTTGTTTTTATCTTTTTTTTTTTAGAATAAATGTACAACACAATACAATTCATATGGTTTGTTTGTAATTAATATTTTATTGTTATGTTCATTTATTTTGATTCGTTCATTCAAATTGATGATTAGTAGTTAACTACTTTATGATTAATTGTGTTGTTTTGATATAATTTGTTGTTGTCAGAGTTGGTGAGGAGTATTGTTATTATTATTATTATTATTAAATATAGTATATATTTCTATGCTGATTCAGTTGTTGATTCTTTTGGAGCGGGTGGTGAACCATCAGTTGAGTAAGCACCCAAATAACCAGTTGGATGATTTGGGTATTTCTCTTTCAATTTGAGTGGAACTCTTGCACGCTTTGGTGTGAAATCAAACTTCTCTGGCTTGAGCAAGAATCGCAAACCGACACGATCATAATAGACATTCGATGCACTACCACCCAATGACTCAATTGTTTTTCTAGCATTCTCTGAGAAATCACTCAATTCTATATTGATTTTATGTTTAAATGTTTCTTCACCCTAATAACAATAATAATAATAATAAGTGTAAGTTTGTTAGATACTATTAATAACATTCATATATGAATAATGAACCACTTACCGATGCCAATAGCTTGATACCAAATTTAATTTTACCGACAGCATTAACATCGTAAAGATGCTTCATTGTGATTGTCTCGTTTGGATTGATAAGACCGTCATCGATCAATCTTGACAATCTGTCTAAATTCAATGGATTGAGTACTCTTGCAAATCTGGCATTCGAGAAACCATACTTTCTCATTCTCTTAAATAATGGTGTTTGACCACCTTCGAATCCTCTTGGTATATCTATTTATAAAGTAGTATAATGAATTGAATTAGCTAAACTTTTGCTTCTTACTTTAATAGCTAACTTGCTTTAACTCTTTTTATTGATACATACTGTGTCCGGCTCTTGCTTTTTGACCACCATGACCTCTACCTGAAGTTTTACCCTTTCCTGAACCAATACCTCTACCTAATCTGATTTTCTATTATTATTATTATAATTAGAAGCATAATTTATGTTAGTAAACTATTCTTTATTACTAAACATCTTATTGATTCAATTCTAAAGTCATTCATATATATAACTTGAACTAAAACTAATTAAATTGAATCTGAAATGTTGATCGATCATACTTTTTTATTTGCACCTGGATTGTCTCTAAGATTATTTAATGAAATTTCATGTGGTAATGATATAATGGTTCTTTTGAATGTTGTATCTATATTATTGCTGCTGTTATTGTTATTGACTGAAAATGAGGTGTTGAATAGACATGATGATGAAGATGATGCTACACCAGCATATTTATTTATATATTGAAATGATCTAATACCAGTAGTACTACTACTGATCAATGATTTCGATGTCGACGAGATGCACATCGAACCGAATCTGCTTGACAATGACATCATCCTGTTGTTCTGTCTCCAAAAATTGATCAATAACTATAATATAATATTAACAAAACAATGAAAGCAATAAATCAAATCGATTTTCGTTTTGTTCAAAAAAAAAAAAAAAAAAAAAAATTCAGACAAAAAAAAATGTTTAAAATTTTTTTTGTTTATTGATCATTTACAGTAATGTTTTATAACAATTGCTAATCATATGATTATAAAGACTTGACAATAGCAATATATATAAATATATATAATCCATAATAGGTAAACAGAGTTGCGATGCGATGTTTTTATTTATTATTTTTTTATTTTTTTTATTTTTTCTTGTTTATATACTTTTATAAATATATCATTGAATCATGTTAAAACGAATGATCCAACTCTAGTAATTTGACACAATATAATTTTTGTTTGAATTTTTAATTGAAATAAAATAACAATAAATATATATTTATTTATTTGATGATTGTACAAGAAAAAAACACTTAGTGTTAAAATAGAATGATGGGGTGCTGATTGTTTACTCAATATATAATTTAGTGATAAATGAATTGATTAGATTATATCTATATAAATCTATTTCAATATCTTTAGTTATATTTATAGTCTAAAATATGATAAAATGAAAAATAATCAAAATAATAATATTAAAAAAAATGAAATTTATCATAATAAAAAAAATGATCACTTGATCAGCTTTTCATCAGTCAATAACAATTCTCATAATAATCAAATAGCAATTAAAAACAATATAAATCTATTAATTATAGTATTGTTGTTTATTTCTTTGTTTGGTAATCATCAAGTCAGTGGTTTAGGACAATGTGAAACACTAGGTCCAGATTCATGTCTGACAGCCTACCCCGATTGCATTGTCGTTCCTATCAGAGCATGTTGCTACGGTGTCGGTTCTGTATGTGTCAGTTCTACCTACACTTCGATCATTGACAACGGCAATACCACGATTACAGGTCAGCCAAACTGTCTGAAGAATATCATAACCAATCAGGTCTACCAGCTCGACTATGAAATCTCACAACTCCCGGGCTACGAGATATCGACACCGAACAACATGACCTGTGCTACGATGAATTGTGAAGGACTGGGATTGGTATGTGTCAACCAGACGTCTACGTGTGTTCTGGACGACCTAGAGTGTTGTCGGTCGACGCCGACCTGCGTGCAAAGCACCACATCCGGCAACATCCTCGATCAGTACAGGTGGCAAACTAGCAGAGGTATATGCGATATGCCTTGTCCCGATGGATTCGTATGCAAGTCCATAAGAGGATCGGCTCAATGCGTGCCAACTACATGCAAGGATCTAAAGTGTGACAGTCAGAGTGAGTGTATCCACATGGTCGAACTCGGAATGGCAGCATGTTTCCTCAAGATCGACAAAAACGATGTCATACCTTCGTGTATGACCTCTCCATGTCCAACAGGTTTCGTTTGTCAAAAAGGTGAATTTTCAGATTTTGATTGTATTCCAGAGACTGGTGATTTATTCCGTAAGTATAAATTTTATATATTTCTTTTTTCCAAATATACATATATATATTAATTTTAATTTTAACTTATTTATATATATATATAGAGGAAGATTACAATTGTTCTTCTTGTCCAAAAGATTTTATTTGTGATCAATTTGGTTGGGGTATAATGTGTACGGAATGGTCGTTTTCAGAGGGACCACCACTTCAGTGTTACGAATCGAATTGTTTGTTTGCCCAGTTTTGTAATCACGATACGAAACGATGTGAATTCCACCGATGCTCTGATAATCCTGATCTATGTGCAAAGGATATGGTTTGTGTACAGTTCGATGTTACACAGCCAAGGGTTTGCGCATCCAGGTCAGTCGTACCCTACACAGACACACCACTTTGGTTACAGAAATTCCCATTCCTCAACAACAGAGATTCATTCACCGATTAGAAAAAAAAAAAAAAAAAGAGATCAAATCAAATTCAAACATAACAGCACCATACCGATACTCTTTCTTCTCTGTTTTAATATTAATGTGTTTTTTCTCTCCACCAAATTAAATTAACTTAAAAAATCTAAACTTCTTTGTGAATGACTATGTACATTAAAATACCAACTTACTATTTGACAATATAATAAAATCTTTTTCTAATATTACACTGCTATTATTCATAGTACTATCACAATGAATACAAATTTGAGCTTACTGTCACCTTTAGGTGCAATTAGTGAATCTGTATATTTTTAATAAATAACTGTAAGTATTAAACATAATTAAATAAATAAAAATTGTAATTATAACTAAAATTACCAAAACATGACAAAAAATTTATTATGACCACACTTAAATTTGATCGTAAAAAAAATAATTTCAAAATTGGGGTGAAATTTGTCTTAATGCTGTTGTCAGCAACATTTTTACCAAGTTTTTTTAAAAATTTTTCAAAAAGGTCATCTGCATATAAGAAAGATATTATTTTAACATTTTAAATATATCTGGAATATCTTATGATATTTAGTGGAAAATTATTTTATCACCTAAGTTGTTAAAAAACAATAGATTCTAAATCTTTTTGAATTTTTAATCAACTTGTATAACACACACAGCAAATACACAATCATACATATGTTCAGTAATTTATTAAAGTGTTTAACAAATAAATGAATAGTACATTGTTTCTTAAAGTATTTAATAGTTCAGTATTGAATCGATTAATATTTAATAAGGTCAGAGAGCTTTCAAGAGGAAAAAGGAGTTTTAAATGGCATGAGATATTAGTGCTTCCAGATGTGTTGGCAGGAAACAACTATTTGCAATTGCTCAAAGATTGTTTAGATAAATCTGGCGGTGTAGACATTGATTCAGAATTATACATTAATGCTATCAGAGGTGGAAACCTGGAGATCTTTAAATACCTATTGGATTACTTCAGTGTTAATCCACCGAGACAGTCTTTATTCAGAGAAATAAAGGTTGAACAGTTTAAATTCTATAAAATCAATCTCGATGCCATGTTGATTAACTCTGCACTGGGTGGAAGAACCGATATAATTACGTATCTACTCAACACCTTCAAATCATACCGCTTCGACTACTATCGTGCGTTGAGTGCATCTGCCTATTCCGGTAATTTCGAATTGCTCAAATTCTTTGTAGGAAAGTGTAAAGAAAATAAAATCGAAGCGTCTAACTATGATGTTCGCGAGAATGTGTTCAACCAGTGTGCATATCTCGGTCGTTTGGACATGATTGGCTACTTGGTTACGAACTACCCACACAATATGGTGAAGAGCGACATGATTAGCTATGCTATAGAATCTGGTCAAATCGATGTAGTTATATATCTGTTGCAAAACAAAAAGATTTTCAAGTTGACCTACCAGACGGAATCATTGCTGGATCAGGCTGCCTATTACAATCGCTTTGAAATTGCGCAGTTTCTGCTTAGATATGGACATGGCAAGTGTACAGCTGCAATGGATAATGCTGCCTACAATGGTAACCTCGAATTTCTAAAGTGGATCCACAGCAATACCAGAGGTAGCAGGTGCTCCGCACAAGCATTTTACCACGCTGTCACAAATTCCAACTATGAAATGGTGCGATGGCTGCATGAGAATACCACGGAACGATGCTCTAAAGATACTTCGGATTATGCAGCTGGTCAAGGTGACATTAGAATCGTAAAGTACATCCACGAGAAAAAAATCGGTGAATTTTCAAACCTTGCAATGGAGAATGCCGCTCGGTTTGGTCATTTAGACATCTTGCAATTCCTACATGACAATAAATACTCTTGTAGTAAAAAAGCAATGGATAATGCTATCATTACAAATCGATTGGAGATTGTACAATTCTTGCACGAGCATAGAATAGAAGGTTGCAGTGAAAGTATGCTATCACATGTATTTTCATATGACCTTATTACCAAGAAACCAAAAACCGAAGATATTCTATTGCAATGGCTACTTTGTAACCGTCCAGAGTTCATATTATCCGAATCAAACATCGATACCTACCTCTCGAAATTGTTTACCATTGATGACTTCAAAAGAGTAGAACTACTATTAAATTGTATTCGACCCGATATAATTTCAAAAGAAAAACTGGTACAACTACAAAAAAAGTATAATTTAATCTACCCAAATTCAAATCAATCAAATTTAATATTATATCAATATTTAAAAAATAATACATCATCTCAATATTTTTGTAATATAATGTAATAAAAAAGATTTTAAAAAAAAGATTTTTAGCAATGTTTTACAAAAAATAAAAAGTCATTCAATAGATATTTATCGATTAATGGGGGATTTGATATAGATAGTAAATATTTTATAAAATCAAGATTTGTTTTAAATGATTTTTCGGATTAATAGGATTCTACAAAAAAATATCATTGGATTTATTTATTTTTTTTAACAAATAATCATGATTATTCTTTCATACACTTTATATATAAATGAATCTCCTTCAACTCGATATCATTTGTTATTCTACAAAAATAATAATAATTAATAATTCGCTAAAATAAATAAAATGGTTATTTCAACTCTAAATTGTAAAACACATAGTGATCAGATTTTTATATTATATTGTGAAGATTGTAATTGTTTGATATGTTCTCAATGTTTGGTATCTAGTCATCAAACACATCAAGTATTGACCATTCAAAATTTAGTACAAAAAACAACTCCTATCAAATCAGAAAATAGTAAATTATTTTTTACACCACCAGCATCAACGACACCAACTACAACAAATCCATTATCTCTTTTTCAGACACCAATAAAATCATCTCTTAACCTTGCAAGTGAAGTCTCTCATTTGTATTCATTCTCACAGGATGATAAAAGTGAACAAACTCAAATACATTCAATAGATTTAGAGAAAGGAACTACCAATGACAATGTGGGCCTTACCAGGCTGAATCATAATGGTTCTGCGGTAGTCTACGTCAAGTCTAGAAAAGCTATCTATTTCTTTGGTGGAAAACATGAGAACGCCAGAAATAAATACGAAGCATACTATATAGAGCTGAACAAATCCGATATCTACCCGCTTGGCAAGATCGAGGGTGAAGTAGCTGCCGTCTACGATGGAGATCGTTATGTCTACCTCACTACCAGGAACAAAGATAATGACCGTATCGTCAAAGTAAAGAGTCACAATTACCTAGTGGAGAGATTCGATACTGCAAGAGGCACCTTTGAGGTACTAGGTTCCTTGGTATTTACAACTGGCGAGACCAATTTGTTTTTTGATAAATCAACATCGGAACTATTGATTTACAGTAGAAATACACTTCAAAAGTTGGCCGTTGACAAACTGGAGCAGACCGCTACTGTAGTTACCAAAGAATTTTTGAGTTCACCAATTTCAGATGATATTTCAAAAATAATCAAATATGACAATGAAGTCATTCTCTTTGGTTACTCACATATAATCGCAAAGAACTTGGAGAATAATCTGGTTACCATTAGAGAAAGAGAGCATATCTCTCCGCTCCATTTCGAACAATCGTTTAAATCGGTTTTGTTCTATACCTTTAATGTTTGGACCATCAATTTTGGAAGATACTTTATTGAAACAGGTGAATCAAAATTAGATTGGTCCATTCAAATTCCAGTTCCAACTAATTGGGAATCCTATTCAATAATAGCAATCAATAAAGTATAAATAAATCAAAGTATCAACATTAAAAATAAGAATCTTTTTTTTAGATTATCTTTTTAGTTTTTTTAATAATAAATAAATTTACTTTTATAGAAAAATTAATTTTAAAATAAATGGTTGAATTTAGAAAGTTAAAGATCTTAACAGTTCTTTGAAAACAACAACTTGTTATTAAAAATAAAATAAAAACAATTAATTAAAAATAAAAAATAAAATAATGAAAGTAACAAAGTTACAATAAGTGTGGTGTAAAACATTTTTTTTCTAATTAAAATGAAATCGATTCGAATCTTGTCAACTTCATTTAAAAAGGATGGTATAGATTTTTAATAGTGGTGTGAGTTTGTTCTATTGTGTACTTACCACTAAAGGTGGGGGTATTACATTTTTTACAACTTAATCCGAATGTTGTTTTTCATTTATTATATTATTTTTACACATTATTAATTATTTTTTTTTAAAATCATATTAAAACAATTTTAATGGTGTTACTCATATGTTGATAACTATTAAAAAGCATTGTATATTAAAAAAACAAAATTTTCAAATTAGTAGGTGGATATTCAATAGAATAGGAGGAGTGTAGGTGTCTATTATGTATTGTATACACAAGTTCAACAATATGTTGTTTTATTAATTTTTTTTTTTTTAAAAAATTACCTACTAGTACTTATTTATTGTTTATACTCCAAAGTTTTTTTATTTTTTTAAATTTAATTTCCTTGTGTTACTTTTCCAACAGTCAAACTCATAGTTCACTGTCTGACTTGTCATTTAAAACTGTATCCTAAAATTAAAAGATAATTTCCATTATTATTATTACTGTCATTTAAAATTAATAAAATCATTTAGTTTTAATAACTCCAAATTATTTAATTTCTATAATTATCTATATCATTCCAAAATATTGTAATAAAATAAATATTGAAAAACAAAAATGTAAATATTAGATAATTATTTTGAACCTATTTTCTTTAATATAAATATAAATACTAATTAAAACTTTACTTATCTCTTTGTATTTTAAAAAATGAATATATCTAGATATCTAAATTTATTTTTGAAATTAAAACTAAAAAATCATGTCATCTGTACATCCAGGAGATAAACCAGCAACTGCATCAACAGTTTCTTCAAATATTGAACAAAGTAAATATTAAAAAAATAAAATTTGTTTGGCCTAAAAACAAAAAAAACTAATCATTATTATCTATAGGTTTAAAGAGAACTGGAGAAGAACTTGAAAAAGATACAAAAAAAGTAAGAACTGAAGGAGAAAGTTTCATCAATGAAGTTGGTAAACAAATCTCAGAGGCACATGATCAAGCGTTGGAATCGACAAAGGAAGCTTTAGAGTCAACCAAAGAAGCTATCCAGTCTGGTGTCGAATATGTTCACAATAGTTTGCAACCGGTCATCGATAAGAGCAAAGAGTTTAGCGAGAATCTCCAGAAGAGTGTTGTCGACAGCTACAACGCCACCGTTCGCAAGACAGAGGAATTCAGAAAGGAGATTGCAGAGAAGGCTGCCACAATGATTGCAACCGCTGAGCACAAAGCATCGGAGATGGGTGAGTCGTTGAAGCACACTCTCGAAGGTGCAATGGGTGACGCCAAGGAATCGGCCAAGACCACTGAGAAGACTCTCGAGAACAAGGCCGAGGAACTCAAGGACGATGCATCCAAGAAGTCAGAGGAGCTAAAGGAGGGTGCACAAGATCTCAAGAACAAAGCTGAAGAGAAAGCGGAAGAAGTCGGCAAGAAGTTAGAGGAAGCCAAGAATGACGCCGCAGAAGTAATCGAAGAGAAAACAGAGGAACTAAAAGATGCTTCCAACGGTAAGAAGAAAGGTAGAGGTCGTCCAAAGAAATCTGCAAAGTAAAAAGTTAAAAAAAACATAAACAAAACAAAATAAAATAAACAACTAAATAATAATGTGGTTTGTTAAACTTATTAATTTATTTATTTAAATATCTTTTGTTATAATATATAATATCTGATGATTGAGCTTGATCTGATTATTGCATTTAATAAAATGAAAACTCTTGGAATTGAACCGGTGTTGGTTGTTGGTAAGATTGAAAGGCTCTTGTGTGTATGGCTTTCAGGTCTACCAATCTGTCTTCTATGTGAAGTTTACTGAGTGATATTGATGTACGTTCCAAACATTCCAATGGGAATTCTACCAATCCAGCCAAGCAGTATCGATAACTTGATTTTGCTTCTTTTTCTGATTGGCGGTAGCTACTCTTTCGGATTCCTGAATACATCGAAATCAATTACTCGTTACTTTATCAAGCTCAACCATCAGATACTATTAAAATTAAATAAATTAATTGTAAGTTTAACTATTACTATTACTACTAATATTATTCTTTTCTACTTTTTAATGAACACTTTTTTTTGTTTTGGTGATCCAGGTCTTGAAATTAAATTTATCCAAAAAAAATAAAATAAAAAAATAAAAAAAATAAAAAAAAAAGACAAAATTTTTTTTGGTTGGATGATCATTGGTGGGGTAAAATTCATTCGCGCCAAAAATCAATGAAAAGTTTGTTAAAACAAAAAAGTTAATTTTAAATAATTAACAGTCATTCAAATATCTTTTTTTAAAATAACTGTATATTATGATCGTTCAAATATGATCAATAATCTAAATAATATTACAATGTTGAATAATACAACTTTAGATAGTAACAATAATACAACAGTTACTTCATCATCAAATAATACAACCAATAATAGTAGTAATAATATAACTGTAATCTATAGTAGTAAACAACAACAACAGCAACAACAACAACAACAATATAATCAAAACAATCAACAAAGTAGCTTTCAAAAACAGCAACAACAACAGAATAAAAATAATAAACAAACTGTGAATGATAATTTTAGTGATGATAGTGATGATGACAATGACGATGACGATAACAGTGGTGAACAAAATAAGAATGTATTCAACCTATCACCTAGAACTTTAAAGAAACTTGGTGAACTGTCATTGCAAACCAATATGACATCTACACAACTACCATGGTTATCACGACTACAACACAATGCAAAGAAACGTGCAGTTCCAATCGCAAAGCTACCTGTTTGGTGTAACTCAAGACCATTCCTAAACAATGGATATCTTTCAAACAATGGTTTATTATTCGATTCTAAAACAGCTAAACCTGTAAATATAACAAACATAATAATAGTTGTAGTAGTAAGATATATATATCATATTTACTAACACTTATAACTTATTCAACAGTCAAATAGTAGTACTAATATTAGTACTCAACAACAACAACAATCGAATGCCGGTGGTCTGGATGGATTGACTACGTTGGATCAAGAGTACTATCTATTGGAGGATCTGCTGTATGTTATGATCGGCTTGGAGGGAAAGTATATTCATGTGGGACAGCGCAAACCCGATAGAGATACCGGTTTGGTAGCGTTTGAACTTCGTCCACTCGTTCGATTCGAAGTAAGCAATCCAGCGGTCGATTCATCGATGTCACATCTCATCAACAGAATACTCCCGCTTGCCAGCTACTACACCTATATCGCTGACTTTATCGATAGTCGTCAACACTTTGAATGGGGTATAGTCAATCACTCACTCTGCGAATCCATCTCTGAACTCATTAAAGACTACCATCTCTTAATCGCACAAATGGAATCACAATTAAGATCAAGACAACTTTCATTACAAGTAAGTTACTTACCTATTAACTATTGAATTTATAATTAATCAACTATCTTATTTTTTCCAGAGACTATGGTTCTATATTCAACCAACAATGAAAATATTTGAAAGACTTTATATTATATGTGAAGAGTGTACAAAGTTGAATTTACATGGTGCTCAAATTCTAAATCTTTTATTGAATAGTATGGCTAGTTATGGAAGGTAAATATATGTTATTATATAACATTCAAATCTCAAATTTAAACATGATACATACATGTTAACTAACTAACTGTTGTTTTTTTTGTTGTTTTTATAACGATTAGTGATCCAAAAACCAATGATTTTTATAAGTTTTTAATACAAAAGACAAGTAAACCATTCTTGGTGATGTTGGAATCATGGATCTATAGAGGTGTTGTTAATGATCCACATTGTGAATTCATGATCGAGGAGAATATCGATTTGGTGAAGGAGAATATCAATAGAGACTATAACGATGCGTATTGGGACCTGCGGTACACTCTCCAAGAGAAACAGATTCCCAAGTTCCTAGAGCGTGAAAAAACAAAGATTCTACTGACCGGAAAGTATTTAAATGTCATTAGAGAGTGTGGTCATTCCATAGAGTTTGTAGATGAGGGTAAACCATTCTTTGTTGATGATGATGATGATGATAATCAACAAACTTCATCATCATCAACTTCAACCACACTTCAATACTCTGCCAATGAGAAACACTATCTAGAGAGAATAGAACGTGCCTATGACTTTGCATCGTCAAAGCTGCTGACACTGATGAACGAGCGACAATTGATGGACCGTTTGAAATCGTTGAAATACTACTTCCTGCTTAGTAAAGGTGACTTTTTCTCGCATTTCATGGAGATAACAGCAGAGGAGTTGAGCAAACCACTGTCCGAGATTTCGATTATCAAGATGAATTCACTGCTACAGCTGTCACTAAGAACATCGTCCATCGAGAAGGATTCATTCAAAGACGACCTAGAGTGCGAATTCCAATCTATTACACTACACGAACAACTCCTAAAGATCATACATATCGACGATAGGAATATAATTGATCAGAAGAATCAAGAACAACTAATGAATCAAAGACAAAACGCAAACTCAACATCAACATCATCGTCGTCAATAGCAAAACAAATTCAACAACAACAGAGAATTCAAAAGGAACTGTTGGGAAGAGATTCATTGGCTTTTAACTATAAGGTTATTTGGCCATTGTCTTTGGTTATCAATAGAAAGTCGCTGGTGAAATATCAAATTATATTCAGACATCTCTTCCTCTGTAAGCATGTAGAGAAGCTGCTGTGTAACACTTGGAATCAGCATCAAGAATCGAGAAGAGCATTCAACAACAAACCTGCACTCGCAGCTCTCATGTCATTCTCTCACTTCCCACGCCACAGAATGATTCATTTCCTTCAGAATCTAGAGTACTACATGATGTTAGAAGTTATTGAACCAAATTGGATAAAGATGAGACAATCTATTAAAAATGTAACTATATATACTTTTAATTATAAAATTAAACAAACAAACAAACTAATTACTTTTTTTACTTAAATATACTATAGTCTAAAACAGTAGATGAAGTTATTAAAGTACATGATGACTTTTTAGAGACATGTCTGGCGGAGTGTATGTTAACCGATACTAGATTAGTTACTGTATGTATATATAATTTGAAAATTAAAAGATGTAGATAGATAGGTTAGTAGAGTTTAAACACATTGTATACTAATATTCAGTATTTAATATCAAAATTATAGTTGTTAATGAAATTCATGACTTTATGTATTATTTTCTGTGATTTCAATACAAAGATGGTGTTGGAAGAGAATCAATTCGATATCAATGCAGTAAAGAAAACGATACAGAGTTTCGAGACTAAATTCCACAAGATTCTAAAGCTATTGATTGATACATTAAAGACATTCTCTACCACCGAATCAAATAGACATATGATACATTTAATTAGACGATTAGATTACAACGGCTACTATTCATCTTATTTCGATCAGCAACATCAACAACAACTACAACATCAAATACAATTACAACAACAGCTACACTCAATGAATAGTACAAGATCTAGCGCTACAACTAGTTTAAATAGTAATAACAATAGTTCTATAAAAAGACAACCACAGCAACAACAACAACAACAACAATCATCACCTTCATCTACAATAAAAAGACAACAACAAACTCAACAAACACAACCACAACCACAACAACAAGTAGTAAACCCAAATAATATATCAAATTTATCTAATACTTCATATTTAAATACATCCAATCTTAATAATATATCACAAACCAATAATAATATTTCTATGATATCCAAACCGATTCCCAACTTTCCAAATTCAAACAATAATACAGCACCAGCACCAACAACAACTACAACAACAAAGTTTATACCAAAGAATTTAGAAGAATTGTTAATTAGACCATCAACTACTCAACAACAACAACAAAGACCACAACCAGTAATGACTTCAACAACTACAACAACATCATATACAACACCTACATCAACCAAATCACCAGATGCTAAAGACTTTGCTCAAAGACTGTTAGAAATTAGAAATCCAAAGAAATCGACGCAGTAATTTGAAATAACAATAAATATTAATTTAAATTGTAAATATAATCATATGACAGGTGTTTAAGTGTAAAAGTGAATGAATAAATGATAATATTCTATTGATAAGAGTATTCTATTATAGATTTTTTTTTAATATGGTACAATTAAAATAGAATATATTATTATTTATTTATTTATTATTATTATTGTCGATCGGTTTTTTGTTTAGAAAAGTAATGCCAAAACAACAACAGCAACAAATGCAATCATTGATGGAACAATGTTGAATGCGTTGTTAGAGGTTGGATAACTATCACATGGGTAAAGAGTACGATGGAGATCGGTGGTAGCACAGGCATCGTTCATACCTGCACATTGACCTTCAGAGATCTTATAGATTGGTTGACTGACGTTACCGGATGGGTCATCCAATGGGAAGTTGTAAGCACAGAGGAAAGCAGCGTATTTGTTGGCACAGTTGGTGTCGTTGTTCTGGAAAACCAATGGGTTCTTGAGGTTGGCAGCAAAGGTGGCGGCGACGGAATCATCGATAGTCTCAGCGGTTTGACCGACTGGAATCGAAACGACGTGCTCGTTGACCCACTTACCACAGAAAGTGAGATCGTCAGCGAGAACGGCTTGACGGTCCTCGACTGGAGTGTCGCATTTCTCGGCGATCTTAATGGTGGAGCATGAGAACCAGTTGGACGATGAGAACACTTGGAGTGTACATTTGTCACAGGTGATATCTGGCATTGTGACGACAGCCTTGAAAGTGCTGACGGCATTTGGATTGACGGCTGGTGCGACTTGGTTGACGACGGTGGTGAAGGAGGTTCCTCCGGCTGGATCGATACTGATGGTCAATGGACCGGTACCGTCACCGGCAACGACCTTCCAGGTCAAAGTTGCTGGCTGACCCTTACAGTAGGTGGCAACTGGTGCAGTGGCTGGAGTTCCACCACCGCATGGTGATGTCTTTGATGGATTGGTATTCCATGAGACTGGATTGGTCAACACTGCATGTGAAGATACCAATGAAATTGTCATGAGACAAACTAATGCTAATGCTACAATTCTCATTTCTATATTGTTATTGTTATTATTGTAAATCTAAAAATCTAAATATCTGATTGTTTTTTTTTTTCGAATTATATAAATCTGAATTTTGATTTGATTTGATTTTCCAAATTTAATTTGATTATTATACAAAATTGAGTGAAAGAATAAAAAAATATGGAATAAATAAACAGATAGACAGATAAACTATTATAAATAACTACAAATAGAATCTGAATATTGATTTTTGTGGTGTGTGTTGTGTTTTGCAAAAGTGGGAAATGTTTATTATGATTGCATTTAACACACCTTTATGAAAAAAAATTGAATCAAAAAAAAAAATAAAAAAAAATAAAAAAAATTGAAAAAAAACCCAATTTTCATCTCATCATCTTGAATGGGCATAATTCTGTTGATTACAACTCATCCAAGGGCGCCTACAAATTTCTTTTAAACGATTACGAGATTGATTTCTGTGGGGTATGAAAATCGAAAAAATTGTGCAAAAATCAAAACCCTTTCAAAAAAAACAAAAACTGCAAAAAATTAATTTTATTCAAATTTGTATATCATCATTGTTGTAAGTGTGCAAACTCCGATACTTGCAAGATCTTTTTTGTTTTTAAAACAGATTTTTATAAATTTTATTTTATTAATAAAATTAAGTAATAAAATGATGATGTTTTCAATCCTGAAGGGATAAATGGGTTTCGATTTGGTTTTCCAAGTTTCTTTGATTATTTTTAGTTTCATGATTTAATTACTTTTTATCTAATTTCATGAACTTTGATTAATTTGTTTTGAACCAAATCTATCACAAAATTAATAAAAGATGATATATCAAAATACTTTGTTATAAATTGATGCACATTTTTTTTTTTTTTTTTAAGAGATTATTAATTCTTGAAATAGATATTAATTTCATATCTAAATTAACTAATTTTTGTTTGTTTTGATTGGAATCGGAATACATTGATTTTCTGATTAATATCCTAGTTTTTATACTTAAAAACAAAAACAGATTATTTAAAAAATAAAATTTTTTTTTTCTGATGTGCAGATAACCAGAATGGAATTAAATAAATTTAGATTAGTTTTTAATAATTTTGTTTTGAATAGTTTAATATTTAAAAAAGTATCAGAGATTTCAAAACAAATAGGAAAAAGACCTCTATTAGGATGGAGCGAAGTCAAATCATCACCTTACTACTTGGCAGGTAATGGTTATATTTCTCAATTGATAGATTATTTAAGCACCAAACGTTTGTTTGATATCGAAGGAGTTGCCAGAGTTCTTAAGAATGCCTTGAAAGGTCGTTGTGACATTGGAACCTTTCAATACCTGTTTGGCCTTTTAGATGTACAAGAGAGAATCACTCATTGTTTTGACTACCTAAGCGAAGCGGACAGTGATGATTTCGAAATTGGCGAGAATAAAATTAGACAAATCAACTCGATACTCGAGACCGCTTCAAAACTAGGTCGGTTGGATATCATCAAGTATCTGTTGGAAGCAGTTGTCATTCCAGAGTACAAAGAGGGTGGATCGCAATTCCGTTGGGATTTAGAGCGCGCCGTATCATACTCTGCGAAATCCAATGATATCGAGCTACTAAAGTTTATGATAGAGAAAAGTAATAATTCGATCGCACCGTTTTTCTATACGATGCACGAGCGTCCCAACGTATTCGACAAGGTTGCATCCGTTGGAAATATCAAAATGATTGAATATTTGGTTGAGTGTCGAATGGAAGATTTGTCGGAAAGCAATATGCTTAGAGAATCAATTAGAGCAGGCCAACAAGATTTTGTTCGTCATCTACTCGCAAACAACTCTTATGGACATATAATAGGTGATTTTGAAATACTTCACTATGCAATTAGATACAATCAATTTGAAATTCTCAAGATGCTCAACCAAGAGTACGGAATGAAAGAGTTCTATAAGTATGATATGAATTATGCCGCTGACAATGCAAATATTGAAATGCTCAGTTGGCTCAGTCAAAACAGTTCGTGCCAGTGCTCACCCAGTGCAATGGATACCGCCGCTAGAAACGGCCAATTTCACATTGTCCAATGGTTGCATAATAATCGTACAGAAGGATGTACAGCTGTATGTTTTATTAATATCTACTTATCATTCTATTGTTATACATACTAATCATTAAAAATAAACTTAGGAAGCAATGGATTATGCTGTGCAATGCAATAAAATCGACATTGTAAAGTGGCTTCATGAAAATAGAACAGAAGGATGTACACCTAAGGCATTGGTATATGCAAAAGCAAATGAAAATAGAGAGATAATTCAATGGTTGCTCGAAAATAGAACAGAAGTTCAATAAAATAAAAGATATTATTAAATTAAAAAATATAGGTAAATTTATTGAATCTACTGATCAATTTCAATTGTATTGTTAACTGGCAATGATGCTGGTGATAATTGTTGAAAAACTGGTTGTTCTACTACTTGTTGTACAACTGCTACTTGCTGTTGTTGTTGTTGAGGGATTTGTTCTGAACGTGGTTGTCTTGGTTGCTGTTGAATACCTTCAGGAGATAAAATAAATTGGTGTTTACTCTTTTTAACCTAAACCATTTTTAATAATATTAGTATTTTGAAATATTAATATACGATTCTTTGCTTAAATTAAAGTGATAAGAAGATACATACAATTTTGTTGAATTTCTTATTTAAAAGTAAATCTAATTTATCATGTTGAATCTTGATGACCTTGGCACGAACCTCATCGAATGGCACAACCGATCCAGCAGGATACTCTGCTAATACTTTATTGATCTCCTTGCGCCAGTCAAGATAATTAATATTCTGTGATTGGTGTTTCTCTTTCTTGTGATGATGTTTATTATGCTTCTTGTGATGATGTTTCTCTTTCTCTTCATTTTCAACTTCCACCTCTACATTATCATCATCATCATGATTTGTTTCTTCTTTATCGTGTTTATGGTGATGGTGATGGTGTTTATGATTATGGTGATGATGTTTATGATGATGATGATGATGTTTCTTTTCATGACAATTATCTTTACTATTATTACTATTATTAATATTATTAACAATATGATAGTTATCTATTTCATTATTTCTTTCTGTTTCCAACTCCAATGCAACCTTCTCAGCATCATTAATCGACTTATTATCCTTTTGAACGTCTTTCTCTGCTCTTCGTTCTGCTTTACGCTCGGTACGTTCTTGTTTCTTCTCTGAACGTTCGTGTTTCTTCTCAGCCCTGTCGAGTGCTTTTTCAACTTTTTTGAGAATCTTTTCCTCTACCTTGGCACTCTTTTCCGTCTTCTTTTGCTCCTTTTTCAACAACTTGGCACTCTTTTTCTCTTCACGCTTCTCTTTTCTCTCTACATAGTCAACCAGTTTCTCAATGGTACCAGGTGCCAAATAGATATCTTTTGCTTGAGCATTCTGTACAACACTAGAAACTGAATTTACAAGACTATTTACATTATCATTGGTTTGTTGTTGTTGTGATTGTGGTTGTGGTTGATTATTAACATTCTCTTCAATTTTATTTGTTGGTGACATTTTCTATTTAAATTAATTACAAATTATTATTATTATTATTGTTATTACAAATTCTTATTTTTATTTATACAAAGATATATTTAATTTAAGTGATTATGTATGTTTTCCTATTTTTGTTTTAAAATAGATTTATAAATTTCATTTGTACAAAAAATCAAATATTTAAGAAAAGTTTTCTTTGGTCCGCAAGAATGATCGGATTTACTTTTTTCTCTGAATAAAAAAAATGTTATAACCCCTATTTTAATACCTCCCCAAATACAAAAATTAATTATTAGTATAACCGTATGTTCAATATTATTTATTTTTTAAGTAACTACTTTCTTTCTTTGTATAATATATGCATAGTCGATTAATTAAAATGTTGTCTCCTAAGATCTTAATTTATTTATGACAGATAAAAAAAAAACAAAAATTGAACGAACCTATAAACTTTATAACTATTTTCAATTATTGTTTGCTTTTTTATTAATGATGAGATGATCATTTTTATGTTTTTTGGATATTTTCTCGATTGGTTGAACAGGTGGTATCAAATAATCAAAATAACCTTTTGTTAAAAATATTTCATCTAACACATTGTTTTCGTTTTCTATGAATTGCCAATGTAGAGTTGTTTCATTGATAAAGTTTAGTGTCCAAATCCTGTCGATAAAGATCTGACACCTGATGACCAGTTGGGTTGTGGTTGCCAAGTCTTGGAGAGTTCTTCTTTTTGAGTGCCACCAGTGCCAACCACCAAATATAGCGGTGCTTTCGGATTACTGTATTCACCAACAACTTGATTACTATATACACACAGCGTTCTCTCATAGGAATGTGTGTGTCCAGATAAATATACATCTACATTGTACACTTGTAAAAGATGTTCTATACTTTTTACATAACCGTCTAAAAAATAGATATTATTTTTAGATATCAGTTATTTTGTTTGTTGGCCGGTCTTTTTAATTTATATATATTCATTACCTTTCATAGTATTACACCATCGATGTTCAAGACTACAATAGATTGGTCGATGTCCAAATACCACTATCCATGAAGTAGGGTTGTTTTCTCTAAATGTCTTTAGATCGTTTTTCAACCATTCATATTGTTGTGATCCAACAGAATAATCTTGCTCTGAAGAAACGGATACGAAATGAACACCATTGTAGTTAAAAGAATACCATGTCAAACCCTCTTTTGAACCTGGCATAGCGAATGTCTGTCTATAGGTAACACCAACAAGACTGAATAGATCGTGATTACCAATTACAGTCATATAAGGAATTCTTGTAGATATAGGTTCAATTGCTGCTAAGAATTCATTCCAAACCGTTTGATTTCCATTTCTACAATATAAAAATTTATTATTTAAAATTAAAATTATCATATTATAACTTACATTAAATGTTCATCAGTTTCTGTAATATCAGCATATGCCTTTAATTATATAAATTAAAAATTAATTAGTTTTTTTTCCAGTAGATTCCAAAAATATTTAAGGATTTTTAAAAACTTACAATATCACCAAGATGAACCGTAAATGATAATTGATCTATTCTTTTTTTAATGTTTTGAATGGTAAGATCAGAACCTCCACCATATCCCATGTCACCAAATGTTGCGAAAGTGAATGGTTTAAAAGTTGCTTCGTTTTTGGTTGTTGTGAAGTTATAGAGCGAACCCCAATTACCTGATCTATCTCCTACGGCATAGAAATAAGTTGTCAATGGTTCCAGGACCACTTAAAATTACTGTGTTTGAGAATCCATTCCAGCCTGGTTCCTTAAATTCATCATTGAATGCTGTTTTTATTTCTCTAGTTACATTGTCAACAGGATTGAATGGTGTTTTAGAATACTGTATAACTGGCTCATTTCCTACGCTATCCATATACCAAGATATGCACATTTCGTCTTCATGTCCAGTAAACGAAAGTTTTACACCCAAAGGAACCGAATTCGCATTAATATAAACCAAAAGTAGAAATATCAAAAAAAAGAAGTTTTATTTATTTTCATCATTATAGTTCATTCATTTATTGTTTAGTTATAATAATATCGATAGTTATTATTAAAGTGAGCATTTTTTTATTTATTTATTAATTATAGTTTGTATATTATTCGCCAACAATTATACCAATCAAATAATTTATCTGATAAAAAAATTAAGTAGAAACTACAACATTTGTTGTAAAAATGTTTTAAGACAATCAGTAACAGTGTGGTTAATAAAACAGTACATATTTGGGTTAATTTTGAAAATAGTATGAGGTAAGTAAATATTTATTAAATATTTTTATTTTTTGGGTGGGAGAAGAAACTAATAGAATTATTAAGAATCTTTTGTTGTTGGAGTTTTAGTTTAGTTTCTTAAAGAAGTCAGTTGGAAACATTATTCTAAGGTTGATCTTTATTTAGGAGACTTATTCAACGAACCGTACTAGTTTTGTTAATGAGTCAAGCTTTTATTGGTTGGTGACAAAAATATGTTTAAATTCTAGATTGTGTGGTGAAATTAAGATGAAGTTGGAAAACGAACTAATGTTTTAAATTTACAGGATTTATTCATAATAATTAAGAATAAATAAAAAGTAGATACTTAAGTTTTAACATATGATTTTGCCGATTTTGAATGCTGATAAAAATATTTAATAGAAGTAAATCTAGGATAATAATGATAGTAAAAATAGTATGGATCTATCGATTTTATTTTTATAATTACTTTCAAAATAGAGTTGATCCAGCATTTAAGGATTCATTTCTAGAACTAACAAAAAATAGAAATGTGTCATTTATTATTTTCAAATAAGTTGAATATGCAGGTATCAATGAAAAGACCTTGATATATTTGAAGTGTGGTCCTCATGATTTTATTTTTATTAATTCTATTAATCTTTTGATCTATTCACCATGAGGAGATTTATTTTTTATACTGTCAATTAACTTATCTCTATCATTATACTCTGATTTATGAAATATCGATGCAATGAAACTATAGTATGTTTGACCAAAAACAATAAAATACTGATCATCAAGCTTTCTAATACAAAGTGATTTGGTTGGTGTAGTGCTGAACTTGTTCTTGTTGAATAGCATAGGTGATGGTAAATACAATTTTGGAAGAGTTAACTTTTGAATTGATGATGGTAGAATGTTTTTACGAAGTTTGATTTCACAATCCATACTAATCTTCAAGTGTTCAAGAGTACTTGGTATGAGTTTGGAGCGTGTGAAACAATCTAGCATAGGAACCTTGAGAACCTTCACTGAAGAGGGAATCGAATGTTCATTTTCAAAGAGTTTTTGATTGGTATATCCGAAATTGACAAACTCCACACCGTTTGGTATCGGACGGATTTTAGATCGATCGACTTTCTCACCATTGATATACCTTGACGAATAATAGGTTTGAAGCTTAAGCTTTTTGATGTCCAAGTTCTCGAGAGATTCCAATTTGAATGCACAAACTTCAAGTGTTTCAAAGTGATAGCGTGAGCGATCTGGGAAGATTTCATCGATATCATATTGAGCTTGGCTAATACTCAAATGTTTGATCGATGGAGGCATTGCCGAGAACAATCTCGATGGTGCGCTAATGAAAAGTTTCTCCACTGATGATGGAATACAACCAAGATCGATTTGTGTATCCTTTGGCAACTCATATGATGCCTTTAAATAGATTTTCAATACTTTGAGATTCGGAAGCGATTTGATATGTGGAATCCAAGATAGTCGTGCACAATCCAAAGTGTGAAGAGTTTTTGGAAGTACACCTTCGCTGATAGGTGTGTCGACACCATAGTACTCTAGAACTTCAAGATTCGGTGGTAATGATCCTACTTTAAATTGTTGATCGTAAATCCTACCTCGCAAACTCAGTACTTTAAGGGACGCCGGCAATACTCCAGGTTCGAATGGCTGATTGAACTCATCGTCGAAAATCAATTTCTCTAGGGTGTCTGGCAATACTCCAGGTTCCAGAGGTTGATTGTAAAGATGGCAGAACTTTAACTTTTTTAGTGCTGATGGTAAACAATCTTTGAACAGCGGTTGATTAAAGATTTTACGGAATGAAATCGATTTCAGTTTGGTTGGAAGTGGAGAATCCGGATACAAATCTCTACATCCATTCAACTTGGTAACATTTGAATTCGATATCAATCGGTAGAGGTGTTCCAAATCACTTTTCCCTATCATTATCTCTTCTGGTTCGTATCTTCTACCTTGTAGAAGAATGATTTTATTTATATTTGATTGAATAGCATTCATTGTTCTTAATTTATCTAAATTTTTAAAAATAAAATGATATAAATTTAATTAGAATAATATTATTATTATTATTTAAATGATAATAAATAGTTACCAGGTGAAATTATATAATCACACTTTAATTCGTTAGTATCATCTTCTTTACCAAATAACAATGTACAATTATTCTTTTGGTTGATCGCATTGTTGATTAATAATTGATATGAGTTTAAAAAGATACGATTTGATGATTGTTGATCAATCAAATTCATGTGATCGAATCTGAACTTTAAATATCTTTCTCTATCTTTGAACCATCTTTTACAAACCAAACTGAAAAAGATCTTATCTATATTGTTTGAGAGATATTCAACAATTTTGTTTAACAAAACATGTGAAAAATTTACTAATTTGTGTGATTCATTATTATTTATATCATTCATTGATTATTAGACTAAAGAATAAGTTTTTTTTGCAAAAACAAATTATCCTAAGTTTGGAATGAAGCCCTGAAAAAACAAAAAAAAATTCTCCATAAAATCTATTTTTTTTTCAGATCGTGATTCTAGATTTTTCTTTTAATATTCAGAAATATAATTTATTTTATTTATTTATTTTAAATTGGATATTATAACTATTTATTATTATTTATAAATTAATAATCTTCTCTTTGCATATCGTCTTCGTGATCCTCATGTAATCTATGATGAGCTTCATTTCTCTCTTCTAGTAAAATATGTCCTGGTTGTTGTTTACCTTGGATCGATCTCCTCTTGATGACACAGTAGACGAGTAAACCAATACCGACGGTGGCCAGCGAAGAGACTGAAATGATCACTGCAATGGCTGCATTTGAAAGGCCGAGAGAGAAGGTCGATGGCTTCAATCTGGTGGCATTCTTACAGACTTCTGCCCATCCTGATTTCGGATCGGAAACAGAGAATTGAAGGAATTTCCAGGTTTCTGTGGCAACCATATTGTTCGATGGGTTGACACGTTGAGCACCAGTTGGAACACGTTGAGTCGCTGGGTTGTTTGGATATTGCCAACCGGATGGATACCAGCTGAATACGAGTGTTCCGTTATTGGCAGTCCATTGGTCGACAGGCACTCCCGAGAATGTCGGTCTTGGATTACTGAATTTCGATTGTTTGACAAAGTTGGTAAAGTTGTAGATGATGTCGGTTCCGATTTTACCGTCAAAGTTCAAACTTCCCAGACCATAGACAAATGGATTGACGTAGAGTGGCTGTCCGAACCAACTGAACGGTGAACCATTGTTTGAGAAAACACTGTAGCCTTGTCCCATTGTATCGGTATAGCATATCATAATGTTGTTAGAGTAGTTGCCATCTGGATAGATGATCTGGAACGACTCTGCCTTGTTGACGGAATCATACTTCCATTGGACGTAGACCTTCTGGCTGAATGTGACACCGGTGGAATTAGAAAGATCACGTTCAATCTCAATGTTTGCGTTGAATGCAGGTGGTAGTGTTGGTTGAATAGTATCGATTGGTTTCGCCATAAAGTTACGTGTTGGCAATGTCATGATTTGACTGAGATTGGCAGTGGTGTTTGACTTGACACAGTTGGTAGCGGGCTGATAGATACTTGCATTCTGAATGCCAGTGTTGAAAGTCATCCACTCAATGTAGACAGAGAAATTACGGATTGAAGTGGAGGTGTTTGGATCTACAAGTTTGTAGTCTGCGCTCATACGATATGGAATGTATTGTCCAGGTGATAAAACTCTCCAGTAGTAATAGAAATCAGTGTTTTGTGCATAGGTCTTGTTATCTATAACATCGAAATAGTCACCGGATGAAATAGCAGATTTCCAAATACCAATGTTATAACCATCGATTCTTGTAAAGTTGACAAATGAAGTGGCACCAAATTTCGGTCCACGAACAAGATAACGAATGGATTCAGTATATTTATCATTCATTACCACGGAACTAAGATTATAGGAGGTGCATGCAGCTCCACTCTTATAGGTGAAAGTTCCAGTGGTGCTGTTGGTCGAGTTGGTAATGATGGCAACATCATAGGGACCGCCAAACTTGCCAACGGCAGCATAGTAGCTACTGTTGGAAATGAATGTCTCATTGTAGTAGTAGGTGGCACCGACATCACCAAAGTTAACATATACGGTTGAATTGTATTGCGATGGAATCGTTGGATAACAATTGGATTGCGAGATGTTCAAATAATTGTTTGGCATTGCTTGTGGTGTGAAGATGTATATGTCCCATTTGTCTTTACCTTTGATGTCTCCGCTGGAGTAGGCAGACTCAATTGCAAGTGGAATGGAGGTGTCTGGACCGACTCCATAACGTCCCAAGAACGACCAGCCTGGTGCAACCATATACATTGTCAAATTGTAGGTGTAAGGATAGTTTGGCTCGGCAACAGTAGCGGTATAAACATCGGCATCGATCGATCTGTAGACAGAACGACTGACGAATGTCCAGTTGAATTTTACGAGTTCATGGAGTACACGGTAAACAATGTTTCTACGAATGTCAGAGGTGAATGGATTTGGAACATCAGAAGTACTACAATCAAGAGTGAATGTATTGAATGAAAAGGTTGCTTTGGTCGAAGTCAACAGAGTGATGACGTCACCACCACTCGAATGATCTTGTTCAATCGATTCGTAGTTTTGCTTGAAATCGGCATTCCAAACGATGGAATTGACTTCGAGACCTTGCATCTCCTCTTCGAGTACCAAACTGAAACCAAATGGCAGTCCGGTGATGTTGGTTGGCGACGGTCCCAGTGTCTTGTTGGGTGACATGGCGAATGGATTGAATCCACCGGATGCGACAACCGGACAATTTGCTGGGATGGTGTAGATCGATACCTGTTGGTCTTTCGACTCGATCCAGTCGATCCAATCGATTTCAGAGTTACCGCTGCTAACGGTACTGTTGTCACGTACAAAACTGGAGGACATTGTCAAACGCACTGGATAACGTGCTGAGGTGTCTAGATAGAATGTCTTTGTTTGATTCACCACGGTGGTAATACTCTTGGTTTCGATGGTTATCTTTGAAGTGTTGGCATCACCCACGAATGACTGGAGCTGTGTGGTATCTCGCACTTGGAATGTACAGCTTGGTATAGTGGCAGTACTATCGGTAACATTGGTAAAACTACAGCTAACAGTAAGATTATATGGATCGGCAGTGCAAACGGTTGAAATGTTAAGTGTGGTTACATTGACACCTTTAAGACAAACACCGTTACTCACTGATTGGACATTAGTTACATTGACATTGTTATCAACTGTTACTTTAGTTGTTGCATTGGTAACTGAAGATGAAATAGTTTGGTTTTGGAACAATGAACAATTAATACCTCTATCAATTGTTGTGAAATCTAAGTAGAAAAAAAAAATGGAAAGAAATGGAAAAATGGAAATGAAGGGAAGAAAATTAATAAGTGTTTTGTTTTTTTTTTTTTTTTGGAATTCCATATTAAATTTAATTTATGATTGAATATTCTACTTACTGATAAAATTAAAAGTTGCATCACCAATTAGAGATGGAATCATCATGAATGATGGAAGGAACAGTTGATGTGTAACATCGGTGTAGGCATTGCAATTCGATTGGTTTCTGGTATCATACATATAGAGTGTGTTCTTTGCGATATCGAAAATGGTGATGTTACCAGCTTCGAATCTGGCCAACTTTAATTTACCATTGGAATACTCCTTGTGTGAGATGGTATAACCATTCTCATAGTTGGAATAAGCTATAAACGTTGAATAGGTATCACCAAAACTCTTTGGAAACGTAAGTTGTCCAAAACTCGCTACGACAAACAGTAACAGCAGCGACACCGTTATCACTGCCCAATTTATTCTTGACATATTTGTTTTTATTTTTCACAATATTATAAATATATTTTTATTAACAATTATAAAGATAAAAAAAAACAAATAAATAAACAAACAAAACAAATATATGAGAGAATATAATTATAAAAACAATTAAACAAATAAATATATTTAGTTTATTTATTTATTAAAATTGTTAATTTAAATTTAAAAGAAATTAAATTATTTTTAACTTTTTTTCTTAATTGGATCAATCAAATTCAATTGATTTAAAAAATAAATAAAGTTTAAAACCTATGGTGTTTTCAATTATAGCAATTATTTAATGTGATCAATAGGTGAATGTAAATGTAAATGTTTGTTCATCACCTTTAATTTTATACAAACACACACACCACACAAACACACAAACACATAATCAATTACTACACTAACAAACACACCATTATTTTTTTAATTTGTTATTGTTGAATGTGTTAGCTAGTGGTGACAATGTGTACTGCTAACTAATGCAATTGATTACAGATTAAAAAAAAAAAAAAAAAGAATTAGCACATTAAATTTGATTGAAAATGTTGTAGCTGTTGCCTGCCTACATCAAACACACACATTTCTCCATATTATATCAATGATCATATAATAGTAAACATGGCAATCAGCTACCACTGCAGTAATAGAGTAGGCTATACTGTTCTACGTTGTTCTTCAATTGAGATTCATTTTCTGATAGTCAATATTGTTATAACAACACACCACTATTTTATATAATCAAAGATGTTAATTATATAACTGAGTGGTTTTATGACACTCTAACCTCTGTTTCTAGTATTTTGGTTGAGAACTTTGAAGCTTTTTGAGGTAAACTTTAAGTTATTGAAAAAAATAGCATAAAGTTATACAGTTTTATAATAAAATGATGTTGTTTTTGCCTCCCATTTTATAAGTGTTATATTCGAATTCTTTAATAGGTTGTTAGAAATAATAATAAGAATTTTTAAATATAATAATAATAAAAAGAGATTTGATTTATGTTGTTCGAAAGAAATATTATGCATAAACACTGTTAACTTTCTATAATTAATTACTATTGATTGATTGAATATATAGTTAAAAGTACAAAACAAAAAAAGGCTAGTCTGATCTGTTATAACAAAAGATAATTATTTGTTCTTACTAGTCAGCCACAACTTAGAGTGAAATAATAAATTGTATAATTGTATAAAATGTTTAATTGAACTTAGAGATATACAGTCAAAAATAAAAAAATAAAAAAAATAAATAGGATTTTTAAATTATTTTTTTAAAAATAATGAAATTTTTTTGATGGTCCATCCCCACCTCACACATTTAAATTAATTAATAACATATTTAAATAAGTAGTCTACTACTAGTAATCATAATATTATTGTTTCTAAAAAAAAAGACAACAACAAATCAATAAAGAAGAAAGAATGCAACAACAACACAAGATGAGATATTACGAACTCTACAGGAGATCTACCATCGGTGAAGCACTGACAGATACACTCGATGAATTGGTGACCAATCAATATATAAGTCAGCAACTCTACGATAAAGTTTTATTACAATTCGATAAAGTATGTGATCAAATGTACACGAAAACTAAATTAAAAACAAAAACTAATAATATTATTTGTTGTTGTTGTTTTAGTCTATAAATGAAGCATTAGCAGACACAGTTAAATCAAAAGCATCTTTTAAGGTTTGTTTGTTCTATAAAAATGACAAATTTATAAATATGTATGGTTGTGATACTAATTGTTTTTGCTTTATATAGGGAGATTTACACACTTACAGATTCTGTGATAATGTATGGACATTCATCTTGGAAAATGCAGAGTTCAAAACAGAAAATGAAACAATCAAGGTCGATAACGTAAAGATTGTTGCTTGTGATGCTAATATCTCAAATGAAAAAGACAAGAAAGACGAGAAATAATCTATTCATTCGATTTATTATAATTATATGATATCATTATTATTATTATTATTATATATTTTTTACAAAGTTACAATGTAATTAATCAATTAATAGAAAGTTAAAAGAAGTTAAAAGTTAATAGTTAGAATGTCACAGAAACAACAACAAACAACAACAACAAAACAAACAACAAAAGAAAAGTAAAATACAAAAAAAACAAAAAAAAAAAGAAAAGAAAAGAGAATGATAAATAGATATAGATAAAGAAAGAACAAGAACAAGAATAAGAGCAGAGTTTCAACATTTACACCAGTATTATTAATTTAATACAAAGAAAAAGAAAAAGAAAGAAAAAGACAAAGAAACAATGTCTTATAAAATCATGTAGAGAGAGAGTACTTTGGCATTAACTATTAAGAACATGTCTGACCAAAGATAATTGATTTTACTCTCCAAAATCGAATTAGAATATTAATAAATAACAACAACAACAAGTGTATATATTTATAAATCAGATCATTATTGCTTAATTTATTTTGATTTAATTTAACTTTTTATGTTAATGGGGTGGTGTTGCATACTTTTAAGGTGTTGATTTTTCATTGAGTTTAATTTATAGTTAATAAGTATTCTTTAAATAGAAAAGATAGATAATATTGATAATTAAATGGAATTAGGATTCAGTGATGATGAAACTGTATTGTCATATTATAGATCAGTACAAGAAAGGAAAACAAATAGATATAAATCATTGTTAGGTGATCATGTATCTGACGGTATGTTACTAAAGTTAAATAAAGAAAAAAAAACATTTAGTTTTATAAATATAAATGTGTTATTAATAATCATAAAAGAATTAAAAAAGACATTCTTTGATGTCATTGTTATTACAGCGATAGATGAACTTCAGAAACAACACTATGAGAGAATGATTGCTGAGAAGAGACAATCTCATTTGATTCCTTCGTTTGTAGAGTACTTTGTCATTGCAGATCCAATCGGTGAGAAGATAGGTTGTGGTGGTTCCACTCTCTATGTACTATCAGAGTTACAACGATTGCTGACTGTTGACGACCATCGACTTTCAAAATCAAAGATATTACTCCTGCATGCCGGTGGTTATTCAAAGCGACTACCGAATCACTCGACCAGTGGAAAGATATTTGCATCGCTACCATTCTCTTTGGCGCCGAACGGCGTTGCTCTGACGATGTTGGAGATGAAGATTATAATTCTCATTGATTTCCCAGTGAGTATGAATCCCGGTATCTTCTTGGCGTGTTCCGACGACATTGAGTTGTTCGAGTCGAGCGGCATCGAGCTAAGGTCGCCTGGCTTCACTGCGCTAGCACATCCTGGAACCATAGATGTCGGAACCGGTCACGGTATTTTCATTCTTGAGAACAACGAGTGCTATACACCAAACCGATCGAATCAATGTGTAAGATACCTCCACAAACCAACCAAACAAAAGATGCAGCTGGAAAACGCAATAATGCCAGATCAGCAGGTTCTGTTGGACAGTTGCTATTTCTTTGATCATGCAACCACCGAGATATTCCTTCGATACTACCGAGAGAACTCACCGATTCAATGTGAAATCGATGCCTACAGTGATTTCCTTCAGCCACTAGGATCGAATTCCAAACCCGATTACTTTGAAAATAAGAATAATGTTTCAATTTATAAACCAATGATTTCAGTTGAAAGAGAGTAAGTTTTATATAAATTTCAATTATTGTTAATATACTCATTGAACTAATAATTCTTATTAATATAATAGAAAGTTATTCAATTTATTAAAGAATTGTAATCTAAGTGCACTACCATTGAATCCATCTTGTTTTATTCATATTGGAACTTGTCATGAATATATTGAACATTTCACAGTGAATTTTCCAAAGATTGGTGCTAAAAGAATCATCTACAGTCATCAAAATGGTGAGAGAAAAGATGATATATCACTAGCTACCAATTCCTGTTTAATACACTGTTTGATGAATAAGGGACAATACAAAATAGAGGAATCGACAGTCATTGAGTATTGTCTATTCAATAACATCAATATTTCAATTGGAAAGCGTTGTATTTTAGCAGATTTAGATTTGGATTCATTCAGACAAGACAAGAAATCAGAGGGAGTCGACAATATTGTTATTCCATCAAATACATTCATTCAAACGCTATCACTAACGGGTAATCGTTATGTCACAATTATATTTGGTGTAGACGATAGTCTGAAAGCAACTTCCAATCCAACAATATTTGGTCAACCAATGACAAAGCTACTATGTCAGGAAAAACGATTAACTGAACAACAGATTTGGACAGATGAAGAGTCAAGAAAATCACCATCGCTATGGACAGCCGCGATTTACCCAGTGTGTAGCTATCCATTGCAATCGTTCCTCACATCTTACCGATTGCTCCTACAGCCAAACAACGACTTTGACTACACCAAACTAAACTCTAACAAACTCTATTCTTTAGAATCATGTTTATCGGAAAAGGATTTACAATCACAAGCAACTCATAGAATAAATTTAACAAACTCAATTGCCAAATTAATTTAAATAAATAAATAAAAATTAAATGTTTATTAAAAAAAATAATAATGATAATCGAACTCTGATTTCTCTATTCATACTGTTTCATTGGTCTTCCTCTTGCTTTCAAAACTGGACATTCTTTTGTTATTACTTTAAATGATGTAACTCCTCAGCATTCTCTCTAGAAATTAAGATTCAAAATATAAAATAAATAAATAAATTAAAAGTTTATTAAATATTATTAAATTTGGTTAAAATTGTTAATTTAGAAATAACAATTAGATTATGGTTTAAGTTCGTCAGCTCTTGGTTGGTTTGAGAGATTTGGTTGTTCCTGGAGATGATCGAACTCTGATTTCTCTGGAGTTTTGTTCTTATGCATCATTTCAGAGGCTTTTTCTTTGGTTACATTATAACCCTCTTTTATTTTCTCTCCAGCTTTATTACTGACCTCCTTTGTCTTTTCCCAACCCGTGTGGATTGCTTCCTTCGACTTGTTGATTGCATTATGCATGAATCCCTCTATATTAATGTTTTATGTAAATTTAACTATTAATAAATAAATAAATATTTATTATTTAAATATTATCTTACCTTCACCAGAATTTTGTGGATTATTCATTTTTTTTTTTTCTAAGAATCTGTTTAATAAATTAAATGATATTGAAAAAATTAACTTTGTGATAGAATCTTGTAAATAAATAATTTTTATAAATTAATTAAATAAAAAATTTAAATTAATAATACATATTAAAAAATACTAAAGTAATTACTTAAAAGTAAAAAAATCCTATTTTGGAATTATTCTTTTTTTGGTAAAAAAAAAGGATACGTGGTAAAAACAAGGATACGAATTAAAATGTAGTGTTAAAAAAAAAATTAATAAATTACTCTTTCGAATTTATTAAAATATTAGAAACTAGTTGTGTGGTTAATTTCAGGTAGATTTTGTTATTATTTTGTGTTGTTGTTGATCTATCTATTAAGGACCAATTATAATATTTATCAGTATTGTTTTTTTTTTGTTTTCTTTTAACGATACTTTGCCATATTATATTGTAATGCATAATCTACTTCCAATCCAATAGAATGTGCTGCGTGTAATGGCCAAAATGGATCTCTTTTAATATATTAAAATAAAAATGAAAATAAAAATAAATTAGATATGAGAAATGAACTAAATTTATATATAAATAAAAACGTAAATATACCTGAGGAATGGACGAGCCATCATTACTATATCAGCTCTTTGTTCATCGATGACGGACATTGCTTCCTCTGGAGTATTGATGAGTCCAACCGCCGAAGTAATCAATCCTGGAATAGCCTTCTTGATTCCCTCTGCAAATGGAACTTGGTAGAGTGGTCCGAACGCTATTTTCTGGTTGTGGCTGTTTCCACCCGACGAACAATCGAGAATATCTACATCCAACTCATGGAGGTGACGCGCCAGTGCAATCGAGTCATCGAGATGCCAACCGTCAGCTACCCACTCCTCGCAACTGATACGCACTAGCAGCAGCTTCTTCCACACAGCTCTCACCGCCTTGACGATATCGAGCAGCAGTTTGATTCTACCGAGGAACGATCCACCGTATTGATCCGTACGTTTATTGGAGGTTGGCGACAAGAACGAATCAATGAGATATCCATGAGCACCGTGAATTTCAACGGCATCGAATCCAGCTTTTTCACAACGAATGGCGGCATCTACAAACGCCTGAACTACAGACTGTATCTCCTCTACAGTCAGCTCATGGGGAACAAGATGCTCGCCATCCCAAGCCAGTGGGGAAGCGCCATCCAAATTTGTCCATCCTGAATTTTCAACAGTACTAGGCATTCTTCCATTCTCTAGGAACGGTGGAATAGTCGATGCTTTTCTACCTGCGTGTGCAATTTGCATTGTTGTCAACTATCATCATCATTATTATATTATTAAGATTAATATTGTATTGTTTACTATTTTCAACAACTTTAAACAAACTTAACTTACACATTTAAAAGTATGTACGAAATCATTGATACGTTTGAGTGGGGCGATTTGTTCATCACACCAGATACCACTGTCGAATGGTGAGATTCTACCATTGGCAACGACTGCCGATGCTTCAAATATTATCATAGAAGCACCACCTTTTGCAAATGAACCTAAATGTACTAAATGCCAATCATTCATAGCACCATCTATACAAGAGTATTGACACCTATTATTATATTACAATATATTATATATCAACAATTGTTTGTATACAATGATCTATAGAATAGATTTCAATCTATTAAATATATATATATATATATATATATATAGTTCAAAAATTTACATTGGTGAAACAACGATTCTATTCTTCAAAGTGGTATCTTTGATTGTAAGAGGTTGGAATAGCTTTGGAACTACTTTCTTACAAGTCTCTGGATCGACTGTGAAAGAAAGACTGTCCACTGGTAATCCACTGCTAGACTTGGTCAGAGGTTTATTTGGTTTCGCACACTCTTTCGTTGGTACACCTGGACTCTGATAGTTTGTTGGCATTGCATAGGGATATTTAAATTCCATTTTTATTATCTATGCTCTCTTCACTATTCTATTTTATTAACAACAAAACTATACTCTTTATTAAAAAGAAATCAATAAAAATAATAAATTAAATGATATATGTTAACACAAATCTAATAAAGTGTTCTTTAATTAAATTATTATTTGTGAACATCATCATTTTCACCTGATTGTTTTTTCATTTTTTTTTTGTTTTGGCGAAATCATTGTTTTTCACCTGCAGGTGATTGGTATGGAGTAGATCAAAAAAAAAAAGTTATTTTTATTTATTTATTTCAATTTTTTTTTAAAATTAAAAATAATAAAACAAAAATAAAAATAATATTGAATGACAAGTTCAACTTTTAGTATTCAAAAATAAATTCATAACCCCTTTTTAGATTTTTAATCCTTTTTTGTTCATAGAGATTATACGAATCCCAATTAAATAAAAATAAATAATGAATTTTACATTTTTAAATATTTTATTAAGTTATATTCTTTGAGAGAATTAAAATAATCCATTTTATAAATAATTGTTTTTTATTATCTTATAAGAATAACAAAGAATGACAAGTTTTGTACACAGTAAATCAAGAGATGGACCAATTAAATCTACTCATCACTCCAATGTAGATATTAATAAGATAACAACAGTTCCAATTTCAAAGACAAACCTTCAAACACAGAATATCACTGTTTTAGATTCAAAAGAAACAATTGAAAATGGATTTAAAGTCTGTATTATTATATGTAAATAATTTAATTTTTAATTTACTAATAATTGTTTGCTGAATTCTTTAGACAATAGCAGAGAGTTTATCTGCACCAATATTTGATAAAGAATCAAACCAATTTACTGGTTTATTGGATATCCGTCATTTCTTGGGATATATTCTTTATAAATTGCCTGTTCCTCACTCGGGTACTCAAGAAAAGAAGATCTACTTGAAGGAACTTGATAAATACCCGTTTAATGTATTGGATATTAATTCTAATATTTTAGAATTATTAAAGTATGTAATCTATTAAATAACTTTTTTAGAATACCCTTTTATTAATACTTTTAATATTTAGATATTTCAATTCTGGAGTACACTCTGCTTTTATTTTAAATGAAAAGAAACAGATTGAAATGATTTCTCAACTATCTTTAATAAGATGGATGTTGGCAAATGTAAGTTGTTTATCTATTTAATTAAAATATTTAAAATCAATATTAATTTAAACTATTTATTTAGATTGATGATTTAAAGATTGGAAATGATAAGATTAAAGATCTTTTCCACGGAGAACAACAACATAAATTCTCTAAAGTACATTCCATTTTGAATACTAAATCAGTGGTAGAAGCATTGAGAGAGTTGTACGTTCAGAATATCTATGGTATGCCAATCCTAGATGAAAATAAGAATATCGTTGGAAATATCTCTATCGTGGATATCAAGGAAGCAAATGATAATTTGGATAAATTGATCCTACCCCTTAAGATCTACTTTAAGGAACGTCCAATCTATTCAATCTCTGAGAATAGCACTTTTAAAGAACTCTTACAGATCTTTGATAGCAAACAGATACATCGTATCTATTTAATGGAGGAGAACAAACCAATTGGAATCATCACTATCACTGATGTTCTTAGCATGCTCTATCAACATTTACACTACAGAGCAAACACAGCTCAAATTTAAAAAGATAATAATTTCTATCTTTAAATCTCAACAACATTAATAATTATACTAGATAGTATAATTTTGATTCTAATAAAATTTATTTATTTAATTTGATATATATACTCTATCTTAGAGTTGGTTTTTTATCTCTTTGTTACAATTACTTTATATGGTAAAGTGTCCATTGTTAAACCGATTTGAACGTTTTCATCAATCATTTCGTCAGATACTCTTTCAATCTTGAATCTCTTGACAATATGTGCGATAGCCAATAAAATATTGACCTCTGCCAAGTTATTTCCAACACATTTTCTTGGACCAAATCCAAACACCAGTGTAGGTTGTGAAGCTTCAACTTTATTTGAATATCTCATTGGATTAAATACATATGGGTCTATTAATAATTTTTAACAAATAATTAGTATTTCTCTTTCTTTTTTTTTTTTTTTTAATGAATAATATTAATAATTACCTTTCCATATTTTTTCATTTAAAGATGCACTAAAAAAGTTGGTAAATATCAATGTCTAAAAATAAATGCAATAAACCAGGATAATTAATAATTGTTTAGGAATAGAGAAATAAACTATAACTTACATCTTTAGGAATAAAATAATCATGGAAAACAATCTCTTTTGAGGTTCTATGTGGAAGTGAAAGTGGTACTATGGGTCTGAGCCTCCAAACCTCTTTGATAAAGTTTTGGGTGATGTGCAATGAAGTACGCATATTGGTAAAGTTAAACTCGTTGTTTCCATTTTCGAAAATAGTAATCTCTTTGTGAATCATCTCTTGATACTCTGGGTAGTTTGCTAGGAATACAATACTCCAATCGATAGTAGAGGCAGTTGTGTCTGTTCCAGCTATAATAAAATCACTTGAATTCTTTAAAATACAAACGTCATCCAATATTCCTTCTTTATGATTTTCAACTTCCAAAATGAAATTATCCATAAAGTTTCTTGGACTTTTTAAAAAAAAATTAATATAATCCATTTAATTAATAATAAATAATCTTATTACATACTTATTAGGATCAATAGTATCTTTATGTTCTTGGATATACTTGTTTAAATGTCTATTTACACAATCAATTGCATTTTGTAAATTTGTAAACTGTATAGGAGTTGAAATTAATAAATTTAGTTTCTTAAAATTCAAAATACAAATAATTTTTACATTGGAAAATGGTTTCAATAAAGGTATAAAATCACCTGGATTTCCATGTGACATCCATTTGGCAACTTCATCAGTGGCATGAATCAAATCATCGAGGTCATTGCTTTTTCCAAGTTCATAAGGTGCTTCATTTGATAATAACAATTGAAATACAGCATTGAAAGCAATCTTTTTAACATAATATCTAATATTAACCTATTTAATTAATACAAAAATTTAATTAATAATAATATTAAATGTATTAAAAATTTAACATACAGGCTCACCAGATTCTGATTCTTTTTCAATAACATCTAAACATTTAATTATATTGTTGGTGAGTGTTTTCTCCATCTGTAAGACCTTTGATCTGGTAAAAGCACTGGCCCATATCGCTCTGCACATGCTCCAGGTGTCACCATTCGAAAATCCAAGATCTTTGAGTTGTCCGACTATCGCTGAGAGTGGTGTAATGTAACGGTCTGAGAATACATCGGAATGATTAACCAAAGCATCTTGGATGATATCAGTTTCACTCAAGACCACAGCATACACAGATCCCATCCACAACGAGTAGATGTTTCCATACTTTAAATAGAGATTGTGGAGAGCATATTGTGGTTTGCCTTTGTCGATCAAGTGAAGATTTCCTATAATCGGTAAAGGAGTTGGTCCAGGCGCACTAAAAGGTATTCTTTTTTTCTATCAAATAAAAAATAACAAAAAATATTAGAAAAAAGATTAAGATTTTTATTGTGGTTTTTTTATAAATAGTTATTACCAAGTGTAAAAAAGTTATTAATATTATACAAAGAATAATAGCTATGATTATATCCATTTTTATTTTTAATGTTTTTGGTAATCAAACTTGATGATGATTGAATAAAAGTATGATTAAAAATAGCTTTTTTGTTTTTTTTTGTTCACTTTTAACATTCTCTTTTTATAATTTCAATCAAAATCTAATCAATACCAAATAGGATATTAATCAGTTGATGAATTGTTGTAAACTTAACTTTCATTAATTGCACTTCATTCATTTCATTCTTAATTAATTCACTACCTTTTCATTAGTGGGTCTAAAAAAACACAAAAAATTTTAACCAATGAAAAACAAAATAAATCTGTTCACAAAGAGGTGAAAAAGGATGTTGGTTTGATACTATTTGAACACAAATTCATTGAACACAAGTGGGTAAGAGGAAGAGTTTCAACCGACAAATACTTTTTTAATGAAGGTTAAAAACTTTTAAACATAAAACTATTTTTAATCAATACTGATTTTTTTACTACCAAAACATAACCAATAGAAAAACTTGTAAACCAATATTATAAAATCATACACATAATGTTTATTATTATTATTTTTATAGTCGGTTAAACATTATACTTACAAACTTATTTTAATGAATATACTAATATTATAAAATCGTCAAAATCAATATGATATTAATTGTACAAAATAATTGAAGTAGATTTCTAAAAGCGACAGTGAATTTCAACCTGTTGTGGAATGAAAGCTTCGAAATTTGAAGAAAAAATTTAAAAATAATTCAAATAAATTCTGATCAACAAAATTCCAATTTTGATGATCGAATTTATTAATTTATTTTATTATTATTGTTTTTAAAAAGGAGTCGCTCAAGTCTATCAACAATAAATTTATTAAATGAATCGAATCAAGTTCAAGAATCAATTTTGACAGATAATGTTGTGATCTTGAAGCTCAATCAATTCTGAAGCCCACATTTAAAAATAGAAGATATTTATATATAGTACTATTTATATTGAAATGTAACCTAAGAAATATTGAATGACTTGAACATTCAAATCTATGTAACTATGCTCGGGAACATATTGCCCGATATATATATTCATTATAATATTAAACATTGTTTTTTTGTGTTTTTGTTTTTGTTTTTTTGGTTACCCACAAGTCAACCAAATTTTTTGATATTCTATGAATTCCACATATGTGGTTAATGTTTAATCATCAAACAAGCGCATCTATATCATGTTCATATCCGTCCAAGTGATATTCTATTGACGTGTATTTCTGTTTATAATATCCATTAATGTTCTATAATAAATATCTATCATTATTCGGTATGACAGATTATTGATTATTATTTATTTCCTAAAGATATTTTTTATTTTCGGGTAGAATTGCTTTACTCTTGAACCCATGAAAATTGAAATTTTAACTTTGTACTGTACAAACCAAACCTTTAAATAGTTTGTAAAGAAAATGGTTACCAATCAAATTAAATCAATAAATAATATTAATAATAAATGAAAATTCAATTATTTCTATTTGTAATCATTGCAATTGTAGCAATTTCAGCTCAAACCGACCCATGTGCAACTGGCCAAGCTTCATCCATTAGCCAATGGGGTATTACTTTTAACTTTGACAAAGCATATCCATGCGGAAAGTTTGTAAATGGCGATTATTGGGTCACTCCAACTACTGCTGGTGGTAAGGTAGTGATTAGTTCAATGCTTCCAGCTTTCACAGGTACCAGAAACGGTTGGATGGCCAATCCAAATCATCCACTTAACCATGGTTTCGATAGTGAAATCGGTGGTTGGACTGCCTCAATGGTTCCAGCTCTTCCATATTCTGCAAGTGTAAACACCTCCATTGTCAAAGCAATCTCTGAAGCTGGCGCTAACCACTGCAATCAGCCATACACTTGTTTGAGCACTGCTGCCGTTCTCACTGTTTTGGCCGCACCACCACCCACCGGTTCATTCCGTCCTGGTTACTATGGTCTTCCAGTCAACAAGAAGATCTACTCGTCCCTCAACATGCAGACTGCACTTCTGCCATCGTTCGCTCCAGTTGCTGATACTCCAACCTTGGCATCGCTTGTCACTCGTTTCGAGAGAGTGCAACTCGACCACAAGAAAGACTGGACCGGTCGTGACCTCCATCCACACCTCAACTTGCCAGACTACGGTTCGATCATTGCCAGTGACACTGGAGATGCCGTTCTTCGTTTGATGCTCAACGATCCACTCTCTGCCAAGATGCCATTGTTGATCCAATATGTCCAAGCCGGTATCGACTACTGGAGTATGTACAACGGTGGAGTCACCTGGCCAGTCGATGGTGGTATCTTCATTGGTCGTAAGCTTCCAATTGCTTTTGCAGCTGTCATGCTCAACGACTCGGCTATTTCTGCCAAATTGAAACTCGCTGGAACACAATCATTCGGTGAAGACGGTCAAATCTACTACAGTACCAACGCATCGATGGTTCTTTGGGGTCAAGAATGCGATCCAGATGACTACTGGGATTGCGCACTCACAGGAGCTGCTCAAGGAACCAAAGATTGTCGTGATCCATTCGGATACATCGATGGTGGTATTCCAGGTGATCTTTATCAAATGTGTTGTACATCTCAAACTTGTAAGTTATTATTACAACACACATAAAACATAGATAATCTTTATTAATTCTAATCAAAACTAACTAATCTTTATGCAATATTGTAGGGAAGGCAACTGTTCTTTCACAAAGACTTATGCCAAAGGTACAATGTGCTTTCAACAGTCCACTTCTTCTTACCTATGTAGATAGATGGGTTAGCTCTGGTGCTCACACTCTACCAGATCCATATTCTCTCCAAAGAGGTGGTGTTCTTGGACCAAGCAGATTCCCACAATTCAATGGTAAAAGTGCGAACGACGGCTATTACTCATCCTCATTTGCTTATAACATGTGGGCAACCTATCGTGCTACAGCACCAGTCACAACTTGCCCATAAACAAACAATTCTAACTATTATAATCATAAATATAATAAATTTATTTTGTCACAATTATTTGGAGTTCGCGAACTTTTTTTAAATATTTTTATTTATAATACCTGTAATTCCTAATTGATTTTAAATTATGAGACATGTCTTATAAAATTCCTCTTTACAACTCGCAATACTATCAAAAAAATAATAAGAATTTCAACAATTGGTTTGTGTTGTTGTTGATTAAAGTCTGATTTTTTGATCACGTGTTTTAATTTGTAAATAGATTAAGTTGTTCCAAGTTGAGATTCAACCATTCTTGTTCAGTGCGACAGTAGCTGTCAATACTAGCTAATGTACACTCTGATCTGTTTGCCAACAACCATTTAACGACCTCCAAGTTTTGATTTGCGATCGCTCTATCAAGAGTATCTGAATCGCATCCTTCACTTCTATTATTGTGTAACCAAATGACGATATCTAGCTTGCCTGCACGTGCTGCATCTGTCATAGCCGCAGAAGTGCATTCTGATGTACAATTTTGGTTCAACCATTTTACAATTTCAACGGTTCCTTGACTACCGGCACTGTCTAGACAATCTTCACATCCACCTTCGGTATTCTCATGCAACCATGATAGCATCTCTAGATTATGGTGTCGAATTGCACTCCACATTGCTTCTGATGAACATTGATTGATGCCAATTCTCTGACTAACCAACTTGATAATATCCAATCGATTAATGTATGCTGCCATATCTATTAAATCATAATATTCACCATCACTATTGAGATCATCTAAATACTTGTTGAGAACATACTCGATAACCTCTATATTTCCTCCTGTTATTGCATTGTAAAGTAATAGATTGGAGGAATCTCTCTCTAGATCCATTGCTCTATCAACCTCAAGATACTGAAGCATATCTAAAGGTCCTTCTCTTGCGGCATTATCAATGGCAGTGTTGACAAAACTATCCTTGTTGTTTGGAGTACTACCGACTTTTCCCACCAAGAATTTCAATAGCTCGAAATTTCCAGAGAGTGGTGCATTCACCATCATACTGTAATAGTCCCAGCTATACTGTTGAAGTTCATCCAATCCAAAGATATAATGAAGAATATCCGATCTACCGTACTTTGAAACCAAACACATCAACATATTTGGTTCACATTTATTAGATCGAAATGTTTTCTCTCTATCTAAACCTAGTTGTTCTAACGAATATTGAAACAACTCCAGACTGCCACCAATGATAGCACATTCATAGATTTTAGACTGAGAGTAATTATCGAAACCAAAACAATCTCCTTTCGCTTCTCTATCAATAAAGTATTTCTTAAACATATCCAAATAGTTATAACTGCCATTAAATACGGACTACTAGTCAAATCATCCCAACTAAAAGTAGGAATGGGATCATCCTCTGCAATAGATCTTCCTATAGCCTCGTAAGATCTTCCTACAATATCAATAGATTTTCCTATAATCTGATTTACATGTTTTACATTTTTAAAAATTTTTTTATGAATTACAAAATTATCAAATAGAGATAAGAATAATTGTTTATCCATATCTTTTTATCAAATAACCCAGAAAATATGATCATCATGTAAAAGATTAGCAAAGTTGTTTTTTTTTTTTCATAAGGTAATGAACATGATTCCAGAAAATATCTAGAAATTTTATTTTTTTATTAAAAGAACCTTAATTAAAATTGATATATTTTTGGATTATTATTTTTGAGATATTCAAAGTTGTAGGGGTGATAAAGTGGTTGGAGTGGTAGTCTAAGGTTTTGAAGAGTGTTCATTATAATGAAGTTTGTTGTTAATATTCATTGGTAATGAGTGGCTCACGTTGATCCCTAAGCTTATTGGCCAGTCTCGATAGTTTAGATCTCTTTTTGATGTAGACAAACAACAAGGTAATTGTTATTATAACTACAAAGATTGCAGTACCACCGACGATCAAACCGATGTCTTCCTTTGAGAGTGTTTTCTCGTAGTCACAGATAATGGCAGTGAAGTATCGACCACCAGCGGGATTCCAAGCTTGGTCTACTAAAACACAGCTACTGTAGTCACTGATGTTACTACTAAAAGGATAGCTTATGTTGACCATCACCGAATTTAGATAACCTCCGTTGACTATGATTTGTTTGCTTTTCGAGTTCCAAGAGTAGTTTTGAGTCATAGGAGACCACAATGTCTCATTTATTGAAATGAAATCTGGATATTGTGGTATCTCTAAAACTCTTCTATCGGATTCTTTCTCTGGTAGATAATAACAATAATCAGATGCCTACAATATAATAAATAAAGTACAAGATTTTTGTTATTATTTTATTTTATTTTATTTTTTATTATTTTATATTGTAAAACTAAACTTACATTCGATTGATCACAAGATGAATAGAAAACTTTGAAACTCTTACTTGTCAATGACAAACTCTCATTGTAAAGAAGTGACAAAACAACTAAAAACAATATATATTTCATTCTCTGTTATATCTATCTGTGATGGATTGATAAACAATGGAGAAACCAAAAAATTAAAATCATTGATTTTTTTAATTGTTTACAATACATTTTCTAGTGTCATCACCAAAAAATACATGACATTTATCGGGACTTCCACCGATTTTATTTTTTAGATTTTTTTTATTTTTTATTTATTTGAAAATTCATAAAAATCTATTTGGCAAAGATATAAATAAAGGATTTTACAAATCCCGATTGAAGATCACTTAAATATATGTGAATATTTAAAATTGTCCTATCCTTTTTTTTTTAATTCTTTATAAAAGAAATATGAAAAATTTTGATCAAATCAAAAATTTTTTTTCGATGAATTGGTGATATCTGTGAAACAATGTTTTGATTGTGATGATCAACATAAAAACTTTTATTTACTTCATTTCATTATTTTTCTTATTCATTCACTATAAAAATGGAACCACTCTCTCCAAAGCAAAATATATGTGATAATAACGATAATAGCAATATTGAAATTCAAAAGTCAGGTAAATATATCTTGGCACTAATTACACAGATCTGTTTTAACATTAATATTTTTAAACAAAAGAGATAAACTTTATTTTTATAAAGGAAACATATTATCAAGAAACTCAAAAAAGCACTTTTTCTACACATTTCAGTCAAAATGTTAATCTATTAGGTGATGTCATAACATATGAAGCTCTTTTGGAAGAGGCAAAAAAAACTTTAGACGAAGAAAGTAAGAAAAAAACAGAATACAATGAATCTCATAATTTACAATTAGCAATACCCGTCGATAAAGATCAATATGATGCATTATTCTCACACCCAAAGTCTAAAGGAATCTTGGATGGCAAATCTCCAGTCTACTACAAAATACCAAAAACATTCGCCGACAAACAAACTTTCTCGTTAGTTAATGGATTTATAAATCTCATTGAAAATAGATCTGTGTTGGGTAACCAATTACACTCACATCCAAACATTCATCCATTCAATAACATATTAACAACAAAAATCGCTTTTAATGTGCCAGATAAAGATATAAAAAATTACATAGAATCCACGGGTTGCACCCCAAAGTTACCCCAAAGATGCATATCAACAAAAGAATTACATTTTATTTTCCAAGGAGGAATTTAATATCAAATAAAAATAATAATAATATTTATTACAATTGTTTAGTTTTATTTATTTATCAATATTTATATTGTCTGTACTTTCTTCTTAGGAACTTTGAAAGGATATCTTTATCTTGGATAGCAACTGCATTATCAACAGAGTCTGGTAGAGAACGATGCTTACCGAGTAGCATCACGATGATGATGATCAGCTTTGATGTGACACCGAGCAACGTCGAGAATGAACTCTGAATCTTTGGATTGCCCATGGTGAGACCGACTGTACCAAAAGCACTGACCACTTCAAACATGACGTGGAACACGGTGAAAGAGTTGTCTGGAATATCTAAACGAGTCTCCTCAAAGATACCGATCAACAAAATACAAATGTAGAGAATAAAGATATCACGAATCAACAGGTCCTTCATAACCTCACGAGTTTTCTCCTCGGCTGCATATTTACCATTGACCGCCGAACCCTTCAACGAAATGACAAATGGATACGACGATACAAACATCAAACCAATGAATAAAAGCAACACTGAATTCGATAGTAAACTGATATCGATCGAGTTGAATCCTCCAGTTCTTGTTGACTATACAATTGTAATTGAATTGTAAGTAAGAAAAGCTTAACAACAATAAAATATAATGATACTTGATACTTACAATTGAATGGAATAGATAGTTTACAAAGGTATCACCAGATGACATTCCTGCGAACGCTTTTTCATTGGCTTCGAGAATTGCCATCAAAGATACCTGTGAGAATGTAAAGATAAACCAGACCGCAAGAAGAACCATCGTTGGTTTCGCTTGGAATAAATGTGTATATACAGAACGTGGGTTATTCAATAAATGTTCATAAGGATCTGGATCTTTAGAAATCTGAAAATATATTAATAATGTAATGGTTAGTGATCGTTAAACATCTAATCTTTGACTTGGTAAAAACCTTACTTTTCTTAATATAAATATGATAAAACGAAGTATTACAGGGAACAGAGTGTTACCCATTACTATCAGTATTGATATTACAAACAGTACAAACGAACTTCTATTTAGTTGTATCATGTTGTCGTTTAGCAGTGTAATGCCAACGTTGTTGAATGCTGAAATCGTATTGAAGAAAGACCACCAGAATGTATTGACTTTATTCGTTTTGATGATCGTCTCTACTGTGCCACCTGTATTAGACACCAGCAACAATACGATGAATCCTGTTAGGTAGACTGTTACTTGGTAGATTGGAATTATATATAAAAGCTTGCCAAGTGACCTGTACTCTATGTTCATCTCCAATATAAACAAAGCGTCTGGTGAGATGTCGTATTCATCGTCACCAACACTCTTTTCTTTCTCATCCTCCGATATCAGCGATAGGTCATGTTGATGTTCAAAATGATGAATCTGTGCATTATTATCGCTATCATGACTATTTGTATTACTATCGCTATTTATAATAACACCACCTGCGTTTGGTTGTACAATCTTATTATTTACGACATTCGGACTGTTTTCTCTTAGTGTAAGAGTAGTCATAGTCGAAGTCGATGAAGTCGTAACCAGTGAACTTGTCGTCAGTGTGTCGCTGTTACCTGATAACGAACTTGGTGATAATGAATCTTCACTTCTTCCACTGTTACCGACATCTTTTTGTTGTTGTTGTTGTAACTCCTGTTGTTGTTGAAGCTGTTGCTGAATTGAACTAGCATCCTCGAGATTAATAGAGAAGTGCCCGTGACGGTTAGAATAAGCACGACGCAGATAGTAACGACGTATCAGGACGACCGCCAACGTTAGCATAACAGTGGAACCTAGCTGCATTAAGATCATCAAGATGATCTGTGTAAAGACGGTCCACGACTGGATGTCGACAGTCAGCAGTCCTGTGCTAGTCAGTGCAGAGTACGATCCAAACAGACAGTCGATAAACTTGGTGTGCGACGACGGTCCTTCGATCATGAACAGCAACAAACCACCGACAAAGCCAACGACCACAAAATAGAGAAAGTGAAATCGATAGTAGTGATTCTTGTCGATGTACACCAAGAGCTCACTCAACAGTCGCTTCCAATACTGTTTATTCAAAAAGAATAAATCCATTCCCTCTATTAGTTCCTAACACTTTTTCAATAAATAAAATACTAATAAATAAAAAATTGTTTACTCTCGTTATTAATTAACTTCTTTTGTGTGTGATCTGTGTTGTTTTTTTTTTTTTTTTTTCACCAAGATGCTTTTTTTAAAAAAAAAAAAAACAAAAATTTAAAAAAAAAAAAAAACAAAGGGGGTTAAGCACATACAACACATTTATAAAACTTTTGAATGATAAGATTTTTCTTTGATTTTCATAAAATTGCCCCACCCGATTAATTGTATTATTTTTAATTATTTTTAATCAAAAAGCACAATTAATTGATTTTTACAAATTTGTTTTATTTTTAATTTATTTCTTTTTGTGTAAAAATAAACATTTTTTAAAATCTTTAATTAAACAATTTAAAGTTCATCATTTATACTCTTTTTGAATAAAAGAATTGTTAATAATAATTTGTATATATATATTAATATTATTTGTTTTTAAGATCTTCAACTTTAGTATAATACAATCTATTTTATAATCAATCCTAATACACTTTGTTAATATCTTGATATTATTTGTTATTGTTTGAACTATATATATTTTAATTTAGAATAAATGTCAGCATTATTTCCAAAAATTCTATTTTTTGGAAATCAAGAGCAATTCGATGCACTAAAAAGTCATCTTTCAGGAACAATTTGTATACAATTGATACATATTGACCGTAAACACCCAAATCAACCGATACCAATCAATGTTCTTGGCACACATTTAGGAGTGATCATCTCTCTTGATTGGTTCTTAGAAATCGACACAACAAAACAGTTTGCAAGTAACCAGAGCAAAATACTGGTCATCAATTTCGGAGGTAGTAAACCAGTTGGGGACCCACTCCAGCCAGGAATCAAACAACTCAAACTACCCGGTAGTATTCAACCAGTTAGCCAACAGATCAGCACCCAAGCCGAATCCGATGATGTTGACAACAACAACAACAACAACAATAATAATAATCAACATAAGGATTCTCGACTATGTCAAAGTTTCAAAAATGATTTTGAAGATTGGTTTAGTCATGTTGGTTCACCATCGACCCACGCTGAGTGTATGAAAACTGAATTAATGATCAAGGTAACATCTTTATTAATAATTACTATCATAGTTTTCTAATTTCGATTCTATTTCTAAACAAAAAACAAAAAGTACATTGGCATTCTTGATTATCTTTATAGAAAATCAGAGTTTGCACGTAATGTAATTGCTCATTTGAGTGGAATGAGCTCCTCCGATAATTGGGTGACTGTTAAATCAATTAAAGATTTTTTTAATTGTTTATTAACATTCAATCCTAACATCTGTCACAAATATTTATTTACTCATTACGTTATAACTCTTCAAGATGTACAAATACTGATGCCTGTGTTTGGCTTTCGAGACGTCAGTTCCTCTTCATCCTCCTCACCACCACTATCGCGTAAGATCATGTTGTTTGCACTGACTATTGTAGAGTCATTAGTTTACTCTCGTCAGCTATCGTCAAGTGATAGCGATGTAAGAGAACAATGTATTCGTGAAATATATAACCATTGCAAGAGACCAAGAAACAAGCTCAACTATCAAACCATTGCCAAGCATATGGACAACCAATTAGCTATCACAATCATGAAAATCATCACCGATCCTCTCCCACAGTTTCCACTTATACCACCCAGCCAAAACATTAGTCAGGAGTCGATGAGAGCTGATATCAACAAAGCTATAAAGGAATTGGAACCAACTGAAGACCATCTCTTGGTGAAAAGGGAAAACAACGATATAGCTGCCATCATTCAGCTATGGGATTGTATACGCCAGTTCAAAGGATTTGGTGTACCCATCGACCGGGAAGCCAAATACCAACTCTTGCAAGAGATTGCCATTGGACTTTCGAGTACGGAAATCAACGTTCGTCTCTTGGAAAACAAAATAGGCAAATTCCTACAGCAACTGGTAGGAGATCGCCCTTTTGACTTTACCAAGAATGACCTTGCCTACATCACAGGAATTCCAGTTAGATGTTTAAGTGACGTGCAGTGGACAAGTCCCGAAAATATATACACCTTCAACTTCTGGGTGGTGCGACAATTGCTGAAAAACAAACAGCCATTTATCATTGTAAACGACAGTTATAAATTGGCCAATGCTATTTCCGATATATTGGGAATGGAACAACAAACAACAGAATTCCATAGGCTTATGGGTGTGGTGTACTATTCGACACTGGATTCATTAATGGACAATCTGGCTAAACTGGAAGAGTACTTTGTGGAATGGAGAGAGTCAAAACTCTACAGCAGTGTCAAAGATCAACTTAGAGAAGAGAATCGTGTGACCAGACTTTCATACAACAACGATACTAGATGGGACTTCTATGCGAAGCTGATGTGTTTGCCTATCGACCAACAATATTTCTTCTTTAATAATATTATTGAAGTAACCAAATCAATCGATGCCATTGCGGACTCACAATATTCATTGTCACCTGCCAGAAGACGAGTAATATTTGTAAATCTAAATCTCAATAACCAAATTGAAAACGAAATAGAGAAATTCAACCACTGTGTTACAACATATCGTTCAATCACTTGGGTTGGTGTGATCTCCGAGGATGTGAAGTCTGGTTTGGAAGGATTTACCAAGGTCACACTTCTTTAAATTCAAACTATGTATAAAATCTTCATTTATATTATACTTTATTTACATTCATTAAATTAACACCAAATAGCCTGTTTAAAAACAAAAAATAAAAATAAATTTGGTTTATGCTATTTTTAGAGTTAACAATTTTGTAAACAAATTTAATTATTTTTTTCTCATTTTTTTTTTGGGTAATGAAGCTCATTGTGTGGTTATTTTTGATTAATTTTTAAGAAGATAAAATATTTTAGTTTCAATCACACTTTATAATTTACTTTATTATTAGTTTATATTTTTATATATCTTTCTTTGTTTTATAATATTATTTCTCTTTTTTTTATTTTTTTTATTTTCCACTTTCACTCAACATACATACCACATTAAATTACACTAAATAATTTTGTTTTATTATAACTTTTAAATATATTTTTATTTATAATTATATATTTATTGTGTTGAATAATGGACGTACTTTTTCCAAAATATCTGTTTCTTGGAAATCAATATGAATTAGATGCTTTAACAGGACAGCTTTCAAAAGAAACTTACCTTAAATTAACACATGTCGATCACAAACACCCAAATAAACCTATACCAATCAATATTTTTGGCACATATTTGTGTGTGATAATATCTCTTGATTTGGTAGCTCACTTGCCAGCAATCGATCCGGAGAACCAACTTAAAAGTAACCAGAGCAGAACACTGGTCATCAATTTCGGAGGTATTAAACCAGTTGAAAACCCACTCAAACAATCCAAACCACTCAAAATACCCGGTAGTAATCAACAAGTTCCCCAGCAGACCAGCACCCAAGCCGAATCCGATTACGTTAATAACAACAACAACAATAATCAACAACAACTTGAAGTTTCTCAACATAGTTTCAAAAGAGATCTTGAAGAATGGCTTAGTAAATTTAGTTCACCGTCGACCAACGCAGAGTGTGAGGAATCTGAATTAATGATCAAGGTAACATCTTAATTAATAATTATTATCATAGTTTGAGTGATATTCTAATTTAATTTCTATTTCTAAAAAAAAAAATAAAAAGATCATTGAGAATCTTGATAAAGTTTATAGCTCTTCCTATTTTGCACGTAATGTGATCGCTAAATTGACAAAGATGAACGTCTCCAATCATTGTGCGCTTGCTGCTTCAGCCATAGATTTCTTCACTTGTTTAGTGAAATGCGATCCTGCCATATGCCACAAAGATCTCTTTTGCGATATCGAGATAGATGAGCATGATGTAAGAATTCTGTTGAAAAAGTATGGTGATAAATACGACAGTTCCTCTTACCCCTCCTCCTCCTCCTTCTCATCGTCTAAGATTATGTCTTTCGCGCTAGCTATTATAAATACATGCATTGACTCTCGCCAACTGTCACATAGCGATACCGACATAAAGCTTGGAAGTATTCTTAGAATACAAGAAGATTGCAAGAACCAAAGAAAGAAGATCCGTCATCAAAAAACATCCAGGCTTTTCGACAAACAAGAGCACAGAACATTGGTAAATATCGTCACCGATGCTCTTCTCAAGATTCAACACACACCACCCAATACCCAGGACATTAGTCTGGAGGCGAAGATAGCCGACATCGATAAAACTGAAGAGCGTTTCAATTTGAAATCAACTGACGATTTCCTCAAGAAAAAGACAAACAAAGACAAATCCGCCATCACACAGCTCTGGGATTGTATTCGCCATCTCAATGCATTTGGTGTAGCCATCAACCAAGACACATACAAGACTTCACAGAATATAGCCTTCGAACTTTCGAGTCCAATGATCGACGTTAGTATCTTGGCATCCGATTTGGCCGTCCATTTAAAACAAATGTTTCTTGGCGAACATAATCTTGAAATTCCTTTCAGCTTTACCAAGCATGTCCTTGCCAAAACCACAGGAATTTCAGTTAGATGCTTTAGTGATGTGGTATGGACAAATCCGGAATATATTTTCACCTTCAACTTTTGGGTGGTGCGACAAATGTTGAAAAACCATCAACCATTTATAGTTGTTAATGACAGATATCATTTGGTCAAAGATTTTGCCAAGATATTGGAAAGGAACCAACAAACAACAGAATTCCATCGACTCTTGGGTGTGGTGTACCATTCGACACTGGATTCATTAAAGGACAATCTGGCTAAACTCGAAGAGAACTTTGTAGAATGGAGAGAATCCAAACTCTACAGCGAAATCAAAGATCAACTTAGAGAAGAGAATCGTGTGACCAGACTTTCATGGGATAATGACACTCTACGGCACTTCTTTGACAAGCTGATGTGTTTGCCCGTGGCCCAACAGTTTTACTTTTTAAATATTAAGGAAACCGATTCAATCAACGCCATTGTGCTTTCACCATTTTCTTCGTTGCCTGCCAGAAGACGAGTCATATTCTTGGGTCTAAATAGTCCATCAATTGTAAGCGAAATACAACAATTCAAACAATTTGTTCAAACACATAATTCAATCACTTGGGTCGGCGTTATCTCCAAGGATGTGAAATATGATTTCAATGAGTTGACCAAGCTCAAAATTCTTTAATTTCAGTAACCACTATGTTTATACCTTCTTCATTTATTTATATACTGTACATATTCATCAATTATTTGCAGTCAAAAAAAAAATAAAAAAAGAGAAATCATGACATTTTGAAATTCATTTCACAAATCCTATTTTTTGTGAACTTAAACAGTTTTTTTGCTTGGACGACCATAAAAATTACTACCATAAAAAGGTTGAATAAAATAAATAAAAAAAATGAATTCAACCTGGTTGCTTTTTTTAAAAAAATTATTGGCGACACTTTTTTGACAAACTGTTTATTGTTGGATTAAAATCAATAGAATTTGTTAAAAGACATTTATTTTGTTTTTTCACCCCAATTCCACTACGATTCAATCATGATGAAGAAAAACTATTCTTTTATTAATGTGAACATACTTAAATAAATATTTTTTAATTTTTTTTAAAATTAAATTTAAATTAATTAATAATTGTTTTTTTTTAGAACAAAACATTAAAATCACAAATCAAATCTTTTTATTTTTATAGTAATCTTCATATCACTTTATTTTTTATTTATATCTGTTTTTTTTTTCTGTCATTAAAAAGCTATATATAAAAAGATAAATATATATAATATTATATATAACAACAATTCTATTTTTTTTGAACCAACTTAAAAAAATTTAAAGATAGTAATTTATAAATTTATTTAATTATTTATTTTTGTTTATCTTCAACTTTTTTATAAAACAATCTTTGTTAATCTAATACTTTCATTATTATAGTTTAACAATATTTATATATATATATATATTTTGTAAAATGTCACCATTTTTTCGCTACTATCTCTTTATAGGAAGTAGACATCAATACATTAAAGCAAAGCTACTTCTTTCAAAAAGATATCATCGCGAATTTGTACATATCGATTTCAAACATCAAAATCAATGTTTACCACCAAATATTTTTCACAATTTTTTGTGTGTCGTCATCTCTAAAGATTGTGCAAATAGCTTGACAGAAAACGATTGCAATCAATTCGTAAGCTACCCAGACAAAACACTGATCATCAAGTTTGGAGATAGCATTTGTAGTCAAACTGTTGTCCGCCGACAATTCGATTTATGCGAAGAAATCGATCTATCCGAGAGTAATCAAACAGAGATCTCGTACAGGGCCCAATCCAATGACAATAGCCAACCACACACAGAGAGATTCGAAGATTGGCTTAATAATTTTAATTTACCGCTGACCTGGCAGTCTGAGAGCTATGAATCGGGATTCTTGGGAATGGTAACAAAACAATAATTAACGGAATTGTATTTAATGATTTTCTAATTTATATATTTTATTATTTCTAAACAAAAAAAAACAGCTCTATCCCATGATTTTTAAAGTTTATACAACTTCGGTATATGCTCAAAAAGTATTAGACTATTTGATTGCAGATAACGGCTCCGGTGATCATTCTCAGACTGTTTATACAGCCGTAGATTTATTCACTGATCTAGTGAAATGCAATGCAACTATTGGCTACAAGTTTCTCTTACTTGGCCACTCGATAACCGAGCAGGATATACAAGTATTGGTGGATGAGTTTGGTGATGAAGTCGACATTCCATCCTCCTACTCCTCCTACTCCTCCTCGTCAAAGATCATGCGTTTCGCCCAGGATATTGTTGTGGCATCACATAGCGATGCCGACACAATGAAGGGATGCATTATCCGAATGCATGAAACATCCCAACTCTCAGGAAAGAAGCTCCACTTTCAAGAGATTACCAAACTCATTGGCAATCAATCGAGAAAGATAACCGTGAATAGCATCACACCGGCTCTTCCACTGAATCAATCTACACCACCACCACCAACAAACAGTAGTCAGGAGATGATAACTTATATCGATTCAATTGAAAATCGATTCGATTTGAAATCAACACCCAGTTTCCGAGAGAGAAAGATAAAAGGGGATAGAGCTGCAATCACTCAACTTTGGGATTGTATACACCAGTTCAATTCAAGTGGTTTACCATTCGACCAAGACTCATACGAACGCTTGCAAAGGATAGCCATTGGACTTTCAAGTACACCAATCAACGTTGATGACTTGGCATCCGATCTAGCCATCTTTTTAAAACAACTATATCTTGGTAGATTTTATCCAGATATTAAGATTTTCGACTTTACCGAGCATGTCCTTGCCAAAATCTCAAGAACTCCAGTAAGATGTTTAAGACATTTTGGTGGTGATATGTGGACAAGGTCAAACATCTTCAACTTTTACCTTGTATGCCAGTTGTTGAAAAGCAATCAATCGTTTATCATTCTTAATGATAAATTCGATTTGGTCAAGTTTGCCTCCGAGATACTTGAAATTCAACAACAAAAGAGAGAATTCCATAGACTACTGGATGTGAACTACTCGGTATTGGATTCAATCAAGTACGATCTGGATACACTCGAAGAGGACTATGCCGAGTGGATACAATCAACTCTCTTCAGTGAAAAGCATAGAGATGGAATTCCTGTGACCAGACTCTCATCCGACAGCCATACTCGATGGGACTTCTTTGCAAAACAGATGTGTTTGCCTATTGGTCAACAGTATTTCTTCTTTAATAATATTATTGAAGAAACGGAATCGATCAACACCATTTCACATTCACCATATCCTACCAGAAGAATAGTCATATTTGTAAAACTCAATCACCAAAGTGAAAGAGAAATACAGAAATTCCAATGGTATGTTGGTACATATCAATCATTTAGTTGGATTGGTGTGATCCCAGAGGTTGTGAAATATGATTCTAATGGATTGATCATTCTCAACTGTCATAACATAAATTATTATTTTCAGTAAACACTCAATATCATCTACCTTTTATATTATTCAGTTTTACCACTTAATACAAAATAATAATTATTAGTTTGTAAAAAGAAAAGAGTTCGTGATACAAATCAAAAATCTATATATTAATTTGTAGTATCACGAACATTTATTTAAACTAATTGTTGAACTTCACAAATCAAAATAAAATAAAAAAATTTTCTTCCATTTTATTTTTTCCTTTTATGCTACTAGTGTGTTATAAAAGAGAATTTTTTTTTTTTTTTTTTTTTTTTTGTTTTTTTTTTTGTTTTATAAGCCACCACACACCGATTCAAAAAAATGCGCATTTTTTTTTTGACTGTTCTCGAAATGGGATGCGAAATTTTTCCCTCCAAAAAAATCCCACACTTTTTCCGATTTACTTTTTAAAAAAGAATTTACACATTATTACTTTTGAAATAATAATTTAGAGAACTAAATATTTCCACCATGTAATTGATCTAGTAAAAGTAATAGTGACTTTAGACAAAAACAAAATAAAAAATAAAACAAAAAAAGATAACAATTGAAAATAATGTAAATTTTGATTTCTCTTCCCCCTCTCTGCAATTGTTTTTTTGCTGAACAGCTGCTGTTGTTGTTTTTGATTGAAAAAAAAAATATTAAATTAAATAATTTTTAATAATTTTAAAAACAACATTTGATTTGGTATGGTATTTTTGTGTGCACAACAATCACAAATTAATTTATATTTATAGTTATTTTTAATAATCATTTGTTAATTAATTAAAAATTAAATATTTTATTAAATTTTATTATAATAATTAAAAATAAATAAATAAATATTATAGAATAGTCATGTCAGGTTACATTAGATCCAAAGCAGTTCTCATTTGCAGACAAAGTCAATATAATGCTTATATTGAAAGGTGTGCGGGGTTACGAGACAAAGTAGTTCATTTGTCTTTAGACTTGAATTGTAAAGATGACGTAATCCCACCAGGAATTTTCAATATTTATCACAAGGTGATAATTCCAATCAATTTCGTAGCTGAATTGAGGAGGATCGATTCAAACCAACTATCGAGTCATCCCGACAGAACAGTGGTCGTAACTCTTCGTGAACCCAATGCAACAAAGCGTGCCGGTGGATTTAGGTGCATACCTATACCCTTACCCGTTGTTGCTATAGACACTGGAGCAGAGAACGGATCCGTTCAACCACCCGATGCGCAGGGGTGCCACCAGATCAGTGAAATTGAAGAATGGATTGGTGACATCCACTCAACAAATTCCACTGCAGAGAGTAGTCAAATCGGTATCGACAGTGACTTTAATAATAACGTGAGTTAAAAAAAAAAAAAAAAAATAGTTGTTTTAAAATATATGTAATCTATATATATTTTATTTCATTTGTGATTTAATTATATTAATTAATTTTTTTTTTTTTTCATTAATTTAAAATAGTTTTCAGAAAAATTTGATATACTCTACACCTCGTGTCAATTTTTCAGAGAAGTCATATCAAAGTTGGTTGAAAATGACCGATTCCTCAACTTTGATGATGCTTACTACACTGCCAGAGAGTTTTTTTACAAATTGCTCAATACCGATAGTTCTATTCCATTCAAGAGTTTTTTTACAGATATTAACCTAAGTGCAGGCCATGTTCATTCATTGATGGAGCATCTTGTTGTACAACACAACCCTCCCTCCAAGATACTGGATTTCGTCGCCGATATCAAAAAGGCGAATGACATCTCTCATTTCCTTTCCTCGACCAAACCATTCCTAAGAACACTCATTCAATTATCCAGATTGTCAAGAAAGAAGGGTTCCGCCCGTCTCAAGCATATTGCCAAGTTCATCGATCACCCTGTGCATAGGACAATATTAGAGAATATCTCGCCATCCTCTACCAACTCATCTGTCAACGTTGTACCAACCAGACAACAAACAGTCACCAAGGATACATTGGTCAAAAAGATTCAGAAAGTAAAAGACATATATAAAGATTATAATCCATATTCGACCAAGATTGGAGTGGCAGATACGGTCCAAGCCAAAAACCAAGAAAATCAAGAGGAGCCAGAAAACCAAGTCCGTCTTACGTGGCTCCTCATTAAATGTTTAGATCAACCCTCGTTGGACTTGACCCCTGAAATCGTAGCATCCTGCCCAGAGTTCATTGAGATATGTTCCCGTGTAGCACGCAACTTTTCAAAGAAGGAAATCAATTTAGCCACTCAATCTAAATTGAGGAAGGATCTAATTGCTAGCATGGCACGGCCTGGTCAAGATGATGGAGTCATTGCCATGAACAAACCAATGAAGAAAGAGAAACTTGCTTCCGCTACTGAAATTGGAGCACATCTCCTCAACAATACGATATGGTCAGCCACTGACTCTATAAACTTCACAGCAATACACTTGCTTGCCAGTCAAAACCAATCGTCTATCATTCAAAACGATCCTCGTGGTATTGCCAAGTTATGGGTTGAGGCACAGTCGGGTCAACAAAGGTCAGATGCCATCAAGCAAATCATGGAGGTACTGGCAGAGCCCTCCATGGAGAAAGTGGAAAACCAAGTGGCTACACTCCAACATCTCTTCGCCGATTGGAGTTCCTGGCCCATCTACACCATGATCAGAAGCAAAGTAAGCAACGCACCTTCTCATAGTGTGCTTGCAGGCAATTGGGAAACGTTCATGGATCTTCTCGTTGAACTCCTGACGATGCCCACTCACAAGGAGTTCCAATACCTGGGCGTTGGTGAAAGTGAACATATCGATTCCATTGCCAATTCTAAATCGCCAACACACTTTAAGAGAAAGATATTCTTGAAGTTGGATAGCAATAACCAATCCCATGTTGAGTTATTCAACCGCTATGTGGAAAGATATAGAGATATCGTCTGGATTGGTGTATGTGACGAAAGCAATTCTTGGAATATCGGTGGTTTCACAAAACTAACACTCATTTAGACTGTCATCAACTTGATTTGTAGATCTACAAATCAAATCAAATATCAAATCAAATCAAATATCTATATATATTAATTTGTAGTATTACATACAAAATTTTATTACTAATTGTTGTTGAACTTCACAACAAAAATCAAAGGGGTGCAAAAAGCCCTCATTATTGTGATCATTTATTTTCTAAAAAAAAAGTCAAAATAAATTTTTTTTTTTTTGCATGATTGACTTCATTGTGTGTGCCAAAAAAAAAAAAAAAAAAAAAATTAAATAAAAGAAAAAGGAGGAAGGTGTGATCATTGAAAGCTTTTATTTTTTTCCTTTCATATAATATAAATTACTGTTGTTTTTTTTATTTAAATATTATAGATAAAGTTTAAATTAGAATAAAAAATAGTAAGAAGAAAATGTCAGGATTGTTAGAATTACCATTTCACTTCATCAGAGTACCAAAGATGAGATTGAAGACACCAAATGTAGAGGCACCATCGCCAATGGTTGTCTTCACATTCATCTTTTTCACATATTTCTTGGTGAGCTCTGGTATCATCTACGATTTAATTGTTGAGCCACCCTCAATCGGATACGTTCAAGATGAAAAGGGTAACAGCAAACCACAGGTATTCCAGATGTACCGTATCAACGGTCAATATATCATCGAAGGTCTCTCTGCAGGTACCATTTTCGCACTCGGTGCACTTGGATTCATCATTTTGGATATGAACAAGAAGAAGAACAACAACTACCTTTTCATCTTGGGTCTTGTTTTAGTCGTAGCCACCTACAATATCGCAATCGTTTTCCTTCGTATGAAGATCCCAGGTTATGGTTATTTCTAGAAAAAAAAACAACAAATCAACCAATAATAATCAATAACAACAACAAAAAAAAAAACAATAGGTGTAATTAATAAAATAAGCTTGTAGCTAAATCTTGTTATCCAAATATAAATCTAAAAAAAAATGACAACAGATAAGATATCATTAATAATAATAATAATCGAGGATTTTATTTATTTATTGGATCAAAAGTATCAATTTTAATCTCCAGTGTTTAGTTTAAATAATTATCATTTATTATTATCTGGTTAACCATCAAATCTGAATGTCTGAAAGTGATTGTTTAAAAAATAAAAAAACAAAAAAAATTCTGCCTTTTGATTGCAATCAGATCGGTTTGTTGTTGTTTATAAAAACAAATCTTAATCATTATTGTAATATTTTAGCTTTATAATTATAAAATAAATAAATATCAATGGAATGAAGAAGTCATTATATTCATTGGTATTCAAAAATTCGTTAATATGTAAATATATATTCAATCTAATACACAAGATATGTGAGAAAAGTTGTTGTAGATGTCATTACTCTTGGAGTGTATTGTGTAAATATCCAAAGGCGTTGGTTGGAAATAACTATCTAGCAGAGTTGAAGTTAGTGCTGTCAAGAGGAAACGCTACAGATTTCAATGATGAATCTGTAAGTGATTTATTCATGAACGTAATTAAATATAGAGATAAAGATAGAGAGATCACCGGGAATCTAGAGATGTTTGCTTATCTGTTGGATGTCTTCAGTGAAAGTGTAACGAGAGAAGGTGTATTCCGGTACTACAAGAGCTGTAATATTCAAGGAATTCTACATCGTGCCGCCAAATACGGTAGATTAGATCTCATTGAATATCTATTGAGCCGATATCATTCGTTTCAATTCGACTATGGATTTGCCATGTCAAACGCACCGTTGTCACATGATTTCCAATTGCTACGGTTCCTCGTTGAAAAAGTGATAGTCAACGATCCCGACAATCGCGATTGCTCACCAAGAGTATTTAATAAAGCAGCGAAAATGGGAAGAATCGATATGATAGAGTATCTACTTGAACAGCAATTCCACCGGTTTCCATCGAGTACAATGTTTGTTCACGCGATCAAAGATGGACATAAACACGTAATAGAGTATCTACTGAAATCACAGCATCACCCACTGAAAAATGAATCACACAATCTTTTGGATGTAACGGCGAAATACGATCAGTTGGAGATTATGAAGATACTTTTTACGTACGGTGTGAAATCAGGTGAGCGGGATCCTGCTCATCTAGCCGCGAAAAATGGAAACATTGAAATGGTGAAATGGATTGTAGAGAATGTTGAGATTGGTACCACCTCAAAAGCATTTGAAACAGCCGCTGCCTATGGGCATAAAGAAATACAGCTGTGGTTAAAAGAAAACTACTGTAAGAGTGAAGATTGCAAGTAACAATAAATGTTTTTAATTTCGAAATGTTGTAAATTTAATCAAATCCTTTATTTTTAATCAACAACTATTTATTATCACTTTAAAGTATGTTTTGATAAAGGAATTTAAACTTTGGAATGTTTTGGTTTACAATTGAATGTTCAATACCTCGCTTGGTATTGAAAATAACATTGTTAAACAAATGGTGAATATGGATACTGTTACAGCATTGTGGAAGCTGTCAACAGTGATTTTAAATAGAACTTCCTAAAGTCTTTGTAAACTAGTGAGTTTAGCTATATTTTTATCTTCATTTTAAATATATAATTAAATATCTATTTATATAGAATTAACTGATCAGGAAACAAGATAGATCACCAATTACATCTAATTCACTTTTCAATTTGATAATTCAATATCGTATTTATATAATATATATTCAAATCTTCTGAAACAAAAAAAAAAAATGATTTAAAATCCCCATATGAATCAATGTTTTGATTTTGGAAATCCTTTTTATTCCTTTCAAAAATTATTATTCAAAAAATACAAAGTATAGATTAATTTGATCTCTCATAGAGAAACTTCAACTATTTTGAATAACTTGAATCACCTTTTTATTTATAATCTATATTTATATATATATATAGATATTTACAGATAAATATACCTCTTTTATTAGTATCTCTTAGAAAAAAAACAAGATGGGATCAAAGCAAACAAAACCAGAATCCATAGACTATGAAAGCAAGTTGACTGCAATCAGTCTTAGTATCGATCAACATTTGACAGCAGTTCTCAGATCAACTGAAATCAAAAGTTTGAAGGAAGTGCACAGAAATGAGTATCACAAAAACATAGACCAAAAAGTAAAAATAACCACTTCCATTTCAATAGAAATCACCTTATACAAACTTAAGAAAAGCCAAGGAGATTCAGCTTATCAAGTCCATATCAATAACATCAGAGATTACATTGAACAATTGTGCAAAGAAGATAAGTATAAGGTGATCAAACAACGATGTGAGGCTTTAATGTTAGGCATCACTTGTGATGAAAGTTACTCTGAATGTTTAAAGAGAAACTGGAAGATGATCACCGGTGGAATTGGAGTAGCGTTTGGTGCTGCAATCTTGGTTATTTTGGTGGTCTTGCACTGTATCCCATTTTTTAACTTTGTCCTTGGAATTGGTGCTTTTATTGCAACATGTATATTAGGGAAATAAAGTATTTTATTAGTTAGCTCCTCTAATTTTTTAATATAAAAATCCAATAAAATGAATTTAATTTAATAAAATATATATCTTCTTTAGTATTATTTTTTATTGCACTGTCTTCAAATCTATCAATTAGAATATTTAAAAAAAAAATTTTTAAAACATTTATATTAAATTTAGTTTGTAGGGTTCGGAAAAAAGTTGATTTATCTCTGAGCTTGAATATTAATGAAAGGGATTGTAATATTAAGACTTTGGTTTGAAAGCTGTTCATTGACAACTTGATCAAAATTTATGCAAGCTTGTTCGATATCTGGAATAAATGTTTCAAGATCGTTTAAATCTGGCATCTCTTCCAATCCCTTAATCTTTCCTAGTGCAAAATGAATTTGATTTGAATTACTATTCAAACGATGCAATATATCATTTAGGTTCTGGAAGTCCTTCTTTAGTGAATCCATTGCCTTGGTACCAAAAAACAATAGTACCGCAGCACTAGCAATTGCTGCTATTGCGGCCAAACAAACTGCAATTAAGAGTTGCAAGTCCAAGTACAATATTGACAATTGGTATCAAATGCAACACAACCAAACCAACCAACAAAGCACCAACATGAGCAGCAATTAGACCTCCAGTTATCATCTTCCAGTTTTTCTTGAGACCTTCAGAGTAACTTTCCTCTGATGCTATTTTGGGTTGTCAATTTTTCACACTTTTCTTTCATTTTCAAAAATTGATCCTCTTTTCACCATATCCTCTATTATCTCTCTTATCTTCTGCAAATGACGTTGATAATCTATACCTTCACTTTTCTTCTTTTTGTATAGAACTATTTCTCTTGAAATCTTCTTAATGTTGTTGGTCTTCTTGTCAAGGTCATGGTGATACTGTGTGGTCACTTCTTGAAACTCTTCTCTGTGTTCTGGCTTCAAACCTTTGATATCCGTGGATCTGAGAACAGCAGTCAAGTGTTTGTCTATATCCAGTGCGACTGTGGTAAGTTGCTTTTCAATATCATAATACTCGTTTTTTAAGTCAATTTTAGTTAATTTTCCTCCCATCTTTTGACTATTAAATAAAATAAAACAATATTATGTTGATAATAGCTTTTTAATTTTAATCAATTTTTATTTGTTTAATAAATATAAAATGTTGATGAATTTTTTTTTTAGCTATTCATTTAATCAAAATAAATTTATTCAAATTAAACACTTCATTCTATTTTGAAAACTTAATTATTTAATTTGATCAAATTTAACCCAACAAAATTGAAAATAGAAAAATCAGTGCCCCAAAAAATTTGCACAGCTTTTGTGTTTTTATGTGCCAAAAAAAACCCAACATGTAAAATGAAAAATCACATGTGCAAACAAATCAAAATTATCAATAATCACACTCTCACAAACAAAAAAAAAAGCATATATATTTAAAAATCTCTTTTTTCTTGGATCCTTAATGTTTTAGAAGGAATTTCTATTTTGGAATCTTCACATCTAATGAACTTTTCTTTAAGATAATTTTATATCGAATTTATTTTAAATATCTTTTCAGTTCTGACAATAGATTTGAACACTATTAAATAAAACACTAGATAGTGTATTGTTCATCCTTGAATTGATTAAAAAATATATTTTGCAATGAATTCAAAAAGTAAAAGAAAATTTTTTTTTTTGAGGAATCTGTCGCCATTTTATTAAAATAAATATAATCAAATTAAACACTTCATTCTATTTTGAAAACTTAAATATTTAATTTAATCCAATTAAACCCAACATTGAAAAAAGAAATTTCTCTGACCCAAAAATAGAATAATCAGTGTTGAAAGATGCGAGAATACAAAAAAAGCTGTGCAAAAAAAAACCTAACCTCTTAAATGAAATAACCCACCTGTATCAACTAAATCCCCATTATAATCAATACGATGAATGGTGATGTTATTTAGGATTATCATTTTGGACAAAATAAAAAAAAATCCCCTAGTATCACTTCCCCCTAATTTTACATTTATCAATAATAAATTGAAAAATATATTTCACAACATTTTATTCTATTCAATAATTTAAACCATCATCTTTTTTTTTGTTCCTCAAAATAAATATTCTACCTATAAAAATATTCAAAATAAATAAATTTTTATTTCTAAATAATAACTCTTGAAAAGAACTAGATGGGAGGAAAACAATCAAAACCAGCCAACGACTGTGAAAGCAAGTTAACTGCAATCAGTCTTAGTATAGACCAACATTTGACGGCGGTTCTGCGTTCAACCGAAATCAAAAGTCTAAAGCCAGATCACCGAAATGAGTTCCTTGCACTTACTAATGAGTACCACAACAACATTGACCAAAAAGTAAAAATAACCACTGCCATTTCAAGAGAAATTACATTATACAAATTAAAGAAAAATCAAGGAAATACTTCATATCAAGACCATATCAATAACATTAGATCCTATATTGAACAACTGGTTAGAGAAGATAAGTTTAAAGAGATCAAACAAAGATGTGAGAAACTTATGCTCAGCATAACATGTGAGGAAAGTTACTCTGACAGTTTAAAGAGAAATTGGAAGATGATTACTGGAGGAATTGGATTTGCTTTTGGTGCTGCAATCTTGGTAATATTGGTTGTTTTGCATTGTATTCCAATAGTACATTTTGTACTTGGAATTGGTGCTTTTATTGCAGCATGTATATTAGGTGTATTGGGTATTATCTCTTCTATTATTTTAATAATTAATGGAAACAGGGCTACAGAAACTCTAAAAAAGGATTTTGTGATACTAAGTGAAATTTTAGCAAAAATGGATATAAATGGACAGCAAAATCATGTTATACTCGGACAGATTGAAGGAATGGAAAAGATGAAAGAGAATGATAGTCTAGAAGTCTTCATAATAGATATTGAAAAAGCTTGCAAGAAATTCAATCAAGTTGTCCAAAATCAGTATAGCTCATTTTTTGGATCCGTCAGATCTATTTTTTGGAGATAAAATTCCTCACAAATATCATTAACAAAAAACAATAAAGAAAAACTAAATATATATCTAATTAAATTTATTTATAATTAGTTATTTTATCAATTGTTAAATTTTTATTTTTATTTTTTAATTCAATTGAGAGATTTGATGCTTTTCAAAATTACTTTTAAATTACGAAAATATTTTGTTATTTAATTATTTATTTTTATTTAAAATGATTTTCTGTAAAATTTGGAAAAAGTTGAACCAATTTATCTCTGAGCTTTAATATTAAAGAAAGGGATTCTAATATTTAGAATTTGGTTAGAAAGCTGTTCATTGACAACTTGATCAAAATTTATGCAAGCTTGTTCGATATCTGGAATAAATGTTTCAAGATCGTTTAAATCTGGCATCTCTTCCAATCCCTTAATCTTTCCTAGTGCAAAATGAATTTGATTTGAATTACTATTCAAACGATGCAATATATCATTTAGGTTCTGGAAGTCCTTCTTTAGTGAATCCATTGCCTTGGTACCAAAAAACAATAGTACCGCAGCACTAGCAATTGCTGCTATTGCTGCAAAACAAACTGCAATTAAGGTTGCAAGTCCAAGTACAATATTGACAATTGGTATCAAATGCAACACAACCAAACCAACCAACAAAGCACCAACATGAGCAGCAATTAGACCTCCAGTTATCATCTTCCAGTTTTTCTTGAGACCTTCAGAGTAACTTTCCTCGGATGCTATACTGGTCATCAATTTTTCACACTTTTCTTTGATTTTCAAGAATTGATCCTCTTTCACCATATCCTCTATTATCTCTCTTATCTTCTGCAAATGACGTTGATAATTCCTCTACTTTCAGTTTTCTTCTTTTTGTATAGAACTATTTCTCTTGAAATCTTCTTAATGTTGTTGGTCTTCTTGTCAAGGTCATGGTGATACTGTGTGGTCACTTCTTGAAACTCTTCTCTGTGTTCTGGCTTCAAACCTTTGATATCCGTGGATCTGAGAACAGCAGTCAAGTGTTTGTCGATATCCAGTGTGACTGTGGTAAGTTGCTTTTCAATATCATAATACTTGCTCTTTAAGTCAATTTTAGTTAATTTTCCTCCCATCTTTTAACTATTAAATCTTTTTGGTTATTAAAAAAAGTTTATTGTTTTTTAATCAATTTATTTAACAAATATAAATATTTAAAATAAATATATATGGTTATTAAAAAGTTTTTATTAAACTATTCAAAATAAATCTAATCAAATAAATTTAATCAAATTAAACACTTCATTCAGTTTGAAAACTTATTTATTTGATTTACAACGGTTGGGTGTAAAAATAAATTTACTCCGACCCAAAAATTAGAAAAATAAGTTTTTTCATTTTGTTTTTTTTGATCTACCATTTAAATCTATTTTTAGAAATCTTTATTGATTTGGATATATCTTTATTTGTAATCTTTTAAATTCTTCTTTTTTTCTCTTGTTTCTCAAACTTTTGGCTTTAATTGTTTAGATTTTCAAATAAAAAATTCTTTTGAAAAGGTTAAAACAGACAGAAGAAAATTTATGTATTATAAAACCAATAATATATTAGTCTTAAATTTAAAAAAAATAAGAAAGAAGCATAGTATTGAGAATGGTAAGAGGATATACACTAGATTAAACACACTAACAATCAAAATAATTAAATGTTTAAGTTTTGATTGTTAGAGTGGTTATTGATAACTTTCTTTATCTAAATTTAGATACTTTGCAATATAAAATGTTAATAAATTATTGTTTATTTTTGGGAATATTTAATTAACAATTTAAGTTCCAAAGAATGAGGTGAATAAAATAAATTTTGATTTAATTAATCATATTTATTTATTTATTCATAAATATTCTTCACAAATAATTATTTAAACTATTAACTAAAAGGATTTTATAATTTAAACCAAGATGGGAGATTTATCTAAAGTTGACTTAAAGACCCCATATATTGACATTGAAATTCTAACCTCCGTCACTCTAGATATCGACAAACATTTAACGGAAGTTCTCAGATACACAGATATCAAAGATTTGAAACCAGAGCACAGAGAAGAGTTTCAAGACGTGGTCACACAGTATCACCATAACCTTGACAAGAATATTCAAAACATTAACAAGATTTCAAGAGAAATAGTTCTATACAAAAAGAAGAAAACTGAAAGAGAGGATTATCAATGTCATTTTCTGAAAATAAGAGAGATAATAGAGGATATGGTGAAAGCGGATCAATTTTTGATAATCCAGGAAAAGTGTGAAAAATTGATGACCAAAATAGCATCAGAGGAAAGTTACTCTGAAGGTCTAAAGAAAAACTGATCCTTAATTATTGAGCAGTTAATTCACCTATTTATTAAATAAATAATTGATATTATATTAATTATATAATACAAAGAATTGATTTATCTATTCAATTTTTTTTTTTATGATTTTCGATTGATATCGATCGATGGTCTCCTTTCTGGTCCAAGAAAAACCATCTTTGCAATCCTATTTAGAAAAAAGAAAAAATTTTTACTTTTTTTTGTTTTTGTTGAGGGAATGGATTTTACAAACTATAAATAAAAGTGAGTCTCACTTTTATTTATGTGTGCATATAAATATCTGTTTAAATTGTTATAACATTGTTTTTGCAACAACTTTGCATCACTAATATGTCATTAGAATTTGTTAACTTTGAAATCATTAAACATTTAAAACTATTAGAGGGCCAATACATTACTTTTGAAGATCTATATAACTCTACAGGTCACAATCTATATAATAATCATTTATTATTACAATCACTCAAACAGAATACATTCATAGAGTTTTTAAATGATAAAACACTTAGATATATACCTCAGTACCAAGTAAAGAATCAAAATGATATACTAGAGCTACTCTCACGGCAACCAGAAGGCATCTTGTTGGAAGATCTCAAAGCTTCCTATGCAAATGCAGAAAACGATGTCAATAAACTAAAGCAGTCTAAATCTATCTACTCGGTGATCTCGTCAAACTCTAAATCGGAAAAGATATACTACAACGATGAGAAATATAGAGTGCCATGTAGCGACGAGCTGGTACGTCTCTGGGGATCAGTGGAAGTGCCGATCGAAGTCGATTTAGAGAATGTAATGAGAGAGGCCGGCCTAACACCTGTGGAGAAATACGAAACCACCAAAACAATTAAAGTTAAAAACGTTGAGAAACAAGAGAAAAAGAGAAGAATCAAAAAGGTTACAAATACACACATTGAAAGTTTTGATCCTAATCAATAGATAGCACATCATAATAATAATACAACCTTTTTTTAGAAATTTACTATTAAAGATGCAATAAAATAACCAACAACAACTAACTCATATGAAATCATTATTAAAACTTTAAAAAGATAAATAAATAAACAAAATTTTAACAGATACCTCTTTCTGTTCAACTGTAATACGATCTAAACCTTTTGTTGGTTTTACAGAGCAATTCAATGTCTAAATTTATAAATGTTTTAATAAAGAGAACTATATCAAATCAAAAAACCACCCATTTGTGTCTCATTTAAAATGTTATTTACATCATTTAAATGACTGTTTATCCTTATTTCCACCAAAATCGTTCATTCATTTGGCTAGCTAAATTTTTTACTCTTTTTTTTTTTTTCCTGTTTTATTTCAATTAACATTAAAACATCTAAATTTAGACAATATAATACAAAATGTATATTTTGTTTTGAAATAAATAATTGTTGATTAAATTTTAATTATATGATTTTAAAATAAAAAATAAAACTCTGGTAAGTTTCGGCAAAAAAATGCACACTTTTCGAGATCATTTTCGAAATCGTTTTTTTTTTTCATGAACACCAAGATCTTCCTTTTTTGACAATTTTACAGAAGATTCCCATAAGATTTAACGAAATCAACAATAACTTAAGCTAACGGTATACAACTTACAAATCATAATTTTGACAAAATTTAGTATAACAATATCCAGCTATGATGTTATATAGAGACCCTCGTCCTAAAAGGGTGTCAGATTGATATGGTCTTCGGGCTGTCATCGTATATCTGATTGCTAGAGATAGCTGAGCTGGCAACAACCACATTTTTAATTAAAATAAAGAAAAAAAAAAAAACCGAAATATATAATATTATCGGTATCTGATGTTATATGGAGACCCCTCTCGAATGATGTTAGATCAATATCAGTAAACATCTAATAATAATACAACATATGTGGAACATATGAAATTATTATTTAAGACTTTTAAAGATAAATAAACAAAATTTTAATAAACAACAATGTATTATCTTCACTTTAAAATATTTATAATGAATGATCTTTAATAAATTTTAGTTTTGGTATGAAATAGTTACATTTGCTATTCTTATCTTTAGATAATTGGGTATATTTGAAATCTTTTATGTTTTGATCAAGGAATTTCAACTTTGGAATGTTTTGGTGTGTAATTGAATGATCAATGCCTCGTTTGGTACATCGTTCAGTTCTGTTGTTGTATAGCCATTTTACTATCGATACATCATAGGCATAATCTATTGCATTGGTAGAACACTGAACACCATTGTCATGAAGATAGCATAGGATATCAAGATAACCTCTAGTTGCTGCATCATCCATGTGTTTTGACTCGAGAGAATGCGTTGTATTCTCGTGGATCCATATCACATTCTCTAGATTTCCAAATTGTATGGCATTGAAATAGGCATGTGACGAACACTCCAACTTTGTATTCCGCTTGAACCACTCAAGTGCAGTGCTATCTCGATACCTTGCAAAGTCATCGAATGACTTATTCGATAGTTTATAAACGATGCCTTTGGAAAAGAGGTATTTAAATATTTCAAACTTTGCCATTGCCGAAACAGTATCCATATACACAAATTGTTTTACAATTTTATTTTGCTGTTCCAACTCCATGAGGAATTCCACTACATCCTTAAATCCATAGATTGCTGCAAAATGCATTATTTTGTCTGAAAATGGTTGTATCTCGGCCTGTCCGCATTCCACCACCGCCTTCTCATATTCTCTATAGATAAATTGGACCATCTCCAAACTACCAATTCTACAAGCTTCCTCCATTACAACCCGATATTGATATCTTACAGCTGCCGATCGATTTTCATTGAACCAGCGTACTATTTCAAAGTGTCCTTCTGCCATCGCCACATACATTGCAGTACTGTAGTTTCGTTGGTCATCACCACTAGTAGTATCATCAGCAGCTCTCTGAACACCATCTAGATACTTTATGATTTCAAGATTTCCTTTTTGAGAGGCAGAATCAATTGCCGACACACTACCATCACCAATATCTTTTTCTACCAACCATTTCACAAGCTGTAGATTCCCACTTTGCGCAGCAAATGTCACGATGTTTCTTCTATGTAAATTACTTAGACAATGGCTATAGTTTTCGACCAACCACATGACAACCTCCAACTCTCCTTTGCGTGTCGCATCTTCCAATGATTTACGAGTACACTGTTCTGTCCGATTGTCTTTGAACCATTGTAACATCTCCATGTAGAGATGTGGATGTTTACCTCTGCATATTTTATCTATTACACTCTTAAAGTAGTACTTATCGCTACGAGGTAGTTCATTGATAAACTTGACAATCGATAACTGTCCATACTCCACTGCAACATCCAATATCGATTGATAATCTATTTCATCGTTGGTGATTTCCTGATGTTCTGTAACAAATCGAATCAACTCCAAATTACCAACACTCGAAGCTGTCAACAGTGATTTTAAATAAAACTTTCTAAAATCATAATAAACCAATGAATCTAGTTTGTGTTCATGCTCACCTTTAAATATATAATTAAATATCTTTTTATATCTATCTATATAGTTATATAGAATTAACTGATCTGGAAAACAAGCTAGATCATACCAATTACATCTAATTAACTTTTCCTTTTGATAATTCAATATCGTATTTATATAATATATATATTTAAATATCTTTTCCCTTATTACAATTGATTTGAACAACACTCTATTAAATAAAACACTGCATAAGGTATCATTCATCTTGAACGAAAAATAGTCAACATATATATTTTTAAAACGACTAGTTCTAAAAATCAATTGCTTTTTCTAGAAAAAAAAAAGTAACTTCATTATTTCTCTGTGTGATCATTAATTAACTATCTTGTTTTTTTATTTTTTTGCTAATATTATTATCAATAGAAATTTGGTTAGCTAACCAATCAATGTCGAGTAATAATACACCTATGAGTTTAGAAGATGATAGTAATATAGGCAGTGGTAGTGGTAGTGGTATTGGAGATGAAGATGAAATTATGAATGATGATATTGCAACAACAACTACTACTCCAACCACAACAACAACAACAACAACCACAACCACAAATAATGCTACAAATACAACATCACCAACAACACCTACATCTACAATGACTGACGATCAAGCATCGAGTGAAGCAGATCAACTAGCTGAAGAAGCAAACCATCAGAGATTCATGATGGAATTGGAATTCGTACAATGTTTATCTAATCCACGTTATTTAAATTGTAACTATCAAAAATGAATGATGATATGATCACCTCAATTGATAAGATATGATATGATATGATATGATACTAATTGTTATTATTATTATAATAACTATTAAAACAGATTTAGCACAGAATAGATACTTCCAAGATAAAGCATTTGTAAACTATTTAAATTATCTTCAGTATTGGAAGCAACCAGAGTATTCAAAGTTCATCGTTTATCCTCAAAGTCTATACTTTTTAGATTTATTACAACAAGAGAAATTCAGACATGTAACTAATAACTAATTATTCATAACTGTATAACTGTGATCATTTAGAACTAACACAAACTCCATCTAATCATTATAATAGGAACTAATACATTTAATGTTTACAGAGTATATTCATGAACAACAATTTTATCATTGGCAATATTATAGACAGAATAGAATGGCATCAACTAATCCATTACAACCACCTACTGTTGAAGAGTTACAGCAACAGCAACAACAACAAGATCAACAACAACAAACAACAGATCAAACTATTACAAATATAACAACTGTATAAATTTGATAATAATCATTCAAACCAAACCAAATCAAAAGAAAAGGAAAGAACAAGATAAAGATATATTTAAGTGCTAAATATATCTTAAATATAATAATAATAATAAAACAAAATGTTATGTTAAATATACATTAAATGATAATGATAATAATAAGAATAATAATTTAAAAGACAATTGTGTTATATTATTGTTTTTGAAAGTTATACTACTGATATCAAATATCTAATCGATCTACATGATGATTATGATATGATATAGAGTAATAACCTGTCATTGAAAAAGATGTTGATTTATTATTATTAGTATATATGTATAGTACGTATAAAGATTTGTTGTTATTGTTGTTATTGTTGTTGTTGTTGTTGGAAAGGGTTTTATCACTAATCATCATCTTGATTATTAATTTGATGATATGCAACATCATCAGATGAAGTGTAATTTCCACCTGGAGTGACACCGCTACCACCTCTAACCTTTGAAACAATAAACAATCCACCATCCTTAACATATCCACTCAGTGACATCCATGCATTATAGTTTGGTAGAGCATTGGCTGACAATGGTTCACCTTTCACTTGAACATTATAAATGAGTCCACCTGCTATATATACTGTTGAGCAAGAGAATAATCTAATAATAATAATAAACAACAATAAGTAAGTTAAACATTGGAAATATATAATATATATATATATATATATATACATAAAACAACAACAACTTACACAATGATAAATATCCAACCACCACCAATACCATTATGTGTCTTTAAGGGTGGTGGAAGTTTGCAACCTTGTGCAAATTTGACAACGGATGGTTCACGTGGTCCGGATGGTAGTGCTGCTGGCGAGTAGGTGAGTGGTTCACGTGCGGTCAATGAAAGATTGTAGTATACTTGTGATCGATAGTAATAAAAGTTACCAGAGAATGCCTGTACCAGCGACGATACGAATTGGATAGCCGTTTCATTCGGTTGCAATTGCATCTTCTCGTAGAAGCTCATGAGTTGATCCCAGGTGGCTGGGTCCTCAGGGTCGGTAATTGCGTACGGCTCTTTGGTGACGTACAACGTGATAAAGTCACGCGATGGAGGAGTGGTGGTGGCTTCGGGAATTTCACCGCCGAGGTTGTAGAGTGCTTCGAACGTCGCCCACACAAAGTCGTTGCAGATCGATGAGCTCAAGTACAGTTCGAGTGTGACGTTGTCACGCACCTCAAAGAGATTGTAAAACGGATTGGTCTGGTTGTAGAGCTCTGCCCAGCAGAGATACTTGGCAAAGGTCTCACCGTTCACCGTCATAATATACTGTTGTCCACTGCTCCAGTACGACTGATTGAAATCTGTATTGAACTGGACAATTCCATTGCTCATCCAAATGATATCCTGTGTGGTTTCATTCACCTGTGGAAACACTGCACCCAAAATACTTGGAGATGCAACATAATCCAATGTAAAACTTTCTTTTGATTCTCTATATATAAATTATTATAATTAATTAGAATATACTTAATTATTAGATCTAAATATCAATATTATCAAAGTTGAAGTTGAAGTTGAAGTTGTTGTTTTTGAATTTGCTATTGTGTGTTTGAATTTATTACTTACGTTGCATAAAAATAAACACCAGAATGAAAAGCTTTGAAATTTTCGAGCAAGTCACCGAACATTGCTTTTAAGAGTGGTGCCTCTACATAGTAGACTTCGATATCTTCGTCATAGTCGAATGCACCGACTTCCGAAGAAGACGACAAAATGAACAATAACAAAATTGTCACTACAAAACTATTTTTAAATATATTTCTATTCATTTTTCTTCTTTCAAATAAAACTAGTAGTTATAAATCAAATCATTTGATAAGTGAGATAAAAATAGTGAAGAGAGAAGAGATAATATAATTTCTAGCAAATGAAATGATAAAATGATTTGTTGATTTTTGTTATTGTGTTGTTAGAGGAATCAAAAGTTTAGAGAGAATTGTTGATAAAGGAAATGGTGGTTTGGATTTTAGAGGAATCGATGTGGTGGGTATGAATTGAGATAAGGCACGCCTGAAAGTTTGTAAATTCTGTCTGTTTCTTTTGATTTTTGAGCCGCAATCTTCACTTGACAACCTCACACACACTCACTCAAATATGCGGTCGGATTTCTTCTGAATCGAAGAAAAAAACAACATTGTCAAAAAAAAAAAAAATACTTTAAAATAAAATAATAGATTTTTTTTTTTTTTTTTTTAAAGTTACCTCCTTTTGTGACGACAGTACTTTCCTTTTCTATTTTTATTTTAAATTATTTAAAAAAATCTGCTCTCTACATTTTTTTTTCATCATTGTAATGGGCAATTTATTAAAATCAAATTAAACATTTACTTTTTTTGTTAAAGGTATCGTGATGTTTGCAGTTGTTGTTGTTGATTTACAAACAATACTAAAAAATGAATGATCATTCTTGTCTCTCTTTTCTTTTATTCTATTATTCAACCTTATTTTTAACAGTTTTTAAAATTATGAAATATCAGAACAAAAAAGAAGAGGAAATATCTTAATTGATCTAAAAAAGTATCTGATGTCTTTAAGATAATAGAAGTACAATTGTAATTGATCACAATTTCTATATTTGGGTTTTTACATTGGGACTATATCAAAACCTAAAAAAATAAACAAATATTATTAAGTTCAATTTAGAATATTAATTTTGGTTAAACTTTCATTACTGAACAAACATCTCGTTTTCATCACTAAAGGCAGATACTGTAGAGATCAAATTATGAATCTTATATTTACAATCCTATGTGGTATTTGAGAATTACAATAAATTTAAATGTGAGAAGTTAAAAAAACAAAATCAAAGTTAATAAATTGTCATTTTTTTATAACAGATATTATTAGACAAGATCCGATTTATTTAATTTTAACATCATAGTTTTGCAAAAAAAAAAAAAAAAAATTAAAAAGGAGAAAATTTGTCGATAAATTAATGTCCATCAATTAATTTGTTTTCAACAACATTACACAGAACATTTCAACTTTTGTAAAGAAACAAATGATGTACTATCTTAGAGGTAGTAACTTCATGTTAAAGCAGAGTTGTAGTGGCATAAATAATGTCATATCATCAAAACTATTCATAAATAATAGCAAATCGACGTTTGGTATTGGATATTCATCATCGACATCATCAACACTACCACCACCACCACCACATCAATTTTTAAATAATATCGTTAATGACAAAGTTAATGTTTTTGTAAATAGTGGTGGTAGTAATGGTAGTAGTGGTAATAACTCATATCGATCGAAAATGGGAACATCATCGTCATCGTCATCAACTCTACTGTCGAATAGTATATCTTCAATGACAGACAGTTCATCGATGGAGTTGAAAAAGAAGGTTATGATTATCAGTGGTGCAACCGGTATTGGTAAGTCGGCGATGGCACTCCAGCTCGCCAAGAATCTGGGCGGTGAGATCGTGTGTGCCGACTCGGTACAAATCTACAAACATCTAAACATCGGCAGTAACAAAGGTCGTATAGACGAGGTGCCTCATCATCTCTTTGACATACTGGAGTTGAACGACGACTTCAATGTCAAGCAGTATCACGAGCTGGCAATGAATGCAATCAACGATATTTTGGCACGTGGTAAAATACCGATTGTCGTGGGTGGCTGTGGTTTCTACATCGACAGTCTCATCAATGGAATCAACGACTATCCCATTCACATCGAAGAGGAACGTAACACTCTCGCAATGATAGAGGAACGTTTAAGAGCCGAAAACAATTGGTATAGAGTGTAAGTTATAACTTAACTTAGCTTAACAACTTATATAGTTGTAACTAACCAAACATTTTGTTTTTTCCTTATTTAAAAAGTGCAACCATCTTAAAAGATATAGATCCAGAGTCAGCAACAACAATTAATAGAAACGATTATAAAAGATTGGCGAAAAGCTTTTATATTTATTCTCAAACCGGTTTAAAGTATTCAGATTTTAAGAAACAACGTATGTACATAAAAAAGATATTTTCATTGACTACTACTCATATGATGATTGATTAACAATTTTATATAATAATAGGGAGAGAAGTAAATGATAGTTATGATTTTAGATCTTTTTATTTAACGACAAGAAGAGATTCATTGATGCATATACTGAATCATCGTTGTGAGCTAATGATACAGAATGGTTTAATAAAAGAGGTTGTAGAGGTACTGCTAAATGGTTTATCTCCACACTCTCAAGTTTCAAGATCGATAGGTTATAAACAATGTATAAATATATTGCTAACACCAATGAATGTATGTAGTTAGTTAATTAGTTAATTAGTATTTATTTAATATCTAACATGTTATCAACAATTGATAACATATATTTATAGTCAGATATAGGTATAATAGATACAATAAACTTTTTAATGGAATTTCAATCGGCTACAAGATCTTATAGTAGGCGACAGGCAATTTGGTTCAAGAAGAGTCCGTCTACAAGATGGCTTGCACTGCATCCACTGCCGAAAGAGGTAGCCAAGTATATACCACAGTCGGCGGCTGCTCCGTCGCCGGAGGAGTTGATTAACGGCGCGGTGCCCGCAGCGTTTGTCGACCCGTTCGCCATTCAGCAGCCACTTCGCTCAACAGTCGACACGATCATCGAGCAGTTTAGCATGCCACGTCACACATTTGAAGAGTCACGCGACGAGACACTCGAACACGAACTGAAAACACGTACCAAGAAGCAAGAGCAGCTGTGTCGTGAGATCGCCCACGAATTCCAGCTATTCACTTCAGAGACATCGATTCGACCACTCACAAAGCTAATCAACAGTGGTCGTGCCTATCTCTTTAAGCAACGACCGGAACTCTTCAATTCAACACTCAACCCACATCTTGCACAACGAGAGCAAGCAAAGAATCAAGAATTACTTCAGAAACAAGTAGTTGGATTAGATAATAATCAAATAGATCAAATAAATAGAGATAATTGATTGATTTGATTAATCTACAAAATACAATTACTTTTATTTAATATTTAAACTTTTTTTTTTTGTTTGTTTTTTGTTTATGTTATTTATATATATATTATTATTGATTTTCAGTTTTTTGATCTGTTGATGTTGATGCTGATGATTGTGTTGTTGATGTTTGAGATGGTACAGAATTTGGTGGTATATTTGCATGGTTCATCAAATCACTTATCGATTTATCTAATTCATCTATTCTGCTACCCATTTCATCAACTATTTATTTAAAGAGTTTCATTTAAATGAATGAATGAATGAATTAACTATTAGATTATATGATATCTTTGTATATTTAAAAATAAGAACTTACTTCTCTTTAAAATCGAATCAGACATAGATTCAAATCTAGATTGCTGTTGTTGTTGGTTGTTTATTTTTACAGAAAAAACTAATGTTAGACTAATTTTATCTGTGTTTTACGATTGAATAACAAACTAAAGTCATAGTGATAGCTCTACGACTTATATAAACTACTAATACTATCTTACCATTTGCTCTAGCAGTGTTTGTACGAAAGTTGACATATCAAGAGCATCCATTTGTTGACCTTGAGCTTGTGCTTGTGGCTGTTGTTGCTGTTGTTGTGCTTGTTGTGCTTGTTGATTCTTTTCGTCCATCTTTAATAATCTATATCTGTATTAATGAAACTAAAAAAATACACAAATTAAATTAAAAGATTTGTTTTTTTTTAAAATTTTCGCGAATTATTTTTTATACAAAGGGAGACAAAAACTTCTGGCTTCTCGATTTTCTGTTTCTCATCAAAAGTCTATTATTAGACTAATAATAAATAAACTTTATTTATATATTTTTAGTTTTGTTTAATTTTGTTATCTTTATGATAATTTAAAATTTTTTGTTTTTTTATTGTAAAATTAAAATTTGATGATATATAGATATGTATTAGTATTAAATATTTATATAAAATCAATCTCAAATAAAACCAATATTTAAAAAAAAAAAATTAACTTGTTAGATAATATTAAACTTTATTTAATTAATTGTATAATGAGGTTGTTTCACATTTTTTATTTTGAAAAATTAGTAAATTTAATGAACTGGAATACAACCCGTCGGAATCGATATAGAATACTGAGAAACTCAAGAAGTAGTATGTATCTAGCAATGTTATGGTTCCGAAGATAAAACTGTCCGCAACAGCACCTCAGTGGCCTTTTCCGTTCTTTCTCTTTGAATACTTTCAGTATCTGGGTATCATCTGCTAAGCCGTCAACATTTACATTCTTACCTGACATTTGAGTGGAATACAAACTCTTCAATTTTTTTAAAAGAATAAAACAACTTTATATTTTAAATGCTTTCTATTTATCTAATTTTAAAATCAAACAAGGTTTGATATTTTATTTTATTATTTATCTCTATGCGTTGACTTATAAAAAAATTTTGTGAAGAACCCCACAATCAGCATCGAAAAAAATTAATCATTATTGTAACAAAAAATAATCTAAATTGGAAAATGATTTCGATTTATTTCGAATTTTTAAATTTCCCACGAAAAAATTGAAATTTAATTATTTTTTGAAAAGGTGTTGTTAATCATTTAGTAGGCGACACCTTTCCTTTTATTCATCAAAAATTAGTTGGTTGTTAATATCGAAAATTTAAGTTATTTTTTTTCACTTTTTTATTAATAAACTTTATTTGTTTTTTTTTTTTGTTTATTTCGTTATTTATAAGTATATTTTTTTGTTTATCTTTTTTTCTCCAACAACCAAATCGAAATCGAATCTATTTATGTAATATATATTAGTTTTTCTTTTTGTAAATCAAATCAAATCATATCAAATCAAATCAAATCAATCATAAATAGATATCTATCTAATCATTTGTTTTCTATTTTTAGTTTTTTTTTTTTTTTTATGATTTTTTAATTTTAGTTTTTTCATTTTTAATTAGATATCTAATTTTTTCATTTAGAATACTTTTCAATTCTCTTTCTCTCTACTCTTCAAATTGAAAATATGAAGAAAAGAATAATTATAAAGTTTTATGTACAGAAAAAAGTTGAATATGGACAGTATCTAAAGATTGCAGGATCGGTGCCAGGCCTGGGATATTGGAATCCCGAGGTCGGCATTGAGATGAAGTGGACTGAAGGCGACTGGTGGATTGGCGAGTATCACTGTGAAGGACTACCAAGCTCGCTGCCAAAGAATCAATTCCGTTTGGAACCGTCGTTCGGTTTGATGCGTAGTAACAGCAATCAAGACAACGGTATAGCTGCGGACAGCAACGACAATGACAACGATGACTCTGATAACGATAGTGCTAGTTCGACACCGACAAGCAGTAGTGCAGCGTCGTCGTCGTCATCGTCATTCCATCTCAATAGTAATCAATCACTCTCACCCATCCTCAAGGGAGTGTCTCCGCAGTACATCGACATCGAGTACAAATACATTCTCTATGGAAACTACCAGACCAACTGGGAATCCGATCGTAATCATAAAGTTTCGTTCATGCTCTGGTCCGATCCCAACAGTCATTCGTCGTCGTCCGACGACATCTTCATTGAGATTCGCGATGAGTGGAATGGCGGCAACGGAGTGTGTCCAACGCTCGACTTCCAGTCGAATCAGCCGATACTTCCAATGTTGGATCAACAACTGCAACTCAATAACTATCAACAACAACAGCTACAATCGACATTGACATTCAATTCCTATTCCTACTCGTCATCACCCGGTGGCAGTAGTACCGCCAGCAGCAGTCGACTCAATAGCAACAATCAATATATGATGTGTGAGCGAGAGTATTGTTTCTTGCATCCACTGGATCCCCATCCACTTCCTATCTATCCAGCACAGATATGTACATTCATTGTCACCGACGAGGGAAATACCGATTGTCATTCGATCCTGTTGGTCAGCCAGTTCTTTGGATCGGATCTACAGAATTCAATACAGATGATTCCAATCGCTCAGGTTGGAATACCTTATACCTTGTGGATTGGACAACTATACGCACCGCAACCCATCAAATTCGAATACAAATATGTCATCATGAGCAACAATAACTCGGGTATCTACTGGGAGAAAGGCACACGTATATTCTCATCATCTACACAAGGACCGCGACTGTTGATCAACAACGACGGTCCACTTCGTGTCTCCGATGCATCTGCCTCTTGGGTACGAACAGGTCTAGTAGGTCTAGCCGAATCCGACAACAATTGTTCACTTTTATCTGTTGTTCAATTATTATATCATATATCACCATTAAAACAAGTAATTATTATTATTATTATTATCTTTTCGATCGAATATAGATATAATGATACTAACAATACGTTATATAATAATATCATAGGTACTTTTAAAACTTAGAGGTAGAATTGGATTTCCATTTACACAATGTCTTGCTAATATATTTACAACAATGGAAATGGGTTCGCAGACAACAGAGTTGAATCCACTACAAACTATGATCGGTCATTGTTCAGACTCTGCAGAGATTCTTAACATCATTTTATGTTCTTTAATTGAAGAGATATCTAGAGTATGATTATTATTATTATTATAAGATTTAGTATTGTTATTATTATTATTATTATTATTATTTATAACTAATTAACTTTTTCTTGTCTATTTAAATAGATTTCGAAAATAACAAATTATGAACAAAACATATGTATAAATCAAATATTTGAAGGTGATTTATCACAGACATCGGTGATTTTAGATAAACAGGGAAATATCGAGTCGGTAAAGACACACAATGAAAAGTTTGTAAATATAATACTACCGGTCAAAGGTTTCATTTCTTTGGAGGAATCGTTGAAGGTCTATCAGCACAATATCGAGGTGTTTGGCAATAATACTTTTGAGACTATCATCACGTTTGAGAATATGCCCGATATCTTTATCATACAGCTTGACCGAACCGACTACCAACCAGAGCACCACCGCACCGTCAAGGTATGTGACCGTTTCACCTTCCCAAAGAAATTCATCCCAGTCAACCAAACAAAGTACCGCATCAAGGGTATCTTGTGTCACACCGGCTCGACACAGGAATCCTACGACAACGGTCATTTCTATCTTTACATCCGACGACGTAAACAATGGTTTAAATGTGATGGTTCCAATATTTCCTATACTTCACAGAAAGAGGCTTATCACGATAGTTTCGGTGGTAACACTGATAAACAAGCTTGTAAGTTTTTAGTTAGTAATAATTAGTTTATGTTTAAATTACAAATTTGTAACTAATATAATTAACTACTCTCTCTCTCTCTCTCTCTCTCTCTCTCTCTTTCTCTCTTTAGATTTATTAATATATGAAAAAGCAGATGGTCATTATCATAATAGTCATAATAATGAGGAAACTGCAAATTCATCTTAATATTAGTAGTGTATTTTATTATATATATATACAAAAAAGAATTTAATATCTAGATTAGATAATATTAGTTAATTAGTATATAAAAATATTATAAGAGTTAAACAAACTTTCAATTGAAAATCAAACTATATATTGTTTTGTACACTTTATATTATATTGTAACATATAATATAATTATTAACAAGGTTAACAAATTATATTTATTTAATTATATTTAAACGACTTTGTTTGATGTTTAATTTGTATTGATCTCTTTAATTTTAGCATCTGTCAGTTTAGTAAGAGTTGCAATGTAGTCATCGGTGATCTTTTGAACGTTCTTATCAATCTTTTGCTCGTCGTCTTTGATCAATTTGTATTTCTTCTTTATCAAATCCATTCCTTCTTTTCTGTGTCTTCTAATGCTAACCTTTGCTTGTTCACTCAAGTTATTAACCGATTTAATAAGATTTTGTCTAAGTTCTTGTGTTGGTCTATTGATTTATTAAAGAAATAGATTAGTAACCTTAAATAACTAGTTAGTTATTGTTTGATTAAACATACTTTGGTAATGTTAATTTAATAAATTGATCTTGAATCTGTGGACTCATTCCAAGATCTGATCTAGATCTTAATGCTTTTTCAACATGTTTTAATAGCTATAAACATATAACAATATGGTTAATAAATTAACATGATAGCAATCGATTGATTTTAAAGAAAAAAAACTTACAGATGGATCGAATAGAGTAAGATGTAAGGTTAATGGATCTTTGATGGTAACCATTGCAATTTGATTCATTGACATTGGACCGTTCGGTGTCTCTACGGTGATGAGATCAAGAAGTTCAGGTCCGGTTCTTCCACAACGGATATTACCGAATCCTCTACGAAGAAAGTCGACGGTGGCATCGCACGATGACTTCATAGTGTTGAGATCGACATCCTTCACAGAGTCATAAGCTACTTCTTTCTCTTTTTTGTCATTCTTACCGCCACCACCACCACCACCTTTTTTAGCACGTGAATCAATGCAGACTACATTACCATTGTACTGATTGATGGCTGACACACGTGTATAATAGGTTCTTACTGATGATGATGATGATGTTGTTGTTGTCAATCTTAAACTATTTGAACATAACTTCTTTGATTGATTCGTAATACAAGTGCCAATAATATTAATATTATTGATATTGTTGAATCTTCTTTAACAATAAATTATTTAATGTTTGTTTCAACATGAGTGATAGTGCTGATTTCGAACAAAAATGATGAAAAAAAAAAAAAAACATTGGATTAGCACTTCACTGTTGAATTCCTGGCGATTTTTTATTTTTTTTTATTTTTCTTTTTACAAAATGGTTTCCCTATTTGGAATTAAATGATTACTCCAATATTCGCTCTCAATCCAGCGGACATGTACTATTTTCTGGGAAATCACAAATTTGTCCATTATTATTCCAATATAAACCCTCTTGACAATAGACTTCATAATACAGTCCATCATCACATTCAATATAACTGTCACAACCATCTGGATTTGGTTTCTTACAATTTCGAGGATCCGGGCAAACTTTTGATACTTTGTCACAATCACAACGAGGATCACATTCCTGAGAATTTACTAAAAGTTTAATTATTTAATTATATAATTTAAATTTTGGTTCAATAAAAAGGTTAACTTTAAAAGTTGATTTCAATTTCAATATTTACCAAAAATAACAATTGTAAAAAATAAAAATAATAAAACTATCTTTGATGTCATTTTTAAAAAGAAATATTTCTTTAGTAATCTAATTGATACTATTAAAGTGAAATAATGTAAAAAGATTTACTCTGAATGAATTATATATATATTTGTCTAATTTCATTTTATCCCTCCCGCAATAGAGATAAACACCACATTTGATAGGTTTGCAAAAATAAAATACATGACAGATTTTCCAATTGGTTTGAAAACAATATTTTTGAAAAATAAAAATAGTTTTTTTGGGTAACACGTGAAATTATTCTAATGGATTTTTCACAGTTCTCACATCAACAATCTTTAAGACAAGTAGAAATTTAATTTGGATTTAATATATATTTCTACTTGTTTAATTCCATTCAATGACAGATGGAAAAAATGTTATTTCATTTTATAGGTTGGGTTTTTTTTGCACATCTTTTTTGTATTCTCTCATTATTTTTGAAAAAACCCAACCTATAAAATGAAATAACATTTTTAAATATGAAAAGATCTATATCGGTTGTAAATCAAAATAAATAAATCTTTGTGTATTGTAGGAAAAGTGATTTTTTACCACTTTTATTCCAATTTACAAAAAGTCTACTGAAAATATTTTTATAACTTTTAGTAAATTCTCAGTCATGTGATCCTCGTTGTGATTGTGACTAAGTATCAAAAGGTTGCCCCGCTCCTCGTTTATGTATGAAACCGGATCCAGATAGATGTGAAAATTTTATTCGATGTGATGATGAAGGAGTGTTTAATTTATTCCATTGTCAAGATGGATACGAATGGAACGATAATGGACTGAAATTTGAGATTTCCCAGAAAATAGTACATGTCCTGCTGGATTGAGTGCGAATATTGGAGTAATTATTTAATTCCAAATAGGGAAACCATTTTGTAAAAAGAAAAATAAAACAAAATAAAAATTATTAAATTATATTTCGTTGTACCTGATCTCTTCCAAGAACAGGTTCTTCGAGGTTGTTTCTTTAATTAATTAAATTTTAGTATGGTATATTAAATAAAAAATTTGAATAAAAATTTGAATGTTGGACACATATGTAGGGGATTCCCAATTAGGCGTTTCTAACGAATCTTAGCACCGATTTCCCTATATTTTATATATAATGTTCGATATAAAAACTTAGGAAATGGTTAGGAACAAATTTTTTGATATATCTTTTTCAAACTTGAAGTTAATCAAATTTTATTTTTTAATAATGATTTACTTTTAAAATGTTTTTATTTTTTCTTAACATACTTTAGAAACTTTCAAAAAAAAACTTCCAAATAATTTATAAAGATAACTGTGTAAATTAAAATTAAAAGTATCTAATGATTATAAAAAATAAAAATCAATAAAGTATTTTCTTAAATAAAAAAAGTAAATGAAGTATGATCTTTACAATTATTTTGAAAACCATTTTGTTATATTCTTCATTTTCATTTTATTTGTTTTTTTTTTTTTTAAGTTCATTTAATTAAAAATTTGTGCGATGTTTTTACGAGTTAAACAACAATGAGCGATCAGATAGATAAGATTTTGGATGTACCTGTTGCTTGGGATGCAGACGATAATGAAGATCAAATAAATAAATACATAGATGAATCTATGGATATTTTGGTCAATAGAACAAAGCTATTAAAGATAAAAGAAGAGAAGAAGAAACAAAGATTGAATGAATCGGCGACGTCGTCATCATCAAGTAAACAACAGATACAACAACAAAAACAACAAATTAAAAAGGAAGAAGAAGTAGATATAGAAGAACCAATTATATTGGTTAATTTTACAAAGTTTACTGATGGTCATGTCTGTTGGAACAACGAAGAGAACAAGTTGTCCGGTGAACGATTGTTTGATGTTCTGGTGAAGAAGATCAACGAATCGAATGAATCGTTCACCAGAGTCACCGAGGATCTCTGGCAACGAGGATTGGCATTTCACTCGACGAACAAGCGGTGGCGTGACGATATCAAACAGTTGGAGCAGCAGTCAAACGGTGACTTCTTCTCGATGCTGACGTACCCGATGGTGGTGGGTGACTTTTTGGTGAGCGAGATGTGGCGAAAGATCAAGGAGCGTACCGAGTGGAAGAGTGTCGATATCCTAAAGTGTGTATATATTGCCAAGTGCAACAAGTCGATCACCTACAAACATCAGATGGCACTGGCATTGGAGTTCATGGCCATGGAACAGCAGATTCTCGGTCCGACCGCCAAGCTGCTACTCGAGGAGGAAGACATCGAAGCACAAGAAGAGATCAAACGTTATGAAAGAGCACTCTACAAGAAACATGAAAAAGAAATCACCAAGCGTATAATCGACAAACTACAACAATCTATTAATATAACTGAAGGAATAGATTTAAATGATAAAAGAATATTTGATAATAATAACAGTAATAGTAATAATAATCAACAACAAGGTGAAGAAGAAGATAATGGTGAAGAAGAATATAGTTATGATAATAATGAAGATGAAGATTATGAAGAAGATGAAATAGAGGATATAAAGAATACTAATGTAAATGATAAGAATAGTAGGCAAGAAAGAGAAGAGCAAGAAGAAGAAGATGATGATGAAGATGGTCAACAGAGTTATCATGAAAGTGAAGAGTATATAGATGAAGCAGATAATGAAGGTGATGATGAAATAAAGAATAATAAAAAAATCGATAATAGCATTAATAGTAATAGTAATAATGATATTGATTACGATGATGATCAATATGAAGATGATGAAGGGCAAGAGGAAATAGATCAAGAAAAGAAAGATAATGACGATATTGAAAAGATGAATCAAGACACTGACTTGATTCCACCGAAACCAACTATGAATATACTAGATCAAGTGATGGCAATGGTATTCAGTTCTCTGACGATCACATCAGACAAAGAATCACACTATAAATCATTAGCTAGAATTCAGCAATCAGTAAAAGATACATGGGTAGAGGAATTTGGATGTCTTCCACCAACTTGTATCTGGAGAGAAGATATGTCATAGTAATAATAATAAAATATAAATATCTAGTAACATATATTGTTGTTGTTATTAATTATATAATATTTATAAATATAAAAATATTATGTTATAGGTTTTTTATTTATTATATATTATAATATTTCATTGATTCATTGTGATTATTTATTTCTAAATATACTATACTCTATTATATCTTTTCTCTTTCTAATATGATATCCTTTGAATTACTGCTGTTCTGTTTACTGTTTTCTTTTTGGTCTTCATCGTTGATGTTACCGGCGGCCAAAGATGAATTAGCGGCAGAGTTGAGCGAAGATGAAGTATTCTCGTGAGTCATCGAAAGGATTCTCTCACACTTTAGTTTCTTCTTGACACGTTCATTGTCTTCCTCCGATAGCAGAGCTCTTCTAGTGGGAACGTCTTCAATCTTTTTCAAATCGTCATCGTGTTTAATGTAAAACGATGTATTTATATCATGTAATGGTGTCGGTGTATTAATTTGTTGTTGTTGTTGTTGTTGTTGTTGTTCATCTTCTTTTGCTACATTATTTCCATTTTGGTTATTATTATTATTATTATTATTTATATCATCCATTATAACTTCATCACCAGTTGTTCCATTACCATTACCATTACCATTAGTATTTCCATTGGTATCTCTTTCTCTTTCTCTATCTCTATCTCTATTTCTATCGCTTCTGTGATGCCCATTTCTATCTTTCTTTGACTTTCTACTTGATTGTCGAGGTTGATCTTTCATATCATACGATGTGATAGGTTGGGGTGTTGTAATAGTCGATAATTTAGTTAACGTCTGTTCTATCTTTCTCTTTTGTTTACTCTTTGTTTTCTTTAATGTATGTGAATCTGTTACAACCTCCCCAAACAGCTATAATAATAATATTAATATCAAGTTAATTAATATGATTCAATTAACTTTTATAACATCAGTTTACTTACAGGTGTCTTTGCGTAAGTATGTTTATCAGGGAAACTCGGTAAAAATGATGGAATATGTGGTGGTAATTCTTGTTGTTGGGTTGAGGTTTGTTGTTGTGTATTTGTTTGGCTATTGTTATTACTATTGTTATTTGTTGTTGTTGTTGTTGTAGATGAAGATGATTGTTCATTTTCTTCTTTATTATTATTGTTATTGTTATTATTGTTATTTAAATTTGATGTTGTTGATGATGTTGATGTATTTATATTATTTATAGTGGTTGTTAGTTGTTTTTGTTGTTGTTGCTGTTGAGCCTCGGTTATCTTTTGTGCTGACAGTGGGAATGGGGGAATGGTTCTTGCAAAGGGGATCTCCTCTGCCTGTATCAAAAACTTGTGTAGCTCATTCATATCGATCGACATATCCAAGAATGCCTCGTGAACATCGTGAAAGTTACATTCTGTTCTACTTGCCAATTCACAATACTGATGTGCTCTACTACCTATTTCCTCAACATCTTTAATATATATATATTTAAATAAAAGTATATAAGTAAACAGACATATTTATATAATATGTAATTGTAATATAACAGGTTTAACAACATACATAATCCAATGATATCTGTCAATGCTTCACATGCAGACTGACTGATCGCAGAGAATCTGTATCCTCTTGTAATTTGGGCAACTACTACCCTACAGAGTGCTCTAGCATATGCATCACTCATTACTTGCTTATCTCCTTGTTATAATATTAGTTGGTCACCCTCCTATACTATTCTATTCTACTCTACAGATATTAACTTTTTTAAACTTTTAACTTTTAAACTCTGTCTATTAAGTTTTTAATTTTTTGTTTTTTTTACTTTGAGTGGTTTTGGATTTGATCTTATAAAATAAAATAATAATATTACTTTTTTTACTTTTAAATAAAGTAAATGTAAAATAACAAAAGAAAACAAAGTAATATTACTTTACTATTATTTAAATATTGAAAAAATGCTATCGATCAAAAGAAGTTTGTTTTATTAAAAAAAAAAAGAACAAAAAAATTCAAATTTTTTTGCTGTTAGAAATTTTATTTGATTTTTTTGATTTTTTGAATTTATTTGTTCATAGATAATTGTTTTATATTTAAATATATACAAATTTAGGGTGATGTGATTCAAACCTTTAAATAAATAAAAGAATAATATATATATAAGTAATATTTATGATTTACTTTTTTTTTTTTTTTTTTTTTTTTTAAATTCAATATTAAAAATAATTACAATATTGATTTGATGATCAAATTAATTTAAAATTGTCTTTAGTTTAATTGTTTGTTTTTACCCTTATGATATTATAAATGTAAGATCAAAGCTTTAATTAAAAAAAACAAAAAAAAAAAAAGTTAACATCATTTTTCTTTTGAAAATAAATTAAATTAAATTAAATGATTTATCATAATCTATAAAAATGTCGAGTGATAACAATATAAATAATAACACCAATAATAATAATAATAATGGTAATAATATTACTATTACACAAAAGAAAGCAATGGATAGAGTGTTTGAGATATTACATCCTCAGCATGAAACAATAGGAGACTACACATGGAAAGGTGCAAAGTTTGGTTTGGTAACGGGCGTTGCTATGGGTCTGGCGATACCAGTGTTCTTTAAGAACACAGATCGTGTCTCTTCACTGTTGAAATCGGTGATCAATATGACATTCATTGGAACATCCTATCAGGCAACCTCTTACTTTTTGGATCATCGTATGTTCATTCCGGGCATCTCCAACGCGTTGGCGAGCGGTGCAGTGTCGTGCGGTATCACCTCTGGTCTTCTCGGAGGAATGAGACAGGCGCCCGTAGGTGCATTTGCCGGTAGTGTCATTGCGGGAACCGGTCATCTGGTGTACCGTGCTTTCATAGCAAAGAACCCCGCACCCGGGGCACCCGGCTCACAACTAGCCAAAGCCAAAGAGTTGACCGATCTCATCAACAAGAACAACTTGAAACTGTCACCGATCGATACCTCACTTTACAACCGACTGGTAGAGGAAGTTTCAAGACCCGAGCAACAGACCGCTACAGAATACCTAAAGTCATTGTCACCATTCAGAGAGATCGCACCAAACGAACGTACCGATCGTATTGCAAGACGATCAGGTGGTCAACTTGAAGTACCAGGTGCAATAGTATCACAACAACAACAACAACAACAATCATCTAATCAATCACAAGCATCAACAACTTCTAATTCATCAAATACACCTCGACAACAATAAACCAAACTCGCAACATACTTATATTATATTATATTAGATTAACTTTATTATTATTATTATTGTTGTTGTTGTTCAGGTTGAATATCTTGATAAATTTCATCTTCTTTTAATAACATATTTGGGATACCTTGGTCGATTGGATATACACGTTGGCAATTTGGACATGTCAATTGACCTGTCATTACTTTAACCTATTGTTGTAGAATTAGAGGTAGTCGAGTGTTAAAATCAATTATTTGATAGTGATAATGATCATTAGCATGTTATATACTTACATTACATAAAAGATTATATAAATTCTTTAAAAACTCTTCATCTTCAATTGATTTCTCTGTGATTGGACCTAAATTTAAATTAAACTAAAGATATTATATTAATGATATGTTACTTTGTTTTTTTTCTTTCACAAATCTAATTAGATTGCTTACTTGTGCAGCTACCATTGTAATACCTTTCCAATCCAACTTTGGAAAGATATTCTTTGTAAATTCAACGTTAAACTCTTGTTCTAATTTCGAAACATCTTTAACCTCCAATAGCAATGGAAATCCTCTACCGACACATTGTCTCTTGGTACAAGCCATCATGTTATGTGTTAAAATCTTCATTTTCTATTAGCCTTAATATATATATATGAATAAAATAAATAATTATTTCTTTATTGTTTATAAATAATTAAATTAAATTAATAAAAAAAAAAAAAAACGAAAAAAGGGAAAAAAAACGAAACAGCTTTTTGTTGTGAGTTGTGAAAATTTTTATTTTAGTTTATTTGTGATTAGTTTTTTACACAAATAGATATATCTACATAATAATATTAAAGTAGTTTTAGCATGTAGAAAACATGGTGGAGAAGCCCTATATGAATCTGACCAAACCAGGTCCGATGTAACATTCTTAATGGACAGGCTTCTTCACTATGTTTTCCATTGTTTTTGTTATTATACATGGAGATAAATCATAAATATATATATTGCAATAATATCAAAGTTTTTAGTGATATTTATTTAAATAAAATAAAATCTGTAAAAGAATTATTAAAATTAGAAGATGATAGATATTTATTTTTATTAATTCATTTCAAAATTAATAATTTTAATGTTTCACCTTGACAGAGTGCCGAATTTGATAGTGTCCTATATTCATTTAATCTTTTACCAGAGTAAACAATTGCCAGTTTTGAAGCATCTACATTGATTAGAGCAGATATCTCTTTGATTAAAGATCGGATAGTTTGGTAGTGTTTCAAATTTTCGAAAATGATTGGTGTATCTTGTGTGTCTAATTTTTCAACGAAAAGTTTCAAAACCTTATCGCTATTGTAATGCTTTTTATCGACTAGGTTAAAGTGATCGTCATTCTTTACACTGAGTTCCTTTAATGTTTGGTCTCTGTTTGTGAGAACTTGATCGTCATACATTAATACATATTCATTCTGATTTGGTTGATATTTGCCTGTTTCCTCCAATTGTTTAACCATTTCATTTAATGTTGCATCTTCACTAAATGTTTGATTCCAATAAGTTTTAGCTGATGTTTGAAAATTTAATTTTAACAAAGACATTTTTATTTAATCAAATATATATATTTTAATAAATTTAATGTAAATAAAATAAATGAATCAAAAAAAAAAAGAATGTGTCACAAATTTTAAACATTCACAAATAATAGATTTACAAAATTTTATCTAGATATTTAAACTGAAAAAAAACTTTTAGTATTATTTTAAATTAATTTGTTTTTTTTTTTAAACTGTGAATTGTTTATAAATTGATTTTATTATAAAAAATTAATTTACCCATGTTGGATATTTGGCGGTTGTGTCGGATCTAACACATGTCTGTACAGGACAGGTAGCAGTAATGTAATAACCGAATCCCCAATCCAAATCTCTGATGCTAACACCACCACGAGTGAATTTCTGAGAGTCATCGGTTAGACGTTTGTTTACAATCTTAATAAAGAGATTGTTGGATGTTGGGTCAAAGTAATATTTGGTTCCATCACCGTTGAGAACTCCAGATTGCGAACTGGCAGTGGTCAATGTGATCCAGTATTTTTGATCGTCCCAAGAGTTACCGGCTTTGATAACAAAGGTGGATTGTGGTGGGTATGTCAATGCCAAAAGAATGTATTGTCCATAGGGAACCTGACGTGTATCCACTCTGAAAGAGGGTGGCGCCACACCATTGTAGAAATTAAGATACCAACCCATTCCGAGGATACCAGTGATACCGGCATTCGAGGTGATGAAAGCTGTTTGTGGACCTGGTGGAAGATTTGGTCCGAACAACGAAGAGTTTCCAACATTGACAAAGGTATCTTCAGTGCTGCCGTCATCAAAGATCAAACCAGGTGCGACCACTTGGATATTTCCAACTTGACGACCGTTTTGTTCACAGATCCATGTCTCCCAATCGGTATTGAATCTACAGGAACTATCGAAATTCCACCAGTTCAAACTGGATCCAACGATCTTTGGTGTAGATGAGACCATTGAAACGGATCCGTCCCAATCGATAAAGTTGAAATATCTACTTGATCCAGTCTCACGAATTTGATGACCGACACGTTGAGTGTTTTGGACATTGGTAAATGTAATTCCTTTGGTTGCAGAGATTTGTTGTGGTTTGTATAAATCAGAGTGAGTCATTGAAACGATAACACTGTTATCAGATTCTGGATTGGCAGCATTTGAATCATGTTTAAAGTTTCTGAAATTAATATTGGTAATAATTGTTTGTGTAACAGTATCATAGAATTGGAAACCTAATTATTATTATTTTTTCAAATTTATGTTAATAATTTTATAAAATGATATAAATATTTAAATGAATACATACCTTGACGAGTTACCATTACATCTGAATATTCAATACGATTATCAGCTGGATTGTTAGAGAAACCATTTACAATTGCATTGTTGATCCAAGCAGAACCAAATACAGTACCAGAGATCTTATTATCATGCGATTCATAGGTATCGATTTCAATTTGATTACCCCAGTGATTTGCACCTAAAAAAAAAATATTAATAATTTTTTTAATTTATAAAATTTAAAAAAAGATAAATAAATACCTGATGAACATTGTGAAACTTTCATATTTGTCCATCTCATCCAAACTGGATTTCCATTGACATCTTGAGTGTCTCTGTCTTGTCTACCGGATTTGTAGGTTAAAGAATCAACATTTGGATTTTCATACCAAAGTTTACCTCCACAATAAATACATGAACCAAACCAGAAATAATATCCAGCAGAGTGAGCTGAATTACCATCGAATTCAAGAGCTATAAAATAATAAATATAGTTAATAAATTGTAATAATATAATTGTTCATTAATTTAAAAATAATTACTTGTTCTAGATTCCGGACTAAAGTTTGTCATATTCTTAAAGTTACCAATTGGTTTTGGAAGGTTAGGGAATGAGTAGGATGCCCAACCACCACTGGCAGCATTACCAATAATACGATTATAGGCGTTTGTAATGTAGTAACAACCAGCAGAACTATCAGCAGGTTGAGTTAAATCGTTGTTCTGATAGAATAGTTCACCTTGTTGTGAATTTCCAGCGGCTGGTTTTCCAATGGTATGTACATATGCTGCTAAATTGTAGGCAATGGTGTTATTTTCTTCAACACCATCTTCGATATAATAGCAATGTCCAGTGGCGTCGAAAGCGGTGTTTTGTTCAACTACCAACTGGTGAGTACCATGAACAGTGTAACAACGATAGTATGACTTTTCAACGGAGCAATCAGAGATGTAGGAATTGATTACAACACCTGCCAAATGGAAATGTAATGGATAACGACCCTTGAGATTACGTTGACCCATCTTTGTAAGTTGGATTCCAGCGAATTGACCGTTCGACATGGTGAGGACGTGTCCACCAAATTGTTGGGCATCGGAATCATCTGCACCACGGAAGATAATTCTACGTGAAATCAAACCGACTTCAGCTTGATACTCTTGACCACCATAGTGAAGGAATTGCAATGGTTCGGTGAATTGAACGATGTTTCCATTGATTGCAGCAATAGTCATCTCTTCGTTTTGTGGATCGAATTCATCTTCGTACTTGGAAGTGGTAATGAAAACACGTTGTCCGACTTCCCAATTGACATTGTCTTGGAGATAGATAATAGATTCATATGGATAGACTGTTGCTGCCAATCTCGACCAAGTTTTGTAGTATTGTTTACCTTGGACACTAATGTAACCACCTCTGGAGACAGCAATACCTTTACTTCCAAGATATTGGGTGATGGTGTCGGAAGTTGTTTTCTGTCCGTGGAAAATAATTTCGATATTTCCATTCATACGACAAGTTGAAGAACCCATTGTTAGCTTTCCTTTGACATCAACATCGTGAATGTTCATAGTGTAGCTGGAATCAGAGAAAATTAATTCACTGCTTGCTGGAATAACAATTTTCTGGTAGACAGCATCTTGGTCGATGGAACATGAGGAGATGAGAACTTTGGAATTAGCTGGGAGTGTGATAACTGAGGATGGCGATGGAACAGATCCATTCCAGGTGGCTGGATCATGCCAGTGGAGCAAACCACTTTGGAGATGCGGACAGGTAAGACGATCTTGTGGCATAAGACCGGTGGTTGGCTTTCTAAGATTTACCAATTCCGAATCTTTGTTGAGAAGAGTGGGTTTAACAATTGGTTTCGAAGCAACTGTAAATTTCATGTTACGGAAATATACAGAGTTGATCTTATTGGTTTGGTTCAAGAAGAGATTGATACCAACTACAGAAACTGGGAAATCTTTGGTTGGGATATAGTCGAGAGAGTGAGATGTCCAGGTGTTGGGGTTACCCAAGGCTGCACCAGTTCCAGGGAAGTTGGCACATTCACTTGGAAGCTTTGGATCGATCCAAGTTCTGTCACGTGAGCTGTTGTAATATCCATATACACAGATTTGCAATCCGAATAAATAGTTGGCAGGGTTGGAAACGGTACTGAGTAGATCGACTTGGAGATTATACTTCTCACCGGCACGCAAATAGAAATTTTGTTTCATGGAAGCCAATTGGTATTGATCAGGACCCCATGCTCTGTTGATTGTAACATTCAATGCACCTCCAACGTCAACTCCGTTCGATTTTGCTCCGGCTGAACATTGGCTGAAGATTAGTGGTTCAGACCAATCACCTGTAATTGTCCAATCGTTATACGATGGGAGATTGAAGACTACTGGGCTGGCAGCTGTGGGGATAGCTGGAGAGACTGGACCATCGGAAGATGGTTGTGGATCTCTCCAGGTTGAACTCAAAGGACAAGTTTGGATGGCGAAAATATTAACACCAAGATCAGCAGAGATAGATAGAGTAGAATCGGAAGTTCCACAGGCACCTTTTGTAACCAATTTACCATTAACGGTATCAGAGTTGAGAGTACATGTTCCATTGACAGATGGAGTGACACCACTATTGGTTTGAATATTCAACTTTCCGGTGTAACCTGCCATGAATCTAATATCAACTTTATCACCAGTTGAAATGGTAACATTGGAACTTGAGGTCATTTGGAATGAATACATATCAACAGATGAGATAGAACAAATATTTAAAGTACTAACAGATAATCCATTAAATTTAATTGGGAAAGCTAAGTTTTGGTATTAAAAATAAATTAAATTTGTTAAAAATAATTAAAGTAAAAGATGTAAAAATTGAAAAATTACCCTTCATATGACAAGCATTGATATTGATGTTGGATGCTTGGAGACCACTCATATCGAGAGAACCACTAGAGGTTTCCAATGAAATCGATTTGAAAAGATATCCAGATGGTACTCTAATAGTAACTGTTACACTGTAGTCAGTCATATTCATGGCAAAAACAAAGCTGGAAAATCCAATCAACATCGCTAAAAATACAATCATTCTGTTCTTTGTAGCGAAAGTGCTAACCAACAAAAATGAAATCAAAGTGAACAATGAGAATGATAATTTACTACCATTTGAAATTACATCGGTTGGTGCCTATTAAAAAAAGATATTTTTAAATAAATGATTTTGTTTGATTTTGTTTTTTTTAATAGAAATAATCTTACACCAATACGGAAATTAGTGGTACCTGGATCTTGGTGAACTAAATCTTTGAATTCAGCTTGACCTCTGGTGAGTGAAAAACTGAGTTTTGGTGCTTTGAGTGAATCGTCGTTTTCGAATTTATAGGTGGTTTCGACTTCCACCGATTTCATAGAGAAGGTATCTCCTACTTCTACATCTCCCAATGGTGAATCGGCCAATACCACTATGGAATTGAGCGATACCACCATTGATAGTACCAAAATGGTACTCGTCAAATAAAATAAAGTGTCAAACTTCATTTGTTTTTAATATTAAAAAAAAAAAAAGTTTTTTGTTTTCTTTTTTGTTTTATACTAGTAACTTCAAAAAATAAATAAATAAATCTAAAAATAAAAATAAAAATACAGTTGAAAATAAATAAATAATAATAAATAAATAAATAATTTAGATATGTTATAATATTTTATTTGAAGTTGATTGATTTACAAAAAAGAAAAGATCGATCATGTTGTTTAAATTAGTAAAAATCAAAAAAATAGTAAATCAAATTATAAAAAATCTAAAGGTGGCTTTTTTGCTATTTTTTTGATATTTCAAGGTTACATTTTCGTATGAACCCATTATAAATTGGGTGAATTCAAGAAAAAAAATGTAAAAAATGTTTAAGTGTGTGGGATGGGTTTTTTTTGACAAGTCGTTACTGTGGTGATCGATCAAAAGCAGTTCGAAAAAAAAGATTTTTTTTTGCATGATTGATTGCGTCATTAAAAATAAAGTTTGCTTTTTAGTAAAAGACTTTGTTTAAATTTAGATTAGCTAGTTGGAAATCGCAAAGCAGTCGATGGACTAATAGTTCCACCACAAAAAGTATTGTAAGAAAATGAACGTAGAGTTGTGTTTGTTGATAGTGCATCTACTACTCTTTGTTTGAATTGATCTAGTTCCTCTCCACCAACTACAAATGTAATATGCATATTTGTCAAATTTGGATGAGTATTTCCACTGATTATTTCTAATATTGAATCTGTAACTGTTTCATATTTACATTGATCTAAAATATATAGATAATTATTATTATTTTGGTTAAAATAAATCGATTTGATTTGATTATTTCAACAACTTACCATTAAACTCTTGAAATGATTTATGTACAAGTTTAAATTGTTGAACGGTTTGACTGATGATATTGGTGCTTTTGGTTTTTGTGTAGAATAAGCTGTAGTTGACATCGAGGTTGATGATACACTTATTGGCTGCCAATGCTTGTTGAATGCCATCTTTTGTATCCAGTGACATTTCGTCCAATCCCAAGTTACCAAAGTTTACATCTTTCAGTTTGTTGTTCTCTCTCATCACCATGTAGAGTGCATCGAGACCTTCCTGTGTCATATCACCGACACCAGTGTAGCATTGAATCTTTATATACTCTAAGGTGCTCCACGATGCGAAATAGTAAACGAGTCGACCTATCGACATACCTTCTTTCATTGTTAGATCCAAGAACTTGAGAAACGGATTCTTTGAGAGCGCGGTGAGCAGTTCAGACGAGCTCTCTTCGTTGTCGTCCTCGGTGTCGCGTTGAATCTGGCAATTCAAGTACTTGATGTAGTTGAAACAAGGTAGATCCACTAAGAACAGATAGAGCGGACTGCCTGCTTCCTCTTGACGATCGTCTCTGTACAACGAGAGTGAGTCGAGCGATGGAAACACTGACTGACAGTTTTCAAGCATATCGTAGAAATCGCTGGGAATATCGCCCATTCCGAATGTAAAGGCAAAGACATGTTCGATCGACGATGTAATTCCATCGAGCTTTCCTTCCTTTTGCTCGTCCACCAACGTTTCTATCAGCTCTCTGGTAATGTTTGCTTGGTTGCCACCTCTAATCGTAAGTGACTGTAGTTTATTGACGATAGGAAACTTTTGTTTGGTGGTCTGTTCACCTCTGATCATCATGAGCAATGCTGACAGATCTGTATTATCGTTATTTGTTACGAATTGAACGATATCAACACTATTTATCGAACAAGACACCAATTTAAACCATCTCTTACAAACTTTTGCAAGATTGAAAGCTAACTCTGAATATCCAATATAAGTTCTACCAGCAAACTCGTATGAATTCGATCGTTTACGCGGTAAATCCGATGTCAATAATAATCTTATAATCAATGGTTCAACCATTGATGTTCTACTACTTTCTCCATTATTATTATTATTGTTATTATCTGACATTATTTTGTATATCTATCTATATATATATATATATGTCTATTAAATATTAAACTGCGATGGTCAAATTAAATCGTTTGTTCATTCAAATTATGTTTGTTTTTGTTTTTTTTTTTTTTTTTTTTTTTTTTTAAAATTAATAAAATTAATATTTATTTATTTATTTAAATTTAATTTAATTTTGATCATAAATGCCCATATTTTTGATTTCCTCTTTCAGTTTCTTGGCATTACTTCTGGTGAAACGAACTCCAGGTGGCAAGATATGCATTACTAGTTCACCTTCATTCTCTCTCTTTTTGGTGTTGGATAATGTTCCTGGACGGTACCTTCTCTGTAACTTGGGTCCTGCAGCACTCTGTTTGTAGAATTTCATATCCTCTGCAACATCTGTATCTATTGGATGGTATAAGCTCATTGCGTATAAATAGCAGGCAGGTTGAATATTCTCGAATACCAATTGTGGTTTCAAAGCAAGCCTACCACGTGAACCAAAGTAAAATTGTCTATATTCATTATAGTTTCCAATTGAAGCATGAACTTTATCTACCAATGCATTATTCTTTAAACAATACTTTAAAATAATAGATTGAATTTTGAAATTAAATTAATATTCGTTTTAATAGTAGTTTTTTTTAATATTAATAATGAAAAAATAAGAAATTTATATTAATAAATAATAAATAATTTTAGTTTTTTTAATCTTTATATTTACAATTGTACCAGCATGATGAACAGAATAATCGTTTCTATTGGAATCACCAAGACATATTATACCTGCTTCTTTGGAAATCATAATCTTTTCATGTCTTTTCTTGGTTTCACCGTCTTCGCCACTCCACAACGGTTTCCAACTTAGAACATTTCTAAGACTAAAGCGATCTCCAATTAGAGATGGAAATGTTTCTTGCTTTAATTATTTGAATCAATATGTTATTACATATAATATATTAAAAGTTAATAAACATTAATAAAATTGAAATATTTTTTCTTATTGAATAATAACACTTACATCAGTACTAACGAAAAAGTCACCTCCTTCATTTATATAACTACGAGCAACCAATAGATAGGGATCCTATTTAAAAACTATTAATATATAAACTTTTTAAATAAAATATATATATATTTACCACTCCAAAATCAGTAAAACTGCAAACTGTTTTCTCTTTCTTGCAGACAAAGTTACTTGTATCATAACGAGTCACTGCTTTGCAATGTGTGGTTGACATCTTGCTAATCTTGGTTGGATCTACATTTTCAAATATCTTATCCATTTCGAAATCGATATCTGGCAATTGTGATTTGTCCCTTAGTTTATCGTTATATCTTTCCGCAAAACATTTACTGTAGAGTTGGTAGTTTAAATTGTCATTTTCAAGCTGATCTGTTGGTTTATAAAAATCGGTGGTTTTACCATGCGAATTACAACCATTTTTCTTTCTAGCATCTTATTGTTTTCATTAGTATTTGGTAGAGTTGATTATATTTTAACTTACAGAAAGAATAAGTAGTAAATGCTCCAAGTTTGAAAGGACCTCCATTTTCCATACAATATTTCTTTGTAACTTCATAAGTTTTATAGTCATTAAAAGCTCTCCTTAGAATTGTCTCGCCGTCTACATTAACACCTTCATTGAATTTCTTTTGTTGAACATGCTTTGTCCATTCTACATCACATTTTTGAAGATTAGGAGAAGTGGCCATTGAAGTAGTCGTGGTAAAATATCTGCAATCGTCTTTTGCTCTCACCAATACTGCTTTGGTATTTTGTAGAATATCAAAGAATTTGTCAAGATTCTTCTTGCCAACCAATGAGTTACAAAAAGCATGCTGCGATGGCTGAGTTGCTTTCAACTCTCCTTTGTCATTTGGATTGAATAGACCGTCGTCCAAAGTGAAATGAGGCATTCTCATTGAATGTGAAATATAAAAACCAGTATATTTATTCTCATCTGGATCTGTATAATCATAGACATACAACGCCTTATAGATGAATAGAAAGAATTAATTAATTATGTTGATAAGAAATGGGTAGTTAACGATCGAATTTACCTTTACATGACCATGATAGAAATCACCAGCATCAATTTTTGTTTTTTCCGGAGCTTGATCATGATACCACTCCATTCCCAAGTATTTTTTACTTGAGCATACTTGCGGAGAAATTACTGGACCTTCACCTTGTTTGGTATGAAGTTTCATTAAATCGGTAAAAAAAGTATATGAGGTAGATGGTCGAAGATCTATTTTTATTTTTTTATGTTAAATATTAATTTATTAATATATATATAATATTGAAAGTACATGATTAAAATACGTACCTAGTTTACTATCCATATAAAGTCCTCTTCCATATTGATAATCTAAAGATCCTCCATTGCTATCTGCAAGATGAATCCACCAAGCCACATCTTGTCCCTTTATGTTCTTACATGATAATGCTAAACATACATTGTTAAATATAAAAATACAAAATAGTATAGATATTAATCTATTTAAAACTATCATTTCTTTGTTTATAATACGAAAATCGGCTTCGTAAACTCTGATCACAAAAATCTAGCTCTTTCTAGATAGAAAAACGAAATTCGTTCTGATCATTTGGCTTTTACAAGTATCAAATTAAATGAAAAAATAGGGTGCTTTATATTGGGGGTGTACTAAAATGGAAAAAACTGAAAAAAACATTTTTTTTTGGGATATTAATTTAATTTCAAAATTCAATACTTTAAAATTAATATACGTAATAATAGTAGTTTTTTTAATATTTTAATATTTATAATTGTACCACCAGCATGATGAACAGAATAATCGTTTCTATTGGAATCACCAAGACATATTATACCTGTATCTTTTGAAATCAAAATCTTTTCATGTCTTTTCTTGGTTTCACCGTCTTCGCCACTCCACAACGGTTTCCAACTTAGAACATTTCTAAGACTAAAGCGATCTCCAATTAGAGATGGGAATGTTTCTTGCTTTGATTTATTTATTATTATTTATATAATGAGCTATTTGATGATGTAGATGGTTTGATGCTATTACTGGTTGTTGAATGATCAAGATGCTAATACTACTACTATTGTTATTACTGTTCGTATTTTTTTTTAAAATTAATGCGCAGGGTAAAGTGGTGGGACTGGCCAGTTTTGTTTTGTACCCTTCTTGCACACTGAAGTGTGGGAATAGTGGTTATCAACTCCTTTTTTTTTTAAATTTAAACTTTTTATAGAAAGATGGATTCAGATGAGGATAAGATAGTAGATCGTGAATTAAATAATCCCTACTGTTAGATCTATTCTATCCTAATACAACTCAACTTATTAATTAATAATAACTATAACTTTGCTAATAATAATAATAATAATAATAATAATAATAATAATAATAATAATAATAATAATAATAATAATAATAATAACAATAACATTTTTTGGCTATATTTCTCACGGCCTGTGTGAGAATGTAAATATAATATAAAACACGAACTAGCAGGTTAATATCAATACCTGCAATTTGTTGACTGATCATGACAAATCTTTTTTTTGAAAAAAAAAAAAAAAAAAAAAAAAAATAATCCATCTTTGGTGAAAATAGCTTCAGAAGCTATTTTTGAGCTACAAATACATAGTCGCACCATCATCGAAGTAGAGAGATGTAATGTAAGGCATACAGCTGCAGCTTTGTGATCATGGTACTTCTATAAATCCAATACTGTGTGCTCTCTAAAGAACACTTGTGATTATTATTATTGTTATTGCTGATGTCCATAATAATTAATTGAATGACGATAGATAGTTAATTAAATAAAGTATTTAGTTTTGTTTATAGATTTAACATTAGATCTTCTGTCTATATTTCTTGTCCTTTCTGTATCTCTATCTGTGATATTTATATCTGTTGTTTGTTGGTATTTTGTTGTCTAAGGACAATAAGGTAGCCGCCAAGGCAATGCCGGCACCCATCAATCAACATCAATAATATACACCAGCCAACATATAGTAATAACCAATTATAATTAATTAAATTAATTAAATCAACTAAATAAGTAATAGTTCAAAACAACAGATCGAAATAATAATTAAATTAGAATCTGTTGTTTCTGAATTAAGTATTCAACACTCAGCCGTCAAGCTTCTCAATAATGAATATATTGAGTTTAACGCGACGTTAAAGATTCATTCAGTTTTAATTCAATTCATTCAATCTATTCAAGAATTAATTAGATGATTAGAACAAAGATTAATAAATAAACAAAAGATAAACTAAGAATTAAATTATATAAAGACATTATTAAAAACATTATATTATTATTAATTATTATTTGAATAAGAAATGTCAGATCCAACCGATCAATCAACAACAACAACAACCACAACAACCAGTAGTGCAGCAGCACCTACTGATACAACAACCACAACAAATGATCTTACGATGAATGAACTCGAGAGCAATAATGATAATGATTCAATCCCATCAACCTCTATGTTGTTCACGGACGTTACTCCCAACAACACTCGTCCTGATCCACTCCCATCCGATTTATTCAAATCTACTCTGGCTGCTTCCAAATTACCGATCTCCTCTGCTGTCGCTCCAAGCCAGTCGGATAACAAACATATTTTATATTATTACTCCGAATTGTGGTATAGTTGATTCGTTGAATATAATAAAATCATCTAGATGATTTGTAAGCTGGATTATATGTTGAATATAATTATCTGAATTGTAATTATAATTATTGGGTTAATTGTATATTGGTATGTTGGTAATTGAATAGACAATATTGTGTTAATTATCTATATTATCTAATATCATTGGATAACAACTTGGGTATACGAACAGTGATTGTTACTCCTTTCCTCTTGCCGGAGCCACTCTCTCTTTCTGAAAGGAAGTTTCTTAAAATCCGAAAGGAAACTCAGTAATTCAACAAAGAGCTGGCGTTAGTACATGAAGAACCTCTGTAGTGCAGACGAATGTTGGCACAGTCGAGTATGCCAACGCACACCTCCTCCACGAGGATATCACGTAGCTGTAAAAAGTTCGACATCATCAAAAAGCAAATAGATATGATAAACAAGCTAAGACTCGAGATTCAGCGGTACTGTAAAAGTCTAGAAGATTAAACAGAGAACGAGAATATAACTGGAATATAGATTGAATATCTATTTGACATTAGTTGAATTCATATCTTTTAATTTCAATAGAATAAATAATAAATAAGCATTAATTATATCCTGATTTTAATCGAAGTGATCTTTTTTATTTAAAATGTTCCTCCGAGTTTTAAATGTAGAGCAATGATGTATTCTTCTTTGATTTGATTGTTTTGAGAATCCAAAAAGGCTCTGATATTGGATAAATTGTGTGTTGAATATGAATGTCTAACTATTAAAATCTGCACTCTTGATTAAAATTGAAGATTTAAAGCAAATTTAGAATGAGTCGATATCTATTCTTTGTCCTCCAATAAATAGGTTTTCAATATGTTTTGGTAGATCTTTTCTATCGATGTAGTTCGTCGTTGATAATGATTTCAGTGATTCAGGTAACACACCGACTGATAATATTTGATTGAATTCATTTCCAAATTTCAATGATTTCAGTGATTCAGGTAACACACCAACTGATAATATTTGATTGAATTCATTTCCAAACACCAAAGATTTCAGTGATTCAGGTAACACACCGACTGATAATATTTGATTGAATCTATTTCCAAACTCCAATGATTTCAGTGATTTAGGTAACACACCAACTGATAATATTTGATTGAATACAATTCCAAACACCAATGATTCTAGTGATTCAGGTAACACACCAACTAATAATATTTGATTGAATCCAATTCCAAAAACCAATGATTTCAGTGATTTAGGTAACACACCAACTGATAATATTTGATTGAAATCAAATCCAAACTCCAATGATTCAAGTGATTCAGGTAACACACCAACTAATAATATTTGATTGAATTTAAATCCAAACACCAATGATTTCAGTGATTCAGGTAACACACCAACTGATAATATTTGATTGAATTCATTTCCAAATTTCAATGATTTCAGTGATTCAGGTAACACACCAACTGATAATATTTGATTGAATCCCAATTCCAAACACCAATGATTCAAGTGATTCAGGTAAAACACCAACTGATAATATTTGATTGAATTCATCTCCAAATACTAATGATTCTAGTGATTCAGGTAAAACACCAACTGATAATATTTGATTGAATCTATTTCCAAATTTCAATGATTCAAGTGATTTAGGTAACACACCAACTGATAATATTTGATTGAAATCAAATCCAAACACCAATGATTTCAGTGATTTAGGTAACACACCAACTGATAATATTTGATTGAATTCCCATCCAAACACCAATGATTTCAGTGATTTAGGTAACACACCGACTGATAATATTTGATTGAAATAATATCCAAACACCAAAGATTTCAGTGATTTAGGTAACACACCAACTGATAATATTTGATTGAATTCATTTCCAAACACCAATGATTTCAGTGATTCAGGTAAGACACCGATTGATAATATTTGATTGAATTCATTTCCAAAATTGATCTCAGTGACATTGACGGAGGTATTATGAAATGGAGTATTTAAATTGAATGTAATTATCTGATTATTGGTGATAGTTTCAATATATTTGTTTAATATTTGATTCAATGATTCTCTATTCTTTGGACTCTGATCCAACAATCGGAGAATAAATTCAATCAATTGTTTTGAATATCTGCATTCTGAAATCTTAATTTCACGTTTAGTTTGGAATAGTTGATGATTATTTCGATCATCTTGATGACTGATCAATTTAAATATTCAAAAATAACTCGTTAATATCTGATTGATAATAATATTTTAAAAATGATTATTCGAGTATTTACCAACATAATAATTTGAGAATTGTTGATCCAATTGAAAAGATGTCACATGATTGTGCATATTGTCTGTTCTTTGCTTCCTATGTGTTATTATTTTAAATAGGTTAAAATTATATTGAAAATCAAATAAATAAAATTTACTTACTGGTGAAATATAACCTTTAGTTCCACGTGTTGCATTTATATTTGAAAAAGTTGGCTCCGATATTTCATGATCGATAGTTTTTAAATTAAAATCATTTGTTTCAAGAGTATGTTCTTTTGTATCTTGATATTCAATAATTGTTGATTGATCAATGAATTCACAACATCCAAAATCACCAAGAATCAAAGTACCATAAGCATCAGGTTCATCAATGAATATATTTGATGGTTTAATGTCACAATGAACAATTCCATGTTTATCAAGATCCAAAAGAATATTGAAAAGTTGTGAAATATAATTACTGATAAATGATTCTGGAAAGATTCTATTTTTATATTCAATATAAAAGTGGTTAATTGCTTGATAAAAGTCATGTTGTTTAATATTTGATATATACAGATTTATATCAGTTAAATGTTTATACTTTTGGGAAAGATCACCAACTTTACAATATTTAGTGATGATATGAAAGATTTGATTGTCTTTATCATGATGATGGTCAACAAGTTGAACAAATCTTGGATTACCTTTGAGTAATTTCATTGCTTTGATTTCATTCTCAGCTCTTTCATAAGATTTCTGATAATCTTTATAATTTATCTTTTTATAAACATACTTTTGAATTGATTTTGTTAGTTTTATAATTGTCAATTGATTAATTAGATATCTAATTGATCTTACCAATCTATGATCAGTACCACACACTAAATATACATCATTGATAGCATTACTGTTTGTAAATCTTGATATTGAATGATATCGTTTGTTATTAATGATATGAGATTGTTTGAAATAGTCAATATTGTATTTGAATAGATGATTGTTTTCAAAATTGATTGTGTATGATCGTGATTTGTTTAATAACTCCACATATATGGATTCAAAATCTACTCGATAAGAATCTATTATTATTAATTGATATTGAGTATCGACAGTATCTGGTATTACAATCACATTATTATTTTGATTAATATTTCCAATTAATGTGATGATTTAGCTCGGTGCCTTGCTCATTATCTCTATCTTTCAAGTGATTATAAACCAAAACTATGAATATATCATTCGTGATATCAGAGAAATATTTGTTAAATTTCAATACATTTTTTCCATTGATTAATTTATCTATTAGCTCGATATTATTCATTTTGAAGTATTTTTAAAATAGATATTTCATTTAAAAAATTTTAAATTTTAAATTGTTGCGAAAGTTAAAAAAAATATTTTTTAGTATTTCATTTTTAAAAAAGCAAACTTTTACAATATGTAACGTTACATGTTTTGAAAATTTTTTATAGTTGGTTTTTAACAATTCCTTGAAAAAATTACATTATTTATTATAAGACAATTTTAATTAATTAAATCCAAATATACTTTTTTGTTTTTACAAAATTTTCGTACACCCCAACACAATTACCACATGAGGCAACATTAAATCCTGATATGGTATTGTCATTTTTATGTTTTTTATTTTTTGAATTTTATTAATATTTTTTTTGAATTCTTATAATTCCAACGTTTACAATAATCAAAAAGAATGGATAATATTGAATCCAAACTATCTGAAAATATATTACTATTATTTTGAAGTAAAATCAATAAAAGACGATTGTTCTCAATGTCTGAGGTTACCACTTTTATAAAAATTTCGATTTGACCAGATCTGTTGATAAGATTTGTATGAAGTCGATGATCCAATATATAGGTTAGAATCTCCAAATAATCTATTGTGTTTCTCTCTTTAAGAATAAAAGAGACATTGCTTTTCCAGTGCATCCTTCATCTCTATGCTCATGAAACCATTTAACAAGATCCAATCCATGTTGAACTGAAATATCCATTGCATGAGTATCAAATCTTTCAGTTCTGTTGTTGGATCATCTGAAAATTATTTTTCTTAACTGCAATTGTCATTGTTTGGCGTGTACATCCTTCAGTTCTATGCTCATTTAAAAATTGAAGAAGCTCAATATTTCCATTAGAAACAGCAGCCTCCATTGCCTTACCACTACATCCTTCACTTCTATTATAATGCAACCACTTTACAACGTGAGTGCGCCCATGAGTTGCAGCATAATCCATTGCATTGCGGCTGCAACCCTCTGTGCGATTCAAATTCAACCATTTTAGAATTTCCATGTTACCTCTTGAAGCAACACTATAAATTACTCCGACACCACAAATTCCAATGTTTTCTGCATGTAGTTTCCTCAACATATCGAATTGTCCATTGCTTGCAGCCAACAACATAAAACTTGAGTGATCATGATCAATCGAATCGAACCGAACGTTTTTGCTTAATAACCAATCCAAGATCTCTGTATTTCCATTGGATGATATCTCTCTCTTTATCCTGTAAAGATTATTACTATCTTCAATCTGTATATATCGCTTTTCATTGACAAAATGCTTTATTAGATCCAACCTATTGTGTCTAGCTGCCTTTTCCAACTGTAATCGTAACATTGTATCTTTGATAATACTGATTTCAGTATTGTCATCCATACCTTCTTTGATACTACAATCGAGTTTCTCCACAATCCAATCAATCATTCTTTACTTAATGCAATCTCTGTTTCTCTGACTATAAAATTGTAGTTTTATGTATCTATCTTTTCAAGTGAATCTATATACTTGGCAATCGCTAATCTTTCATATTTGAGAGCAACTTTCAAACATCTGGAAGTATATCTTCCATATTTTGACTTAGTTCTTCAACAAAGTATTTAAAGTAGTCGATTCTATCAACTTTTACCGATATCTGCATAGCTTCCCACAATAACACTACTGTTGTTGATCTTATTATTGTTGTTGTTCTACTAATAACTTTACTTTTGAAATGAAATATACTTTTAAACCATTTCTTATCTTTTGTATTAACTTTTTCTTCTTCTTCTTGTTCTTGTTTTTGTTGTATTTCTTCTTGAAAATAATCTTTCATCATTTGAAAGTAATGATTGCCAACCATCAAGCTTGGTCTTTGAATAACATCATTCCAACCATAGTATTCTCTCTGCTTGAATACATCTCTGTGTATCCATCTTATTCTTTTAATTATCAAATCTTTTAAATATTGATTTTTTAAAACAAATAAAAACAAAGATTTATTCATTTTATCTGTTTGTTCATTTAATGTATCAAAAACAAATATGATCAAAAAAATTGTTTCCACTAATAAAATTTACCACACAAATCACCACTCTTCGACAACAACATCCACCACAAATTACCACAAAAAATATTGTTTACAAATATAAATGTGTTTATCAGAACACACAAAGTGTGATTAACCTGTAATGGTAAATAAATCATATGATTGTTTATGATGGTGGATTGATTGTTTTGATTAGATTTATAATAATAATTGATCATTACTATTTTTGACATATAAAATAAATAAAAACAATTAAAATATAAATAAAAAAAATAGAAATCAATATTATATTATTGGGATAGATAGATAGAAATAATAATCAAAATTAAATCATAGGTATAATCAAAGGTTTAAAAATAATTATTTTATATAAATAAACAATAATATTATTATTATTATTAATAGTTTATATATATTTCAAAGATGATACAAGATATGACAAAAGCAAGAGAAAATAGTTTATTTAGAATGATCAATGATTATAGAGTGGGAGCGAATCTACCACCTTTTATATACGATTTCAATGTCTATCAGGTGGCAATGGAACAGGTGTACAATATTATAATAACAAGAAGCAGCAGAGGTTTCGATAAGGATTCACGATTGACCAGAGTCAGAGGTGTTCCTGCAGCAGGTAACACCGCACATGTCACTGCAAAAGATTCAGCACTCTCTGCATATAAAATGTGGATAACATCACCAAACAGTACAAGAAACATTTTAAATCCAACTTTTAAATTCTCCGCAATAGCAGGTGATCTCGACTTAGATGGATCTTGGTATTTTGTACAAATATATTGTTAATAATAAAGATAAAGATAATGATCAATAAATAAAGATAAAAAATAGATAAAAGAAAACATTATAAAATAATAATATGGTTATTGTTTTGTTTTTTTTTTTTTTTTAGTTTACAAATATATTTGATTTGGTTGCTTTTTGATTGAAAATGAAACAGTTTTAAATATTATTATTATTATTATTACTGTTTCAAATAGTTGAGTGGTATTTTAATGTAGGCGATTCCGTTGTCTTCTGGTTTTGGAAGTTCACCGGCTCTGATGTTTACTTGGATCGATGGAAGCAAGAGATTTGGTGCTTTGAGGGTGGCATCTCTTGCAGTTCTCATTTCGATGAATTCCTCTCTACTGATTCCATCCTTGACGTGTTTGTTTCTCTTTCGTTGCTCACCAACAGTGGTAAGGTAGTTGAGCTCTCTTCCAGCTGGTGGGTAGTCGTGACAGACATAGATCTTGGTGGCCTCTGGCAATGCGAGAATCTTTTGCATCGATTCAAACAAAGTAACGGCCGAACCCTCTGGGAAGTCGCATCTGGCGGTACCAACATCCGGCATAAAGATAGTATCACCAACAAATATACAATCGTTCTCAATATAATATGAAACACATGCTGGTGTATGTCCTGGAGTATGAATAACACTAACATTTAGATTACCAATTTGGAATTTATCACCATCTAACATAGTCATAAACAATAGAAATAACAATAACAATAACAATATATATAAATAGTTAGTTAGTTAGTTAGTTAGTAAGTTAGTTGATTATTAATAACAATAAAAACAACATATTAATGCCTACCTTTCCAAAGAACATCGAATTGACTTCCATCAACAGGGAATGAGTGTTCGAGGTTAAAGATGTGTTTGAATATCTTTTGTACGGTACGTGCACCTTCACCAATGGCTGTTTTGGCCTGTGGGTACTTTGACTTGATGTAGTAGGAGGCTGACAAGTGGTCGGCGTGGATGTGTGACTCTAGGATCCATTGGACTGTGTAACCCTTCTCCTCGACGACAGCCAAGATCTTATCGATCGATGTTGTGCTCGTCTTTCCAGAGGCAGCGGCATAGTTGAGAACCGAGTCGAGAATTGCACAGTTCTTTGTCTGTTCATCGACAATCAAGATCTGTGCAGTGGCAGTATCAATATCTGGGAATACTGTAACATTTGCCATTTTATCACTAAAACTCTTACTATTACTACTACTACTACTAAAGAATCTAAAATTATTTAAAACTAATATTAAAGTTAATGTTTAACTCTTATTTTAAAACAGTTAACAGATAACAGATAATGATAAAGATTTAAATTATAAGATAAAAATATCTAACAATGAGTGTGAATTTAATTTTTTTTCGAAAATTTAATTTAAAAATGAAAGTTGGGGTGGTCGTCAACAATTCAAAGATAAAATTTGTTTTTTTTTTTAAAAGAGATGATTGTATAAACTTGATGTCACCACATGAAAGTGTATTTAGAGAACACAAATCGATGTCCTGTTTTAATACCAACCACAAAATACGCAAAACAACATGTTGTTTTTTAATAACTTAAAATAGATTCTACGCATTCGATGATCATATTTGGTATTGTTTCGATACTTTTGATACATACCCTGGTTGTTACTAGATAGTAGTTGTTGTTGCTTATTCAAAGAATAGATATTACTAATTAGCACAGATCTGTTTTGTTGTGTGTTTGAACCATGATTATCTTTTAACATAAAGTTAATCTATAGATTATTATTTTATTTTATTCAATTTTTGTTTAGTTTTATCATGTAGTGGGTCTTTCTTTCTTTCTTTCTTTCTTTATTGATCAATTACCTTAGAATTACATCTATTTGATGATGAAATAAATCTGATATCTCGAGATAAATCTGATTTACAATGCTTTATCAATTGTTTACTAATATTAAACATCGCTAATTTAATTTAATTATGATTTTTTAAATCAAATGAAAGCTAAACATCGCTTTTTTTGTTTAATTTGCTTGTTTTTCTTGTATTTTTTTTTTTTTTCTTTGTATGTTTATTCCAAAATGATCATTTGGTTATAAAACATTTTCATTTATAATTGATTATTTGAGAAGATGTGTATGCAAGAATAATAAATAAAACTTCAACCAAAAACAAGTATTATAGTTCAGAACTTCAGTTATGGTTGGTTATAAAAACCGTTCCATTTAAAGTGAACCATTGCACTCAATGATTAAAAAGTGATTTTAAGACCAACCACCAATTTAATTTATTTTAAATTAAATTTTGTTTTTTTCAAAATTTTTTTTTTGGATACACCTTATTATTGTTCATTCAACCATTTCTTATTAATTGTTTACAAACATAGATACTAAAAACTATAAACAAGAGATATATCTTGAAATCATATTATTTTCTTTTATTATTATTTTCTTAAATTAGCTATATATTTTAAATGAATCGTGTTAGAATACGACAATAAACTTTTTTCCCTATTATTATATTTTATATACAGTGTACCAATAATAAGAATAACTATTATATCTAATCTACAATTTTAATATCACCAAAATAAAATCATCATACAAATACAATACATTTTACATTTGGTAGGTAAACCTGATGTTGATTTCATTTCTAAAAAGAACCCAAGTTTGCTTTTGGTCATTTTATTTTTTTATGGAATATTTTATATGATTGAAAATAACATTAATGGAATAGAAATGATCTTAAACAACAACAACAACAACAACAACAACAATATATTTTTAGTTGAGTATTCAATTTTCGATACTAACGAACTCTCTTTTGTATATTTATGAAAGGTCAACAATCAACTAATTGAATTAAAAATCAACAATCAACAATGGTCCTTTCAAGATTCCCAAGACTAGCATCGAACCTACCATTATTCAACTGTGTACTTGCGTCATCTGCGCTAGGATTCCAGATCTGTGTATTATACCCATGGCACCTTGAGATTGACAGTTCTCACCATAATTTGGTTCGAAAAGTCGATGAACTCGCCAAGAATAAAGGAAATCCAGAGGTCGAACCAACTACCATTCCAAAAGTAGTTGATCGGACTAATACTCCTACTGCTAGTATTAGTCCAATTCAATCAGTTGTTGTTGCCAACTTGGCTCCAACTCCTAAATAAGGTTAAATCAGTAGCTGCTCCCCCACCTTTCCCGCTCACCCACTTTCATATCAATTATTCATATCATTTCTATTTCTATTTCTATTTTATTTTTCAACAACAACAACAATAATACATACAATGTTTAAATATATTTACAAATATTAATCTAAATAAATATCATAATTATTATTATTTTTATTGGTCAAATATTAATATTTTTTTTTTTTTTTTTTTCATTGTTTTCATCAGATGTGTTTGTTAGTGGTGATATAAAAATAAATAGTGGTGTTACTTTTGTAAAACAAAGTGAAACACAACCAACATTCATTATAGTACAGAACAAAGTAAAAGAAAAGAAATGTACAAAAAATAAATGAAGAGAACAGAAGAGTGGGAAGTGTGTAGTTGCAACTTTACTCACAAAATGAGTCAATGTTTGTCAAATATTATATAATGTTATGAGAATGTTTGATTTAACCTGTTGTATATAAATTCTAGTATTTATTATTTATATATATGAAAGTTATTAATTATCCTATTATAAATTATATTTATGTATTATTTTAATCAAATAATTAAAAATGATTGAAGATAATAATAATATTAATAGTAGTAGTAGTACATCACCACCAATTACAGTGGTTAGAGAAAGAACACTCTCGAGCAGTGGCACAAGATATTCTATGAACTCAATGTCACCCAATCATAGATTGAATGGAGCCAATAACAATCATAGTAATAGTAGTTCAGATAGAGATGAAGAGTCATCCGGCTATGATGACGATGACGATGATTATTTAGATACTAGCAGTGAAGATGAAGCTATTAATTCCATTGAAATCTATGATGAATTAGCATCTAATGGAAATACAATACTAACAACATCAACTACAAGTTTAAATGGTGCAAATTTAAATAACAATAATAATGATTCTTCAAGAAGATTTAGACAATTAAATAATAATAATAATAATAATAATAATCATAGCAATAATTATAGAAATAATAATAGTAATAATAATCATGTTAATAGTAATAGTAATAATAATAGATTAAGAAGGAATAGAAATAATAGAGCGAATTATGATGGTGGATGTTGTGGTTTGTTAAGTGTTTTCACTTCATTGTTTTCATTTGGAAAATCAAGAAATAAGTATGGTAATAGAAAATAATAAAAAATTGGAAAGTCTTGACATTCTTGCTGGTGGCGGTGGCAGTGGAGGTGGTGGAGTCTACAGTAGGAAGAGGAATATCCTGTGTGTTGGTGTAACTCTCTTGTTTATCGTTTCGATCTTCTTGATACTCATGGTGTTGATGCGTGTCCCCGTTTCTTATTCCGACCAGGAGGAGTATTCCGATCGAATCTTAACATCGTACTGTCGATTCGGATTCATCAAGAATTCTGCAGTCTACCAACAACTGTCGTCACCATCACAACTGCAGACCAGCTGTGTATTCGGACCTGACCATCTCGACTACGAATGTACTCCCGCCGCCAACACTCGACTTACAAACTATCGTTATGAACTTGAAGTTGCTGATGGTTATGGTGGAAGTAGTAGTGGTAGTGGTGGGAATAATATTAATACTGCTGCTGCTGCTGCTGCTGCTGCTGATCCATTCTCTTGCCAACAACCAGTTGTAAGCGTAATCGTTCCAATCTATAATATAAAGATAGAGTATCTTGAGGAGATGATTCTATCTCTAGAGAGACAGTCGCTTCAGTCTTTTGAGGTGTTGGTAGTCGACGACGGATCTACAGAGACACCGCTAGAGTCGTTCCTTAGGAATTGGAAATCAAGAGATCCACGTATCTCCATTCACAAACACAGTTCTAATCGTGGACTCTCCGCAGCTAGAAACACTGGTATTCGTCATAGTCGTGGTGACTATCTGTTCTTCCTGGACGGCGACGACCAGATCGAACCTACCACCCTCGAGAAGTTGGCATGGAAGTTGGAGTCCACACCGGAGATTAAATTTGCAAAAGGCTTGACTGTGGGATTCGGTGCACAAAACTACACTTGGAACAAAGGATTCGAACAGTCAACCGGATTTCTCAGTGAGAATCAAGTGACTGCAACGATTATGTTCCGAAAGGATGTGTTTACCGTTCAGGGAAAGTCACTGACCGCTGGCGGTGCCACAACACCACAATCGACGCCGATATTCAACGGTTATGACGAGTCTATAATTGGTGGCATGGAGGATTGGGATTTCCTGTTGCGACTGGCAGAGAAAGGTTACTGGGGAGAAACCATCCCAGAGTATCTCGATTGGTATCGTCGCAAAGATACAGAGACATCAAAGCAAACATGGTCCAATTTCAATACAGAGAAGAAAGAAAAACTCATTGCCCAATTCAAATTGAAATATCCATTGATTCATTCCAATGCATTCCCAAAAGTAACGTTATTGTTTTTCTAATAGTTAATTCAATTTTAGATTAAAATTAACAACAAACTAACTATCTATTTATCAAATAGATTGAAAAGAAAGATAGAAACTATCAAATAGAATCAACTTTAAGTTTCCATAACCCTATAAAGAAGGTTGGTCCTAGATTACTATTGATTTTGCCATGGTTCAATACTGGTGGAGCTGATAAATTCAATTTGAATCTAATTAAACAATTGGTTCAAAAAGGTTGGGAAATAACAATTGTTGCAACTTTACAATCGAATAATCCATGGTTAGATCAATTTAAATCGTATGTTCAAATTATATTCAGATAATTATAAATAACTAACAAAATCTATTTTCAAAACAGATTAACATCAGATATTTTCATATTGAATAACTTTTTATCAATATATGATTTCCCAAGATTCCTATGTTATTTAATTGAATCTAGAAGGATAGATATTACTATGGTTACAAATAGTGAAATTGGATATCTCTTTATTCCTTACATACGCGAGCGTTGTCCTTATTCATCGATTGTCGATTACATTCATATGGAAGAGAATGAGTGGAAGAATGGTGGATTCGCAAGGTATTCGCTGTCGTTGCAATCTCAGCTTGACCTCTCGATTGTCTCTTCCGATCATCTGAAGGAATGGATGATCAAGAAAGGTACTCAGCGATTCTCTCACAGCTCTGGTGGTCAGTCCTCGAACAACATGGTGAATAACCATCTTCAAATCAAAGCAAACAAACAACAGGAGAAGGAATACACTCGATACGCTCAGAGCTTGAAGAATAACATTGATGTTGCCTATGTGAATGTCGATACCAACGAATTCTTTATGAATTTGGTGGAGCGATCTTCGGTGCGCTCGAGATACTCCATTCCACCCGGACAAACCGTTATCCTGTATGCCGCTAGATTGACCGAGCAGAAACAACCGATGGTTGCACTCGAGGTGTTCAAAGACATGATACTTAAGAACTTGTCATTCACCGCTTTGGTTAGTGGCGACGGTGCATTGCGTGAGCAGATGGAGGAGTTTGTTCAACGCAATGGCATGGCAGACCACGTTAAGTTGCTAGGTAATGTTCCGCTCTACGATATGCCACGTTTGATATCGGCATCGGATATTGTGTTTTTGCCAAGCAAGATGGAGGGAATCGCTATGTTGTTCTACGAAGCTATGGCTGCGGGAGTTGTGCCTGTCGGTGCCAAAGTCGGTGGCCAGGGTGAGTTGGTATCGCCAGACGAAGGTATCCTTCTTGAGAAGACAATGCTGTTGCATCGTCAGCAAGAGATCGACCAATACTCGAAAGCTCTGGAGTCACTTATCACCAATCCTCAGCACATGAAGAATCTCGGCAAGAATTGTCGTGAGAAGATCAAGCAGTTCTTCAATCTCGATATCATGGGTGACAAAATGATAACACTGTTTTGCAAGGCATCGGCCAACAAGCGTGAGCGAGACCAGGAGGATGATTCCATCATTGGAGGTGAATACTCATCATCGGCATTGAAGCACGGAGTCGGTGTGGAAATGGCGATTCAGGCAATCGAATCGATGAAATGGCAAAAGAAATCGGAAGAATCGTGGAAACAGCTGGAATCACATCGCAAGCGAGTGGAAGACGACCAACACTATCACAATCAATGTAATACCGACAAAGCAGATATGTCGAGGATCCACAATGAACTGTCTAAACTCCAAGAGGAACACCAAAGAGTTAAGCGAGATTTCGACCAATATATCTATGAAAATGAAGTTATCAACTCGAAATACGAAGAGTTGAAATCTAGATTCGATCACCAAAATAATAATAATAATTTAGAGGAACCACCAATTGGTGGGGGTGGTGGTGGTGGTAAGAAATCTAATATACCCAATGTTAACAAAGAACCACCAGTTGGATTGGATACTGCAAAAGAACATAATTAAATAATTAAAATTAATTGTAAATAAATAAATTAATATTTATTCTTTTTGTTTTATCTTTTTATTTAAAAGATAAAATTAAAGAGATTATTAAAATGTGCACCTATTAGTTCTTTAATTGTGTAAAACCTTTCTTCTGTATCTAAATGTCCTTTAGAAAACACTTTTCTAGGATCAGCTATAATCAATCAATAGAGATAGGATAAATCTAAAGTTAGAAATATGATTACACCTCTGTTAATATTTCAATTTGTATTTAAACAAACCTTCGATATAGACTGCACAAAATTTACTGATAACTTTGTACCACCCATACCGATAGTCTTCTGCTATTGCAGCAGGTATGAAACCCATGTCATCTATCGAAGTTCCATTCTGAAAATTGGTAGTGAAATCTGTAAAGTAGTATGTAGAGTTTTCATATTTTACACTGATACCATAGCCTTTTGGCAATGTATATCCTTTCTTGTTACCGAGTGGTTGGAAGAAGTAACTCTCTGTTAATATACAATCTTTCGCAAACCTTGATGTTTTTCGTCATATTTGCCACCATCTTCAGTACCTAAACGATTGACCGTATAGTAGTTCGAGTTGAAACTCGGATGGTTACGAACTATCACATGTTCATTTTCATAAAATAATACTTACCAAAACCAATAAAAACCATTGCTTTTTTTATGTCTATAATGAAAGTATTTTAAGTCACCAACTTTATTCAAGTTAACTAAACCAACATGTGTATTTGTGTTAATTTTTGCAAAATTTGGAGTACACAAAATGAAATATCACATTTACTACACACCATTTTTTTTTTATTCAAATCATGATATCTTTTAAACAAATAATTAATAATAAAGTATTAAGTAGATTGATATTTGATAATGTTCATATTCTACAAAGTCAAATCGGAAGAAGACAAACCTATAGATGGTATCAGATGATCGATTCACCACATCTATTGGCAGGAAATGGATATCTAAATCAATTGATACAGTTTGAAGATCTATATAAAGCTTGTTGTTTAGTGCCTGACTTTTATCCTGCCATTAGTAATGCAATCACCGTAGATAGATTGGATATTGTAGAGTACCTATGGCAAATAATGACATCAATGCAACACCAACAACAGCTCAATAGTAATAATGTTAATAATAATAATTATTATTATAATAGTTATAACTATCATAAATTTGAAATAGATGTTTTATTTTTTAGAGCATCAAGACTTGGAAGATTCGATATAATCAAATACTTTTGTTCTTTGGCTGATGAGAAATGGTCGTTCTACACTGCGATGGTAGAATCTATTTTCTCAGAGAATTTAGAACTACTAAAGTATTTGGCTGGTAAATTTGAATTGATTGGAGCCAAACCGTATTTAGAGGCAAAAAATAATATATTTGATACTGCCGCTTTTGTAGGAAATATCGGGATCATCCAATGGATCGATGAAAATTGGTCGATCCGAGAAAAGTGCTATCGAACAATGTATAGAAAGGCAGTGGTAGCTGGACATCTTCATGTACTCGAATATCTAGTTATACAGTGTAGTCAATTAGGTCTTTCCAGCACTAGAGATCTTATACTGCTCGCCATAAGGAAGGATCGGTTTGACATATTTAAACTATTAGTTTCATCGATAGGTAAGAATCATTTCTACTCGCTGAAAGCAATCGTTGAAGTCTCGGAGAATGGCAACTTGGATTTGTTGAAATGGATAAATAATAATACTACATGTACAACTGATACTAGTGCTTTGGATCTGGCTGCTAAACTTGGGCGGTTGGATATTGTTAGATATTTACATTTAATAGAACTGAAGGAGCGACCTTTCACGCAATGGATCTTGCCGCGGCCAATGGTCATTTCGAAACAATGGTATTTCTACATCAAAATAGGAGTGAAGGTTGTACCAATCACGCGTTTGACTCTGCCATTAAAATTGAGCGACTAGATATTGTAAATTGGTTAATTGCCAATAGATCGGAAGGATTCTCTTACAAGTCACTTGAGTATGCTGCTTACAATGGTAGTGTGGAGCTAATGAAAATGCTACTACGCATAACAACCTTTGAAGTTACAGAGGCTGTAATGAATCTTGCTGTTAGAAATGGAAGATTGGAATTGTTAAAGTGGCTATTTGAAAATGATAACAATAGTTTAAAATCTATTTTACAAGAGTCTATTGATAGCGCTGCTAATAATGGATCGGTCGATGTGATAAGTTGGCTAAACGACAATACGACACTGCGAAATAGCCAGGCGACAATATGGAAATGTATGATGACTGGAAAGTTGGAAGCTGTCCAATGGTGGCTCAAGAAAGCAGCACCTGAGGATGATGTTCCAGAATGCATACGTGGCGTCATTCAAACAGCTGCTAGATTCGGTCACATACATATCCTAGATTGGCTGTTTTCTAACTATCAAAGTATTTTCTCGATCGATCAAGAGGAATTTGAACACACAATGGAAATAGGTGACGAAAGAACTCTCAGATGGATATTGAACAAAATTGGTGTGCCAAAGTATGTTACATCTATTAATTTAGAAAAATACAACACCAGCAGAAAAACAATAATTATTCTAAAACTTTTTATTAAACGTAATAATATCAACCTTTTAAAATAAATAAATGAATAAAATGACTATTATTATTAATATATTTTTAGTTTTTTCCAAACAGTTCAGTTCTTTTTTTCTTTATTATAATATCATTGGCTAATCATGATCATAATTAGTGTAATTTGACCAGAAAAACGGTAAAAAAAGTTTGATTTAATATGACTTCACAACTTTAGTATACCATTAATCCCTAAAAATAAAAATCATTTAATTATGAATGAGTTGATGTTCAAAATCAGGGGTTTGAGAATTTTTAATTTAAGCTACCACAAACTAATAATGAGTCTGTATGTTTAAAAATGTGGAGATACTAATTCAACAAACCAATGATAAAACTGTTTTTTATTTGTAATTTGGATTTAAAAATTTTTCATCAAGGTTAATCTACAAGATTTATTTTTATTTAAAATTGTGGTGTGACAAAAAAAAAAGGTCATAGAAAAAGCATCAAAACAAATGAGTCAACCCATTTTGGTTGAATTACAAATGAAGATATTCTATCATTTTGTCTTTTCTATATATTTTAATTTAAATTAATAAATATTAAATGATTCTTAAAAGCTTTAAAATGCTATAAATACTCACTGCAGGTTCATTTTAATTCTATTCATCAACTCAGCAATACTTAAGAACTTATTATCACTTTATCAAATATCGAAAAATGACAACTCCTACCGCAACTCAAGCTATCTTTTTCACCTCTAAAAACTTAACTGGAACCGCTGTCACATACAACGAAGGTGATACCATTGCTTTCGCTCCAAATGATCAATACAATGGTAAGTTCTTTTATAGTTAAGTTGGTTTCTATAATAGTTTTTTTAACCAATCATTTCATTATTACTATAATCATTATGCAGACAAGTTCTTATCATGCAACATTGGATCATCTGTTTGGGTAAATGCTTACCAACACAACGATGTTTACAACCCAGAGCCAGGTGTACACGAGAACTTGCCATCAGGTGTCCACAATGACTTGTCATCACTCCAAGGTTTGTCAATGTTCCAAGTCCTTGCCAACCAATTCGCCTACGCCATTGACGTTAAATTAGTCTGCAAGGATTCATTGGTTAGTTCACCAGCTGGTTCCTATGCATTCACCATCATTCCATACCAAGTTAATCCAGTTACTTGCAAGAATGGTGATGACTATGTCCAATGTCCAATCCCACAACTCTCTCCACCAGATTCTGAAATCGTTTGCCAAATCACTGTAGCTCAAACCGCCTGGCCAGGAGCAACCGTTGCCAATGGTTCTGTCTACTTCAAGTACGATCCATCCACCGGTATCATCAGTTTCCGTCAAACCGAGGGTTTCCCAACTAACATGGATCTCGTTCAAGATGGAAAGACCCAATTCTCATTCGGTATCCTCTCTGCTTAAATATATCACTTTTTAAATAATAATAAATATCATTGTGTTTGATTCTTCTTATTTTTTTAATATATAAAGATAGGAATGATCTATTCGATATTTTGAATTTTAATTTCACTTGAACAAGTATGTAATCAGTTTTAATTATTCATAATCAAATTTATGCTATTATTATATTATTAAAGATTGTTTCTTTGTTTTTATATCAAATCGATATTCCAGATACAATTTGGAATGATTTGACAAAAAAATTTCATAAAAACTTAATCAATTGGTTTCTTCATTATTTAAATGCAAAAAAATTAAATATTTATTAGATCTATTCTTTCTGTTAAAGTATGTTTAACAATATCGTTGTGATGAAACGTTGAATTGGATGACCAACAATAAATTTTAAACATTGATTTAATCTAAATTTCTTGCCAGATGTTTATACTCTTGTAGTAAATTTCGAATGTCAGATGATCCACTCACCTCGCAGGTGTAAAAAGTTAGCTGACTAAATCCTTCGGTGCGATTTTCAAGTAACCATCTTATCATACTTATTCCATCACTTCTCAAAGAAGGTTTATCAATTGCGTTAGTTGTGCAACCTTCACTCCTATTTTCATGCAACCACTTTACAATATTTATATGATTTGATTTAGCAGCACTGTCCATTGCATTTGTAGTACAACCTTCACTTCTATTTAAATGCAACCACTTCAAAGTATCAAATTGGTTGTACTTGGCAGCATTATCCATCGCTTTTTCACTACAACAATATCGGTTGTTATGAAGATACTGAATGATCTCTAGATATCCACCCTTTGAAGCATAGTCTATTGCGTTTGTAGATGGACTAGAACATCCGCCAAAGTTGATATTCTCATTCATCCAAATGACCAACTCAAAATGTCCATTGGCAGCAGCAAAATCCAGAGCAGAGAATTCTCTATCGTTGTTAGAATTGAAACATTGTTCCCCACATCTCCCATATATCCATTTAACCAAATCCAATCTACCTTTAGCAGCTGCAATGTTTAATGTTTCACTGTTCACTGAAGAAGAAGTGAAACCGCCAACATTCTCCTCCAACCACTCGAGCATCTCACAGTTACCATTGTTAATAGCAAACTTGTAAGCATTGTTCGACTTAAATTCTTTATTTTGATTTTTAAACCAAACACTATGCAATAGTTTTACTATTTCCAATTTATCTTTTTCAATTCCGAAATCAATGATATATTTACGTGTTTGTTGTAGATAACTATCTAACTCCAAGCTCTGTTTTATATTATTGTTAATATTATTATTATGATTATTACGCTCCAACAGGTATTCAACCATTGGTAAATGACCACCTTCTATTGCACTGTGATAAACTGATCCCCAACCAGCAGTGTGACACACCGATTGATTAGAATAGAGCCATTCTAAGATATTGACATCTCCTGATTTCGCTGCCATTTCAAACACGGTCTTTGGATATCGATTCTGTTTGATGTCAGCAACGGCTATCTGTTCCGATAGATATTTTACAATGGTGATATCACCGGATAATGGTGACTCTATAAAAGCAGCATAGTAATCTAAATCTATATTCCACACTTCAACAAGATATCGGATGATCTGTAATCTAGAAAATCGAGATGCAAGTCTAAACAAGTTATCTTTATCATCCTTCGCTAAACTATCTACTTTCAAGTCTTCACATAAATATTTAATAATATTCAAATGGTTTGCTATAATCGAGTTATTCAAGACACTATAAGCATTGTAGATAATAGAGTATCTATGTTCATTGGCGTAATGTTTTAACAACTCTAAATATCCATTACCTGCCAATATACTTGGTGAAAGAATAACTTTATTCCATTTGAAAACTATATTCTTTTTCAAAACTATCTTAAATATATAATTAGCATAGTTAAAAATTATATAAAACAAAGTTTTGTTATTAAATAATCTTAAGAATAATTGTTTGTTCATTGTAAGTTGTGTAAAAAAAATCTAAAAATTTAGCATAGATGATCTTTAAAATTATATTTTTGTATATTTCTTTGTTATTAAATATTAGATCACTTTAAAACTGTACAACATAATATAATATAAAGATTGATGAGTGGTTAAAAATGAGTATAGATTTAAATCAATTAATCAAAACAATAAGAGAAAGAGATATCAGAAAAGTATTAAATGATTACAAAGATAGAAATGAATTGATCAATGATCTATTCGATGTTTTGAATTCAAATTTCACTAAAAAACAAGTATGTAATCTATTTTATAACTTATTTCAATTTCGTTACTAACATAATGATAGGTCGTTGAAGATTGTTTCTTTGTTTTAAATCAAATAGATTCACAAGAGATTTGGAATGATTTAACATTGACAACAAAGATTGAATTACAATCGAAATCATTAGATCTTCTTGAATTGGAGTGTAATTATAATATAAATACAATCATCATTGAATTCATCAAGAATCTTTATCATAATCATTGTAATGAAATAGGTAAATATACTATTACTTTCTATATAGTCAGCTGACTTTAAATTTATTATTTTTGACTGACTCTTTTCTTTACTATTAATAACAATATTTATATAATAAAATAGATGAATATCAAAGTATATTACAATCAGTATACAAAAAAATATATTAAGAATAACAATATAGAATTCAGATATTCATGTTTAGAATTGATTGTTTTGATTTCTAAAGGACCACACTTTGAATTCCTCATTCACTACTTTATCAATGTTCTCGATATCACCAATGAAGAACTTCAACAACTCTCAGAGGCAGAATTAAACCAACATGTTGAAATCATTAAATTGACTCTTACTTTTATTAAAATACTCTCCAACAAAGAGCCAATACATGCTTACACCGGGCAGATTGTCACTCAGCTTTTCAAATTGATCGATTTCGATTCATTTGAAATCAAAGAAGAATCAACTCGGTTGCTTTATCGATTATTTAAAAGGACAATTACATATCATGGTGGATTCACTGATTTAGATAGCAAAGAGACACTAAACAAAACAAAAGAATACATCCAAACACTACGTCAATCTATTATTAATAAACTCCAAAAGTCAATTTAGATCGAAGAAGATATATTGGAAACCAAAGAAATTATTCTTGAAAAAATTAGTAAGATATTTAAATCATAAATATTAATGATCTACCTCAATTCTAACACATTTATTTATGATTTAGAATCACTCAAATCACCTTGGGAATTTGAAGAGTCGGAACTATGAGCACATTAATCAAACAATCGTTAGTAAGCTCAAACAATATAATTCATTACTGATGTTGATGATGTTGCTGATTTTAAAGAATATTTCTTCAGGAGTATATTAAAAAATATTTGATTTATTTAAAAAAAACAAAATCTAATATTCTTTTTATTTTCCTATCTCATAGATAGATAAATTTAAAAAAAACCTAGTCTATTCAGAGTTTATCTAGAGTAAATAGGATACAAAAAAGAATAAATAAATAGTTGGAAATATGATTATACTAGACTTTATATTCTTATGTGCTTCCAAAACTATTGATTTAGAGCGTGAAGATTGACAATGGTTGTCGCAATCCTTTTCCTTGTTTGGATTCGGCTGGTTTATATTATTGAATATTATTGATGTTTGATAATTAGGTGCAGACAAGTGTGCTCTTGTTGTCTGGATTGTGTAACAGTTGGATATTATTTTGGGCTTTGAATTCTTTCCATTAAAGTATGTTTGACAATCTCTGATTTGTGAAATATCGTTGCAATGAAACGTTGAATTGGATGACCAACCATAAGATAATATTGTTCATCAAGCTTTCGAATTGAACATTTGTTTTTTGTGGATATATAAATGTTCTTTATTTTGAGTGGAATACACACTGAGTAACAAGTGAAGTCCTGAATTGAATCTGGAATGAGATGTGCAGGAAAATTGAATATACGTTCGTTACTCCAATGAACAAATGACTCCACTGAACTTGGAACTATTCTTGGGTTTAGCATTACAATTGTGTTGATCCCTAATTCTCTAACTGATGATGGTATTGCATTATTAAAGTTAAATTGTATCTTTGCAGTTGTATTTTCTTGTTCACAATTGATATACAATTCTTCTGTTCCGAATGGGATATTGGTGATCTGGGTATTTTCGGATTGTAAAAGAACCAATCTCCTTATTTTTAAATCAGCAAGTGATTCTCTTTTGTTTGCATTGATTATGAGTCAATCGAACTGATAGAGTGATCGATTTGGGAAAAGTGAATCGATATGATAGTGTGCTTTACTGATATTCAAGTTCTTGACAGTTATTGGAATTGAAGATAACAATCTAACTTGAGAAATAAATCTCAGTGTTGTGAGTGATCGATGTAGATTGTCAAGATTAATATGACTGATTGGCGCCACTGTTTTGAAAGATATTGTGTGAAGATTTGGTAAATCTTTGGTGAGTTTCGCCCATGATGATGGTATACATTCCAAAATGTTTAGTGTCTTTGGAAGTACAAAATCATCGGTTGGTTCTTCATCGTGGCTATGATAATAGCGAAACTTTCTGAGGTTGGGTGGTAGAAGGCCAGAAACAAGTCTATGTGGTTTTCTATCGGTATTACTACTGAAATGTGGCATAAACTTTAAGCACTCTAGTGTATCGGGAAACACTCCAGGTTCAATGGAATTAGGGAATGAACAATTAAACTTGACTTTCTTCAATGTAGGCGGCAAGCAACCTCTGAACAGAGGTTCATCAAATCGGTGGGCAAATGTAATTTTTATTAAATTTCTTGGAAGTCCATACTTTACTGTAGTGCAACCTCTGAAGATTGTAATATTTGATAATGACATCATTTGATATAGACGTTGACAGTCAATCAAAGAATTCATTTTCAAGACCAATTTGTTAAAATTCGGACTGATCTCATTAAATGTAGAGAATGTATCTGTAATTCGTTATAAAATATATTAGTATATAATAATATTTTATGTAACTTATTATTAATAGTTATTGAATAATAATAGTTACCTGATCGAATTTTATAATCAAATGAGCTGTGATCTCTATCCTTTGAATATATGAGGAGTGTTTGTTTGGTTTGGCTTATTCGTGTTGCGAATATCGATCTGTACGAGTTCATATAGATTCTAGGTATCCTCTTTGAGCAGTCTATACCATCAGTAAACAAAAGAATTCTCTCACGTTCATCGAACCACCGTTTACAAACCAAAGTAAAACATATTTTGTCTATATTATCATTTAGGTGCTTGATAATATTTGAAAGTAAGAGGTGAGATAAATGAACAAAAATATGATTTTCATTATCTTTATCCATTTTTGGCTGTTTATAAATTAAACATGTTCATGAATGAATGAACATACCGTTTTTTACCTTGAACTTTTATCTTTAAAAATCGCAGCACTTAATGAAGATGAGGGAAGGATTTGAAAAGGACTGTGATTTTAATCACATCATCGATCGATTGAATATCACTTGAAAAATAAAGATGATGATCTTTAGTACTTAATCTGAGATTACACAATCACAGATCTGTGAATAATTATAAACTTAGTCTTTATTATCTTTTTAAAAATAAAAAAAATAAAAAAATTAGATTTCTACAAAGATTTTTAAAAAAAGGTTACCGGAATGAAAGATATATAATGAGTGGTTTTAAAAATGAGTATAGATTTAAATCAATTAATCAAAACAATAAGAGAAAGAGATATCAGAAAAGTATTAGATGACTATAAAGATAGAAATGAATTGATCAATGATCTATTCGATGTTTTGAATACAAATTTCACTAAAAAACAAGTATGTAATCACTTATTAGTTAATGTTCATTTCATACTCATAATCTATATTACTATAATAATAGATTGTTAAAGATTGTTTCTTTGTTTTATATGAAATAGATTCACATCACATCGATATAACAAATACGATTTGGAATGATTTAACATTGACAACAAAGATTGAATTACAATCGAAATCATTAGATCTTCTTGAATTGCAACGTAATTATAATATAAACACGATCATCATTGAATTCATCAAGAGTCTTTATCATAATCATCGAAATGAAATAGGTAAAAGCTATCTTTAACATATTTATTCATAAACAAACTAATAATCTTCTCTATTTAATAATTAATATAGATGAATATCAAAGTATATTACAATCAATATCAAAAAGATATATTAAGAATAACAATATAGAATTCAGATATTCATGTTTAGAATTGATCAATTTTATTTTAAAATCAAATGCATCATCAGAACAAATCAATGAATTTGAATCATCACTTTCAAATATGATCGAAATCACTTTTGAACAAATCAACGATACAACAATGTACTTTATCAATTTTTTTCTTCAGATTACCTTTTCAAACTTTCTTGATTTAGAGATAGACGGTGAACCAATTGTAAGATATCTGTCTGCTGTAAGTAAATATAATCATTACTAAAATATATATATATATATTGTTAGATCATAATTAACTTTCATTATATTCTAGAGATATGAGGATTTTATCAATAATGAAGCATTCGACGAATTAGGTTTCTTAAATTTCTATGAAGCAATATTTGAATTGGCTGATTCAAATCAGTTGGATGAGAGTATGTTTATTATTTGTCTTATTTCTTTATATATAATAATCAACTAACTAATTATTTAATTAATAATATTTATATATAAATAAATAGATGTGATTGAACAATTATTGGGTTATCTGGTCGGTGCATTACAATCCGACGCCACTGGTGAAGAACTCAAAGAGAAATTCTTTACTTTTATTTTATCACAGTTTTTAAAGTTGAGCGATGATGATATTAAACAATGGGAATCACAGGTAAATATTGTTTTATTTATTATTATTAACTATTTTATCGAGAATTAACTGTATTTTAATTTATTTTAATTAAAGGAAAAAGAGATAACTGCTCCCAAATATGCAATTCACTGTTTATATGTATTAGTTTCTACACTTCCCCAACTTGTATACAGAAATTTTAAAGTACTAAAAGAAATAGTAGTCGTATCGGGTGATTGGAAAAAGATAGCTGGATTGGCTCATTTAGAAACCATAACTATCGAAGAATATATCAAAGATTATACTTTTATTGGGTAAATACTATTATACTGTTTTCGTCACTATTTGAAAACTCTACTTATTAACTGACTGCAGTGCATTTAAATCATTCTCTGAGTATTTCACACATCCAGAACCATTGTTAAGAGAAAACTATTTAGAAGTGACACATTTTATGCTTAATACAGTGGAACCAAACGAAGAACAAACCAACGAGATTTTGGATACACTATTGAAATTGAATGACAGTCATCCCATTGTCCAAAATTCGATATTAAGAACCTTGACGACACTCGTCAGGGTTGCAAATTCAACAATCGATAAGCGATTAAGTAACATTACAGATTATTTTGCTAATTATATGAATATCGAACTACCTACAGCCATTGTAGAGGGTGTCGTCAATGTTTTGACAAATCTTTGCGAAGTAATGTTTGCAAACATCGCCAGTCATGCCAAAGAATACTTACCATTCTTTATGTCGATCATTCATCGAAGCGATCGATTCGATCCGCTAAGTCGTACCACTGGTGCCGCTCTCGAAGCAATCAGTATCCTAATCATGGAATCTAAAGGATCGATCGATGAAGATTTCAAACATTCATTGGAAATCGTTGAGATAATTAAGAGAAACATGCCACCTCACACCAATAAGGTATCGGAATACTACATAAGATCAATCACTCGATTTGCTCAAATACTTAAAGACCGATTCCAGCCACACTATGAGTTTCTCATTCACCAGATGATCAATGTTCTCGACTTCCAATGGGATGAAATCAAACAACTCTCAAAGGAATCATTAAACTACCGTATTGAAGTCATCGACATGACACTGTCTTTAATTGAAATTCTTGCCGATCTACCACATCTATAGATACATCCTTACATTGGACAGATTATCACACAGCTTTACAAACTGCTCGATTTCCCTTCGGTTGTGATCAGACATGCTTCAACTGGATTAATTTCAACGCTTTTAGAAATGACAATTCAATACAATCATTCCAATAATCCACTGACATCCAATGAATACCTAGAAACTCTCCGTCAATCAATTATAAGTAGATTGCAACAATCAATCGAAATCGAAGAGCATCAAGGTGTTTTAGATATAAAAGAACATGAACTTGAGAATATTAGTAAGTCATAATATTTATCTTGCTAACTACCTAATAATTCTAATTATTTTTTTTAGAAAGATATAAAATTTGATTTTTCAATGGTCAAATATTATTAGATAAATAGGAATAATAATGAAAATAAATTCATGAACAATGTCAAAAAAAATATTATTAGATAAATAGGAAAAATAACAATTAAACAAGTGCAAAACCAAATAATTCAACAAAATTACAAAAAAAAAATAAAATTTCAAAATTTTTCAAAATTTTTTACAAAAAAAAATTTATTTAAATGTAAAATTTAAAAGTAAAAATCAAGTTAGAACTTTATTTTATTATTTTTAATATAGTTTTTGTTTTTTAGACACGGTGGAGGTCACTCCCAAGTTGGCCTTGACGCATTGGCACTCAACCACGAAGAACTGATCGTTCTTTAATAATTGGAACTTGAACTATTTCATTACGTTTTCCAATCGGACTGGAACCTTTACAATTCTTCTTTTTGGAAGTTCTAGTTCCTCCGAGTACTCCCCAAGATTGAAGC